CATCGGGCTTACTTTGGGGCTCTCGCTCTTCCGACCGGCACAGTGACAAACTGAAACTCTCGAACTCTGAGTCAGCTTTGGACTCGGTATCTAGGTCACTGCTGCATGGTCTGCCAGCTCGTGAGGGTTCAACACTGAGAGCCCCACACGGCCACCTCCAGGGTACACCGAATCTTAGATTCAACCCCACTCCCGATGCGGTTCCCTTTCTTTCTCACACTCACTCGGCAACACACAATGTCCCTGCTACGTCAGCATCAGTAGATGAGGACTCAGTCGTTAGCACTGACTCGCAGTCCCACTCTCCCGCCTCCACAACCGAAGCTGATGTTGAGGCTACAAGCGATGAAATCTCAATTGCAGCACCCTACAATTCTGACTCCCAGGGCTCATCAGAACACTTAGCTGACGGCATTGATTTCTTACATGAAACTTTTGTTTCTTCGCCTGCTGATGATGAAATTATTTTTGTTGATGAATCGGCAAGCCCATCAGGAGATCCGTCTGCCGGGGCTGTCGACGATGTCATTGGCATTGGCTGCATCTACTCGAACTCTGAAGAACCAACTGTGAAAGCCCGCATGGCGTCTGGAAGACTTGACACACTCAGCGCTATTAACATTAAGCTTCCAATTTTGAGGAATGACATCAAAGTGTTAGAATCTAGCAAACCAGGTCTCTGCTTTACGGCTCCTGATGTGGAGAATGTTAGAGCTCTTATCAGCGACAGAGATTGGGCAGATCTTAAGGACCGTCCTGCCTTCATTCGATTTCCGAATGTGGGAGTGGCGCTGCTCGACCCTGGCAAGAAGCTAAAAGGGACCCACGGTCACTTGCGGAAGCCAACAACAGAGAAGATAAGCGCTTCTGGTTCGATGCGGCCTATTCGGAATTTGCTGCCATTGATGGCAATCATGTATACCAAGTTGTGCCCCTCCCGGCGGGTCGCAAAGCACTTGGCACCAAATGGGTGCTGAAGAAGAAACTCAACACGGATGGTTCAATTGACAAGTACAAGGCTCGTCTTGTTGTTCAGGGGTTTCGTCAAAAGTTTGGTGTTGACTATGTTGACACCTTTGCACCGGTAATGAGATTCAGCACTGTTCGTCTCATTTTCGCCCTGAGTGCGGCGAAGAACTGCGAAATGCACCACGTCGATGTTAAAAATGCTTTCTTGAATGGAGATCTAGAAGAAGACATCTATGTCAAGCCACCAACAGGAATTGACCATAATACCCCTCCTGGCATGGTCTGGAAGCTGAATAAAAGCTTATATGGACTGAAGCAAGCCCCTCTGTGTTGGAACAAGAAGCTTGTTGACAAGTTGGAAGCTCTAGGTTACAAAGCTGCCAAGAAAGAACCCTGTCTCTTTACAAGATTAATGGCAAAGACTTCAGTATTATAGGTCTTTATGTTGACGACATCTTAACGGCGTCAAACGTACCGGGAGAATTCGAGCGGTTTTTCAAGGGCCTATCTGGTTACTTTGCCATCAAAGATGAAGGTGGTGTTAACAAATTCTTGGGAATCAGAGTCCAAGACTCCGACAGGACGATATCTCTGGATCTGGAACACTATATTGCTGACATGATTGAGGTTTTCAAATTGGGTGATCAAACAGCTAAGTCGATACCGTTGCCCAAGAAACATGGCCTTGATTTCCCACAGGGCCTCGATGCTCGTCCAGCTAACCAATCGCTATATCGCAGCATTCTTGGCAAGCTACAGTTTGCTGCTCAGACGGCTCGTCCAGACATTGCCTATGCTACAGGCAAGCTTGCTCAGTATTCGAGTGACCCTAGAGCCATTCATATGGATAGAGCTTATCATGTTCTGAGCTACCTCAAAGGCACTAAGGACCTGGCAATTGTCTATCACAAAAATGTACCAGGGGCCTCTCCGCGGCTTCTGAGAGGCTGGTCAGATGCCGATTGGGCAAACGATCCTGACAGGAAGTCTATCTCAGGCTTTGCATTCTCTCACGGTCCTTCAACCTTCTCTTGGAAGTCGGCCAAACAGAAGCTGACAGCAACTTCCACAACCGAGGCTGAGCTGATTGCCGCTTTTTCTGCCACGTGTGAGGCAGTTTACTTCCGAGATCTTTTGGAAGAACTTGGTGAATCTCAACCAACGACTGTCATCATGGAGGACAACAAAGGTGTCCTGGATCTCATGAAGGACAGCAAACATCACGAGCGGACTAAACATATTGACACCAAGTACATGCGCACCAGAGACCATGTCAAAGCCGGCGATACCCGTCTTGAAGCTGTTGCTTCAGCAGATAATGTGGCAGACATTTTTACCAAAGCTCTGGCTAAGCCGCAGTTTTTATATTTGAGGAATCTTCTGGGTATGAGTACCCGTCCTCAAGTTGAGGGGGAAATGGACTTGATGCAGTGCTCGTCTCGTCAAATAATACCTCCATCGTTACGCCGCAGTCATTTTTGAAGACTCGACGACGCAAAGATCAAGAGATTGAATCTTGATAACGGGCTATTGTTGCAGGGGGGCTGTTGGAATATATGTCATGGTACTATCGTGTATTTCAACATTATCCCATAATATTTTTTTTTCCAATTACACTCTCTACATTGTTACATTATTCACTAGCAACTACTAGCCCATTACCATTGGAGTTACAATAATTGTTACAATCAAGACTCCCTATTGCTAAAGAAAATTTTCAAGATGCTCTTTTAAATTTTCTTCATTACAGAAACCTTTCTTGTTTTCTTTCTCTTCTTTTTCTCGCTACTCTAAATTTACGCAAAACTGTTTTTATTAAATACTCTTTCAGCTTTCAGCTTATCAATCGTATTTACTTATTAACTCTTGCTTTTAGGTATGATAGCGAACTTTTATTATTTTATTATTTTATTATTTTTATCATTTATATAATTCTTATATATACTCTAAATTTACGCAAAACTGTTTTTATTAAATACTCTTTCAGCTTTCAGCTTATCAATCGTATTTACTTATTAACTCTTGCTTTTAGTCTTCTCCGCTATGTCTAATCACGGAAACACTACAGGAGTCAATGAAGGACCCTCATCCTTCGAGTCAGCCAGCACTGGAAGTTCTGTTGCCCACTCAACATCTGAGACCCATTCAAAGAACAACGCCAGCTCTTATGAGACATTCGCCGATCTCCCTGTTCATCGTCAAATTGATCTCGCTGACCGTTCTGGATTTACCGTTAGACAATTAACCATTGCCAACATACCAGTTTGTTCCGAAGGATGTGAAGCTGAATTAAAAGTCTTAGCAGACTTGACAGCTTACATTAGAAACTCAAACTTCAAAGCTAGTCCTCCCCCATCTCAAAAATTCTAAGGGGACTGGTTTAGGATCTAATGTTAGGGTTAATTCTATTGCTAGTTCTGATTCAAGTTCTGGTTCTAGTTTTGGGTCTCATAGATCTTTACCAGCATCCTCATCTGGTTCTGGTTCTGGTTCTATTTGTGCTTTACCGTCTCCGTCTCCGTCTTCTTCTCCGTCTCATTCTCCGTCGCCGCCTCCTCCTTTTTCTTCTTCTATTATTGTTCATAAGCCTCGTTCTGTTCGTCGCATTTTGTCTACACCTTCTGCTCCTCTTGAGTCTCCTACTCTTCCTACTCTTCCTTCTATTGCTTCTGTTCCATCTCTTCCTAGTTCTCCTATTCTTCCACCTTCAGATCATGAAGTCTCTATCTCTCCTGACTCAAGTCCTATTGTTTCTTCTTCGGAATATATTCCTTCACAATTAGACTTATCTGAAGCTGGTCCATCTATTAATGAATCTAATATTTCTGGTGATTCTGGGATCTCGCAACGAGGGGGTGATATTGGGTTTCAACCGTCTATCATTGCTTCGTCTCCCACTCCACCACCTTCTGTTGAATTGGAAGTAGTGCCACTTAGTCAAGAATCTCCTTCGCCTGATCTTGTTAATTCTCTTGACCAAGCTGGTGTTAGTGTTGTCACTAAGGATGATACTCAAGCTGTTTTGCCTAAATCTCGATCTCGTGTTGTTGCTGTTCGTTTACCTTCTATAACTCCTGCCAAACGCCCGAGTTCTGATGACATTGTTTCACCTCCTTCTAAACACCTTTGTGAAAATTCTTTGAAACAATCTCCAGTGTCTGCAACACCTGCAAAACGTCCAGCTGAAGAAGAGTGTATTTCTTATCGTCGTCTCAAATCTCTCCGCTTTGAGTATGATGATGTGGCTTTTACTTGTTTTACAGATCCTAGTAGTTTTGAAGAAGCTATGTCTAGTGAAGAAGCTGAGTTTTGGCTTGAAGCCTGTGTTATTGAAATGTCGTCTCTTAAACGCAATGGTACTTGGGAATTGGTTGATCTCCCACCTGGTCGCAAGGCTATCAATAGCAAATGGGTGTTTAAAGTTAAGCGCAAAGCTGACGGTTCAATTGAACGTTACAAATCTCGTCTAGTGTGTATTGGATTTTCGCAAGTTGAAGGTATTGATTATACTGAAACTTTTGCTCCCGTTGTTCGTTACGAGACTGTGAGGATTGTTCTTGCTATTGCTGCTCAGTTTGGGTTCCAGGTTCATCATATGGATGTCGAGACTGCATTTCTTAATGGTGATCTCAAAGAAGATATTTATATGAGACAACCTAAAGGCTTTGTTGTCAAAGGTCAGGAATCTAAAGTGTGTCATTTGAGGAAGTCTTTATATGGTTTAAAGCAAGCTCCTTTGTGTTGGAATGAGAAGATTCATGGTGCTCTTGTCAAACTTGGGTTTATTCGTAATGAAAGTGACTACGGTGTGTATACCAAAGGATCTGGGTCTACCATGGTTATTATCGCACTGTATGTTGATGATTTACTTATTTCTGGCAATTCTTCTGAAGTCATTGCCAAAACCAAGTCTTCTTTGTCATCTATGTTTAAGATGAAAGACTTGGGCCCAGTCGAGCAGTTCCTTTGGCATGAGAGTTAAGCAGTCACCTTACCATATTACTGTGGATGTTTCACGTTATATTTTTGACATGTTGGAGGAGTTTGGTATGCAGAATTGTTCAAGTGTCAAGACTCCTTTACCCACTCGTGATCTTTCTGATTTTTCCGAGTCTGACTCTGCTACCGATGCCTCCATGTATCGCAGTATTATTGGTAAGCTGATTTATGCTGCTAATTGTGCTCGTCCTGATCTTGCTGTTGCTGTTAGCTTTCTTTGTCGATATATGCAGAATCCTAAGTCTATTCATATGGAAGCTGCTAAGCATACTCTTCGTTATCTTAAGGGTACTGCTGAACTTGGTCTTGAATATCGAGCTCAGAAAGTCTACAAGCTTGTTGGCTATAGTGATGCCGACTATGCACAGGACAAGCAGGACCGTAAGTCCTTTACTGGGTATGTTTTATTCTGTCTGGTGGTCCCATTACTTGGGCTTGCCGAAAGCAAGTTAGTCCTGCATCGTCCAGCGTCGAGTCTGAGTACATGTCATTGTCTGATGCGTCTAAGGAATGCTTCTGGATTAATCAGTTGTTGTCCCTTTGCAAGATTCCTGTTCCGTTGCCAGTGACTATGTTTGAGGACAATCAGGGATGTATTGCATTGGCTCAGAACCCAGTGTTTCATCGTCGCACCAAGCATATTGATGTTCGTTATCATGTTGTGCGTCACTATATTCGCAGTGGAGTGATTCATCTGGAGTATCTTGATACTCAAGTGATGTTGGCAGATATGTTTACTAAGAATCTTGGTCGTGTGAAGTTTGAGACATTAAGGGGACTACTTGGTATGAAGGCAGTAGGTGATTCTGCGACAAGGGGAGGTGTTGAGCATGCAATGTTGTCGCAGACTAGTGCAGTTGATAATGCACGTGAGTTTGGGTGGGAAACTATGGTTGATAACTTTTGAGATGGGGGAGGACTAGCTTTGAAGTTTGAGTTTCTAATGTAAGCTGTCAAGTCTGCTAAGACTTTTAATTCAGCTTCACATCCTTCGGAACAAACTGGTATGTTGGCAATGGTTAATTGTCTAACGGTAAATCCAGAACGGTCAGCGAGATCAATTTGACGATGAACAGGGAGATCGGCGAATGTCTCATAAGAGCTGGCGTTGTTCTTTGAATGGGTCTCAGATGTTGAGTGGGCAACAGAACTTCCAGTGCTGGCTGACTCGAAGGATGAGGGTCCTTCATTGACTCCTGTAGTGTTTCCGTGATTAGACATAGCGGAGAAGACTAAAAGCAAGAGTTAATAAGTAAATACGATTGATAAGCTGAAAGCTGAAAGAGTATTTAATAAAAACAGTTTTGCGTAAATTTAGAGTATATATAAGAATTATATAAAATGATAAAAATAATAAAATAATAAAATAATAAAATAATAAAATAATAAAATAATAAAATAATAAAATAATAAAAGTTCGCTATCATACCTAAAAGCAAGAGTTAATAAGTAAATACGATTGATAAGCTGAAAGCTGAAAGAGTATTTAATAAAAACAGTTTTGCGTAAATTTAGAGTAGCGAGAAAAAGAAGAGAAAGAAAACAAGAAAGGTTTCTGTAATGAAGAAAATTTAAAAGAGCATCTTGAAAAATTTTCTTTAGCAATAGGGAGTCTTGATTGTAACAATTTATTGTAACTCCAATGGTAATGGGCTAGTAGTTGCTAGTGAATAATGTAACAATGTAAAGAGTGTAATTGGGGAAAAAAAAATATTATGGGATAATGTTGAAATACACGATAGTACCATGATATATATTCCAACAGCCCCCCTGCAACAATAGCCCGTTATCAAGATTCAATCTCTTGATCTTTGCGTCGTCGAGTCTTCGAAAATGACTGCGGCGTAACGATGGAGGTATTATTTGAGGAGACGAGCACTGCATCAAGTCCATTTCCCCCCTCAACTTGAGGACGGGTACTCATACCCAGAAGATTCCTCAAATATAAAAACTGCGGCTTAGCCAGAGCTTTGGTAAAAATGTCTGCCACATTATCTGCTGAAGCAACAGCTTCAAGACGGGTATCGCCGGCTTTGACATGGTCTCTGGTGCGCATGTACTTGGTATCAATATGTTTAGTCCGCTCGTGATGTTTGCTGTCCTTCATGAGATCCAGGACACCTTTGTTGTCCTCCATGATGACAGTCGTTGGTTGAGATTCACCAAGTTCTTCCAAAAGATCTCGGAAGTAAACTGCCTCACACGTGGCAGAGAAAGCAGCAATCAGCTCAGCCTCAGTTGTGGAAGTTGCTGTCAACTTCTGTTTGGCCGACTTCCAAGAGAAGGTTGAAGGACCGTGAGAGAATGCAAAGCCTGAGATAGACTTCCTGTCGGGATCGTTTGCCCAATCGGCATCTGACCAGCCTCTCAGAAGCCGCGGAGAGGCCCCTGGTACATTTTTGTGATAGACAATTGCCAGGTCCTTGGTGCCTTTGAGGTAGCTCAGAACATGATATGCTCTATCCATATGAATAGCTCTAGGGTCACTCGCATACTGAGCAAGCTTGCCTGTAGCGTAGGCAATGTCCGGACGGGCCGTCTGTGCAGCAAACTGTAGCTTGCCAAGAATGCTGCGATACAGCGATTGGTTAGCTGGACGAGCATCGAGGCCCTGTGGGAAATCAAGGCCATGTTTCTTGGGCAACGGTATCGACTTAGCTGTTTGATCACCCAATTTGAAAACCTCAATCATGTCAGCAATATAGTGTTCCAGATCCAGAGATATCGTCCTGTCGGAGTCTTGGACTCTGATTCCCAAGAATTTGTTAACACCACCTTCATCTTTGATGGCAAAGTAACCAGATAGGTTCCTGAAAAACCGCTCGAATTCTCCCGGTACGTTTGACGCCGTTAAGATGTCGTCAACATAAAGACCTATAATACTGAAGTCTTTGCCATTAATCTTGTAAAGAGACAGGGTTCTTTCTTGGCAGCTTTGTAACCTAGAGCTTCCAACTTGTCAACAAGCTTCTTGTTCCAACACAGAGGGGCTTGCTTCAGTCCATATAAGCTTTATTCAGCTTCCAGACCATGCCAGGAGGGGTATTATGGTCAATTCCTGTTGGTGGCTTGACATAGATGTCTTCTTCTAGATCTCCATTCAAGAAAGCATTTTTAACATCGACGTGGTGCATTTCTCAGTTCTTCGCCGCACTCAGGGCGAAAATGAGACGAACAGTGCTGAATCTCATTACCGGTGCAAAGGTGTCAACATAGTCAACACCAAACTTTTGACGAAACCCCCCTGAACAACAAGACGAGCCTTGTACTTGTCAATTGAACCATCCGTGTTGAGTTTCTTCTTCAGCACCCATTTGGTGCCAAGTGCTTTGCGACCCGCCGGGAGGGGCACAACTTGGTATACATGATTGCCATCAATGGCAGCAAATTCCGAATAGGCCGCATCGAACCAGAAGCGCTTATCTTCTCTGTTGTTGGCTTCCGCAAGTGACCGTGGGTCCCTTTTTAGCTTCTTGCCAGGGTCGAGCAGCGCCACTCCCACATTCGGAAATCGAATGAAGGCAGGACGGTCCTTAAGATCTGCCCAATCTCTGTCGCTGATAAGAGCTCTAACATTCTCCACATCAGGAGCCGTAAAGCAGAGACCTGGTTTGCTAGATTCTAACACTTTGATGTCATTCCTCAAAATTGGAAGCTTAATGTTAATAGCGCTGAGTGTGTCAAGTCTTCCAGACGCCATGCGGGCTTTCACAGTTGGTTCTTCAGAGTTCGAGTAGATGCAGCCAATGCCAATGACATCGTCGACAGCCCCGGCAGACGGATCTCCTGATGGGCTTGCCGATTCATCAACAAAAATAATTTCATCATCAGCAGGCGAAGAAACAAAAGTTTCATGTAAGAAGTCAATGCCGTCAGCTAAGTGTTCTGATGAGCCCTGAGAGTCAGAATTGTAGGGTGCTGCAATTGAGATTTCATCGCTTGTAGCCTCAACATCAGCTTCGGTTGTGGAGGCGGGAGAGTGGGACTGCGAGTCAGTGCTAACGACTGAGTCCTCATCTACTGATGCTGACGTAGCAGGGACATTGTGTGTTGCCGAGTGAGTGTGAGAAAGAAAGGGAACCGCATCGGGAGTGGGGTTGAATCTAAGATTCGGTGTACCCTGGAGGTGGCCGTGTGGGGCTCTCAGTGTTGAACCCTCACGAGCTGGCAGACCATGCAGCAGTGACCTAGATTCCGAGTCCAAAGCTGACTCAGAGTTCGAGAGTTTCAGTTTGTCACTGTGCCGGTCGGAAGAGCGAGAGCCCCAAAGTAAGCCCGATGCTGTAGTGGTTGGGCTTGTAGAGCGATTTCTTTTCGCAGATTTCTCAAAGCTCCTAAGTCGATTCTTGAGATGGCCTCAGCTGCACTGCGTAAGATATTGCGTTGTGCTATCGACAGCATGCGATTCGATGACGAGGGAGGAGTGGTTTGGTGATCACGACGAGAAGAAGAACTTTCTAATGTGGGAGACGTCACAGCAGAGGAGGTTGGTGATGTAACCACTGGCTCTGAATGTGCAGATGATTCCGAGGACAAAGAAGCAGAGGTAGAGGGTGTTGTGGGAGAACCATTTGAGGCTTCATTTTCCAATCTTGGTGAGGAGTTTGAAGTCGAATTTTCTGAGACTACTTTCTGTGATAAATTAGTAGCCGAAGAAAAATTTTTAGATTTCGTGGTGGTGGAGAAAATTTTATTTTGCAAAGCCGCGCCACTTACTAGTGGAAGGTTATCAGTAGGCCGGGTAATTAGATTTGTGCGATTTAGAATTAATGAAGAATTTTCTTTTCGCGCCAGCCGCTGAAGTGCACTGTTAGGAACATAATAGCCATTTTGCTCAATCAAATCAGCTAATCTTTTGTTAACAACAACTGTGTCCCGAGAGGCTTCTCGATGACGGTGTCTGGACGACGGAGCAGGCACTCTCGCAGCACCCGCAGCACCCGCAGCACCCGCAGTACCCGCAGCAGACCTAGTAATTCTTCCAGTATTAGCAAGAGGCTGTTGGGCTTCTGCCGGAGCTGAGTGTTGGCTTGTTTGTCGAACAACTACTTGCCCAGCAGTTTGCGAATCATGTTCAGAAGAAGACGGAGGAGGAGCTGCCAACAACAACCGTCTCGAGGGTGGAGCCGGAAGTGGCATATGTCGATTTTGTTGCACGGAGCTGTGCCGCACGTCGCTTGTATTGTCCCCAAAGCTTGTAGCATCCCCTGCTCGCCCATACTCTAGCAGGAGCCTCTGAGTAGATGGTGCAGGCGGTAAGCGTGGGCGATCAATCTCAGCAGTGTCTCTCAGTTCACTGCCACTTCCAGATGCAGCAGTAGTAACAGTATCAGAACCACCAGCTCCCAGCAACAGCCTCTCAGAGGAGGGCGCTGGGGGTAGCTCCGGTAGCTCCTGCCGTATACCTGAGGAGCCAGCCACTTGGCTCCGCCTACCGGCATGTAAACGACGATTTTCTGGCTGACCAGCACGTTCCAGCGCAGATTTTAATCTCGCTAAATTTAGATGCCTCTTCCTACTACCGCCCGCCTCAGCCATTCTGGCAGACCGATTTGCAGACGTCGTAGTTTCTACTAGCTCGGTGGTGGCCCGTACAAGTTCCGCCGCCGCCAAAACCAGTTGATTGCTGGCAGGATTATTTGTGCTTGTAGCAGTACCTTGAGTGTCACCTAAACCTTGCGGCACCCCGACATCTCTCGCAGGAGCTTCCTCCAACTTAGTAGAGGAATCCATGACAACGTCGCTAGACGAAAATTCAGAATCTGATGAGTCTTCCAATTCGTCGAAACCCAGTATATGTTCCACAGACCCATCCATGTCTTCATCATTGGTTTCTGAGTCAACCGCATCCTGATTGTCATCACCAGATTGGCTAGCGGTTTCAACAGCTGAAGCCTCGCGGGTAAGTTCAGCAGTTCCAGACAGCGCAAGATCCACACTGTCATCCTCATCCAAAATGTGTAGTTGTTTGGGAAGAGTCACCGGACTTGTTTGATGAGCCACCACTGAGGGCGACTGAGTTCCTGGAGCAAAGGCTTTCTGGAGCTTTACCATATGTTCAGAAAATGAATTTTCGTGAGAAAAATCTTCGTTAGTATCTTCGGAACCAGGGCGACCAGCTACGTTGGAGTTCACCGATCTCAAATCAGCATCATCAACAGCAGAATCTTCGAGCAATATATGGTCCTCAGACTGAAGTGTATCTTTGTCGTCACCAACACTAATTGATTCATCTGCAACCAGCTCCACATCATCATCTTCCAACGGTTGAAAAGAGTTTTCAGTTATAGGTGTCGGTGGTGTAGAAGTAGAATCCTGGTCCTCCAATCTGCTGGATCTGTGGCTCCTTCCCTCAGAGCCCACATAAGTCCAGCCAAAGTTTGTTGGAATATATATCATGGTACTATCGTGTATTTCAACATTATCCCATAATATTTTTTTTTCCCCAATTACACTCTTTACATTGTTACATTATTCACTAGCAACTACTAGCCCATTACCATTGGAGTTACAATAAATTGTTACAATCAAGACTCCCTATTGCTAAAGAAAATTTTTCAAGATGCTCTTTTAAATTTTCTTCATTACAGAAACCTTTCTTGTTTTCTTTCTCTTCTTTTTCTCGCTACTCTAAATTTACGCAAAACTGTTTTTATTAAATACTCTTTCAGCTTTCAGCTTATCAATCGTATTTACTTATTAACTCTTGCTTTTAGGTATGATAGCGAACTTTTATTATTTTATTATTTTATTATTTTATTATTTTATTATTTTATTATTTTATTATTTTATTATTTTTATCATTTTATATAATTCTTATATATACTCTAAATTTACGCAAAACTGTTTTTATTAAATACTCTTTCAGCTTTCAGCTTATCAATCGTATTTACTTATTAACTCTTGCTTTTAGTCTTCTCCGCTATGTCTAATCACGGAAACACTACAGGAGTCAATGAAGGACCCTCATCCTTCGAGTCAGCCAGCACTGGAAGTTCTGTTGCCCACTCAACATCTGAGACCCATTCAAAGAACAACGCCAGCTCTTATGAGACATTCGCCGATCTCCCTGTTCATCGTCAAATTGATCTCGCTGACCGTTCTGGATTTACCGTTAGACAATTAACCATTGCCAACATACCAGTTTGTTCCGAAGGATGTGAAGCTGAATTAAAAGTCTTAGCAGACTTGACAGCTTACATTAGAAACTCAAACTTCAAAGCTAGTCCTCCCCCATCTCAAAAAAGTTACCACCACCACCACCACCAGAGAGTGAAGTGGGAGAGTAGTCGTCAGAGTCAGATTCATCTTCACTTTCTGATTCATCAGTGGAAGAGTCACTGTAGTCAGGGTCACGATTTCCAACCTCACTGTAGTCAATGAGAATGTCACCCTCGTAAATTGGCTTTTCGCCAAAAAATTTAACGCCAGGCAAGACATGGTCACGAAAGTTGCCGTGTACACAGCGCCGAATGCGCTTGTTCCTCGTAATGCATAGAAAATTCTTAGGATTTAACGGGTCGGGACCCAAATACAGAGCAGGCTCGCCCCGAGGCTGAAGGGTCCCTTTGAGTTTCTGAGACTCAGATTTAATGACAAAAACTAGGCAGCCAAATGTGTGCACTAGTGCTATAGGTGGTTTTCTGCCCGTAAAGGCTTCATAAGGTGAGATACCGGCTTTATTAACTATGGAGAAATTATATACCTGCACAGCGTAGAGCCAGGCAGAGTCCCAGTAGATATTGGCCCAGAGTGTCGACTGCATCAAGGCTCTAGTAGATATCTCACGCAGTGTGCGGTGGGCACGCCTAATTTTCCCATTTTGTTGGTGTTCATCAGGAGCAGTTAAAATATGAATGACGCCCCAGTCTGCTAAAAATTTTCCAAGTGTCCCAGAGATAAATTCACCACCATTGTCAGTAATAAGCTTGGTGGCCTTGCCGTCAACAGCACGGCGAGCAGCTTTGGGCACAAACTGCTTAAAGAACTGGATAAGTTTCCCAGGAGCTTCATCCTTAGATTCCAGAGCAAAAGCATAGATGTAACCAGAAAATGCATCAATGATATTCAGCATGTACCTGGCCCCTGAAGAGGCAGGACCTATGGGACCGACGAGATCAGCATGAATCTGGGCTAACGGAGCCGTGGATTCAGAAGCTATATGCTTATCCGGAGAAGTGAACCTCTTAATGCTTCTTGACGTGCCACATATGACACAGTCCTTGATCAATTCTTCGTCACGCTTGGTCACCTCAAAGGGAGGGATCAGCAAGCTTGGCTAAATGTTTCACCGAAGTCAAAGAGCAATGAGCAAAACGAACATGACAGTCAAGTGCCTGCGAATTCAACACGGCCTCCTTTGCAATAAATTTGAGAGACTGTGAAAGGACAGGTAGTCCCTTTTCCAACCGCGAAGGCTGATTTATCAACCTTCCTCATAGCTTCTGGTCCTTGTCTGCAAATCTGATCCCAGTCAATTGAATTTCCTGAGAACTTGAAAGATCCAGTTGGAGGTACGATATTCCTAGTAAACTTTACCGGAACAATGTTGGCACAAATGTGAGACTTGGCATCTCTGGCACCGCCAACCCTACCAACCTTTTCCTCACCAAAATAGGCCAGACAATCCCCACTTGGGACCGTATGAAAAGAAACATCGTTCGTGCGCCAGACAGAATCAGAAAACAAATTGCTAGACCCAGCAGGAAAATAAAGTGCGTCAGCAATATGGCAAATATTGGTGCCACCGTCACCTTTTAATACAACAGCAATTTTACCTTCCCCTTCTAACACGATGTCGGAACCACCATAGGAGCTGATAGTTTTGGGGCTGCTGTATTTCTCATACGACACAAAGTAGCTGTTGTCTGAGATAAGGTGACCAGTAGCATTTCCAGAATCGAGAACATTTGGAAGATTTGTTTCACCCACAGAGGCGATTTGGTTGGCAGGTGGAAGAAAAGCAACTGGCGAATAATCACTGCTTCCGCCGTCATTATCAAATATGTCTTGGATAGCCCGAGCAACAGAGCAAAGAGTTTCAACATCGTCGCGAGCCACCTCAAGGTATTCGGTAGCTTTCAAGGCAGCAACTCTGTTTTGACCATCAGAGTTCGACTTTCTAGCTTGCTTGTCTTCATTGTTGCGCCTCTTGTTGCCACCGGACCCCTTGGACCACTGCTTCCCTTTCCATGCTTGGTATCAGAGTGGCCAGCTTTCTTCGAAGATTCCTGCTTGGATTCCTGCTTGGGTTCTTGCTTGGGTTCCTGCTTTGGCACCACTTTTGTCGAACCGTCAATAATTCTTCGACCTTTTACGAAGGCTGCAGAAGTTGCTTCAACTAGCGCTGGGATTTCAACTGAATCACAGGGGCTCCATCCTCCAGATCTTGACTTGAAAATGTCGACAAACTTGGTAATCCCCCAGAGATGACTCTGAGGATCTTCGCGAGCAGCTGCTGAAACCTTGTTGTTATTCAGCACTGCTAATATAAGGTCACGGTGAAAGGTGCCATCCGGGTTGTTAAAGAAATATTGCTCCACTACAGAGGCCCACTTGGAAGCTTCAGTAACAGTAGCTTGTATTTTGGTTTCAATTTCACTGCTGGTAAGCCCGGCGAAATAACTAGGACCTGGAACTCCTACTGAGATAGCTTGCGTCATCGCAAATACAATGTTAAGCTCAGGGCTTGGGGATATGCGCAAACCAATATGATTAAGACGTTGGTAAAATGAGAGCACTCGCCCCAGGTCAGCGGGCTCTAGAATTTCAGGATCTATACGAGCCATTCTTTTTCCAGGTTCAAATAGGACCCCCATGGCTTCTTCCCGCACAGACGCCGAATCCATAGGTGGAGTTTTTAGAAACTCGGGCGACGTGTCCCACCGGGCCTGTTCAGCTGCAGCCAGGTTAGCTGCAGGCGTGGTTTTTAAAATGTAAACCTTGAGTAGTTCATCAAGGGCCCTCTCAAACCTGATACCGTAACCAAGCTGAAGGGCAGTATGGCCAACAATTGGCTTATAGATATAGTTGTTCCAAAAACTCCGGCCGCAGCTGTTAATTTGCCCAATAAGACCGTATATCCAAAAATCCAATTCACTTTTGTAGAGAAATTGTTTGAAATTTGGCGCTTGAGGAGCGTCAAAGGAGCTCATAACCTTTTGAGATGGGGGAGGACTAGCTTTGAAGTTTGAGTTTCTAATGTAAGCTGTCAAGTCTGCTAAGACTTTTAATTCAGCTTCACATCCTTCGGAACAAACTGGCACGTTGGCAATGGTTAATTGTCTAACGGTAAATCCAGAACGGTCAGCGAGATCAATTTGACGATGAACAGGGAGATCGGCGAATGTCTCATAAGAGCTGGCGTTGTTCTTTGAATGGGTCTCAGATGTTGAGTGGGCAACAGAACTTCCAGTGCTGGCTGACTCGAAGGATGAGGGTCCTTCATTGACTCCTGTAGTGTTTCCGTGATTAGACATAGCGGAGAAGACTAAAAGCAAGAGTTAATAAGTAAATACGATTGATAAGCTGAAAGCTGAAAGAGTATTTAATAAAAACAGTTTTGCGTAAATTTAGAGTATATATAAGAATTATATAAAATGATAAAAATAATAAAATAATAAAATAATAAAATAATAAAATAATAAAATAATAAAAGTTCGCTATCATACCTAAAAGCAAGAGTTAATAAGTAAATACGATTGATAAGCTGAAAGCTGAAAGAGTATTTAATAAAAACAGTTTTGCGTAAATTTAGAGTAGCGAGAAAAAGAAGAGAAAGAAAACAAGAAAGGTTTCTGTAATGAAGAAAATTTAAAAGAGCATCTTGAAAAATTTTCTTTAGCAATAGGGAGTCTTGATTGTAACAATTTATTGTAACTCCAATGGTAATGGGCTAGTAGTTGCTAGTGAATAATGTAACAATGTAAAGAGTGTAATTGGGGAAAAAAAAATATTATGGGATAATGTTGAAATACACGATAGTACCATGATATATATTCCAACAATAACCTATGTTTATTTTAAGTTACAGCCACATTAGGTTTAAGCCCTTATGTGACTGTGGTTACCCTCCTTAATTTGTTACAAAGTTGAAGTGTAATACAAACCCACTGAAGTTTGGGACAAACCCAAATGAAAAATTTTCACCACTGCAAATTTTTTTTCCCTTGGATATTTAAGGAAGGTTTCTTCCCCAACTTTTATAATTTTTCTTTTCCTTTTTCTTTCTTCTTATATAACTGTTTTATCTTATATATTTCAATATATACTTTTCTAGGATAATATTTTCTATTATTATCATGACTTCCCGTGTCACAGTTCAACACTGAATGACTTAAATCCAAGATTGAAGAAGGATGCCAGACGACAATTAAAATCAAGGAAAACAACATGATGGTAACAAAAGATAAGTAAAAGAATGGAGAAAAACGGGATTTTGGTGTAACAATAGGTTTAACAATAGGCGGAGAAGGTTCAGTAATTGAATCCACCAAAAAATCAAAAGAAGGTAAGACAATATCATCATCAGAACCGACCAACGGTTTAGAATCAGAACAAGAAATAAAAGAAGAACCGACCAACGGTTCAGAATCAAAAGGAACAATATCCGAATCGACCAACGATTCAGAATCAAAACAAATAGGAGCTGAACTGACACACGGTTCAGACTCCAAACAAACAACAGTAGAACCGATATACGGTTCAGAAATAAAACAAGAATCATCAGTGGAACCAACAAACGGTTTACCAACTGAATCAATATCAAGTCCTGAGTTTGAACAATACTCAGAAACTTGACCAACAAAACAATCTTCATCGCCGACACACGGCTCAGAAGAATCAAAAAGTTCGGATTCCAAATCATCAAACGACTCGGAGCAACTGTTACCAAACTTTTCAGAAACAACAGATGTCTCGGACACAAAAGCGGAACTCACAAATGGATCATCATCAACTATCTCAGAAAATTCATCAATATGTTGAACTGTGACACGGGAAGTCATGATAATAATAGAAAATATTATCCAAGAAAAGTATATATTGAAATATATAAGATAAAACAGTTATATAAGAAGAAAGAAAAAGGAAAAGAAAAATTATAAAAGTTGGGGAAGAAACCTTCCTTATATACCCAAGGGAAAGAAAAATTTGCAGTGGTGAAAATTTTTCATTTGGGTTTGTCCCAAACTTCAGTGGGTTTGTATTACACTTCAACTTTGTAACAAATTAAGGAGGGTAACCACAGTCACATAAGGGCTTAAACCTAATGCGGCTAAAACTAAAATAAACATAGATTGTCAACCATAGTTTCCCACCCAAACTCACGTGCATTATCAACTGCACTAGTCTGCGACAACATTGCATGCTCAACATTTTTAACATCGACGTGGTGCATCTCGCAGTTCTTCGCCGCACTTAGGGCGAAAATGAGACGAACAGTGCTGAATCTCATCACTGGCGCAAAGGTGTCAACATAGTCAACACCAAACTTCTGACGAAACCCCTGAACAACAAGACGAGCCTTGTACTTGTCAATTGAATCATCCGTGTTGAGTTTCTTCTTCAGCACCCATTTGGTGCCAAGGGCTTTGCGACCCGCCGGGAGGGGCACAACTTGGTAGACATGATTTCCATCAATGGCAGCAAATTCCGAATAGGCCGCATCAAACCAGAAGCGCTTATCTTCTCTGTTGTTGGCTTCCGCAAGTGACCGTGGGTCCCTTTTTAGCTTCTTGCCAGGGTCGAGCAGCGCCACTCCCACATTCGGAAATCGAATGAAGGCAGGGCGATCCTTAAGATCGGCCCAATCTCTGTCGCTGATAAGAGCTCTAACATTCTCCACATCAGGAGCCGTAAAGCAGAGACCTGGTTTGCTAGATTCTAACACTTTGATGTCATTCCTCAAAATTGGAAGCTTAATGTTAATAGCGTTGAGTGTGTCAAGTCTTCCAGACGCCATGCGGGCTTTCACAGTTGGTTCTTCAGAGTTCGAGTAGATGCAGCCAATGCCAATGACATCGTCGGCAGCCCCGGCAGACGGATCTCCTGATGGGCTTGCCGATTCATCAACAAAAATAATTTCATCATCAGCAGGCGAAGAAACAAAAGTTTCATGTAAGAAATCAATGCCGTCAGCTAAGTGTTCTGATGAGCCCTGGGAGTCAGAATTGTAGGGTGCTGCGGTTAAGATTTCATCGCTTGTAGCCTCAACTTCAATTTCGGGTGTGGAGGCGGGAGAGTGGGACGGCGAGTCAGTGCTAACGACTGAGTCTTCATCCACTGATGTTGAAGTAGTAGGGACATTGTGTGTTGCCGAGTGAGTGTGAGAAAGAAAGGGAACTGCATCGGGAGTGGGGTTGAATCTAAGATCCGGTGTACCCTGGAGGTGGCCGTGTGGGGCTCTCAGTGTTGAACGCTCACGAGGTGGCAAGCCATGTAGCAGTGACCTAGGTTCCGAGTCCAAAGCTGACTCAGCACCTTTGGGATTTTTCACTAACAAAAAGTGACTCCCACCACACAAAATGAAATTTTTACTCTGGAGCTTTTGGAGTCCTGGTTATATAACCCAACCCACCTGGTTAAATAAGCACATTATTTATTTTCATCTGGTGAAATAAACATTTGACGTAGTTAAATAAGCATCTTTTTTTTATTATTTTTTAATATTTTTTATTAAAAATCAACAAAAATATTTATTTTTTCCCACACAAATGAATTTTGGTTTTTTATTTTTCTATTTTTTTTATTTAAATTTATTTTTTTATTAAAATTTATTTAAAATAAATTTATTTATTTATTTATTTTTTGTTTTTCCCAACACAAAAACAATTATTTCCCAGCACACTGACATTTATTTTTCTTTTCTAAAAATTTAAAATTCATACATAAAAAGCTATGTCTTTATCACAACAGAACCCCTGTTCTTAATATATTTTTGAAGATAATCCAACTCTTTTTTGTTAATATTTTTATGCTCATCAAGTAACAAAAGTTGACAATTTTTTGATCCCACCTTAAACTCGAGAAACACATTTGGGTCCAGAATAAAAAACCTGTTTGTTTTTTTGATTTTGACACCCGAAAATTGTACTGCGGTATTATAAAAACTGGATTGGCGATGCGATTTAAGGGCACCACAATTCTTTCACCATGCTTATACTCATTTTCCCAGTAGAACCCGAGTTTTATTTCATTACTAAAACAGATATGCTTGAAATCGTCATGCAAATCGATGCTTCTTAAAGACTCATCCGGAATTTTTTCAATGATTGCAAACCTGTCCCAAGCCTCTCCTGTTCCTTTGCCAACAGAGAAACAGTCAAGGAGATTTGCATAATAACTTGGACTTTTAGCACCAGATGAATTTTTTGATTGAATAACTCGGACGAATGTGTTCAGTTCTTTGGTGTTGCGTAACTTAGAGTTGCTTGCAATTGCTGTATATTTTGATGTGTTCCAATGAATTTTACTATACCGCTGATAATAGTACATGTCCGAATTTAATGTATTATCCACAAATTTCCCCGTGTTTTTTTCAAATAGAAGATTCATACCGTAGCTTGTAGGGCTTTTAGATGAAGCTGTGTTCTTATTGTTCCTATATTTCGGATAATTCTTAACTAAGCTTTTTTTAGAAGCTCAAGTAATTCTAGTTCCTCATCAGTTGTACACTCACCGTTTTGGCTTGATAATTTCATAGCAGGCTGTAATATTTCTGGTGTTGCTTGGCCTATAAAAATCAGGTTTATGACGTAGAACTTTAGTTGGTAATTGCAGAGTGTTATTATCGGATATCTACTATTTTGCTGTGATTCCTTAATTGATTTGACCATTCGCTCGGTAGCATAAGAGCTAAAGGTTTTAAGTGAACCAACTTTTTTCAAGTAGCCAGGAGTATGAAGCATGGTATGCAATGGCAGTGTACCAATAAATCCATTTTTATTATATCCCAAAGTCACTAGTAGCTCAAAATTTTGGATAACAATTTCCCAAGATTCTTGAACAAGATCCAAGTTAAGATCCTCATTGATATAGCTAGAGTTGTTTATCATCATTAAAGCAGCCATTTGGGAATAAAGATATAGTAAATGCTCTTGTTTTTCTGTTAAGCTGGGAATAAACTCTGGAAGTAAGTACAGTGACTTCAATAGAGCTTCACCCTGAGCAGCAGATTTAAGCCAATATGTTAGAGTAGCAGTTTTTTTTTCTGGTTTAAAGATGTTGTCTCTGAAAGCCTGTGGTGTGTGCTCATCCAGCAAACCAAGAAACTCAAAATAAGCATTCATCTGTTCTTCATTAAAAAGAAACTCTCTTATTTCAATCTTTTCTCCTGTTTTGTTTTTTTGGTTTCCTTCACAAGATGGATCTAAAATAATTGACAGTAAAAGCTTTAAAATATTAATTGCCTGGGCATGCATAACGTCTGGGGGAAACGAATAAGGTAGAGAAAAGTAAGGGAGGTCAAAAAGAGGTGATTTTAATTTAAATCCAATATGAGTTGATTTTTTCATTTGGTTATTAGGATCCTGAAGATCATATATCTCTTGCTGACTCGCCATCAAAGTGTCGGGTACTCTTCCAGTTTTTTTATTAAAATATGGTAAAACTTCAGACTCATAATAGCTATTAGTTAAATCCATTTTTTTTCTTTGATCATAAAAACCTTTTTTTTTTTTTTTGGTTATCAATTCCGAAATGCTAAGATCATCAAAATCATCGGAACAGTGAATGAAGCTCAGCAAACTTCTAGTAAACTTTCCTTCTTTATAAAATAATGGTGACTTGAAGATATTACAGCGGACACAACAACGCAAGTTAGCAGCATACCTTCCACCTAGCAACTCAGAAACAGCAGCCATGTCTCCAATTGTATAAAGCCAATGAACTCGCACTGTAATTTCCTCCTTGTTAAAAGCGTCGTAAACTTTAAAGCCAAATTTAGACAATGAAGTAAATTCATCAACAAGAGGCTGAAAAACACCACATGCCGTTACATCGAACTCATCCTCGTTAACATTTTCGTCTCCATCTTCAGTATTGAAAAATTCCCCAGGATTAAAATTGTCGTCAGAATATTCGGAGTTGTTTTGTTTCTTTATCGGTTTGTTTGATGGTGCATGAGATCTTACTTTAGGATAAATGTAAATTGGATGTACATTTTCTTTTGATTTCATTTCTAGAGAATTCTCTGCAAGATTAAACCCTCCAGTTGCATTGTATCCCAAATGAGTCGACGCTGAGACTGAAATTGCGTCCATGACAATAACGAATGGGATGTCAATAACCTTCTTCTTTTTCCTAGAGTTTTCCAAATCAAACAGACCATCATTCAGCATATATTGTAAATGTTCTGGTGTTCTGTCTATCTTCTGGGCTCGTAAATTTTCAATATATCGATTAACATTAAGCCATTCCACCTCTGCAATTTTTTTATTATTAAATTTTTCACGGTAAAGCTCTCTGATTGATAATAATATTGCCTGAACGTTAGGATTGTAGGGCGTTTTGCAAGCAGCACAAGTAGAGATCTTATTTTGGGAGGTTTGAACAATACATGTGCATCCTTGAGAACAAGTTTGAAATCTGGCAACTCCTGTGCCAAAATAATTTGGACCACTGCCATTGTATTGGCCATTATTTTCGACAGTTTGACAAATTTTTTGAAATTTATTTTCTAGCATGGTGATATCTTTTTCCGTGTAGTCCATCAACTTGGCTATTGTATTAATGTCACTGATAGAATGACCTTGTTTCAAGCCATGATGGAGAAGTTTAGCGTAGAATTTGGATGTTGAAGTTGTTCTTTTTTGAGCACTTTCCTCTTTTATTTTTGTTTTCCCTTCTTTATTTGATCTTCCAAAATTACGAGTCGAAAAATCATTGTTTTTTTCTTCATTGATCAACGGCAAATCTAAATTGCATATTTCTTTAAATTTGGAACATAAGTTATGAAGGCCCTGTCTTTTGCTATTATCAACAGGGGTATTCAATTCATTATTAGACTCCTTCAAATCTCCTTCATCTAATTTTGGTCGTTTGACCGATTGAATGATGTCATCTCCTTCAAAGCCATTATGTCTATTAGGCTTTGTCTGAGAAAAAAGGCCATCCCTATAAAAATCAACTACAGTTTTAATTGGATTTTTAGGCCCTTGTAAAACTTCATTTAATTCGATATGTTTTTCTTTCGGAATCCCTTGCTTTACCAATGATTTTAGAGCTTTTTCATTGTTTTTTAAAATAAAATTAAACTCGTCTGAAGGAACCACCCTAGAAGGTTGGCAACTCGGTATGAAAGTAGCTTTTTTGTCCTTAGAAATTCTCCAATTATACTTTAATTAAAAGTTAGAAACTATATAAACTCAAAAAAAAACACATATATATATTATTCCACTCATAAGTGGAATAATAGTGGTAATTACCATTGTTGTGTGTAAATTTTTATGTTTATATTTATATTATTTATATTTTTTTTTTGTTTTTGTTTATATTTTTTTTTTGTTTATATTTTTTTTTGTTTTTGTTTATTAAAAATATAAACAAAAACAATCTTTTTTTTCATTATTATTAAAAGTAATTTATTTAATTATTTAATTATTTAATTATATATTTATAATATAAACAAATTTGTTTATTTTATTTAAATAAAATCAAGCTTTACATTTAAGAATATATATATATATTTTTTTTTTTTTATTTTTTTTTTTTTTTTTTTTTTTTTTTTTTTTTTTTTTTTTTTTTTTTTATTTTTTTTTATTTTTTTTATTTTTTATTTTTTGAGCCAGCGGGTCTTCCTCTTTTTTTACCTCTTGTTGGGGTTTGTGGTGCCAATGAATTCGAAAGAATTCTCTGGGGTGAAGACTTTTTCGAGGAGCCATCCGTAGTCAGATAGGAGCTTAGTGTAACAGTAGCTTTCGTTTGTCCTTTGTAGATAGCTCTAAGTCGTTTGTTCTTTTGAAAATTTTCTGTTTTGTCATTTTCCGCAGCATCGGTTGTACTGTGATCACTATAATCCAAATTTGGTGCATCCTCCTGATCTAAAGCCGGCGTTGAATTTTCATATGTTGGCTGCTCTGAGTCCGTGTCCAAGCACTCAGGACTTTGTGGGATTTCATTGCTAGACTCTAGAGAATCATAATCTTGGCCGTTTCTTTTGCCAGTTTTTTCAGCTAAAACATCAGGTTTGGGTAATATTTCATCTTCTTCATCAAATGAATCATCGGAAATAATATATGAGGTTGATTCTTTTTTTTTTGGAGAAGGTTCATTTAATGTCTTCTGAAAATTTTCCTTGTCAAGACGAAGAGAAATCATCTCTAAAATCCGGCGGGAAAAAAAATGAAACTCAAAAAGTGACGAGCCCAAAGCTCCATTTAAACTTGTTTTCCGCCGAATTTTTCTTCCAGAATTAGAAATATCTGCTTCTGAAGATAGAGCTGATTGTGGATCATAGGCTAACGCTGCTTCAGTAATCACGGTAATTAGTTGGTAGGGACTCAAAATAATTTTGTCCTTATACAAAATGTAACGATCTTGATCAAGTGAAAAATCAAGATTTTTGGGCATTTCGTTTTTAATTGAAAAGTGCTTATGTATTTCAGCATTCATAAAATACGATTTAATCTCAGGAAAAAATAAAATAACCCCAAACTCTAAAAGACGTTGAAAATCCGCGTTATTTGTTCTATTGAGCAAGCCGACGGCTTTAATTCTCTGAGATGTCACTGTTGAAAAATGGAAATAGGATATGACATTCACCAATCCTTTCAAAAGAAAAATGGGAGTAGCACCCGCAATATTGTCAAGCTGAAGTAAATGAAGATAAAACTCATGAGGTAAAGGAAAACTCCCATTTCGATCTAAAGATTGTTTAAGCAGGCTACACTCAGAAGAATTTAAACATTGGAAGCTCTGGGAATAAATTAAGTCTGAGAATCCGTAGTCAACCAAGGAAACAAATTTGCACAAACGTTTGTAGCTAGCAAAGAGTTCAATAGAGTTGGAAAAGGTGGATGTCTCGATCAGTTCAGTTATTCCGGGGAAAATAGCACGTAATGATTTAGAACCAAGCTGTTTAATAGAGGATTTTAAGCGAGCATCTACCTCTAATGGATTCCCTAAAATTTTAGAATTCACATGCTTAAAAAGGGCATCAGATAACAGTCGAGAAACTAAAATAGACTGGACTGAATGGGAAAAAACCAAGCAAAAATTTGGACTGAATAAAACAGATCTGGGGACGAATGTGGAATACATCGCCATTTCATCGCTGGTGTCTGTGGAATAGACATTAGGAGTTGGTAAAGGTTGTAATGATGTAACATTGTTCAATTTTTGATAAGCATTTACGACTTGAATTGCGCGTCTGAACTGTACTAACACGTTGAAATGGAGAAGTAGGTTATGGGGAAAAACTTTCTTTATACTGTTATCAATAATTCCAAAAAGCGTCCAACACATATATAAACCAGAGAATTTCAAAGGATAGTAGGATGAGGCTTTGATCTGAATGTTTTGTATTTCTTGGGTAACAAGTGTATCGGTCCCATAAGTAATCTCAAACAAAGGCAAAATTCGGTTCAGCAAATTTTTGTATATTCCAAAATTCTTTTCCAATGCAAGTCTCAAAGAGATTTTATTTGTTTGGTTTGTTTTCGAAGTTGTGGAGCAGAAAAAAGAATAAACTGAAACCTCCAAACAGTTCCTCCAAGAGATATGTAAAAGCCCCAGTGATTGTAGTTGATAGGAGGTAAAAGAAGAAAGAAGTCAAGTTGTTTGTTGTTTTCATGTTCTTTAAAATTAAATTCAGCAAGTAAGCCAGAAAGGTTTTTGTAGACAAATTCAACACTTTGCTCCGCAATTAATCCATCAGTTATTTTTGGCTGACAAATTATGCAAAATTGGCCGTATTCTTTATCAAAAACTTCGGTCATTTGAATGAAATGGTTTGAGCTAAGACCACAGTTGTGAAAATAATTATCTAGCAAATATAAAACGTCCGAAGAATCAAAAATACAGTGAGAGTTAGTTGTATCAGGTAAGACAAGGTCTAAATGATGCAACTCAAGGTGATTGTTCTCAGTATATAACGTCTCTGAAATTTCAGAGACGTCACAAAGATATATTTCTTCCTTCATGGGAGCTCTTTAAAAAAGTTTTTGGATTATCAAATTTTTAATGTGTATTAAAATGAAGAAATATATGTTGAAAAAAAAATTACAATAAACAACTCGGTAAATGAGGTCATATATATTATAATAAACACGGAAACAATGTTTTTTTTTTTGATGATTTACGAATATTTAAAAAAATTAGCATACATTCCAGAGAAACCCCTTTAAAGACCAAATTTGGTCTTAATAACAATTGGGTTATGATAATATTATCATATATCATTAAGTAACCATAAGTTTATATGTTGAATGGTGTGTTACAGGGTAGATCTTTTAATAGTATTATTATTATAATTAAGATGAGTATATATATATTTATATATAAATAAAAATTAAATTGATTGTTAAAGTTGGAAATAATAGATGAAATAATATTTTAATCTCTAGCTTCTTATAACGAAATAGACATATTTAAACTATTTATCAAACATAACAATAAGATATTTCCATAAGAACAATGATTACTAATATAACAAAATTATGATAGAGCCAATTAGACTTAAAGTACATTTTTACCACAGTGCAGATTTCTTTCCTCAGCCAATAAGAATTCTCTTTAGATTAAATCTTTAAAAAAAATTATAAAAAAAGTTTCTCTTCACCTTCCTCTTTTCTTTCTACACATCACTTTTTTTTTTTAATACAATTTGCCTTATAAAATATGGAAATTTTAGAAGTTTAAAGTATTATATCTTTTTTTTTATTTTAGAAAAGGTCATGATATTAACAACTTACAATAGTTTTACGACTATGAAGATGGCTCGGTTCATTGCTATAAGCGATTTTAACGCGTTGATACTTAGAAGAACCATGATGATGCTCGCTTGACGATCAAGCTTGATGCGTTGATACTAAGAAGAAAAACAATGATGCTCGCTTGACGAGCGATTTTAACGCGTTAATACTTAGAAGAACCATGATGATGCTCGCTTGACGATCAAGCTTGATGCGTTGCTACTGAGAAGAACCATGATAATGCTCGCTTGACGATCAAGCTTGATGCATTGATGATACTGAGAAAAGAACGATGATGATGCTCGCTTGACGTTCAAGCTTGATGCGTTGCTACTGAGAAGAAGAACGATGATGATGCTCGCTTGACGATCAAGCTTGATGCATTGATGATACTGAGAAAAGAACGATGATGATGCTCGCTTGACGTTCAAGCTTGATGCGTTGATGATACTGAGAAGAAGAACGATGATGATGCTCGCTTGACGTTCAAGCTTGATGCGTTGCTACTAAGAAGAAGAACAATGATGCTCGCTTGACGATCAAGCTTGATGCGTTGATGATACTGAGAAGAAGAACGATGATGATGCTCGCTTGACGTTCAAGCTTGATGCGTTGCTACTAAGAAGAAGAACAATGATGCTCGCTTGACGATCAAGCTTGATGCGTTGATGATACTGAGAAGAACCATGATAATGCTCGCTTGACGATCAAGCTTGAGGCATTGCTACTAAGCTATATATATATATATATATATATAATTCTGTAATTTATAATTTAATTTAAGGATTTTTTAAAAATTTTTAAAATTTTCAAAAATTCTAAATTTATTATATGCGGTGAATTAAACATTTAAATTTGTTGGAATATATGTCATGGTACTATCGTGTATTTCAACATTATCCCATAATATTTTTTTTTCCCAATTACACTCTTTACATTGTTACATTATTCACTAGCAACTACTAGCCCATTACCATTGGAGTTACAATAATTGTCACAATCAAGACTCCCTATTGCTAAAGAAAATTTTTCAAGATGCTCTTTTAAATTTTCTTCATTACAGAAACCTTTCTTGTTTTCTTTCTCTTCTTTTTCTCGCTACTCTAAATTTACGCAAAACTGTTTTTATTAAATACTCTTTCAGCTTTCAGCTTATCAATCGTATTTACTTATTAACTCTTGCTTTTAGGTATGATAGCGAACTTTTATTATTTTTATCATTTTATATAATTCTTATATATACTCTAAATTTACGCAAAACTGTTTTTATTAAATACTCTTTCAGCTTTCAGCTTATCAATCGTATTTACTTATTAACTCTTGCTTTTAGTCTTCTCCGCTATGTCTAATCACGGAAACACTACAGGAGTCAATGAAGGACCCTCATCCTTCGAGTCAGCCAGCACTGGAAGTTCTGTTGCCCACTCAACATCTGAGACCCATTCAAAGAACAACGCCAGCTCTTATGAGACATTCGCCGATCTCCCTGTTCATCGTCAAATTGATCTCGCTGACCGTTCTGGATTTACCGTTAGACAATTAACCATTGCCAACGTGCCAGTTTGTTCCGAAGGATGTGAAGCTGAATTAAAAGTCTTAGCAGACTTGACAGCTTACATTAGAAACTCAAACTTCAAAGCTAGTCCTCCCCCATCTCAAAAAAATTTGCTTATTTAACCAGGTGTGTGTGCTTATTTGACCACCGGAAATGCTTATTTAACCAGGTCTAATATTTAAATTCACCACAGGAAAAGCTAAATAAACCAGAGAAAATATTAAATTTACCAGGTGGTTGTGCTTATTTAACCAGGTGTGTGTGCTTATTTGACCACAGAAAATATTAAATTTACCAGGTGGTTGTGCTTATTTAACCAGGTGTGTGTGCTTATTTAACCACTGAAAATATTAAATTTACCAGGTGTGTGTGTTAAATAAAAAAAAAAAATGTTTATTAAGCAATTTTTATAGTGGGGGAAAAAATAAATTTACCATGTCTATTTGTTTAGTAAACCACCACTTTACTAGGGGAAAAAGTGCGAAAAATCCCAAAGGTGTTTATTTATTTTTTTATCTTTTATTTATTTTTTTATCTATTTTTTATTTAATTTTTTATATATTTTATATCTATTTTATATCTATTTTATATCTATTTTTTATCTATTTTTTATCTATTTTTTATCTATTTTTTATCTATTTTTTATCTATTTTTTATCTATTTTTTATCTATTTTTTATCTATTTTTTATTATGTCTTACTAGTAATACTTCCTCTATCTTTTTTTTTTAAAAGATAATATCCCATATCCAAACCACAAGTTCTTTCTTAATCATTTTCCTCCAATTCACAAGCACATACCACATAAATAAAATACATCATGATGTAATTTACATCTGACAAAGATGGCCCAAATATAGAATCTGAATTTCCATACGTTGACTGCTCCTTTAAGTCCGTGTCCAAGTACTAAATAAATTCCGTGGCATTATTACTAGAAAATAGATAAGTATATATATATAGATATAGATATAGATATAGATATAGATATAGATATAGATATAGATATAGATATAGATATAGATATAGATATAGATATAGATATAGATATAAAAAATTAAATTGATTGTTAAGTTGGAAATAATAGATGAAATAATATTTTAATTTCTAGCTTCTTATAACGAAATAGACATATTTAAACTATTTATCAAACATAACAATAAGATATTTCCATAAGAACAATGATTACTAATATAACAAAATTATGATAGAGCCAATTAGACTTAAAGTACATTTTTACCACAGCACATATTTCTTTCCTCAGCCAATAAGAATTCTCTTTAGATTAAATCTTTAAAAAAAAAGTATAAAAAAAGCTGCTCTTCACCTTTTTCTTTTCTTTCTACACATCACTTTTTTTTTTTTCTAATACAATTCGCCTTATAAGATATGGAAATTTCAGAAGTTTAAAGTACTATAAATCTTTTTTTTTTTTTTTTTTTTTTTCAGAAAAGGTCATAATATTAACAACTTAAAATAGTTTTACAACTATGAAGATGGCTTACTTGCTGGAGACAAACGATTTTGACGCGTTGATACTTGGAGGAAAGAACGATGATGCTCACTTGACGAATAAGTTTGATGCATTGATACTTAGAAAAAAGAAAGATGATGCTCACTTAAACAAGTTGACGCGTTGATACTCAGAAGAATAACCGATGATGCTCACTTAAATAAGTTGACGCGTTGATACTGAGAAGAACGAACGATGATACTCGCTTGAAGGACAAGCTTGAGGCATTAATACTAAGAGGAACTAATGATGATGCTCGCTTGACGAACAAGCTTGAAGCGTTGTAACTTGGAAGAACTAATGATGATGCTTGCTTGACGAACAAGCTTGACGCGTTACTACAGAGAAGAACTAATGATGATGCTCGCTTGACGAACAAGCTTGAGGCATTGCTACCAAGCTATATATATATATATAAATATATAATTCTGTATTTTATAATTGAATTTAAGGATTTTTTTAAAAAAATTTCAAAAATTTCAAAAATTTCAAAAATTCTAAATTTATTATATGCGGTGAATTAAACATTTAAATTTGCTTATTTAACCAGGTGGTTGTGCTTATTTAACCAGGTGTGTGTGCTTATTTGACCACAGAAAATATTAAATTTACCAGGTGGTTGTGCTTATTTAACCAGGTGTGTGTGCTTATTTGACCACAGAAAATATTAAATTTACCAGGTGGTTGTGCTTATTTAACCAGGTGTCTGTGCTTATTTAACCACTGAAAATATTAAATTTACCAGGTGTGTGTGTTAAATAAAAAAAAAAATGTTTATTAAGCAATTTTTATAGTGGGGGAAAAAATAAATTTACCACGTCTATTTGTTTAGTAAACCACCACTTTACTAGGGGAAAAAGTGCGAAAAATCCCAAAGGTGTTGTAAAAAATATAGAACCAAAAAATTAAAACTAAAAAACAATAAAACAATAAAAAACGGCAAAAAGCAGTAAAAAAATTGAAGAAATTCAGAGTCATCACATCATAAAAAGGAGCAAAATTATAACTAGAACCAAACCGTGATTCATAGATGTAATATTTGTGAGGGCCGAATTAACTTGCTCAACTCCACCTGAGCTTGAACCGGGCTGGTTTTGAGACGAGAGAGAAGAAGAAACAGCAGGAAAAGTATTTTGGGTGTTCACCAGAGCAACTGAAGACTGAGAACTGGAGGTGGAAGTCGAGGTCGAAGCCGAAGCCAAAGCTGAAGGAAAAGAGCTAACCGACTCTGTAGTAGTGTAATTTTCTACATAACTCTCCGTTAGTGTAAGACTGACACTCTCAGTAACAATAGTGAAGGTAGTGTAAGACGGCGACAATGCCAGAGATCCGGAAGATGATGTCGTAGAAGAAATAAGTAATGAAGAACCCTCATTAATAGAAGGTGAGGATGCAACAGATGTAGACAATGAAGGAGATTCTGGAAGTGAAGACGAAGCGGGAACAATGCCAGATGGCAATGAATTTTCAAGTGTGAATGTCTCAAGGGAAGAGACAATCTCTGAGCCAGCGCCAGGGCTAGACTGAAAAGAATCAAAATATGATTCATGAACCGAAGGTGTCCCAGTTTTAGATTCAGGAGTAATTGATGTTATTTCAGAACCAAGAATATTGGTTGAAACTAAAGAACTGCTGCTTGGTTGTGCTTCAGAAACAGAAGAAGTTGATGGCAAAACGTTAAACTGGAGTGACTCAGTATTTATAAGAGATTGTTCAGCTTGACCAAAAGTAGAAGTAAAAGGTGAGGATACAGGGTTAGAAGAAATTTCAGAAACCGCAATAGAATAAATACTTGAAACAGTTTCAACTCCAGAGCTAATTGGGATGCTAGACACAGAAATAACAGGAGTAGATTCCTGTGAAGCTGTCATGACAACTGTAGTTTTGCCAATGACAGACATAAATGTTATAAAAGACGAGGACTTAACAGAATTTGAAGCTGCCTTAGATAAAGTAGTAACTTCTGTTGATTGTTCAGGAAGATTAGTACCAGTTTCGGATGTCAAGGAAGTAGCTTTCGATGGAGCGGTATTTGCTGAAATAGTAAACAAGGAAGACTCTGAACCAGACACACTCAGGGTTTCCGAAGATTCAATAAGACTAAAGGTGGTACCACTATTGACGGTTGTAAAACCTGTGATGATAGGAGATGTAACGAAAGGTTGGGAAGGAGTAGATTCGCTGGACTCGGTGACAGTCTTGGTCTCACCACCAATAATTGTTGTATAGGTATTGTATTCGGAATAAGAACTTGATGGAGTAGTAGCTGTGCAATCTTCACAAGGAATAGTAACAGTAAGAGTCTGAGAACCGATGACTGTCGTATAAGTGGTGAATTCAGTGTGAAAACTTGTCGAAGAAACAGAACTTGTTTCAGAAGAAGTAGAGATACATTTCTCACAAGGCTCCGTAACAGTAGTAGTCTCTCCACCAATGACCGTGGTATAAGTAGTGTATTCGGTGTGTGAACCTATTGAAGAGATAGTGGATTCCGTGGAAGATGTTGCCGTACATTTCTCACAAGGCTCTGTGACAATGGTAGTCTCGCCAGAAATAACAGTTGTATAGGTGGTGTATTCTGTGTAAGAGCTTGTCGAAGTAATAGGGGTACAATCATCACAAGGAATAGTAACAGTGAGAGTCTGAGATCCAATTACCGTAGTATATGAAGTAAAGGAAGTTTGTGTGGCAACAGATGTAATGGTAGAACTTGGTGACTGAGGGCCAATACTAGAGGTACTAGAAGTGGAAACAGAAGTTGTAAATGTGGAATTCCAAGAGGGCTTTGTCGAAGGAGTATAGACAAAAGTCGAAGACAAAGACAAAGACAAAGAAGTTTCAAGAGATTCCGACTCAAAGTAAGTAGAAGATTCTGAAATCTCTACAGAAAATGATGATGATAAGGAACTTTCAAATAGAGATTCGGAGCCAACCTCAGAAGTACCCTCGAGCGAAGACAAAGAAGGTGAAGGAAAAGATTCAACTTCGGATTCAGTAAATGAAGAGATTCCAATTTCTCCAGTCTCAAGAGAAACACTGAAAGACGAGGATTGAGAAAGAGATAACTCAGAAATGTATAAGGATTCAGAAAACTCAGAAACAGAAACAGGAGATTGAGAAACAAAAGTGGATTCAGAAACAGAAGCAGATTCAGATTCCGAAGATTCCGAAATAGAAGCAAATTCAGAAACAGAAGGGGATTCAGATTGAAAAGATTCAGAAACTGAAATAGAAGCAGATTCAGATTCAGATTCAGATTCAGAAACTGAAATAGAGGCAGAAAACTCAGATTCAGAAATTGAAGCTGAATTAGAAAATTCAGAAATAGAAACGAATTCAGAAACAGAAACAGAAGCAGATTCAGATTCCGAAGATTCCAAAATAGAAGCAAATTCAGAAACAGAAGGGGATTCAGAAGCAGTTTCAGATTCAGAAGATTCGGAAACAGAAAAAGATTCAGAAATAGAAACTGATTGAGAAGATTCAGAAACAAATGCGGATTCAGAAGATTCAGAAATAAATGAAGATGTAGATTCAGAAGATGAAGATGAAAAAGAATTATCAGCTGCGTCCTCAAAAGAAAATGAAGCATTATCAGATGCAGCTTCGAAAGAAGAAGAGGCATCATCTGCTGCGTCCTGAGATGAAGATGGAGCATTATTAGCGGCAGCTTTAGAAGATGAAGAAGCATCGTCAGCTGCGTCTTCGGATGAAGATGAAGCATCATCAGCGGCAGCTTGAGATGAAGATGACCCATCATCAGCGGCGGCTTCAGAAGATGAAGCATCATCAGCGGCAGCTTGAGAAGATGAAGAAGCATCATCAGCGGCAGCTTGAGATGAAGATGATCCATCATCAGCGGCAGCTTCAGAAGAAGAAGAAGCATCATTAGCTGCGTCTTCGGAAGAAGAAGAAGCATCATCTGCTGCGTCTTCAGAAGATGAAGAAGCATCATCAGCGGCGGCTTCGGAAGAAGAAGACGAGGCATCATCAGCAGCGTCCTCAGAAGAAGAAGAGGCATCATCAGCGGCGGCTTCGGATGAAGATGAAGCATCATCAGCGGCAGCTTCGGAAGAAGAAGAAGCATCATCAGCAGCGTCTTCAGAAGATGAAGAGGCATCATCAGCGGCGGCTTCAGAAGAAGACGAGGCATCATCAGCAGCGTCCTCAGAAGATGAGGAAGCATCATCAGCGGCGGCTTCGGATGAAGATGAAGCATCATCAGCGGCGGCTTCGGATGAAGATGAAGCATCATCAGCGGCAGCTTCAGAAGATGAGGAAGCATCATCAGCGGCAGCTTCAGAAGATGAAGAGGCATCATCAGCTGCGTCTTCAGAAGAAGAAGAGGCATCATCAGCGGCCGCTTCGGAAGAAGAAGAAGCATCATCAGCAGCGTCCTCAGAAGAAGAAGACGCATCATCAGCGGCGTCCTCAGAAGAAGAAGAGGCATCATCAGCGGCGTCCTCAGAAGAAGACGAGGCATCATCAGCGGCAGCTTCAGAAGAAGATGAAGCATCATCAGCTGCGTCTTCAGAAGATGAAGAGGCATCATCAGCGGCGGCTTCAGAAGAAGAAGAAGCATCATCTGCTGCGTCTTCAGAAGATGAAGAAGCATCATCTGCTGCGTCTTCAGAAGATGAAGAAGCATCATCTGCTGCGTCTTCAGAAGATGAAGAGGCATCATCAGCTGCGGCTTCGGAAGAAGAAGAAGCATCATCAGCGGCGGCTTCAGAAGAAGACGAGGCATCATCAGCAGCGTCCTCAGAAGATGAAGAAGCATCATCAGCGGCGGCTTCGGAAGAAGAAGACGAGGCATCATCAGCAGCGTCCTCAGAAGAAGAAGAGGCATCATCAGCGGCAGCTTCAGAAGATGAGGAAGCATCATCAGCGGCAGCTTGAGAAGATGAAGAAGCATCATCAGCGGCAGCTTGAGATGAAGATGATCCATCATCAGCGGCAGCTTCAGAAGAAGAAGAAGCATCATTAGCTGCGTCTTCGGAAGAAGAAGAAGCATCATCTGCTGCGTCTTCAGAAGATGAAGAAGCATCATCAGCGGCGGCTTCGGAAGAAGAAGACGAGGCATCATCAGCAGCGTCCTCAGAAGAAGAAGAGGCATCATCAGCGGCGGCTTCGGATGAAGATGAAGCATCATCAGCGGCAGCTTCGGAAGAAGAAGAAGCATCATCAGCGGCGGCTTCAGAAGAAGACGAGGCATCATCAGCAGCGTCCTCAGAAGATGAAGAAGCATCATCAGCGGCGGCTTCGGATGAAGATGAAGCATCATCAGCGGCGGCTTCGGATGAAGATGAAGCATCATCAGCGGCAGCTTCAGAAGATGAGGAAGCATCATCAGCGGCAGCTTCAGAAGATGAAGAGGCATCATCAGCTGCGTCTTCAGAAGAAGAAGAGGCATCATCAGCGGCCGCTTCGGAAGAAGAAGAAGCATCATCAGCAGCGTCCTCAGAAGATGAAGAGGCATCATCAGCGGCGGCTTCAGAAGAAGAAGAAGCATCATCTGCTGCGTCTTCAGAAGATGAAGAAGCATCATCAGCAGCATCCTCAGAAGATGAGGAAGCATCATCAGCGGCGGCTTCAGAAGAAGACGAGGCATCATCAGCGGCGGCTTCAGAAGAAGAAGAAGCATCATCAGCGGCGGCTTCAGAAGATGACGAGGCATCATCAGCAGCGTCCTCAGAAGAAGAAGAGGCATCATCAGCGGCGGCTTCGGATGAAGAAGAAGCTTCATCAGCGGCGGCTTCAGAAGAAGACGAGGCATCATCAGCTGCGTCTTCAGAAGAAGACGAGGCATCATCAGCTGCGTCTTCAGAAGATAAAGAGGCATCATCAGCGGCGGCTTCAGAAGAAGAAGAAGCATCATCTGCTGCGTCTTCAGAAGATGAAGAAGCATCATCAGCAGCATCCTCAGAAGATGAGGAAGCATCATCAGCGGCGGCTTCAGAAGAAGACGAGGCATCATCAGCGGCGGCTTCAGAAGAAGAAGAAGCATCATCAGCGGCGGCTTCAGAAGATGACGAGGCATCATCAGCGGCGGCTTCAGAAGAAGAAGAAGCATCATCAGCATCATCCTCAGAAGAAGACGAGGCATCATCAGCAGCTTCCTCAGAAGATGACGAGGCATCATCAGCGGCCGCTTCGGAAGAAGAAGAAGCATCATCAGCAGCGTCTTCAGAAGAAGAAGACGCATCATCAGCGGCGTCCTCAGAAGAAGACGAGGCATCATCAGCAGCGTCCTCAGAAGAAGAAGAGGCATCATCAGCGGCGGCTTCGGATGAAGAAGAGGCATCATCAGCGGCGGCTTCGGATGAAGAAGAAGCATCATCAGCGGCGTCTTCAGAAGATGAAGAGGCATCATCAGCTGCGTCTTCAGAAGATAAAGAGGCATCATCAGCGGCGGCTTCAGAAGAAGAAGAAGCATCATCTGCTGCGTCTTCAGAAGATGAAGAAGCATCATCTGCTGCGTCCTCAGAAGAAGAAGAGGCATCATTAGCGGCGGCTTCAGAAGATGACGAGGCATCATCAGCTGCGGCTTCAGAAGAAGAAGAAACATCATCTGCTGCGTCCTCAGAAGATGAAGAAGCATCATCAGCGGCGGCTTCAGAAGAAGAAGAAGCATCATCTGCTGCGTCTTCAGAAGATGAAGAGGCATCATCAGCAGCGTCCTCAGAAGAAGAAGACGCATCATCAGCGGCGTCCTCAGAAGAAGAAGAGGCATCATTAGCGGCGGCTTCAGAAGATGATGAAGCATCATCAGCGGCAGCTTCAGAAGATGAGGAAGCATTATCAGCAGCATCCTCAGAAGATGAGGAAGCATCATCAGCGGCCGCTTCAGAAGAAGACGAGGCATCATCAGCTGCGTCTTCAGAAGATGAAGAGGCATCATCAGCTGCGGCTTCAGAAGAAGAAGAAGCATCATCAGCAGCGTCCTCAGAAGATGAAGAAGCATCATCAGCGGCAGCTTCAGAAGATGATGAAGCATCATCAGCGGCGTCCTCAGAAGAAGACGAGGCATCATCAGCGGCGTCCTCAGAAGATGACGAGGCATCATCAGCGGCGGCTTCGGAAGAAGAAGAAGCATCATCAGCAGCGTCCTCAGAAGAAGAAGAAGCATCATCAGCGGCGGCTTCAGAAGAAGAAGAAGCATCATCAGCAGCGTCCTCAGAAGAAGAAGAGGCATCATCAGCGGCGGCTTCGGATGAAGAAGAGGCATCATCAGCGGCGGCTTCGGATGAAGAAGAAGCATCATCAGCGGCGGCTTCAGAAGAAGAAGAAGCATCATCTGCTGCGTCTTCAGAAGATGAAGAGGCATCATCAGCGGCGGCTTCAGAAGAAGACGAGGCATCATCAGCGGCGGCTTCAGAAGAAGACGAGGCATCATCAGCTGCGTCTTCAGAAGATGAAGAAGCATCATCAGCAGCATCCTCAGAAGAAGACGAGGCATCATCAGCAGCGTCCTCAGAAGAAGAAGAGGCATCATCAGCGGCGGCTTCGGATGAAGATGAAGCATCATCAGCTGCGTCTTCAGAAGATGAAGAGGCATCATCAGCGGCGGCTTCGGAAGAAGAAGAAGCATCATCAGCTGCGGCTTCGGATGAAGATGAAGCATCATCAGCGGCAGCTTCGGAAGAAGAAGAAGCATCATCAGCTGCGTCCTCAGAAGAAGACGAGGCATCATCAGCTGCGGCTTCAGAAGAAGAAGAAACATCATCTGCTGCGTCCTCAGAAGATGAAGAAGCATCATCAGCGGCGGCTTCGAAAGAAGAAGAAGCATCATCAGCAGCATCCTCAGAAGAAGACGAGGCATCATCAGCAGCGTCCTCAGAAGAAGAAGAGGCATCATCAGCGGCGGCTTCAGAAGAAGACGAGGCATCATCAGCAGCGTCCTCAGAAGATGAGGAAGCATCATCAGCGGCGGCTTCGGATGAAGATGAAGCATCATCAGCGGCGGCTTCGGATGAAGATGAAGCATCATCAGCGGCAGCTTCGGAAGAAGAAGAAGCATCATCAGCGGCAGCTTCGGAAGAAGAAGAAGCATCATCAGCAGCGTCCTCAGAAGAAGACGAGGCATCATCAGCTGCGGCTTCAGAAGAAGAAGAAACATCATCTGCTGCGTCCTCAGAAGATGAAGAAGCATCATCAGCGGCGGCTTCGAAAGAAGAAGAAGCATCATCAGCAGCATCCTCAGAAGAAGACGAGGCATCATCAGCAGCGTCCTCAGAAGAAGACGAGGCATCATCAGCGGCGGCTTCAGAAGAAGAAGAAGCATCATCTGCTGCGTCTTCAGAAGATGACGAGGCATCATCAGCGGCCGCTTCGGAAGAAGAAGAAGCATCATCAGCAGCGTCTTCAGAAGATGAAGAGGCATCATCAGCGGCGGCTTCAGAAGATGAAGAAGCATCATCAGCGGCCGCTTCGGAAGAAGAAGAAGCATCATCAGCTGCGTCCTCAGAAGAAGACGAGGCATCATCAGCGGCGGCTTCGGAAGAAGAAGAAGCATCATCAGCAGCATCCTCAGAAGATGAAAAAGCATCATCAGCGGCCGCTTCGGAAGAAGAAGAAGCATCATCAGCTGCGTCCTCAGAAGAAGACGAGGCATCATCAGCGGCGGCTTCGGAAGAAGAAGAAGCATCATCAGCTGCGTCCTCAGAAGAAGACGAGGCATCATCAGCGGCGGCTTCAGAAGAAGAAGAAGCATCATCAGCAGCGTCCTCAGAAGAAGACGAGGCATCATCAGCGGCGGCTTCAGAAGAAGAAGAAGCATCATCAGCAGCGTCCTCAGAAGAAGACGACGCATCATCAGCAGCGTCCTCAGAAGATGAAGAAGCATCATCAGCGGCCGCTTCGGAAGAAGAAGAAGCATCATCAGCAGCGTCCTCAGAAGAAGAAGAGGCATCATCAGCGGCGGCTTCAGAAGAAGACGAGGCATCATCAGCGGCGGCTTCAGAAGAAGACGAGGCATCATCAGCTGCGTCTTCAGAAGATGAAGAAGCATCATCAGCAGCATCCTCAGAAGAAGACGAGGCATCATCAGCAGCGTCCTCAGAAGAAGAAGAGGCATCATCAGCGGCGGCTTCGGATGAAGATGAAGCATCATCAGCTGCGTCTTCAGAAGATGAAGAGGCATCATCAGCGGCGGCTTCGGAAGAAGAAGAAGCATCATCAGCTGCGTCCTCAGAAGAAGACGACGCATCATCAGCGGCGGCTTCAGAAGAAGAAGAAGCATCATCAGCAGCGTCCTCAGAAGAAGACGAGGCATCATCAGCGGCGGCTTCAGAAGAAGAAGAAGCATCATCAGCAGCGTCCTCAGAAGAAGACGACGCATCATCAGCAGCGTCCTCAGAAGATGAAGAAGCATCATCAGCGGCCGCTTCGGAAGAAGAAGAAGCATCATCAGCAGCGTCCTCAGAAGAAGAAGAGGCATCATCAGCGGCGGCTTCAGAAGAAGACGAGGCATCATCAGCGGCGGCTTCAGAAGAAGACGAGGCATCATCAGCTGCGTCTTCAGAAGATGAAGAAGCATCATCAGCAGCATCCTCAGAAGAAGACGAGGCATCATCAGCAGCGTCCTCAGAAGAAGAAGAGGCATCATCAGCGGCGGCTTCGGATGAAGATGAAGCATCATCAGCTGCGTCTTCAGAAGATGAAGAGGCATCATCAGCGGCGGCTTCGGAAGAAGAAGAAGCATCATCAGCTGCGTCCTCAGAAGAAGACGACGCATCATCAGCGGCGGCTTCAGAAGAAGAAGAAGCATCATCAGCAGCGTCCTCAGAAGAAGACGACGCATCATCAGCAGCGTCCTCAGAAGATGAAGAAGCATCATCAGCGGCCGCTTCGGAAGAAGAAGAAGCATCATCAGCAGCGTCCTCAGAAGAAGAAGAGGCATCATCAGCGGCGTCCTCAGAAGAAGACGAGGCATCATCAGCGGCCGCTTCGGAAGAAGAAGAGGCATCATCAGCTGCGTCCTCAGACGAAGAAGAGGCATCATCAGCCGCGTCTTCAGAGGATGAAGAGGCATCATCAGCTGCGTCCTCAGACGAAGAAGACGCATCACCAGCGGCGGCTTCAGAAGAAGAAGAAGCATCATCAGCAGCGTCCTCAGAAGATGAAGAAGCATCATCTGCTGCGTCCTCAGAAGAAGAAGACGCATCATCAGCGGCGGCTTCAGAAGAAGATGAAGCATCATCAGCTGCGTCCTCAGAAGAAGACGAGGCATCATCTGCGGCATCCTCAGACGATGATGACGCCTTGTCGTCAGCGGCATCTTCAGATGAAGAGGATGCTTCATCTGCTGCTGCTTCAGATGAAGAGGATGCATCTTCTACTGTATCTTCTGATGATTGCTCTGCTTCGGAAACTGCGTCCATTGATGAATCAGATATTGACTCAATATAATCCCCATTGCATACCGCATTCTGCATTTCACTTATACAGGTCGTATCAATAACATTTGCTACATTAGTTAGAACTGTATTTGTTGTTTCATATCCAATAATTGATCCACACATTAAACATCCTCCAACAACTTGTTTTTCTGACATTGATAGATCGTCGCAAGATTTTCCACTTAATTCACTTCCTTCTAACCATGTGTTAGTAGTTGAACAATATGAGTTACAAGTATCTGTATCTAATCCATCTAATGTACATGACGAGATACTGCATAAATTTTCTGTATCAAAATCGCATTCGTCCAACAACCCTACAACAACTGACAAGACAGTAGTTAACAAAGTTCCTATCACATCCAAAATGTCTGACAAGACCGATACTAGTGTTCCAACTACACACAGTAGTGTAGTCCAGGCGGAATCACAAAACGTACTAGCCGAACTTGAGACAGTACCACATAGTAGACAGCCAACCACATTTCTTTTAACAACATTATCGACAACTCCACAAGTGATCAAACTTAATAAGTTTACCGAATAATCTTCAGCAGTACCACACATATCACTGCAATTAGTTTCTGTAATATCACCAACGTCACAAATACACTGGGTATCTATGTTACTTGGAATTTCGTCAGACCTCTCGTCGTAACATTGTTTTATCCAACCTTCGTAATATTCGTAGTTTGTTGAATCAGTAAGGACACCTTTGTCAAAACAATAGCGGCAAGCAGTGACAACTGAAAGAAGTGTTCCATCCATGTCTACATAACTGCCGCTTACAAGAACAGTATTGTTTAACTTGCAATAATATTCATCAACATTCCCTAATAAAGTGAAATCAGTATAGTAGCCACTAATTACAGTATTGGCATTATCACAGGCACTGTCGCAGGTCTCCTTGTCGACAGTACAAGCTGCTGATACTGCAGCAATTCCAAATATTGGAATAAATAATGCACTAATTCGCATTGCTGAACTCCTAGTTAGTCACAGATTTTTGTTGATTTCTTTTTTATTTATACTTACTGCTGCTGTTGTGTTAAGACAATATATAACCCCTTTTTCTTTTGCTCTTATTTTTGTTTTCTGTTTCCATGTTAGAATTCATTAAAATTTTTGACAATGACACATACCTTGATAATTGGTTTAATAAACTAATAATTAAGAAAATAAAAGTAAGGGATTAATTTATAATTCCTTTTTTTGCTGACCTTTTTTGAAAAAAAAAATTTTATTTTAATAAATAAGGTGGAGGTAAAAAAAAAATAAAAAATGGAAGATTAGATAGAGACGTAAAATTATTTATTTCTTTTTTAAGCGAAAATGGGTATTCCCAATCTTATATATATATATATATATATATATTAATTTATATATATGAATTAATAATAATCATATTTTAATAGATGTAATAAACGTTTATTAAAGTTAACATTAGAGTCTATTATTACGTATGTTTTCAAAAGATAGGCGCTATGCACGTTCCCCAAACCAAAGTCTTTATAACAGACACTATTTTTAGTTTGTTTGTTATTCAAGTGGCATACCGGATACTAGTCATAGTAACGTCATATATTAAAATTTTCAGGTAACTAGTATTATATTCAACAATATTTGAGAATAATTGTTTCTAGTAATATTCAAATTCTTATTATACGGTATTGATAAGCTTGAAGTTTTAATATCAGATGCTATAATAGAACCTGATTTATTTTCTTTTTTTTTTAATTTTTTCATTACATTATGATTATTATGAAAATCTGTTGAAGCATAGTTTGCATACTTTGGTCTTAGGCATTGAGATAATTTTTTTCAAGATAATAGGTTAAAGTTATGGTTAAATGTAATGCAGTAAATTACTTTTTTCGTTAATTTTTTTTCTCTATTAATTGTTCAGCCGTGTACCCAGTTTTTTATTACCGAAGTTATTCATTTATTGAAATTTATTTATTACATTTATTAATTACATAAATTCTGGCTGATAATTAATTTTTCTCTTTAATATGCATATGCTGCATTGTGTTAATATTTTTAGTAATTACTAAATATATATCTTGGAAAAGTCGCTAATTAGCGAAGATTATAATCTTGGCCCATTTTTAAAAAGAAAAAAAATAGTGGATAGCGATATTCAAAGTCTGAGACCATCAATATATTTTAAAGGTCTTATTTAAGAAAAAATTATTATTATTATTATTATTATTATTATTATTATTATTATTATTATTATTATTATTATTATTATTATTATTATTATTATTATTATTATTATTATTATTATTATTATTATTATTATTATTATTATTATTATTATTATTAAAACCCCATAGGCTATTTTAATCAAACAAATAAAGAGTATACATTAATGAAGGTAATAATATAGATCTGTTACTTAATATATTAAATATAATGTTTATATAAGCATTTTTATAATCAGTTTTATTCTTTATCTAATCATATAAATTAATATTAAAGAAAAATAATTAATAGTGTTTAAATTGGAAGATTCTTGGCTCAGATTTTCATATTTGCTAAGATATTTAAGATCTATTTTGACAATTTCCTATTTGGTAATCCGGGATTATTTTAAGGGAAAAGTTTTAGTATCACTGAGGCTCTGTATTTTTAAATGCATCTGAATTATCATCCAGATCAAAATAACACACTTTACGTTTTTAGGAATACAAAATGAATAAGTTTTTAAAAAAAATCAGTGTACTATCACATTTAGATTCCTCCGAGATATTTAAGTTAACTTTTGTTTTATATATTTAAAATAACAATATATTGTCTTGCTTATCAATTGTTAAGATTTTGACAGGAGGGTAGGGTACATGTGATGATCATCATGAGGTATCCAGAATGACGGCTACTGGGGTTGACATTTTAATTAATCAATTATAGCTAATTACCTAATTTTATAAAGTTGATTGCAAACTTTTCATTTTTGATTCAGTCAACTAACCCTTCACAAATTAATAAGCACCTTATTAAAGTAATTCTATAAATTTCGACCATTAGGAAGCCACCTTTGCTTAATTTTGCCGCAGTTTAAACCAGAGTTTCAATTTAAAACAAATTATATTGCAACAGTTTGGCTCACATGATAATAATATAAATTTTTATATTTTCCACTCTACCTTAATTTTTCGGAAGAAATAAAAAAAAAAAAAAAAAGGGATGGGGGAAATATAGGGTGTGAGTTTAATTATTATGGGAAACAAAGTTAAAGTTACTGTAGGCCTAAATACGTTTGTCATAATTATTAATTCCGTCACTAGAGTATGATTAAATGGGGTGGTTCAATCATGGTTATTGTTTTCTTATTAGAGTTTATATGAATGTTATTGTAAACATATGCTTCTTTGTAGTAACTTTAACGCCGGGAACATTGACAAAAAAAGACCTTTTACAATTTTTGGTAATTAACCAATGATTTAATTTTTTTTTTTTGTAACAAACTGAAGAATGTTCGGATTTACCTTAAATGTCTGGGGAAATTCTTTTTAAGAAAAGTAAGCCATGTGCACAAAAAAGCAACTATTGGATAAAAAAAAATATTTTTTTTTCAAGAACGACTAAAGCTAATAAAGTTATTCTTATTTTTATTTTTATTTTTTAATTTTTATTTTTTATTTTTATTTTTTATTTTTGCTAGTCTTTTCACAATACGAGTTTCTAGTTATCGTATACGAAATCAAGTTTTGAGATTGTTTATTGGGATACAGAAATATCAGGTTAGGGTTTGGAAAATAACTCTAAAAAAATAAAGTGAAATTTTTATTTTTATTTTCTTTTCTTAATAACCACATATTATTGTTATTAAATTGACTGTGCCCTTTTACTGCTGTTTACTCTAATCGACTATAATAGCTAACACAGAATTCCATTTAGAGCCCACGTAAATCCTAACACATATAACCAGAATATTGATTTCTGTTAGACAATCAAACCTTGATTGTAAAATGAGCAAAACAAAGCTTTTCTTGAGATTGTTTTTAATTTTTTTTTTGGGGCGGTGAATGGTTAGAAGTCGATATTATCTACATATTTTAATTATAATTTAAATAAATTAGAAAAGCCTCAGTACGGAAATTTATTACCTAGTTCAGTTTAATATAATATAATAATTTCTGATAGGCTATTTAAACAAAAATAAAATAAATAAATTGGGTTTTGCGGTTTTTTCATACCACTCACTATTAGCAAAAGCAATTTCCTGTCAAAAGTTTGGTTTATTTTATTATTTTATTATTTTATTAATTTATTAATTTATTATTTTATTATTTTATTATTTTATTATTTTATTATTTTATTATTTTATTATTTTATTATTTTATTATTTTATTATTTTATTATTTTATTATTTTATTATTTTATTATTTTATTATTTTATTATTTTATTATTTTATTATTTTATTATTTTATTAATTTATTAATTTATTAATTTTTTTTTTTTTGTGACTGGCTCTGTTAGTCCAATCTGGATTAAAATAACAAATTTGTTATTAAATTGCTTTAAAGAAATATTTAAAAAAAATTTAATTTTCCAGAGGAGAGCGGCATTGTTAACTTTTTAACACTATTCCTAATTTGCATAGAGTTAACTCTAAAGTTAACTCTATGGAAATTAGGAATAAAGTAACTTTGCAACTCGATATCTTAAAATAAATATATATTTATTAGTTCTTGTTAAGATATTACGTGTTTCAACAAAAGTACAACGTAATAACTGAGATATATTAATGCTTATATTGATTGTTTTTATACATATCTACATATATATATCTATGTACTGAATAACCAGTACTAATTTGTTTTACTAATATTAGCAAAACTAGGTGGCGGCACTTAAACCTTAATTAACCTTGAGGCGGTTAGAGTTATGAATTAAATTTGGCAAATTTACTGAAGCTTTCTTACATAACGAAAACGTCGTTACAATAAAGACTTAATATGAGTTGATGTATATGTATTACGTTGATTAAAGACACACACATATCATCATTTTTTTTTTTTTTGAAGGCTTCAACTTACCAATAATTTTTGGTGATGTTAGCAGAAAGCACTAACCCATCACGATATCACGATATCGTGGAAATTATTATCAATAACATGAACCTTAAGAAAATCAAAGTCAAGAAACGTAATCCTACCGCTCTTCAAATTATTTAAAGTATTTAAAATATATATAAAAAAACTTAGGCAAATTAATAATACTATTTATGTAACGAATGTATTATAATATAATTATATTATAAATACTTAAATTATTATTATTATAATAATTTAAGTATTTCTGAGTTCACTAGAAGTGTTATTTATATACATAATATATAATATATATATACTAAAAAAAAAAAAATTAAAATCATTACAAATAATATTTTGTCACCATTTGATTTACGTCGCTCTTACTTTTATAGGACATGTGGATTACACATTGCAAACATTCACAAAAGCTGTGACATCTCAGGGTTTAAATTCATCACCCCTCAATTCACTAGGATCATCCTTCACTTGAATATCATGCTCAATTTCAAATCATATATGAAAAGTCTTGTAAAGTAGCATTACTATCCTTCTATTATAGCCCAAAATATGTCAAAAACGTTCTTTATAAAAAATGAAAACTAAAATAATAGATAATAGATAAGAATATGTTGGGATACAGAAAAAACAGGTTAGGGTTTAGAAAAGAACACTAAAAATAAAGTGAAATTTTTCTTTTTCTTTTTCTTTTCTTTTTTTTTCTTTTCTTTTCTTTTCTTTTCTTAACCATATTATTGTTATTAAATTGACTGTGCCCTTTTACTGCTGTTTACTCTAATCGACTATAATAGCTAACCCAGAATTCCATTTAGAGCCCACGTAAATCCTAACAGAATACAGTTAAAAGTGTTGTTTGACGCGTAATGAAGGTTCCAGAAAACTTTGAAAAAGAAGAGAAACGAATTAACGACTTCATTAGAAAATATTGCAAGCTTTTAAAATTTTTGAAATGAGACTTTTTTAATTGTTTGGAATGACTTAGACGGTTTGATTCTCTAAAAATCTTGAATAGACATGAAGATAATCCTAAAATTCCTAAAAAAACTGTGCCAAATCAAAACAACTGCAAAGAAATTATTTTTTTTAAACTTGCTACTTCCATTGCTAAGAAAGTGGTCAATACTTTTTTCTGCATTCTTTGCAATTGATTTGATGATTTAATATTATTTTTTTTAATTCAAATGATATCTTGTTTTTTTTTTTTTTTTTTTTTTTTTTTTTTTTTTTTCAAGGGCCAAAAATGGATTATCTACCTAAATGAAAGAAATGGATAGATAGATAGATAGATAGATAGATAGATAGATAGATAGATAGATAGATAGATAGATAGATAGATAGATAGATAGATAGATAGATAGATAGATAGATAGATAGATAGATAGATAGATAGATAGATAGATAGATAGATAGATAGATAGAAAGAAAAGAACCCAAGAGGTAGGATTTATTTATTATATTTACCAGCTTTGTAAGGGTGTGGATACTTAGAATATATTGATGTTGATTTTGGAGAGAATTCTTGTCACAGTCAATACTTGGCTTACATTTTAAAAAATTTTATCGATTTTTATAAAGGTAATATTGATGTCACAATCTATTGCCACTACTCTCAAGCCAAAGCTACTACCTAATTGACCAATCCCTCGACGCTTTCATTGAATGGGAAAATTCTGCACACACCAAGATAAACAAACTTTGGTGACAAACTGAATTTTATCAACTTTGGAATAAAAACACCCCCAAACAACAGGATTTTTGAGAACAATAAATAGGGTCACCGGCTTTACAAACAGGCTACTCTATTATACCCATTACTACTACGGTGTAAGCTTATAATGACACAATCTCAGCATCATCAAGAAAATCGACGAAGCTATCCGTATAATACAAAATATTGCTCTGTAAAGGATGATTTGTGTATACCACTTCGCCCCATTCTATACCATTCACAGAGAAGCTAGCAGCTTCCCTCAACACATTGAGTTTTAAAGATCTAACCTGGAGAGCTACCCACCGCTTCTACAACCCCACAAAAAATGGACAAGGATAACAGCCAAATCCGAGCTCGTAACAAAATGTTGTACACGGAGCCAAAAAAAGACTGGACAAAATAAATCACATTATCACGGTTAGTCGAAACAAAATCTGTGCAATTGTTTTTTCCAGACAAAGTTCTCTTCTCGTCTAATGGGAACATGAACACGCTATCGCTACCATTAAGGCATCAAACACAGCTCCCAACCTTGGTACAAATGCACATACCCAAACAACAAACTATAGAACCCGAAAATAAGAAAAAAATTGCAACTTCAGAAAGCCATAAAAGGCCCTTGGACACGTTTTATTTGGCACCATCGAATTGAAAACACTACATAGTAGGTTTGTCAATTATATTTCTGAGCTTAAAGGAAACAAAATACTTTACAAATGCCCATTATTTAAAGCTGAATCAGAAACCCCAAAGTATATATATCATCACAGCATGTGCATGCTGTGATTTTATCCTAGACGTATTACGCTCTGGAAACCCATTTCACCTTTTCACAAACAGCTCACCGATTGTCCAAACTGCAAGACTTGATGATAATGATAAATTTTATTAGACGCCAAGTTGCCGTTAAGATTTCCCCATTGTTTAAAGAATCTGTGTTGGCCAAGTTTTGGCAGATAAAGAAACCACTCCAAAATAAACACGAGTATCTATATATGCCTTCACAGCTGGATGTAATACATTACGCAAGTAAACAATTTTTTGTAATTGGTTTTGTATAGTAAAGTAGAAGTAGGATAGAAATTAATAGATTTTATTATTATAAATATATAAGCTACAAGCCCTCCTAAATACCCTACCAGGTTTTTTGTAAGGTGTATCATTACCAAGAACAAGGTAAATATTGTTTCATGTTTTTCACAAAATCAAAATTTGCAAATTTAACTTCTACGCTAAAAGAATGCCTAAAAACAGTCTATTTAATTATTGGGGAAGAAACAACAATGCAAAACTAATTTCTTTTTTTTTAGTAATATTATAATATTTAGTAATTACTAAATCATGCCTAATTTACATAAAGTATCACGGTGCTTTTAAATCATGTTGTCAATCCGGTTTTTATAATACCAAAGCTTTGCTATTTAAATATAATTTTCAGCTTTCAAAACTATTTTATGAGATTGTGTTGTTGGTTTTCCCTAATTTATTACTAATATGTATTTAGTCGTCATCTCTAAAAAAAGATGTTTCAAATATTGTGTCAAAAATCTTCAATTTAACAAATAGAAATTGAAGATGGTTGTTTTTAAAATTAAAATTCTTCAATAAGACGGTTGAATGTATTAATTAAGAACCGAAAGGTTTGTCACGTGCAATACTGTCAGATTAAGACCGTCTGACGAATACAAATTAATTGTAAGTTGGATTTTTTAAAAAATTCCAAATTGCACTCGGATCTTAAGCGAAAGATCCGAAAAATGATTTATATATAAAGAGAGAAAATTTTCTATTAAGCCCCCCTTTTTTTTCATAAATAAATTTGTTTACAAAGATGTCAAAGCTCATCAAAAGAGAAAACGGAACAATTGTGCACAAATCCCCATGGGATTTTGACGTAACAAAAATACCAGAAAGCAATCTTGTTGACTTCATTTTTAGTACTCCCGGATATCAAGAAAATTTGGCTGATCCAAACCACCAGCTATATATCGATGGTACTGATTCGACTCATTACCTAACAGTTAAACAGCATCAGGATTTAGTAGGGCGCATAGCTTATCTTTTGAAAAACAAGTTTTCTATCAACGTTGGTGATACTGTGTGCTTGTTTCTTACCAACTCAATTTATCTTCCTTCAATACATCTCGGAATTCTTTCTGCAGGTGCAGTTATATCGCCAGCAAACATTGCTTACCTCCCTAAAGAACTTCATCATCAACTTAACATCACAAAGGCCAAAATAATTATCAGTCTTGAAAGTCTTCTTCCAATTGCGGAAAAAGCTGTGAATGATTTGAGTCCAGTTGAAGTTCAAAACATAATTCCATTTAAGGACTTTATTTCTCTTATTAAAGATGAAAGAATTCCTCCAAGTCCCCCTATCAAGTTTACTGGAGAGGAATCTCAACATCGTCATGCTTACTACTGTTTTTCATCTGGCACTTCTGGAGTTCCCAAAGGAGTAATAACCTCTCATTACAATATTGTTTCAAATATCACCCAGCACCAAATTTCAGTTCGTGGAAAGATCTACAAGCCCAACAATACCTATTCTGCCATTCTACCCATGTCTCACATTTATGGCATCTCTGTTTTTATCTATTCAATTCCTAGCATGTATAAGACCAAAATCATTGTTTTTGAAAAATTTCATTTAGAAACTCTTCTTCAAAAAATTGGTGAGCATGGGATTTCATTTTTGCACGTTGTTCCGCCAATGGCTGTTCTTTTAGCCAAGTCACCAGTTTTAGAAAAATATCTCTCTTCCGTGAAAAAAAATTTAAAAGGGTTAATTACAGGTGCAGCACCTTTGTCAAAATCATTAATAGATGAAATTTCTGTTAGGTTGGACAATGGCATTGAGATTACCCAGTCATATGGCTTGACTGAAACTAGTCCCACAACTACTTTTGCTTCATATACTGAGAGTGGTACTGAGTATGATGTTGAGTCATGTGGCTGGCTTCTTCCTGGTCTCGAGGCTCGTCTTGTGGACGAGAATGGTAAAGATATTGAAGACTTTGGATTTGAAAATCGAGGTGAAGTATGGTTTAGAGGACCAAATGTTATGAAGGGTTATCTAAGAAATCCAGAAGCAACTAAAGATGCCTTTGATGATACTGGAGAATGGCTTCGCACAGGTGACGTTGGTGTAGTTACAAAAGATGGGCAATGGTATATTGTTGATCGGTTCAAAGAGCTTATAAAGTCGAAAAGCCACCAAGTAGCACCTACTGAGCTTGAAGGAATTCTTCTCAAACATCATGAGGTGGCAGATGCAGCAGTTGCAGGTATTTATTTGCCTGATAAAGGGACCGAGCTTCCAAGAGCCTTTATTGTTCCCGCTTCTAATTCAATTGATCCTCTTGCTATCAAAGCCTGGTTCGATGATCAAGTTGCTCGATACAAACAACTTTGGGGGGGTGTTGTTGTTGTTGAAAAAATTCCCAAATCACCCTCTGGAAAAATTTTGAGACGACTTTTGCAGCAAAGAAAAAACGACGAAGTGTTTGGTTATCTTGCTGGATCAATTAAAACCTCTCAAAAGTTGTAATATATTTTTTTAAAAAAATTTAGTTTGTATAGTTGAATCTTTTGAATACAAAAATAAAATAAAATATAGTGAAAATTGGAATACCAGTTTTTTATATTTTAATTCATAGACATATGCATATGAATCGTTTAGGCATTAAATTAAATTAAATTAAATTAAATTAAATTAAATTAAATTAAATTAAATTAAATTAAATTAAATTAAATTAAATTAAATTAAATTAAATTAAATTAAATTAAATTAAATTAAATTAAATTAAATTAAATTAAATTAAATTAAATTAAATACAAAATTACAAATTTAATTAAAACAAAACATTTGTGAGTATGATAAATTAAGAATTATATGAAAGAGATCTCAAACTATTTAAGTTCCTTTCGTGGTTTGCAAAGTTTGTTACGAAAAAAAAACTAATTTGCACTTTTTTGAAATTGAACTTAACATTTATTGCAAAAAAAAATTCATCATCCAAATTTATTTAAATGTATTTCACTTATCTCCAATTAATCCCAATCTTGAAATGAATTTACTCAGTATTATGAAGCTTGAGTAATCTCTTGTAAACCAGTTAAACTGTTTAAGAGAGTCGACATGTCCATCTCTGGAGATATCCGTTTCAGTCCTTTTCTTTCCTCTTCAAGCAAAGGACACTCAACTAAAATGTGATGAACTGTTTCCAGCTCTCCACATTTGCAGTTGTAACTATCCTTTTCAATTCCATACTTTTTAAACCATGCGCCAAAGTTGCCATGGCCTGTGCAAAACTGAGTAATATTACTCAAGATCCTTCGACTATCTTTCTTCATGATCACTCCCGTGACCATTTTGGAAAGATTATCAGTACATTTCGACTCCACTGTGATATTATGATACCACAGATCCTTACTGCTGTTCCAATACATTTCTTGCCATTCTTCCATTGCTTGTTTCTTCAAAATTCCAATCGTCTGATTCTGTTGTTGTTTCAGTGTAAGAGGTTCAACCCTCTTGCATTTTCTTTTTTCATCCATTTTAATCATATAGTCTCTATCATCTTTCGCCAACATGTAAAGCGTGGTTAGTTTTGCAATTGGAGATTTCTCAATCAATGTTAACAAATGACCATTAATAGGATTAGTTTTGCTAATATTTAGGTGTAAACGAATAGCTTTTCGTGCCACCATAAATTTTAGCCTAATAATATATGGCATAATACCAGCTTCCTTTTGTAGTACCGCAATAGGAGTTGTGCGATCAGCACCAACAATTCTTCTTAAAGCCATGTTCTGCATCACTTCCAACTTGTGGATTTCTCCTTTCAAGATTTTATGATGCCAAATTTCTAAGCCATATTCGACAATTGGTCTCACGCAAGCAATATACAGTGATCTGACTGCAGACCCTCGCATACCTTTTTGCACCCCACCAAGATGCCAAATAGCACCAACAGCTTTTCTTGCTTTATTGATTTTATTCAAAATATGAGATTTAAAATCAAGCAGATTGTTCAAAGTAATTCCAAGCAATTTAACTTCCTTTTGGGGTTCACGAAGTTCTCCATTAGGTAAAGTAAGTTGCACTTTCTCATCTTTAGGTTTCACATTTTTTGTAAAATGAATAAAACCCAATTTATCACCCAAATCAATTTTGGTCATTCTTGATTTAGCCCAATTACAACATTTTTCTAATATGTTGCTTAATCTTTTGGTATTTTCTTCAATTTTACCTTCAACAGTAATAGTCACATCATCAATAAAGCCAAAAGGAGTTCCACCCCATTCTTTAATGGCATGATACATTGGTGTGGAATATATCAAAAAAAGTAGTGGTGAAATAGGTGAGCCTTGTGGAATTCCAGTACTAATTTTTTGCACTGATCCTTTTCTTCGGTCCATGAGCATACTAGCTTCTCTTTCACTTACAAATTGGTACGTCCAGTTTATAAGTGCTTTGGGTAGTTTCATATCCTCCATTGTGTGTGCCAATATATTTCTGTTAACATTATCAAAAGCTCCTTGAATATCAATGAGCATAGCTGAAATTTTTTCTTTACTAGTTTCAATTCTTTGGACAAGTTCCAAAACAGCATCAGTAGCACAATAACCTTGTCTTCCCCATATTGCTCTGGTGGAAGTAAGTGTGTTGTAAGCTTGGTCATTCTTTTTTGTATAATTTTTCCAGTACTTTAGATGGAATCTTAAGTAAGGAAATTGGTCGGTATGCTCTTGGCTTTGAATAGTCAGGTTTCTTAGGTTTAGGTATAACAACAATAATGCCATGTCTCCAGACTTTTGGGTGGTATCCAAACTTCACACAAGCTTGGAGAAGCTTGAAAAACCTTTCCTTAAAGTCTTTATTTAGCCATGCCATCTTTAAAACTTTGCCAGTAATTCCATCGTCTCCTGGAGCTTTATCATTTGGGGTATCAGCCAATGCAGAGTCAACTTCATCAAACTCTAATTTTGGCCATCGAGAATCGTCATCAATTTCAAACTCTCTATCAAGACCATGATCAATTTCAGGTAGAAGTGCCTTCCATATTTCATGTCTTTTTTCGTCAACAGTAGTAGTGAGAGTTCCATCTTCTTTTCTAATTTGTGGTATAATGGTATCATTGCTTTTTGGATTAATATACTTCAAAATCTTCCAAATGTCATTTCCTTCTAAACTAGACAAATATTTATTCCATTGCTCAGTACTTGCCTCACGCAAACTGTGGTCAAAAATTTTTCTAGCTTTTTTCGCCTCTTCAATTTTTTGTCGTTTCAAAGCCAAAGAAGGTTGCCTTTGTCGGGCTTCCCTTTTAGCTTCTAGCGCTTTTTCTAACTTTTCTCTTAATTCTTGATTCCAATAGCGTTTGGACTTTTTCATCACCTTAACTTCCTTCATCGACTTTGCCATTGCTCTTTTTACAACCTCCTCAAGAACTTTAGCTTGGTCATCAATTTGGTCAGTTGATTTTAGAGTTTTGTTATGCACATTAAAATCTTTAATGGCAGAAGAAAGCTCCTTGTCAAACTTTTCCCAATCTGCATTCTTAATATTCAATCTCTTCACCGAAGTAAAAACTTCATCCCCGTTTTTTACTCTGAGACATAGAGATGTCCCACTCCACAATTGAGTTATCACTTAGTGTATTTTCATCCACTCCACTAAATGAAATTCTATGAAGTAAGTCCACTGAGCCATAAACCAAATCAATATTGGTTCTATTGTTGTATGTTTTTTGATTTCTTGGAGTAATTAACATCATATCATTTCCATGTAGCCACTCAACAACTTCATCTGCTTCCATATTCGGACCTGCCCTTGATTCCCATTCCTTGTGATGTAGGTTATAATCACCTGCAATGACAATCTTTGAGTATTGTTCCTTGATCTCCCGTCTGAGAAACTCAAAAACCGGTGGCTCAGGGTATTTCTTGGATGGTTTCGGTTGATTATAGACATTGACAATTGTAATGTCTTTAACCAAAATGGTAACCATATCTCGATTTGTAAACTTTTCAATTTTAGTAGTTAATGCTCGTAAGTCAGAGTTAGACCTAATGTAAGTAATTGCTCTGCATTTATTTTTTTCTTTTCCAGTTTCTGTAAAGATTGGGATCCAATCTTTATGTTTAATGGGCCCATAGTTGTTAAAGTAAGGTTCTTGTAATAACAAGATATCAGGTTCTTTTTTATCTAAGATAGTTTCAGTAATAGATTTCGATTTATGACAATTGAGTTGGAATACTTTATAATTCATTGGATGTAATAGAATTGTTTTCGTTTTCTTCCTCATTGGATTCATCTAGTTCTTCAATATTTGTTTCTTTTATCGGTTCATCTTGTGAGTCGTCAGTGGAAACAGGATGGGCCTCATTATCCTTTTTGTCTGATTCATTTTTCAATAATCGTATCTTATTACGCATAGCTTGGAGTTCTTCAGGAGTTTTTTTTCTGCTAATAAAAGGTCTAACTTTAACTTTTGTGTACTGGATAATAAGATTATCAGCACACTTTGCATAGTCTTGGGCATTTCTGAATGAAACCAATGCTGTTTGGGTAAATTGGTTTCTGCTAATGATTTTGGGTTCGGTATTCAAAACAATATGGTAATCATTAAAATTGTAGAGAGTTTCTTTCAAGTCTTCAATTGATGCCGTATTAGGTATTTCCTGAAGTACAGCCTTGTACCAAGAATCTGTGTCAAGCACTGAATAAGTAGGGTCAACTTTGGGGATCCATTCTGCAGCTTTATCAGCAAAATCTTTGTCATTAAGTTGAACATATAAATGCCCTTTGACAGTATAGCCTATTTCCTGAGCCACCGGCTTTTGTGCAACCGCATCAATTTTCTTTCCAATCGCAGGGATATTAACTCTTTTCATGGTATCTGGAATTCTTATGCACACTCTAAAAGTGGGTTTATCGTCATCAACTTTAGTTTCACGGTGTTGTTTTTGAGCCTTCATAATGTCTTTCAACTTTGGAGTTGCTCCATTTGGAGTTTTAGGGGTCAAAGCAAAAGGCAAAGTGTCGACTTTTCTTACCGCGCTCTTGATTTCCTTTTTTGCGTAGCTAAGTTCTTTGGTAGTTAAATCAGCCTTAGTTGAAATAGTTCCAACTTTGTATTCCATATTATCAACTCTTTTTTCAAGATTGTTGGTCATTTCTTTGAATTCCTTGATTTCAGTGTCGATAATTCTTTCGTTTCTTGCTTTTTCTTGAGACAAATCTTGAAGAGTCATCTTAGCTATTTCATCAGCTTTATGTTTCACTTTATCGCAATGATCCTTATTATCCTTAACTTCCTTTTTGAGTTTTTCAAACATCACATGTTTAACTTCTGTGTGAACCTGATTGTTTCTCAAAACATCAAGTTCTGAGCGAAGAGAATTCACTTGTCCTTCTGAAGCTTTAAGCTTTTCGGTCAAAGCAATGAGTTGTTTAGCTAACTCATTGTTTTTAAGTTCAAGATTTTGAAATTTTATTTCCCAATCTTCAATTGTAATACTCAAGTCTTCTTTAACAATAGACAATTCAACCAGAAATACATCCTTAAGTTTTAAGATATATTCCCAGGCTTCAGAATTATCACCAAATGGATTTGCATCCGGCATGAGAACATCCATGTCACGTGATGGTGTTGCGTCAATTTCAACATCACCACCATCTGGTGAAGAGTCAAAGGTAGGGTTCAAGGTTGGACCAACATTCACAATAGGGGTTTCAACGGGGGTTTCGTGGTTTGAAGAAGCATTATGCTTATCATTCGATTCAAGCTTTTTGTGGATAGTTTCAATTTTTTATGGGAGTCTGGTTTTTCATTATTTTTTTGGATTTTTGTCGAGGGTTTGATGTGATGAGCTTCATGAGAATGAGGTCCTCTGGAATGAGAACTTTCTTTCTCCTTCAGTTCAACAGCAATAATTTTTTGCATATCATTAATATTAGTCTGTTCATTATTATTGTCGGTATAATTATTGTCGGCAGGAGGGTCGCCGCCACTAAACGTGGTTTGGGTGTTGTTGGGGGGGTCTGACATTTTGTTTGTTTGTTTGTTTGTTTTTATTCAAGGGTTATAGAACTATATAACATCAGCATCTGCGCTATCCTTTTATTGTCTGACTATGTGACTTGCCGGTTTTCATTTGTACCTTTTTAGTACGGGTGGTTTCTGTTCTGTGCGTCTCCGGTAGCCCGGAAGATGGGCCCTGATGCCAGCTTACGAGGAACAGGGAGAACCAGTCTGTCGGTCCCAAAACCTTCCCAACCCATTTCCACTTATCTTCACGGACGCCCATGTATTTCTTAATCTCTTCCGTCAGAGATACGGCCCGCAATCACCTGCAGGCTATTTAGACTGTACGGAAGAGTCGGCATTCCTGTAACCAGGGTAGCCTATGGTTTTCAGTCTAGGTGTATACTCCCGTACACATCCTCAGGAAAAAGGGGGGTCTGACATTTTCAAAATTTATATTGTTTGTTTGTTTGTTTTTATTCAAGGGTTATAGAATTATATAACATCAGCATCTGCGCTATCCTTCTTGTCCATACTATATATTTTTTCATTTTGATAATAAACTTTTAATTTTGGCTTCAACATTGCATCTCCAACAGCCCGAAAATAAGTCCTGATGCCAGCTTACGAGGAACAGGGGGTTAAAATAACCAAACCTTCCCAACCTATCTCCACTTGTCTTCATCAACGCTGTAATTGTATTTCTTAATCCCTCCAAGCAGAGATAAAGCTTACAATCTCTTGTAAGCCAGTTAAACTGTTTAAGAGAGTCGACATGTCCATCTCTGGAGATATCCGTTTCAGTCCTTTTCTTTCCTCTTCAAGCAAAGGACACTCAACTAAAATGTGATGAACTGTTTCCAGCTCTCCACATTTGCAGTTGTAACTATCCTTTTCAATTCCAAACTTTTTAAACCATGCGCCAAAGTTGCCATGGCCTGTGCGAAAACTGAGTAATATTACTCAAGATCCTTCGACTATCTTTCTTCATGATCACTCCCGTAACCATTTTGGAAAGATTATCAGTACATTTCGACTCCACTGTGATATTATGATACCACAGATCCTTACTGCTGTTCCAATACATTTCTTGCCATTCTTCCATTGCTTGTTTCTTCAAAATTCCAATCGTCTGATTTTGTTGTTGTTTCAGTGTAAGAGGTTCAACCCTCTTGCATTTTCGTTTTTCATCCTTTTTTATTCATATAGTCTCTATCATCTTTCGCCAACATGTAAAGCGTGGTTAGCTTTGCAATTGGAGATTTCTCAATCAATGTTAACAAATGACCATTAATAGGATTAGTTTTGCTAATATTTAGGTGTAAACGAATAGCTTTTCGTGCCACCATAAATTTTAGCCTAATACTATATGGCATAATACCAGCTTCCTTTTGTAGTACCGCAATAGGAGTTGTGCGATAAGCACCAACAATTCTTCTTAAAGCCATATTCTGCATTACTTCCAACTTGTGGATTTCTCCTTTCAAAATTTTGTGATGCCAAATTTCTAAGCCATATTCGACAATTGGTCTCACGCAAGCAATATACAGTGATCTGACTGCAGACCCTCGCATACCTTTTTGCACCCCACCAAGATGCCAAATAGCACCAACAGCTTTTCTTGCTTTATTGATTTTATTCAAAATATGAGATTTAAAATCAAGCAGATTGTTCAAAGTAATTCCAAGCAATTTAACTTCCTTCTGGGGTTCACGAAGTTCCCCATTAGGTAAAGTAAGTTGCACTTTCTCATCTTTAGGTTTCACATTTTTTGTAAAATGAATAAAACCCAATTTATCACCCAAATCAATTTTGGTCATTCTTGATTTAGCCCAATTACAACATTTTTCTAATATGTTGCTTAAGCTTTTGGTATTTTCTTCAATTTTACCTTCAACGGTAATAGTCACATCATCAATAAAGCCAAAAGGAGTTCCACCCCATTCTTTAATGGCATGATACATTGGTGTGGAATATATCAAAAAAGTAGTGGTGAAATAGGTGAGCCTTGCGGAATTCCAGTACTAATTTTTGCACTGATCCTTTCTTCGGTCCATGAGCATACTAGCTTCTCTTTCACTTACAAATTGGTACGTCCAGTTTATAAGTGCTTTGGGTAGTTTCATATCCTCCATTGTGTGTGCCAATATATTTCTGTTAACATTATCAAAAGCTCCTTGAATATCAATGAGCATAGCTGAAATTTTTCTTTACTAGTTTCAATTCTTTGGACAAGTTCCAAAACAGCATCAGTAGCACAATAACCTTGTCTTCCCCATATTGCTCTGGTGGAAGTAAGTGTGTTGTAAGCTTGGTCATTCTTTTTGTATAATTTTTTCCAGTACTTTAGATGGAATCTTAAGTAAGGAAATTGGTCGGTATGCTCTTGGCTTTGAATAGTCAGGTTTCTTAGGTTTAGGTATAACAACAATAATGCCATGTCTCCAGACTTTTGGGTGGTATCCAAACTTTACACAAGCTTGGAGAAGCTTGAAAAACCTTTCCTTAAAGTCTTTATTTAGCCATGCCATCTTTAAAACTTTGCCAGTAATTCCATCGTCTCCTGGAGCTTTATCATTTGGGGTATCAGCCAATGCAGAGTCAACTTCATCAAACTCTAATTTTGGCCATCGAGAATCGTTATCAATTTCAAACTCTCTATCAAGACCATGATCAATTTCAGGTAGAAGTGCCTTCCATATTTCATGTCTTTTTCGTCAACAGTAGTAGTGAGAGTTCCATCTTCTTTTCTAATTTGTGGTATAATGGTATCATTGCTTTTTGGATTAATATACTTCAAAATCTTCCAAATGTCATTTCCTTCTAAACTAGACAAATATTTATTCCATTGCTCAGTACTTGCCTCACGCAAACTGTGGTCAAAAAATTTTTCTAGCTTTTTTGCCTCTTCAATTTTTTTTGTCGTTTCAAAGCCAAAGAAGGTTGTCTTTGACGGGCTTCCCTTTAGCTTCTAGCGCTTTTTCTAACTTCTCCCTTAATTCTTGATTCCAATAGCGTTTGGACTTTTTCATCACCTTAACTTCCTTCATCGACTTTGCCATTGCTCTTTTTACAACCTCCTCAAGAACTTTAGCTTGGTCATCAATTTGGTCAGTTGATTTTAGAGTTTTGTTATGCACATTAAAATCTTTAATGGCAGAAGAAAGCTCCTTGTCAAACTTTTCCCAATCTGCATTCTTAATATTCAATCTCTTCACCGAAGTAAAACTTCATCCCCGTTTTACTCTGAGACATATAGATGTCCCACTCCACAATTGAGTGATCACTTAGTGTATTTTCATCCACTCCACTAAATGAAATTCTATGAAGTAAGTCCACTGAGCCATAAACCAAATCAATATTGGTTCTATTGTTGTATGTTTTTTGATTTCTTGGAGTAATTAACATCATATCATTTTCATGTAGCCACTCAACAACTTCATCTGCTTCCGTATTCGGACCTGCCCTTGACTCCCATTCCTTGTGATGTAAGTTATAATCACCTGCAATGACAATCTTTGAGTATTGTTCCTTGATCTCCCGTTTGAGAAACTCAAAACCGGTGGCTCAGGGTATTTCTTGGATGGTTTCGGTTGATTATAGACATTGACAATTGTAATGTCTTTAACCAAAATGGTAACCATATCTCGATTTGTAAACTTTTCAATTTTAGTAGTTAATGCTCGTAAGTCAGAGTTAGACCTAATGTAAGTAATTGCTCTGCATTTATTTTTTTTTTTTCCAGTTTCTGTAAAGATTGGGATCCAATCTTTATGTTTAATGGGCCCATAGTTGTTAAAGTAAGGTTCTTGTAATAACAAGATATCAGGTTCTTTTTATTTAAGATAGTTTCAGTAATAGATTTCGATTTATGACAATTGAGTTGGAATACTTTATAATTCATTGGATGTAATAGAATTGTTTTCGTTTTCTTCCTCATTGGATTCATCTAGTTTTCAATATTTGTTTCTTTCATCGGTTCATCTTGTGAGTCGTCAGTGGAAACAGGATGGGCCTCATTATCCTTTTGTCTGATTCATTTTTCAATAATCGTATCTTATTACGCATAGCTTGGAGTTCTTCAGGAGTTTTTTTTTTTCTGCTAATAAAAGGTCTAACTTTAACTTTTGTGTACTGGATAATAAGATTATCAGCACACTTTGCATAGTCTTGGGCATTTCTGAATGAAACCAATGCTGTTTGGGTAAATTGGTTTCTGCTAATGATTTTGGGTTCGGTATTCAAAACAATATGGTAATCATTAAAATTGTAGAGAGTTTCTTTCAAGTCTTCAATCGATGCCGTATTAGGTATTTCCTGAAGTACAGCCTTGTACCAAGAATCTGTGTCAAGCACTGAATAAGTAGGGTCAACTTTGGGGATCCATTCTGCAGCTTTATCAGCAAAATCTTTGTCATTAAGTTGAACATATAAATGCCCTTTGACAGTATAGCCTATTTCCTGAGCCACCGGCTTTTGTGCAACCGCATCAATTTTCTTTCCAATCGCAGGGATATTAACTCTTTTCATGGTATCTGGAATTCTTATGCACACTCTAAAAGTGGGTTTGTCTTCATCAACTTTAGTTTCACGGTGTTGTTTTTGAGCCTTCATAATGTCTTTCAACTTTGGAGTTGCTCCATTTGGAGTTTTAGGGGTCAAAGCAAAAGGCAAAGTGTCGACTTTTCTTACCGCACTCTTGATTTCCTTTTTGCGTAGCTAAGTTCTTTGGTAGTTAAATCAGCCTTAGTTGAAATAGTTCCAACTTTGTATTCCATATTATCAACTCTTTTCTCAAGATTGTTGGTCATTTCTTTGAATTCCTTGATTTCAGTGTCGATAATTCTTTTGTTTCTTGCTTTTTCTTGAGACAAATCTTGAAGAGTCATCTTAGCTATTTCATCAGCTTTATGTTTCACTTTATCGCAATGATCCTTATTATCCTTAACTTCCTTTTAAGTTTTTCAAACATTACATGTTTAACTTCTGTGTGAACCTGATTGTTTCTCAAAACATCAAGTTCTGAGCGAAGAGAATTCACTTGTCCTTCTGAAGCTTTAAGCTTTTCGGTCAAAGCAATGAGTTGTTTAGCTAACTCATTGTTTTTAAGTTCAAGATTTTGAAATTTTATTTCCCAATCTTCAATTGTAATACTCAAGTCTTCTTTAACAATAGACAATTCAACCAGAAATACATCCTTAAGTTTTAAGATGTATTCCCAGGCTTCAGAATTATCACCAAATGGATTTGCATCCGGCATGAGAACATCCATGTCACGTGATGGTGTTGCGTCAATTTCCACATCACCACCATCTGGTGAAGAGTCAAAGGTAGGGTTCAAGGTTGGACCAACATTCACAATAGGGGTTTCAACGGGGGTTTCGTGGTTTGAAGAAGCATTATGCTTATCATTCGATTCAAGCTTTTTGTGGATAGTTTCAATTTTTTTATGGGAGTCTGGTTTTTCATTATTTTTTTGGATTTTTGTCGAGGGTTTGATGTGATGAGCTTCATGAGAATGAGGTCCTCTGGAATGAGAACTTTCTTTCTCCTTCAGTTCAACAGCAATAATTTTTTGCATATCATTAATATTAGTCTGTTCATTATTATTGTCGGTATAATTATTGTCGGCAGGAGGGTCGCCGCCACTAAACGTGGTTTGGGTGTTGTTGGGGGGGTCTGACATGGTTTTTTCCTTCTTTTTCAAAATTTATATAATTTATGGTTTTTATAGTTTTTATATTTAAGTCCTTTAAATATTTTTTAAGTTTATATTTTTAACAGCGGATTTAGCTCAGTTGGGAGAGCGTCAGACTGAAGTTTTCACTTTAGTCAAGGTAATCTGAAGGTCCTGTGTTCGATCCACAGAATTCGCAATTAATTTTTTTATAATTTTTTTTTTTTTCTTTCTTTTGCTTTAAGTTATAAAGCTGTTGATTTTAGTTACTTGTCGAAGTGATTAGTCTGTTCTACAAAAAAAAAAGGTCTCGTTCATTAAAACTAAATTGGAAAAGCATTTATTAAATTATTTAACTTTTTCAAGAACCCATTCTGCATTTGTAATAGAAACTTCATTACCAGCGTTGTCATCATAATCATACCACTCATTTTCTTCCAAATCTACTGGATCAAAAACTGTTGGGCCAACCTTGACAGAGCCATCATCTTCATCAAGAGACCCGGAAACACATTTGAACTTTCCGTCAGGAATAAAAGCCAAAATATCGAGGCCGCGGGTATCGATTTTAAGCATGAGAAGTTTAAAGCCACTCTTGTCGAGGGGGTATGAGCGAGAAACTGAGTTGTCAAACTTGAGAGCGATGCGAGATTCCTTTTTGCAGTTTTTACAGCGCATGATAAAGTTTGCGTCAGCTCTGGGGCCACCAGAGCCGTCGGTATTTGCTTCGGGTTCTTCGTATCTGTTGACGGTGATTGGATTTGGGTGGGTTTCTTTACATGATGTACAGCTGAAAAAATTAAATAAAGAAGAAGGTTCAAGGGGGTAAACGGCAAGGTATTATTATATTAGTAGCGGCAAAGGTCTTAACAAAATAAGGCAGACATACCGGACCTTAAAGGTATAAAGAAAAGGGTCTTCTGGAGGATCCACAAAAGAAAGATTGGTGACGTTATCGAGGTCTGCTTTAAGGATAAGGCCAATCATGGTTAAAGAGATTGTTGATGGTAGTAATATTGGTGGTAGTGGTGGTAGTGGTGATGAAGATAAGGTTTTTTTTTTGGTGGTGTGGAAAAAAAAAATTAAAATTTAATTGGGTAAAAATAAAATTTTTTTTGTTTGTCTCTGTCTCAACAACACCACCATGTTGATCCAACGACCCGCAGCCCGGAGCGTTCGGTCGGGACGTGTGATATCTTTGGCCACTAGTTTAAATTCGAGTTATACAGCTAATTCAGGTACTCTAGTTTTGAGCACCTTTTTTTTAATTTCAAAGCAGCATTACTCACAAGCACCTCCATCAACATTAACGAAAGCACCAAGGAAACGCGCCGCAGGAACTCCTAAACGCATCAATTCCAAGATTTTTCTTAAAAGTGACCGACACTTGGTACAAGCTGCTTTTAAGTCTTTGGAATCCGATCTTGACGCATCGGTTTCTGTTTTCAGCGGGACCATGAGTTCAGATAGTGACTTAGCGCATGAACTGGGGAAGCCAGTGGTACATAACGTACGGTTGGAAGCTGCGATGCGCATGATTGCTGATACACTTTTACTCTACAAAGTTATTGACTCCAAGATTAATGCTCAGAGACTTGAACTTCAACTTTCTCAAGACTCTGGGCACCAGTCTAAGAGTGAAAATGGTGAATTGGACAATGCTTTCAGCATTGACAATTTCTATTCACAATCCAATGGCGCTTTAGAAACAATATACCCAGGTGTGCCTATGGATATAGAACCACTTGATATTGATAGTGGTAGACTGGCAAGATTATCGAGGCGCGAGCTTGATGAGCTACACATGTATCTGGCCAAATACCTTGTGCATAGAGACACCAGCAGCATTCAGCGGCTTTACAATAAGTACTTACACAGTCACATTCATACTTCTGGAGGCTCTATAGCACTTACAGATGATCAACAACGGCAGCTGCAACAGAAACAGAAACAGCATGGAACCAAACAAGGAACCAGTTCCGTGAACATTCGCACAGCGCGTCTCAACCAACTGCTGAGGGGAGCTCTAGCTGCGGCGGGCCCGCGCCCAGAGCAAGTGCTGAGCGAAGCTTCGCGGATTTTAATGACGTTTGGAGCGTTGCCAAATTTGGAGACGTTCAACATTTTGATTCGACAACTGACTTTGTATCGGTTGGAGATGCCAGCCAGATTGGTTTACGAGGTGGTAAGAATTGCTGAAAGACAGCCGCTAGGAAAAGAACTGTATAATAGTGTGTGTCGACTGGCGATTGGATCAGGTAATAAGGCCTGGTTTCTTGATTTGGCTCGTGTTTATGATTTCAACAATGTGACTACACGGGACGGCCAAGAGTCGCCGCTAAATGAGGATTTTTGGCGACGGTTTAATCCAATCCGGATGTCGTCTTATATGGCGCACGAGTGGCTTGAATGCCGGCCCCATGACTTGGAATTACGGAAGAGGTTTTTTGGGTCCGATGAAGCAGAGATTGTTGCTAGAAAGATGAATTCGACACATATTTATACAACCCTTATTTCTGGGTTTGTTGCATTTGGTTGGCACTGGTGGGTGGATGGTGTTTTGCGAAAGATGGCTGCAGAAGGATTGCCTTTGCCTGTGCAAGTTTTGACGCTCAATTTCCGAGCAGCTGCTGCATCTCAAGACAAGGCCAAGGTGTTGTGGACATGGCGCGAACTTGTGGGACTTCCTGAACGGCTTTCTCAGATACCGTTACGTGACATTAATGGGAATGTTGTTTCACGCGTTTTTTACGACGAGGAGGTTTATTTGGCGGCCCGAGCGGCAGCTTTAGCGGTTGGAGATCGGAAGTTGTTGGCTGAGATTGAGTTGTATAATTCGCAAATGACGGAACAGCGATTATGTTCAGGACACTTGATGATGGAAATACCTCCAGATTATGCACCTTTTGATTTGAGTGGTGATAGGGGAGAAAAGGCCTGTCATAAGAGGAATACAGGGACCAGAACTTTGGCAGCAAACAAGCAGCACCAGCAAAAGCCGGCACAGAGTTTTGCTAGTGTGATTACCAATGCACTTTTTGCTAAATCCAAGCCTGTGGAGCCTGAACAAGAGCCACAATCCGTTGCAGTAGCGGTTGGGCCTCGGTACGGGGTGTTGGGGAGTGCGTACCGGGGGGCTCGGAACGTATCCGCTGCGCAGGCCGGGCAGAGTCTTGCGGGATGGCAGCGTCGGCGCGGCATTGGCGAAGATACGGAAGTAGACTGGGTTGCAGCGCTTGACCAGGCGCGGCTGAAGACGATAGCTTCTTCCAGTACAAAATCTGGGAGAAGCGCTGCAAATAGTGTGCCGAAATCGGATATAGAGTCTTTGCCAGCTTCAACACAAGGCACTGGTGGTGTCGGGACTCAAGGATATGGGGATACGGTTCCAGTATCGGGTCTCCAGCCGTCGTTTGTAGTGAAAGGAAGCGGGACACGTCGGCGGTGGTTTGAACTGTGGTGATTTGTGGGTGGTGGTAATGTAAATATAGATTGATGAATAGATTTGTTTTGTATATATGTACATAATAATTATATTAATATTATATAAAAATAACTTCTTATTCTTATTGTTGGACTTTAACTAATTTTAAACAGTTGATTTCTATATATATATATATATATATATATATATAAATATATATTAAAAAAAAAAAACTGCTGAAAACCTCCAAGTTTTGAAAACTTTTGCTACCAAAAATTCCTTATTTTCAACATACTTAACAAGTAACTTGTTAAACTAACAAGATCAAGTCAATGTCCGGTCCATATACCAATAATAGAGTTAACGTCGTCACGGACCAACAGATGCCACCACCCCCACCACTTACGTCTGAGCAGCTCCAGTATATTGAAGAAAAACTAATCTCATCCACAGAGTTTTTAGATTGTCTTGAATCTCGTTTAAAGTCCAAAATCCCAGCAACTGTCATGGCCAATACAAGCAACATTCCGCCGCCTCCAGATTACAATGAAGAAAGTGGTAGTATGATTAACGGTAGCTTGTATACATCAGAATCCAATAATAACAACAATACTGAGTTCAGCTGCTTTTGTGATGGATGCAAAAAGGCCACATTTGGAAGCTGGTATCATTGCGATACATGCCCAAACTATGATCTTTGTGCTTCTTGTTTTAATCAGGCTCAAACGCAGCCAAACAGCCACCGGCTACTTCACGGCTTTCTGCGTATTCGATCTCGCGACGATGTGATTTTGCCCGAGATTATGCGTATGGATTACTATCCGGCTGGTACGTGGGAGCGTGTGTATGGGTACAAGCAGTCTGTGCACACAGACATAAATTGCGATGGATGTGGCAAGAAACCAATCATGGGCGAACGGTACAAGTGTATGGTGTGCCGGGACTTTGATTATTGTGCAAAGTGCGAGGCATCTCCTGTGATTAATACGCATAATCCGCGTCATCCCATGATCAAGTATAAGTTTCCTGCGGCTGCACCGAAAAAAATGTAGATTATTGGAGTTGATATATATGTATGGATGAATAATGGATAATAATATTTATTAAATTTATTAGATAAATGGGGGTTTTTCTATTAAGCTTATGTGAATGAATATACAAAGATTTATATTTTATTTTTTGTTAAAGTTGATTGATTTGATTTTATATACAGAAGTTGGTCATATGAGTACATCAAAATATCGTTATTTTAATGGTATCAACAAATGAGACACAGGATATCTGATAAGACAGAACGATTTTTTTAATAATAATAATAATACCAAGACTAAATAAATAGGTGAAAACTTAACGACTTGGCAGCAATAGACAACAACAGCAAACAAACAATAAAATTATTATGATTTAAATTTAAATATTTTTTTAAAGTATTTCATGGTCATTTGAGTGATTATTAATGTTGATTTAAATAAATAATAATAAAAAGAAAAAATCAGTCAAGAGTATATCTATCTAAGGATTTTCAATAGCTTTTGTAATTTAACGTCAATGAGTCTTTAGAAAACCAAATTTAATATTTAAAGAATATAAATAAAGTAAACAATCTCTGCAAATTTTAAATTTCTTAAATTCTACATTTTCAATTATATTTATTGGCCAATAAACATCAACAAGGATGGGATATTGTTATATCTTTTATTTTATTTGTTTGAAGAAATTTTTCAATAAAAAGCTGGTATAAAAAAAATGAAAAAAATAAATAAATCAATGAAACATTTTTAATTTATTTATTTTTTTTTATATTCATTTATAAAACCATTCTAACAATGATATTTAAATATTATTATTATAAAAATCAAAAGCAAATCCTTGGTAAAGAATATTGGACATGATAAATGTTTGAATGCCTAATTAAAACCTGTTCCAATCTATTAAGCTATCTATATAGATAACAATCCAAAATTATTATTATGTAGACTGGCTATTAACGGGGTACTTTGTTTTTATATGAAATATGAAATATGAAATATGAAATATGAAATATGAAATATGAAATATGAAATATGAAATATGAAATATGAAATATGAAATATGAAATATGAAATATGAAATATGAAATATGAAATATGAAATATGAAATATGAAATATGAAATATGAAATATGAAATATGAAATATGAAATATGAAATATGAAATATGAAATATGAAATATGAAATATGAAATATGAAATATGAAATATGAAATATGAAATATGAAATATGAAAAAAAAAATTATGTTTTTTTTATTAATTTAATGATTGATTAGCTTTTTTTTAACTAAATGATTATCTTTTTTTATTTATTTATTTATTTAAAATGGGTATGGGTTAGGGTTTATTTTTAGACCAATGAAATTGATTAAACTAAATAATGGGTAACCAAAAAGGATGAATCGTCTGAGGGTAATTTTTGGACTATCTAACTAATTAGTTTAACTAAAGTAAGTAACTTACTTATACAGTAATCAAGAAAAAACTTCAATTAAAAAGGCCCTTTTTACCTTTTTTATTTTCTTTTAAAATAGTTTTTTTTTGTTAATTAGTAAAATGGAAAGGTATTAAAATCAATGAAAAGGGTTTCATTCAACTCCTTTATTTTATTTTATTTTATTTTTATTTTTATTTTTTTTTGTTATTAAAACCAAAACTATATTTCTCTTTCACCTTCTTTTTACTGATTGATAATTATTATATTATGTATCATTTTTTTCATTATTATTTAAATAATTTTTTTAAGATGAAAAAAAATTTTTTTTTAAATTAATAACCGTTTTAAAATTGGATGCTTCGCGTGTTTTGGCAATTAACTGCTGTATTTTAAATTTCAATCTTTTTAAAGACTTGAAAAAAAAAAAAATTAAAAAATAAAATTTTCTGGTTTTTTTTTATTTCAATAAATTAATTCAATTAATAAATTATTTATATGTATGTATGTAAAAACCCGGATACTGCAACATAAGGCTAATTATTGCTCTAAGAAATAACCTCTCCAAACGTCCAAACCCGTGCAAGCAACACCTCCAGGGACTTAAACCTGGGACTTTTACTATTATGTATATTATATATATATATATTTTTTTATATTTACATTTTAGTTAAAATGTTGATGATGATGATGATGATATGAAAAATAAAATATAATATAATAAAATAAAATATTTTTTTTTATTTAACATCAGTTCATTTATATCACTTCACCTGGTTAAATTTTGCCGATTCAATTAAGCAGCATCTTCTTCTTCTTCTTCTATTTTTTTTTTCCTCTTTCTTACAGTATGAAAAAGTACTTCTTTTTTGCTTTACTTGGAAAGTAACCGCGGTCATGATTTTATTCTCTTTAGGCTCGTTTTTTTATTATATTATTATTTGTTATTACTCCAAAAGTCTATTTTGTGTTATCTATGGCTCATCATACATTATCTTGATAAATTATCTTGATAACTCAATCGGCTCTTTAAATGGCTTATCAGACATATTCTTAACCCCCCCAAAATAAAGGCTTTTTTTAAAAATATATATATAAAATAAAAAATCGATTAAAAACAATTCATCATATAATTAATTAATACAAAGTAATTACTCTAATAATTAAAAAAAAAAAATAATAATTTAATAAGCTTATACAAATTCCTCCTCATCTTTCTCTTCTTCTTCTTACCTTGACGATAGTAACGTAAAGGCAGTCACAGACTCAAACCGCTCCACAGTCAACTTAAGAGCAATCAAATAAAACTCCGTCGCAATCTCCGTTCCATCTGGCTTCAGCTCTCTCAGTGCTTGCCATGACTTGCGATCAAGCTTCCAAACAACCGCATCCGTCTCCGCTGACACCGTGGCTGTTCGGTACGTCCCACTGAAAAAGGGCAACTCGCCACACGTCGTCCCAGCAAGAATAATCTCATACAACGACCCTTGCTCAATGGTATCGTAGTCTGCCCGCAGCACACCAGTTTCAACAATGTAAAACCCAGTGGCTTCAGAGTCACTCTCGTAAAGAATCGTTCCGGCACTCACTTGCTCTCGTACAAAGTACGGACTCACACGGTGCCAAAACGACTCCCGCTTCGTCGTCACTCCTTGAAACGTTTGAAGCAATAACGGCAAAGGCTGCTTGTAGTGTTGCCATTTGGACGTAGACACAAGAACCTGTGGGTCCTCACGAAGTGTCTTATCAGCAACAAGCTGTAAAAATGCAACCCGTGGAGACCCCACAATTGAAGTAGAATCAAGTGCCTTCACAGAGTCACTGCGTGAAATACTTCTCTGAGCAACACTCAATGCAGCCTTGTTATAATCATTCTCTGGAATCTCAATACTTCTTTTACCAACTCCACCAGCAGATGAACTACTACCCGAAGTGCTAGGCCGTAACTGTCTAGTATTGAGCCGATCTCGACGAATGTAATAATCCTTCAAAAACTGATTTTCACACCACTCCAATGATGAATTAAGGTTGGGGAATAACCGTACACGCATGCTAGCCGCCTCCTCTTCATTCGGATTCTCCTCCTCAATAGGACACCCAGGCGAATCAATTAATGACTCCTCGTCGGTTGTGATAGAATTATTATTAATTGGCTTATTGTGCAAAACCTCTTCAGTATATGCGCGCTCCAGTAATCCCACCGCATGAAGAGCTTGAATCATGTGTGTCTCATCAGGAGACGAAATAATCATGTACACAGACTTAGTGTCAAGCAACCGCTTCATTCGTGCAAAGGCCTCTGCTGCAGAAAAATCAATGCCAGTAACTGCCTCCATATCCAAAATTAAATACCGAATGGGTTGCTGGTAAAAGTACTCATCATCAAGCAAGTTTCGCACCGCTTGTTCAATCCGAACAATAGTACCGAAAAAGATATTTCCTGTGAGCTTTAAAACAAAAATCTGATCACCAACCTCAAACAAAAAGCTTTGCAATGCGGCATTACGGCGCACTGTAGATCGTGCAACAGCACCTGTAAATGTAGCCTTGATGGCGCTTGTTTGTGACGCTTGAATAGTAAATGATGCACATGCAAGCAGAATGCCCACGATAATACCAGCAACAAAGTCCCAAGCTCCCATAGTCACAACGATAATCACAATTGTAAGGTACTCAAAACGACTGACACGGCCATATGTGTCCACCAAAGCCTCATTAATAAGCTCAATGCCTAGTAAAAAGATGAGTGCACCAACAACCATTACTGGAATAAATCCAATTACCACGGGACCTGCAATCATGACACAAAACGTGGCAATTGCAAGCATTACGCCGGCAAGTCTGCTGTCAGCACCTGAGCGGATAAAAAGAACGGAGTTAGTGTAAACCAGGTAGTTTTGGATACTACCGCAAAGTCCAGAAAGGGCATTAGAGATACCGTGAGCAAGAAGTTCACGGTCAACGTCAATATTATCTTCGCCAATAGAAGCAGCAAGCGCAGGGACATTAATAGGGACGTGGAGAATTCCGAAAAAGGTTAATGCAAACATGGCTGGAATGGTCTTCAAAAGAGCAATGTAGTCAATGGCTGCAAAGTCGTAAAGCGTGTAAAAGTACCACCATGGTTCGTCACTATTTTCCGGGCCCTCAAACAGCCACCCAGTTTTGCGCAAGTGCTCGTAGGAAAGGTTGGGGATCAAAAGAACCGCCAGGTGGAAAATAATAAAAACAGAAATAAAGTAGGAAGGAACCAATAGCGGGTGGTGAGTGTACTTTTGAATCGTAACCAGAATGAGTGCCAAAGCAAGAGGAATAAACCACTTGATTAAGGTGCCTTCTACAAAAAGCCACTTGAGCATGGCCCACGAGTATTCAAACGACCCGTCAAGACGCGACGAAACCTCTAGGCCAGTAACAATCAAAAACCAGCCAACACCACCAATGCACCCCACCAGAATGTGGCGGGGGAAAAATCCAATGATGGAACCGAGGCGCGCATAGCCCAAGCTGAAAAAGACTAAGCCAGTGACAATTGACGAGAGTGCAAAAGCTGCAATGGTAGTGGCGACGACAGTATGAGGCTTGTCTTCACCAATTTCCTGTACAAGAGTAGTTGCCATAGTGTGGAAAAAAGGAACAACCTCAATCATTTCGGACCCAACACCGGAACCAAAGTTACTACCGCCGAGCGAATAAACCAGCTGTGAAATGACGCATGAAACGTAAAACATGGACAGTCCGGCAGGCCCTAAAGATGCAAAGATGGGGTTGTTGAGGGGGAATAAAATCATGCCGTATGAAAGACCATCAAGGATATTTAAAAGCACCCCTAAAACCACAGATGGCAAGTATGAAAGTGGTTTTTTAATGCCATTTTCAAGCACAGACTCGCGTGTCAAATGTTCGCTAGCCCATTCATTTGCACACTTTGTCCATGATGAGGGTCGCATTGCCGAGTACAAAAACTTGCTGCCAAAGTTTGCATAGCCATTGAAGTTATTATATGTATTGTTATTGTTATTGTTAGTATTATTATTATTGTTGTTGTTATTATTATTATTATTCAATGGCGAAGAGCTACCTGGAGCAGTGCCATTGTGGAAAGTTTGGTACTCCAAGTGGTCTGATGAAGAAGATCCATAACTTCCCGTTTTGGAAAAGCTTCCGGGCAATAACGGAGACGTTTGCTGGGCTGGAGGAGGTGATGCTGGAGACGGGAAGGACGGTAACGATGTGAGGGTATTTGGATTTGCAAGGTCAGCAGCTGTAGTAGTAGATGATGTTATAGTTGCAAGGGCTTCTGGAGATAATGCCGCTGAAGATGTTTTGGTAGAGCCACTAGTATTTGAAGTTAATGCTGCTGCTGCTGCTGCTGCTGCTGCTGCCTTGTTGCTTTTTTGTTGCTTGACCCGAAATGTACGTGCCGGAGTCGAGTATGTCATTGGGCTCGAGCTAACATTGGTCGGGCTAAGCGGGGCGGATCCTCCAGAGGATAAGCCTGCCACGTCGGTATTTAAGGAAGTCGGGACAGTTGCTGTTGCTGTTGCTGTTGCTGTTGCTGTAGGATTTGTAGTATTAGTAGTATTAGTAGTAGTTGTAGTTGCTCCTGAGACTGCGGGGGCTGCTGCTATTGGGTGCTGAGAGTCGCCGATAGCCGGTTGTTGTTGTAATTGTGGTGGAATAAGGTTATCACCGGTGGGGCCTCTACCGCCAGCTGCTGCTTCCTCTGCATCTGCTTGTTTCCCAACCACCACCACACCTTGGGTGCTCTTGCCTTTAAGGATGGTAGAAAGATACGACGTGTTGCGATGGAGAGGAGGCGGGACATTAACTGTAGCTTCATCGGATCCGTCAGTTACATTTAAGGTAACAGGATTATTGTTATTGTTATTGTGTAAAGAAGCTGGTTGAACCAAATCTGGCCCAACCAAAGATTCATGTTCCGGAGATGTTGACGACAAATTCCATTTGGCCAGTGCATGGCCTCCGTAAGATGCAGCCACGGCACCTCCTGCTCCAGGAACTGCTTCGAATGAAGAATTGAAAAAGCTGCTTGCTGCATTGTTATTATTATTATTATTATTATTATTATTATTATTATTATTATTATTATTATTATTATTATTATTATTATTATTATTATTATTATTATTATTATTGTGACTAATGCTTGGGCTTGAACGTCGTGGCATTTCCGCAACAGAGTGAAGACTTCCTGGACGGAACCCAGAAAGTATGGATGAGCTGTTGCGACTAATGCTTCTGCGACGATATGATGCTGGGGTTTCAATTGAGCCTTCGCTAGCCTGTGATGAAAGTGTTCCGTCACCACCCCCAAGACCAACAGAGCTTGCCATCAAGCCAGTGAAATTGTCTTCGAGGGCAAGTTCTGCTAAAGAGGCAGTTTCTTCACGGACCGAAGATACTGTAGCAGCCGCAATTCCTGAGTTTAGAAACCCATTTCCTGCAGACCCAGGAGAATCTAAAAAAAAAAAAAAAAAAAAAACCGGTTAATATCATTATTAAGAAAAAAAAAAAATTTAATATTTACCTTGAAAGGTTGATCCGTGGAAATAAGACCTCGAAGGTCTATTGTTGCTCCATGAGGTACCGAGAATTGGATCTGGAGTGCCCGAGGATGCAAATCCCAAAGCAATGGAATTTGCGCGTCCTCGAGACCCGGGTGGAGCTCCTGCACCTCTTCGTTGTAGCCAGTGTTCTGACGATGAAGAGTCCATATTTAAAGTTCTTTTTTTGAAATTGAAGAGAAAGTTTTTTTTTTTTTTTTTTTTTTTTTTAAAAAATTAGAATAGAAGAAAGAAATGGTAGGAAGAAAGAAAAGTTTTTTAATTTTTGTTAAATTTTTGTTAAATTTTTAAATTTAATAAATTTAATAATTTTTCTAATTTTTCTAATTTTTCTAATTTTTATTAAATTTAAATTTTTTTTTTTTTTTTTTTTTTTTTAAATTCTCTTCCTTCTTTTTCTTTTTGAAAATTTTGCCATCTATTTATACTTTTTTTTATTTCTTTTTATTTCTTTTTATTTTTTTTTTCTTCTTCTTATATATATAAAAAAAAAAAAAAAAAAAAAAAAAAAAAAGGCCACACGCCGTATGCCCACCCATTTTGGGCGGCAGATTATGCACACACACACACACACACATAAACAATCTTCCACTCTCTTATCATGCAAGTAATAATAAATAAATAAATTATACATTAAATTATTTATTAATTAATAAAAAGCACCCAACCAAACATAGAATTATTCTAAATGACTTTTTGGTCTACAAAAAAAAATTCAAAAAAAAATTCAAAAAAAAAAAAATTAGGCATATTATAAAAAAAAATAAATAAATAAATAAATAAATAAAAAAACAATTGTAATATTTATATAAGTAATTTTTTTTTTTAAATATATAAATAATTTAGTATATATATATTCTCATTCATTAAATTATATATACTTCAATTATATATTCCTTAATTCTGACCCGGGGCAACCTGAACCGACAAAGGTTGACCCAGGACACTAGCTTCAGAACCCGCGGCTGCTCCCGATGCTGCTGCTGCTGCTGCTGCATTAGGTGTAACCGACGACTCTACCTGAGTTGACAACGAAGACGTTGACAACGACGGGTGCTGTTGCTGTTCAGGGTTATTATTGTTATTATTGCCTCCAGTAATTGTAGTGCTCGCGGTCCCTAGCGAAAATGGGCTTGACCCACCTCCACTAATATGATCATACAATAATGAAAACATGCGCTCAATCTCAGGATGCTCCTTAGTAAATTGAAGCTCCCAAAACTTATAATTGTTGTTACGCAAAAGTTCGGTAAATGTAATAACAAGACCCCATGGGTGAGGGCGGTTAGAAATGATGCGCTCCAAAAGAACTCGTGTAATTAACTGGCACACCTCATTCTTCAAATCACCCAACCGCATGGTTCCATAAGTCCCAAACAAACTCAACAAAACACAGCTGTAAAAATGTGTGTGACGATTAGGATACCGAAGCTGGTTGGCCATAGCCTCGCACACAAAGTACTTGCCTTCAATGCTTAACCGCTCAAGAAGCTCAGAAATCAATGATAAGTGAGAAGAATCCCGGTCAAACAAAGGAGCATTCTGACCCTCCTCAACAGGCTCCTTAGAAGCATCCATCACAATGTAAAGCACAAGAGCATTAACAGCTGCACTATCAACACTTACAGCATCAAATCCAATTCCCGACTCGCCATGTGACTTGGGCAAGTATAACCCCTTGACAATACCACTAGCAAGTTTATCACTAGGCTCTTGTAAATATCTATCAACTAGAGACTTGAGACCATACAAAACCAAGTCATCAGCAGGATCAATGGCAATCGGTGGATTCTGGCGAATCTCCTGCAAGCGATCGACTTTCAAGCCTTGCGTCAGTGGGTTAGGCAATGGTGTGCCTTGAGGGAATGTAGACAAAATAAGATTTCGTAGCTGTACAAAACTTGATGGCATGTGTTTTAACAATGTCCAATGATATTCTAAAACAAACTCAGGGAAATCATTGACAGTAGCATAAAAGACTCGTAAAGTACTCTTATAAATAGAAGCAATTGACTGTGGGAACTCTTTGCCCTGGGCATACAAACTCTCAAATCTTAACAAAGCATCAAGCAAGTTGACCATGGACCCCCATCCCTTCTTTTCAGGTAAAGAAAGCAACAAGGGCATAAAGTACCTGTTTGAAATCAAAGAAATCCAAGAAAAGGTGAAACCAGGCAAGCAAATAGGCTGCAAAACATAAAATGATTCGGCAAGAGCAATATAGGCACCAGCTGCAATAGGGTCTTCACTGCAAGAGTGTGCAAAACTAGACAAAAACGTCGACAAGAGTCTAAAGTATGGCTGCTCAGGGAACTTCTCGCCGTGCTCCTCGTGATCGTTAAATATCTTAAGAGTAATTACGCCAAGCAAAAGCTTAAAGTAGGCAATGCGTGACTCAATTTCAGTGCCTCTGCTATTCTTAATAATAGCAACAAGTAACAGAGCCAATGAATCAACAACGTTATACCTGGTAGACTTTTCCAAAGGAAGTCTCTTATCTTCAGTTGCAACAACATTATTAAATTCCTTAATTGAAGACTCAATGGCAACACGAACAAGCATAGTCACAGATTCATCATTGGCTAAAATACCACGCTTAGACAATTGGTAGACAAAAGAATCCAAAAAGCGGTCTTTTAGACCAGCACGATTTAAAAGCTGATGCCACTCGGCAAAAATTAAACTCATCTGAGCACGCTTGGGGACAGAAGGCGAAGACAAAACTAAATTGTGCTTCTCCAAACTTTCCATCAAAGAAGCAACTTGTTCCTTGCTAGGAGATAGAGGCTTTTGCTCCCCCTTGACTTCAGCAGTTTCTTTGACTTCCTGTTCCTTCTTCTTGTTGTTGCGTCCACTCCTCTTTTTCTCTTCACGCTTTTCCTCCTCCTCTTCTTCTTCATCTTCATCCTCCTCCTCAAGTTCTTCACTTTCAGAATCACTTGGGTATGCAACGGATTCAAGAGCTTCTAAAGTATTGGCAAAGTCACTTTGGAAAGTTAAGGGTTTGGATTTAATTACCGCTTTACCAATAAGATCGCAAGCAAACTTGACCCAGTCTGCAGTCTTGGAGGAACGCACTAATGTGGCCAAGTGGAAATCAAAATCGGGCCAAGAAACAACTCCAAACTTGACAAGAGTAACAATGGCGTCCGGGTTGCATTTTATGGCAGTGTCACCAGTTAAAATAAAAAGACTAACTTCACGTTGAGTAATTGGAGAAACAATGGAAAGTTGATCAACAACGTAAGCAAGGCACTCGCGGTACAAATTATTCTCAACCTCGCCAAAAAGAGTAGTAAGTACTTCTGATGTCACCTTCTCAAGAAGAATCTCATTACGATTGAGTCCAAGACCAGAAACTAAACCTCCGAGACCAAGAATGATTTTGTCATCAGGCTTCAAATCAGCCAAAGTAGCATTAGGGTTCTTCACAGTAAGAGCCTGGATATTAAGTAGCTCGGTAATCACATGGCTAAATACTGAATCAATAAACTGCTGAAGCTGGTCCGCAGGGAACTCACTAGGGTTTAAAAAGCCACCAAGAGCGCGGAGATTGTTGGCCAAAGGATCAGCTTGTTCACCTAATTGTTGCAAAGTAGATTCCTGAACAAGAGGTGTTTGTGCTTGGACTTGTAATTGTTGCTGCTGCTGTTGTTGCTGCTGTTGTTGTTGCTGTTGTTGTTGCTGCTGCTGTTGCTGTTGTTGCTGCTGCTGTTGTTGCTGCTGTTGCTGCTGTTGCTGCTGTTGCTGCTGTAAAAGCTGCTGCTCCTGAAGTTGTTGTTCAGTAGCAGTCAAAACAGGATCAGAAAGAGGGCGAGCATGACCAAAGTGCTCATAAATGGCAAACTGTTGAGGTTGCAACCCATTAGGATCAATCCTAAATGGCTCAGGTAGTTGCAGCGAGTAGTTGGGAACATCAGGAGCAAAAGAGGTGCCAGTCTCACGAGCAATACGACGTCTATTCAAATCGTCACGTAGAGCAATATCAATGTCAATACCAGCACGGTCAACAGTAGCTTGCTCAATAATCTTGCAAATATTATCAATGTTGTCATTAATAGCAAGATTGACTTGATCAACGGGATATGAATTTTCATTGTTGAATTGGTTAGAATTGAGAAACAAGTCACGCACAATGCTGCTTAATGACTCTTTCAAAAGGTCCTTAGCAGAAGCCAAAGAATAATTGGCAGCCAAGTGCTTAATAACATTCTGAGCGGCAAGGCGAACACGATCGGCGTCAACCTCATAAGCAAAATCCTTTCGAATCAATGACTGTGTGGCAATAGAAGCAATTGCAACTGAACGATCAACAATTAGTCCAAGAGTATCTGTAATAACTTTTTCCACAGCAACACTAAACAAATGTTTCTTGTTAGGATTTGTGATAATCTCAGAACTACCAACAAGCTCCAAATTGGCTGCAAGTTCAAAGTAAGCAGCCTCGTTAAAAGATGCGATGCCTTGTTGAAGTTGTTGCTGCTGTTGCTGTTGCTGTTGCTGCTGCTGTTGTTGCTGTTGTTGCTGCTGTTGCTGCTGTTGTTGTTGTTGTTGTTGTTGCTGCTGTTGTTGTTGTTGCTGCTGCTGCTGTTGTTGTTGTAATTGAAACTGCTGTTGTTCAGGAGTAAGAAGTTTGTTCTGAGTCATAGGGTAGACAACAGGTTGAGCAGACAAAATAGCCATATCATTATTAATGGCAGGGCTGGAAACTTGGTCCAACATTGGAGGGCCAACATCTTTAGACAAATTGAGCTTTTGAAACTCGTTATTAATACGGTGGTCAAGATCATGATGAGCAACATAATTGCGGAGTATAAAAGAAGGCTCCAAATCCTGTACTTTTATGTTAAACTCGGCGCAAAGAACTTCAATCTCAAACTTGAGAGGAAGTGTCATTTCCTTAAAATCATAAAGTTCGGCAAGAACCTTTAAAAGTCCCATTGTCCAAGGGTTGGGGAGATTGAAAACCCGAGAGTTTTTAGCACCATCCAATACCTTACAAACAAAAGGGACAACAACAGCAAGCTTTCCGTGGTCAATGGCCTCGCACAAAAGCTTTTTGAAAACAATGTTCTTGTGTAAAATAGGCTTATTGCGGCTCAAATGTAAAAGACCCAACCACAAGCCAAGGTTTTTCATATAATGGCGGCGTTTATCTTCTCCACCGGGGACTTGATTTTCAGGAGCATTTAAAAGTTTATAAATCTCAAAATAAGTGACCTCAGAAAAGTAAAGATCAATTGTTCTAAACTCCAAAGTATTGATGAGTTGAATATAAATGGGATGGAAGTTTGGCTCTTGCTTTGCACGTTGGCCAATAATGTAAGAAGCAAACCAGCGGAGATAGCTTGGGGTTAAAATCTCGCCAATTTGTTTTGACTTATCGGGAAGATTATCCGGAGCCAAATTATTAATATGGAACATGATGCGTTCCATAATTGGAGCAGAAGGTTCATCTTGACGAACCTCCTCTGGGATCTGACAGTTAAAGTTGATGGCGGTAAATAAAACAGAAGAATTTTGTTTGTTATCAATGAATCCACTACCCATAATTGCAGGAGCGGAAACAATATCTTTGATTTGTTGGTAAAATTGAGGATGCATTTGAAGACCAGGAATTTCCAAAAGTAAATGGCAGTACTTGGGGAACTCATGAAGACGTTCTTTAAATTCAACCAATGCTTGGAGACCAAACTTAAACATATTGGAATCGACAGGTTGGCGAAGAGAATCAAGGATAAATCGAAGGGCAATAGAAAGAGGCATACCATCAATGAGCTGGAAATAAACTAAGGACCCAAAAAGGACGGCAGTAGTTGCAAGAGCATTTAGAGGATATTCAGGGAAAAAGCGATACTCATCAAAAAGTGAGTGTACCATACAAGCAAAAACATCTTGATCGTGAGGATCATGAGACTGCTTTAAGCCTTGGAGCTTGGTAATGATTTCTCGAATCTCAATTTGTTGCTCATACATTCGTTGATACGAAAGCTTCATCTCGCATTCGACATCAGGGGGGAAAGAGTTCGACTTTGTATAAGCCAAAATGGCGTCATCATAGCCCTGTCCAAAATTGATGAGACGAGGGTAAGATTGAAGGCACTGGATTTGAATGGCCTTGTACTGTTCAAACTTTTCAGGAGGAATATCAATGGTGTTCAACAATTGAAGAGCAGCAGCGACAGAGCGAAGGGCAAGCCCGGTTGATGGAGTTGCACCATTTTGATTTTGAGTATACTCGAGTGAAGCCTTGAGTTCCAAAAAGTCAATGAGGGCACCAACAAAGACAGGATCACCATTAGCAGTTTTATCCTTTAAAAAGTTTGTAAAAGAAATGATACCATACTTATCAGCAGTGGCAGCGATTTCCAAAGTGAAAGCAGGGTGATCAATGGTTAAAAGGTCAGATATAATATTGGCGATCCGAGCAGCATCGAAAATGTAACTAATAGAAAGAGGGTCTTTATTGTACTGATCAAAAAGACGTTGGACAAGATAATTCTTGTTGAAAAATGGGAAAGCATAAAAAGTGAGCTCATTATCAACGTGACGAAGGAAAGTGAGCTCAAAAAGATTCTCAATAACACGCTCTATAATAGGAGGTCTTGGTTCTGGTAAGGTAAGTGCACCAAAAAAGAAGAGCTCAGAAAACTCCTTGCCGTGAGCATCCAAAAACTTAGTTGCATGACCCTTTCCGTCTTCCTTTGCAACAGATTCTAAAAACCTGTGAACAATGGGAGAAATATTAAAGGGGTGGTATAAGAGACCAGCTCTGCGCATAATGGATTCAGGAGCATTTGCAAAAATAGGAGGAGTAAGGACCATTGCAAGGTTATGCTTGTGAAATTCAAAGAGCTCAGGAGGAATGTAAAAGGAGTTGATTGAAATGCTCAGTTGAATATTAGAATCATTCCAAGCGCGGGAGTAAAATGCCGCAACAATATCGTCATTAATCTTAGCAAAAAGGTTTGAAAAATTAACCAGTTTGGGTTGATTAAGACTAAGAGACAGTGATTCGCCATCATATTGAATGGGGGACTCCAAATGGTTAAAAACATTATCCCAGTTGATGTTTTTAAGATTGGAAGCTTCGCTAAAAGCATCAGCGATAAGAATACAGTCCCAGCCATTAGTTGTATTTGAAAGCACAATTAGGGCCTCAGCAACATCGGCATCAGTAATAGGTTTGGGAAGATTTGAAATCTTATAGGAAAGTTCAGAAGAGGTAGGAATTTCTTCAACAGGAGGAGGGTTTGGCAAAGGCGTACCATCAGGGGCAGCCAGAGTAAAGCCTAATTGAAGTTGGAGCAAACCGCTGAGAGTATTGATTTTGTTTTCAGCAGAACTCATATTAGTATAAGCAAGTTGGAGGTCACTAGGGAGGGGCTCGTGCTCAAGGCGAGAAATGATTGCGGAAAGAAGTTTTCTTTTTTCGGCAAAGAAGAAAGGAGGAACAGGGTCCTGGGCGTATTGCTTAAAGAAGGTAGAAAGAGTGCCGGATGTGAGTGTTTGTGGATAAAGATCCTTATTTGAGATGATTTCAATCAAGCCAGTAAACTCTTTTTGAAGAATATCAAAAGCTTTAAAGTTGTTAGTATAAAAAAAAAGTTAAAAAAAAATTAAGAAACATACCCTGTTGTTTAAATGAGTCTAAAGTAGTTGAGTTTTTGATTGAAATAGAAAGAACGGATTGCTGGTAGGAATCGAGTTGAAAGAAATTGAAAAAGGTGATTAAGTCAAAATTTTTGATTGGGTCACGATCAGAAGTCACCGAAACAGCAAAGCGGTAAGAGATAGAAGGATCAGATGAAAGAGATTTGACTTCTTCAGTGAGGAGGCGGAGAGCAAATGGAACGTGGTCACTCTTATTTCCAGATTGGGATTGGGTCTGGGTCTTGCTAAAGACTTGAGGAGAGCAAGTGAGGATGAGACGTCTGAAAAATTTAGCGTAGACTTCAGGTCCGTTTTGATCAATGAGCTATATTTAAATAAAAAAAAATAATAATAAATTAGTAAAAGGTTAGGAGGAAAAGGAAGAAAGAAATATTTTTTTAAAAAAAATAAAAAAAAAAATGATTTTATGGTTTTGGTCTTCACCCCTCTAAAAAGTTGCTATTGCAACAACAACAAACAACAACAAAAAAAAAAAAAAAAAAAAAAAGTACATACCTGATGGATTTGTTTTACAGTGTAGTCCCAATTTTCTTCACAAATAGTGGTGGATAGCACAGTAAGTTGGGCCACAACAATCTGAGCTAATTCGGAAGATTTGTTGAAAGAAGAAGAAGAGCCAGCAGAAGAGATTGGAGAAGTAACTGAAGAGCCCTTATTGCTACTGGAGCTCCCGGGGGGTATAATGCTATTAAGGTTGCTGTTGTTGTTGTTGTTGATGTTGTTACTATTGGTATTGTTGTTATTATTATTGTTATTGTTACTAGTATTGTTGGTGGATCCACCAGTGCTGCTGCTGCCACCTACGCCCTGGGGCGTATGATTTATATTTTGAGTAGTCAACGGCTGAATGTTGGAAGGTAATTGGGAATGCGAACCCGAGTGATAATCGTGCGAGTTCAGCAGTGTGTCAATGACTGAAGGTCCTGACAATTGTTGGTCAGAAGGGAGTTGACGAGAAATGGCTAAAATTGGGGGGGGGAATAGGAGGAAGAAGAAAGTATAGTAGAGCCAGATGCCGGCAAGTCTATGTATATATATATGTATGAGCTGATTGGAAAGAAGACTTGAGAAAGATGATTACCAATCAGTTGAAGAAATGATCTAATTGAGGATAATACTAGAGATACTAGAGATATTGAAATAAAGAAGAAGAAAAAGAAGAAAATTGGTTAGTATATACTGAAATAAAGTTAAGATCTACATGAAAACGCGTTTGTATATGATTAGGAAAAAAAAAAAAAAAAAAAAAAGAGAAAAAGAAAGAAAGTTATTGTAGATTGATTGGATTGTATAAACATACAGTCTATGCGAGATAAGAGTGTGTAAAGAACAAGTATATGAAAAAGTGATGATCTTCAGATGAATGTCTTAGAAACTAAATTTAAAGAGACTGGATATGATGAAGATTACAATTATGATTATGAAAATAAATAGAAATTGTAGTAGTAATAGTTTGATCTGGTTGTGGTGGTGGTGGTGGTGGTGGTGGTGGTGATGATGGTGATGGTGTGTAAATTGAGGTAGATGAAGTGGTGGTAATGATTTTTTTTTTTTTTATAAATATATAAATATATATTTATATTTTTTTTTTTTGACTGTGGTGTGGTGGCAATGAATTTTTTTTTTTTTTTTTCTTCAATCAATCAATCAAAAAAAAAAAAAAAAAAAAAAAAAAAGGAGAGAATTTTTTTTTTTTTGTGTGTGCGTGTCGAGAATTGTGTGGTGGTGGTGATGTAGAATTTTCACACACACGGCAACTTAGAAAAAAAAAAAAAAAAAAAAAAATTTTGAAAAAATAAAAAAAAAAAAAAGTGTATGTGTTATATGGGTTAGGGTATATTTATAAAAAAAACAACATTTAGTACCTGTACCTTTAGATTTATATTTTAAGTATTATTTAATTGCCACGCTATATGAAAAAGTCTCGCGTGACTCTATGACATTACATTTTTATTTATTTTTTTAGAAATATATTTTTTTTGGAAACTTTTAAGATTAAGTAAATATTACGTAATTTTTTTTTTTTTTTTTTTTTTTTTTGGAAATTTTTTTTTCTATTTGAAAAAGCATTTTTTTTTTCTCATCATAAAATCAATTACACAAAATCATATAAATCACACACTTACACACACTCAAACACATCTTGTATCTGTCTTCTAAGATGAATTACGATTACCAACTCACACCCACCTCAGGTGGTGGATCTATGATCCCTCAAAGTGCATGCACAGTTCTATGTTGTAACTGTGGTGTTCCGATTGTTGGTGCTGCAGGACTCGTTATGTGCCAGGACTGTATCCGACTAACAACCGACATTTCCACAGGAATTCCGCGTGAAGCCACAATCCACTTTTGCCGTAACTGCGAGCGGTTTCTCCAACCTCCTTCACAATGGATCGCAGCACAGCCAGAAAGTCGTGAACTACTGGCGCTGTGTCTACGCCGTCTTAAAGGTCTTGGAAAAGTCCGTCTTGTAGATGCCAAGTTCATCTGGACTGAACCACATTCTCGCAGAATCAAGGTTAAACTTACAATCCAGGGAGAAGCTGCACAAAATACTATTGTTCAACAAAGTTTTGAAGTCGAATACGTTGTCAATGCATGCCAGTGTCCTGACTGTGCACGATCCTTTACCGTCAATACATGGAAAGCAGTGGTTCAACTGCGTCAAAAAGTCCCCCATAAACGTACCTTTTTTTACTTGGAACAGCTCATTCTTAAACATAGTGCGCATCTTGATACTGTTTCTATAAAGGAAAACCGAGATGGTCTTGATTTCTATTATGCAACACCAAATCATGCCGTCAATATGCTGAGTTTCCTGTCGGCAGTGGCTCCCGTTAAGTATAAGCGATCTGAAGAGCTTATTTCTATTGATACCCACTCTGCCACCAAAAACTACAAATTTTCATACTCTGTTGAGATTGTACCGATTTGCCGTGATGATCTGGTTGTTTTACCTGCAGACGTTGCTAATGCATTGCACAATATCTCTCCGGTTGTTTTATGCAACAAGGTCAGCAATACTTTGCAGTTCCTCGATCCCAATACTCTGCAAACAGCAGAGCTAACAGCACCTGTGTACTGGCGTACTCCCTTTGCATCGCTTGCTGACTCATCTCAGCTTGTGGAGTTTATTGTTCTTAATGTTGAACCTTTGGGTCCTATGCGGGGCAAGTTTGCGCTTGCTGATATTGAGGTTGCTCGAGCCAGCGATATTTCACGCAACACACAGACTTATCAGCTTCGTACACATCTGGGTGCTCTTTTACGTCCTGGAGATAGTGTTCTTGGGTATTATTTGGTGAACTCGAACTTTAACAGCCGAGAGTTTGATTCTCTTCGTGTTGGGGTTGCACCAGATGTTGTGCTTGTTAAGAAGCACTATCCTGGTAAGAGAAAGAACCGTGGTCGCAACTGGAAGCTTAAACGCATGGCCAAGGAACACAATATTGAAGATGATGCCCGAGTGTCGAAGAATGATCTTGATCGGGTTGAACGTGATTATGAAATGTTTTTGCAGGAGCTGGAAGAGGATAGAGAGCTGCGTGGCAATGTCAATTTGTACAAGAGCAATCAGAATAATCTACCTCGTAATCCTAATAGCATGGACGATGATGAGGATGAGGATGAGGATGAGGGTAAATATGATACCAATGCTCCCCAAGTGGGTCTTGATGAACTTCTTGATGATTTGGGAGATCTCAATCTTCAGGATTAATTTTTTTTTTGTTTTTTTTTGTTATGAAGAAGAAGTTGATCTTTTTTTTTTTTATAAATATAATGTTTAACTATACCTATATTGACGGATTCTTGTAATGAAAATGAATGAAAAATAAAAGAGATAGATGTTTGTTTTTTGAAAACCTGGATAATTTTGATAATTTTGATAAAATAAAAAAAAATAAAATGTTTGAGTTGATGATATATCCAGTACTGTAAGTGACAGGGTACTACGTAGATTTGAGACTGCGGCTTTGATACGAAATTTAACTTGATGAAGATTTTGACAGGCACTAAAAAAAAAATTAATTAATTAATTAAGGGGAGGAGAAAAAAAAATAAAAAGACTTAACGGAATGAAAAAGCGCTGTAGAGGGATTTTTTTGGAAATTAGAAAAATATATAAAAGGGATGGACAATCCTTTAATTTTTTTAAATATATATATATATATATATATATATATATATATATAATCATAATTATTATCATTATCTATCATCTTTTTTCAATTATATTGTTCATTTCAAATTAAACTTCCATATACTCTTCAATCAACTTGATTAAACAGCATGTGCACTGAAAACACAGATCACTACAAGTGTGGCCACTTTAATGCTGTGATTTTTGATACCTGTCGAGAAGCTGACAAGCGAATGGTACCATGTTCTAAAGTGGGCACAGGCACTACTACCACACCATATGAGTGTCCTAGATGTAAGCCCAGACTTACACGTCCTGTGTCATCTTCATCTTCATCTTCATCTTAGATCTGGCAGATGTGATGGTATTTATTTTAGTTGAGGTTATTATAAGTTTAAGAATGGCTGCTATTTTTTTTTTATTTATGACTTCATATATTCTTGTTTTTCAATCGTTCTAATATTAAAAGAACTGGTTTATCATTATCTTTAATAATAAAAGATTTTATTTGTTTTTTTTTATTTGTTTAGTTTTATATATATATATAGTTGTATTTTTAGTTAGTTGATTTCTTTTATCTTGTTAATAATAATAAATTACTTTAATATATTTGTTAAAATGAAATTTAAAAAAAAAATTTAATTAACTCAAACATTCTTTTTTTTCTCTCTCTTCTGTATCCCTTTTTTTTTTTTTTTTTTTCAATTATTTACTTTTTCCCTCCCCCTTTACATTTATTAAAGCAATCCCTTTTTATATTTAAAAGTTTCATCATTTTATGCTTTACTGCCAAAAGGGAAAAAAAAAAAAAAAAATTCAATTTCAACTAACTACTTTTGTGGGAGATTTTTCTTTTTTTTTTTCATTCTTAGATATTCTCCTAATAAGTGTAATTCTCAGTACACTAATATATTTATATCATTTTTAATTAAGATAAGAGTTGATTGTTTATAAATAAATTAACCAATTTATTTTTTTATTTATATATATATATATATATATATATATATGAAATTATATACTTTGAAAATATTAACAATCTAATATTCAACAAAAAAAATGCAACTGTAAATAACAAAATCTTCTAAATTCTTCTTTTTATTATTATTATTTTTTTTTTCTCAACCAGCCATTTTTGTTAACTGATCAAGTATAGGGAATTTACCAAATAACGGTTAAATATAGTTACTTTCCACTTTGGGTTTAGAATTGAAAAAATTAAAAAATGAAACAATAACTTGAAACTTAAATGATTAAATTTTTATTTTATTTTATTTTATTTTTTTCATTCATTTTAATATTTTATCTTTTTTTTATTCCTCCCCCCAAGTTTGGTAAATTAAAAATTACATCCGTCATTTCAAAAAGAGGATGAGGATTTATGATGGCTCAACATAATTTTAGTTCCTGAACTTACCAAAAAAAAAAATAAATAAATAAAATAAAATAAACAAATAAATAAATAAATAAACAAAATCCTCACTTTAGTTACTTTTATATTATATATATATATATATATATATATATATATATATCTTGAAACAATTCCGCCCTATATCTAAATGGTTTCATCATATATTATTATTAATAATATTTCAAACATTAATAATATTTCAAAAGTAAATTAGCCATTGGCAATCGATTGTTTTCATTCAGATATATAGCACCAGTGTCAACGCTATGAGATATATACTCATAATATAAATATGAATATATTCATTCTTTTTTTTATTTTTTCAAAATTTTAAAAGTATTTAACTTGTTTTTGTTAAAAATTAAATTATTGGCAATGTTTGTTTGTTTGTTTGTTTGTTTTTATTCAAGGGTTATTAAATTATTGGCAACATTATTGGGTATTATACTAATATGAGCTCCGTTTTGTTTTTAATATTCTTTTACAAAAAGAAACAACAAAAAATCCGATATAGTGTAACGGCTAGCACGGTTCGCTTTCACCGAGCAGTTCGGGGTTCGATTCCCCGTATCGGAGCTTTCTTTTTGCTAAAACATTGAAGTTAATAGTTCTTTTTTTTTTTTTTCTTTTGGTTGACAATTTAGATATGTTCGCAACGACTTTTAGAGATCTTGTGTTGTATGTGTGGTGATATTTTTTGATGGTGATTGTACGGGGTAGTGAACAAAAAAAAAAACCTAATCACCTTGCCAATTGTGCCCTAACAAAAATATTTTTTACCATACAAAATTGACAAAAACAAAAAATTTACTTGAAACCCCAAAATCGACTTTTCTTATTAAACATTACACAACACGTTATTAAGGAAAACGCAAGCCCTTAATTTATAAATCTTAATTTTTTTAAAATTAGTCAGCCACAACCATACTTTTAATGATAAAATGGTAGTTAATTAGTACTTATATATACAAATTTGTACCCCAAAATTCCATCGTTATAAAAATTTTTAAACCACTTTCATTCTAATATTAGCCCTTACGATTGTCAATAAAATGATATAGTATTGTCAATAAAGTGTTGTAGTATTTGTAAAATATTTTTAAAAAATAAGAATCATGCATTTAGGACATTTTTAATGAAGGGTTGTGCAAATGCTTAATAAGAGTTTGTGTTTTGGTTATTAACGTGTTGAAAATGAAGAGGAAATCGTTATTAAGAGTTTGTGAAATGCTTAATAAGGATTACATTTTGTTAGGGCACAATTGGCAAGGTGTAATGTATTTTTCAATTGCTCTCATCTAAAACACTACCAGCAATCATCTATCTACAAGCTAATTAAACTAAACCAAAGAGTCAACTTTCCTAGCGTCAGTAAAGCCTAGGGGTTCAAGCGAGGTATGTAGTTTTCTACACTCCTCCGGAAAAGGGGGAGGTATCTGAAAATCAAGTTTTTTAAATTTATTCAGTTAAAAGTGACCGATTAACAAAATCATTTGTTTTTATTCAGATGATTAACAAAATATTAAATTTTCTATCTTCAATTTTCTTTAATCAAAAATCATTACAAAAATACTGCTTACCTTTACAAGTTCGTTAAGTATATCCTGGTACTTACTTTTTTATAAGCGGATTTAGCTCAGTTGGGAGAGCGTCAGACTGAAGTTAAATAACTACAGTCCCAGTTTAATCTGAAGGTCCTGTGTTCGATCCACAGAATTCGCAATTACTTTTTTTTGTTTTTGTATAAAAAAAGTTTTTTTTTATCTTGTTTTTTTATGTTTATTCTGATGGGTTCCTGAAAAGTAACATTTATTTTGATTAAGTTAGGAGAACTGTAGTATATAGTTATAGAATAAAATATTTTCAATTTAGTGGTTAAAGAAATTTGAACCAAAAAAAAAAAATTGTCATATTTATTTTGATATTTTTTTTTTCTAATGATTTTAGTTTGTGTAGAATTTGGTTGTTTATAACAGTTTTAAAATCGGTCGTTGATGATCAATCAATCATTCTACTTAAATATTATCAATTTATGTTTTATTACCTTTAGCAAAATTCCAACTTCTTAATGGACTTTCAATCTTGTCTTGTTATAATCCAATTGGTTTATCACGCGAAAAGAAGCCTTGAAAATACCATCCAAACATCTATTGATATAATTATAACAGTTCTTATAGATATATATATATATCTAAATTTACGAAAAAAATAAAATTAAAAAAAATAAAATTTCATTTCTATTTAATCATTGTATTTGATTTTATCCATATATTCCTGATAAATACAATTCTCTTAAGAATCTCTTAAAAGTTGACATACATTTGGATTGTAACAATCTTGTATATATATATTTATTTGAGGGGTTGGTTTTTAACTGGCTGATCATCACTATTGATATATATAAAGTCAAAATAGTGACCATAAGACAACCTTATATATTATAGTTTTAAATACTCAGATCAAAAACACATCAACGTTTGGGTTAACATCCGTCAAGATTTGTAAACGAATCTGAGTGATTGAAGACAAAAAAAAATAATTAATTACATAAACCTATAGATGGCTTTTGTGAGAACAATTTCAAGACACGGTGAGAAAGCTTTGAAACAATGAACTATATATAGTTATATATATTACGCAATTTATTCTAAAATAAGAAAAATAAAAAACAAAGTATATGATTTTTCTTAATAAAAACCAAATTTGAACAATATATTAAATCTATTAAAGTTAATCAATCTTTTTCAATGATACCAAAAAAAAAAAAAAAAAAAAAAAAAAAGTGATTAATATTAAGATTAAGAAAAGCTTTAAGATTTAAAAGTTTTTATTTCTAGAAAGCAAAAAAAAAAAAAATACTTATTCTTAGACTAAAAAAAAAAATACAAATTAAAACTTATTTAAAAATTATTAAGGGGGAGGGGGAGGGGGTCATAATTTTTTTTTTTTTTCATTATTAATTATTATAATTATTATTAATTATTATAATTAAAGTATTATACTTTAATTTAAAAAATTAAAAATAAAAAAAAAGGCTTGTTTGTTTGTTTGTTTTTATTCAAGGGTTATAGAATTATATAACATCAGCACCTGCGCTATCCTTCTTGTCCATACTATATATTTTTTCATTTTAATAATAAACTTTTAATTTTGGCTTCAACATTGCATCTCCAACAGTCCGAAAAAATAAGTCCTGATGCCTGCTTACAAGGATTAGGAGAGTTAAAATTAACCAACCTGGCCACCGGTTTGTTTGTTTGTTTGTTTTTATTCAAGGGTTATAGAATTATATAACATCGGCATCTGCGCTATCCTTCTTGTCCATACTGGCCACCGGTTTGTTTGTTTGTTTTTATTCATCTGGCCACCGGTTCATGCTACAGAGTTTACATTTAAAACAAATTTAGGCTTATATAAGTATATTTACAAAATTGACAACCAAGAATCCGATATAGTGTAACGGCTAGCACGGTTCGCTTTCACCGAGCAGTTCGGGGTTCGATTCCCCGTATCGGAGCTTTAATTTTTTCTTTTTCCAAAACTCATTTTTTTTTTAAAAAATAAAAAAGTTGACTTTGAAATCAAATTTAATTATAAATAAATGCTTTTTTTCCTTTTTTTTTTTAATTCTCTTTTATATATTTTATTTTTAATTTTTTCTAATTTAAAAAAAAAAAAAAATTAAACTTTTTTATTTTATTTTATTTTATTTTATTTTATTTTATTTTATTTTATTTTATTTTATTTTATTTTATTTTATTTTATTTTATTTTATTTTATTTTATTTTATTTTATTTTATTTTATTTTATTTTTTTCCATACTTTTTCAAAGTTTTTATTAATGCATCCAAAACTGGAGAGAGTTTATTTTCCAGCCAATTGTTGAAAACTCGAAAAAAAAAGAAAAAAAACACGTGACATTTAAATAATTTATTGTAACAAAACAAATATTTAAATATATTTTTCTAAATACTTTAAAAAAAAAATTCAAACATTCAAACTGCCCATACAAATTATTTTTTTTGTTTTTTTTAAACCTTACAGTAAATCATCAACATCAACATCAACCACTCAACCAACCAACTAACTCATCACAAATGTCCGCACTTATCCCCCGCCGTCCAGTCGCCGCTACTTTAATTTCATCCTCTACATCCCTCACATTTCTCAATCTCTTTTTCTCGCGGCACTTCCATGCGACTCCATGTACATCCAGTGGTCATTCCAAATGGTCTACTATTAAGCATGACAAGGCCAAGAACGATGCAGCACGTAATAAATTAGCCACCAAGTTTGGAGGACAAATTGCTGTTGCTGCTCGTGTTGGTGGTGCTGATCCAGCAAATAATGTACGTCTGGCTATGGCCATTGAAAATGCGGCTCGTGCAAATGTACCCAAGAAGTTAATTGAAAGTGCGATCCGCCGTGGTGCTGGATTAGAGAAAGATGCCGCCGGTGCAAAGCCTTCAGAGCTTGCTGTTTATGAAGGATTGGGCCCCGCAGGTGTTGCGTTTGTGGTAGAGGCTCTTACTGATAACAAGTCACGAACAGTGTCCCAGGTTAAGGCTGCATTTTCCAAGGCTCAAGGTAGTATGGCGCCTACCGCGTACATGTTCCGCAAACAGGGCTGGGTGGAATGTGCCCCGAAGCCCGGCCAAGAGTCTGCAGACGATGCCTTTGACGAGCTTGCTGATATTCCTGGCGTTGAAGATATTTCGTCTCGTGCTGCTGAGGAAGGCGAGATTGACGATAATAACAATAACAATAGCAGCAACTCCCAGATTATGCTGGTTGTTACTGCCCAAGTCGCAGATACTGCACGCGTGGCCGAGGGAATCAAGGCGGCCGGTTATACCATGAAGGATATGGGGATTGAGTATGCTCCCAATGATGATGCCGCAATTGTGGAGGCCGATCTTGACGAAGAGGTCCGTACAGCTATTGGCAAACTTGCTGGGGCTCTCGATGATCTCGATGACGTTATTGAGATTTACACAAATCTCGTCTAATCTAAAATTATAAATTATAAATTCTTCCTTCTTATGTAAATACTCTTTTTTTTTTTTTTTTTAATTTTTTTAATTTTTTTTATTTTATATATATGTATTAATATATATTTATATTTATTAATAACTTCATTCCGTTCGATACAATCCAAATGGCATCACCAAGCTCGCGCTAGGATCAGAGTCACCCATAAACATGTAATTTTCAAAAAACTCTGCTGCTACAGAGTTGTTATTATTATTATTATTATTATTATTATTGTTGTTATTATTATTAACTGCAGCTGCGGCATCTTCCACGGTAGAGTCATGCTGGCCTGCAGCATAATGACCTGAGGGTGCGGGTAGTGGAGGGGCCTGAATGGCAGAAGCAGAAGTAGCAGTAGTCGTTAAAGCGACTCCAGTGATTGAAAGAGTAGTTGATCCTGCTGTTGGTGCTGATGTAGGCAGAACTTGTACACCGTTTATCACCACAGGCTTAACTGCAGATGCTTGTCTAAAGGGAGTAGGTGGAGATTCATCATCAGCAGCTTCAACATCTGGTTGATATCCTGCCAAGTCACTACATCCAGATTCGGATGGCGTTGGAATGAAAAACTGTGACATTGGGTACTCTGATTTTTCAACAACCGTACTATTACTGCTACTACTACCGCTACTATTTGCACCTGAACTTGAACCTGAGGTTGTTGTAGCGCTACTACTACCACTAGTAGCATTTTCAATTGCATTTACAATAGCTGCTGCACGATTTTGTTGCTGCTGTTTTGAAGGTTTCTGTGGTGTTTTTGATACTTTTGCTGCACTGGTATTAGGTGGCAAAGAAACTGTCGGCTCTTGTTGAGATAGTGTTTGCTGAACAGGAACTAAAACTGGTGTATAGGCACCATTTGCATCTTGTTGGTACATGACGTGATATTGGGATTTATTATAAGAAAATATGGATTCGTCTGGACCAAGAGTGGCAGTAGTAATTGCTGTTGAAGGAGCTGGTGTAGTTATAGCAGTAGCACTTAGACTTGTTGGAGTTGAAGTAGTAGCAGCAGGTGGAGCAGCCAGTGTTAATGGGGGTGCAGGCATGGTGATAGTATCAGAAGGTAAATCTGAAGAAAAATTCTTAAAAAGTGGTCTTGGATCAAACTGACTAAAGGGATCGTTAGGATCAAGTTGGGCAACATAATCTAATGGGAAATCGCTTGGAAGGCCGTCCTCGTCCCGCGGGGTTTCTATAATTTGTTTCGGCTGTTGTTGTTGTTGTTGTTGTTGTTGTTGTTGTTGTTGTAACTGCTCATCTTGTATCAGGCCAGCCGATTTTGGTGTAGCAGTGGGATTTATTATATTAGTAGTGACAATTTCCTGGGGTGGGGCTGGCATTACTGGAACCATGGGGGTGGCTACTATTGGGGTTTGAAGCGCACTATTAGTGTATTGTGGCTGGGGGTATGCATAGATAGGTTGTGGGATTGTATTGTTAGCAGCAGCGGCAGCAGCGGCAGCAGCAGCAGTTGGATGCATTCCCGGATGTATTGTTGGGTGAATAGCTTGAATAGTTGCGGGTGCCGGAATTAATGGTTGTTGTTGTTGTACTGCTTGAATTAGGTGGGCATTTTGAAACAAGTGTTGTTGCTGTTGTTGCATTAGAGCCGCTTCAGAAGATGGGAAAAATACCTCTTGACCTGAGGGAGTAACAAACACGCCATTTGATTGAAGGATTGGAGGTTGCTGTGGATTGACAATATAAGATACCTGATGGTTTGCTTGAATGAGTTGCTGCTGCTGTTGCTGCTGTTGCTGCTGTTGCTGCTGTTGCTGCTGTTGCTGTTGTTGCAGCTGCTGTTGAGAAAGGGGATCGTTTGTAACGAGATGATGGGGGAGAAAGGCCGGGATTTGATGATGATGGTGAGGATGAGAACCCGGGAGAGTATGATGATGGTGGTTGACTTGTCCATTTGGAAGAGGCACTTGTTGAGGAAAGGTAAGAGGTTGTTGTAATTGTGGTTGTGGTTGTGGTTGTGGTTGTGGCTGTAGTTGTAGTTGTGGTTGTGGTTGTGGTTGTGGTTGAGTTGTTAATACAGGACCGGGGATAGTGGGGCCACCGATAGGATAAGCAGCACCTGCAGTATAAGGAGGAATTTGTAGGGTTTGTCCAGATGGCAGAGTAATATTTGTTAAAAGAGAAGACGCGTCTGCTAGGTCAGCCAGATGCCTTGGGAAGCGGTCAATGATATCTGGAAGTTGGTCATGGAGTGTTCTTGTGCTATCGTACTGAAACGAGATTGCTGGTTCTCTGACTGGTGTTGTTGAAGAGCGTTTATTTGAGAGTTCCTTTTTGAGGTCACGTTCGAGGGCATCTTGAAAGAGTCTATCGTGGTTAACGGACCACCAAAAGAAGATTTTTTGCTTCTTTTGAGTTCGGACGCAGTTATTTCTATACAAAAAGTCTAGAAAGGGTGATTTTGGTTGTTCCAAGACAGCATCTCCATCACATTTGAGGTTTCTGAGGTCTGAAAAGATGCCTTCTTCGAATTTTTTGCGATTGGTGATTTCACGGCCAAAGGCTTCGAAACGGAAAGTTAAACAGCGGACAATGTCTGTTCCTGTAATAAAATAAAGGGCATTCCAAGCGACACAAGAGATTTGATCTTTATTTGGAAGTGTGTGTCTGTGGATGCCTTCTCTGGTTTGTAATTTAGTTGGAGCTGTGAGGAGGAAGAATTTTACTAAAAGAGAAAAAAAGATTGTGTTAGAGAAAGGTTATATTTTAAAAAAAAATAAAGAGAGAGAGAGAGAGAGAGAGAGAAATATAGAAAGCTTGACATACATTCTATTAGATGGTTGAGTGTTTCTGATAAAGAAGCCATTGAATCTGAGGAAGGTTGTTGTATTAATTGCTGATCAGATTGTTGTTGTTCTTCAATAGACAAGTTTGCAGGCGCGTGGCCTGGAACATGGATAGGCATTGACATTTGAAATGATGAGTTAGAGTCCATGAGATTTTAGAAAAAAAAAAGTGAAATTAAAAAAAAAGATAGAAAGAAAGAAAGAAAGAAAGAAAGAAAGATAAAAAAAAAGGTCAAGTTTAACAGAGTGGCGATTATGAAACGAATGGTGGTATTATATTTATTGTTATTATTATTATGATATTAATATTATAATTCTGTTTTTGGTATTGGTGGTAATGTAGATAAATTATAATAAAATAAAATAAATATAAATATAAAATAAATATAAACTAAAAAAAATAAATATAAAATAAAAAAAAATAAAAAAAAAAAATAAGGGGTGGTTGAGAAATAAAATAAAATAAAATAAAATAAAAAAAAATTAAAATTTAAAAAATTTAGAAGGACGCGAAAGGATATTTATACTTTTTTTTTTTTAATTTTTTATTTTTAATTTTTTTTTCAATTAATGATAGGAAAGCCCCTTTTGATTTTTTATAAGTTAAATAAATAAATAAACAAAACAATTGTTTCTACGCGTAATAATAATAATAATAATAATTGTTGTTGTTGTTGTTGTTGTTGTTGTTATTTATATATATATATATATATATATATATATATATAACAATGAGTTTATTAACAAGTCTTGTCAGAAAGTTGATTTTTTTTTTTTATTTTATTTAAAAAAAAAAAAAAAATAAATTAAAGGTGGTGGTGGTGAAGTTTTTATGTGTGTGTGTATGTGTATGTGTGGTTGTTTAAAAAAAATAATTTTTATTTTTATTTTTATTTTTATTTTTATTTTTATTTTTTATTTTTTTTTTGAGGCTCTTCGAGGGGTAAGAAAAAAAAGAAAAAAAAATGACAAGGGTCTGCCAGAGATTTATTTGTAATTAATGACAAAGTATTTAATAATAAAAATGACTAATCTTTAACTTACTTACTTTAACTTATATATAAAACTTACCAAATAAGTATAAACTTACCATTATAATAATAATAAATAAAAAAAAAAAACCCATAAAGCAGCCTTTTCCTACCACCACAGCCATTTCAATTTTTGGCTGCTTGTCTGCCTGCATGACGGCCTTCCACTATGGCAACCTTTTATTTTATTTTATTTTATTTTATTTTTTTTTTTTTAAAATATAAGCTTTGCAACCATTCATTTATTTATTTATTTTATATATATAAAAAAGCAATTCCTTTCTTTCCTACACATTCATAAATACTCTCTTATCCTCCAACATATTTATATATATAATATATATATAAATATATATAATCCCCAAAGTAAATCTTTTAAAATGAAACCTGTTGTCGGCGTATGTATGATTTCATTATTTATTTATATATATATATATATAAAAGAATTTCATTTTAAATATATTTCATTTATAATTAATTCAATCTCTAACTTTTTATCTTTATTTTATAAACAGTCTTTTAGCGCGTACTTTTGTACTGGTCTCTCCATCTTTGGAGTCATCATTCTTTCTGTCATTGGCATTCTCTTTTACGTCGGCCATGAGTCTATGGTTGGCTCTATCACTGACCCTTCAGACGGTAAGGCCGTCGCTTCAACCATCTTTGGTGCCGTCATTGTCTATGCTCTTTTCGCTGTCTTTTGTGGTTGGCAAATCCACGTCATTAAGACCCAAGACCGAATTAGAATATAATAACAAAAAATTGGGGTTTTTTTTTTTTTTTTTTCATAATAACATTAACATTAAATCACCAAGTATTTTTTTTATTACTTTAATCAACAATTCTTTCTCTTTTCATTAATACAATAACGACTTGTTTTTCTTTTTTTCTTATTTTTTTTTCTGTATAATTTATTACTACTAATAGCATATTTTTTTTTTCTTTCTCTTTTTTTTCATTAATTCTTATATACACCTTGCTCAACTCTCAATGCATGTGTAGCTAAATTGCTCAACTTATCCACTGCCCGCGCCAATGGAGTCCCAGTTGCATAATTCTGAATCGCATAAACATATGAAAACAGCAAAATATCTAATGGACCCAATCCTTTAAATTCTCCTTCACTTAAAACATCTTCACTACTATTCTTATTACTACTCTCTTCTTCTTCTTCTTCATCATCGTCATCTTGGCTTCCTCCAGTTCCAAGAAATCCATCTGGTGCCTCGTCAAGTAACGAACTAAACACCTGTAACGCATCAATGGCCCGTGCATAGACCTCTTCACGAACTGCAGTACCTTGAACATTTGATGGTGAAAAAAATACTGTTGTTGGAGGACCCACAAAAAGCTTAGATACAAAACCTCCCTTCCATTTACTACCCCCCTTTAGTGTATCCACAACTGCAGGGTACCGTGGACGTAAAGCCTCAGCAAGTTCCAACGTCCATGCTTCTTGCAAATGTCGTTCAATAAACCCAGGTAATGTTCCACCAATGCGCTCAGCACCTTCTCCGTAAACATGTTCTCTAACAGTTGCTGGAGTTTCTGCATTATCAAGCAACGTGAAAATCCACGCGTCATGTACAGCAGTGCTTAACAGAGATGCATAAAGGGCTGCTTGACCTGAAGTAATACCTGTAGAACTGCTTCCTTTGCCACTGCTTGTAAGCAAATTGCGACGCACAGCAGCTGGGGTCGAGTACACTGCACGTTGACGTTTGGTGCGTCCAGTTTTTTCATCCTGAGTGAATTTCACGTCTACGAGGTATGGCAATTGCTTCGGACCATTTGTAGGAGCACTATGAACAGAGACTTTTGAAACCTGAGCAGATTTAGCGCCTTTAAGTCTTAACAATCCCAAGAGTTCGATACTTGCTGGGTCTGTGGGTAGACCACTAGGTTCATCAATGTTGTAGACGTAAAGTGTTGTTTTTCGGTCATTGCTATTATCTTGTTGTTGTTGTTCATTGTAAGTATATAATTCTTTATCTGGATATGTGGCCAAAGGGAATTGATCGAAAATCACACGGACGGGTTCCGGGACCTTGAACCAAGGCCGGGTTGTTGTTGTTTTTGTTGTTGTAGACATTATTGGTTGATGATTGGCAAAGATGATTTTTTTTTATGTGATGATTTGAATGGAGGGGTTGAAAAAAAAAAAACCTATAGAGAGCATATAAACCCCTAACCCTGATTTTAATAATTGATAAATTTACCTTATAAGAAATGTTTGGACTTAAATAAAAAAAAAGCCCTCTTTTGTATTTTTTTTTTTTTTTGTCAAACTGACTCACCCAGAGTTGATTTTATTTTATTTTTATTTTTATTTTTATTTTATTTCAATAATACCAATGTTGAGAATTGCAAAATCTTCAACTGTCTGGAAAAACCCTGCCATTTTTATGGCAAGTTTCAGACGCTTTTACTCCACAGAACTAACTTTGACTGATCCTCTCCAGATTTATGAAAACAAAATTGCTCGTGGAGAACTTTTTAGAGATGAAGCACAACATAGGGCTGCTATTGAGTAAGTTTTAAATAATTTTCTAATAGTTATATTTCTTTTTTTTTTTTTCTTTCTAATAATCTTTTTTTTAAAGACTTCAAAAACTTTCATATAGACTTATTGATTATCAACCTCCAGCAAACTTTAAACAGAGAATTCGCCAGCTTTCTGATGTTCTAGAAGTATGTTAATAATAATAATAATAACAATAATAACAACAATAACAATAACAATAACAATAATAATAATAATAATAATAATTCTACAGACAATTCAAATATCACAAAAATATAAAATAACTTACTTACTAAATAACTAACTCTCGTAGCAACACGAGCTCAAACAAGAACAAGAAGCCCAACTCCATCCTGAAAAAGAACGCAAAGCATGGTATATACCTGATGAAGAGTCTACAGAGCTTATAAAGCAATTATCAGATGAAGAAGAACTTCTTAACTTTAACTCTCCTCAAGGTCTTCTTGTGAGTATACTTTTTTTATTTTTTTTTTAAAAAAAAAAAAATAACTCAGACCTACCTAATACTAACCCATAACAATATCTAGCTTTACGGTGAAGTGTAAGTCACTTTCAGCATTCTAATTAATCTCTTCAATTATAACTCATTTTCAATTTTTCATTTTTATTTTTTTAGTGGTTGCGGAAAGTCCATGCTCATGGACCTTTTTGCTGACTCTTTACCCCATGTTTCTAAACAACGTATCCATTACAACAACTTTATGCTTTCACTCTATGGACATATCCATCAAATATCGGAAAAAAGACGCCAAAAGGGTTCTTCTGGATCAAAGTTGCGTCTTGAAAATGACTTTATTCTTCTCCAACTTGCAGAGAAAATGATTGATCGCAGTACCGTTCTTCTTCTGGATGAATTTATGCTTCCTGATATGTAAGTATATTTTAAACGGCTCAAGAGAAGAGAAGAGAAGAGAAGAGAAGAGAAGAGAAGAGAAGAGAAGAAAAGAAAAGAAAAGAAAACATCATACACCCCTTCCCCTTTACTAACTAGATAGTGCTGCTGCCAAAATTGTTCAAACCCTTTTCGTCTTCTTCTTCAAACTTGGAGGTGTTCTTGTGGCTACTTCCAACCGTTTGCCTGAAGAACTCTATTCTACAGACTTCCGCAAAGCTCAATTCCAAACCTTTTTCCGCATTCTTCAAGCCCGTTGTGTATCCCACGATATGCGCTCCGAAAATGACTGGCGTGTCATTCTTTCAGACCCAGCCAAACAAGAAGAATTGCTTGTTAAAAAACAAGAGGCCCGTGAAGAATTGGGTCTTGACGCCAAGGATAAAGATCAGCAAGAGTTCCCAGATATTGAATACTACCATGTCATGACTAACGACAAAACTGGACAAGATAACTGGGCTTATGCTATCCAAGAGATTACAGAAGACTACCAAACACCTAACCCTAGTCATGTTATTGTATACGGTCATCGTGTTAACGTCCCGTGGCAAAACAAGGGTGTTGCTTATTTCGATTTCGAAGACATTTGCGGAACATACCTAGCAGCTGCAGATTACATTTCATTGGCATCAAGATACCATACATTTATCATTGATAACGTTCCTGCACTTAAGATTTACCAAAAGAATGAAGCCCGTAGGTTCATCACACTTTTAGATGCACTTTATGAGTCCAAATGTAGGCTTCTTATTCGCACAGAAGCTGCTCCGGAAGATATGTTTTTCGCCGATGTACGCGACAAGATTGAAGAAGAAGAAAATGCATCATCTTTGGAACAGGAAATGATTTCGGAGGTCCATCAAGACCTTTCGCAACCATTCCGACCAAATGTTACTTCTTATGAAAACAATGAGCGTGAGGAAGAGGCCCCTAAAAAGCCCAAACGTGTTGTCAATAATAATGATGAAAGCACATTATCTTCAGCTTCTCCTATGGAGGATGATCCCTCAAAGAAGTTTTTCCCTGCAAATGCTCCTGAACCAAACTTTTCTAAAGTCTCTGCATTTACTGGTGAAGACGAACGGTTTGCTTATAAGCGTGCTGTATCGCGACTTAAAGAAATGACTGGGTCTAAGCGTTGGGTAGAAGAGGCACACTGGAAACCTTTAGAGACTGATGCACGTCCTTGGGAGTCCTTTGAGGAAGGTGTGCCATTGTCTGATGAGTATTACTTGGGTGGTAACACCAAAAATTCAAGTAACACCACCTCAGAACCTTCAAGATCAACTGGTCTGGCACAACATCTTGTAGAGGATGAATCTAAATATACATCACCGTTCCGCAAATTGCGTGATGCCCCTCCAAAGTTTGATGCCCAGCATTTTTGGGCGCTGGTCGAGTGGGGACCCGGAACTAAAATCAAGGACGAGAATGCTCGCCAGTGGATCCAGAGTAATAATGGATATACCCAAGAAAAGAAAGATTAAATATATAATAATAATAATAATCATGTATATAAATTAAAGCTACAATATAAAAATATAAAAATATACAATATAATAACAATTCTACTACAAATCCTTGGACTTGGGGAACTTGAGACTATACACCATCTCAATCACAGGCTGCGCAACCAACTGCTTGCCATCAAAAAACCGCCCACTTAGACCCTTGATTGCCCGCTCGCTACTCCCCAAGTCTTCAAATTTAATATACACTTCGCCCTTAGTTCCGCTCGCTGCGTCCACGCTCAAATGCACAACGTGGCCGTACTCGCGTTCAAGTTCTCCACGCACCTCATCTTCCAGCTCACGCACCCACGAGTCTCCCGACTCTTGTGTTGGGTCAAACATATTTTGTACCACAATGCACCGTGATGCTTTGCGCTGGGCTGCCGTAGAATTATGTGGAGGGGGTGGAAGAGGCAGTGATGGCTTGCTGGAATGTTGTTGTTGCTGCTGTTGCTGTTGTTGCTGCTGTTGCTGCTGCTGTTGAACATGAGGCCCAAAGTTATCTTCGTTACGCATCAATTTGCGCATTAAGTTTTCTCGGGATACTTTATTATATGAAATACCAGCAACATCGGAGTCATCCAAAAGTGAAGCTGAAGATGCGCCTACAGCATTGGCGCCTCCCACGCGATCAATTGCAGGACCATTGTTCTGAAATGCTGACCCAGTAAACGCCTGACCTTGGTACCCAACTCCGGAGCTGGAACCCGAATTGACTGTCGAATGAGCCAACGATGAGGACGAAGATGATGAGCCACCACCCATACCAACACGCAGCGTACGTCCAGCAAACATAACACCTTGCATTTGAGAGCGAGCCTTAACTGCAGATGCGGTATCAAAATATTGGACAAACGCGTATCCTTTGGATTTACCTGCTAAGTCTCGTTGCAATTGAATAAAGTTGATTGCTCCAAACGGCTCAAAGAGTTGTTTGAGCTCTACCTCGGTGGCCCCAAAGTGAATGTTGCCCACATAAATACGGGACTCCACGGGACCAGCAGAGGCTGTAGAGGAACCCAAAGAGTCATCCTGAAGGATTGAGGGACTACCAGAGCCGTCCACCATTGATGAAGACGATAATGATGACTGAAGAAGTTGTTGCTGCTGCTGTTGTTGTTGTTGTTGCTGCTGCTGCTGACGGTTTTTTTCTGCTTCAGTGTACTGCACAATGACAGGGATTCCCAAGAGTTTTTCTCCAGACATGTCAATGGCGCGTGGGACTGACTCTGCATGACGAAACTCAACGTAAGCAACGCCCTTAGACCGTCGTGACATCTTATCTTTGACAATGGACGCGTCTCGTACAGGTCCTGCTTTTTCAAAAAAATCAAAAAGGTCGCGTGTGCGAAGACGAGCTGCCAGTTGTTGAACAAAAACAGTTCGACGGTCGCGTTCAGCTTGCGTTTCTGCGCGGCTACGTGGTGGTGAGCGACTACGGCGGTCACTTCGTCGGCGATCCCGGTCGCGGTCGCGTTCGCGTTCACGGTCTCGCTCACGATCACGATCACGATTACGATCTCGATCACGGTCGCGATCACGATCCCGGTCTCGCTCACGGTCTCTATATTTATCACTGTCTCTATCTCTGTCACGTCGGCGAGATGACCGAGGGCTTCTAGATCTGGATTTATCTTTTGAATGTCTAGATGAAGAATGACGATGGCTACTGCTACTATTACCATTACTGTGTTCACTGCGCTTATGTTTAGATGAGGATGAATGTTCCTCGGTATCACTACGACCATCTGGAGAACGTGATCTGTGGTTTCGTCGGCTAGAAGAAGAAGAAGAAGAAGAGGAAGAAGAAGAAGAAGAAATGGAAGAAGTTAGTGGGGGAGCTGATTGTTGTTGCTGATTTTGAGACTGGTCCACAGTAGACGAAGGTTCTGTAGAAGTTACTTCGGGTTCTAATTGATCTTGAGGTTCCGGAGGCGGAGGATTTGGATTAGGGACCGAGGGGTCCTCGGAGACTTTTGACATTTTGTTTTAATATGAAAAAAAAATAAAATAAGTCTGAAAGAGAGGGTTTTTTATAAAAAAAAAAAAATTAGTTAGCGCGCGTCTCAAACCAAAAGAATACAATAATCAACGATAGAAGAAACGATGACAATGACGATTAAAGGTTTTTATTTGGACTTTTTTTTTTTTCAAAGTTTTATTTTGAAGATTTTAAATATTTTGAAGGTTTTATTTTGAAAGTTTTGAAAGTTTTGAAAGTTTTGAAAGTTTTGAAAGTTTTGTGGTGGTGAAGAAATTTTTTATATTTATTTTTTTTTTTAAACACACAAAAATTTCAGACGTGAAAAAATTAAGAGTGATGAGATGTACGCACAACGTGATGAAATATATTTGTGGTAAAAGGGAGTCCGGGATACGGAACATTGAGAAATTAATAGTGGTAATTTTTTAAATAAATGTAAAGGAAAATGAAATATAATAAAACTGAAAAAAACCTGAATTAAATAAAAATAACTTTTTCATAATAAAGTTGTTTGTTAGGAATAAAAAATATTAAAAATATATTTAGCGATGCTTGGTTTCGATCCAAGGACATCAGGGTTATGAGCCCTGCGCGCTTCCTCTGCGCCACATCGCTTTTAGTTGTTATAAATATTGATAAACCACACTACATATAGTAAGTTCATTTAAATGTTTAAATAATAAAGCAAAAATTTATTTTAATTAGGGGCCGTATCTCTGACGGAAGAGATTAAGAAATACATGGGCGTCCATGAAGATAAGTGGAAATGGGTTGGGAGGGTTTTGGGACCGACAGACTGGTTCTCCCTGTTCCTCGTAAGCTGGCATCAGGGCCCATCTTCCGGGCTACCGGAGACGCACAGAACAGAAACCACCAGTACTAAAAAGGTACAAATGAAAACCGGCAAGTCACATAGTCAGACAATAAAAGGATAGCGCAGATGCTGATGTTATATAGTTCTATAACCCTTGAATAAAAACAAACAAACAAACAAACTATTTTAATTAGCCCTTGAATAAAAACAAACAAACAAACAAACATTTATTTTAATTAGTTCTTTGCTTGAAGAAGAAAGAAAAGGACTGAAACGGATACCTCCAGAAATGGACATGTCGACTCTCTTAAACAGTTTAACTGGCTTACAAGAGATTGTAAGCTTTATCTCTGCTTGGAGGGATTAAGAAATACAATTACAGCGTTGATGAAGACAAGTGGAGATAAGTTGGGAAGGTTTGGTTATTTTTAACCCCCTGTTCCTCGTAAGCTGGCATCAGGACTTATTTTAGAGCTGTTGGAGATGCAATGTTGAAGCCAAAATTAAAAGTTTATTATTATGAAAATGAAAAGATATATAGTATGGACAAGAAGGATAGCGCAGATGCTGATGTTATATAATTCTAGAACCCTTGAATAAAAACAAACAAACAAACAATTTATTTTAATTAAACCCTTGAATAAAAACAAATATACATTTATTTTAATTATTAAAGCTAATTAAGTATTTATGACCGTTCAAAATTAACATAGAATCTTTTCATATTTTGACATAATGATTTATTTTTGGGTTGTTTGAAACTCAAATGTTAAGTTGAAGTTAATTTAAAAGTTTATTGCTGTAAAAAACAAAAATTGATGTTATATATATATATATATTTATTCTTTAAATCAAACAAAATTAAGAAAAAAAAATTTTTTTCCATAAGGAAATTTGAATTTTGTTTCTTGTAGGCTGGTACTGGTATCAGATAAGCAATATAAATTGAAATAACCCCAAATACATTATACTTAAAAGGAATTAAAAAGATACCATTAATAATGATTTTTTTTTTTGATATATATAAATATTTAACAAAAAAAACAGAAAAAAATTTTGTATAAAAGTTTAATTTAATTCAATATAATTTTTTTTGCTATATCTATAAAACTAACGTTTTTTTTATACAACACTCGTGCGGCCTTTTTATTTTTATTTTTATTTTTATTTTTTTTATTTTTATTTTTATTTTTTTTGTCTGCTATCACCACCACCCATTTTCACACCAACATGAGCAGCAGCAGCACCACTACCTCCAGTAGCTCAAGCAATTCAACTTCCAGTAGTAGTTCAAATAGCAATTCAAGTAGCTCAAGAAGCCTTCCAAATGAACTTCAAGCTGCTGCTCTAAATGATACCCAACCCTCGGTGGCAATAACGGCCCCTAGCATGAATAGAAACGCGGCCAGTGCACCGCTACCAATTACAGAAAACTACATCATCCACAGAACTTATACCGAAGTACCCAGCGAATTAGATTCTGAAGAAGAGGAACACGAAGAAGGTGAGGAAGAAGGAGGAGAAGGAGAAGAAGAGGAATACTTTGAAGATGAAGAAGGAGAAGCCATTCAAAAAACAGATACAAACGACAGTGCCAATATCCTTAGTAAACTAGTAAAAAGTCCATCTAGCCAACTCAACTCTGAACTGGATAACGAGCCTACCCAACCCGAAGAATCATACATCAACTATAAACATATCGATGAAACTTATCCAGATACCCTTTCAGAAACTGGCTCAGAAAGACACGTCCTAGCAGCCTCCCGAAGGTCTCTCTCGTTGAGTCACATTACACCCAGACAAAGCATTGGTGAGACAAGTTCCTCCCAAGATCTTCAATTACAATCATCGCCTACAACTGCGCTTTCATTTGCAACAGGAATCGGAACAGGATTTACAGAAATGCCATTGTACGATTATGGACCAAGCAACAATGCCTGCTACGACGAAAATGAACCCAGCTCACAAATCTTGCCTGGAGAAGAAGAAGAAGGACAACAACAACAACAACAACAATCTACCGAAAGCCACCACGGACTGATGGAAACTGCTAAGCGCAGCATATTTAGCGGCTTCGGATCTTTCAAGAAGAAGAAAAGCCCAAAGTCTATTAGCAGCATTGAAAGCATAGATGCAGGGGGTGCTCCCAGCATGAGCAGAAGCAGTAGTACCCACAGCGCATTGACTGGAAACAGACGTAAAAGTATGGCTACATCTCCATTCAGCGGACCAACGGACCGAGTTGGAAGCCCAGAACCAACCCTTTCAATTGACCATGCTTCAGACGTTGCTACCCTACTCTCCGAAGTTCTCGACAGCGATGATTTGGCCTTACCACAAGATGTCCAGCCACTAGATCCAGAACCTGACTCTCATACAGATGCAGGGCTCTCCTATCCACACTCCATCAGCTCACTCAATAGTGAAGCCGAAGAAGCTTCGGATCATGAAGAGGCCCAAGAGGGGGAGGAGGAACAAGAGCTTGCAAAGTTTCTCTCTCGCAAAAAACAGTACTTTATCTTATCGACCGCAGGTAAACCAATCTACTCCATGCATGGGTCAGACGAACTTGTCACGGGGTACATGGGAGTTTTTCAAGCCATTGTGTCATACTTTGAGGATGATTCTGCCTCAGGTTTAACAAACTCGAGAGAGGGGCTCCAAGTTCTACGCGCTGGGAATACCATGTTTGTCTTTGCAATTGAAGACCCTATTATTCTCATTGCCATTGACAAGCTAGGACAAACGGAACTGCAATTACGGGCTCAACTCGACTTGTTATATGCCCAAATTCTTTCAACTCTCACTAAATCACAGCTTTCCAGAGTCTTCAAGGGCAGAGCAAACTTTGATCTCCGTCCACTGCTTTCCGGAAGCGAAGTTTTTATGAATGCCCTGACTAAAGAAATGAGCTTTGGATCTCCTGGTGTGCTTCTTGGGGCGCTCGAATGTTTGCGTCTGCGAAAATCCATGCGTGCCAAAATGCACCACATCTTATCGGAGCGTCGTAGCAAATCGCTGCTATACGGTCTCATTGTTGCAGATTCCCGTCTAGTCGCAGTCATTCGTCCGCGCAAGCACTCTCTCCACCCACCAGACCTACATCTTGTTTTTTCCATGCTCTTCAATACCCAATCCTTTTCCAAGGGCGATGGTGAACACTGGGTTCCCATATGTCTGCCCAAGTTTAACGCTACTGGGTTTTTATATGCATACATTCACTTTTTCGCCCCGCCTCAGGTGGCCCTAGTACTGATAAGCGCTGATAAGGGTGCCTTTTTCGAGCTCCAGGCTGCTAAAGACGGGATTGTTGCGGATCTCAATGCCCATAACCTTATCACTCCCATTCTTAGCTCTCTTAATCGTGGCAGGTACCGCACTGTGGAGATTCTCGGGACCCCTCACTTGGCATACAGTGGAGCAGCGCGGCCACAGCAGCAACAGCAACCACAGGAGACACAAGTCCAAGCCCCGACCTCGTCGTGGATCCCTGCAAGTTCTCTTGCGCCATTTACCGTCCGTCATTTTCTCTACAAGTCACGGCAGAACGTCCAGTTTGTTATGCCATCTTTCGACCCACACTACATGGACACAGCAGCGCGCCATCGCCTAATGATTTTATATCACCAGCTGCATGGTGCCCTGCATGGTGGCTCACGGTCAGGTGGTGGAGTTATAGGCTCTGGCAATACTGTTGGCGGCGGGACCGTAGGTCTTCGCGTATACCACGTTTCGCGAGGAGACGGCGGAGTACGCGGGTCGGCTCTCGCGTGGCTTACCCCAGCATTTGAACTCTACTGTGTCACTGGTAGCGCCCATGAAGGTGTGGATCCTGAGACTGGTACTTGCGCGTCACTGGCGCCTGTCACAGTTAACACGAAGGATGCCATGCTACGAGCGGTCAAGACGATAGTTGGATGGATCAAGTCACACGAAGAGCGCCTGTTTATATTTGGCGGCGCCGTTTTTTGAATAGAATTTGAATGATGATGATGATGATGATGATGATGATGCTATATAGAAAAACAAAAAGAATTGAAACTAATCAGACTGAAGCCCCCCATTTAGCATCCATACTCAGAGTAAACACTCCATTGGGCGCACTGCGCCATGAAAGAAGCGCCGGGTGGCTCACGTAGACGCTCCGCTTACTTGAGAGATTTGTTCCATCCCCTGATGCAGCATCAGTATTTGTTGCTGGGCTTCCAGGACCTGCGCTGGACTCGTCTGCTGCTGAAAGAATCTTGTTACGACTACGCGACGCCCGTTTTTTTAGAAGCTTATCGAGGGTCTCTTGTTTCTCTTCCTCCAGACGCCGCATCGACATGTTTTTGCGCCGGCGCGCAAGTTCTGCTCGCCGTAAAGCTTGCTCTTCCTCCGTAAGCTGGATTTTCTTATTGTTGCTGCCACCAGTGCGAGAATTTGATGGAATGCCAGCATCACTCACAGGCTCAGAAAAGTCTTCCAGAGAGGGTTCGTGACGTGCCCGCTGTCGAGCTGTCATCCTCGACAAATCTGGTGTCTCTTCTGTATCGCCACCATCGCCACCATCGCCACCATCGCCGCCATCGCCGCCATCGCCGCCATTGCCACCGACACCTGTTTCTTCATTTATGTCTTCTTCAGGCTCCTCCTCCTCCTCTTCCTCTTCATCAAGGCCTTCATCATCATCCAAGTCATCATCTTCCAAATCATCCTCATCGTCTTCTTCCTCATCCTCGTCCTCTTCGGCTTTGCTCATAGCAGGAATGGTAATACGTGCTCCACGAGTCCGTGCAATAGGTTGCTGGCTTTCTTCTTCCTCTTCAGCATCAGCCCCTTCTTCCTCTAATTCATCTTCATCCTCCTCTTCATCCTCGTTGTAAGATACAACTGCAGTTTTCCGTCGACTCGATCCGGCAGGTGTTCGCTTGCTGATACCCGCTGATCCCCCCACCGGAGTCGAACTGCGTGCTGGTCTCCGGCTGAGCGCACTTCCACGTGGAGTCTTGAGTGTGACAGTGACGTGGGGTCTAGATGCGGACGCAGCCGCTGCTGCTGCTGCTTGTCGGCTGCTGCCACCACTACGGGTAGACGATGTGATTGGTCCACTAGATGACGTAGCTGTGGCTGCTGGAGTGAACCGCCGAGCTATGTTCATAGCAGCCCATCCGCCGGTTCCTGCCGGTCGCGCGTTGGGTTGCGTTTGGGGCTGTGGTGATGGTACACCTTGGGTTTCGGACCCACTGTTGTAAGAAGAAGAATCCGAACTGGGAGAATCAAGAATTCGTGCTCGTGAGGTTCTTTGAGCAGCTGTTGGTTTAGGAGGTACCATTTGGTAGTTTTCAAATGCTTTCAAATGTTTTTTTTTTGTTTGGAGATTCCAAGAATTTCAAAAGGTTTGGAGGTTTTTGGAGACTTGAATTTTGGATGAAAATGAAAATATAGGAGATCATGTGACTTTATAAATTACCTTTAAATTATATAATCTCTTATTAATGTTATATAATAAGGATGCTTTTTTTTGGTGATTTTTGTAAATAAAATCCTGTGGAACTACTCAAAATGAATCTTTGAGGATTTCAAAGGAGATAAAGAATTATGTAGCTATTAAAGCCATTTATGAACTATTTGATTGGGTCTCAAATGGTAAGGTAAGTTAATTTCGGCTACGGAGGTACATATATACAGCTAGACTCAAACACAGATACAGAAACGCTTCAGAGCCTGCGGATAACAAAGTTGAAAGTTGTTTTTGTTCATTTATTGCAGATGATTAAGTTAGAGAAGAAAAAAAATATCAATTGGCAAGAACCCTTCAAATATCTTTGACTGGCATACGCTTAGTAAAAAAAAATTTACTCCAGTTGTCTTGGCCAGAAGTCTGGTTGATTGTGGAGACCTTTGGCTTATAGAGTTAGACGAATGATACTACGACCACGTCCAAGAGAGCAGCAGCAGCTGGAGATCCGGTGCGTGGGAATTTTTGGTGTATGCTGAGCGAATTAGGTTTACCATCAGATCCAAATTGACATTGCTTGGGAGGGTGATGGTAATTGCACCAGTCACAGCGGGGTTGGTTTCCAAGATATTTGTGGTTTTGCTTTTTGGTTTTAAAGCCTTCGTTATTACGCTGTGTGAGCTTAACATTAGTATTAGACTTGTCAGTAGCAGGGGCAAATTTAGAGAGCGTGGAGGTATTGGTAAATGAATTAAAGCCTAATCCCTGGGCAGCTCTGAGAGTCGCAGAGCAGGTGAACATACTATCAACCACGTGACGTGGAGCAAATTCAAGGTCTAGAGCAACGGCTCTACATTGGGACCACTCATTAATGAGTTTATCAAGGTGGTTAACAGTAACCATTGACAAACCTCGGACCTTTGAAAGGATTTTGTTGAAGGCCGGTTCAATTTCCGGGTTCCGGATTTTTTGAAAGTACTTGGAATAAATGACAAAGAGGAAACTGGAGTAAAAAACAGTGTTGTAGCGCAACAAGTATGAATCTTTAAAATGACTGGCGGGTTTCTCATCCTCCGTCTTGTTTGCTGTCATTGGGTCTTCTGAATAATCAATATTGAGCATGGCAAAAAAAGGCCGGAATTTATTGCGGTAGTCTTCAAGAACTTCTAGTAAAGGTTCAGGTTTAGGATTCCAAGATTTGAAGTCTTCCATGACGGAGATAACGAATGTTAAGGATGTTTTGTAGGGTTTGCTTGGGGTAGGAAAAAGTTGGGCAAAGGAGGTAGCAGGAAGGTAAATTCCCTGGTATGTCTCTTCTGAATTGTGTCTGTTATGACAACAGGATGTATAATTAAACCTCTGAATAAGTGCGGAAATCAACTCCTGCTGAAAAATGAAGTTGTAGAGAGGTTGCATACATTTCTGAATGCCATAACAAATAACGGAATCGTCCTTTGTGATTTCCCAGAGTTCTTCTGGTGACTCAGTATGAGGAGCATTCAAGAGAGCGTCAATAAAAGTGCACCTGAAATGGAAACGGACAGCACAAGAGAGGTAACTCTTGTAAGCTCGGATGTCCAAGTCAACTTTATCTGAAGCGGAGAGAGTAAGTCTGGTTGTAAATTCATTTGGGATTTGGTCAACGAGGTCCATAGCATCTTTCTTAGCCAATGTACAAGCTTGAGAACGAGCATCTGAAATGGAGCCAAAAAAGTGAGGAGTGTCAAAAAGGCTAGCTTGTGTCATTATGACGACAATATTATAAGCCAAAGAGTAGTGGTGCGTATATAAATCTGGAGCTTTTGGACTGTGAAACTATTGACTACAACAATACCTCCAGATAACCATATAAGGAGTAGGTACAAAAGCTATATAAACTTGTGGAATTAAAAAAAAAATGAAAATTAGTCCAAACGCAAAAACAAAATTCTTCTTTTGTTCATCACGTGATGGAAGTTTGTGAGCTTTATGAATGATGAGTTACATCTTACGCTTACAACAATATGATTTTATTCAAATGAAACACATAGATATATATATATAATTACTAACTCTCAAATATCTAATATGGTAAGAGGGCTTTAACGCGATTCATTAAATATAATATAAGAAAGACAATTCCAAAGACTAAATCTTTCCTCACCCACTTTTCTACAATCAGGTTAAGGGTTTTGATAACTTGTGGTTATCGATATATATAGACAATAATAGATAAACTTTTACATTACGTAATATTTATGAAGATACAATAATTATCAAGAAATTACCTAATAACCATTTATCAACCTCGGCTTTTCTATTTGTAACAATTTTGACTGACACCCCTCCCTCTCACCTTTATTTTTTTTAATTTTTTTTCACCCTTCTTCTCCACACTGGGCATCTACATCCTTAAAAATTATTTCACTACCTCTTGTCAAATACCTCCAAAATAACTTCTAAAAATGTCAGTTCAACAAAATCAACCTTTAAGACTGGTTTTCCCTGAATCTTCCAGCTTCATCCCTAAAAAGTCGTCATCAAACCGAGCCATATCATTCAGGTATCTTATCCTGGTAGCCTACATTTATGGTGGTGTCCATGTCTTGGTATGGCTGCTATCGCGAACTTTGGTTACACCGCTTTTCCAACAACTTGTCTATGATCGACGCGAATACCATGAAAAATTCTTTGAATTACTTCGTGATTTAAATACAAAGCTTTCTAGTTTTGTTCCATTCATTCCTCCAACAGCTTTGATCACATATGAAACACCATCAGGATCAAGATACGCAGATGCACAAACACAAACCAACCCTGAAGAAGAGGAAACAAAACCCAATGATCCATACTCTTACATTACCAGTGTCACTACAGAGAAAACAAAAAGACGAAATAGACGTACTACAGTTAAGTTTGGTGCTGGGTCGGACGGTGAAAATAAAGAAAACTCAGACAATGTTGAGGATGAACAAGAGGATCTACGTAGCCCAGCAGAACGGGCCAATTCAGAAACAAAGGAGTTTGTCGAGACTGTCAAATACATAAGCACACGGACTTCTGCGCTTGAAACTGCCTCTATTGTTGGTCTTTTTAACCCAGTAAAGGTCCAGCTTAACGAACTAACGGATTCCGTGCGCGCACTCAATGTGGGCGACTCAGCAGCACTCGCTGACACTCTTCGTCTTTCCAAATCAAGCAGCTTAAAGAACCGCAAAACCAATTTGGATGATGTGCGCAAGGAAATCCGTAGTTTTAAAGGTTCGTTCCTCAGTGCAAGAAATTTCCCCACAGTTCGTCGGTAACAAAAAGAAAAAAAAAATTAAACTAAAAAACTAAAAAAATTCATATTTATTTACAATTGTTCTATAAGTACAAGTTTTATCAAAAGACTTGGTTACTAATTCCAGAAACTGGATCGTCGTAGTAGTCATCATCATCGTCGTCATCTTTATTTTTATTCTCCACCATCTTCCTCTTCTTTTTCTTTTTAGAATCTTGTTGTTTCCGCTCTTCTGGTGCCTTGTAGTTTTTGGCTTCAAGTGCACGTTCCTTTTCACGAGCCTCCATCTCCAATCTTCGCTGTTCACGTCGTTCTTCCTTTAGCATTGTTTTAACACGCACTCCACGGCGCGCCCATTTCTCAGCTATTTTATTCATTTCCTCATCTGTAGGCTCCCATTTGCTGCGTAGAATACGTCGGATTGACTCAGGAGAAATTTTAAACATGGATGCAAAGTCACCAGCATTCAGATGCGGAGCATGCTGTTTAAGCATCCGGATACCTTCAATTGCTTCACGCGACAATTTCTTTTTCGGGTCCCATCGCTCGCCTCCAAACTTTTCTCGCAGTGCATAAATTTGTCGTTTCCAGTCAGGTAGATTTTTGTCCTTGCGCCAACCTTCAGGAACTCGTTGACTTTTAGTTCCAATATCTATGTCTTCTTCTAAAAGCTTGTCGCGTTCAATAGTCGACAGTAAACGTGATTCCAGCTCTGGTCGCCGTTGTAACACTGACAAGGCTTTCCGGTCGAGTTTTGAAAAAATTTTGGTTCGTGTTTCGTCGTCCAGTTTCTCAAGAACATCGGAATATGATTCCTTTTTCCGAGCCAGTCGTTCCTGGAATCCTGTACTAAAGTTCGATGCTGGGTTTGGGGTTTTTGTATCTGAATGCTTCTTGGTAATGTCCTTTCCATGGATGTGGCCGTCATCTTTTCCTTCATTATCTTCTTCTTCTTTTTCAAAACTCCCGCTATGCTTGAATACCGACTTGCCTCCAGGTCCAATTTCTATAATTCCATCCTCCACTAGGGTATCAATGCTCGGAAGTTTCCATGTTTTGGAAGAGCTTTTAGATGCAGATCGGTGGTTGCCATTTTTAGTCTTGTAGTTGGTGTTACTATTGGCCTTAAGAGCGAAACATGTTGTGCCAAACAATCGCCTGCTTACACCCATCTGTCCCGAAACCCGAGTCACTGAACCACAGCATCTCATTGTCCGGATCATTTTTGGTTTGGTATATTAGATTTGTTTGATGGCACAAACAGCAGTAGGTGTTGGATTATCTGCTGTATTTGGTTAAAAAAAAAATCAACCCTAAAATTTTGCTCAAAATGACGGCAGGTGCGGCGGTTCGAAAATTGAAAAAAAAATATATATATATATTTGAACTAATTAGGAAATTGAACCATATTATGTAAGTGAACCAAAAAAGGTCATGTGTTAATAATCATTAGTAACTTTACACGTGATAATTTCATGTGATATATAAACTGTTTAATATGACGTAAGATATTATTCAATGATTTTATCACGTGGCAAAAATTCTCCCTACAGCAACAACAAAATCCATCATCAACATCATCATTACAAAATATAAATATAAACAAACACAAAAGCCGCCCGACAAATTCTCCACTTTCTTTCTCTTACCATCTCAATTCATTCTTAAAGCTCATTTCCATATTACTCACCCCCAAATGAACTTTATTAGAACGTTGCTAAATACTTCTGAAAAGGAGGAATTGGTCACAATTCCTTCAGGTGCTTTTTTTCTTAAGCGTTCTCCACTTTCTGTCAAGGGCCAAAGCGAGTGTCTTTTCAAGGACGCCGTGGCTACTTTACGCAGAACTTCTAACCCGTTCAATTACCAACTTGCCATCCAACGCGTTTATGAAGAAGGTGAAGAAGCTTTAGAAGGAACAGATGGTGGTGATGGTGAAGGTGGCAGAGAAAGCTCTCCTAATGATGAGTGGGCCTTTTTACTCGACTCTGCGCTTCATTTAACCTACACTGCCAATGCAGAAGAGGCCGTTGTCATTGTGTGGCGCGATATTGACGGCGATCCAGGTGACCACTTTGAGTTTGTTTGCGATAAGACTACTCGCCCCAAGCTTTACGATCAATTTGATATTACTGCTCGTCGCTGTCAGTACGAGCGAAAATACAACAAATCTTATGAAAAGGCATCTGACGAGGATCTCGAGGAGTTTGATTTTGAACCCGATGTGGTCCCTGTCATTGAGCAAAATGTCATTAAGTCAGAAACTACAATCAAGCCTGAGACTTTGACTGAGACTGAAACTGAAACACCAATCAAAAAGGAAGCCGAGAAGGAACAAAATGTGCCAGAAACTCCTATTGCTGAATCCACCCCTGAAGAAACTCCTAAAGAAACTGAATCCAAAACTCCTTCTTCTTACCAAACAACCAAACCTGAGATTACCATCATTGAGCCAGTCGAAGGCACTAAAACCTACAATGGTGAGGCTTCCCTTCATCTTTACGACTCTGAAGCGGGCGTTTTTGTTGAACAGCTCAAAAAGGCTGAGGTTTCCATCTACGATCAAGGCAACTTTGAGTACTGGCTTGAGGTTGATAGTGATGCCGAAAGACACATCGGGATGAGCTTGTCAAATGACATGAACCCAGTCTTTAACTACGACCATCTGTCTTTTATTTTTAACTTTTTTGCGGAAACAGCTGCCTTTTCGTGGCTCTTGAAGTTCCCCTCCTTTGAGGATTTAGAAAAGTTTCAAGAACACTTTATGGAATCTCTTTGGGAAACCAACAACAAGACTAAGTGGACTAAGGTCAAGCCTGATGACAGGGAATTTTTGGCCGATGCTTTCCATGGCTTCTCTATTGAAGACGAAGAGAATGAGGAAGAAGAGGAAGATGAAGAAGAGGAAGATGATGTTTACGACACTCCCAGCAAATCAATCAAGAAGGGTCTTCAATACTCTGATGGTGTTGGCGAGTACGATGACAATGATGTCAAGAGAATGAAAGGTAAAGGTATCAACAAGGAATTGGCTGTGGGCCATGTTAATGACCGAACCTATGTTGTTCGTGACAATATGCTTGGTGTTTTTAAGCAAACTGATGATGACGATCTTGAATTTCAAACCACCATTGAAAATATTTCTACTACAAAAGGTAAATCTCTCATGCCTAGCAAGATTATGTTGCATACCCAGGATAAGTCTATTCTTTTACAAGACCCAGAGAACCTTGGTTCACTCTACCGTATGGATCTCGAGCGAGGTGAGGTGGTAGAAGAGTGGAATGTTAGTGATTCTCACAAGGTCAATGCATTTGCCCCCACCAGCAAATATGCACAAAGTACCGGCGAACAAACTATAGTGGGTGCTTCCGATACAGGTATTTTTAAGATTGATCCACGTCTATCGGGTACCAAACTTGTCGACAGTCAGCTTAAGAACTACGCTTCTAAGATGAAATTCAGTGCTTTGGCTACAACGGAGCAGGGTCACTTGGCAGTAGCAAACAGCAAGGGTGAAATCAGACTCTACGACCGTCTTGGAATCAATGCAAAGACTTCGCTGCCTGCCATGGGTGACGAGATTATTGGAATTGACGTTTCCGCAGACGGAAAGTGGATTTTGGCCACATGCAAGACATACCTCTTGCTCATTGACGCCGGTCAAGAAAACGGAAAGACTGGGTTTGTTAAGAGCTTTGGCAAGGACGTTAAGCCACGGCCCAAACGTCTGCAAATCTCGCCCCAGCACTTGGCTCAGATGCAGATGGAGACTGGGAAGCCTTTGTCTTTTACTATTGCGCGCTTCAATGCTGGTCAAGACACTCGTGAACAGTCGATTGTATGCAGTTCGGGTCCGTTCGTCATCACATGGAGTCTCAAGAAGCTGATGCGTGGAGATGCCAAAGACGCATACCTTATCCAAAGATACTCGGATGTCGTTACCGCAGACAACTTCAAGTATGGATCTGATAAAAATGTCATTGTGGCGTTGGCAGACGATGTTGGTATGGTTGACCGACGCACGTTCCACAAGCCCACACATGAATCGCTTGCCACACCCAGGCGTCGAATCCAGCCTCTGCCGCGCAATAGTATTGTTAACAGTCCTTACTAATTGACGCTTGTTTCTTTATTTACATTTTATTTTGGGGTATTTTCCTTTCTTTCTTTCTTTTTTTTTGGTTTATGTGTATTTATGTAGTTTTTAATATTATTTCTATCCTGTGAATTGTTTTTTAAATTCTTCCACAAAAAGCCTCCGAAAGACTTTGATTTTGTTGATCCGGACATTTAGTCGTGCTATTAGAAATGTTAGAAAAAAAATGAATTATAGCTTAATGATACAAATCACTCACTCTTGAGATACTCGGGTGGTGGTGGCGGAACAGGCTCGCCGCGCATTTTGGCATTGGTGTACCGGACAAATCGGTGGAATGCCGGTGACCCCAGAAGCTATATTATATATATATTTTTTTAGCAAAATGTTAGATAGAAGAATAGAAAATAACTTCAAAAGTTATCAATAAATAGTCCCAAGAAATGCTTTTAATCATCGTTAAATAGAAAAAAAAAAACCTTACCTTTTTCACCAGATACTCGTGTGCTGCTTGTCTCCACATGGTCGCATTTTTGGATTTCAAACAAAAAAAAATGTAAAGTTTGTTTGCTTGAATGTGAGTAGCTATGTTGAAAATAAAATATTGGTGGTACACTTGCTGTTTTTTTTATAGACCTTATGTTTTTAAAAGTTTATAACAACTAAATTAATGGCGTATTTTTATTATTTTTTTGATTACCTCAGCAAACCAATAAAAATGAAATTTTCAACTTATACCGCCAAATTTATTTATAAAATACAAAAAATTAAGGTTAATCATATTATGTTATTTAAAACATTTGTATAAGTAAAAGAATTTAAAGATTGTAATAACTTTATTACCTATAAATAAAAAAGGTTAGAAATAAATAGCAAGAATATTTTACATTTTTTTGTAATGGAGTTATCGTATGAGAGTAAAGTCGGATTGTCTTAAGAAAGAACCAAGCTAATAGTTTAATATAAAACTTATTGTATTGATGTAAATATCTTTTTAGATACCGATAAAAACTATGGACATATATGACTATATAAGTTCATTCAATTCTCTTTAATAATACCTTCTTAATTACTTCTTAATCACTTCTTAATTCCTTTCTTAATTCCTTTCTTTAATTGCTTCTTTTAATTGCTTGCTTGCTTGCTTGCTTCTTTTAATTGCTTGCTTGCTTGCTTGCTTAATTGCTTGCTTTATTACTTTCTTTGTTTCGTATTCAACATTGGCATGTTGATCTTTTACATTTTTAACAGTCATGTGATGGCTCGATGGTTTAGTGGTATAATTCTCGCTTAGGGTTATTCTAAGCAATTTGCGAGAGGTCCCGGGTTCAATTCCCGGTTGAGCCCTTACTTTTTTATTTTTATTTTTGTGTTTTTTTCAGTATATTTATAAAATTTGGGAAGTGATTCCTTGATAATAGATTTGTTTTGAATTAATAGTAAAAAAAAATACACTATATAAATAATTTTTATCAATAACAATAATAATTCTTCTTTACATTTCACAAAAAAAAAAATTGATTTTCTTCTAAGCAGCCCCATTATGTTTATGTAATCCCCAACCCGGTTCTTTTTTCTCTTTCTTCGAGCTGTATATAAACTGTACATTTTTAGGGTAAACCCCCCAAAATTTATGGAAACAGAGCCTAGATGTGAGCGTAGCGAGCCACCATTTTTTGAAAAAAAATGTCAACACCAACAATACAAACATCATTCGATTAACAGTTACGAATAGCAGTAGCACAGGTAAATACTTAATTGCAAATTATAGTAGCACGGGTATAACTTGTAATTATTATTATAATAATAATAATAAATTGTTGTTACATTTTTTCAAAAACAGTACTTTTTATTTTACTGCTTAACTTCAAAAAATGATGCTAATATTTTTCCGTTAAACGCATCATTAAATTTACACTATATAGTGTATACATCACTTTTAGTTAATACACTATTAATATTAGAAAAATCAACCAAAACTGTATAACTAAAAATTTAATCAAAAATTCTACTTCAAAAAAAAAAAAAAAAATAGACAAAAACTTTGATTTTATTTATCTTAAAGAAACAACGTAAAAAATATGACAACCGAGGGATTCGAACCCTCGCCTCCGAAGAGATAGGAACCTTAATCCTACGCCTTAGACCAACTCGGCCAGATTGCCTTGTTAAAAAGTAAATATATTAAACTATATACGCCAAACAAACACAAAAAGATTCCGATACATTTCATTTTAATGGGGAAAAATTTCAAAATTTAGTCTATTAGGTCAAAATTATAATTTATAAACCTGTGAATAATATTAGATTTGTTTTATTGACTCTTTACCTTTACATATCATGCCCTGATTGAGCCCCCATATGACCCTGGCAAGGCTTTCTGGAAAAGGTATTCTTATTTGTGATTTTTTTTCTTTTTAATTTCTGATAGATATAACCAATTTAAAAAAAAAATTAGAAATTACTGAAAAATAAGACTTTTATTGGATTCTCATGTTTATTCTTAAACAATAAGCAGAATACTGATTATGCCACTTTAAGCCCATGATTTATGAAAACCTTAACCTTGCTTTTAGCCATATTAAAACTCTGGCCCCAAAAAATCAGTTTAATATTTAAATATTAAATAACTTATTTAAGCTTGTAATAAGAACCTAAAACATGTATGAGTATAGTGCTTTAAGGAAATAGCGTAATGTTGCAATAATTGAAAATTATTTTTAAAAAGAAAAAAAACCTAACATTGAATGAGTAATAACTAGTCATTTGACTATCAAAAAATTTTCAGACATAAAAGTATATTTAGAAAGATTTACGGATTGCTGAAAAAATTAAATCTTTAACTAAGTCAAATACAAAATTTTGCAGGTGTCTAAGCAATTTTTTTTTTTTTTGGAATAGATCAAGCCATCCCAAGCCTTGATAAATGAAACAAAAAGAAGCAAACATTTTCTTTACTTTTTTTTGATCTCTAAGAGTCAAGATCCAAAAAAAAAAACAAAAAATTTAGTCTATCTTCAATTTTTATAAGAAATGAGAATTTGTGTCTTAAATGATATTCATCAACGGAACGACCATTTTAGAGTTTTTTGCATGATTGTTGCTTTTAATAGATCCATTTTTAAATCTGATAGTTTTTTAAAACACCTAAAAAGAAAAGATTGAATCTAGGGTTACTAGTATAGGTTAAGCCGGATATCATTCAGCGGATAGTCATGTTGATTCAAATAGATTGCCGTGATAGATCTCTATTCGTTTTGTATCAGTTCATAAGCTAGCGGCTTATCTTCAAACCATGATATATATATATATATATATTCAAATGATACATTGTAGATTTTAAAAGTATATAAGAAATGAAATCCCTTTTTTTTTTCAACATCAATCAATCTATCAATCCATTTTAATCAGCATCTAATAAATTCAATCAAATTTTCACCAATTATTTTTTAGCTTTACAATGAAATTTTCTACTGTTTTTGTTTCTCTTTTTGGAGTTTACTCTCTAGCTGCTCCTGTTGCTGAAGCCAATGCAAACCCTGAAGCCTTAGCAGCTCCAGTCGCTTTTGCCACGGCCAATGCTGAGCCAGGAAAGAAGAAGAAGTGGGAAAAAATAATGTTTGGTCTCACTTGCAACGGAAATGCTGCTGGAACTGGAACAACTACTACAGTTGCTGGAACCACCGGAGGTGCAGGAGGTGCTGGGGGTGCAGGAGGTGCAGGAGGTGCTGGGGGTGCTGGAGGTTCTGGTTCTGGTAACACTGCAACAAACAACAACAACAACAATGCTGCTGGTAACAACAATGCTAACACCAACGGAAACAACAACAACAACAGCAATCAGATTGTCATCTATGTTGTCCCTGGTGGATACTTGTCACCCAATCCTTCTTCCGGATCAGTTCCATTCACTGGTACCATCATAAATGGTGTTTTGTATGGTAACTCTCCTAATGGCAGCAGTCTTGGAAACGTTGTTGTGAGCAACAATGGTCAGCTTCAAGTTGTTGGAGAAAATACTGGCTCTGCTCCTACATGGGTCGCTAGCAATAATGGAATTTCTCCTTCCAACCAACAAGTCATTTCATGCCCAAACGCCCAAGGTGGCACTTATCTCTACTGTGGCACAACTTGCCCTAACGGTGATACCGCTCAGCAAGTAACACTCTCAACTGACCACACTGTTTCTCCTATCTAAATATGTCTAAATCACCTAGAAAATTTGTACCAGTTGTGAAAAATTTAAAAACATTAACTAACTAACTAACTATAATTTTTGATAAATTAAAAACAAGTAATCTATAAAAAAATATATAATACACTACAAATCGAGACTTATATCTAGCAGAATTTTGTCCTAAGCCATTTACAATGAATCTTAACAAATTTTTTTAATTTAAAATTTTTTAAACATTTTATTTTGTAACAACGACTATGAAATTATTTTCTTGAGTCAAAATTTTTAACTTCTTTTTAGACTTTCAAATCTTTGTTTTGAATGAAATTTTTATAAATATTTTAATACTTCAATTTTTTTTAAAAAGGTTTTTAAAATGCGATAAAACTGACGCTCCTAGATCAATTTGGGCTTATTAAAATCGGTTGGGTAAAATTTTTTAAATAATTTAGCTTAACTTGGGAAGTAAATTCATGCAATAAATTTAAATATTAAATATTAAATGTCATGAGTTCATGATAATGAAATATATAGAACAACCAAGTATATCAGAGATCTTTTTAAAACTGTCAATCCTTTAATTTGAGAGTGTACCCAATAATTATATCGGGTTTAAAAAAATGCTATGTTCAGTTGCAGTCGACTTGTCAAAGATTAATTTTTTTATAAGGACATATAAACTGGAATTATGAAAGAAAAGCGTTTTGGATTTTTTCATAACAGGAAAATTTTCCTTTCTCCAGAATTTTGTAAGCAGAATATATTTTTGTCAAGGAAGTGTCTCTAAAAAAATCTTCAAATGAATTAAGGATCACCTGTAGATCATTTAAGAAGACATTTCAAGGAACGAGATTTCTAAAAAAAATCCACTTTTTGACCTAAGTGTCTCAGTTATGCAGCGGCAGTCGTATAATCGAATTTTTTTTTTTTGATATATACCCGCAGCCTTGTTCTACCCGTCCCGTTGACTCATTTTTGATTTAAAAAAAGGCTAGATTTACACACAATTTTTTTTTCAAAAAGCTCATGAACGAAATATTGTTCTGTTAATCAATTTCAAACTGAAAAAAAAAACTATAAAAAGACTTGATTTTTTCTGTTTTCCATTTTTTTTTTCATCATCATACAATCATCTCTTTCTCATCTCATTTCATCTTATCATTCTATCATTTTATCAATATTTTTTTATTACTTAAATTCACTTTTCAAAAATCTAAAAATGAAATTCTTTACTGTTGCTATTTTATTTTTCATCGCTAATACTCTTGCTGCTCCAGTTGCTGAAGCGAATGCAATTGCAGCTCCAGTTGCAATTGCAAATGCTGAGGCGGGCTGGAAAAAGAAGAAAATGATGAAGAAGCTTATGTTTGGTCTTACTTGTGGTGGAAACGCTGGAACCACAACTACGACAACTACAACCACAGCTGGTTCTGGTGGTGCTGGTGGTGCTGGTGGTGCTGGAGGGGCTGGCGGAGCAGGTGGAGCAGGTGGTTCCGGTGGCTCTGGTAGCAGTGGAACTGGCTCTGGTGCCAATGGATCTACAAATACCAATGGAAACACTTCAGGTAATAACAATGCTAACACAAACGGCAATAACAACCAAAACAACAACCAAATTGTCATTTATGTTGTTCCTGGTGGATATCTATCTCCTGGATCCGAAATTTCAGGATCTGTTCCATTTACTGGTACCGTTATCAACGGTGTTTTGTATGGAAACAGTCCTAACGGTGGAAGCCTTGGAAATGTTGTTGTTAACAACAATGGCCAGCTTCAAGTTGTTAATGGAAGTTCTGGTTCAACGACTGCACCTACATGGGTTGTTGAAAATGGAAGCATTGCACCAAGTGGCCAGCAGCAAGTTATTTCTTGCCCTAACAGTTCCGGGGGCACTATCTTGTATTGCGGAACAACCTGCCCTAACGGTGATACTGCCCAACAAGTCACTCTTTCTGCTGACCATTCTCTTTCACCAATCTAAATTTTTCTTTTTAACTTTTTTTCATTATTGCCCTAAATTTTTTCAATTTTCCTTTTAAATGTTTTTAAATAGATATTTTATAGTTTTTTAAAGAATTAAAATTAAATCATTTTTTATAAATAAAAGATTATGAACAATCAAATAAACCGATTAATTAATTTTGAAATTAAGTGAAACATGTGAGTTTTTGTTCAAGATTGTGTTTTTAGCAAGATGAGGACAATAAAAAGCAAAAAGTCTAACTTCAAAATCTCAAAATTTCAAACGTGAGTGATGTAATGAAAATTTCAATTCTATCACAAATTGATAGTATAATAAAAGCGGATTATAGTTAATTAACTATATATTTCGACAATTTATTTAAATTATATTATAAAAATCTACCATAAACAATTTATCGATGAACCAATATATTTTGTTTTGTTCCAATTTATCCATATTTTTTATAAGATGTTAATATCATAATCATTATATTCTCACAAAAATGTATTGAGTAGTTCAAGCTGAAGTCAACAGATCGTTATATTTTAAATCTAAAACACCGTTGAATTTTAACCGCCAAAAACCGTTAATTCATGCAACAAGGCTAGGCTCATGTTTTTCCGGGGGGTATTTTTCTACAAAACCGGGTTATACTTCAAAAAAAAAAAAACAAAAGGAGAAATAGTTGTAGTTATTCTCCATTTGGAAAAAATAACTATTTTATAGAGCATCCTAGAAAATAAAAAACTATTATCTTTTCATTTACCAAAAATATAAAAAGAGTAGTTTAGTCGTACAAATTTAGATTTTTTTTTAATCATTACACGACAATCAATTCATTTTCTTATATCATCTTTATTCAATATATTCTATCCTTCTAATTTTCATTTAAACTATGAGATTTTCTACTATTACTTTTTCCATCTTTTCTATTTTTGCCACTTATGCAATTGCAGCCCCTTTGACTGATGCCTTTGCAAATGCAGATGCCAATGCTGAACCTGGTTGGGGAAAGAAAAAATCAAAAAAGCTACTTTTTGGACTTACTTGCTCTGATGAAGATTGGTATTCTGGGGACTATGGATATGGTGGTTACGGAGGATTTGGCGGTTTCGGTGGTACTGGCGGTGTTGGAGGATCTGGAGGAGCTGGAGGAGCCGGAGGAGCTGGTGGTTCCGGTGGCTCTGGTTCAGGTACCTCATCTGAAAACACCAATAACAACAATGCTGGTAACACCAACTCCAATGGTAATAACAATAATAACCGTAACACCAACCAAATTGTTATTTATGTGGTCCCTGGTGGATATTTGTCTCCCAATGCACAAGTCTCTGGTTCTGTTCCCTTCACTGGTACCGTTATTAATGGTGTTTTATATGGTAACTCTCCTTCAGGGGGCAGCTTTGGAAACGTTGTGGTAAACAATCAAGGTCAACTTCAAGTTGTTCCAGGATCATCAGCTACTGGAACAACTACTCCTAACTGGGTTGTTCAAAATGGAACTATTGTTCCTAATGATCAACAGGTTATCTCTTGTATTGATGCTAATGGAAACACAGTTCTTTTTTGTGACACAGCTTGTCCCAGTGGGGAACCTGCTAAGAAAGTCAATCTTTCTGCTGATCACAGTCTTTCACCCATTTAAATCATTGCTAATTTTGATATTTAAACTGTGAAATTCTAGTGTTTATATATTTTAAAAAACCAGATAGATAGAATTTTTTGGTAGAACAATTTTAATAAACTTTGAATTTAAAACTTAAAAATAATAAGCGAGAGAATTAGTGGAATCAAAAGCCAACTGTAACCATATGTTTTTTTGTTCCTTTCAAAGTTTTAAGTTCATTTTAAGGTTCTACTTGAAAACTTAGGGTTAGGGTCAAAATAATTTCCTTTTGTGAGATTTTAGTTCCAATTAATTTTTTTTGAAAAGTTTTTTAAAAATTTTATATTTATATTGTTCAATACGTTTTCATTAATATATTTTTACACTTGTTTGTTTGTTTGTTTTTATTCAAGGGTTATAGAATTATATAACATCAGCATCTGCGCTATCCTTTTATTGTCTGACTATGTGACTTGCCGGTTTTCATTTGTACCTTTTTAGTACGGGTGGTTTCTGTTCTGTGCGTCTCCGGTAGCCCGGAAGATGGGCCCTGATGCCAGCTTACGAGGAACAGGGAGAACCAGTCTGTCGGTCCCAAAACCTTCCCAACCCATTTCCACTTATCTTCACGGACGCCCATGTATTTCTTAATCTCTTCCGTCAGAGATACGGCCCGCAATCACCTGCAGGCTATTTAGACTGTACGGAAGAGTCGGCATTCCTGTAACCAGGGTAGCCTATGGTTTTCAGTCTAGGTGTATACTCCCGTACACATCCTCAGGAAAAGGGGGTATTCTGGGAATCGAACCCAGTATCTTCCGCTGTCGAGCGAACGTGTTATCCTTTACACCATCCAGCCCTTTCCCCCTATATTTTTACACCTCAAAAAGTTGAAAATTTACATTTTGTTTTAAATTATCTTATTTACTAAATCATATTAGTAATTCATACAGTTGGGTCATTAGTATAGTGGTAGTATACCTGCTTCGGGTAGTAACTGAAGCTCGTACAATTAAGTTGTATTTGCAGGTGACCCCGGATCAAACCCGGGATGACCCCATTTTTTTAATTTTCTTTAAAAAATTGTAAATATATTAGAATTTTTTGTGAGATTTGTTTTTGATAAAGTGTGGAATTTTTTTTCCATGTTAGCTTGGAATTTGAAAAAAATAAAACACTCGTTTTGTCAGATATGTTTTAAAGTCATGTTTTATATAATGACCAGTGTACAAATCTATAGATTTGAAATCTTTGTAAATTTATTTAGAAACAAAATTTATCTTATTTTTCTTCTAAAATTAATGAAAAAATTAAAATCTAGATTAATAAAAAAACAGTTTTTAAAAATATGACAAGGTGAGACTTTTTACGGAACGAATATCTTATAGAAGTGACTCATGTAGTTAATAAGGTTTAAAAACGGTTGTCTCAACCGGTTAAATCTTTGAAATCAATATTTTACAATTTTGAGAAGAAATCCCACTGTTTGAAATCTGGAGGATCCCAATTCATGCAACTGTTTAACTGAAAAATTTACTCTTTAGGAAATTAATGCTGTTTTTTTTTTTTTTTTTTTTATCTTGATATTCTCACTGATTTGAAACATATGTGTACAAATAGTTTTTCATTTTGACAGCATGTATTTCTATTTTTACAATTATAGCTTTGACAATAGGAAATCATCAATATTTTCATTTATAAAAAAATAAGTATAAAAAGAAATTGATTTCCAGTAAATTTATATTTTTTTTTTCTTTTCTATTTTCATCATCAACCTATCAATTCATCGATCTTCTAATCTATTATTCACCTAAGTCAACTCATCTCTTATATTTTATCAAACCACATCCAATCAATTAAAAATGAAGTTTTCTACTATCGCCATTGCAATCTTTGCTACTTATTCTTTTGCTGCTCCAGTTGCTGAAGCCAATGCCAATGCCAACGCTGAAGCCCTTGCTGCTCCTATTGCATTTGCTGCCGCCAACGCTGAGCCTGGTAAGAAAAAGAAGTGGAAAAAGATGATGTTTGGTCTCACCGGAGGAAATGCTGGTACTACTACTACAACAACAACTACTGGTGCCGTTGGCGGGGCTGGTGGTGCAGGTGGTGCCGGCGGTGCCGGCGGTGCAGGTGGTGCTGGCGGTGCAGGTGCAGGTGGTTCGACTTCTAGCAATAACAATAACAGCAATGCTGGAAATAACAATAACGTTAATAACAATACAAACAACAATAACAACGGAAGCTCCAATGGCAGCAGCAACAGCAATCTGGTCTCTATCTTTGTTGCTCCTGGTGGTCTTTTGTCACCTAACAACTCTGTCAGTGGATCTATTCCCTTCACAGGAACCCTGATCAACGGCGTTTTGTACGGTAACTCTCCCAGTATTGGTGGCCTGGGCAATGTCATTATCAACAATTTTGGTCAGCTTCAAGTTGTTCAGACAGCTGGTGCAGGAACTGTTCCTACTTGGGTTATTCAGAATGGTGGAATTCTTCCCAATGGCCAGAACCTGACTTCTTGCCCTGATACTCAAGGAAATGTTTTCCTTTACTGTTCCAACACTTGCCCTGACGGGTCTGCTGCAAGACCTTTTGACTTGGCAGCAGACTACTCTTCTTCTCCCCTATAAAATACCTCAAAATTTATATATTAATAATGGCTGGCCATTTTTTTTCATCTCATACAATTTGTTTTCTTATTTCAATATTATTTATTTTATCGTCGATCAATTTTGTTTTAATTATGTTTGTACTTTTTCAATAGAACAATATAAAAATTTTAATTTATTTTTATTATAATAAGTAGTATTCATCAAAATTATCAATACATATTCTACTGATTTTAAATCGCTTAAAAATAACATCTTGTGTATTTAATAATTATTATCCATTATAATGAAAAGCAAAAGCATTTTTTAACTCATATCATTATAGGTTTAAATAATTATGTAAACCTTTTGGATATGAAAAAGCCTTTGTAAAAAACTAAAAGATACAATTCAAATAAAAAATAAAAAAAAATAATTACATTAACTCAAAAAATATATCCAAAAAAAAAAAAAAATAAATAAATAAATAAAAGAAAATCAAATATCTTGCTAAATCATCTTTAGAACCAGCAATCAGATCCATCCCCAAAAGGTTTCCGGAAAACATTCACGGGTCCATGATCGATATGCATCATCTCGTTCATTATACATTTCAATATTAAAAGTAGTCTGATGCCTGTCATCTTCTATTAAATCATGGCAATTGGAACAAAACCAAGAAATTGGGTATTTTTCTTCCACTTCGGCCAGAGTCATTTGGGAAATAGGAGAATCTGAAGACATATCGGAATTGTACTCATCATCGGAATCAACATCTACCCAGGGATCTTCATCTGAGGACGATGATTCCGCTGTTGAATGCCATGAAGCATCATCAGCCTCCTCATTTTCTTCATCAGTTTCCTCACGTTCTTCATCAGTCTCCTCACTTTCTTCATCAGTCTCATCACTTTCTTCATCTTCTTCCAAATTCAGTGGGCCTAATTCATCGTCAATTTCATCATCTTCGTTATCAGAATATCCATATCCGGAGTAATCTGAATAATCTGAATATTCATCGTCTGAGTATTCATCGTAATTTTCGGAAAAAAGTTTTTGACAACGGGGGCATCTAGTTTTAAGAGATGGCGATTTTTCTAAATTAACAAAATCCAAATAAGGTTCTGAGAAATAAGAATAGTAAGAATCAGGAACTGAAATATTTCCATATAACTTGAGCCATAACCGACCAATACTCAGGTCATGTCGAAATTCACAATTTTTTTCAACATAAAACCTCTTTTTTTTTCTCCTTTTGGTAAAAGAATTGTTAGCTTTTTCAGCGTCCTTGCGGAGTCCTTCAAGATCCAAAACAATCCGACCATTAATATCAGAAGGAAAATTTGTCGCATTATCAAGGCGAGAAACAGGCCACATATATAGGTACCGAGAATAGATATGGGTTTCCATATATGTTTTAGGTCGTAAAAACCATTCACGAAACATAATTTGCTTGATGGTTTTGTTTGTTTTCACCATTTTTTGAAACTGGGGTGAATCGAGGATCATTGGGGCTCCTGAAGATTTGTAACCAGTAGCAAGATTCAAAAACTCTAGTTGAGGGAGATTTGGGACTATTTGGCCAAATAAAACTTCAGTAAAACACAAGCCTCTGATAAAAATGCTGTCATCATCTTCAGTCTCTGAAATGCTTGAATTCTCAATATCTGAAATAAAAAAAGCAGGGGAAAAAATAATAACTTTAACCCAATATAAAGCATATGCAGTGTAATCATCAACAGACTCATAACTTCCCTCCAAAAAATAAGACATATTTTCAAGGAAAGTATTGGGATAAAATGCAAAAAAGGGAGGAGGAGGTGGAGAAGAAGAGATATCATAGGTGGAAATGAAATCTCTAAATCGTTGATTCTGAATGAGTCTAAAAATAAGTCCCAAAATTGAAGCAATACAATTTGAAGAAATAGCTTGAAAAGAATCCCGTCGATTGTCGTTAAAGTATCTATCATCATCTGTATCAAAATCAATAATAAAAGAGTCAGGGATTTTGTGAGAGATACTAAGAGATTTCAATGATGTAAACAACGGTAATTCTTGTAAAAGAATATTATGATATCTCTGCTCGCGGCTTAGAATTCGATACGAGACGACTTTTTCCGGAGGGAGATTTTGGCTAATGGTTTTGTGGTATGGCTCAGAGTCCTGTGGGGATTTTGGTGGAAGGAAGTATTCATCAATAGATGCAGCCTCAAGTCTAGGTAGTTTGAATAATTTCCAAAATGAACAGATGAATGTCATAAGACGAGATGGGTTTGTGTTTCGAGCATTAGCCATGCCAGCTTGTTTTATTTCTTCGGAAAAGAAAATATCTGTGGGAACAAAAATATTGCGGTTAGTACTGTATAGGTGTGTGAGGGGTACAGTAACTTTGGGAGTGTTATCAAAGTTGGTCTGGGTAAAATTTCTCAACTCCCACAAGGAAAAATCAATGCCAAGAATACATTGCTCTAATTTATTGGGGAGTTTTGCTAAAGCAGAAAGAAAATTAGGCAATGGTTCAAAACCAAGAGTAACATAAAACGAAAACACTGAAAGGTTAGGTAGTTTGCATAAGGCTTCAGCAAATCGGTGAATGTCAAGACTTTCCTGGTGTACTCTCACATGAATAACTTTAGCACCTGTCAATCTTGTTATTGTGTTATGGAAGCCTTCTTGTGAAGTTGTATTAACATCATTTAACAAGTCCATTTGAAAGTTAGTAATGGCCGCAAGGTTTATTGGAATGTTTATCGAGTTTAATGGTTTGACCGACCGCAGGGTCAGCTTTCTAGGACCAATTGTATCAGCAAAAAAATTTAAAACATCCAATGCATCATCATCTAGTTCATCTTCTTCCATAGTGAAATAGTTTTCAAACCGACCTAGAGTAGATTTTTGAGAAAATTTGGTGAATATAGTTCTGGATGTATAATGAAACAAATCTGAAGCGCTTAAAGAGATATTTACAGCACTTAATGACGGGTACCAAGCTGAGTTAAACTTTGAGACCTTACTAGGAAGGTCACCGGATTGTGCTTGAAGAACAAGGTCAGAGCTGCCCATATACCAATGGGTGAAGCGAACTTGTCGAACAGCTTGGTTACAGAACCAACTATAAAGCTTAGGGAACAGAAAAGTTTCTAAGGGTATGGCTCTGGCGTGTTTAGAGAGAGAAAAATCGTAAAACTGATAGTGAAGATTATTCCAAATCACGCGGGGCAAAAGAATAACTGTCTGAAAAGATAAAGGCCGATATACTTGCTGAAGACAAGAGCAAGTCAGACTAAGTGCAGTTTTATCTACAACTGACAAATACCGAGATATATTATCATGGACTTCAGGTGGAAGATCAGTGAATAAAATATGCATGGTTATGACTGAAGGTAGAAAATGATGAATTTACCAAGAAAAAAAAAAGAACAGAGGAAATTGGCCTATTTAAAAGGCCAAAACCATTATAATTAGTTGATGTGTAGAATTTAAAGCAAGTAATTTTGCATTAGTGTATAGTGTCTTCAAAAATATATATTTAATGTGAGGGAAACTTAACATGTTTCATAAAGTTGAAAAGGTATTCGTGACACACCCTGTCACAGGCCTTTTCTTAATCTAGAGCATAAATCTATCTATACTTCCCTGTGCCCTTGACATGCATTGCGGTTATCTATTCCCTGTTCTGCGAGGGCGATAATGCTTTGGATTGTATAAATCGCGTCATCAATTTTGCGTTCAGAAAGAAATGCCCTTTTATGGCAAAGCTTGGAACCGCCCTCATGAGCCTTAGAGACTTTGTTGTTGCAACGAGGATACACACCAATGACAACCTTAACGTAAAAAGTGTACTTCTTGCTTTTTTTTTTTTGTTACTCGTACAGAATAACTGTTCCTTTCAAAAACAGTTAGCCAACTATGAACGGGATCCTGTGGATGCATTCAGTAAAGAAATTGCCTGCATTGAATTTTTCTAAGGTGAACTCAAGGTACATCCGTCAAACGCCGCCACTAAGGGAAGCCACTATTAGCTTTCATTCTTCTTTGCTAGAATAAATGATCTCAGCCATTTCGTAAGTCATGGTGGTGCATAAAAAAAACCAGATATAAAAATATAAATTTGTTGTTGTTGTTGTTGTTGAGCATAATAACTTTATAACTTCATAATAATGCCACTACTAATCATGGATTTGAACAGAGACAGAAGAGCAATGCGGTCCGTTCTTTCCTTTTTTTTTTAAAATAAAATCTTTTAATCTTTATAAAAACTTTTACTTAAATTTAATAAACCGAATCTTTTATTCAGTTTTTATGGCCCATGGAGTAGTTTTTTTTTTTTTGAATATTATGCGAGATCTTAATTACAATCCATTTTCAAAATAATCTTTCAAAGAGAGTAAAAGTTTCCCAATATTTTAAATTTTTAAAATCAAATTTTGCTAAAATCTTTTTAAGTCAATTGATAACTTATATTATTATCAGCAATGAAATAGAAGTTTGAAGACCGAAATTGGATATGTAAATGGTAAAAAAATTAACAAAAAAATTAACAAACAAAAAATAAATCAAAGACTTTTAAAACATTAAAAAAGACTTGTTTTATACGTTGAGTTATCAGCAAAAATTAGAAATTGCAAATATGAACTATAAAAGCCGGGTAACTTTGCTACACACACTCATACACACATACTCACAACACATATCTTCAAAACCAAAAACTAAAAAAAAAAAAAACCTGTCATTTTCCACGTCATCACCGACTGGTTTTTTCCACCACCACCATCATTATTACCATTATCATCACTGCCAAATATACAATATCAAACGGAACACGCAAAGAAAAAAAAATAATGATTACTGATAACCAGCTTAATACAATTGCCATCTCGTTTGGTATTGCCACTATGGGCCTCATTGTGGTGTTCCATCTTATTACTAGAAATACACAGGCTCTCAGAGATACACCTGTTGTTAAGAAGTAAATTAATTCTAAAGAATGCTTCGCTACCTGCAAACAAAAAAAAGAAGCAAATCACCCTATAGACTGCTACATATTAAGTAGCCGAGCTGTGCTTGGATACTTTTATTATCTTTTTTTTTTATTTCTTTTTTAATTGTTGTTTTATATGTCTTCTTCCGTCATCTTTTGTAAGTATTAAGTATGTTCTAAACACAAAAAAATACTACCGTCAAGCTAACCAGGTCCTAGTATAAATAGTAAATAAATAACAAAATTCAAATCTAATTACAAAGTTCTATTGTACTCGCTACGTGCAACATCGGTCCAGATCTCTTCCTCGCCTAAAATGTACTTTCCATAAGCAATCATCTTTTCCAGCTCATGAGCAATCTCTGTAAAGGTCTGGGAAAATGTACTTTCATGAACAATGGCCCAAATATACTGTGATTTTTCCAAAACTGAAGCATGTGGTGGTAAGGGAATGGTTGCCATGGAGTTAACCGTCTCTGACGGGTTCAATGTTGCATTCTTCTCGGCATCGCCCACTACTAGTGTTGTGGGAGCAATTTCATTGTCCTTATCTTCATTCTCATTACGCTGCGTTTCAGTAGTTGTGATGGCATCTTCGCTATTATTTTTGCTCACTGTAGCTGAATCCTGCATTGTTTTCTCGTCACTAGCTGAGCTGGGAGTTACTGCAACTTCAATTGCCATTTGCGCTGCTGCTGCTGCTGCTGCCTCAGCTGAATCGTGGCCTGAGTAGCATGCCTCCCCTTCATGATTTTTCGGAATAGTTGCTGTTTTACTTTCTGTTTTGGACAATTTGGATGCATTTTTTAAAGCGCGTAACCGAATTTTTTCAATTTCGTGCATTCCATCAAAGAGAAGTTTGCGAGAAAGGGCTGGAGATGGCATGTGACTTAAAATCTTGTTTTTGGATTCAAAAGCGCTTGAAAGCAAATGCAAAAGATAAATGACAGAGGCAACTGCATCACGACGTAAAGACATTAGTGTAATTTTGGTTTCAGCATTGGTATCTTCATAACGATGAACGTTGAAATAAATTGATGAAATGCGGGCCTCTGAAATCTTTTGCAAAATGACCTGACAAGAGCGTAAAAGCTTAATGTATGGGACCTGATCAAAGTCGCCGCGTAATGAAGGCTCATGTCTGGTCATGTAAATCATTTCTCGGTAGGCGTCTAAACTGATACGCATACGGGCTTCACGGACTTCAGACAAACTGAGCGCCATTGCAGTTGGATCATCCCCGACATCCTTGTAAAGATAGCGATCTGTGACACTTTGGTAGCAGTTGCTGAGATGCCTTAACACAATAGCCATGGCTTTACGTACTTCCTGACGTGCAACAAAGGGCCAAAAGATCCACGAAATAACAATCGAGCCTGCTATACCGATAACAATGGCACAACCCTGTGTCCATGCCACTGTTATAATGTCTTTTCTTGGACTGTGGTCTTCATGTACTTTGACAAAAATTGTGAGCGATGTAATGGTAAAACTTATACAAGCAAGACTTCCTGACCGCGGGTGTAAAGAAATGACATATCTGTAAAAAGCCGGAATCACTAAAAAACAATTGTTAGGAAAAAAAAAAAGGAATCAAAATATTAGCAGTAATATACTTACTGAAAACAGCACACATCACACATAAAACATAAGGATTTCCATAATGAGCACGAAATGAAATACCTGCCCAGACAACTCCAAGAATGGCACAAGCGGTTCGCACAAACAAGTCATGTAAATTTCCACCTACTCGGGGATGCATAATAACGACAGCAATGAATGGTGCAGTCCATAGATTATAATTGTTGAACCAATCACGACTGTGATGGATCCACCCAGGAATACAAAGAGACGTTACAATAATCGAAGTACGAATGGCATACCTTGACTCGTAACCTTGTAGACGGTGCACCAGTCTCCATAGTCGGTATCTCAGTTTATGCTGCTCATCAGAAGCAGCATTGTTGCGCTCATTTTCTCGACGTTTTTTCCTTGCATCCGCAGGAGTCAGCTCTTCTTCCGAAGCCAATACTGATGCACGTCTATGAGCCACACTGATTTCATGAAGCTGCTCAAATACTTGTTCAATATCAGCTTTGGTATGGTAGAAATAAAATGCTGATTGGCCACCACGATCGTGTGTAGTTTGACGAGTGTTAGTTTTAAGAGCCCGCGAAAAGGGATAATTTGGAAAGGCAATATGCCATTTACGTTTAGTTCCAGCAGCATCAACAAGTTCATCAATAACGTGGCCAAGAGATCGACTCATATCATAAAGATAATGAACATAAACAAGCACATTGACAACAGGGGTTGCTCGCCATTCCACATTGACACCTTCATTAGATGCTTTTTGTAAAAGCGATTCAGAAAGCATATCTAAAGCGTATTGACAATTCCTCAAATCTGCCTGAGACGTCATTAACTCTGAGTAATGAAGATTATTTGAGTTTTTGTATCGTGGAAGTGGGTATTTCAAATACTTTAAAAATTTGTCAAGGTTATCAAGTGACTTTAAAACCACTTGAAGTATAGAAGAGGTTGGTTCTTGAAAAGTATCACGAATGAAAATATGAGATCTGCGAATAGAAGAACCAGCTACACGAGAACGGTAATGAGCATCATCTGACCCAGTAAGAGTACCGTATTCATCTTCTGACAAGAGAGGGCCATAAAGATATGTAGGACAGGGGACAACGCGAATACGGCCAATAAACATCTGAATGGCATTTCTAAGTTGAATAGCTTGCTTGTTATTGACAGTGGAAATTGTTATTTCATTAAGCATTTCGCGGAAAACAATAGACATGTCATTGGAAGTCTTATTCAAAACCTCTACTTCCTTTGCTAATGCCTCAGGATCAGCCTGAGAAATGGCAAGTATAGTGACTCTGCATTGCTCAATAGCGTCAAGAAAAGATGTAAAAGCTTCGTTATGGAAAAAGTCAGGGACAATTAGCAAATTAAGAACAAGAGTTAGGGCAACTCCAAGACCATAGGGTACTGCAAATAACCGCACGCGGTACCAATCGCGAATCTCAGAAACGTTTACAACTGCCATAAAAAGATGGGCCATGTGGAATGCAATCATTCCATGATAAAGACGGATAAAACTAGCACGAACCCAAGCAACCAAAAATGTCATGAATACTACTGATACGGCTTGTAAGCCACCATAGCCAGACTGTGCGGATTGAGTAGAAGTCGAAACAAAATAGCTGAGAGATCCCACTCCAAGACCAAGGGCTATGCCACCAGCACATTGTATAAAGATTTCAATTTGAGAGCCTGAAGAGTGAGCGGCTTGGTGTAAAACACATGCAAGTGGGAAAAAAAGGCGGTAATGGCCTAACCAGCGACCAACGGGACCAATGACGCAAAGAATGTACGCCACAAAATAAGTGATGAATGCTTTGAAGAGCTTTACACCATTATGCGGCGACATCATACTATAGACCACCATTCTTAAAGAAGAAATGGCCGAAGTATATAGAGAAGGCGATTTTTCTGCAATGGCCATTGCTTCAGATTCTTGGGAAACAGATTCATAAGCAAGCTTTTCAATAAATGAGATTGGTGAATAAATGGCATCGAAAAAGCCATCACGAAACTCTTCAAGTCCAAATCCACTGCGCACTACTGGCATACCGTCACCACCAATGCCTCCGCCAAAAAGCATCCGCTCAAGATATGACTGTGGATTTCCTTTCTTCTTTTTCTTCTTTTTGCGAGCTTTTCTGCTTTTTTTTTTCCTTTTTATAGCTGGTTCATTGCTGTCTTTTTGGCTGTAGTCGCTACCAGTGCTTGAAACTTCTCCGCTACTATCAAGATCTTCATCATCGTTATCGTTATCATCATCATCATCACTACTACTATTGCTACTGTCGTCACTGCTGGTGTCGTCATTTTGACTGGCCAGACGGGAATGGCGATATTTGCGTCTGCGGCGGTATGGTGAAAGCGGGCTATCTTCGTGGCTGAAAAGACTCACAGTGGAGTGGGCTGGCGTGATGCGACCCGAACTTCTTGTTCGGCTATTTGCACGGCTTCTTACAAGAGGAGAGACTGCAAGGTGGGGGGCCAGTCCACCAGATGGTGAAGGGGTTGCAAATATCTCGGAAGACGAGTGAACGCCGTAAGAGCCACGATAAATGTTTGAATCTTCAATGTTATATGAAGGACTTTGGACTTGCAAAGAACTGCCGCTTGGACGAGGTAGGCCTTGTTCGGAAAAGGATACTGAAGATTGGGGGTGGTGGGGTAGTCGAGCGGGACTACCAGGTGAACGTGGCGTAAGGCCTGGACTAGAAGGGCCACTAGAATTTACTGGTAATGAAGCTAATGGGATTTCAGAAGATCTTGGTAATACAACAGTGGGCAAAGTCGGTGAAGCATGAGCTGAAGTTTGGGTTGCTGTAAATGTGTGAGGTAGCTTCGAGGTAGATGATAATTCTGTGTTTGAAGGATTTAATGGGTCTGTTGAGTTTAGGGTCGCCGTCTCAAACTCCAGAGTCACCTTTTGCAGATTCTCCGGCTTTTTTGATCCGGATTCATCTTTTTGGGACATTTGGGATCTAATGATAAGAGGGGGGTATATAAGTCTACTAGAGATAGATTTTGTGAGTAAAAATGAATTGTAAAGTAAAGTAAGAAAAAAAAAAAAATTTTGAGAGCACACAGAAATTCTGAGATACCAAAAGACAACCTTAGATGCTACAGATATTTTTAAGTGCGGCTGGGCGCAAGTACTTTACGTAAAAGTGCCGCCAGTAGATTTTGGTTTATGAGAATTTTGAAAATTTTGAAAATGCTGAAAAAGAATTGAAAAAAAAGTATCTTCTAAATATAAAAAAAATGATTTTTTATAAAATTAAATTGTATATATTTATACAATTTTTTTTTTAATTTGGGATTGACTAAAAAAGAGTAATTATAAAAATGTCTTAAAACTTCTCTTTAAAATCATTGAAACCACCCATATAATTAAACTAAAGGAGCCAACTTGATCTGATTAAATTATAAACAGTTAAAAAATAACCGACTAGACAATATAATTAATAAACCACTTTTAAATTTTTTTTTTAAATAATTATGAAAGATTTACAATTGACCAACTTCTTTATCCTTGCTAGGTCGTGCATTTTGTGTAGTTTGACTCTCCAGCATGAATAGCAAAAAGTGTGTGACGAATTCGAAGTGTATATATCAAAACGTAAGCGAATATTACAGACCGCATACTGGCTGGGGCCTTTTTTTTTTGTCTTTAAAGATTTTTTGATATTCAGCAAACATTTAAAAGGTACTTGTAAAGTTTGTAAAGTTTTCAATAATTATCATCTTTCTCATTTAAATTTTGAATTGTAGTATTTGCAATTAACATTAATAACATGATATATAGCTTGAGTTCGCTTACTATTGTGATTAATAAAAAAAGACTAAATAACTGTTCTTAAGCCTTCAATAGTTAAACCAAAAGAAAATTACAACATTATCTAAAAAAAATAAAATAATATACCAAAAATTTTTTAAATTAAGATCTACTTGATAAATTAATTAAATAATAATGGTTAAAAGATATTTTGCAGATCAGTTCTCAAGTTTCTAAAATATTGGGAAAAGTTAACTAACCACTAACTTAACTGCAAAAATCAAGGTTTAATAAACATGAAATATACTTGAACAACAATTCAAAAATGAAAATACAACAAAAACTATACTTTTATATTTACCTCTAGCAACAAATGCAAGACTTCAATAATAATAACAATAGTTTGTTTGTATAATTTATATGAAAAAAAAGATAATGAGAGCTGGGAGGTTCGAACTCCCGCCTCCGAAGAGACCAGCACCTGAAGCTGGCGCCTTAGACCACTCGGCCAAACTCCCAAATAATTAAAAAAACAACCCATTCAAAATATTTGCAGTATCATAACATAAAATTATAATTTAGAAATTATTAATTTTTTAGAAAAATTCCAGAGAAAAATAACAAATTTACTATATTTACATTTTTATACATGTTTTTTTTTAAAAAAAAGTGTTTGGGAATAGCGAGGCACCAAAATTAGGCAAATAAATGGAAAGCATTGACGTTAATATTATATAAATATCGATATCTCTTGAATTAAAATAAAATTAAACTGCACACTAATTTATTAAAAACCTTTATTTTTTATATTTTCAAACAGAAACATGGGCCTGAGCATGAACATGAACATGAACATAAAATTCCTACAAAACAACATAATTTTGTGACATTAAAAATTATTCAAATGGTGGTCATAAAAATTTGGCTATAAGACCTTCGAATATATAATTATAATCTAAATCTTATTTTTTTTTGTTAGAAACATGATCTTTTATCTTTTAGAAAAATATTTAAATATTGTTTAAAATACTCTTAGAAAACAAACTGAATGTTAAGTGAATTAATAAGCGGTTTGAAGTCGTGTTATACCCATTTTTTACACATTTTGAAACAAAGTCATTTTTTTGTAAAACATTCGTTTTTTTTTAACTCTTTCTAACTTAAAAAATTCATGCAACAGGTTTTTTTTCTTAAGTGCTATACGATTTTAGATCTGATATTTTTTTTCTTTTGGAAATATCCCCATGATCATAAGAATATCTAAAAAATCTTAGGTTTCAAATCGTTACTTATACGAAAAATCGTTATGTTTTTATGGTATCGAATATTTATCAGCGTTGAATATCTTGATGGATTAAACTTGAAATGTCTTTGGCCGCATTTTTTTCTACTTCAATCTTTTTTGTTTTTTTTTGATAATCTTTAAAATACTTTGATCAATTGTTTCTATTTTTTTAATATAAAAGAACCTGATATTTCTTCATTTGATATTCTTTTTTTTCTTTTATTATTTTCATCTTATATTCTCAAATCAATTTATCAATATACTAATCAATTCCAATCATCTACAAATAACTCAGTTTTTTAAATCATCAAGAATGAAGTTTTCAATTATTGTCCTCACTCTCTTTGCTACCTACAGTTTTGCAGCTCCAGTTGCTGAAGCCAATGCAAATGCAAATGCAAATGCAAATGCTGAAGCTCTCGCAGCTCCAGTCGCTTTTGCGGCAGCTCATGCTGAACCTGGAAAGAAGAAGAAGTGGAAAAAGATGATGTTTGGTCTCACTGGTACTGGTGCCGGTACTACAACTACTACAACGGCTGGTGGTGCTGGGGGCGCCGGTGGCGCCGGTGGCACGGGCGGTGCTGGTGGTTCTGGCGGTGCTGGCACCTCTGGTCCTTCTACATCTAACAATCTGAACTCAAATACCGGAACCAGCAACAATGTTAACAACAACTTGAACAATAATAATAACGGTAACAGCAACCAAATTTCTATCTATGTCGCTCCTGGTGGCTACTTGTCCCCATCAACCTCCATTTCTGGCTCAGTGCCATTTACTGGAACTTTAATTAATGGCGTTCTTTATGGTAACTCTCCTAGCATTGGTGGTCTTGGAAACGTTGTTATCAATAACCTTGGTCAGCTCCAAGTGGTTGAGGGTGCAACTAGCACGGGTACTGCACCCACTTGGATCATTCAAAATGGGGCTATTGTTCCCAGTGGCCAGTCTATCATTTCATGCCTTAATAACCAGGGTAATATTATTCTCTACTGTGCTGCTTCTTGTCCTGATGGTGCAACAGCCATACCTTATGATCTTGCTACTAACTACACTGATTCTCCCATTTAAATTTAACAAATTCGTTAATTAACGGGTAACTTTCGAAAGTAATTTATTTACATTTTTATCAGCTTTATGAATTTATTTTTATCTTTTAGTTTAAGTATTTTATAAGTTATTTTATAGAAGAGGCTTTATCAATAAAAAAAATATAAAATTAAAAAAAAAAAAACGTTATTATCACTTTACGGCTCTACATATGTGGTAAATTGTACCAAATAAATAAATACTTGTGTAAGTCTGAGTCAAAAAAAATACTCGGCAACGGGGAATTGAACCCCGGTCCCCCGCGTGCTATTAAATGACAGGCGGAAATTCTAGCCACTAAACTATTGCCGACGTGAAAATTTAAAAGGTATTTTTAATATAAGGACAAAATACAAAAAAATGAAATTTTAAAAAATGATTACAAACCTTAAATTTTATAAAATCAATATAAAAAAATAACAAAAACCTTAAAAAATTAAATAAAGTTAAATAATGCATACCTTGAAATAACTGAATAGCAAAATATCTAATTTTTCAGTTTAGGCAGGCTCGCCTGCAAGGCATTGTGGGTTAAATTTTTAAAGGACAGAATTAATAAATACATGGTTAATAATAAAAATAAGTGGAAATGGATCTTGTTGGCATGGGATTGTCAAACTGGTTTTTTTGTCATTTGTTAGTGGGAATCAAACCCAATATTGTCGGATATCTGAGTGCACGAACCAAAAATCACTGTACTAAAAATTTACACTCGATAGACGGCAAGTCACCAAAGCTAGGCAATTGGTAACATTCATGCTGATGTTATATGATTCAATAGCCATTAAATGAAAACATAAAAAAAAGTTTAATTTACATTTTTAAAGTAATGGAAACTAAAATATTAATTCTATTTTTTTATTAATATCGACGCTACTTCTATGATCTTATTTCCATTTCAAAAAAAAAAAATTAAAAGTTAGTTTTGCAACAAATGAATAGTAATATAATTATACAAGGTTAGAAACCTTTCTGTCAAAAATTAAAAAAAAAAAAGGATAACAGAGATCTATAAAGCTAATGATTTTTGGGTGTATTTATGTAATTTAATGAATCTGTTAATTGAATCTTAGTTATGTTTATAAAGTGTGATGTGTCTGATAATGTAGCCATGTTGACTTTACCATCTTTAAAAGTTTCTAAGTTCTTTTTTATTCTTAGAGAAACAATTTTTTTTTTTTTTTAATTTGAGAAGCCTGTTCATATGTCACTTGTTTGATTTATCGCAACAATGTTAGCATCATGATAAGTGTTGTTTGTTGAGGTAAGGGTATTGGAAAATAATTTCAAAATCCTCCTTTAAACTTGAAGATTACGGTCCAAAACATGATATTTAAAAGATTCCGTTAGGGTAAGGGTATTTGTTATTACGTAAAATGTTTTCAAAAATTCAAAATTGAAATGGAAAATTTACAATACATAACTAAACATGAGAGTTCTTAAATTCCATTGGGGTAAGGGTATTGTTCATTATGAAAAATAATTATAAAATGACGTTTTAAACTAAAAAAAAAAAAAGGGCCAGAGCCTGAACATTTAAAGATTCCAACGGGGTAAGGGTATTTGTTATTTAAATGCATTCAAAATTAAAATTTAAAATTTAAAATTTAAAATAGAAGACTTATACAATAATTAATCAAAGACCCCATGCTACTTCTGAAGTTAATTATTTACAAAAAAAAAAATCATAAAGTTACGGTAAGAAAAAAGAGTTCAGTTAAAGCTTCTTTAAAAACTTCATAGTATCACGGTATCAAATAATGTGTTCAGCTAGAAATTTTGGCAGGATTAAATATCAAGAAGCCCATAGTTAATTTGTAGGTTCTTCTATAGCTATCATGTGCCAATTTTCATATACATATATATCCCTTATTGGTGCTAATGATAATAGCATTGGTGTTGGTGTTGGTGTTGGTTAGCATTTCTTTTCAAAGAGGTGATGCCGCCCTGCTAATATCAAGACAGTATTTTTTTTTCAAAGAGAGGTTCAAAATTTAAATATTACAACTGAATTAATGTTATTTCGACAACATTTATAGGAATTACAGGTACTTTTTAGAAAAACATTTACATTACTAGGTCATTTAAAACTTGTCAAAAAAAATTATGCCTTAAGCTTAATTTTTTAATATCTTGAAACTATTTGTTTTTTTATATAAAAATGGTGGTTAGCATAGGTTGAAGTATTTTTTTTTTTTTTTTTTGGTATTACAACTTTAAACTAACCAAAGTTATGGCTGTATGGCTAAGGCTGTGTAGTAATTATTAAACTAAGTTTGTTTTTGGTAAAAAACAGTAATTTACAAATTAGTCAATTTTTTCCTAAAAGGTTTAATTTCAAAATACTTTGTTTGAAATATAAAATCACATTTGTTGAAATAAAAATTCTATTAATTGTTCTGAATAAAGTAATTCCATTAGGGTTGGGGTTAACCTTAAATATTTTACTGTGTTTGTATTATTTTTTTTTCCCTGTTGGATAGGCTGCATAAAATCATGAATGGCCCATCTTTACAGTTTTCAAACAGTGCGGTAGAAGTATGCAGATTAATTTCAATGTCCAACTTTACTTTAGGGCTAGGTTATGGTGGTTTAAAAACATTTAAAAAATGCATACATTTTTTGAGCTCTGGTTCCTAAGTATTATTATCGTTTGAATGTTGATAGTGTTTGGTCTCGTTTCTGATAAAACAAACGGTTCAATATTAACTATCTTTATCTTATTCAATAAAAAAGAACAATGTTGGACTTTAGACATAAATCCCCCAAAAAAGTCTTAAAATTTCAATAAAGAACAATTTTCTTATTTCAGACCGACCACAATCTTACATTAATGACATCTATATCAATGAATATTTATTATTTCTAGGTCAACATATGTAAAAAGAACTGTAAAAAAAGATATTTTGGACGACACCGGAGTTGAACCGGGGACCTTTCGCATGCTAAGCGAACGTGATAGCCAACTACACCAGACGCCCACGTAGTTTGTAAACATTAAACAATTGGTTAATTAGAAATTAATTGTTTTAATTTATAATCACGTGATTTGCTATTACGTCATCTTTAAGTTTGAACTGGAACCAAATACACTAGTGATTATGTAATTTGTGAAAAAGGGGAAGTATGTAGTTTACAGTGAATGGCATGTTTCTTTTTAAAAAAAATAAATAAATAACAAAAATATATAGATCGGTATTCTAATATTTTAGTTGATTGATTAAAAACTTTAGCTTAAGTTGTGTTTTTCACTTGAATCTAGATCCATTTCTTTCTATTTAGATTTTTAAATGATTGCGGCTAGAAATTTCATACTTTGGTAGTTTGATAATGAAAACAAATCTAATGAGATTTATTTAAATAATTTGGATAATAATAACAAACACAGACTTATTCATTACTATTTAATAATTATCATATAAAGAGAAATCATTTTAATGCAAAGCCAGTAAAAGTTTTTTTTTTATAGGAGGAAAAATTCCATTAAAATCTTTGATAATTAAAAGTACTTATTGCTATCGAAAACAATACATTAATATCACTTTGTTAAAATATAAAAAAAAAATTAATTTCTCAATTAAATATTAAAACTAAATTATACAAGCCAGTAAATAAACAATATGAAGAGAAAAAAAAAAACAAAATAAAAAAAGATATGGCAATCATTATTGTTTCCTAATGCCTTCTGTAAATATTTTTGTTCCCTTTGTTTTTTTTTAGAGTAGGAAGTCTGCCTCTGCTGCAAGATCAGAGTCATAAGATAATTCTGATAGTGAGCCAATTTCGTCATCATCATCAATTAAAATATTTTCCTTCTCCTCAACAACCTTCTCTTCCTTCTTCTTAGGGATGGATTTCCTTTTGGCTCTTGTGTTTGTGGGTTTTGCGACAGCCTTGGTCTTCTTAGAAGAGCTAGCAGTAGTAGTAGTTGTAGTAGTAGTAGAAGTAGTAGAAGCCCTCTTTGGAGCTGTCCGACCATTACGCGTCTTTTTGCTAAGAGCTTCTTCAGGCTCCTCTTCTAGTTCTTCTGACTCATGGTCTTCCTCTTCTTCCTTTTTCCTTAATTGTCTTCGCAATCTGGTTTGTCTAGGTTGTTTCGATTGCGCCAGTTGCTTAGGTTGCTTCTGTTGCTTTGGCTTTGGCTTCGGCTGCAGATTTGGCTTTGGTATCTCTTCTTTTTCTTCCTCTTCTTCTTCATCTTCGTCCTCCTCCTGCTCATCTTCTTTTTCTTCCTCTTTTTCTTCTTTAGTCTCCTCTTCTTCCTGTTCTTCGTCAGATTCCAGCTCTTCCTCTTCGCTCAGATAATCTTCAAAATCATCAGAAGAACTTGCCTCCTTTAACGAAGTATCCTTTACCGAAGCAGCTGCTAGTCGGTTACTTCGTCGCTTTGGCTCAAAGAGTTTGTTTCTGGGCTTGTTTGCAGCTGAGCTCCGTCTCGCTTTAGTTTCCTCGATATCCTCGTCGTCGTCATCATCAATACGCCCATTCCTTGCCTTCCTTTTCTTTCCATACATGGTCAACTTGGTTTGTCGTGTTGCACCACTAGTTTTTCGTCTTTTTGAAGCAGAAGGTTCTCCAGCACCACTCCTCTTTCTTGACTTGGTACCATTTGTCTTCTCTCCAGCCTCAGCAGCACCTTCATTCTCCTCAACATCGTCGTCTAGCAGTGCATCAGCCTCGGGACCACCAAAGTATTCGCCATTTTGCTTTCGCAGCTTGAAAAGCTTTTTCCGTACAAAGTCTTCAAGACTCTTTGTGTATATTGGCAGTAGGTAAGAAGTTTGAGAAACCTTCTTTCCGACAGTCTCCCATGGTGCTTGTTTAAAGATATCAGAGGGTAAACGGATTGATCCAGGCCATGAACTGAGTTGCCATCCACGAAACTCTTGAAACTTTTTAATTATGAGCTGAGCCATGTCGGAAACCAAGTAAAGCTGAGATGACTTTGATTCGTCAACGTTATCTTGGAAATTCTTAACGCGTTGAGAAACGTAATAAATAAGAGAGATGTTAGACTCGGTTGCAACATTGGTCAAGTAAAATAACAGATAAATGGAAATTCGCCGTAAAATTGGCGGCAAAACTTTGTGAGTCTCTGAAGTCTTCTTTTCAGTATTTTCAGAAGCTGCAATAGCAGTAGCAGCTAACGAGTCTAGTGTTTCATCGCCAGACTCTTCCAAGTTCCCGTGGTAGTGTACAACCATATGTATCAGAGAGGGCAGGCATAGTTCAAAAGCAATAAGCTCCGGGTCGTTGTTCTTTGGATCTGCAAGAGCACGACGCTCATTGACCTCTGCCCGAGAACGAATCCAAGTGCTAACATAGTGGTTTAAGTCACGGTTTCGCTCAAATGCTGCCATAAATATCAGTGGAAGAAATCTGTTAGATATTGATCTTGTCGACCAGTAGTTCATTAAACTGTGTAAAAACCTTTTGCGGACCTCCAATACAGAGTCTTGAACGAGGAAAGCAAGCTTGGTAACCTCCTTGGTTTTGATAAGCTTTCGAATATCAGGGCCTGTAGCAAGCTCGAGGAACTGTATGCCAGCCTCCAAACGCATTCGTGACTTGTAAAACTCCGGTGTCGCGCTGTGCTCGACCCGAACCAACTCTCCAATGTTAACAATGGTAGAGGCAAGTAGAGTAAACACCAACTTGGAAAAAGACTCGATTGTCGACATGTCAGAAAGAGCATACATCAGTCTTTTGACGTAGATTTTCAAAGCTAAAACTTTAGCCTGGCATTCCGTATTGAGATCCTTATCTTCAACCCAAAGAGGATCGTCATCTTTAGCCACAAGCTGATTAGTGGAAATAACTTTTGTGAGAAAAGGGAAAATTTGGTCGGACTTGGGCTCGATTAAAAGAGGTATTGTTCTGTAAAGTTCAGTAATGGCAGAAAGGTATGTAGCTAGTAAGTTGTTTTTAAGATCGAGTTCTGTGACCACGTCAATAACTTTGTTGTAATAAAGTTCCTTCTTTTCAGAATAAGTAATGAGCTTGATGGCTTCTGTGGCTTCTTCAGGAGACCCTGTAGTAGCAAAATCAACCAATGAATTGAAAAAAGTGCTAGTCTGAGGAAGCATGTCGGCAAATCTATCGGCAAGCAGGTTGGTGGCCTTAAGAGTGTCGGTACTTCCCTTAGTTCCAACTTCTGTGCGCTCGATAATAGAAATAAGGTCTGATACATGGGACTTCATCAGCGCAGGTTGAGACGCAGAAATGGTTTTGAGAAGCTCATGAGCAATGGAAGAAAGATTGCTGGATGAGTTTTTGGATATTTCGATAACAGGATTAATAGTGCTGCGGTTTAATATTAAAAAGCTGACTCGATAAAGAAAGATGGATAGTAGGCGGTGATGCGCTTTAAATTTGGAAAGCAAGTCATTAACAGCCTTAAAAACGGTTTTATAATCAGCCTCTGGGTTTATGCAGGTTTGTAGATTTTTCCCCACGGATTTATCTGTTTGCTCAAATAAGCTTACAATTAAATTCTCAGCACCTAAGGAATCATTAAATGTGGTAGACATCCATTTGATACAAGACTCAATTTTCTTTAATTGTGCTTCTGAGAGTGGTTTATTGCCGGCCTCCTTCTTAATGGCGAACACCGTGACGAGAGCCTTGGAAAGCTGAAATTGCCGCTTGATGGTGGCATTGAAAGCATTTCTTCCTGTTTCCTCCATGTTGTTGAGAATAGTAAGCAATCTTGTGGTGCGTTTAGTATCGTCGGTGTCTTGTGTGCAGATGCATGTATTTAAGGTGATGTCAATCATTCCAATCACTTCTCTGTCGTTAAGATAAGCTTGTTCAAAAATCTTTTGAGGAATTGGTCCAAAGATGCGCAAATAGGTGGTATTACCCTCTTCAATGTAATGGTAAGCTTCCTTAAAAAGATTCCCGATGACGTCGAAAGCAACTGTGCGAACAGAAGGCTTTTTGTCACGTAGCCGGGAAAACAGTTCTTCGAAACTGAATGATTTGTCAAGTTTGGCTGCAATGGTTTCAACTGACAGGTTTCCAACAGCATTACAAGCAGCAATGCGGACTTTTTCGTCAGGGTCAGTAAGCTTGTCTGAAAGTACTTTTGCAACTTCGGCGGCTACATCGATACGGGATGTGATTATGGAGGGGGTAGCATTGATCCAAGCGATACGGATGGTTGGAAGCTTATCGAGCGAGCGGCCAAGCCAAGCTTTCCAAGTTGAAAAATGATTTTTGACAAAAGCGATACGACTTGGAGAATACCCAATAATATTGCCGATAGTCTTGGTGGTAAGTTCTCTGAAAACAGGGTCCTCGGTCGACAGGCCTTGCTCTAGTTGGCCCATGATGCTAGAAAGAAGATCAGGAACAGCAATCCAGATTTGCTCGGCTAGCGTCAGCAGTCTTTCTTGAGCTTGTTTTTTAAGACTATCGCGTTTTGAGTCCTTCTTATCGTCTTTGTGGGACTCGGTGTAGTCATCGTCAAATGTAGAGAGGTTAGTCAAAATGTCTGCAAAGTACTGGTTAGCATGACGCGTCATAATATCGACATGGTCTGTGCAGATTGCTTTTGACATTTGGTATCCAATTGACTGAAGAGGTAATGATTGATTTCCTTCCAGTGTGCTTTTGGGTGGTGGGGAGAAGAACCGAGAAATGACAATGTCTACTGCTTCGCTTGGCAGAGTTTCTAGTTCTGCTGTGAGTGTTGATAAAATCTTTGTGAGAGTGAATTCAAGCTCCAAGTTGGTTTTGCCAAAAGTTTCGGCGATTTTGTAAAAGAGTCGGAAGATTTTGATTGTAAGGGGCTCGACATTTTGAAAGTCAACAATTAGCGCAATACTCTCTGTGTAAGCGATTTGTTCAAGTATATAGTAGTGTTCCTTGTAGTAGATGTCGTTTGGTGAGTCAATAAGGGCTATCTGATCAATGAAGAGCGAAAAGATTTTCTGGAGCTCAGCAAGGTTGTATGGAGCATCTGGGGCACAGAGTCGTAGAATATCGCAGATACAATATGCAGTGTGAGCCTTAACGCCAACATCTTTGTGTTGAATGAGTTTGGGACTGACTAATATCCGGGCTATTTCGTAAAGAGATTTGGGATCGAACGCGACTTTGTGGCCTTCATAGAGAGCAACTTCTAAAGCCTATATATAGAATGAAATGAAATGTATTAGTAGTCAAGTAAAAATGAAAGCAAAAAAAAAAAAAAAAAAAAAAGAAGAACACTTACCTTGAGACGATCAATCAAAGTAGATGTATTTCGAGGAAGGGTGTTCAAATGATGTTCAAAAGTAAATTGAACAAGATCAGAACCTTCTTCATCGGACATGGTATTGGTTAGGTTGCGGGGTCAATGGTGGTGGTGTAGAATAATAGAATAATATAAGGGGGGGGAAAGTAAATAAATAAAGAACAATATACACGTCAAAGGCTTTTAGATTACAGCACTAAGCGCGTGCAAAAAAAAAAAAAAAAAAAAAAGTTCTATTTAAACCAGTCTGAATTTCACAAGCAGCAAATATATATATATATATAAATATAATTAACAGGTTTAAATATGGCAAAATAGGAAGGTTTGGAGGTTTTCAAAAAAAAAAAAAGTTTTTATTATTGGAGGAGGAGGTATGGAGAATTGTTTGGTGGTGAAGTTGATAAAAAAAAAAAAAAACAAATTTGATGGCCAGTGGGTTTTCAGTGACAATTCATGTCTCAAAAAAATAAATAAATAAATTAATAAAAATAGTTAGAGGGTTAGGGCTGAAAAAATAGAAATAATAAACGCGTTAAGTTAATGCATGCCACAACATGTTTGATGAAATCACGTGATGATACCAACAAAAAAAACTGCTTTAGAGAGTTGAACAGTGTGGCTGTTCAACTTTTCAACTTTTCAAAATTCAAGTGTAGATAATATATATATGATATTAAAATGAAGTCATCTAATAGTTAAACAATAATCCTAAAACAAAAGCCATTTTTTAAATCACAAGTTACTCAAAAATGCAGTTTTAAAATGACTGAAATACAGTTTGAAATACCGAAGAGTCCGTTTTCCTGTTGGTAAGGAGGTCCTAGAAGTTCAGTTGAGGTATGTACTCATGCACACTTCATTCAGAAATCGGAAATTTTAGTAATTATACTTTTTATATATTCTTAATAAATTCAATATTTATTTAAATTATGATTTTGTAATTTTATTCCGTGGAATTGTTTATTTGTTTGTTTTTATTCAAGGGTTATAGAATTATATAACATCAGCATCTGTGCTATCCTTCTTGTCCATACTATATATCTTTTCATTTTCATAATAATAAACTTTTAATTTTGGCTTCAACATTGCATCTCCAACAGCCCGAAAATAAGTCCTGATGCCAGCTTACGAGGAACAGGGGTTCAACCCTCGTTTGTTTGTTTGTTTGTTTGTTTGTTTTTATTCAAGGGTTATAGAACTATATAACATCAGCATCTGCGCTATCCTTTTATTGTCTGACTATGTGACTTGCCGGTTTTCATTTGTACCTTTTTAGTACTGGTGGTTTCTGTTCTGTGCGTCTCCGGTAGCCCGGAAGATGGGCCCTGATGCCAGCTTACGAGGAACAGGGAGAACCAGTCTGTCGGTCCCAAAACCTTCCCAACCCATTTCCACTTATCTTCACGGACGCCCATGTATTTCTTAATCTCTTCCGTCAGAGATACGGCCCGCAATCACCTGCAGGCTATTTAGACTGTACGGAAGAGTCGGCATTCCTGTAACCAGGGTAGCCTATGGTTTTCAGTCTAGATGAATACTCCCGTACACATCCTCAGGAAAAAGGGGGTATTCTGGGAATCGAACCCAGTATCTTCTGCTTTCAAGCGAACGTGTTATCCTTTACACCATCCAGCCCTTTCCCCATATTCCGTGAAAATTAAAGCCCAAAATAAAGTTTTTTAAAATCGGTCTGCACAAAAAGGTTAGACTTTTTACTTTTTTACAGGCAATCTGGCCGAGTTGGTCTAAGGCGTAGGATTAAGGTTCCTATCTCTTCGGAGGCGAGGGTTCGAATCCCTCGGTTGTCATGTTTTTTGTTTTAAATTTACTAATAATTTTTTTTTTTTTTGATATTTCCATTAAATTTAAATTAAAATATAAACTAAAATATGATGTTTCTTATATAACCTATATGTTATAATGTAAATTAAATACTTAAAATGATTTGATTTGAAAAAAAAATAATAAATTTAGTGGTGCTTTCCAATATTGGATTGACCACCAACGCCAGCCTGGTTTAGGTACTTATCAGCAAGCTGAGAAGGTGGGGTATTCAATGCTTCCTTCATTTGACTCTCAGGAACTGGAACAACAACAACACCCCCAATCTTCTCTTCATTGGGTCCAAGGCTCTCGTTGTAATTCTGGTAGTGTTGCTTCACCTCGCGTTTCTGTTCAGAAGTCAAGTAATCATCAGCAGAGGCTGCTCTAGCCCCGGTACCTGCACCTGCACCTGCACTTGCACCAATACCAGCACCTGCAGTAGCATTACGGGTTCCATGAGAAGGGCTTTGGCTACTATGGAGTCCTTGAGAACTGTGAACGCTCTGGACACTCTGAGTACCAGAAGGAGTCTGAGTGTTATAGCCTCTTTGGTTATCATGAGTAGTACCATAAGAGCCAGTATCAGTAGTTCCAGGAGTATTTCTGTCATGGACACCATAAGATCCAGTTGCAATTGTGCCATGGGTACCAGGAGTGCTCTGAGTGTTTGATCCGTATGAACCGGGAGTGCTCTGAGTGTTAGAACCATATGAACCGGGAGTGCTCTGAGTGTTAGAGCCATATGAACCGGGAACACTTTGAGTATTGGTACCATAAGATCCAGGAGTGTTCTGAGCGGCACTTCCGTGTGTTCCATGGGTAGTGTGGGTGTTATTATCGTGACCATGTTCATGTCCATGACCATGGCTGGCAGCCGCAGCACCAGCACCAGCACCGGCAAGACCAGCAGCACCTAATGCACCCGCAGTACCGTGAGTATTGTGAGATCCGTGAGCACCACTGGTTCCAGTATAAGTGGGAGTGCCAGGAGTGCCATACTCACCAACTTGAGGATCAGTATATGAACTCTGAGTAGTGGTGCCAGTTGTACCGTGAGTGCCATGAGTGCCATGAGTGTTGTGACTACCTGTGGTACCAGCAGTAGCGCCATAGCTAGGCTGAGAACCATCACGCAAACCAGTAGTGCCATGGTGCTTATCAGAGGATGTTTCTGAAGGATAAGAGCCTGTGGAAGTCTGGTGAGATGAGCCTTCAGGGTAGGTGGTCTGGCCAGCATAAGCCTGTTTGCCATCATTTAAAGATGAGCCAGTCGTAGGATTGTTATGCTTGTTAGGGTGAGAGCCATAAGAACCGGGAAAAGAAGAGCTATCATGACCTTCTGTGGTGGAATACTTGGTGCCATAGTCATTCTTGGAAACGTTGTGAGAGGTAGAATGAGAGTCAGGAGTGTTGTAATCAGCTCTGGAACCAGAGTGAAGAGCTGAAGTGGCCCCAGTAGCTCCAATAGCAGCAGTGGTACCGGCAGCCAATTCCTTGCCGCTGCGACTTACCTTGTCGCCACCACGCTGCAAAGCAGAGTCCAAAGCATTGGGAGCCCCAGAGGCAGGCTTAGACCCAGTTCCCAAGTTGACAGCTCCAGGTGAGCTGCCCAAAACTCCACCAGTAATGTTCTGGTTGCCAACAGTGCCTGTGGCAGCAACACTAGAAGGCTCGTGGCCGTAGCCAGTGCCAGGAGTGCCAGTGTGGCCAATGTACTCGGAAGTACCGGTGCGGTCAGAGGTCTTCTTGTGGCTGCTCTTGTGATGGTCGGAGGGATCAGTGCGCCCAATTGTTCCGGCATGACCGGTGGTTCCAGTGGTACTAGTGTACTCAGGGGTTCCGGTATTGCTGGTGTGACCGGTATGACCGGTATTACCGGTAGTTCCGGGTTGATTAGAGTGGCCATGAGTTCCAGCATAGCCGGCAGCCCCGGCAGCCCCGGCAGCTCCAAGTGCTGCACCAGTTCCAGAATGACTGGTATGACCAGTGGTACCGGTATGGCCAGTGGTACCGGTATGGCCAGTGGTACCTGTGTAGCCAGCTGTGGTGCCGGTGTGACCAGTATGACCAGTGTGACCAGTGTGACCAGTGTGGCCAGAAGAAGTAGAGTCAAGATCTCTATTTCCATTAAAGTTAGAATCATGAGTCTTATTCTGATTAGTAGAATCAGAGCTTCCAAAAACGCTATTGTAAGCTGCAGAAAGACCAGCAGTTACAGTAGATGTAATTCCACCCTCATTCTCCTTGTTTTCGTGGGTGTTGTGAGTGGTTCCATAAGTGTTCTGAGAGTCGTGAAGGCCTCTGTTGGAAGTCTCATATCCAGAACTGGGTGTGGTTCCAGAGCTATGGAAAGTTCCGGGAATCTCAGAACTTCTCAACTGCTCATCAGTGTATTTGGAAGAAGAAGTAGGATGGGTATTGTAGCCAGACTGGGTGTGAGAGGTTGTTTCCTGAGGCTGAGCAGATCTGGATGAATCATAGGCGCCTGTGGGTTGGTTGGAGCCGCTTTGGTAGTTAGAACCAGTATTTGTAGGGTGTCCAGTGTTAGTGGTTGTTCCGAATGAAGGATATCCTGAAGCAGACACATGGCTAGATTGACCTGGGATTTGGGACTGTTGGCTATCAGAAGGAACTGAACGAGTGGTTCCTACAGTGCCAGTTGGATAAGAACCGGTGGTTGATCCCGCGTTATGGCCAGATGTGGGTTGAGTAGAGTAGGAACCAGGCTCATGTTGTCCGCCGTAAGCGGCACCGGCAGCAACTCCAGCACCGATAGCAGCGGCACCTGCTGGAACTCCAGTATTACCATGAGTAGTGCTAGAACTCTGGGGGTGACCGGTAGTACTAACGCCAGAGCTCTGGGGATAGCTGCCAGTAGTGGTAGAACCCTGAGGATAGCCAGAAGCCGTTGTGTTTTTGGTTCCAGTACTACCCTGGGAAACAGCATCATAGCCCTTTTGCAAGTTCTGTTGGACGTCTCTGTCGCCTAAAGCCTTGCCAGTACTTCCCAGCTTGTCATTTTTTGATGACAAACCAGCAGCTGTGGCGCCAGCCCCACCAACAGCGGCAACGCCGGCGGTAGTCTGGCCTGCATGGCCGTGCTTGTATTTCTCGTACTCAGCAGGATATTCAGTAGCAGATGGAGCATTTTTGAAGCCAAAGTCACCTTCTTGACCAGTAGGTTTGGTCTGGGTAGCAGGATTAGTATACTTGTTGGCATCAACTTGTTCTCTGAAACAAAAGTTAGTAAAAAATAAAAAAAATAAAACCTCAATCAAACATACCCTGTTGAAGTAAAAGCTGTAGGAGAACTTGAAGAAGAAGACTTATTTTCAGAACCAATGTGAAGCTTCTCCTTAATCTTAGAAGTTAAGCTTTGATCATCCTTATCTTTAGAGTTCTTGTTGTTGTCTTGGCTTGAAGAATGGTTGGTACTGGAAGTATTGGAACCGTGTTTATTGTGTGTACTGGGTGAAGAAGTATTGGCAGTTGTTCCATAACCAGGTTGAGAAGTTTGAGGAGTTCCTTGGTATCCTGTTGGAGTGCTAAAGTCTTGCTGTGTTTGACCAGTGGTTAAGCCAGGCTGTTGAGAAGTAGCAGAAGTTGTAGTAGTATCTTTGGGATAAGTGGAATAATCGGTAGTAGGATTAGTGGTTGATCCGGTGCTGACTCCATGAGGGGTCGATCCATAAGTGTTGGAAGATCCATGGGTACTAGAGCCTTGAGTAGAAGTTGTTCCATGGGTGTGGGTAGAACCATGGTGAGAACTAGTACTGTGGCCAGTGCCGGATAAACCAGCATTAGCTCTGCGCTCCTGTTCAATTGCAACAGTGGTGGGCCCAGGAACGTTAATTTCGTTAGGGACAGCTTCATCAATAATCATAGACGAGGTAGTGTTGGTAGGGACCTTGGGGGTCTCTTCTTTAGATGATGAAAATAAGCCCATTGTTAAAGATAAAAGTAAATTTAATATTTAATATAATAAGAAAAAAAATTTAGTAAAAAAAATTTGAGTTGTGAATAAAATTTGAGTTGTGAATAAAAGTTGAGTTGATATGAATAAAAATATATTTGAATAAAAAGAAGGATGATGAGAAAAAGAAGAGAAAAAAAAAAGAACAATAAACTGGGAGAAATAGGTTCATATTTATATCTTCAAAAGAACTCAATTGCTTAAATCAATTGCTTTTTCTTATTTTAACTTTACACCGTCATATGAATTTCTTTGCTAAAGATTCCGCCTTGGTCATAGTACCATGCTATTAAACGTGTGGTGATCATATGTGTATAAGCGGAGGGGTACTCCGTGTCGTTCAGTAATAACAATAGTACCAGCTGTTAGCAACTGTTAGCAACTGTGAACTTAGTCAATTGAGTTTCAAAAACCTTCTTTTGTGGGGAAAAGGACTTAGAGAGAAAGAGAGAGACAAGAAACTCGAATTTCTCTTTTAAGTGACTTTTGTGGGATGTGTCTCATATTAGACAATATCTGAGGTTTTTTTTTGTTTCTTTGCATAGAATATTTAAGATTTGTGAACTATTCTAGTTGGGCGGCCAAATTCTATGTTTGCGGCAATATTTTTATTTCTTGTTCTAAAAAGAAACCGCAATGCTTTCAAAAATAAAAAGAAAAGGCCCTTTAACTCTTAGGAGTTATTTTGATTCAAACTTCGTTGCCTCCCTTTTTCTTTATTACTTTTCTAAGTAATAAAAAAAAAGTTGCGCCAAAGAAAGAGCAAGATCTCACAATTCTGATTTGATTTTTTTTATCCTTTGAAGGGTAAAATAAATTATAATTTTCATTTTGTTGGTTACTTTTTTTTCAGCATTTCTATTCAAAACATCAGGTTGAAGACTTTAAGAAAAAAAACTTTTGAGGAAAAGCCTTCTAAAACCACCAAATTCCAGTTTATTTCTAACAACAACAACCTCCGCCTTCAATTTAAAACCTAATAAACATTCAAGCCATACCATGATGATGTTATGATACAAAAATTTTCGTCAAGTGGCATCAGAAACTTAATTTTTTTTTATGATTGCTTTGCCTTTTTTTTTTTCTTTTGACAAAAAAAAAATCATTGATGCGTAGCAATGTTTCTTAAATTTCACATGAATTTTGATGATTGAATTCAAAAGAAACAAAAAGAAAAAAATTTTATGGCTAAAGTAGTGCAAAAATCAAAAATCAAAAAACAAAAAACAAAAATGGAAAAGACACGGGATGATTTAATTATACAATTAGAGTTTTAGGAATTATGACTTAGGAGTGTGTGGATATGTCATTTTCTAAAAATGACGTTATTTAGACATGATTGCTTTTTTTTTGTTTTATGACCTTTTTTTTTTTAAAAAAAACAAAATAAACCCCTAAATGCTTGTTATACATTATAATGAATAATTATACCCATTTATTTACTGAAAATTTTTAAGGATTTTGATCTAACCGTTTTTTTATTCGTTCTTTTTTTTTGTCATTCATCAACGCTGCTTTTACAAATCTTCCATACAAAGATTGCTTTGCGGAGAAACTTGGGGTAGCAACTTTAAATTCATTGGTTAATATTAAACGTACTTTATAATACATCATCGGCAGTTAATTTATACATTCATTACTATTAAAAAGAAACTAGCTGATCAAAAAAAATGATGGTTTTCAATTTCAAAAAAAAAAAAAAAAAAAATCAATTGTTTTATCATAAATTCGTTAAATTCTTCGTCTATGTAATTCTGATTATACTAAAGCTTATATTCTTTTCTTCCTTTATTTTTTTTTTTTTGAAACAAGTCAACATATATCTAATATATTTCCATCAATTACTTTACATTCTTCTTCACTTTTTAAATTCAGCAATCAAAGAGAAAAAAAAAAAAAGGTTTTTGAATAATGGCCGGTTTAAGATACACAAAAAAACCCTAATTTCTTCTTTCCCACCTTTTCCCCTTTTTTTTAATTTCCAAAGTTTGCTTCTTATCTTCCTTTTAACTTGGAAATAAACCCTTTAATATTATCAATCTTTTTCCTTATTGGATTATTTCGAGCAACAAGGTCTGATTCACTTTCTGTAACAACACGTTTAGTCAACAGGTTAAAAATAGACCCAAAGCCAAGAGCCATCACAGTGCATGTCAAAATAATAACATTGTATGGCATGCTAAAATCTGGGGTCGGCAAAGTCAATAACAAAGAAGTTGATCTAATAGTAAAAGTTGTAGTAGATTTGTTGTTGTCATCGCCTGAAACCATGGTCAACACTGCAGGCGGTATCTCAAAGCCGTGGTTAGCATCGGGAGGGTATTCCTCAATAAATAAAAGAGTCTTGTCAAAATCATAGCTCAACACTACGGTTGATTTGGGTTGTATGACCATCTCTATCTCCAGCTGCGTGGGGCGAAGACGATCAATCGCCGGGAAGTAAATGATGTTCTTAATGACGTCAGATTTTTCTGTGTTTAATTTCTGTATCTTTTTAGATGTCGCATCTTTAAGCTCAAGGGTATGTAAATAAGGCCGCATATACCACGGAAGAACCTCGAGGTAAATGAAATGTGCTTCCGTGTCAAGGGGGTTAGAAAACTCTGTTCTAATACCCCCACGGTCTTGGCCATAGCCGGTAAAAGAGCGCTCCATATAAACCGATGGTGTCACTTTCTCAATCACTGTGCTGCTGTTACTCGACTTGAAGTAAACATCGTGATTCCAAGACGATTTAAGAGTAAACGCATTGTTGGGCGTTGAAAACAAAATACCAGGACGATTCTCACTAGAAACGTGAATGTCCCAGTTGGATGGCACCTTGACTGCAATATGATCAAAGTTGGAGCTAAGTGGACATGACCCAGCAATAGAACGTCCAAAAATATCCGACAGGGCCCATCGAACATCGGTTTCATCACCCAGAGGGAAACATTGGTAAGTGTTGGAATATGGCTTGGAACTGTCGCATCTAAGTTCATTTTCTGGTAGAGGCTTAGGGACTGGTGATACTTTTCGTCGGAGAGATCGCGGAACATCGATAATGGCGTCAACAACCTGTGTCAGTTTCCACTTGCAGATTTGTTTAGACTCATCACAAACGAGTACAGCGTCAATTGCCATGCCTTGCCATTGAGCATCAAAGATTTTTTGGCCGTCGAGTAAGGATGAAATTCCGGCCTTACCCTTGCAGGGGAGAAGCTTAATGAATGGTGTCAGATTTTCTGTGCAGACAGGCTCGCGGGGTAACGACCCCCGCAAAACATGCAAGTTGCGGTTAGAGATTGAACTGCCCTCAGGAACAAATGACTTTTGTGGGAAAGCAGTCTGAGCTGAATCAATGAAATTTAAAGAAGCGCAAAACAGGCCGGAGAGTGTATTGACAAGCTTAGACCAATTGGTCATGGCTTCTTCTTGAGAATCTCCCTCGACGGAAGCCCAAACTTCAACGCCAATGCCGCCAGCATAAGTACCATTTCTTGGTGGTGCACCCCAGCCTTCAGCATCCCACCAGCCTTGAGAGAATCTAAGGTGGAGTTCCTCACTTTTGGAAATGTCCATGATCTGGCCAAGCGAGCGGGGGAAAGCACCATATTGAAACTCATTGTATCTGTGTTTGCTATGTAAATGTTTAATATGAAATGGATCTGAGTAACTTTCAAACTCAAATGATGTCAGCAGACGATTTCTAGGGAAAGGCTGGATTGTAAGTCTTTCTGTGTAATTGTATTGCTGGATTTGTGTTTCCTGGGTGGTTTCTATCTTCTGTATGCTGCTACTACTGCCACTGTTTGGGACTTCAATCGCAGTTGCAGCAGCAGAACATGATAATAATAACAAAAGGGCTTTTATTATCATGACCATACAATTGCTGTGAAAATACATCACAAGTATATATGGAATATATATATGGAATTATATATAAGAGTGATGATTATTGGGCAAGTCGTTTGTGGGTTTCTTTTGGCTTGGAGTAGCTACTGCTAATTAGTATTTGTTTTGTAGGGAGAAAAAACTAGTGGAAATCGCTATGCTGTCAGTATGTCTGGTCATGTGATTAACAATTTACATCAGTATATAACAGTATGAGTAATTTACATACCGTCATGACAAATTTGAAATTTTGCCCCGCTGCTTTACTTTTTTTTGTGTGTGTGGTGTAAAAAAATATATTTTGACTCAACAATATAGATTCACAAATATTTGATATATATATATTTCAGCCATCAAGTATTTTTTTTTCAAATATGTCTGATAGTAAGTTTAATATCTTTTTATTGTTGATGTTCTTGTTGCTTTTTATAAGTTACTAACTTGTTTTAAAAGGCGAATATGAAGACATTAGGCGTCTGAAAGAGGCGCGTAAAAACATGCAATACCACGATGAATCTCCAGAAGGTAAGAATTCTATGCCCTGATTTACAAAACGCGTTGTTATATTAACATATATTTAATTATTTAGAACCTGAAGAGACTCATGAGAATCTGCCGAAATCAGGTAATCCTCGTTCGCTTGTTGGTCAGTATACTGCCACTTCGAACATGCTTAATGAAGTTGTTGCCAATGATGACTTTGATCCATTGGCTGAACGTGGAAAGAAAAAAACAATTGCAGCACGAGAAAACGAATATGTCAAGAGAAAATACAACAGAGGCTTGGAGGAACAGTATGGAAACGAAGATTTATCTTACGAAAAGGCCATGGAGCTGCGACAGTTGGAACGCGAAGAACGCGAAGTTCAAGAACAGATTCGGAAAAAAAATATGCAACTCAACGGTAATGAAGACGATTCTCAGGCCCGCAAAAAAAGACGATGGGATGTTCAAGAAACAACAGAAATAAAACAGGAAGAAACTAAAGAGCTCCCGAAACGCTCACGCTGGGACGTTCAAACTGAGGATACCCCCGCTAAGCCAAAGCGATCAAGATGGGATCAAGCGCCAGCACCCGCACCACCGCAAAAACAAATAGAGGCTGTTTCTCAAACTACACTTACTGATGAATTTCTCAACAGTATTTTGCCTTCGGAGGGTTACGAAATTTTAGAGCCGCCAATTAATTACATGCCTTTGGGCTCTTCTGGAAAATTTAGTGCTCCTGCTGAAAGCGATGGCTTTATAATGCTTGAGGACAATTCCGCGAAGGGTCTTGCCATGAGCAAAACACTACCGACTGAAATCCCTGGTGTTGGTGATTTACAATACTTTAAAGAAAACGATATGAAATATTTCGGCAAGCTGCTGGACCAAGAAAATGATACCTATCTTTCTGTGGAAGAGCTCAAGGAGCGTAAAGTGATGCGACTATTGCTCAAGATTAAAAATGGTACACCCCCAGTCCGAAAGAGTGCACTTCGTCATATTACAGATAACGCCAGAGCATTCGGTCCCAAAGTTCTGTTTAATCAAATTCTACCGTTATTGATGGAGCAGTCGCTGGAAGACCAAGAGCGCCATTTATTGGTTAAAGTCATTGATCGTGTTTTATACAAGCTTGGTGATTTGGTTCGGCCCTACACACACAAGATTCTGGTTGTTATTGAACCTTTACTAATTGACGAAGACTACTTTGCCCGCATTGAAGGCCGAGAAATTATTTCCAATTTATCCAAAGCTGCTGGTTTGGCTCATATGATTGCCACAATGCGACCCGATATTGACCATGCTGATGAGTTTGTGCGCAACACAACGGCACGCTCGTTTGCTGTGGTTGCTAGTGCGTTGGGCATTCCATCTCTTATTCCATTCATTAAAGCCGTTTGCCGATCGAAAAAAAGCTGGGAGGCACGTCATACAGGCATCAAGATTGTGCAGCAAATTGCGCTTTTTTCTGGATGTGCTGTTCTCCCACACTTGACGAGTCTGGTGGAATGTATAGCTGGAGGACTTTCAGATGAACAGAATAAAGTTCGGATGATTGCCGCACTGGCGCTGTCTTCTCTGGCAGAGGCTTCAGCACCATATGGTATCGAATCATTTGATCCAGTACTAGAACCGCTATGGCGCGGCATTCGTCACCACAGAGGCAAAAACTTGGCTGCCTTTTTAAAATGTATTGGGTGCGTTATCCCATTGATGGATCCGGAGCATGCCAACTATTATACACGTGAAGTGATGGTGATTTTACTTCGAGAGTATACTACTTCTGATGACGAGATGAAAAAAATTGTACTAAAGGTTACGCAGCAATGCTCAGCAACTGAGGGCGTTACCCCGCAGTATCTTCGCGAGGAAGTTCTTCCTCCGTTTTTCAAAAACTTTTGGGTGCGCAGAATAGCATTAGACCGACGAAGCTACAAGCTTGTTGTTGAGACAACCATGGAGCTGGCCCATAAGGTTGGTGTGTCTGAGATTTTGGAGCGGATCGTTGATGTTTTGAAAGACGAGTCTGAGTCGTACCGAAAAATGGGTGTGGAGACAATTGAAAAGGTTGTTGGCGAGCTTGGGGCTGCCGACATTTCTGAGCGGCTTGAAATGCGGCTTATTGATGGCATTTTGACGGCTTTCCAGGAACAGACGGTGGAGGATAGTGTTTTGCTGAATGGGTTTGGCACCACAGTTAACGCACTTGGTGGAAGAACCAAGCCTTATATTCCACAGATTGTTAGTGCAATTCTTTTCAGATTAAATCATCAAAGTCCTACGGTTAGACAGCAAGCGGCTGATCTCATCACCAAAATTGCTGTAGTGATGAAACAGTGTAACGAAGATGCCTTGTTGGGTAAGCTTGGAAGCATTTTGTATGAACAGCTTGGTGAGGAATACCCTGAGGTTCTTGGTTCTATTCTGGGAGCCTTGGGTAGTATTGTCAATGTTATTGGGTTGTCATCGATGCAGCCTCCCATTCGAGATCTGCTCCCCCGCCTGACTCCTATTCTGCGTAATCGTCACGAAAAGGTTCAGGAAAACACTATTGATCTTGTTGGTCGGATTGCTGACCGTGGTGCTGAATATGTGAGTTCACGTGAATGGATGCGCATTTGCTTTGAGCTTTTAGATCTGCTCAAGGCTCATAAGAAGGGGATCCGCAGGGCAGCCAATAATACGTTTGGATATATTGCCAAGGCAATTGGCCCTCAGGACGTGTTAGCGACGCTGTTGTCTAACCTTCGTGTGCAGGAACGTCAGTCGCGTGTTTGTACGGCTGTGGCCATTGGTATTGTTGCGGAAACGTGCGCACCGTTCACAGTACTACCTGCGTTGATGAATGAGTACCGTGTGCCAGAAATGAATGTACAAAACGGTGTTCTCAAGTCGATGACATTTATGTTTGAGTACATTGGAGATATGGCCAAGGATTACATATATGCTGTTACCACGCTACTAGAGGATGCATTAGTTGATCGTGATCAGGTGCACCGTCAGACGGCTGCAACGGTTGTTAAGCATTTGGCTTTAGGGTGCATTGGTTTAGGGTATGAAGATGCCATGATTCATTTGTTAGATTTACTTTTCCCCAATATTTTTGAAACATCTCCGCATGTGATTGACCGTATTTTGGATGGTATTGAGGGTATTCGCAATGCAGCAGGAACGGGTCTTGTGATGAATTACGTGTGGGCTGGGCTATTCCACGCAGCTCGCAAGGTACGCACACCATATTGGCGTATTTACAACACGGCGTATGTGCAAAGTGCAGATTCTATGGTTCCGTATTATCCAGAATTGCGTGAGGAGCAGTACCATAGAGAAGAGTTGGATATTTGGATTTAGGAGAGGTTAAAATTTACTGTAAATTTGGTTTTAGTAGTATAATAATAATAATAATAATAATAATAATAATAATAATAATAATAATAATAATAATAATAATAATAATAATAATAATAAAACCGTGTAACAATATGGAAGAATGAATTAAGAAAATTAAAACTTAAAAATGAATTTATTGTAAATAGATTAACATTTGATATATCTTTTCATTTTTTTAATAAATTTTTAATTTTACTTTCATAAGTTATATCCGTCAGCCCAAAAAAAAAATTTCCTAATGCCAGCTTCTACATTGTTTGTTTATTAAATTCAAGGGTTATAGAATTATATAACATCAGCATCTTCGCTATCCTTTTTGTCCATACTATATATATCTTTTAATTTTCATAATAAACTTTTAATTTTGGGTTCAATATTGTATTTCTGACAGCCCAAAAAATAAGACCAGATGCCTTCTACATAATGATTGTTTGTTTGTTTGTTTTTATTCAAGGGTTATAGAATTATATAACATCAGCATCTGCGCTATCCTTTTTGTCCACACTATATATCTTTTCATTTTGATAATAAACAATTAATTTTGCCTTTAACATTGCATCTCCAACAGCCCGAAAATAAGTCCTGATGCCAGCTTACGAGGAACAGGGGGTTAAAAATAACCAAACCTTCCCAACCTATCTCCACTTGTCTTCATCAACGCCGTAATTGTATTTCTTAATCCCTCCAAGCAGAGATAAAGCTTACAATCTCTTGTAAGCCAGTTAAACTGTTTAAGAGAGTCGACATGTCCATCTCTGGAGATATCCGTTTCAGTCCTTTTCTTTCCTCTTCAAGCAAAGGACACTCAACTAAAATGTGATGAACTGTTTCCAGCTCTCCACATTTGCAGTTGTAACTATCCTTTTCAATTCCAAACTTTTTAAACCATGCGCCAAAGTTGCCATGGCCTGTGCGAAACTGAGTAATATTACTCAAGATCCTTCGACTATCTTTCTTCATGATCACTCCCGTAACCATTTTGGAAAGATTATCAGCACATTTCGACTCCACTGTGATATTATGATACCACAGATCCTTACTGCTGTTCCAATACATTTCTTGCCATTCTTCCATTGCTTGTTTCTTCAAAATTCCAATCGTCTGATTTTGTTGTTGTTTCAGTGTAAGAGGTTCAACCCTCTTGCATTTTCGTTTTTCATCCTTTTTAATCATATAGTCTCTATCATCTTTCGCCAACATGTAAAGCGTGGTTAGCTTTGCAATTGGAGATTTCTCAATCAATGTTAACAAATGACCATTAATAGGATTAGTTTTGCTAATATTTAGGTGTAAACGAATAGCTTTTCGTGCCACCATAAATTTTAGCCTAATACTATATGGCATAATACCAGCTTCCTTTTGTAGTACCACAATAGGAGTTGTGCGATAAGCACCAACTTTTCTTCTTAAAGCCATGTTCTGCATCACTTCCAACTTGTGGATTTCTCCTTTCAAGATTTTATGATGCCAAATTTCTAAGCCATATTCAACAATTGGTCTCACGCAAGCAATATACAGTGATCTGACTGCAGACCCCCGCATACCTTTTTGCACGCCACCAAGATGCCAAATAGCACCAACAGCTTCCTGTAATTCAAAAAAAAAACGGTTTGTTATATTTTTGTTTCATATTCAGTTATTTTTGTAACAACATCTCTTCATTTTTTTCAACATTTGAGCGGATTTAGCTCAGTTGGGAGAGCGTCAGACTGAAGTTACAACTTTAGTCACAGTTTAATCTGAAGGTCCTGTGTTCGATCCACAGAATTCGCAATTACTTTTTATTTTTTAATTTAATGACAGAGTTGATTATTATGGATTTTGTTTAGTTGAACATGGTTTTGTTTTATAGGTTGAAAAGTTGATGATTTTGAAATAAAATTGACTTCAGTTGTTGTAATTTTCTTATTTTTTTTAGTGGAAAAGCAAGTGTGTAATTTAAAGTGTTAGTGTGTCCAACACTACACCTATAAAAAAAAAAATAAAAGCATAAGTTACTTGACAATTAATATTAAATGTCTACATTTCTTTTAGTAGAAAGCTTTAGTCAATAATATATCAATTAAAAAATATTAGAATATGTCTGCTTTTATCTTAAACTTGAAAAGCGTATGATATACCATAAACTCGGGATGAATTGAGTATGTATTTTTTCAGTAGTTAGTGACAGATTCTGTCAGGATTTGATTATAGTTCTAAATGTACTACTGTATCAACTATTATAATCAATTGAACAAAATACAAGTGAATTATCACAGAAAAAAATTAAATTCCATTATTACGGGTCTTTATTCAAACAATATAAAGTGTATATATATGCCTAAATGGATTTCTGTGTTGGCACTCATAGTTGATCAGAATTGACAGAAATAAAAAAAACACAGTCACTAAATAATAATGATTGCTATAGAAAACAAAATAATCATATAAATACCTAATAATTTAATTATGTTTCTAAGCCCCTAACATGTCATTTCGCTATAAAAAAAAATATGCGCGGTGAAAGTAACAAATATTTGAAAACATCAAATCTAACCAAAAAAACTCATTCAAAATAATATTTTTTTTAATGATATCATATAAAAATTTAAAAAAAAATAAAATTACATCAAATTTAACATTGTAAATTTTGGTAATTTACTAACAGTTTTGTGTTCCATCTCCTTAACATGGTGCCAAAAATACAATTTACAAGAATTACTTTTAAGGTCTCTTGGCCCAGTTGGTTAAGGCATCGTGCTAATAAACAAGCAACTTCCTTGTGATACGCGAGGATCGGCGGTTCGATCCCGCCAGAGACCATTATCTTTTTACTTTTTTTTCATTATTTGCAACAGTTTGGAGTTGATTTGGGGAATTGAAAAGTGTTGATTTTGAGGAAAACCCTGTTAGTGATTTAAAGAAATTCTGGAATATATGTTTAAACTTTTTTTTTTTTATGTGATGTACTTAAAATAAAATAAAAAAAAAAAACCTTAAATTATTGGGTGCGTTAAAGTGGAGTGACAAGTACCAAAGTTGGTCATCTGACTACCACTGAACATTAAAATAAAAAAATAAAAAAAATGAATGAATGAATGAATGAAGAAGAATAAAAGAAAAAAAAAAAAAAGTACTGGATCATTTAAGCATTTAAGATTTAAAAAAAAAAAAAAAAAAACAATTAATTATTGTATTTAAAGTTGATTAATTTATAAGAAAAAAAAAAAACTTTTGGTTTTTTCTTCTTACAGGGGGTTATCTTCTTCTTCTTTAATAAATTTATATTTTTTAGAGATTAATATTTGAATGTAATGTTTATTATTATGGTCTCTATTTTGCCTTTATATATGTTTTAGGCCTTTTTTTTTTTTTTTTTTTTTTTTTTTTTTGTTAAAGTGCATTTATGAAAATTCAGTTTAACCTTTTCAGACAGAAACACATAGAAACTTTCTTTTTTTCCCCATTGAGCTTACGTAAATTCATTGCTAAAACTCTTGAACTTTAAGAGTTCAACCAAACATTTCAGAATGGCCTAAACTTATAAAATATTGAAAGTACTTTAAAAAAAATTAACAAATTTATGGTTAACAATTTTTTAAAAAAAAATGAAATAAAAAAAAGTTAATGGACGACACCGGAGTTGAACCGGGGACCTTTCGCATGCTAAGCGAACGTGATAGCCAACTACACCAGACGCCCACGTGACTTATAATTGTAAAACTCAAGACAATAAAATAATAAATAATATAAATCTGACTAATAAATTACATAATTACATACTTTTGATTTTTTAATTTTTTTTTTTTTTTTTTTATTTACTGCTAAAATTCTTCCTTTCATTCTATTGATGATTTTTAACGAGCATTCTCTAAAAAATTATTGAAATAGTAATTTTAAAAGTATTTTTTTTTGTTACCATTTAAATAGTTTAATTGAGTTGATTGGATCTCAAAAAAGAAATAATTTGAAGCAATGGCTTTCTCACACATTATTGTGTTTCAAGATTAACTAAAATAGTTTTTGTAAAGAGTAACAATGGTATTTTCTCAATCAAAAAATACTAAAGAAGAAAGTACATTCATTAATTTTTTTTTTTTTTTATTTAATGATACTTTAAACCATTAAAACTCTTCAATCATATCACAGTTAATTCATTAAACTTTTATATCCATTCAATTGCTCATTCAAACAATGGATCTCACCTCCTCCCACTTTTACTAAAATCACTTCTCTTCCACTAGAGCAACAGCCTCAATTTCCAACGGTACACCCAGCGGCAATGCAGAAACCTCAACTAAACTTCTTGCCGGTGTGTTTGTCTTAAAGTATTCAGCATAAACCTCGTTGACCGCACCAAACTGCTTAATATCCGTCACAAACACATTCACCTTAACCACGCGTTCCAAACTTGACCCCCCGGCCTGTAACACTGAAGATAAATTGTCAAGCACTTGACGCGTGTGATCCCTAATGTCAGCACTCTGAACAGGAATCCCGGATGATGTCAGTGGGATTTGGCCAGAAAGGTACAGCACTCCGCGTGCGGAAATCGCTTGGCTATAGGGACCGACTGGTTGTGGAGCGTTGGCAGTTAGCACAGGGGCAAGCTTTGACGCATGACGTGCTGAGAAAAGAGGAAAGCAAACTGGTCGGTACACTGAGCGCAATACGTTGGCTGGTGGAAAGAAAAGTCGGGACATTGTGATAAAATAGTCAATCAATGGGAGGGTTGTGGTGGTGGTGGTTCTATGGAGGTTGGAGAAAATGTCCAAGTTGTGCTGGCTTAGGGTTGGGACAACCGATAATTTGCCGAGGTTTCTTAAAAAGTGGCTTTTTTTCTTTGCAACCGCCAATTTTTTTTTTTTTTTTTTTTTTTTTTTTTGTCTTCCCCAACATTTCTTCTCTTTCAATCAATCTTTTATATTCACAGACTTATATATATATATCAAATCTATCATTGTATTCAAATACAAAATCCATCCTACAATGACGATCCTTACGCCTGCCCGCCTGCAAACTCTCTCGACTTCGTTCCCACTTCTGTCAACCAACTGGTACTATCTGGCAGCCGCAACCTTCTCCATCTGCAACGTTCCTGAGGAGGTTCCTGTTATTTTCGAGTACATGCTTCAAAAGGTAGATACTGACAAGGAAAAGTTCGAGATGGTCCAGCGGATCCGTGAGGCCATTCTCAAGTCCTCAGCTCTCGGCGGTCTCCCCAAGGCTATCAACTCCCTTATGCAGCTTAAAACAGCTACCCCGGAACCTCTCCGCGAAACTCGTCTCCAGCGCACCCCGGCCCACCAACAGGGACTCGAGGACCGCGGTGCTACCTTTTTCGACCAAGTCTACGGAAAAATCAATAAGCGCGTCATGAGCCAAATGTCAACTGCATACCCTGATCTCGGTTACTACGCTCTTAACCATGTCTACGCACCTCTTCTCTCTTACACTGGCATTCTTGGACCAAAAGAAACAAGTTTGGTTGTCATTGCATCACTTATCCCCCAGGATGTCAACCCCCAGCTCAAGGGCCATCTCAAGGGTGCCCTCAACAACGGTGCGACCAAGGAGGAGGTTATGCAGGTCAGAGAATTGGCCATGCTGATAGCCAAATGGAGTGGTGTGAACTGGAAGAGCGAGGTTGCCAAGCTGTAAAAGTTCAATAATAATAATATTATTATTATTCACACATCAAATTGACGTTATGGACTGTTTCTGACTATACTTTTTTTTTTCTTTTATTTTTATAATACAATTGAAACTATTCTCGCTTTTTTTTTTTTTTTCTCCATCGTCTTTTTTTTTTTCTATTTTACGGGGCCGCTTCAAATTGACGCCGCGCATGGGTCCCAAGCTCCGATGAGTAAAACGTTGATGAGGCTTTGAGTTTGGGCAAACAATATGCTGATGATCCTCCTCCGCTTTTGGCTGTTGGGAGATTCCCCGGCGGTTGCGCAGCCAAGGGCATCATAATTCCATCACTAGCATTATTCATGTCCTCATTGATTTTGTTATTTTCACAACTATTCATCACTATTGTTGGTGCAGGTGCAATGTAGCTGGTATTTAAAAAACTGGAATCCCCAACATCTCCCCCATCTACCCCCAACGCATAATTAAGTGTCGACATACCTGGCCAGTGGTTAGATGAGCCAATTATATTGTTATTGTAGCGCGTAGCATCAGGAGCAAAGCTTGTCTCTGGTGGAACCGCAGAAGAAGAAGATCCTGTTTGCAACTCCGGGGGCTTGATGACTTTACACGCCAGCGCATATGCTTTTGTCCTGATATGTCGCTTAGCTCGAGCACCAAACCCGCTGCCGTTGCCGCTAGCTGATCCACCTCCAGATCCACTCCACATGACACCAGATGCGTCTAATGTTCCTCCACTAGCTCCTTGTTGTTGTTGTTGTTGTTGTTGCAGCTGTTGATTTAATAATTGTTGTCGCGGCCGTTCATTACGGTACGTACGAATAGTCTGCCTTGTAATAAGACGTGACTTACGTTGCTCACGAGCTTCATCGCTACTTGATTCTGACGCAGTTTCATCGCTGGTTCCAGGATACGGGTTGACCACACGTCTTCGGACAGTTCTTGAAATAGGATCCATGCGTTCGACCAGAGTTCCTGGGAGGTACACGTTACGCAGCCATTTTTGAACCTTTTCATTCATGGGCATGTTTTTTTCTTCGCGTGACCAAAATGTACTCGAGCAAACAGGATCTGTATCAGGCTTGGAAAGAATGGGAAATAAAGGTTGTTGTTGTTGTTGTTGCTGCTGCTGCTGTGGCTGTGACTGCTGGGTATTGTAAAACTGTGGATTGGTATAATGCATGTTAATTTCGTTATTGTACAAGTCCAGGACTAGTTGGTGATTATGGGCATTTTCATTATCAGTTTCAACGTGGGTATTACTATTGTGAAAGTATTGATAAGCATCTTCAACTCCATCATCATCATCATCATCATTATCATCATCTTCTTCTTCTTCATCGTCCTCATCATTGTCGTCGTTATCTGCATCATCTGCATCATCCTCATCTTGAATAGTTTTAGAAGAGCTTTCCTGGGTAAGTTTTTTAAATCTGCGCGAAAATGTTCTATAATGGAATAATCGTCAATCATTTATAGTTAGAATGGTATCTCAACTGCATAATAGTTCCATAGGAGGGTATACTCAGAAAGCGAGCGCTTGTGTTTCTTAAGCGAGATACGCTCCAAGTGCCTGTTCCAGGTCACAACACTTGCAAATGTGTCTACAGTGGGATGCTGCTGGTCCATAGAGAGTTTCCCAATAGCAACCATAGTTGTGTAAAGTCAACTAAAGCAAAATGAAGATTTTCTAGATTTTAGTAATAGTGAAAATGGTATATAAAATGGAGATATTTTATGGGCACCAAAAAAAAAGATAGAAGAAGAAAATGAGAAATCTGTGCACCTAAAAAATTTAAATCGCAACATGATTCTTGTAAATTCACAATTGCAAACGAACAAACAAGCAAGTTATTTTACACAATCAATAACTTCAAAGTTACAAAACATACTTACAAATAGACTTTAAAAAAAATTTTTTTTTACAAACGTCTCCATAGCTTTTTGGATTTCTTTTACTTTTATATTGAAAAAAAAATTTTACACAGGTCATAACACTTACTGAGCAGCAGCGGCGGCAGGCTCCTCGGCAACAGGGGCAGCAGCCTCGGGCTCCTCGACATTGTAGGTAATGACAGAGGGCTCGGTAGGAGCAGCCTCCTCCTTGGGAGGGTGGATAACAACAGTGTCGGGGAGAGTGGACTTGGGAGAACCAAACTTGGCCTCGGCAGCAGGGTCTCTCATAATCTTGACCTTAACACCAAGCATACCCTGCTTAAGCTGGACGTGACGGGTGGCAGTGTCAATAAAGTCTCTGACGGGCTGACCAGAGTGGATCATGAAACCAGCGCCAAACTTCATAGACTTGGCACGGGCAGCTCTCAACTTGCCGGAAACGACAACCTCGACACCCTTGGCGCCAGACTCCATAACGTAACGGACAACACCGTAAGCGGCTCTGCGGATAGCCAGGTTGTTGAGGAGCTTGTACTTGAGAGACTCGCACTGAGCAATGGCGGAAAGACCACGCTGCTGGACACGCTCAGCGTAGAGGGCAAGAGCCTCCTCCTTAAGGCCGAAACGCTTTCTGACAAGAGTGGTGAGCTCACGGATTCTGCGGCCTTGGGGACCAAGGACCTCCTGGGTGTGGGTGGCTCTGATGATGATCTCAGTCTTGTTGGGGGTGGTTCTGACCTCAATGCCGGAGTAACCCTCCTCAGAGAGCTCGCGGGTGAAGAACTCGTTGAGCTCAGCGTAGAAGACACCGTCGGCGACGTGTTTTCTCTTCTTGGAAATGATGGTGGCAGACATTTTCGGGAAGCTGTGATGTGTTGTGAGCACTACCTGGTCGTCAGAGCGAATGTGTGAGTCTACTGAAGGCACTAGGGGGTAGGAGGGGAAGGGGAAAAAAAAAAAAAAAAATTTCAGGCCGTAGGAGGTTGAGTGGTGGATGTGTGGATGTGTGGATGTGTGGACGTGTGAGTCTGTAATGTAACAGGGTTAGGGTGAAACGCGTTTTAAGCGCATATTTAGACGCGTTTTTTTTCCCCCCCCCTAATTGTAAGGGAAGGCAAATAAAGAAAAATATAAATAAATAATATATAAAAGACGCGACTGTAATAAATAAAATTTGTAATGAGTGTAAATTGTTCACGTGATTAGTAAATTTGAGAACAGTATAATGTATATATATATTTTTCAAAAAAATAATTAGTGACTGTGTTAGAAAAAACAAGTTAGGGTTATTAGGGTTTTTAAATTTTATTTAAACCTTCGATCGTTACCATCAATCACCTTAAATGCAACAAAAAATAACACAGCCTTTTGGTTTGAATTTTATTTTTGATTTTGATTTTGATTTTATTTGATTTTAATGATTTGAATATCTCAAAAGGAATTTGATATACTCCATTGCCATCACTAGAAGGAAATAAAAAAAATAAAAATAAAAATAAAAAAAGACAAAAGCAGCCGTGTGATGTTGATGGTTACAGTCAAATTTACCTTTCGGGACATTTTATTTATTTTTCGTTCTATTCTACAAAGAGAGTTTTTTTTTTTTTATAAACGATGTATAAAAAATCGTGTATTATTGGATTTTATTGTTATTAGTGATGATGATAAAAAAAAAAAAATTAAAACTGGGATTTTAATATACCAAAAGAATTTCAACATATTAATCAGTTTTAATATATATATATTTGGATGATGATGATTTTGATATATTTCAATAATAAATACCCACAATAGTTACTGCATACGTGATTTTTATCATACTTTTTATACAACCTTCCTAAAAAAAAATTAAAATAAAATACCCAGCGTTTCTTCAATACCTAATCTCAATAAAAGATCCTTCAGATATCATGACTTCACCAATTCTTTCCCTAATTCTCAAATATCCCATTAAAAAAGTCTCTTTAAACCCAGCCCTTTGTATATTTATATATATATATATATATATATATAAGATCGTCTTTCTCTGCAAACTGCTCACCTCCGCACACACGTGACCCCTCCCATGAGTCTCCTTAAAATCATCTTCACCACCACCACCAAACCCTCTTTTTAGACTTATCTTTGCTCGTTTAACTGTTGCCACCAAATACTTTTTTTTATTTATCTTTTTTAATACAACAATCTTTATAATACCTAAAGTCTTCTATTTAGAAATAACATTCAAGGATTCCTTTTGTCTCATACTTTTGTTTAAAAGCTCCTTTCAATCCAGTAGGCTCTTCATATCCCCGATATATTTTTGTTTCATGGCACCCTACACGCGCTGGCTCTTCCTCACATGCAATTAAAAGCCTGCTTGTTTCATAAGAGCACAAAAGCTCCTTTTCAAGGATCCAAAAGCATTAGTAGTACAAGTAGCTTGGTCAATTATACCCAGGCCTTTAGAAAGTGACGGCCTTTTCTTGTCTCACCCCATAACAATCATAATAATAGTAGCAACAAACTTAAACACTCATCCAACATTATCATAACATCACCAGAAATCATTATTACTAGTACAAACAATGGGCCCTAAGGCCTCTCAAGCCCATAAAAAGGCTCCTCCCAAAATTCAAACTCATCAACCTTCAACAGGCTCTTCAATCGATTCCATCACAGTATCTGCAGGCAGACACCCTCCCAAAAAGCGCTTACAAACCCCTCCAACAACAGCCTCACCACTACCCCTCTCGTCTGGGGCAGATAAAAAGACTCCTGCCAAATCTTCAACTACAACAACAACAACCAGCACCACAAAAAAGGGCCGTAAACGCAAGGTCCCGCCTGGAGAAGATAAACAAGGAAATGGTTCCAGCGCTGGCGCTGGAACTAGTGGCAGCCCCGCTACCGCTCCAGAAAAACATCACGGTCCCGGCCGCCCTCGTAAAAAAGAAAAACTTTCCCATGATGGAATGAGTGCCATGAGCCGAGCATCAACACCATCAACGCCATCTTTGCCATCTAAACCAGCAGTGTCTTCGGCTTCAAGTACTCCAACAAAAGCGAAACTGCCAAAAGGCGTGTCTGCTAAATCTGCTTCTAAAAAGAAACCTCCGCCGAAACCAAAAAAACTAACTAAAAAAGCCCAGGCTGCAGCCGCAGCAGCCGCAGCAGCAGCCGTAGCATCCATAGCAACGACATCATCTACTGCCTCCGCCAAAACAGAAACAACAACTTCTGATAATTCTCAGACTGCCCCATCCACCTCTCAGCCTGCAACAGATGCAAATACAGATGCTCCAGCACCAGTTTCTACTGTCGAACCCCCAGTTAAAGTTGAATCGGAGTCTCAATCTCAATCCCAATCCCAATCACAATCCCAATCACAATCCTTATCCCAATCTGCTACTACCCCAGCACCAACAACAACCAACACTGCGCCAACAACTCCAGCAAAACCTAAAAAGAAATATGCCAAACTTACCAAAGAAGAACGTGAGAGCCGTAAGCTTCTCAAGAAACAAGCTGCCGAAGAAGCCAAGCGTGCCAAAAAGCAATTAAAAATCAATAGCAAAAATGCAGCTAAGCAAATCAAAGAACGACCACCGGTGGATGTGGAAAAGCAGTGTGGTGTACCTCTTACCAATGGTGGTCTTTGTGCACGCTCACTTACCTGCAAAACTCACTCCATGGGAGCCAAACGTGCAGTCACTGGTCGATCCAAGCCTTACGATGTGCTTCTTGCGGCCTACCAAAAACGCAACCAAGTCAAATTAGCTGAGCTATCAACGCAACAACAGCTGGAAATGGAGAATGAAGCACTATCAGCAAATAACCCTCTAAATGAAGATGAAGAAGCTGAAGAGGTTATGAATGGTGTGCTACACTCGCGTCCTGTTCCTCTTGAACAGCACGTCATGGTATCGATTCGGCAAAAGACACAGTTTTTGCGTATGCGAGAAATGCTTTTTAAGGGAATCAGAAAAACTCCATCCATGCAGTCATTGCTTCCACTGGTTTCACCGTCAAATAATAGCCGACCAGGGTCTCAAAATGAGAATGATTCTGGGCAGCAATCGTCATCAACATCCTCGCAACAGTCACAGTCACAGCAACAACAACAACAACAACAGCGCTCTAAACCGATAAGCATTGCCAATGTTATGGCGAGTACAGCAGCAATTCAAGGACGAGCTGTAATATTAGATCCAGTTGTTGGGAAGCCCTATGTTCGACCGTCACAAGCATTTTTTGCAGAACGTGTTTTGTTAAATCAAAAAATAATGAGACAAAAGATTCTTCAACACCGGCAACAACAATTGCAACAGCAACAAGCACAGCAACAATTTCAAGCGCAACCACTACAACAGTCACAGTCATCGCAACAACAACAACAACAACAACAACACTTACAAGGACAACCGGGCCAAATCCAGGCACAACTTCAAGCTCAGTTCCAGGCGCAAGGAATGTTTCAGTCGCCTTCAAACGGCCATTAATGGCCAAATGTCATAATAATAATAAATAGTCATTAATTAAAAAAATTATAAGATAAGATAAAAAAAAAAAGCATTATATATTTATATATTAATTGCGTCAGTTATTGTATTCAGCCCGCATAAATTTTTCATTCCACTTTATTTGGGATGTATATGGGATTAAAATTCCATGTGAATTTCCCCAGTCTCCATTCTTGGGCTCATACTCAAACGTAATGTGTTGCATCTTCTCTGGGCGCTCAAACACCACTTGGTGGAGCCACAAGGATGACATCCAGTAACCAAATCGGCAGCAAAGAGTCAAGTGTGTTACTGTATTGAGATCCAAAATGCGTTCAAACATGGCTTCATAGAAACAAATGGCCATAAGTGTTGATGAAATGGGTTCCTCATTGATACTCTTGTCGTTTGCCTCGCATGCGTGCAATTCACGAAGCGTTGCATAGGGATGATTTATAATATCTGTATAACATTCCAATGCATCAGAACCACAGGCCATTCCAAACAATCCAGAAATATATGCGGGATACACATTAAAACGGCTCAAAAATGTAGTCACTTCATTAAAATTCATGTAACCATTGAGCTCCACAAACTTGTTGACCATTCTGCGCATCAAGCGCTTCTCACGAGATCCGAGATTCAATGGGTCAGCACCAAACTCTACTTTTAAATTTTCAAGGCTAGGGAAACCCTTCAAATCCAAAACTTCAAGGCCTTCACAAAAAAGAACATCAGAAGCTTGGTCAATAAATAAAGTAAGTGTAGAAACATTGGGCCAGCAAAGAGTTTTGGTCCCAGACTTTCGGAGACTAGTAACACAGGCACCCAAAGCACCCAAACTCACAGTAAGCAATGAAAGACGGGGGAATTCAAACATTTCTAATCCACCACACCCATTAATTGCAAAATATGCCAATATTTCGTTACATCCGCTATCCTTGGGGATAATTAGTTCAGTGACAGCCTGGGAAACAACAGATTGTGGCTTATTTAAGCTGCCCTTAAGAGCATCCAATAAATGGCTGTGATTCTCTCCTCTCTTATTTTTTTTTGCCCTTTTCCAATTGCTTTTCCTCATTCCCTCATCCTCCTGTTCTTCATTCTCATTAGCCCCGCACAAACTGACTGCGCACCGAGTGATTGTCAAGGGAAGTTCCTTCAAATTTTGCAGAGCCTCTGCTCTCACAAATCCTTCTGTATACCCCAATTTCTTAAAACCACAAATAGCCAACGTAACATTCAACTCTTTTAAATTGGGGAACCTGCGGGTAATTGAACTGAGCATTGTGGTGTCATAACCATCATTCCCATCCACATCAATAGTAAGACGCTCAACACCCATCATCCATAAACAATCCATTTTGTGGAAATTGCTGGTAGGATTCAGGCGCTGCTGCAAGCGGGGCTGGATTTTTTTCAGTAGCATTTGTTTTGCAACATCTTCCTCCTCTTCTTCAAATACACCCACAATTTTTAGTTCCTTAATAAAACTTGAAGACTGCATAAACACCGCAAGTTCCAGACAGTCACCAGGGTTCAGCCGCACTGTCAGACCTGAAATTTCAACAAGGTTGATCATGGCGCGCATTCCAAGAGAATCGTAAAACTGGCTTCTTGTAAACGCAAGCAAATGCTCCGAGTGCACTTCTGGTACAAACCAAATGCCGCAAAGCCTTGGGTAGTGCATTGTCAAAACAGTTGAATCAAGAAGTATTGGTGATGCATAAAACCAGTGTCCTGCATCTGCAAGAACCGTGATGCGGCTTACATGCTGGTGATCACAAGCAGTTTCAGGGTTTTTCAAAAAGTTATTGAGCGTTACTCGGCGGGGTGACCTCACGACCGACGAGGATGCGTGATATTCAAGCAAAATCACAAATACTAGGTTGTACTTACGCTCTGGGAAGAGATAAAAATTTTCCTCAGAGAGATCTTTATAAATGTTCACGCTGGGACCTTGATACATAAACTGTCGTCCAACCTTGCAAGAATCGGTTGGTTCTTGAGGGTTGTGTGAAGAATAAAGTGAACAAAAAGATAATAACTCAAGGTTTGTTTGATTATCTTTTTCAAATTGAATTTTGCGGGCCTTACTTTTCAAATAACGTATAGCTTTTTGTTGAAATATCTTGGTGCAAGGCATTGCACTGCGTTTGCGGGCCTTTTCTTTGCTTGGAGAACAAATCAACCTCTTATAATTTTTTTGATTGAGAGACTTGAAGCTTGCTTTAAAAGGTTGCTTGTCTAGTTTTTCAAGAGTTTTTTGATGCTTCTTGTTAAGCCCAGTCATATTCATATGAAGAAAGCTTTGGGGTTTCTCACTCAAGGGGTCTCCAGGTTTTTGCATAAATTTATTCACTTGACATCCCTCTGTTTCACAAAAGTTTCTCCATGCCGTTACTTCTATTAATTCCCCATTCTCTCCTATTTTTGTAAAATTCTTTTGATGTAAAAATATTATGTGAAAATCGTTAGAAGTATCTTCTAAATCTGAAAGTTCCCTGTGGAGGCTTCTTCTTCTTCTTCTTCTTCTTCTAATTCTACCCAGTTGGCCATTTCTAAACGTTCTTCCTCTGATAAGGTTATATTTTCTAAGTCATTGTCAAGTTCTCTAGAATTTGTCTGGTATATTTCTGTTTCATCTTCATCTTCATTTTTGTTCTTGTTAAACTGGCCAGTTTGGGTTACTACTTTAATTCTGTGAATGTTTTGACGGTTTAGTAGTTTTCTACTGTTGCTGATTTCAGCCCTTTTCAATCCTTGTCTTATAATTCTGGTATAGGGAGAATTGATTAAGTGGCAATACCTTGAAGCTATAGTTCTGAGCAAGGGTCCTTTAAACAAGACTTGTTCAAATGTATAGTTCTTTGGTCTTTTGTGACAAGACTTGTAACGAGGCTTTGACAATTGTTTAAGAAACAAATGAGAGAGTTTGTTACAAGTTATATAGTAGTTGGTTTTTTTGTTATTTGAGAGCATTGTTATAATTGTAAGAAGTTGTTAAGTTGTTAAGTTGTTAAGTTGTTAAGTTGTTAAGTTGTTAAGTTGTTAAGTTGTTAAGTTGTTAAGTTGTTAAGTTGTTAAGTTGTTAAGTTGTTAAGTTGTTAAGTTGTTAAGTTGTTAAGTTGTTAAGTTGTTAAGTTGTTAAGTTGAAACTTGTTAAAAATTATATATATATATATTGTTTTTTTTAAAAAAAAAAAAAAAATTTTAAAAAAAAATAAGAAATTTTTGAGGTTTTTATAGTAAATATATATATATATATATATATATATGTATATATGTATATATATAAATACTAATTGTATGAAAAATAACTTTTTTTTTTTCAATTCCATCAAAGCATTGATAAGAAACGCTTGTTGTGTCAACAATTTTCATGCAGCTCTCTCAAGAATGACATAACTAGACGTGTATATATACAATTCGTACAATAAATAATAATACATTCAGTTAATAAAGATATTTTTAGTAAATTATTCTGATTATTTTATTTATTTTATTTCCAAAATGACTCTTTAAACCTTTAAATCTTTAAATCTTATGTTATATCCTCAGATATGTACCGAATGAGTTAACAAGAGTCATATTATCCTTATATATATATATATATTTTTTTTTAATATACAAAAAAAAAAATGAGTAATTCAAGTTCATTATTATTAACATTTCATAAGCTATTTATTTATTTATTTATCTTTTCTTCTTCTTCTTCTTCTTCTTTATATAATAAATTTCGGACATGACATCATAAAATAAAAAAAAAATCTCGTTTAACCAATATACTTCATTTTTTGGTCTTTTTTTTTCAATTCCTCTTCTCTTCTTCTTTCTATTGTAAGACAATAACAACAACTTTTAAGTAAAGTGAACAACAAGTGGAATGACAATAACAGCAATCAGTACAATAATGCCAATGGCCAGACAGACTTTCATTTTGGTGTTTTTGACCCACATTCTCTTCTTAACTTGTTGACTCTGTTGACGAAATTGTCCTGCAGACTCTGCCAGATTGTTTGCGCCTTCCTCGAGTCGGTTCAGTTGGTCGTCACGAACTGCCATTTTTTGTACATTGTCTTTCATGACATTGATTGTTTGGTTTACTGTATCTTGGATCTGTTCTGTACTAGTAGGGCCTGACATATTTGGTCGTTCCTGTAAAGCAATGTAGTTACTGTTTTGATTTGACATTGTGATATATATATATATTTATAGTTGTATCTGTGATTTTATTACAGTCTGTTAATAACGAAATGCAATTGGAAAATAAATTTGTCTTTATATATAGAATGTATAAATGGAAGGAATGCTTGATATTATGGTTATTGATTAAATATAGCTGGGAAAAAAAAAAAAAAAAAAAGATGGTGGTAGTGTATATAAAATAATAATAATAATAAATAATAATATAATAAATAAAGGGTTGTTACTAATAAACAAAAGTCTACACACAGCAGTCTATGTGGTATTTATATATTTATATATTTATATATTTGTATATACAAAAAAACAAAACGACCCACCACCCCATTTTAAAAGTTTTTCCAAGTGGCTGAAAACTGCTATCGTTGTAATAAAGGAATTTTAAATTTAAAGTCCTGCCACCAAACTATCAAAGCCCCGTTATTTTTTTTATTTTTATTGTGCCTAAAACCTTTTCGGTTCTTCTTCTTAAAGGTGACGCCGGTATTTTCAGAGACCCGAGATATTTTAATTTTATTAATGACAGTAATAAGTTTTTTTTTTCTTGAATCTCTTTTCAATAGTTTCTACCATTGTATCTCTAAACTTCAAAACCTGTTTGCTCATCCTTCTTTATTTCTTTCTTTCTCTAGCGTATCACTCACAAACACGTAATAATAATAATAATAATAATAATAATAATAATAATAATAATAATAATAATAATAATAATAATAATAATAATAATAATAATAATAATAATAATAATAATAATAACAGTAAATAAAATAAAATAAAATAAAATAAAACTACTCCCTGCGGCTATCAATGCGGCTACACTCTCGTACAGACATAAATCAACCAGCTGAGCCTTCATATTCTAAAGCTACTAGAATAGAATACAAACAATTTCAGGGTTCTGTCAAATGACGCAAGCTGACGTACTTACTATTCTGATATGCTGAGCCCTGGATTTTAAAAGAAAAAAAAAAATGTCTATTGTATTTTTTTTCTATATATACTTTGAACTTTTTTCTAAAGTCTGATGTTGTTTGTTTTTGCGTATGGTACCTGAAGTAAATTAAAATTTGTTTAGTATTTGTTAAGTTTTATTTTTTTATGATCGCTAAATCGCTAGTGTATGTTTGTTTAGCAATAAATGACGTAATCACACTAACTTTAGTTTTTTAAAATTTTTTTTTTTTCTACCCTCCCCAACCACCACGACTTCAAATCACCAAAAATAATGGGAAACTTAAAAAAATTTCAACGAAATAAAAACAAAAATGACTTTAAAACATCGCTAGAAGTCATAAAAAATTGCCTCGAGCCGGATTCGAACCGACGATCTCGTCATTACTAGTGACGCGCCTTACCAACTTGGCCATCAAGGCTTGTAAACTCGTTATAATGATGAGTTTATTTAACAATATATAGTCCTTGAACTAATATAACCAAAATACTTAAAAATCATCATTATGTAGAAAGGGGAAAGGGCTGGATGGTGTAAAGGATAACACGTTCGCTCGAAAGCGGAAGATACTTGGTTCGATTCCCAGAATACCCCCTTTTCCTGAAGATGTGTACGGGAGTATACACCTAGACTGAAAAACCATAGGCTACCCTGGTTACAGGAATGCCGACTCTTCCGTACAGTCTAAATAGCCTGCAGGTGATTGCGGGCCGTATCTCTGACGGAAGAGATTAAGAAATACATGGGCGTCCGTGAAGATAAGTGGAAATGGGTTGGGAAGGTTTTGGGACCGACAGACTGGTTCTCCCTGTTCCTCGTAAGCTGGCATCAGGGCCCATCTTCCGGGCTACCGGAGACGCACAGAACAGAAACCACCAGTACTAAAAAGGTACAAATGAAAACCGGCAAGTCACATAGTCAGACAATAAAAGGATAGCGCAGATGCTGATGTTATATAGTTCTATAACCCTTGAATAAAAACAAACAAACAAACAAACATCATTATGTAGAAATGAAGAAAGATAGTCGAAGGATCTTGAGTAATATTACTCAGTTTCGCACAGGCCATGGCAACTTTGGCGCATGGTTTAAAAAGTTTGGAATTGAAAAGGATAGTTACAACTGCAAATGTGGAGAGCTGGAAACAGTTCATCACATTTTAGTTGAGTGTCCTTTGCTTGAAGAGGAAAGAAAAGGACTGAAACGGATATCTCCAGAGATGGACATGTCGACTCTCTTAAACAGTTTAACTGGCTTACAAGAGATTGTAAGCTTTATCTCTGCTTGGAGGGATTAAGAAATACAATTACGGCGTTGATGAAGACAAGTGGAGATAGGTTGGGAAGGTTTGGTTATTTTTAACCCCCTGTTCCTCGTAAGCTGGCATCAGGACTTATTTTCTGACTGTTGGAGATGCAATGTTAAAGGCAAAATTAATTGTTTATTATCAAAATGAAAAGATATATAGTGTGGACAAAAAGGATAGCGCAGATGCTGATGTTATATAATTCTATAACCCTTGAATAAAAACAAACAAACAAACAAACAATCGATCATTGCAATATAAAAAACATAAATTTGATTTTAAATTATGTATCATTTATATACCATGTATAAATCATTTTTAGAGGCATCGTAGCAGGAGTACAGAATCTTCCATTTAGTCTAATCATCCCACAGATGACTGCGGACAGTTTTTTTTTTTTTTTTTTTTTTTTTTGTTTCTTGTAAGCTGGCATCAAGGGTTATATTCCGGGCTATATATAAGAAGTACAAATAGTAACAACACAGTAAATTTTTGAAATTTCTAAACAAGTCAATTGGCAAGCCAGAACCACGGTGTACATATAGAAAATAAATTAAATTTTAAAAAAAAAAAATTATAATTATATATTAAAAAAAAAACTTATTTGCTAGTTTCATTTTCTCATAAAACTATTATACTCAATAAAAGCTATAACTTTTTGCCATATACATTACTCGACCTTATCTTGGCTATCATACAACTTGATGGTATGTTGACAAATATTATCACTATGTGAACCATGGTATGCACAAAAAAATGATTCATTAACACGTAATACTTGTTGGTTGTATTTTGTTGAAGCTTCGTCAGTGTCAATAAACAATATCTTCATCATGTACTTTGGTGGGTTTTCAAACTTTAAAACGTAAAACCCAGAAAATCTTGTAGTGTCTTTAAAACATCCTTGGTAAAGAACCCATTTATTTTTAAAAAACTTGGAAAGGGTTTTGATTAGCATGCGATTGTTGACAGCCCCAAAACTTCGGGCGTGCAAATAAAATACTTTTAGAGCATCATTGGGTTTCCTATTTTCCAAGTCATGGATGACAACATCTCTAGTTATTCTGTAAGAATGGCCATTGTGTTTAATGCTGATTGTGAAAAAATTCTCCAAAGTCTTTGAAGTATTAATTTCATAAAAATAGCCAGCTCTGTAAACATGACTAAATCTTAACGTTATTTTATGGTTCGGGTAATTTTGATCAAGTATATTTGATAAGTGTGAAGTTAAAGAAACAATATTCTGATGATGAGCAATGCCTTTCCCTTTAAGACAAATTATTCCGTTTGATTGTGAGTAATAATTATTTTTTTTAAACTTAGCCACAGTTGCAGGATTTTCTTGTTTGATTTTAACATCTTTTATATCATCTTCCCATTTTATTTTTTTCTCCATTCCTTCAATTGAATTTTTTTTATTATTATCTTTTTCAATTTTAATTTTTTTTATAATAGAACTTTTTTCCTTTTGTCTCTTGCGTTTATTATTTGTTTCAATAACTGGAGTATGGTTATCTGTTTCAAGCTTAATTATAGAATCGTTTGTTTTTGCTCTTGTGCGATCAGAAATTGAATGCTTTACAATTTCAATAGAGCTGTCTGAAAAGTAAGTAGGATCTCGATCATTTACCGAAAAAGACTCGAAAGAAGTATCTAAATCTATAGAAAAGTAATCATCTAGGGCAATGTAATCTTTTTCAGATGATTTGATGAGAGTAGGGGGTACAGCTGTTGAAGGTTCCTTTACAGGAGGTTCCAATTCGAGTGGTATGGGTGCTAGGGTGGCAATGGGTAATGGAGTTATTGCTGTTGGGGGAGAATATTCTGAAGGGCTACTCACAGGTGAAAGTATGAATGGTTTGCTGTTGACAGACATTTGGGGGTTCTTTAAATTGGGTAGTCTTTGAATATATATGGATAGTATCAAAAGAAATGTTGTGGATTAGAATCGTGTTTTTAGAGATAGAAAAAAAATTATTGAAGAGAAAAAAAAGGATTTTTTTTTATTTTTAAAATTTTAAATTTTTTATGGGCAAAGCTTTAATGAGGCAAAAATTATATATATATATATATACCTTGTTAAACCATGTTTTGGGATGATGATGATGTTTGTAGGAAACCTTGACATTAAATTAAAGACTTGAAACTTTGAGTGCCTTAGGAAATTTCAAGATATTGACATTAATAATTGAGAATTTTTTAAAAAAAATATTTATATTTAATAGATTTAAAGATTTAAAGATCTAAAGAATATCAGTTATCAGATAATAATTCAACTTGTGAAGAGATTTCTTACAGCTGAATTTTAAAATTAACATAAAAACCCACAAACATTACATAATGATGACCAATATACACTGATATTATTTATATAATTATATATATATATATATATATATATATATATATCAACGATACACTCGTTTTGTTTTCAATCAGCCAAAATGGAATTTTTTTATTTTCCTACCTTTTAAAAACAAACAATCTCAAACTCACTTTATGAGATAAAATGGTTTATTCAGAAAAAAACAAAACCATTTGCAAGATTTTAATAATAATTTATTTTTGATTAAAATCATGATACCTCGTGCTTCTCTTTTAAAACTCATTTTGCTCAATTTACCATTTGAACGTATTATTTCAATCTTACAAGCTAAACAAGAACTACTTTCAGTGCATTACACTGACCCATCATTTAATATTAAATTCCCTATTCTTGAACCATTATACCCTGATGTCCCAATTTTGGATTCTTTATGGTCTGTAATCAGACATATTGAAATCACAGAATCCACGGAAGGTGGGATATTCCGAATATGGACACGGTCTTTACTACCATCTCTTGTTTATTTTCTAATTTTATATGGAACAAACAAAATCTTTACTAAAGTATACCCAAATATCAACAATAACAAAAAACTATTAACTTGGATTACCAAAACTATTTTAACATACCCTTTGCGCTACATTATTGATAAGATGAATACCGATGTGATTGATACCATCAAGTATCGACACACTCAAGATTTCCACCCACCTCTTTATGCTTCATGTAAACCAGGATTTTGCTTGTCATCTGCAAAATATACCAATCTGATTAAATTTTATGACACAAGAATCAACAGTTATCGATTTCCAACATGTAAATCTGTTTTGTTAGATGCATGGGTTTCTGGAAGATTGACTAACAATAATTTTATTTCAATTCCATATACCAGAGTCACTGGATACTTTTCTTTTTTGAGATACATTTATTGTGGACTTTTTTTAAAACTCATCTCTGATGCCATTTATAAACTAATCAAGAGTTCAGCTTTGCAACTATACTTTTGGATCCCATTTGAAGTGCACTCACTTAAAACCATATCTCTTTGTTCGACTATACTGTCTATGATGGCTGTGTATCCCATCAATGCTTTAAGGTTACGAATAGTTGTTACCAATACCTGGCAAAGAGTTGATTACTTGGAAAGGGGTAGAGAAGATATTGACATTGAATGCGAGACATACGGGTGCCATTGTACAAATGGCCGCGAGTGTGATGGGAAATGTGGGGTAGACTGTCACAATGCCCATTTTCATAAACAATACAATAATGATGGCAAGTTTACAAAAAGAATTAATCAATTGTGGCCCGGAGGAGCTGGAGAAAACAACTTGAAGGGGCTGGCCAATGCCTGGACAATGGCCAGAGCAATTAATGAGCAAGAGGGGGGGTTGTCCCTGTATTCCGGAGTGTCCTCAGCAATTCTTCAAGAGCTTTTGAGGGGTAGTATAGTATAGTATTAATATAATAATAATAATAATAATAATAATAATAATAATAATAATAATAATAATAATGTGGAGAAGAAAGAAATGTGGGGGAGGAAGCAATAGGGAGGTAAGCAAGAACAAATTGGCAATTGTAAGCTAAATAAAAAGAAAAGATCATTATTTCATTAAAAAAAACAAACAAACACACACACACAAGGGCAATTTACTGGACAATGGCGTGCATAATGTACTCAATGTGGAAACCCTTGTCATCCCTAAAGAATCTACCACGGCCAACGAGATTGTGGAACTTAATCCAGTCGTACTTTTTAGGGGCATCCTTGTCGATGAAGACAGTCATGTTGTTTGTGACATAGGACTCTTCATAGGTGTGGCCATTGGATTGACCAGAGCAAACGGCACCAACTGGGGCTGAGGCTTGGACAATGCCTCCGTATCTGATAGTAAAACCAGCACCATCTTCAGTCTTGCCGTAGACTCTGCAGTCGAGGCTGTTGTGAGTGGGGTTGACAAGAATATCATCACGGCCGTGGAGAATTGTGGAGTTGAAGGGATACTTTTCGTCGTAGGACTTTGTGAAGCCACCAGTGATGTTGACGACGACGTCATCGCCGGCAGCGCGGCTGGCGACAGGCTGGATCTCCTCGAGGTCGAAGGAGAGGTGGAAGACGGGCTTAAGGGTGATGATTGATTCTTGGGTAGACATTTTTATGGTAGGTCAATGGAGGGAGGGTCTAATCAAAGTTGGATATATATAAATAAGTAAAAAAAAGTTATTAATAAGTTATAATAGGAAACAAAGTTGAAATTGAGGAAAAGAGGAATTTGGAGGGGATTTTATAGACTTTGCAATGGAAATTGAAAGAAAGAGAGAGAGAGGGAGAAAGAGAGGGGAGAGAGAGAGAGAGGCGGTTTTTTTGTTGGCTGGTTGGAATCTCCCATTCGGCCGTTTGTTGTTGTTGTTGTTGTATGGACATTTTATGGGACTATCAACTAATAATCAAAAAGATGACTAATCAGATTAGCTATCTGAATTTCCCCAGAGACATAAAAAAAAATATACACGTTTTTTTTTTTCCCAAGGAATAAAAGATTAAATATTATATATAATATTTATATATATATATATATTTTCAAATAAAGATTATTAAAAAAGAATTGACTAAAAAATAAAAAAAATCAATTTATTTTATTTTAATTTTTTTTTTTTTTTTCATTCAATTGACTTTTATATTTTAATTTTATTTTATTTTTGGAAAACTGGTGGGTATTTTGATTAACAAAGTTAATTACATGGAAAAAAGATAACCCATAAATTACATAATAATTTAGATAATTAACATCACATGATATGTTACATTACAAATAAATTTATTATTAAGTAAATATCAGTCTTGTGTAAATATTAGATCACTTTTTTTTTTTTTTAAAACCACCAGAAAAAAAAAAATAAACAAATCGCCAACGAAGAAGGCTTTAAGCCCAGCCAAATTTCAGCACCACCAAAACCCCCCCACCTCCTCTTGAAATGCCACTCATCAGAGACGACCACATTCTGGTATGTAAATATATAAATATATATATATTTAAAAAATAAATTTTATATACACAATTTAACACAATATAGATAATATCACCTGGGTCAGAAACAACTCTCGCCCAATTCGGTTTGGGTGAGTCACTGGCTCCAGCTTCTATTCAAGTCCCAACACGCGTTTTCGCAAACCCTTTAAAACACAACCCTGGAAAAGGTATCAACTACTTTTCTTCTAAAGGGTCTGAGGAAAATGCAATATATCCCATTAAAGCAGGTAAAATTGTTAATCTTGCTGCTTTCAATTATTTAATGTATGTGGAAGAAAAAAAAACATTAATACGCGTCTAACACGTTTAAAAGAAAATTAATCTACCGTGCAGTCATCAATAGTCTCCCTAAAATTAACCCTCCACCACTTACAGCAATTCTCCTTCTCACAAGCAACTCATGGTCACGGCTACAGCTTGAAAACATCACACAGTACGTTTTTGAGGTCCTCAACGTTCCTACCTTTTCCGTAATATCCACCGCACTTTGCGCGTCATTTGCTTACAATGTCCAAAACGCACTTGTCATTGATATCGGCAAAGACAAGACAGAAATTACACCTATTGTGGACTACTCTCCAATTACAGTATCTTCGCAAACAATTCCCTTTGGATCCTCTTCAATCAATAAGTCTCTTAAAAAACTCTTACCCGAATTTACCGACGCGCAGATTGAAACACTGAAAAAGTCGGACATTTTCCAGGTCTTGACACCTGAAGAAATCGCCAAAAGCTACTCATGGCTCAACACAGATGACACAGGTGCACCTAAAACAAGCACGGACGATGGCGTTGTAGATGTGGCTGCCATTGTGACATCAGGACGTACACGGGAGATTTTGGCACAGCGCGAAAAGGAAAAACAACAAGCATTGGAGGACCAACGTAGCGGAGCAGCTAAGGAAAAACCCAATGAAGAGCGCGAGTTTAGTTTTTTCCCAGATCCTGTGACTGGAGAGCCCATCAGGGTTGGGCAGCCACGGTTCCAAGGAACTGAGGTACTTTTAGAGGAAATCACATATGCTGTTGGAGAAGTTCTCAAGCATTTGGACGAGACCTCAAAGCGCCAGGACTGCTGGGACAATGTGATTATTGTTGGCCGCGGATCATCGGTCAAGGGCTTTAAAGAAGCGTTGTTGTTTTCTTTGCAATCGCGTTACATTATCACGCGACAAACTCTTGGGTCGGAACTGCCCTCGATGTTTAATACTAGTGGCTACAACACACCAAACAATGGGACACCATCCGGGATTTCGACACCGATTGGAGGTGGGTCGACTTTATCGGGACACGCAGGACATGGACAAGTGCCGACTCAGATTCGACTGACGAAGCAGTTTGATTACTTTGTGGAATGGAAACACTATGGATGGGAAGAGGCATCGTTTCTTGGGGCAGAGATTGCGGCTCAACAGATCTTTAATGGAGCTCACGAAAATACATTTGTAAGCAGGACAGATTATAATGCCATTGGTCCTTCGGCCATTTGGGAGTTGACTTTGTAATGTTGAAAAAAAAATGAGAATGAGAATGAAAAAAAAATGAGTATCTGATGTAAAGTTAAAGGGGGGTGAAGGATAAAGTTTTAAGCTTTTTTTTTTTCCAAGTTCCGTCAGGTGTATTGAGTGGATCTTTTGCAAGACATGATCGAAAAAGGGTTTTAAAAGGGAAATTAGTTTAAAGATTTAATTCTTTTTTTATACACAATAAATATAATAAACTCGTACGATAGACATTTGGTGGGTCTTTTTTTTTTTTTTTTTTTTTTCCTTTACTTCCTTTTTAATATCCGGACCGCTTACAAGTCCCCTCAAGCATACCAATCATATCGCTAGCCATATTATTGTTGCACTGCTCCGCAATGCACGTCTTATACTGCGGCCACAAGTTCTGACTTTTACACAAGCAGATGGTCAACACGTCTTGAGTAGAGTTTGAGCACCCTTGATTCACAAGTAGCTCATTGATATTGTTTTCACACGGAATTGCGCACCCAGAATCAGGGTATGGAGACAGCACAGAGCTAGCAGCACGTGTGGCTAGCGTAGTCTTTGTGGCCAAAGAAGAAGAAGAAGAAGAGGTGAGAGTACTCACACTAGGCGACGTGGTCGTGACTGAGACACTTGGGGTCCTAGTTGCAGTGTGTGTTGCAGAAGAGACTGAAGACAAGGACAAGAACGACGATGACACACTAGCAGTCCCTCCAGCAGAATTGTTTTTGGTTCCAGAGTTTGTTCCAGACCCGCTGGAGCCAGACCCCGACCCTGAGGCTGATACGAATCCCTGGATAAGACCCTGTGCTGCGCCCGATGAGGACGAAGAAGATGAGCCGCTGTTTGATGCTCCTCCTCCTGCAGCAGCAGCTACCGCTGCGGATTGCTGGCTGGCCGTAGACCCGCGAGACAAAGTGCTGGCTGCAGAGGCAGTTGTTGCAGTGTCTAAAGATGCAGTTGCAACGGTGTCTGTTGCAGATCTTGAGATGGCAGAAAGTGAAGAAAAGAGAGAGGAAGTTTTAGAGGGGACAATTGATGAGGAGACTTTTGAAGAAGAAAAAGAAGAAGAAGAAGAGGGGTTTGAAGAAGAGAGTGGTGATGCGGTAGGTCCACGAGAAGATGTAAAGGTATATGGGATTGTAGAAACCAGGGCTGAAGAGTATTGTGAGGGAATGACTGTCACGGTAGATTGGGGTAAAGTTGTTCTTCTTGTTGAAGTCACATTTCGAGTGAGGGTTGTTTTTGAAAAGATTGTGACAACTCCTGGGATTGGCAATGCAGTCCTAGTTGTTTGGGTAGTTTTTGGTACCTGAGATGCAAAAGAAGAAGAGAGTCTTTGAGATGTGGGACTTGGTGAGCTTGAAGTTGCCTGGGGTTTAGTGGTTGTGGTAAATGCAGAAGATGATGAAAAAGGAGTTAAAACTGCTGGAATTGAAGATAAAAGAAGAGAAGAGGAAGAGGAAGAGGAAGATGAAGAGGAAGATGATTTAATTGAATTTTGGAAAGTTGTAGTTTGTGTAGAAGATCTAACAGGAGCCACTATGGAGGAACTTGTGTCAGAGATCATCGAAGTCACAACAGAGGACTGAGTAGAAGGTGAAGCAGATGAGAAGGAAGAAGAAGACTGCTCTAATGAAGAAGTAATAGATGGTGATGATGTTACAGATGAGATAGAATAGAGAGGTGAGGCTACCGAAGACGAAGACGAAGACGACGATAATAATTGTGATCTGGAAGAAGAGGTCACAGAGGGTGTCGAGATTCCTGAGATGCCAGTTACGGATGGCGTTGTTGACGTTGATGGAACGTAGATGGAGATTAGTGAAGACACGGCTGTGCTAAGAGCCAATGTATCTTCTGAGGATTGTTTGCTTGAAGAAGATGATGTGCTTGTTTTTGAAATTGTTGAGGTAGTGGCTACACCTGTGGTTGTTCCTTTGTCTGCAGCAACAGCAAGTACCTGAGCGTTTTGGCCTTGGGCAACTGCGGCAGCAGCAGCAGAACCTCCACTAGGCCCTACAACTGTGACACTGGTAGCAGCACCACTGGAACCTGCAGTGGCTACTGCGGCAAGAACTTCAGTGGCACCGGCGCCGGCGCCGGCGCCGGCACCAGCACCAGCAGCGACTGCTGCTCCAACGCCGCCTGTACCAACAGCGGTAGTTGTTGTTCCTGGAGCTGCGGCGACTGCAGTTACTTGATCACCGGAGCCTACTGCTACGACAGCTGCGTTTGCAGATCCTCCAGAACCAGAGCCAGAACCAGAGCCAGAACCAGAGCCAGAACCAGAGCCAGAACCAGAGCCAGAACCAGAGCCAGAGTCAGAGCCGGAACTTGAAACAGATACGGAATTGGAGGGAGTACCGGGACTTTCAGGAGCGGCTACTATTGCAACAAGAGCACCTTGAAGAGAGTTTCCAGTAGTTGAGGAAGAAGAAGAATCTCCATTGCCAGCGGCAGCAGCAGCAGCACTTCCAGAAGAGCCAGAGCTGGAACCACCTAGTGAGTTTGATTTTGCTGAAGAGGAAGAGGAACCACCTGAGTTAGAAGCACTTGCAGAGCCACCTGCATTGATGACGACAGCTGGTTGAGGAGTTCTTGGTACTAGTGCTTGGAAGGGTTTAAAGTCAATGTATGTATTATCATCAGTTGTTGCTATAGGTGGAAGGTATGGGGTAGCGGGGGATGGGAGCAGAGAAACTTGGATAGAGGGATTAATTTTACCTCCGACTCTGACTGGGGTTGGAGAGAGATGTGAGAGCGGGAGGCCATTTGTAGAAGGAATGAATGAAGCAGGGAGGGCCCAGAGAAGAAGTAAGTTTTGGGAGAGTTTCATTTGGAAGAATAAAGAGAGTATATAAGGGGTGAATAAAGATGAGGGGAAAAAAAAAGATGAGGATAGTGAAGAAGGGAATGGAAAGAACTAAATGGGAATCATTTTGGGAGGAAATTGGGTTCTTTTATAGTTGAAGATGATAGATTCATTATTAGTTTGAGAAGGAAAAGAAAAAGAAAAAAAAAGAAAAAGAAAAAGAAGAAGAAGAAGAAGAAGAAGAAGAAGAAGAAGAAGAAGAAGAAGTTGATGAGATGAAAAAAAAGAGGGAAGAAGGAAATATAATTATTTTTTTAGATTAGATTAGAAACAAGCATATGTATAGGAAGGGTATTGTGCATTTTTTGGGAATGAAGGTTAAAAAAAAAGAGGAGCATATTGAGGTAAATTTGAATAAGACGAATAACGATTACGTTTTTAATTTAATTTAATTTAATTAGTCATTTATTTATTAAAAATTCAATGCAAGATACCAATAATGGAGGAATTTGGATGATGATTAAAAAAAATAAAAAAAAAACAAAAAAAGGCAAGAGTTGAAGATAAAATGAATTTGAAAAGAAGTTTCAATTCGATTTGAAGTTGAATTAATTAAAAAAAATTATTTATTTAATTTATTTCTTGAGATAAAGAGAATTATCATAATCATCATCATAACAATCTGCTATCTGCCATCTGCCATCTGGTTGCAGAGTTGCCATGAAAGTTTAAGTTTTGTAAATAAATTTTTATTCTTATTTTTTTATTTTTTTTTTGGCATTTGATCTTGAATTGTTTTTTTTTTTTTTTTTTTTTTTTTTTGAAAAAAAATTAAATAAAATGCTTGATTAAAGGAAATTGAATGGAAATATCGACTACTTAATTTTTTTTTTATTTTTGTTACTAAGATTTAAATTATAGATGATAACTTTTTGGTAGAGAAAAAGAACCGAGAGACTTGATTTGATTGATATTGGATACATTTACAATGTATTAGATTGGTATTATTATTTTTTTTTATTTTTATTTTTTTTTTTGGAAAAATGAAAGATCAAGATGACATGTTTAGAAAGAACTGATTGATTGAATAAAATAAGGTAAAATAATATTAAATGAAATGAAATGAAATGAAATTGACAATTAAACTTTTAGTTATTTTGGATTGGAAAGAAACCTTTTTAATTTTTTTTTAATTTTTTTTTTCAGTTTACTTTTTAGAGATCGAAGCAAGTTCCCGAAACGAGAAAAGTGCTTGAAATTTTTATTTTTAATTTTTTTTTGATTTAAAGGTGAACTTAACTTAACTTAACTTAACCTAACTTAACCTAACTTAACTTAACCTAACTTAACTTAACCTAACTTAACTTAACCTAACTTAACTTAACTTAACTTAACTTAACTTAAATTAACCTAACTTAACTTAACTTAACTTAATTACCCCAACTTGAATATATTATTCAACTTGTTATTATCAGATCTATTTATTACATAATATTTGATAAATCTTTATAGATAAAACATGTGATTTCAGCCGTACGCCCAGTTTTTTTTTTCTTTGTACACATTTGAAAATGGGCGGAGACCGAGAACGTGCAAAAAATAAAAAAACAAAAAAACTTCCAAAAAAAGTCCCGGAGTCCGAATATATATATTTATATATTTAAAATAAAGATCCGAATATCGGGTAGACACTGTGGCGAATTATATGTTTACCTTTGTGGCTGGAGAGATTCCATATTTGCGGTCTTTTTTTTTGTGGCTTGTGAATATATATATATATATATATATATATATATAGATATAAATATAGATATAGATATAATAATAAATATATTTGTGGCTTGAGAAAAAAAACTGTGGCTGGTGAAAATTTTATTAACTGTTTGTTTAACTGAATTTGACTGATTGTTTGACTGATTGTTTGACTGTGACTGACTGTTTGTTTGTTTGACTGTTTGGTATAAAATTTGGCTGCTTTCCGCCACCACAGACATTTTTTTTTTAAAAAAAATCATTACCACCACCACCACCCACTAATATTTATATTTAATTTTATTATTATTCTTATAAACAAAGACTTTCTTTTCTTTCTTTCTTTCTTCTAATATTTAACTAAAATAATCAATCAATCAATCAATCAATCAATCAATAAATAAATAAAAATGATATCATCACCTCTCTTATTAGAACCTTCAAGTCAAAGAACAAGATCTCTCAGTATCAGTCCATCAGTATCTCTACTAAACCCTGGGAATTTATTACTATCTCCACAAACTACTGCACAATCTGGTCACTCTTCGGTTTCCTCCGGAGCTCCAAGCACAGCCTCTGCTATTACTACTACTATTACCGATGACTTTGATATTACTCCATACTGTATAGGAACTCCTCATACCATTGGTACATCATCATCTGGAACTATCCAACTTCAAGTTTCACTCCAAGAAGAGGTCATCTACCTACCATGTCCAGAAGCAAATGGACCTTCTTCTTATCGTGAACACGATAATGGTATCACTGCAGACCCCTTTTCAAGCAACACTCCACCAGTCAATGACCCTCTCAATGAAAATTACTCACCTTCATCTTCTTTCACAAATACTCCTGATATGACAAGTAACGTTGTTGCTGCTGCTACCGCTGCTGCTGCTGCTGCTGCTGCTGCCGCCGCCACATCCTCAAATACCCCATCGTTAAATCCAGTAAACACTGCTTCAAGCCACAACAGCCACAATCCTTCAGACCACCACCACCATAATAACAACAACAATAACAACGACCATTCAGCCAGATCAAGATCATCTCATAGAACTTGGCTGGGAAGACGTCACCATGAAAGCCCATCAAGTAGTCCAAGTAGTAGAACTTCTTCTACAGATTCAAATACCCGAAGTCAAAGTCCTCCTCAAAGTACTGCTACTACTACTACTACTACTACTGCTGCTGCTGGTACTACACAACAACAACAACACCACACACACCCTAGCAGACACGTGACAAACCTCATCAACTCGGCTCTACCACCCGATTCGGGTCCCGGCGACATGCAGCCTGCCATCTTACGCGGGTCACTTGTCATGAAACTTTCCAAACCAACAAAAATCAAGGACATTTCTCTGCGTTTCTATGGCAAGTCCAAGTCTAACTGGCTGGAATCAAACTATTCTAAAGATCTTGGCGTCACCCTCCCACACGGCCCGGAGTTTCAAGACGAAGTATTGGTGAACTCGCACACGTGGGATTTTGTCCCTAATAATGCAGATGCAACCGCCCATCCATCTTCAATTGTTAATCTCGACGGCGTCTCTGTCGTCACTTCTGATTTGCTGGGTGCAGATGTTGCCTACATTCGGCCTGGAGCGTCTTCTTCTTCTTCTTCTGGTAATCTCTCACCTGGACTTAATTTTAAAACTCCTCTGCCCACCCCTGAGCCTTCAAATCGCAGACGCACCTCGGTCTCCAGTATGGATATCTTAAGTGATAATGATGGTGATTATGATGATGACGGGGATGATGAAGACATTTATAGCGCACCACATCACAATCATCACAATCATCACCATCATAATCATCATCATCATCACCAACATCACAACCAACGCAGATCTTCTGAACCACAACTCCTCTCCCTAAATCATGTCCCCTTTTTTACTCCCCTTTACTTTAACCCACCAAACTCAGGGAAACAATCAGATAATCAAGCACTACTTTCCCCATCATTTAATCCAGTCCACGGAACATCGGCAACTACATACCCTGCAGGCCAATATGTTTTCCACTTCACCTTAGCAATAGATCCACGCACTGCTGAAACCATCCGCTGTCCCAACGGGACAATCCGTTACTATCTTGTCGCCCGCATCAATCGCGCAAGCCGCTTTAGCTTTGCCACCACAGGTCACCGTGAAGTGACTCTTGTGCGCAGCCCCCCTGACTCTTTTGACTCCACAGTCGACTCTCCTATTGCCATCTCCCGTGACTGGGATAACCGACTGCACTATGAAATTATGTGCCCTAAAAAATACATTCCTCTTGGCACTTCCATACCCCTCTCCATTAAACTCACACCCATCGATAAAGTCCAAGTCCATAGAGTTAGAGTCCAAGTTATTGAGGTAGTCAACTACATTTGCGCAAAGTCAGACTTGCTCCAGCACGTGGAACCAATCCGTAAAGTCACACTATTTCAACAAAGAGCCCCCTCAACTGAACCTAAGGAACCTAAACCTTTGCAGCCAGTCACTTCCACGTCTTCCTCACTTGACAAGAATAAGAAAAAATCTAACTTGACTCCAGGTAACCTTCTCAACTACCTCAAAAGCCCCACTGCTAGTACAAGTACTAAACACGCTCCTTCCTCAACTAATACTAACAACCAATCAAACTCTCTCATCAACACTACATCCGACCTCAATAGTGACCTTGGAGAGCTCCTCTCAGCAACTACAGAAATCTCATGTACTCTTCCCTTTGTCTCCCGCGAAGACAACTGGGACTCAGTAGCTTCCCACCATTTCATCTCACCACCCCCAGACAGCAAGTACTTTCAGTTCTTGCGCCCAGATGCAATCCATAACCCCTTCATCCATGTCCGTCACCGTCTCCACGTCTCTTTTAGACTCTCCAAGAAAGACTCCCAGGACTCAAAGAGACGCTACTTTGAGGTTCTCATTGATACTCCCATCCACTTTTTGTCCAAGTACTGCAAGTCGGAAAGTATCGATCTGCCTTTATACGAAGAAGGAAACCAAATGACTCAGCAGCAACAGTTCCAGTACCACCAACAGCTCCTGCTCCAGTACCAAAATGAACTCCAACAATATTCCCATGGCACAGATGCAAGCTCTTCTGCTATTAATATCCCCCGCGCCTACGCTTCGGGCGAAATCGGGTCGCCTTTGGTTCGCGTGGTTTCTTCAGATACCTCCCACTCTCCAACCTATGAAGGGTTCAGCCAGTTTGACACTCCACCAACCCTCCCACCTTCCTTTGATGATGCTCTTGCCGACCCCCTATTGTCAGCTCCTGGGTCACCACTCCCACCAAATCGACAACAGCCTCTTACTATCACAGGTAGCCCTCTAAGCAGCTCCCCTAGCTCAGATACTGGCACTATCCGCTCGGTCCCTCCGTTATCAAACGAAAGCAGAGCGTCGCTTGCATCTTCAGTAGTTCCAACAGAGCCTCGCGCAATAACGCCTCCAGGAGCGACAGCTGCACCAACACAGACGCTGTCTGCTGCTGCTGCTGCTGCTGCTGCTCCTCCGCCAAACTATGCAGACATTATGCGCGAAACTGTGCCGCTGCTACGTGAAAACTCAAACTCAAGTGGACTCAGCGGGGGGAGCAGCGCCATGAGCAGCTTTAACCTGGCAGGACCTCCTTCTCCCAATGTCATTGCTCCCATCTGTGATTCCCCTGCACCTTCAATCTTGTCAACAGTCAGCGCGGGCGTTGGCATTGGTATTCGGGCCCCCGTTCCTAACGCTGCAGTCTCTGCAACTCCTCTCTACGTCCACAACAATCTCAGTACCAATGGAAGCAGACTTCAAGTACACTCTAATTACTTTGGCCGGAACGGACTCCTGAGCACGCGTGGCGAGGACTACACTGAAAGCGTGCAAGATAGCGATGATGCTGAACGGCAATTGTTTATGGAATCGATGCAATCCTCGAGGTTCAACACCCCAGGGTTTTAATGTGTATTATTAACTTTTTTTTTTTTGTATATGTACCTTGTTTTGTTTAATAGTTTTTTTTGATTATTTTTTTGTTCTTTTTTGAATGACTTTAAAAAGAATATCCCTTAAGCTTTGCCCAAAAGAAAATAACCACAAGAGAAACGGCGGCATATGCCCAATGCATGATGATAAACATCCAGACCCAAATAGTTCCGAGCGGCGGTGCACGTTTCATGACAAAGTAATATCCCTCTTCGTTTGCAATGTATACTAGATAAGACCCGATTCCAACAGATGCGAAAAAACTAAGCCATCGGAATAAGCGGGTATCTTTCCATGGTTCACAAAATAAATGTAACATCAAAAGCACAGGTGCTGCCATGCCTGCCCGTTGAAGAATCTCAATCTGAGCAGCCACATTTTCAAACGTCACATCTTGAGCATACTGAACATTGACTAGAATATCGAAAATGATGTGTGCGGAAAGAAGTGGAATTAATAATTGGGTATACTCCAAAATTGCAAAAAACATCTTGCCTTCTTCTTCTCCCTCTTCGTCTTCTTCGTCTTCTGATTCTTTAACTTTCTTAGATGAAGGTCGTATTATTCGCCGCCGCTTGATAATTGTTCCATCTGCTTGCCGAATCTCTTCTTCTTCGTATTCTTCTTCAAACATCTCTTCACCATCATCCTCATCTCTCAGAACTGTTTTCTGTTTAACCGCTGCTGTATGACGTCCTCCACGATATCTACTTGGAACTTTTCCCAGTTTCTCCTTCTCCTTCTCTTTCTCTTTCTCTTTCTCTTTCTCTTTCTCTTTCTCTTTCTCTTTCTGTTTCCCACTGTACGTCGTTGTTGCCAAGTTCCGACCCTTACTCTTTCCTGAACGGTTCCCCAACTCGTGCTCCCGACGTGACGCTTCCCGCTGCAAATGCTCAATTTGCTGAACTAGCGGTATCCCTGGCAGATCAGCAATCCCGGTATATGTACGAAAGTCTTGGAGAGAGTCAAGTTCCTCAATTTTAGGGTGTGGTGGCGGAGTAGCTTTGGTTGATTTGGGTGGCATTTTTTTCTAGTAGTAACGTGGATGATCTGTGTATGTGTATGTGTATGTGGAAATTTATGGATTTACAAGGAAAAGTTTTGGTTGGGAGATTTTCTCATAGTGGCACTAAAAAAAAAAAAAAAAAAAAAAAAATAATTTTAAGAGAACTAAAAGAGTGGCTCATAATAAATCACGTGACATAAATATATTTTTTGTTTCAAACCTTCAAAAAAAGAAATTCAAATTCAAATCATCAAAATATTCAACTTTTTTTTTTTTTTTTTTTTTAAATCTTTTGAATATTCAGATTATTCCAAATATTTTAAATATATTTAAATTTATTTAAATCTTTCATATATTAAATATTCATTACACCTTAGGGATTTTTCACTAACAAAAAGTGACTCCCACCATACAAAATCAAATTTTTACTCTGGAAGTTTGTGGGATGAGGTAATTTATAGTACGCAAGGTGGGGTACCAAATTAGATAATACGGAAATCTAAGCATCTATTTAAAACTATACATGGGAAAATAAATATTTGGATGCAATTATTTTAGTCTTATTCTTCCATGTAAAAATAATTATTTATAAAGCTCTTGACGTGGAAAATTAAGCACCTACTAGAAATACATTACGGTAAACTAAACATTTCATCTGGTAGAATTAAAAGGTTTTCATGTTTTTTTTTTACCACGTCCATTTTCTCACTCTTTTTCATTAAAAATTAAAAAAATTAAAAAAATTAAAAAAAATTAAAAAAATTAAAAAAATTAAAAAAATTAAAAAAAATTAAAAAAATTAAAAAAATTAAAAAAATTAAAAAAATTAAAAAAATTAAAAAAAATTAAAATAATTAAAAAAAATTAAAAAAAAATTATTTTTTTTTCAACACTGATATTTCCCAACACACTAACTAATTAATTATAATATATCTCTATCTATTTTTTTTTATTTTTCAACACAAATAATTCACAGCACACTCTCATTTATTTTTATTTTTTATTTCAACATATATATATTCTATTATACATAAAATGATGTGACTAAAATCGTAGTACTATCCTATAGTTTTTAAAGACGCTTCCATTTTTTTTTTTGTCAAAGATGAAAAACTAATCTAACGCTTCTTCTGTTTCTTTTAGAACCTGATGAATTTTTTCGCAGAATAATTTGGACTAATATGCCTGGTTCTCTGGTGCTAAGTATATCTCTAGCACCTACTATTATCAGGGCCATAGTAAGATCCATTGGAGCACATCAAAAAAATATATATATAACAGTTGCAAGCAAGCAACTCTAATGCATTGCCCAAAAATCTCATCATGATGAAATTGATCATGTTCTTGTCAAACAAATATTCGTACTATCTGTTGGGGTTTTCAAATTTATTTTATATTTATTTATTTTTTGTTTATTTTTATATTTATTTCTTTATTTATATTTATTTTGTATTTATTTTATATCTATTTTATATCTATTTTATTTTTATTTTTATTTATTTATTTATATCTATTTTATATTTATTTCTTTATTTCTTTATTTCTTTATTTATATCTATTTTATATTTATTTTATATTTATTTTATATTTATTTTATATTTATTTTATATTTATTTTTATTTATTTTATATCTATTTTATATTTATTTTTATTTATTTCTTTATTTTTTTATTTATTTCTTTATTTCTTTATTTTTTTATTTATTTTGTTATTTATCTTTATTTATCTTTATTTATATTTTATTTTTATTTTATATATAGATATATAGATATAAAATAGATATAAAATAGATATAAAATAAAAATAAAATATAAATAAAGATAAATAAAGATATATATCTATTTTATATCTATTTTATATCTATTTTATATTTATTTTTATTTATTTATTTATATCTATTTTATATTTATTTTATATTTATCTTTATTTATTTTTATTTTATTTTTATATCTATTTTATATTTATTTTATATATATTTTATTTATATATTATATTTATTTTATATTTATTTATTTATATCTATTTTATATTTATTTTTATTTCTTTATTTATTTCTTTATTTATATCTATTTTATATTTATTTTCATTTATTTTATATTTATTTTTATTTATTTTTATTTATTTTTATTTATTTTATATCTATTTTATATTTATTTTTATTTTGTATTTATTTCTTTATTATTTTTATTTTATATATATTTTATATCTATTTTATATCTATTTTATATCTATTTTATATCTATTTTATATCTATTTTATATATATTTTATATTTATTTTTATTTATTTTATATCTATTTTTCATTTATTTTATATCTAAATTTTTATCTAAATTTTTATTATGTCTTACTAGTAATATTTCCTCTATCTTTTTTTTTTAAAAGATAATATCCCATATCCAAACCACAAGTTCTTTATTAATCATTTTCCTCCAATTCACAAGCACATACCACATAAATAAAATACATCATGATGTAATTTACATCTGACAAAGATGGCCCAAATATAGAATCTGAATTTCCATACGTTGACTGCTCCTTTAAGTCCGTGTCCAAGTACTAAATAAATTCCGTGGCATTATTACTAGAAAATAGATAAGTATATATATAAAATATATAATATGGACAATTGGTTTTGTCAACAGCTTCAGTAGGACTAAGTTTTGTTGAGCCTTAATCAATCATTATGTAACCATAAGTTTATATGTTGATTGGAGTGTGTTATAGGGTAGATCTTTTATCTTTTATTTATTGTTAATATGATGAATATATATATATATAGATATAGATATAAAAAATTAAATTGATTGTTAAGTTGGAAATAATAGATGAAATAATATTTTAATTTCTAGTTTCTTACAACAAAATAGACATATTTAAACTATTTATCAAACATAACAATAAGATATTTCCATAAGAACAATGATTACTAATATAACAAAATTATGATAGAGCCAATTAGACTTAAAGTACATTTTTACCACAGTGCATATTTCTTTCCTCAGCCAATAAGAATTCTCTTTAGATTAAATCTTTAAAAAAAAAGTATAAAAAAAGCTGCTCTTCACCTTTTTCTTTTCTTTCTACACATCACTTTTTTTTTTTTTTTCTAATACAATTCGCCTTATAAGATATGGAAATTTCAGAAGTTTAAAGTACTATAAATCTTTTTTTTTTTTTTTTTTTTCAGAAAAGGTCATAATATTAACAACTTAAAATAGTTTTACAACTATGAAGATGGCTCACTTGCTGGCGACAAACGATTTTGACGCGTTGATACTTGGAGGAAAGAACGATGATGCTCACTTGACGAATAAGTTTGATGCATTGATACTTAGAAAAAAGAAAGATGATGCTCACTTAAACAAGTTGACGCGTTGATACTTAGAAGAATAACCGATGATGCTCACTTAAACAAGTTGACGCGTTGATACTGAGAAGAACCGACGATGACGCTCGCTTTATGAACAAGTTGACGCGTTGATACTGAGAAGAATAAACGATGATGCTCACTTGACGAACAAGCTTGACGCACTGCTACAAAGAAGGAGGAACACTTGTATTAGCTATATATTATTCTGTAAATTATAATTCAATTTAAGGTTTTTTTTCGAAAAATTTCAAAAATTTCAAATTTAATATGTGGTAAAATATCATTCAAAATTTTGCTTAATTTTCCGCGTCAAAATTTAAAAATTACCACGAAAAGGACCTTATATGCCATGTGTGAGTGATTATTTTACCGTGTAGATGTGTCGTCTTTACCATCTTAGAAATATAAAAATTAATTATTTTTACACGTGAGTGTGTGAGGTTTTCCATTAAAAATAAAAAAAAAAATTTAAGTTACCATCCTAAAAATGGAATAAGAATGGTCGTTTGGTGTACAAAAAAAAATGTTTACCACGTTAAGTGTTCTGGTTTACCACCATTTTACTATGGGAAAAAAAGGGAAAAATCCCTAAGGTGTTATTAAGTTTAAAATACAATAAATACACATTAAAATTCCTTCTAATTATCAATCTCAAACTACCATCAACATACAAAATACAACAACCCCCCATCCAACAACACTCCGTTCTAACAAAATACCACTGTTCACCGCAACAGGCTGCAACTGTGAAGACCCCTCACAAAGAGTCCCATTAATCCATCCACACATATTGCTACTGGCTGTCACTTGCACTAATGATCCGGAAGTGCTTGCCGCCGCCACCGATGATGACAGCGTAGTATGAACCTGTCTATTTGTTGTTTCGCTCTCAGAGGATTCTCCCAGAGACCCAATCACCGCTGTTGCCGTCACAAGCTGTCCGTTCGATGTTGTAGTCCCGTACCCTGCAATGGTATTAATATCCCCTCCTAAACTGCTACCTACTGTAGTCAGCCCAACTGCAGAAGTAACGCCAGGGAGCGGCGTGCTAGGAATCACAACACCAGGTAGCGTCTGTACCGTGGCTGCTTCGGTCCCCCCAGCAGCCACATACAGGTTCTCAAGGCTCACCGATGGCACCTCTGGAACGTTAATACCTCCTGAAGCATTTCCAGAACCTGAAACAATGGCTGCAGATGATGTTGTGGTCGTCAGTTGCCGTTGTGCAAGCGCCGTCGGCTCGTCGCCGCTGTCATTAAAAGTTGTACTAGACTCCGTGCTCGTGCTTGTACCCTGTGCACTTGCCTCAGCACCTCCTCCCACAGTTCCGGAAACCCCTCCCGCTACTGTTCCTGAAGTTCCCAGCCCTGCTGCACCTGAAATCCCGACACCAGCAGCACCTGAGATCCCCACCCCGGGAGTCCCTCCGTCGCTGGACTCGCCCGTGGAAGTTGTGACTTCAGCTGCTGCGGTTTGCGTGCTGGTTGACGAATTAGTGGCAGCAGCTGCTAGTGTTGTCGACGAAGATGTGGCTGTGGAACTACCCTGTGCACTCACTTCAGCATTTCCACCAACCGTACCAGATACTCCACCGCTGATGGTTGCCGCGGTTCCAATACCCGCGGTTCCGGACGTCCCAATGGCCGCTGTGCCGGCTGCTCCAACAGCGTTTGTTCCGCTGGTAGTGGTTGCGGGAGCCGCGGTAGAAGTTATTAGAGAGGATGAAGATGTGGTTGGCGTAGAGTTGGTTGTGGCTGAGACATTTATAGCAGATATAGCTGTTGTGGCGCCACCACTGCCAGTGATTGGTGTGGTGGACTGGCTTGCTGTTGAAATGACGGCAGCAGAAGACGCAGCAGGTGCTGAGCTTGTGGATGTTGTTGACGTGCTAAACGTTGTTGATGAGACTGGTGCAACCGAGGTAGTGCTGGAAGTCGAGACGGTGGCTGAGGGTGACGAGGTTGTTGTTGTTGAAGAGACTGCGATTGAAGTCGATACAACCGCAGGTGAGCTTGAAGAAAAAGATCTACTTGTTGATGCCATTGTGTAAGGCGTGCTTGGAATGCTGGTCTTCACCGCCCCCCCTGAGCTTTCTGCTGTTGTTTCAATGCCAGTGATGGATTGTACGTTGGACGAGTAAGTCACGGCAGGCTTGTTGGAGGATACTTGTTGCGTTTCGCAGTCAGCACCTTGAACACAAGTTTCTGTGGGACTCAGGGAAACTCCCACACAACCAGTCCCAGATGTACAGCTTTGGATCTCAACAGCAAAGGACGAGGATGCCGTGGTGGTGGTTGTAGAAGTGGACGGTGCTACTGCAGAGGTAGCTGTAACGTCAATAGGGCCGGTAGTGATTACAGAGGATGCAGATCCGACCGGCAAAATAGACACCAAACCAGAGGATACTGTGTTACTGGACGTTGTTCCAGGTGCCGAAGCAGATGCTGTAGCCTGTGAACCAGAAGCGGTAGCTGTGGCTACAGAACCGGTCCCGGCAGAGCTTGGAACAGACACAGAAGGGGTTGCACTAGTACCAGCTGCAGACCCTGTGGCAACACCTCCTGCACTTGAGGCAGAAGCAATAGCCACGGTTCCAGTCGCCGATGTTCCGGTAGCTACAGCAGCTGGAGTTGATGATGATGATGAGGTTCCTATAGAGGAGGTAGAAGAACCGGCTGTAACAGTACCTGGAGCAAAAGCAGACGCAGATGCAACGGTGCCTGAAGCAGTTGCGGAGGCTGTGGATCCTGTAGCAGCAGCATTTGGAACAGAAACAGAGACACTGGCACCAGTGCCTGCTGCAGAACCTATAGCCACACCTCCCGCACTAGAAGCTGAAGCCGTGGCCACGGTTCCTGCAGCTGTTGTTCCAGTAGCCACGACGGCAGTAGTTGAGCTAATTGCACCGGTCTTCACGGTAGCCGTTCCTTCAGGAGCAGTACCACTAGGGTTAGTGCCAGAAGGATTGGTGCCAGAAGGATTGGTGCCAACAGGATTGGTACCGATGGGGTTGGTGCCGGCTGCAGCAGTTGCCGCAGAAGTAGTGCTATAGGCTATTGTAGGAGCAAAAGAGATTTCACCAGAAGTTGCCACCGCACTTCCTGTAGCAGTTGTGCTGTGACTTGTTGCTGAAGTGCCGGCACTCTTGGGTTGACAAGACCCAGGACATCTGTACACCGTAGTTGTGGACTTGTACCCGCTACTAGTACTTTGGCTTTGTGGGCTGGATGAGCCGCTAATCTGCGCTGTGGTGCTTGTATTCCCAAAACTCCTAGAAGAAGAGAAAGAATTTCTAGGGGCAGCAGATAATGAAAATGCTGTGGACGAGAGACTTGTTTGTACCGTGGTGGGCTGGGCCACTGTTGTTCGGGAGGCTGAGCTTAAAGTCGTTGCTGTATTCACAGAACCACCAGTATTAATTGCACCTACGGAACTTCCAGCAGCTGATGTTTCCTGACATACATGACAAGACTGGGAGCTTTGAGTTGCAATTCCCGAATCCACCCAAGTTGTTGTGTATGAAGACTGTGTGGTGTAAGATTCGGTATAAGTATTGCTGTGAGTACTTGTTGTTGTATAACTTGTGGTAAAACTGTTTACCACAGAAACTGCAGATGTGCTAGTCGTGCCTGTACTGAAGCTTGTACTACTTCCTGGGGCAATCGAACTACTGATTGACGAACTGGATTCAACAGGCGAATATGTAGTTGTGGTTGTGACTGTTCTTCGACCACTACTAGATTGTACTAAAACACTTGTAGGTGAAGGAGTGGACGCTGTAAATGTTGTTGTTGAAGTTCTCGTTTGGCCACCAGCATTACTCGTCGACCCACCCACAGAACTTGTTACAGCAAGAGGATTCGAAAAAGTAGTTGTGGTTGTGCTTGTTGTCCCGGCCAATCTCACAGAACTTGTGCTTGTTGTCGCTGGTGGTGCAGAAAAGGTGGTGGTAGTAGTACTTGTTTTCCCGGCCAAACTCACAGAACTTGTACTTGTTGTAGCAGGAGCTTCAGAAAAAGTGGTCGTAGTTGTGCTTGTTTTTTGACTCGCGACAGCTGAAACAGTTGCAAAAGTAGCGGCCAAAGTTTGAGCCGGTGTTGAAGTTTCACTCTCTAACGCACTTGCTACAACAGCAACACCTGTCACCGCCCCATTAGACCCGGATGCAGTCACTGTAGCCGAAGAACTTGTACCAAGGCCTGCACTAACTGAGATGCTTGTTCCAGTAGCAACAGCATTACCAGTAGATGTTGTTGATGTAAGAGCTGTTGCCATTTCAACAGTAGAAATTGGTGCAGTTGAAAAGGATGAGCTTACTGCCACAGATGTAGATGTACTAGAGCTTGCAACTGGAGTCCCGTTTGTGAGACTAGTTGAAGTGGAGCTAAAAAAAACTGACGTACCGAGACCAGCAGCGGCAGTCGCACTTGATGATACGCTTGTTCCAGGACCTGCTGTCACTGAGACATCGGCTTCCAAGCTTTCAGTTTTATCAGATTCCTGAGCTATACCGTCTTCACTAGCTTTTAACGAAACAGAAGTCCCTGATGTGCTGAAAGAAACTCCACCAACACCGTTTCCTGCAGAAACGCTAGCTTTGGCTTCAGTTGCAAGTGCCAGGAAATTGGCCCCAACTAAATCATTGCCGTAACTAACAGAAGACTCCAATACAGGGAACACAGAGCTAATGGTTGTAAGAATGGCTTTACCGTCACTGATTGTGGCAATAGTTGCAGGTGAAGAATTTAAAACTTGAGCAGCAGCACTGTTTGAAACTGGCTGAACAGTTGCTGCTACAGCCAAGGGAGCAGCCTCAAACGTTTGGACAGAGGTATCTGCTGAGGCCGAAGAGGTTCCAATATTGGCAAAAACATTGGCAAGACCCAAGTTGAGACCATAGTTTGAGGGAATACTTAGTGTATTTACCCTTTGTACTGAGCCGCCATTTGATGAGCCTGCTGCAGAAACGCTAATAGAAATTCCATCTTGAGCAGTGTCCTGCAAGTCTCTTGCATGGATCCGGGGGTTGTTTACAATTTTTGCCAGTGAAATCACTTTTTTTTCATAGTCAAAAAAAGTGTAAACATGTTGAAGAAACGGCTGCCCCAATGTAGCACTTTCATCAGGAGGTGCTTGACGGACCAGTGAGATACATGTATTCATGTATCCTTCCAAAGGTTGCTGCAAACTTGTCAGGGGGATTTCCAGACCAAACTTTGAGAATTTGATATTCAGAGAACCAGAAGAGCGGCAAGGCCCTACGTAACCATTATAAATGCTGCTGTAGTAGAATTCAGCATTTTTGTGAAAGGTCTGAAACAAAGCTGGAGGGAGATAAATGTGTTTTTCACTTGGATTAAGAAAAGCAAGAACAGGATGAGTAAGGATTTGAACACTAGGCTTTTCAGCAAACCACAAATCAATAGAGTGCAAATAAATTTCTGGCCGTGAACCGCTCGTCACAATGATGTGGGGGACCAAATCACCAGTGAACTTATCAGCTTCTACTCGACCCAAGGTCAGTTGTCCCAAAAGAGTGACTGTACTGATCCAAAAGGCAAATGATTTTGCAGCAATAACTCCATTTTTTAACAGTTGTTCCAGTAGACTGTTGTTTATATTTTCCGTTGACAGCCCCAGTCCAAAAATACCTTTTCAATGTTAAATGTTTATGAATTTTTTTTATTTTTTTTATTTTTTCATTTAATCAGGTTTTTACTTACCATCTTTCGAAAAAATACTGTCTCTTACTGATAACATGGAAGAATGAGTTTGGTGGAATACATCTGTTTGCTCCGGTAAAACACATCTAAATGAAATACCAAGGGAATTCCTTTGTGAGGTTGAGCAGAACTCATGAAAAGTGTTGAGGATGTACACTTGGGCACTGAAAAAGGTTAAGAGAAAACTAGTTTTTTCAAATTCACTGTGTTCAAGATTTATTGAAAAGTCGGTCAGGTCGACTGTTAGAGGTTTTGCCCAAAAATTCAAGTCATTGGACTGCTCTATCTTTTTATCAAGTGCATTTTTTTGAATCACAATGTGATTTTCAAGTGTAAGGCAGGATAAAGGTGCTATTATAGCAATTAAAAATGAGGAAAACTTCATTATGAAGGAATTAACAAGAATTTTTCATTATTTTTAAAATAAATAAAACGAGGAAACCTGTTTTTATTTATAACAAAAAAATATTCTACTAAATTTCTATTCTTTTAAAAGTCTCTTTCAATCAATGTTTTTCTACTTAAAACTATAGTCAATGTTTATAAAAACAGTGACAAAATTTTTAAACGCCCATAAAACTTTTTGAAAATTTATGAGTAACGAGTTTTTTATCCATAATATTTTGATAATAAATGTTTAACACCGATTTCCAAGGACAAAACCCGGGTTCTTTTTTTCCCATTAAAATTTCCTAACGAATGAGCTCGAATGATACTTGGTATTTAGAGGTTTTAAATATAAGGCAATTTTTTTTATTTCTAAACAAAGTTTGGAAAGCCGTCAAATGTAGGTACAAACTCTTTTATCAAAGACATTTGGATTGAGTTTGAAAAGAAAGTGTGGATACTGACTGATTCACTTAGGCAATGAGTTTCAACTTAAACAAAATAAATAAAAAACCTCAACATGGTCGACATTTACAATTGTTATATTTAGATGAATATTTCGCTTCAAAAAAAAATTGGAATGTGTTATTGAGTAATTATGAGATCGAAGTACTTTGATAATAGTGTCATTCAGGCTCATATTTTGATCAATTTTGTTTTAAATGTAAAAAATTTAAAAATTTAAATGGTTCTAGAATTTTTCTTGGGTTCGTTACAGATGTTAAGCAAAATACCCACTTTGGTGTTTGACATTTAATGGATGTTAAAAAAAAAAGTTAATTTATTGATGAAAAATCCCCTTATTTCAATCTGTTTTTTGTTTCTAAAATTTTGACTCTCTTAAATTGAATTTCATAAGGAAAAGGAAAAAAAAATATTAAGATAAAATTTGAACATGTACAAAAGAAAACTGGTTTTAAAATTATGATTTTGCCAAAATTTTGGTTGCGGTTTAGGTAGCCAGCTCCATAAAAACTTCTAAATCGGTTCATCCAAAAATGAAAAAAAAAAACTTCACAATCGTATCTGTCATTAAATGTATAAGAAAATTGAAGTTGAGTACAAACGAAGTCTGGTAAGTGTTTGAAAGGCCAGGGCTGTTCTCGATTTTTTTTTCTTTAAAATTATGGTGCCATAATTGATACCATTGATAAAAACCAGCAAGTGATGATTTTAATCTTTATTTTCAACTTTTTTTTATTATTCCGCTTTTATTTAAAGAACATTAATCCGTCAATACTTATGTGTAGAATTTTATATATTACTTGAAAAAAGGGTTGTAAGCTGAACATTAATAATTTTATACAATTAAAAACAATTTTAAAATTTTAACATTTTAAAATCTAAATGTTTTAATGTTTAAATTCTTATTTTTTTTTAATAAGATGATCCTTTCCCCTAAAGTATATTTAAGATCTGAGTAGATTTTACACCTTGGAAACCTAATTATTTTTTTTTTGGTTTTTCAAATTGACACCCGTTCAAGGCATTAGCCCTCTCAAACAATAGAGTAACATTTAATACTATTTCCGAATCTAAAAATATCAATTGTAACCAACTCAGTTTCTTTAGTAAAAGAAAATAACTATGCCGTCTTGACTAAGCTCAGTGATGATTGACTTTCATGTTTACAAACTAACAAAAGCTTGGTTGTATTATAATCAATAAGTTGATGAATATTACTTTTATAATGCGAAATTTATTTGATTAAACGAATTTCAGGCTCATTTTGAGTCCGCAAGAGCTGGAACTGTAGACATCTTCTTTAGACTAAAAGAATTTTAATTGTGGTCAGTTTTTTAAAGTACTTTATTTAAAATTTCATATATAAAACTCCTTAATATAATTAAAAAATAAAGATCCTGATTATCTTTAGGTACAATTTCGTTCAGTCTTTTTCTTATTTCTATGGAATCAACGGAATATTCAATGTAATTTCATCATTTCATTATTCTATTATTTGTACTTAAATTTAGCAAATATATATCCTCTATTGGTTTACCCATTGTAAAAAATTTAAGAAAACTTTTTTTAATATTCCATTATCAAAATCATAGTTATATTTCTAAGGTATCTTAACAAACTTAATCTATTTCTCCGCTGTGTCTTTTTGTTGAATATTGGTTGAATTCAAATTCTTTTAGGGCTGACTGAAATTTGAGATAAGCCTTAAATGCATTTGTCTGTTACAATCTTTTGTTATTACATAATAATAAACATTTTTGTTTATACATGAATTACTAATGATTACATAATAACACAAGGAACTATCCACGTACACAGTAAAACAAAAAACGCGGATTAGCTTTGGAAAGATTCAATGCCACACTGCAATTTTCATCAGCCCTCCTACAATTGAAAGTCGTGGACAGCAACTCTTTGATTTTATTTATTTCAAAATAACCGACATTATAAATTGAAACAAACCGTTCGGTCTATTATAATTAATTGAACGAGAAATGTCTTCTGTATATATTTCTTCCGACCCCAGTCTTCGAGACAAGCAAATTGGTATGTGTTTTTTTGCCCATGAAAAATAAATTGAGATTTTTCTAACTTGTCATTTTTTTTTTCAGCTGTTCTCGAACGCATGCTTAATCTCAATAAAGATAAAGTTGACGAAGTCACAAATGCTATAGAAAAGGTCGGTTCTGAAGGATTGAATGCTGTTAAAGCTCTCGAATCTCTTAAGAGCAATTCTCAGACACAATGGAAGGTTCTTGTTTTTGATTCATTTGGCCGTGATGTCATTTCTAGTGTTCTTCGCGTCAATGATCTGTTTAAGGTATGTTTATTTTATTTTTAAAAAATACTATTTATTTTTTTTATTAACAATGTTTGTTTTTTTTTTCAAGAGTGGAATCACAGTTCACATGCTATTGAATGCTGACAGATACCCAATCCCTGACGTCCCAGCAGTTTACTTTGTTCAGCCTACACAAGAAAATATCCAGCTAATTGCCAATGATCTCTCCAAAAACCTTTACGAATCTGTTTACATTAACTTCACATCTCCTCTTCCTCGCACTCTTTTAGAGGATTTAGCATCACGAACTATTAACACGTCATCCGCAATTTCTCAAGTATACGACCAGTATCTTAACTTTATTGTCTCCGAGCCTAACATCTATTCTCTCGGTTTACCAAATGTTTACTCGACTATTGCCAACCCCAAAGTCAAGGAAGAGGAAATTGAGTCTATTGTTAACAGCATTGTAACTGGTCTTTTCAGTGTCGTTCTGACTTCAGGGACAATCCCAATCATTCGCGCAACACGCGGCAATGCTGCTGAAATGGTGGCCCAGAAACTAGACGAAAAGCTTAGAAACCATGTTCTCAACTCGCGAAACCAATTAAACAATACCTCTTTATCCTCAACTCAGCAACCTGTTCTCATCATCTTGGACAGAAATATCGATTTGGTTTCGATGCTTACCCATTCATGGACATACCAGTGCTTAGTCAATGATGTTATGAACTTTAGCAAGAATAGAATTACAGTCGAGACTCAAGAGGGTGAAAAAGTAACCAAGAGATCTTACGACCTGGACCCCAAGGATTTCTTTTGGGCCAAAAACTCTAACCTTCCCTTTCCTGAAGTGGCTGACAACTTAGATGCCGAACTCAACAAATACAAGGCTGATGCCAAGGAACTCACAGGCCAAACAGGCATTTCAGATATCAACGATATTTCCCAAATGAATCCTTCAACCAATGCTCAACATTTGAAAGCTGCCATTACGGCTCTTCCAGAGCTTACTGCTAGAAAGCAAACAATCGATATGCATATGAACATTGCAACTGCGCTGCTGAAGGCCATCGGTACTAGAGGTCTTGCGCAGTTGTTTGAAGCTGAAGAAAATTCTACTAAGCTTACCAAATCTGAGGTTTTGGAAAACATCAAAAATACCGAGTTTAAAGAGCCTGCTGACAAGCTTAGAATGTTTTTGATTTTCTATATCCTTTCATCTAACATTTCCAGCTCTGATATGTCTGAATACGAATCTGCTTTAACATCTCAAGGATGTGATCTGGCCCCCCTTACTTATGTCAAACGCGTCAAGGAAATCACCAAGATGAGCATTATGAGCAACAGCAGTAGTGCTTCCCAATCACAATCCACCAGTGGTAGCTTATTTAAGGGTTTCGGTGGATTCACCAGCAAGCTCACTGAAAGTCTTAAAGACGGTACTCTTTCTGAAGGGTTTGGCAATCTTATTTCCAACGTCAAGAACCTTCTTCCCCAGTCTAAAGATTTGCCTATTACCAAGATTGTGGAATCGATAATGGACCCTTCAACCTCATCCAACTCTGCGACTGATGATTATCTTTACTTTGATCCTCGCGCTGTCAGAGGCCCTCTTGCCCGCCCTCCACGGAAAAACGCCTATGACGAGGCCATCATCTTCACCGTTGGTGGTGGCACCTATATGGAATACGGAAATCTTCAAGATTGGGTCGCCCGGTCCAATGGTATGAAGAGAGTCTCATATGGAAGCACAGATATTTGCAGTCCTTCGTCATTCTTACAAGAGTTGGCTCAGCTTGGCCATGAATAAATGTAAACGTGGTAGTACTTTGAAGAAAAAAAGAAAAGCAAGGTTATTAACACTTAATTGTACTTGGAAGATGTGTATAAAAATTTAATTATCTAAAGGTCTGAAAGGTGCTTATTGTATTGAAATCGATAAACTGATTCACATAGGAGTATACTGTTTTTTAAGGCGACAGCGTAAAGTTTATGAAGTTTTGAATTGGGGTAGTAAACAATAATCAAGGAAAAAACAACATTGCTGTTTGTTATAGTATCTTGCCACTCAGTATCATCAATAACTTCTCTGATACCGATAATACTAGTGGTGAATGCTTTATCGTAGTAAAAGTTGATAAATGGTAAAACACGGTCCACAAACATTTCTCCAATGTGCTGTGTTAAAACATTATGATTGCGTCCGCCGTCTTGAATTTCAAAGTTATCAATTAGAATAACAGGTTCTAAATAAGTTAATATGGGTAAAGTAAGTGTGAAAAAAAAAGAAAAAATCAACAATTTGTAATACTCCAAAAAAGCTTATGAGCAACGTTGGGGAGGACTCCAGGGAACCTGCCAAATCGAATTAAACCATTGGTATATACATTTTTATCAATTCTCTTAGAGTAAGTTGCTTGGGCTTTAAGATAAAAGTCTTGAGAATAATCTGGATCGTTCAGTTTATAGTACAAAGGGACAAGATCTTGTGAAACTGAGAAAAGAGGTCTGATTTCTGGTAAAGAGGGTGTTGGACTGTTTGCTGATTTTTTTGATGTTGAATCACGAGCTTTGTGAGGCATCTTATGCTTGAAAGGTTTGTTTTGTGTCAGGAAAGTGAAATGTGAAAAAAAGAAAGATCAGTTTTGGTCACCACAATATTGGTGATGTACTTCAATCTCACTGTAGCAGATGGCTTTCCTTTTTCATGAACATCCTAAACAGGAAATTAATCACAAGACATTTTTTATATATATCAGTCTTCATTATAATGACTAACTATAGTTTATTTCAACCAGGTTTATTGTGATAGTGAAACCAGTTTCTCCAAGTATTTTCAATTTAATCATCAAGGAAACTAGTAGAATTCTACCACCAGAGCAAGCAACTGGAATTAGAAATTTAAATTCTCTTATGTAATACCAAAAATTTTTTCATTCAAAATATTCCATCTTTGTAAGGAACTTTTTTTTTCTGGTGGCGAAGGGCTTATGATGTCACTGAGCTGATTTATGATTTGCCAAAAACACCCCGCACTGGTGAAAAATTAATCGGGTGGAATACAACAACCCCACACGTTAGAGGCGATGCCGTATGAATTCTTGGTTTGGTTTGGGTCTCTGCATAACAAGAGGGAAAATCTAGTTTTTAGTCCCAAAATTTCATGTTTACAAAGCCAAGATCCTTTCATTTTTTCCAGTACTAATATTCCGGAACAGGAAGTCTTTAAAGCGTTATCAAATTGTTCTAATTGATCCAAACTAAAAGAAAAAAAATGGGGAAATATATGTTCATATATATTAAAACAATCATAACTAATATATATGAACAGAAAATATGATTCCATTGTAACGCCTTTTGTTGCTTCGAGTTTGAGTGGGGTCGCAAGCAAAGTACGAGTATTCAAAAAAACATTTATTCCTCTCTTTCTTTTTTCTTTACAAACGAGGGTACACAAGGTTTGTATACAGGATGACATGCCCATCCATTCTCATGACCGGAAAAAGTTTAAAAACGAAAGTTGTTGCCGTCGAGAGTTTGAAAGTAGTTGATGGAGTTGACTATACCAGTTAAAAGGGTCTTTTTTTTTCTCGCTTTGATGTAAATTTATTTTTACGAAAAAACTGAAAAATTTTTATACTGAGTTAGTTTCCACATAAGGCTACAACCTAATGTTTACACTCAAAAGTTTTAAGTACGAAGATTTAAGTATTTTGAAGTATTTTTTCAATAATAGGCAATCAAATGTGATTTTTTTTTAAAAAGGAAACTAGAAAAAAAAAAATAAAAAGTAAAATAACGTATAAAAGCCAAGATAGAATAAAGGGTTAAGGATTCATGCCAAATTTGATAAGAAAAACAAACAACCCAAAAAATACGAAATACCCTTAGATTTTTTTTAAAAAAAATCACTCTACCACTTAATACAAGCTTTAAATTTGAATTTCATAAAAACTAGAAACTTCAGTTTGTTAAGAAGGATAGTAGCTTTTTACGTTTTTAATATCCAACAAAGATTGCTTCTAGAAATCAAGAGGGTTTCATAAAAGCAAAGCTTTCTTTTGAATATTTTTTGGGAATACACCCTTAAAACTTTAAAACGATATATATCTTATGGTCTAATTTGAAATAAAATACTTTAATTTCTGAACCCCATAGTTGTTGACTGTACTTTACAATTCTTTCTTTCCTTCCACTTTTTTTTTTTAAAAAAATAATCTTCCATTTCTTTTAAACATTTTTAACACCTTTAAATAGTTGTATAAATTTATAAGAAAAGTTATTTTAAAAAAATTAAGTCTTTAAATTAGAGAAGTAATATTGTTTTTAATACAATATACAAAAATTATTTACGCTATTAGTTTTTATTTATTCTTGATAAGACTGATTAAAAACGGGATTACTATTATTTCCAATGTAACCAAAAAAGAAAATGTAAAAAAAAAAAAAAAAAAAAAAAGCCTTAATACACCTAAAACTTGCCTATTTCTGTGAAGCATAATACATCTAGGTTCATGACATTAATTAAGTAGAAGAGCATCTCTAATGATCACTTTTTCTAATTTTTTTTCTCTTTTTTTTAGACTGGCTCAAATAACAATCAATAATAAAACTTTAAAAGCTGGACTAGAAAAAAAATCCAATTAGGATTAGTTATTGTTATTTTTGTTGGTTTTAAGAGTTTTAAACTGTATTGAAGCCCGGGAAACCCTTGTTCGCGAGTGCGCATTTCCATCTAAAATAATAAAGGCTGGCACATAAATAAAAATGTATTTTAAACCTAAGATAAAAAGTGGTTTGACATAAATTTAAGTCATAGGGTCCAAACTAAAAAAAAATAGACTTAAAATAAAAAAGCAGGAAATAGTGAACATATTGAATTGGCTCAAGTATTGCTGTTATACATTCTAACAATTCTACTAACTTTTCTTCTTTATATCTAAAAGCACTTTTCAAATTAAACAACAATTCCCATCATCAAACATATAAACTGTTAAAACGGTTTCTTTTTTTTTAATCAAATTAAGCACTACTAAGAAATCTGTTTTTCTATTGCATGATATTACCACCCCAGAAACGGAAATTTACCCTTATTAAACTTTACAAGATTCTGAATAGAGAAAAATAAAACCAAAAAAAATATACTGGTTAGATAACTTCTTTTTGATTTCTTTTGGTTTAAAATGGATACTTGAAGTAATAGAAGCTGTGAAAAAAAAAAGCTACCCCATGAGCTAAACCGATCTGTCCCGCTAAGATCATACAAAGAATCTATTCTCACGCGAACTTTTTTTCTCTTCTCACTTTAGACATCGGAATAACTTTTAAAGGCATGTGAGCATCTTAAGACATTCTTCAGTTCTGATCAATTTCACATACTTGAAATATTGTGTTAATATCTGACCTTAATCATTAATACTTGGATTTAATATAAGTGAACTGACAACAATACTAATGGATTTGTTAATGTGTCAAGTCAAATCTTAAAGGAACAAATAATTGAAGTGCAATTTTTTAATTGAGAATAAAAATTTTAGGGATATATGTGTTATTTGCATAAAAAAATAAAATAAGAAAAATAAGAAAAAAGAAAAAAAGTGAATTATTATTTTTACATTCTAAATGATTTGTAAAAATTTTTGAGTATTAGAAAACTTAAATTATATAGCAACTCTGTTTTTTTATAGAACCACCCGAGCGGCAGATCAAGGCTTTGCCGTTCTTACCCCAGTTTAGTTTATCCCAAAAATATAAATAGCTCTCCAATTTCTTTTGATTTTTTCTTAATTTTTCCTTCATAATTTATTAATCTATTCACTCATTCTTACTATACATATAAAAATGATAAATTTTACCGATAATAATTCCACACTAGCAAGAGATTCGGCACTCATCCCCGAAAAAACACAAGCCGAGCTTGCAGAACACATCAACAATAGTAGTACTATCGAGGGCACAGAACTTGGCCCAAACGATTCAAAAGGGGCGAAAGAACATGTGCATGTTGAAACAGTTCGAGATGAAGAAGAAATCAATCCCTTTGAAGGACTCACCAAAGACCAAGTGGCACAAAGTGCATTTGACTTTGCGATAGAACATGGACTAGAAGAAGAAGCTGATGTTTTTGCACGGGGGGCTATGCTGGCATATGACGGCAGCACTGATCAGTTAGAAGAAGACGAACTTATGGCCTACGACAAGGAAGTTAATCACAAGTGGGCAGGGCAACCCTTGACTCTATATTATATGGCTATTATGTGTGCCATGTGTGCGGTGGTACAAGGTATGGATGAGACTGTTATCAATGGTGCTCAGCTTTACTTTGTCAAGGAGTTTGGCATGGATAAGATGAAGAACTCTGAATGGCTGATTGGAATGGTTGTTGGTGCACCTTACTTGTGCAGTTTTGCTCTGGGATGTGCCCTTACTGGTCCACTCAACAATCTTTTGGGCCGACGAGGCGTGATTTTCCTTTCCTGTTTTATTGCTGGTGCAGCGTCCATTTGGGAATCATTTACGTATAGCTGGGTCCAAATGTTTTTAGCTCGACTGTTACTGGGACTGGGTATTGGTCCAAAATCGTCTACAGTTCCTGTTTTTTCTGCAGAGTGTGCGCCAGCAAGGACCAGAGGTGCATTTGTAATGATGTGGCAAATGTGGACTGCTTTTGGAATCATGCTTGGCTTTATTGTTGATGTTGTGTTTTTGCCTCGAGGTAACTTGTCTGAAACTGTGGCTTGGAGACTTATGATGGGGTCGACTGTTGTAGCGCCCATCTTTGTTTGCTTGCAGGTGTACTTTGTTCCTGAATCCCCGCGTTGGTATCTAAAGAAGAATCGGATTGGAGATGCCTACAGGTCGCTTTGCCGCTATCGATCTCATCGAATTTTGGCTGCCAGAGACTTGTACTACATGTATCTTTTGACTGACATTAGTGATAAGATGAATCAAGGCAGCAATCCTCTGGCTGATATCTTTAAGGTTGGCCGAAACCGCCGAGCTCTTTATGCATCACAAATTGTCATGTTTATGCAACAATTTTGTGGTGTAAATATTATTGCCTACTTTTCGTCCCAAATCTTTGCTGATTCTGGCTATTCCGTCCAAACCAGTATTTTAGTTTCCATGGGCTTTGGCATTTTGAACTTTTTGTTTGCTTTACCTGCTGTTTTTACAATTGACACGTTTGGTCGGCGTTCATTGGTACTATTTACGCTACCATTCTTGTCACTTATGCTGTTGTTTACTGGTTGTTCTTTTTGGATTCCGCACCGCGAGGCTCGGGTTGGTTGCATTACACTTGGCATTTACCTTTATGCCATATTTTACTCTCCAGGTATGGGACCTGTTCCATTCACATACTCGGCTGAAGCCTTCCCACTGCATGTTCGTGACGTGGGTATGTCGATGGCCACAATTACACTATGGGGCTTTAACTTTTTGCTGTCGCTGACTTGGCCAGCGCTGCTTAAAGCATTCAAACCCCAGGGAGCGTTTGGTTACTATGCAGCATGGAATGTAATTGGATTTGTGCTAGTATTTTTGTTTGTACCCGAAACCAAGGCTCTGTCTCTAGAAGAGCTGGATCGAGTATTTTCGGTGCCAACTTCAAAATTTATCAAAAGTAACATTGCCGGGATGTTTGGAGGCAAGCCAGAGAAGGACGAAGAGAAGCGGTGAGGAAATTTTTTTTTTTTTTTTTTTCGTTTATAGAGATAAAGTTATATATAGTGGTATAATTAATGGCACGTTTTTTAAATACACACAAGATGCAACTTAAAGTGTAATATATATATATTTGTAACAACTTTATTTTGGCCTTTTTTTTTTTTTTTTTTTTTTTTAGTCTGCCACCTTTAACCTTTAAATATTCATTTCTTTCAACCTGAAATTTGTTCACAAGGATTGTGTACTGCTATCAACGTACTTTTCAACAATACTTTAGAGAATAATTTGGTGAAATTTGTTGAAATCTTTGAATTTTTTCTTGTTTCGTCATTTTTAATATTTTTTTACTTTTTTCACTATGTCATTTCTGTAAAAACCCCCTGATCATGACCTTACCCCATCAATCCCAACAACAAGAAGATAGCTCAATGCTGTCATCTTCTGACGCTGGGCCCACCATATCTACAAAAAAACAAAAACAAGACCCAACTCATTTGGAAAATTCAGATTTATTGATTGTTTCTCAGAATGGCCTACACGATGGAAAAGAATCTCATGCCTTTGCTGGGGTTCCCACATTTAATAACGGCACCATCTCACCCTCATCAACTAATGGACTGAACTCCTCTTTTACCGAAGAAACTGTCACTTCTAATACTCCGTCAACATCCCCATTAATCGTCGAAACTAAAACCAATACTTCTTTGTCTTTTCAGGAACCTGCAACAACATCTACTGTAGCAATGCCAACCAAAACAGCCACTGCTTTGGACCAAGCCTCCTCACTTACAAATGAAAATCAGTCCATCACCATGAATCCTGAATTGTCAATTTCAAATGGAACCAATTCTACCACATCTCATTCTAAAGAGCTTGAAGAAGTGTCTTCTTCAGTAAACAATCTAAGTTTGGCTGCAAATGCGCTTCAGATGGATGCCGCAACAGAAGCAACTGATGATGCTTTGCAAAACCTTAATTTGAATACCCCGCCGGGATCCCCTAAAAGTAAATACCATCGCTTTCACCTGCTTCACCAGGAATTCCAAAAAGACGCCTCTCACGCTGATGATGGACTGGCTCATCCGGATAATGATTGTTCACCTAAACAAGACATTCCTGGCTCTTCTGATGGTCAAGCCCCGGAAACCTTCCAACCGGCTCCTCCGTCACCCGAACTACAACATAATCAAGACAAAGGGAAGGGAAAGCGAAAGTCTCAATTTTTCAACTCCAACATATTTCGAGCTGCTCAGTCTCGGCCGTCATCTCCAGCTAATGTAGACCCTACAATCGACGACTCAGTAGACCCAGGTGTTGCAAACGGCTCATCGACTTTGAAAAAATCGACGAAGCATGGCGAGCAAGAATCTCAATCAAAGAGAACATCACATCATTTGCACAAGTCTAGGTCAAAATCGGATGTTGGCTTGTATGATGGCCCAGATTTACAAACTATCCGCTTGAGACTTCGCAGCAGAAGTCGCCACTCTGATGAACACGACCCTAGGAAATTGGAACCTGCTGAACCTTCAGATAATCTCCCAGAATCACACTCCGATACTGAGTTGGATCACATTAAAAATGACCCCTCTCCTACAGCAACTTCTCCAAGAACTGAATTTAAACGCAGGCGTACGTTTTTGCCCAGGTATGCGACGTTTAGTACCGCTGGTGCAAGCGTTTCCACAGGTTCGGGAGTTGCTCATGCCGGTCGTCACCACAATAACATGCAACGCCAACCTTCTGATGCTGAAAATCCAGAATCTGAAGTTGCTGGAGAACATCCCCAAAGATTTTCACGTCGTCATACCTTGTTTTCAATGGATTACAACCCACCAAGCATGGCTATTGATTGGAAAGACGTTAGGAATGCTTTACGTCGGTTTAAGAAAAAGAAACAGGAAGAGCGAACCGAGGACCAAGTTCCTGAAGATGACACCGCTCTGATTTCTGAGCTTGCTTCTGGCACACCCTCTGCCATGATTATACCAATGTCCTTTTTGAAGGACGACCGCGGAATTCCACGTATTCCTGTTCTTTTGCATCACGTTAAAGCCTCTGTTAATGACATTACACTTAAACCTAATGAAAAGAATCGGAAATACTCGATTGAGTTGAGCTATGGTTCTGGGTCTACCAGCTTAAACTGGTCTATTGTTCGTGAATACCGAGACCTTATTGCAATGCACTCGCGTTTAAAAGTTTTGAGTTTCCAAAATGTTTTCAGCACGAAGCTTCAGCTTCCAAAGTTCCCCAGTAGACATCACGTTGCGGACCAAATGATTAAAGAACGGTATCAGCAAGAACGTTTAGCGCGTCATGGCCGCACTGCTAGTTTAATCACTCCCATACATTCTAATCCCACCTCAGCCGCGCAAACACCTGGATCTGCTCCCGTGGCATCCTCTTCACATGCAACCACTCCCAACCATGCGCCTAATTCTGCTCCAGTTGCCCCTTCGGTACACCCACACCCTCACACACACCCGCATCATCACACACACTCCCAGTATCTTAGTACAATTGCAGACGAACAACGATCTCGTCACTCAATTTCATCCGACCGCAGTGGGTCAATCCTATCGTTGGGCTCCAATGCTTCTGAAAACTCACGCAATATCTTTCGTCGTATTCATAGAACAGCCTCTATTGCCAGCAACTTGCACGCTGTGCACAGACCTTCTTTCATTGGGGGGCATGGAAATGCTCAAGAGAATGAAGAAGAAAGAGACGCCTTCATCGAACGGCTTCGCTCTAGTGTGGAAAAGTACATTTTGGATTTACTTCGAGAAATGCGTTTCCGTCCTGAAGCCAATCGTGTTTTCCAGTTTCTTGAATTATCCAATATGAGTATTCGACTTGCACCTGAAAACTCATACCATGGCAAAGAGGGATACTTGATTTTAAGAACCTCTGCGGCATCTATGGGCTGGAGAGTTTCACATTGGAAGCCCAATGAGCTTTCTTTAATGATTGACAGACATACTTCTCGTTGGTATCTTGTTCGAGAATCATATATTGTTTGTGTCAATGATATTTCATCAGCAAACGTTTCCGAGGTCTTTTTGGTCGATCCTGATTTTAACGTTACTTTCGGTAGCAGTGCAACCATCGCACCCCCGCCTCAAGAAAAGGAAGAAACCACAGACAAGTCTCATCAAGGTTTCACTTTCCAGGTTGAAAATGGCGAACGCAAAATGAAGCTTGTTGCCACTTCACAGCGTCAATTGAGTTTGTGGGTTGATAGTATTAACCACATGAAGGAAGGAACTGTTTGGAGTAAGCCCCATCGATTTCATTCGTTTGCTCCTGTCAGACAAAATGTACAAGCCAGATGGTTTGTTGATGCTGTAAGTTATTTCATTATTTGACTGGTGCAATACTAACATTTTTTTTTAGAGAGATTACTTTTGGACAGTCAGTGTTGCATTGGACATGGCCAAGGATGTCATTTATATCCACGATTGGTGGCTTTCTCCTGAACTCTATTTGCGCCGTCCTCCTGATGGCAACCAGGAATGGCGTTTAGATCGTGTCCTTAAGCGCAAGGCCGAAGAGGGTGTTAAGGTTTTTGTCATTGTTTATCGTAACGTTGGCCAAACAGTCCCCATTGACTCTAGCTGGACTAAACACTCTTTATTGGACCTACATCCTAACATTTACCTCATGCGGTCTCCCAATCAGCTGCTACAAAATACATACTTTTGGGCCCACCACGAAAAGCTATGCTTGATTGATCACACCATTGGATTCCTTGGAGGCATTGACTTGTGCTTTGGCCGCTGGGATACAGCCGAGCATGTTTTGGTGGACGATAGTCCAGTTGCATTTTACGACCCCAACGAAAAGAGTGAGTTTAAAGGACCTACACAAATATGGCCCGGCAAGGACTATTCGAATCCTCGTCAACGCGACTTCTACAGCTTGGATAAGCCTTATGAAGATATGTATGATCGTAACGAGACGCCACGCATGCCTTGGCACGATGTTCACATGATGGTTACTGGCCAGGCTGCCCGTGATTTGGTCCGGCACTTTGTGCAACGTTGGAACTATCTTATTCGGCAGAAGCGGCCCTCGCGCTTCACGCCGCTATTACTTCCTCCTGCAGACTTGACACCCATTCAGCTTCAGTCGTTGCATTTGGAGGGCACTTGCGAAGTACAGATTCTTCGCTCATCGTGTTTCTGGTCGCTTGGCATCAAGAAGCCCGAGCACAGTATTCAGAATGCCTATTTGAAAGCAATTGAATCTTCTGAACATTTTGTGTATATTGAAAACCAGTTTTTCATTTCATCCACTTACTACGAAGGCACTGAAATTCAGAACCGAATTGGCGATGCGCTTGTTGAGCGTATTATTCGTGCCCATCGCAACAATGAAGACTGGAAGTGTGTTGTTGTTATTCCGCTCATGCCTGGATTTGAGAGCGAGATTGACGAGAAGAATGGTTTGAGTGTGCGTATGATTATGCAGTTTCAGTATCTTACAATCAGTCATGGACCCAACAGTATCTTTGGCAAGCTGTTTAAACAGAATATCAATCCAGAAGACTATATCCAATTTTTTTCTCTACGAAAGTGGGGTAAGATTGGGCCCAAGAAACAGTTTGTGACTGAGCAGCTGTATATCCACTGCAAGACGATGATTGTTGACGACCGTATTGCCATCATTGGGTCTGCCAATATCAATGAACGCTCGATGCGTGGCAACCGTGATTCGGAGGTGGCGTCGATTATTCGCGACACTGATACTATTGAGTCGGTAATGGCAGGCAAGCCGTACCGGGTTGGAAGGTTCCCACATACTTTACGCATGCGTCTTATGCGTGAGCACGTTGGCATTGACATTGACCAGTTGGAAATGATTGACCATCTTGTTGATCGAGAACTATCAGCGGCGACGTTAAAAATGGTGGACCCGCGTGACTCTAACATTATGGAGATGGCAAATGGCATTGATCCGTCTCGTCTTCCTCGGGCAAGCTCTCTCTCTACAGATGATCGCCCACAGCGTATGGAGTTGCACAGTTTCAATCACCTGGCAGGTGTTGAGAACATTGGGTTGCGCGATAAAAAACCTCTTAGTAATGATTCTCGTGTGCAGGGCAATGAGACTCACCGTCTGGATGTTGAAGGGCTTGGAATTGACAAGTTCCGTAAGCGCGAAGCAATGGAGCACATGGGGGTAGTCATGACGACAATGGCACCAACAGATGCGGATTCCATGGAAGGTGTTGTTCACAAGTATTTTGAGCAGATGATGAACGATGTTGGGCTTGATGCAATGCTGTCGAATGTGACGGAAATTAAGCGTCGGTTATACTATTACTTGCAGACGCGTAACTGGCGTAAGGAAACCAATACGTTTGATGACATTAGCTTGATTGCAAACGGCGGGAAACCTCTTTCAATGCATTTTTTCCCGCAACACGCATACGCAGACGACCATGTGTTTCAGTTCCGGGATTTGGATGACTTGTCACCGTCATTGTCGATGGACGGTAATGGTTCGCCAATACACACACCTGCTAATAGTCCACCTGGGGCCACGGCGCATAATTTTAATATCCAAGCACATGCAGCCACTGGAGACTCGCTGCCTCCTCAATTCTTTTCGCCTATTGATCCGTACAGTTTCCAGGACCCTTTGTCTCCGGATTTTTACTACGACATGTGGGAGCGGGTTGCGGACCAGAACACGTTGTTGTACCGCGAGGTGTTCCATTGCCAGCCTGATGACGAAGTGACATCGTGGAAGCAGTACATTGAATTCAAGGAACTGTTTAAGCGGTTTGCCGAGAACCAGGGTCAGAATGTACCGGAAGACATTTTCGAAATTAATATTCCTGAGACACAGCGCAGTGAATATGAGATGGAAGTTTTGTCAGCAATGAGCTCGAATGATTTGAATAGAGCACCTGGTGCAGGGTTGGAGCCTCCGGCGAATGAAGAGGAAGGTGAGGAGGGCGAAACAGGCGATGGAAGTGAGGATGCTGCAGCCCGGCGACGTGAGCGGGAAGCAGCTCGTCGTGAGGCTGAGGAGCAGGCCCGTATGGAGCGGGAAAAGTACCAAGACATGTTGCGTCGGCGACGCCAGAACCGACGGTCGTCACGTAACGTTTTAACGGCGGACGATGTGTTCCAGCCAAGCATTGCAGGGCGGGTTGTGCAGGGTGTGCGCGGGAATCTTGTATTTTTCCCGACACAGTGGCTTGCACATGAGTTAGAGAGTGGAAACTGGCAGCATGCCATTGATCACTTGCCTCCGATTGAGATTTACGATTGAATGAGGGAGGGAGATGTCATTAAACTGTATAATTGTGTAATTTTTAATTAATTAATTTTTCTTTTTTTTTTTTTCTTTCTTTTATTTTTTTAACACAACTGGACAAGAGCAGTCATGTAGAGAGGTACAATGACGTTATCATTGAGAGAACTGAAAGCCTCAAGCAGAGCAGTGAGAGTTGAAACAAGCACCATTTTGGAGAAGGTCAAACTGCCTGCCTTGACAAACGGGTTATATGAGTCAAGAACATAAGCTGGGCCATAGTATACGGATGGGTAAAGAGTTTTGAGAACTGCGTACTTGTAAAGGCAAAGGCCAGTGACAGCAGCGACTACAAAACAGAGGGTACCTTCGACCGATTTTTTGTTTCCGCGGGGGAGAGACCACCGGTGCTTACCGTAGATACGGCCAAAAACAGAGGCAGCGGCGTCGCCGAGGCCAAGGCAGATTATACCTGCTGGGCTATTGCAGAGGTACATGGGGATAGAGATGCCGATGAGGAGGTATGTATGGGAAACGATGATTGGACCGCATGTATCTCTTGGGTCAAGGTAGCGGAGTAGCGCTCGGTGGACTTGTGGGCCAAGGGGAGGAATTGTTGTGACACGAAGGAATTCAATTGCTAGGAATAGGAAAGTTGCGGCTGCCATGGCGAGTTTAGTAAAAGTTGGGTGGGTGGGTAAGCCGACAGGGAGAAACAAAGCGACGACAGTAAGGTGCCAAACTTTACGGCGGAGATCGAGGTGAGCCCAGGATCCGGAACGGGCTTGGACTGTAGGAATGGTAACTGCGATGATGGCGAGCCAGTATGCGGCAATCAATAAGTGGGCTTTAGTAGTGGCTTGTGAGGGGAAGAGGACATTTTGGAAAATGAAGGAGATTGGGTAGGTGAATTTGGAAAAAGTTGAGGGAGGAGAAGAAGAAGAAGTTGAGGCCGAGGAAAGGTCAGGGGAGATCAATGTAGAGGAAAAGTCCGAGGACAGATGCAATGGCAGCAACAATGTAAATGACCAAGGCCTTGTTTGCATCCTTGAGCTGAGACCTAGTGACGCGCGCCTTGTCTTCTTGAGACAATGGTCTTGCTGCGTTAAGTTTTTCTGTCTTCATGATTTTGAAGACGAGGGGGAGGGTGGGGTAGATTGCAATGAGACACCCACCAAAGATGAGGGCTTTGAGAATAACTGCTGGGACACCAGCGACATAGAGCTGGGTTTTGATTTTGTCTGGTAGGTTGGGGAAATTTGTTGATGTAGTGAGGGCTGGGTCATGCCAGGGGGATTTGAGGGTGTTAAAAGAGGCAAAGTAGAAAAGATTGACGAGCAAAGTTGCAAGTAAAAAGGCCTCAACTTGGGAGAGTGAGTTTTGAGCAACAAGAGCAAGGACATCTTGAATTGCAAGAACGTGGTCCATGACTCCGGAGAGGGTGGGCTCGACGAGGGCGCAAAGAATTCTACGAAGCGAGACGGCATGGGTAATTGGTAGAGGGAGCTGCGAGAGGATATGAATCTCTGGCCCTGAGAAGGGGATATATGCAAGAACAGAAAGCAAGTTTGTGTGGAAAAAGGCAAGGTGTTGAGGGTTTGTTGCGAGGGATATGAGGGGAGGAAGAATAGCAGCGTAGAGAATGTGGGGGAAAAAGGAGTTGAAGACTGCAACAAAGGCGCTGGGTGGTTTGCGCAGAATGGAGGCTTCCCTATGGGTCCCGATTACCAGGACAAAGATGAGAAGAGTAAGCCAGATGAAAAATGCCGAGTTATATTGCGGGAACGCTCGCAAGTGGAACAAGTGTGAAAGTCCTGTAGAATTATCGGCCAAATTGAGTAGCGAGTAAGTTTGATCAAAGTCATCTTTGGCTGCATAAAACTTTGCACCGCGGGTATGGATATAGATAGCGTAAAGGAATGGAGCAAGCAAAAGAATAGCTTCTGCAATATTTGCTGGTTCAATGTTAAGCTTTGCAGTTACGGTGACTTCTCCACCAGAAGTAAATAAATCGCGCGCTGAAGTCTTTTTCCCAGGTAGTGCCGATAACAACGGTTTTAAACGAGCGCGCTGGGGTGCGGATGTGGATTTCGGTTTGCGTCGACGTTTAATTATTGTTTGAGGGGTTTGATGCGATTGTTGATCAAGGTCTTGCAGTTTAGACCGGGACTCAGTCAATTGGTGAGATTGAGAGCTGGAAGACGACAAGTTATTTGGATCCGAGTCATCGAGTTCCAATACGGCAAATGCAGAGTTACTTTTCAGTGACGAGCTAGTTTTCCCCTGCTCCTGGTTTTGCTGGCTTTGCTGGCTTCGTTTGCTACTGTTGTTACTGCTACTACTGCCGCTACTGCTGCGCTCCAGTCTCTGTTGTTGCTTGCGCCGCAAAACCGTCCGAGTAATAGCTTCGTCATCTGCTTCGCTGCTGCTACTGTTAGTACCAGTACTACTTGTATTGTTGTTGTTGTTGTTGTTGTTGTTGTTGTTGTTGTTGTTGTTGTTGTTGTTGTTGTTGTTGTTGTTATTGTTATTGCTACTACTACTGGTGTTACCGTTTTCTGACGGAGGATCTGCGGAGCGCATTGATAGGGGGATATGTGGGGTATGATGACGGTTCCGATTACGGTGGGGTTTGACAAGAAGGAACCCGTCAGAGGACCCGGTTTCAGCATCATCCGGGTCGTTTAGATCGGAGGCCTCGGCGGTGAGTGCGGAGGTTGGAGCAGCTGGCGGGGCTTTGTTTATATTTTTAATTTTATTAGTACTGGAACTGCTAGAGAAGCTATCAAAGAGCATTTCCTCGGCTTCCATTTCTTCTCTAAGTAATCGAGAGCTACTACTTGAGTCTGGAGTATTTGGTGAAGATATCATTTTTTTTGAAATATTTGTTTAAAATTGTTGTTTGAAAAGTTTTGTAGATTTTTTAAATTTTTGTTTTTTTGGTGGATTTGCATGAATTTTATAAATTTTTAAATTTTTTTTGAAAATGAAAGTTTCGATGGTTTTTTTTTTAGCTGCTGGCCTTTTTTTTTTTTTTTTTTTTTTTTTTTTGAGGTGCGGCAAAATTGAAATTTTTTTTAAAATTAAAAAAAAAAAAAAAAAAGGATCACGTGGACATATTATTAGGAGACTTAAATTTCTTTCATATACTAAACAACCAGTTGTTCCAGTTGTTCCAGTTGTTGTTGCTGCTGCTGTTGCTGCTGAACTAGTGGGGTCTCCAATCCGTCCTGATCATCATCGTCATCGCCATCTATCTGCCCAGAAACTTCACTATATCCAAGCTCCTTAATAGCCTCTTCCAACATCTGTTCCACCTTAATAGCCAGTTGTGGGACATCTTCTCTTGTAAGTCCCTCGGTGGGGATAGGGTCCAAAACTTTTAGTTTAATAGTTCCTGGTCGGACCATTTTCTTACTTGGATCAAACAAGTTACTTGTATTTGAAACAGCAATGGGAACAATAGGGATCTGTGCTTGAACTGCCATATGAAATGCGCCACGTTTAAGTGGTGTTAAAAGTCCAGGAACTTTGAACCCGGACCGAGTACCTTCAGGGAACATAAAGACAGATTGCTGAGACCGTGCAAGAACAGAATCTGCAGCTGATGACAGTGTAGCTACAGATGCACGTGAGTTGGTTCGATCAAGAAATACAGTTCCACTTAGTGCCATGAACCATCCAAGAAATGGGACCCAGCGTAGACTGGCTTTGGAGGTAACTGAACAATAGGGAGGGAAAATACGTCCCAACATAAGAACGTCAAGGGCCGATTGGTGGTTGGATAAAATGACACAGGGTCTTAGGAATTCAGGTGATCCAGACCACCATGAAGAAGATGATAAGTATCGAGCATAATTTTCAGAGGCACCATCGACAAACCGGAACCCGATACGTAGTACGGGGTAAGCCAGGTAATAGAAGAGTCTACCGGTTGTATACTGAGCCAATCCGCGACGGCGGAAAAACGCGAGGACAATAGACGCGACAACACCATATGAAGCCGAGACAATGACTGCAGCAGTTATATAAATGGCCTTAAGGTAAAAGATTGTTTTCTGAAGGGCCGTTGGCATTGTTTGTTTTTATTATTTGTTGATGTTAAAAGTTTTTATTTTTTATTTTTAATTTTTAATTTTTAATTTTTATTTTTCAATTTTTAATTTTTTTTTTTTATTTTTTTATTTTTTTTTTGTGTGTGTAAAAAAAGTCCGTGGAGTTTTAAATTTTTCCCAAAATTAAATTCTCTTTCACAACCACCACAACCACAACAACCACAACAAACAACATACAACATACAACTACAACTATAACCATAACCATCACAACCCACAAAAAATGTCCCGACCCCGCATCACCATTGATACTTTTGCCCGAAACTCAGCAGAACGCTTGGATGGTCCTTCGACATATTTTATCAACAAAGCCAGCCGTGGAAACGACGAAGCCAAACGAGATCTAGCTAAACTTTCAACTACACGTACTTTATACATTGGTAACTTATCTTTCTATACAACTGAGGAACAAATCTTTGAACTTTTCTCCAAAGCTGGATCTATAGCTCGTATTATCATGGGTCTTGACCGTATTAAGGGTACTCCATGTGGATTCTGTTTTGTCGAATATGAGTCCCATAGAGATACACTGCATGCTTTACGATATTTGCAAGATTCATACTTGGATGAACGCGCAATTTCCATCGACTTGGACTCCGGATTTGTCGAGGGCAGACAATACGGTCGTGGATACTTTGGTGGCCAGATCCAAGACCAAGACCGGTCTAATGACGATCCGTGCCGTGGCGGTTGGGGCCAGCGATACTATAACTAAGCTTGTATATATACTGTTTTTTTTTTTTTTTTTTTTCTTCTTTTTCTTCTTTTTCTATTTCTTCTTTTTATTATTTTTATTATTTTTCCTTTTTTTTTTTTCTTTCTACCTTTATATATATATGTATAATCCTATTTTTTTTTTTTTTTTTTTTTTTTAAATGTTTCTTTCCAATTTTATACATGACGGCACCAACAGCTACTGCCTTCGGGCTCCATCTGAACAAATGCCTTAACACCTGCTTTGCTTAAACGTTCCTCAACACGCGATTTAACTTTAGGCAAATCGTGTGCAGGTTGAACTTGGACGTGGATAACACCACGTACCTGCGAGCCATCTGCCCAGAACCGGGGGACCGTGTACCCAGCAACTCCAGGCATGATAGAAATATCACTGAGCAGATCCCGAACGTTATATTCTTGGCCATCGTTGAGCGATAGCAGTAGAGTTTTTGCTGAGGAAGAAATGAGTGGGATGGCTGACATGAAGATGAGAATGGCAATGAAGATGGAAGCAAGAGGGTCGAATCCTTCCCAGCCAAAGTAGTAGATGAGCAAAGTGGACGCAATCACTCCTACAGATCCTAACGTGTCAGCAATGATATGGAGGAAAATACCTCGCATGTTTTCATTTTCTGTAACATCCATATGGCCATGGTCATGGCTATGGCCATGGTCTTTTTCAAGCGAATGATCACAATCATGGCCATGGTCATGGCTATGGTTATGGCTATGGTTATGGTCGTGGTCGTGGTTATGGTCATGATCATGATCATGATCATGTCCATGATCTTGGTGATCACCTCCAAACAATGCATGGCTATGGGAATGACCACTTCCTCCGTGACTGTGGCCATGGTTAAATGCAAAAATACCCACGATATTAACAACCAATCCAAGTACACTAACAATGAGCAACTCGGTTGTTTTTTCGAGCCCCACGGGTGCAGAAATCCGCTCGACGGCTTCGGCAATAACACCGAGAGAAATTCCAACCAAGAAAAACCCATTGGTGAACCCAGATAAAGTCTCAACTTTACCCAATCCATAGGGGAACCGTGAAGAAGGCGGGAGTTTAGAAAGAATGCTAGCAATGAGACCCACAAAAAGCGCTAAACAATCGAAAAACATGTGAATGGAATCCGAGAGCAGCCCAAGTGAGTGAGAAAGAATTGAGTAAAGGAGCTGGATAAGCATGAATGAAAAGTTAAGAAGAAGGAAATAAAAAATATTTTTAGTATCTTCGTGGGCCAAAATAGAATCAATGATACCCCAATTGCGCAACGATTCTGGGGGGCTTGTTGGGTCAAAGAGCGGTGCAGAGCGTGGGTATATTCTATCTGGAATAAGAATGCAAGAGAGAAGAGCTTCGAAGCCATTGTAAGACATTTCACGGTAAGGAAGGGTGCCCTTTAGCAAGACAGAGCTTTCGAGGAAGATACTGAGAAAGGTATTAACAAGAGGGCTAAAGCGGTTAGGGTGAAGGTCACGTTTGGAGAGTAAAAACACGCCAAAGGAGCCTGAGGTGATTGTGACAAGAGAAATGACATCGATGGAGTAAGTTGTAGTTGTTACAAAAGCGGTTGGACCCATGATGATGATTCCAAGAATGATTGCGAGGGTTCCTGAGTATGTTGCAGAGGGTCTATGAAGACAGTAAGCAGAGACGATGAGGGCAAGGTAGCATGCAAGAGTTTTAAGGGCTGAAAGGTGAGGGGGTTGGAATGTGTCTATTGGAGTTGCTGGGGAGCGGAACATGTCAATTACAAAGAGTAGTGCTAGGTAGATGTAATAAGGGACGTTGAGAGGGTGGAGAAAGAGATAGGGGGCATTAAAGAGAGTAGCAGTGATGAGGCAAGTTTTGACAGAGCCAATTAGGGAGCAAGCCCAAAAGAGGAGGAATGTTCCAAGGGCAAGGAGAAGGGTATTTGTAACGTCAGATTTGGAGAATTGAGCAGGGGAGCCACCGCGGGACATGATGAGAGTGAGGATACCTGTGAGTAATAAAAGGGGGCCTGTTACTAGGGAAGTTGAGAGTAAGGCGGGGACTTTATCGTGGAAACCCAATTTAAGGCAGAGGTAGTCGAGGGCCAGGAGGGAAGTTGGAAGAGATATCAGGGCAGGGACTCTTTCAATTAAAGATGGTGGTTGGATTTGTTGTTGTTGTTGTTGTTGTTGTTGTTGTTGTTGTTCTGTGTGGTAGTCATGATCTGGGTATGAGTAGGTTGAGGGAGGTTGTTCAAGAGTGTGAGAGTGAGAGTGAGAGTGAGAATGATCATGATTATGATCATGATCAAGAGTATGAGTATGAGAATGACCATGAGTATGGCCATGATCGTGATCGTGATCGATACATTGGTGGGTATTTTGTATATTTTCATTAGAGTTTGAAACAATTGGGATATTATCAAAGTAATCCTTTTTCTCAACATCTACTGGAGAAAGAACATTAATTTCTGAGAGAGTTTTATGAAGATCATCAATTGTTTTAGAAAGAGCACTTTGATGGTTACCTGTGAGAGGGTTTGGTCCTGGACGGGTTAGCATGGGAGAGGCAATAGACTGACGTTCACGTTGAGCATGAGAAGTATGTTTACGAAAGTCTGAGAGAATGGATGGGACAGAGTGGATACCCCAAGAGTTTGCAGTAGAGGCAGTAGAGGCGGCTCTTCTAAGACGAGTTTTAGTAGTATCTTGGTTTAAGTCAGGAGATGAAGTATCTATGCGAGAGAGGGTTGATTTGCGTAAGTTTGAATTAGTTCCATTTTGTTTAGAGGGGCCATTAGGGAAGGGGACAGCTACAGAGTAGCTTCTAAGGGGTCTTGATGTAGAGACTACAGTATGGTCATTTGGGTCAGTAGAGTCATCATTAATTGGAAGAGCTGGAGAAGTTCTTGAAGGGAAAGAGTATTGTTGTTGTTGTTGTTGTTGTTGTTGTTGTTGTTGTTGTTGTTGGGTTGATGAGGAAGAGGATGAGGAAGAGTCACCTCCAAAGGAAAAGTTTTTAGTAAATGGTGATTCATTAGGAGGAGGAGGTTTAGGTGGCATTATGGGGTGGTGGTGGTGGTGGTGGTGGTGGTGGTGATAGATTAAGATTTGTTTAAGGAGAATGTGATTTTATTTTTTTGGATAAGGGTATATATATGGATTATATGAGTATATTAGCTTATATATAAATATAAATATATAAATATATATATACATATATAGCTTATATATATATGAATAAGAATAATCCAATTGATTTATTTTTTAAAAAATTTTATGTTATAAATTATTATTATTTTATTTTATTTTATTTTTTTTTTTTTAAAAAAAGCAAAAATAGTTTAAAAAGTTGATTTGGTGATTTGGTGGTTGTGAAAAAAGGAGGTTTTTATTTTATTGATTAGAGATTTGACTTGTTGAAAATATATTAGCTAAGCTGGGGGAGTATACATATCGACTACGTAGTATATTAAATATAAATATTTATTTAAAAGTAATGGTCTATTAATAAATTAAATAAATAAACAACCTTGGAGATTGAAAAAAAAAAAAAAAAAAAAATGACGTGTAATGTAATATAAAAAAATGAAAAAAAAAAGTGTACGGCTAATGTTGTAACAAATATATTATTATAAGTTATAAGTTATAAGATATAAGATATAAGTGTTAAAATGAAATAATTAATTTTATTTATAAGACTTAACACTTGTAACTTATAATTATTAATTTAACATTAGATTACTTATTATAACACTTGAACTAATTTTTAATAATTATTTACGGACTCCGAAATATTTTTTTTTGATTTTTTTGATTTTTTTTGATTTTTTTTTTGGTGGGGGAGGTAACAAGTGGTAACAAGTGGTGAGAGAAACAACAAAATATAAAAGAATTTTTTAAAAAAAAAAAAAAAAAAAAAAAAAAAAAAAAATGTTCCGTGGACATAAAGAAGAAGAAGAAAGAGAAGATATATATATAAATATGATTTAAAATATATATATATTTATATTAGAAATCATATTTATTTTATATATATATATATATTTTTCTAATACTTTTTATTATTATTATTATTATTATAATCATAATTATAATTATAATCTATTTAATAAAAATAATAAAATAAAAAATAAAAATTCTTTTCAATTCATCTATTCATTTAATTTAAATTTATATATATATATATATATATAAAAGAATTCTCGGTGTCGGAATTCAAAAATGTAACCGGATCCCCCGATTATTTACATTTAATGAGTTAATAAATTAAATAAATAAAAAATAAATAAAAAATAAATAAAAAATAAATAAAAAATAAATAAAAAATAAATAAAAAATAAATAAAAAATAAAAAATAAAAAATTCCCAACGGCTTCTTCTTTTTCTTCTTCTTCTTCTTTAATTAATTTTTTTTTTTTGGTATTTTAAAAATAAATTTAATTATTTTTTTTTTTTTTATAAAAAATTTTGTTGAATTCAATTAATTGAAAATATATTTTTTATTTCTATTTTATATTTTCTTTTCTTTTATTTTATATTTTATTTCTATTTTATATTTTCTTTTCTTTTTTACTCACTCGCTCACTCACTCACTCACTCACTCACTCATTTAATTTACTTAACTTCACTCGCTCACAGCTAATAAAAAAAAATGAAAATTTCTACCAGCCAATTTAATTTAATTTGTTTTTTTGTTTTTTTAACTGCCAACTGCAAATCCTCAGCCGTTGTTGCTCCTCCAACATTTCAAATCAAAAAAAAAAAAAAAAAAAAAAAAAAAAAAAAACTCTCTCCCCTCTCTGTCGGCAACATAAAAAAAAAAAAAAAAAAAAAAAAAAAATTATAAAAATCTATTAAAATCCTCTTTTTATTTTTTTTTTAAAAAAAAAAAAAAAAAAAAAAAATATCAAAAACAACTCATCTTTTAAATGCAACAACCAATCTCAGCTCAAGACTCTCATGAGTCTTCAACATCTTCATCTTCAAATCAAATAGATGATCCTGAAAAATTCTTTTCAAAAGATCTCGAAGCTAATATTAATAATAATAATAATAATATTAATAATAATAATAACAATAATAATGGAGACTTTTCCCCTCAACAACTTTCAAGAAGAAATTCAATCGCTTCTGAAATGCCATCTTTAGATGAACAAGAAGCAATCTCAAGAGTTTTAACTGGAAGAATCCCAGATTTAAATGCACCATGTCCTCCAATGGGTGGTGATAGAGATTACCCTCCACTACTCCCACAACAAGAACAATACAGAGTAGACTTTACAGGCCCTGATGATCCCTTACACCCTTTTAACTGGCCATTATCAAAAAAAATCGTCATTGCATCTTGTCTTGGTGCTACAACTTTTACTTCCGTATGGGGATCTTCAGTTTTTTCTCCTGCCCTTGGTGAAATCTCTGAAAAATTCCATGTCGCTAATGTAGTCTCATCTCTCACAATTGCCCTATTTGTTTTAGGATTCGCATCAGGTCCAATCATTTGGTCTCCACTTTCTGAACTCTACGGTAGAAAATTCCCCATAGTCATTGCCCTCTTTCTTTTTACATGCTTTACTTTTGCTACTGCAACTGCAAAAGACCTTCAAACTGTAATCATTTGTCGCTTCTTTAGTGGTATCTCTGCATCTGCACCACTTACAATCGTTGCTGCTGTTTTTGCTGATATCTTCCCCAATACTGGTGCAATCTCAAGAGGTACTGCTATTAATATCTTTGCAGCAATTGTCTTTTCTGGTCCAATGGTGGCCCCAATTGTTGGTGGTTTTATTGTTCAATCTTATTTAGGTTGGCGTTGGACTGAATATCTTACTGGTATCATGTCTGGTACAACACTTTTAGCTGTTGTTTTATTTATGGAAGAAACTTATACCCCAATTATTCTTGTTCATAAGGCACAAATCATTAGAGAACGTACAGGTAATTGGGGGGTTCATGCTGTTCATGAAAATGTTACCCTAGATCTTTCTGAAATTATTACTAAAACAATTACTAGACCTCTCCGCATGCTTGTTTCTGAGCCCATCATTCTTCTTTTGGCAATTTATAATGGTTTCTGTTATCTTATTCTTTACCTATGTCTTTCATCTTACCCATATGCTTTCCGTGGTTTATACCATTTTGCTCTTAATTTATCTATGCTTCCATATCTTGGAATTCTAATTGGTATGATTCTTTGTGCCATTTTAATGATTTTATTTTTCGAACCTCGCTATGAACGGAAACTTCTTCAAACAGGTGTTAAGTCTAACCCAGAACTTCGTCTTGAACCTGTTCTTTTATCTGCTCTTGTTTTCCCTATTGGTCTTTTTTGGTTTTTTTGGACTGCAAATTATGCTGATCATGTTCATTGGATTGTTCCAACTATTTCAGGTATTTTCACTGGCTTTGGTCTTATGGGTATTATGGTCCCCTCTATGAATTATATAGTAGATGCATACTTATGGTTTGCAGCTTCTGCTCTTGCTGCATTGACCTTTTTACGTTCTATGTTTGGTGCTTCAGCTCCATTATTTGCAGACTTTATGTTTGATCGAATCCATCTTAATTGGTCTGGTTTATTATTAGGTTTATTGGCGGTAGCAATGGCTCCCGTACCTTATTTATTTTTTGCATATGGCAAAAAGATTAGGGGGGTTTCCAAGTATGCTTTTGATGGATGATGATATTAATATTAATATTAACCTTGCTTACTTGCTCCTTATGTTTTGTCCTTTTTAATTTCTTTTTTTGTACATTATTATTAATATATTTATTTATTTTAAAATATCGTAAATATCTAAATGTACCCAAATGACAATTTTTTTTTTTTTTTTAAGTCATTTTTTTAAAATCCGCGGCGTATCATCTTGCATGAAAAAAAAAAAAAACTTTTTACTTTATCAGATCTCAATACACTCACTCACTCACTCACACATACATAAATACATAAATAAATACATACAAACCATCTTCTTTCCCCCCCCAAATAGATGAGATATTCTTTAAATATCTTGGCACAAAAAAAAAAAAAAACAAAATTAAGGGTTTTCTTTTGTTATTGTTGTTTTTGTTAAATTTATTTTTTTTTTATTTAATTTTGTATGGGAACAGCCTAGTTATAACTATGATCATGATTTGTTTCCTTTCCCTTATTTTTTTTTTTTTTTTTTTTTTTTTTTTTTGTACGTGAAACAACTTGGTTTACTTTAAATAAAAATAAAAATAAAAATAAAAATAAAAATAAAAAAAAAAATTTGGTTTTCTTAAATGATAGAATATTCTGTTGTATTCGAATACAACATTGTCTCTCCCTCTCCCTCTCCCTCATTTTATTTTCAAAGTGACATACAAAAAAGAAGTAGAAAAAGAAGAAGAAGAAAAGGAAGAAGAAGAAAAACTTTAAACGGGAAATAGAAATACCGATTCATTTATTGTACAAAAAACAAATGAAAATGAAAATGAAAATGAAAATGAAAATGAAAATGAAAATGAAAATGAAAATGAAAATGAAAATGAAAATGAAAATGAAAATGAAAATTGAATTTGAGTTTTTCTCTTTTTTTTAAAAATTTTTTAAATATATTTAATATTTAATTTTTATAATTTTTATAATTTTTATAATTTTTATAATTTTTAATATTTGAATGCAAAAAAAAAAAAAAAAAAAAAACGGATAAACTTTTGACCCATTAAGATCCGTTTAAGAAAAAAAAATTAAAGAAGAATAAGAAGAAAAAAAAAAAGAAATAAAAGAAGTGCCTTTTTTTTTTTTTTATTAAAATGATGATTGAAAACATCGGATAATTGAAAAGAAAAGAAAAGAAAAAAACAAAACAGGAAAAAACTTTTTTTTTTTTGTTGTTTTTTTGTTTTTATTCAAATATATCTTTTTCAACAAAAAAAAAAAAAAGTGTTTTTATTTAATTTTTTTATTATTCAAGAGTCATAAAAAAAATAAATCTAACATCAGTATCAATAAATTTATACTTTCTTTTATTTTTATTTTTTTCTGTTTTTTTCGGTTTTAATTGCATCATTTTTTTTTTTTTTTTTCAACTGTCTTTTCCAAAATGCACCACCACCTCCTTTTTTTTTTTTTTTTCTTCTTCTTCTTCTTCTCTTTACATTTTTTTTTTTTTCCTCCCGGTAATGGCTTGTTTCGATCTATGCGCCTCCGATAGCCGATAAAAAGAAATATAAACGGGAGAAAATAAAAATTATATTTAAAAAAAAAATATAAATTTGATTCTGATGTAAGTTTATTTAAATTATTTTAAATTATTTTTATTTTATATAATAATTATCAAAATTCAAACTATATAAATCATATTTGTCAGTTCCAACCAAAAAAAAAAAAAAAAAAAAAAAAAAAAAAAAAATTAAATAAAATATCTTATTCGATGATGATCCTTTTATAAATTGTTTTTTTAAATAAAACAAATTTGTCAATATAATAGAAAAGTGTATATATAGAAATATATTCAAAATATTAATAGAAATATTTCTTTCCCCGAGGAAATCTTGTTCCTTTAAGAATTTGCAAGTATTTCAAAAAAAAAAAAAATAAAAAAAATTAAATAAATAAATAAACAAATAAATTTAAAAATTTATTTATTTTTTTTTTTCTTTTTTTTTTTTTTTTTAACTAAAGAAAATATCATTCTCGGATTCCGTTTTTAAATTTTTAAAAAATTTCTTTTTTATTTTCGGGTCGTCCCGAAAGACGTTTTTTTTGTTGTTGTTGTTACTACTAAATATTTATATAAAAGCCCTAACCCATAGACATAAATAATCTTCTTTTCTGACTTAAATTTAATGCTTATAAATAACTAAATTTTGTCAATATTATCACAAATTTTTATATATAAATATAAATATAAAACCCAAAAGAAAGAAAGAAAGAAAGAAATAAATATAAAAATGAGAAATATAAAAGTAAAAAAAAAAACGGTTTTTTTTTTATTTTTATTTTTTTTAAAGTGTCAAGAATAACCGAGTAAAGATGAAAAAAAAAAAAAAAATGATGTCATTTTATCTTCATCATTCTAAACTTCCAAAACTACTTATAATTATATATATATATAATTATATAAGTAGTGATAATTATCAAATAACTAACAAACTAAAAAAAAAAAAAAAAAAAGAGAGAGAGAGAGACTTGTGAGACCTTACAACAGATGATCATCATGATTAAAAAAAATAAAAAACAGATTCGCTTTGTTTTTTTTTTCTGTTTATTTGTTTTATAATCTTTATAATCATTAAACGACATATTATAATAATCATATCCACTTCATTTTTTTTTTTTTTTTGTTTTGTTTTATTATTATTATTCTGAAGAAATATCACTAATCAAGAATTTGTTTTTTAAATAAAGGTTTTTTTAAATTGATTGATTGATTGACTGACTTTAGCTTAGTAGGCTTCACAATGTCATCTTTTATTTTTAATTTTTTTTTTTTTTTTTTGGTTAACTACACAATAACGGATTTTAAACAAAACTTAATTGAATTGGAAATTTTTTATTTTTTTCTTTTGGAGTCTTCTCTTTCTATATATATATATATTAACTGGTATCATTCATCATCTATTGATGTCTTTTTAAAATTGAATTCAAGGGTTAATAATCAAAAAAAAAAAAAAAAAAAAATATTTTGGATCGAAATGTTTTGTTTAATCAGTGAAAAAACAATTTGCCCTTTTGTTTTCTAATTGTCTTTATAAAGACAAAAATTTATTTTTTACTCACTATAAACGACTTGAATTTTAAGACTTAAATATTAACACTTTTGTTATAATCTTTTTATAATAATAAATTTAAATTTATTTTATTTTATGATACCCACAATTCCAATTCAAAAAATTGTCCCCTCAAAATCAGTTTTTTTTTTTTTTTTTTTTTTTTTAAACCATTAAAATATCATTAAATTATAATCAATATATACTTATTCATACCCTTAAATTCATATAAATATGAAATGCATTTCTTTATATATCATCTTCATCTGTTTTTAATACCCATTTTAAACCTTAACTCAACGGACTTTACTTCACCCGGCTAATTTGTTTATCCGAAATCATTTCACGTGACTGTATATTACTAAGACCGTATTTCCGTTGCTCATTTCACTTACAATAACAAAAAAAAAAAAAAAAAAAAATTGGTTGTCCTTGATAAGCTTTCTCTCTCCACCATCAGCCCACATCCCATCCATCCCATCAACCCATTTCTTATAAATCTCTTATAAATAAAATAAATCTCATATAAATCTCCCTCAAAATCTCTTCAATTCAACTTTCTTTTTTCTTTAATTCAACTTTTTAATTCTACAATCTAATAATGTCCACCACTTTACAATCTAAAGAAGTCGTCTATACCTCCGGCATTGACTCGCTCAAGGTCATCGACTCTAAAGTCACACTCCCCTTGGCCCCAACACAAATCGCAATCAAAATCCATTATGTTGGTATCAATCCTGTTGATTATAAACTCATGGGGTTTGCCGCATTTAAGCTATGGCAATCCTTAAAAGGTGTTGGCCAAGAAATCAGCGGTGAAATCATCCACATTGGCGAACGAGTTTCCAAATTTAAACCAGGTGACCGTGTCTGTGTACTTCTCTCAAACCCTTTTCAAGGTGGTCTTAAAACTTACTTGGTTACAACAACTGCAGACCGTATCTTAAAAATCCCTGACGAAATGCCTTATGACCAGGCTGCATCTTTTATGATGAGTTTTGGCACTGCATTTAAATCACTTTCATTTGTCGACTGGGCAAAACTTAAAGATACCCCATCTTCTTTACTCATTCTTGGAGGCTCTACAAATACAGGTGTTTTTGCAACCCAATTGGCTAAGAAATATTTCGACATTAAGACTGTCGCAGCAACTTGTTCTGCAAAATCTATCCCCCGTGTCACTTCATTTGGTGTCAATTATACCCTTGACTACACATCGAAAACTCCCATTGCAGAGCAAGCCGCCGAACTTGTTCAAAACGAGCTTGCAGGTGTCAAGTTTGACATGATTTTCGACTGTATTGGAGGCACTGAATTATTTGCTTCAATTTCCTCCATTCTTAAACCTGCAAACACAGGTGCTTATTATGTGACTGTTGTTGGAGATGACCCACACTTTGGTCTCAATTGGGGTGTTGTCACTATGATTAGCAAGTATCTCTTTGCCAAGCCTCTGTGGGGGTTCAACTACAAGTTATACGTGCTCGAGGGTAGTGAGGGGTTCCTGGATGCTGCAAAGAAAAAAATTCTAGTTCCAGGATCTGAATATAAAATTCCAATTGATACTGTGTATCCATGGACTGAGTATAAGGAGGCTCTTTCCAAACTTATGACCCACCAGGCCAAGGGTAAGATTGTTCTCAAGGTTATTGAGGAGGAGGAGGAGTAAAAGAAAAAAATTTTTTTTTTTTTTTTAATTTTTTATTTTTTATTTATAAATAAGGAAAGTTTTAAGAAGATTTAAATAAAAGGGAACGTGTTTTTTTTAGTTATTTATATTTGTGAATTAAGTTACTTAAATAGCAAGCAAGCAAGCAATCTATATAATGGTAGCAATATATTTTTATTAAAATTTTTTTTTTCTTTAATTCAAAAAAAAATAACCAATCATATTTTTTTTCTTTAATTGAGTTTTATAAATATAAAAAAAAATAAAAAAAAAAAATTTTGCCCATTGTTTGTTTGTTTGTTTGTTTTTATTCAAGGGTTATAGAATTAAAATTTTGCCCAAAATTTTTCTTAATTTACAATTTCATATTCAGGCAGCGTATTCTGGATGAGAATTCTTGTTTACTACAAGAATTGAAGTGGTCTCTTGGCCCAGTTGGTTAAGGCATCGTGCTAATAAACAAGCAACTTCCTTGTGATACGCGAGGATCGGCGGTTCGATCCCGCCAGAGACCATATTTTTTTTAAATGTTTTTTTTAACATTAAAACTACTTTACACTTTGTTTTTTTTTTATTTTATTTTATTTTGGCATTATATAAGAAATCAATTATAATATTATTTAATATTAAATAATCAATTAATTGATTGTTTTAAAATAAATAAAAAAAAATTAATATTTTAATGATTAATAAAAATAAATAAATAAATAAATAGAATATTCTGTATTTTTTTAACCTTATTTGGGTTGAAGAGTGAGGAGGAGGAATTACTTAGCTAAAGAAAGAATTCCTTTTTATTATTATTATTATTATTATTATTATTATTATTATTATTATTATTTTTGTTTTTTTTTTTGTATTTAAAAATTGCCAATATTTCGGAAACAAGGTAATTTTAATTTCTAATAGAAAAAAAAAAGATATAGAAGATAATTATAAGTCATAAGAGCAACATAAAAAAAATAATAAAAAAAAAAAAAAAGACACCACCTTTGAGTAAATGCCGAGTTAAGAGTTAATGTCAATAATAATTATGTCTGTGACCAGAACAAAAAAAAAAAGAAAAGGTTTCGTCAAAAGATACCTGATTACTTACAATGTTTAAAGATATGTGGGGTATATTTATATATGTCTCGAAGGTCTCTTTCTATATTGAGATGCAGATATAGATGCATATGTAGTAGTAGAAGATTCCCCTTCAAATTAGTTTTTTTTTTTTTTTTTTTTTTTTTTTAAAGTCTATGGATTAATGAAATTTTTTTCAAAGTATTTAGTAGGTATAAATGTAACCGAGAAGTTAATCAGAATGTGGGGGAGGAGATTAGGAGGGGGAGAGGAAACAAATATAACATATTAAAAGTGACACTGTACTAATAATTACTACTAATATTACTACTACTACTACTACTACTACTTAAAAAAGGACTTTGGTGAAAAAAAACAAAAAAACAAAAGCTGGTAGATCATTTAATCAAAATAAAAAAAAAAAGAATTGGAAAATATTTTAGATAATAATAATTGAATTAATTATTGAATTGTAAATTTTTATATAAAAGAATGAATATTCAAGTATATATGATATATTAATCAAGTTAATCAATAAATGTGGGGTGGTGGGGACTAACAAAAAAAAAAAAAATACAGCTAAAATTAAAAAAACAAAAAACTTTCGGTTTGATATCTGTTGGAATACAGAAATATCAAGTTAGGGTTTGGAAAATAACAACTAAAAAAAATAAAGTGAAATTTTTATTTTTATTTTCTTTTCTTAACCACATATTATTGTTATTAAATTGACTATGCCCTTTTACTACTGTTTACTCTAATCAACTATTAATATCTAACACAGAATTCCATTTAGAGCCCACGTAAATCCTAACAGATTAAAAGTCTCATTGATTACGAATTTTAAACTTAAGAGATAGTATTTCTTAAGGTATTAGGTTAGAGTGCAAGCAAGCAGTAATTTTTAATTCAGCGAGTTTTCAGTAAAGTAATTTTTGGTTCAACAAAAAGTCATTAATTTAATTTGAGATGGTACAGCCAGGAAAAACTACTGCGACAAAAAGTTCAGCTGATAAAGTTGGGCAATACAGAAGAGATCCGTATATAAGAAATTATGGCAACAACAATAGTTTTTGTGATGATTAGTCAGAAAACCGACTCCAATTTGAAGAAGTGTACACTGGTCCTCTCAGAGATATTTTCATTCGTGAACTGGAAACTGGGAACTACTATTTGGAACATGAATTAGTGGGAATAAATGATAGAACGGGTGAAGCCTTCATGAAACCAATTAGCGAAACCAAATCAGGCAGAATAATTCTTGATGAAATTCGGCATCTAAAAACTGAATGCAATGGACAATTTGGATACCAGGAACTAAAGAAGGTGTTGAAGTTGACTGACAAACGAGCTCCTAATATTTTCAATAGAGAAGTAATGGATGATTATTTGTCAATTGAGAAAATATTGAATTTAGAGTTGAGTTACTACTTTCATGTGAACGGTTTTGTCGGAAGGTGTTCATTTGATGACCATACTTCATTGGAAGAAAGATGGAAGATGCTGCATGAAGAAACAACAACAACAACAACTACAACAACTACAAAACCAGAATCTGAAATTTACAACATGGCAAAGGATTTGAGAACACAGGACTTGAGGGTGGATGATCCACACTTCAAAAGTGCTGTCGAAATTTTTGATGCAGAAACTGAAAAAAAAAAAAAAAAACAGAGTTAGTGTTTTCTTGGTGAGTGAAGTGGTTCAACATGTGTTTAATGTTCACTTAGCAAACTTTGTGACTCAATTGATGTTGAAAGAATTTCCAGGATTGGTGGCTGTGGTAGACTTTAAGCCAATTAAAACAATCTTGGACGAGCTTGAGCATGCTTTGGAACGGAAAGTTGATCATGTTCTTGACTGTGTCAATAACCGTTTGATGGGTACTGGGTTTTCATCTTTACAAGAGTATCCAGTATCTGAGTGGTTTACACCGGATACAAGACCAACAAGAATGTCAGTAGCTGTTGATAATCTACGGCAAGCAGTTCGAAACTATGAGAGGGATTATGAAAAGAATGCCAAGATGTACCCAGATTCTTTAATGATGAATGTTCTCTATACTCAACATTTGGCTGCATATCATTTATGCCTATCCATGAATGAGGCTTATCAGCCTGAGTTGAGAGAGTTTCGAAAGATGTTTGAGAGGACGAAATGTACTGTAAAATTTTATCAAGAGTTTCATCCAACTACGGAAAGTTTTGTGAAGAAGGTAATTTGCCGGAGTTCTATCCAAACCCATACATTGCCTTTCTCAAGGAACTGACTAAGATCTTGGAAAAGAAGGAGAGTGTGAGTTTTGAGGCTCTCAGAGACTATCCGTCTCCTTACTATGAAGAACCTGATACGTTGAGTAGTGGCATTTCGGTAAGGAATGATGCTCAGGTGCGTAATGATCCAACGAATATGGAATATGTGGTGTACAAGAAGCTGCACCCTGGTGGTTTACTGCCAGCGGGCCCAAGAGAATTAATTGAACGACCAGCTGCAAAAGCTCGACCAAAGTCCAAAAGCGGGTCAACAAAGAAGATGAATAATATCCAGTATGTCTCAGCTGTCTACCAAGTAAAGTAGAAAATCAGAGGCCAGAGAAGAAACCGTTCAGTGAAGTGTATGGTGATTTACCGGCTGACATGACCAAGTGGACTGAAGAGCAGATGTTTGATGGTTTTGAAAAATTACTTGACGCGTTTCCAGTGTGTACGTTTTTAATGCCACTGTTTAAACCTCAAGTAGATTTCCTGGTTAAGATGCATGGCAAAGACTGTGCCGAGCTTGATGATGTTCGCAAGATGTTGAATAGAGGAGAATTTACTGTTACTAGGAAGGCAGGAAGTGGCAAAGTTTTTGAGAAGATTGGCTACCCAAAGTTTGGCCGCAAATCAAAATAATCAAAGGCAGTCAGCACTGACGTCTGGTCCTGCAGAGAAAAATAGCATATAAGAAGAAGGTAATGTAGCCTCTTTTTCTCTCTGAAGAAGTATCATTTGTGGATTCAATGGATGATCTTTTAGCATCAGGATTTAGTGCTCCAAACTAAGACACCAGTCGAGATTCCTGAGACTGTATTATTATTGTCTGCAGGACTTAAATCTAAAGTCAGTGCTGAAAAGTGATATAATCAAGACTAAGTACACGAAGCTGAGAATTAATAAAATGGAAAAATGTGGATTTAGACTATTTGAAGAGCCGTTTACTTCTAATTGATTCTGACAGTGGTTGTCATATTTGTGGTTATGACAGACTGTTTATTCAAGGAAGTGTGAGACCAATGAATGTGAATGTGATTCTGGGTGATGATGTGACGAAGTTGCATGCATCAAAAGCAGGTGACATCTGGTTAGATAAGGATAATGGAGTAATGCATCGCAATGTTCTGTTGATCCCTGGATTTAAGCGTATTGTTGTTGTACCCGTTTATCTTACCAGGATCACTGGTAAGGATGCTGTTATTGTAACATCACTAGTTGCCAGAGAGAACAAAATTTGCAGTAATGCAGACTCACCTATGTGGCTAATAACGGGCTCGCTTAAAAAACAAACCGCGAGCAAAAGTTTTCAGAACCGTTATTGTTCAAAATATGTCGTATGAATATCTGGACGAGTCATTTACTGAGCGTCAACAATAAGTAATTCCTTCCCAATTGTTTGTTTATTTGTTTTTATTCAAGGGTTATAGAATTATATAACCTCAGCATCTGCTCTATCCTTCTTGTCCATACTATATATCTTTTCATTTTCATAATAAACTTTTAATTTTGGCTTCAACATTGCATCTCCAACAGCCAGAAAGTAAGTCCTGATGTCAGCTTACAAGGAACAGGGGGTTTCCTTCCCAATTGTTTGTTTGTTTTTATTCAAGGGTTATAGAACTATATAACATCAGCATCTGCGCTATCCTTTTATTGTCTGACTATGTGACTTGCCAGTTTTCATTTGTACCTTTTTAGCACGGGTGGTTTCTATTCTGTGCGTCTCCGGTAGCCCGGAAGATGGGCCCTGATGCCAGCTTACGAGGAACAGGGAGAACCAGTCTGTCGGTCCCAAAACCTTCCCAACCCATTTCCACTTATCTTCACAGACGCCCATGTATTTCTTAATCTCTTCCGTCAGAGATACGGCCCGCAATCACCTGCAGGCTATTTAGACTGTACGGAAGAGTCGGCATTCCTGTAACCAGGGTAGCCTATGGTTTTCAGTCTAGGTGTATACTCCCGTACACATCCTCAGGAAAAGGGGGTATTCTGGGAATCGAACCCAGTATCTTCCGCTTTCGAGCGAACGTGTTACCCTTTACACCATCCAGCCCTTTCCCCGTTTTCCTCCCAAAAATAATTGTTAATTGTGATTTTTTAAAGAAACTAACTATATATTTATTATTTTAAAAATGTTTTTTTAGGAAAAGTCCGATATAGTGTAATGGTTATCACCTCACGCTCTCACCGTGGAAATCGGGGTTCGATTCCCCGTGTCGGAGAGAAATGTCTTTTTTTATTATTATTATTGTTTTATTTTTTTTTTTAAATGAAAACCATTTTGAAATATTATAAATTCGTGGGGTCAATAATTTTAAAAGTACTTGAATATATCTTTTTTTTTTTTAATTTAATTTATAAATAAATAAAAAAAATAACTGTTTTTAAATCAATTAATTTCTTTATCTTTTAAAATCCTTTTTTTTTTTTTAAAGACAGACTCTTCCATTTCCCCATAATTAAGAATTAAAAATTTAAATAATTATGTAATGAATTGCGTCATTCGATTAATCTTGCAGGTTAGGGCAAGATATTATAAATAAATAAAATAAAATTAAACTAAGTTAAGTTAAATTAAATTAACTTTATTAACGTAAATATATATATATATATATATATACAAGAATTGTTAATAAAAAAAAAATTCATTTCAAATTTGAATCTTTTTTTTTTTCTTTTTTTTATAAATTATAAATTATAAATTCTCTTTTTTTATATATATAAAAAAAAAACTTTCTTTTCTTTCTAAAATATCATTATAATAATAATAATTATTATTATTCTTCTTATTCTTTTATTACTAACAAAAAAAAAAAACCCTCAAAGCAATCTCAAAATCTTTTTTTTTTTTTTTTTTTTTATCTTTTTTGAAAATTCTTGTTGAATTAAAAAAAAAAAATTAATAAATAAAATTAAAAATCCATTATTTAGCAGCAGCAGCAACAACAACAACAACAATATGGTCCACGGTTATCCATTCTCAATCGGCTCTTCAGGTTACCCAGTTCCTCTCGGTGGTAAGGACCGACTCATCATCCCAGGCAAAATTGTCATCCATGACTCGGCCTTCTTTAGAATCTTTATGGAAATCGGCAACAGAAGTACAGCCATCAGACTCGGTACTGGATCTTACCCCACAGATTCTCCAAATAATACTACTACTACTACAACAACAACAACAACAACAACAACAAGTACCACTTCCACGGATCAAGAAGATTCCTCTAAATTGACCCACCGTAATATCACCTCCTCCTCAATTGACGTGGCCGTCTTTAATCCAATCCCTTGGGGACCAGAAGCTAAAACCTTTCTTCGTACTCTCGTCCCAGAAGTCCCCACTGATGACGACGTTGTTTCCCATGTCAATGTCAAGTATCTTATTGCTCCTGACTTTGAGCACCATATGGCTCTCAAAAGTTGGAAGGAACAATACCCCAATGCTCGTATTCTAGGAGTCGAGGGGCTTGCTGAAAAGAAGAAAAAAGATGGTGTTCCTGTGGATTATGTCTTTACCGCAGCTGAAGCCTCGGGCAAACTCATTTCCGCACAACTCCTAGAAACAGATTTTGCGCTCAAGGCATCTCTCCCACTCCCAGATGACCTTACCTCTGAATTTGATTTTGTCTACGTCCCCCAGCATCCAAATAAGGAGCTCATTGCTCTCCATAAACCTACAAAAACCCTTCTCACTGGTGACCTTCTCTTTAATCTCCCGGCACACGCTCAATATGCCGCCTACCCCAACTTGAGCCCTGACTCTGGCCTTTCCTTTTTGGCCCGCTACCTATCCATTGATAGTTGGTTTCTCCGTAAGTTGCTTGAAACAATGCCTGCATCTGCTTCAAGCTCCTTGCAAACCATTTACGACTGGGCACCGGAAACCATTATTCCAGCTCACGGTGACATTGTGGTCTCCGACTCGACTGCCCGGTTCGGTCGTCTGTTCCAAAAGTTTATCAAGAAATGAGTTCTTAGAACTGGATTTCTTTGCTATTAAACTGAATCTCAATTTTATCAAACAATCAATCAATTAAACAAAGGTCTTTTTATATAAAAATCTCAAGTAGTTTCTTCACGTGGATTTTTTTAAACCTCCTTATGGTTACATAATCTTTAAACTAGTTGTTTTATCTTATTTTATTTTTTTTTTTCTCCTTTTAAAAATAACTCTTAAACAAAACCACCAGATATTTTTCAATTCTTAAGAAACCTTCAACCAAAAAAAGAAGAAAAAGAAAAGGAAAAAAAAAAAAGAAAAAAAAAATCAAACTGTACAAGCCAATTTCTTCATATACAATGCTCAGAACTTCTGCATGGCAAAAGACTCTCATGCGCAAATGCCATTGCAAACATCCTCCTAATCATCCCGCCTTATCTTTACCCACCATCAATTTACCTCCCCACTATCCCCACCACAGGTTTTTCCATGTAACCCACTCCACACAATACGGCCGCCCGTTCCGCATTTCTCGTGGCATTACTACCCCCAAGGCTTCTCTTAAAGGCCTTCTCACTGCCCTCGCAATCCTCGTCACTTCAGCCTCCGGCTACATTTTTGTCCAAACACAACTTTTCCATGAAAACGTCTTTTTCCCGCTTTACGTCACCCCCAAAGCCCGCCACCCTGTAGGCAAGTTTGTTCCCTCGTCTTCCTCTACCCTCGTAGACTCCTCCCAGCTACTATTGAAAGAAACCTTATGCGATGATCTCACAGATAACAATTCTGTCAGAAAACACCTTCTCGCCCAATTGTACAAACGCCTGGCCGTAGACGAAACAGTCTCGTCAGTTGTTGGCATGCCCGTCACAAGACTCCGCGATTTTGACGAGCTTGATGTCCGCGTTGTAGCAAAACGCTACTGGGTTGTAGGAATCCAATTTCTTTCTCCGGTTTCCCCACTAGCAGCCTCCACAGATGACTCCTCTGCAACCCCACCATCCTCCCAATCAGTTGCTCCAATATACAAGTTTGTGTTCCGCAAACAAGCAAGAGTGTTGCACACAGATTCGGTTGCATCTTTTTTCCGTTCGGCATTTGGGCGTGATCCCATAGGTACAACCGGCGACGACGACGATGGGAAAAAGGGAGGCGATGCAAGCCACGAACTTAACACGATTATCCAGCTAGAAGGCGACGTGCCACAAAATGTGGGCGAGGTAGGTCCCCGGCCCGGTTCTAAACGGCGGCCAGGAGAAGGTGAAGACAATGGACCTGAAGGCGAAAATGAAGGGAACACAGAAAATGGCAAAAATGGCAATAAGAAAAAGAACTTGGAAGACTTGATTCCCCATAAAAACCAGATCCAAATGGTGGCAAGTGGAAGTGTGACGATTCGTGGGCCTGGAGGGATCCATCGGCACGGACACCATAACCATACAACCAGCAATCATGACAACCATAAGCACCAAAAACACAGTTTCCTTTATGATCAGGTTATTATAAAGGGTACACGTACAAATCTTCATGAAGAAGATGACAAAGAAGATGAAGGATTAGGTGAAAAGAGTAATGATGATAATGAAAGGATTACAACAGCCAGTATTAGAATAACAGATGGAGAAAAAGATGACGAAGCAGTTACTGAAGCTAAGCTCGAATTTGTGGCAACAAAAAGCTTGCTACCCAATGAAGTCGGGATTCGCTTCTTGTACACGGCATTGGTGTATACTGATCCACGGACAGGCGAGTCTGTGAGACAGCGGTTATGGTGAGTAAGTGAGGAAATTACGGCGTGCATTGTGTGTATATAAAGAAACACCCTCAACATCATTTCATTTATAAATGTAATTGCATATAAACAAAAAATTAAAAAAAATATTTATTAACTAAATTATTCAAAATTCATTTCTTTACTAGTCTATGTTGATTCCCTTTTAAATCTGAATTGCTTCAGGGTGTTCCACAAAATATTGGATATTGGCATCTCTTGCAAAGACATCCCTCGATTCTTCATTCTTGCGCATTCCAATATTCAATGTCTCTTTGCCCTTGTTGGTATACAATGGCCACGCTTCCAGTTTATTCTTTTCTTCATACTTGCCCGTGTTTGCCATATTGGGATCAAAGTGGTTGGCAAATGAAATAAAGTATCGGCGGTACGAAGGAGCAGGATTAAAGTCAAGATAAAACTGCCACAAAAGCTCACTAGAGTGCATTGTCCCAAATACTGGCATCTTGTTACGAAGAAATGTCGACTGATATACATAGCGAGGTGCTCCTCCATCAGAAACATCCGCAGTATTTTGCAAGTGAAGACGACGGGGGGCCTGGAACATGACATCATTCACAATTGTTGCAAATCGTTTGTGACTGCTCAACAACTCGCCAATTTTAGATTTGGGTTCCGAATTCTGCTTATGGTCTTCCTTGTACATTTCCACAATTTTCTTAAACTGTTCACTAGTTGCATGCTCAAACATCTTGTGCATCAAGTTGTTAACATCAGGAGTACCATGGAATTCAAAAAGTGAAGCAAGAATTGTACCCTCGTCTTCCTGGTTGCCTGTGATAATGGGAATATCTTTTGGAAACTTTCCTTGAGCCATCAATTCCATTGGATTTCCATGAATCAATTTGCCATCATATCTTGGACTGAATCCAAAAACGGCTTTCCAAGGAGTAAGTCCTTGAGTAAATCCTTGAACTGGTGTAGTGATTTCATTTGTATCAATATCTGAGTCAAAGTTCTGAGCCATCATCAGTTCCTTAATTCCTTTATTGCGCAAACATTCCAAAATCTCCTTTTCGGAATTGGTTTCTTGGATGCTTACCATGGTATCCATGCTTGGCTTTTCAATGCACTTTGCATTGTGTGCAAAAATATAAAATGCATCAGTTGCACGCGATGAAGTTACAGAATCAAAACTCCATGCACCACCACTTTGGAAAATAGCTGCATGAAATAACTTCTTGTCACTATCCTCGTTAATTTTCAAGTCACCGTTGTTGGATACCAAATGATGTGCAATGCTAATGGCACCAGCCGACTCTCCCATTGCAACAACATGGTCAGGGTTACCTCCAAAGCTTGCAATATTGTGTGATACCCATTCTAATGCCAATCGTTGATCATATAACCCAGCATTGGTTGAGCCTTCTTCATTGACAGCCTCACCTCCCAAAAATCCAAACGGACCCATTCTGTAATTGAATGAAACAAAAATCACCTTTTGGTCCATGTCAATGCTATCGCGGATATACTTATTACCCGGATACATACTAGCGGCTCCAAACTGGTAAGCACCGCCATAAATCCACACAATGACGGGTAAGTTATCAGAAGGTTTAGTACCTTTGGGACGCAATACATTAATTGTCAAGCAGTCTTCATCCATTTGCTTGATGTTGAGGTTTTCAAGAAGTGCAGGACGCAACTTGGGAGGAACCATTTCCAAGAACTTTTTAGTAGGATCAGTAAGACCCAAGAAGTGAGAGGCCACACAAGATGGACCATACTCATTGGCTTTAAATTTGTTGAGAGAGCCAGAATAAGGAACAGGGTGACGGAATCGCAAGTCTCCAATAGGAGGATCAGCAAATGGGATCCCCTTAAAAGCTTCGGTAAACTTATCATCAAGGATACCCAAGATTTTATCGTTGTTAGGGAGAACGACTTCAGGAGGGTAAGAGTCTGTGGGGGTTTTTTTCCAGTTGAATAAGTTTGAAACAATTCCAGCTACAGAGACCAGAGAAGAGGGAGAGTCAGTTGAGGTGTGAGATAGGTTGTTTGTAGAGTTGAGGAACCGGGTAGTTCCAGAGGTGGATGGGTTAAAGAGGGGAGCAGCCATAGCTAGGCCAGAGAGCATCATAACAGAGAACTTCATTGTTTAGTTAAGATATTTGAAAAAATTAATAGAAATGTAATAGAAGCGAAAAGGAAAACAATTAAAAGATTAGAAGTTATTGAATTTAAAATATCAGTCAGAGCAGAATTGATTAGATTGATGAAGAAAAAAAAGTTAGAAAATTGGGGAGATTTCAGGTCTTTTTATACCTAAAAAAAGTGAATTTTGGTAACGAATCCATTATTTTCCAACTTCAATACCAATTCAAGATATATTTTATGGTATAAAGACATTCAGTATTTTAAATTTCATGCCTTTTAATGAACTTCTGTTCATTTCCATCTTTTAGAATAAGAATTACCTGGACTTTATTTCCCTAGCATTATTTTCGTATTCACATTATTTTCAAGTTTCGAATACTCATGTTGTCGTTTAACGTTTCTTCAAAATTCTTTACCGAATTGTTCATTATTAATTAACTATTATTAAGAATTTAATGTAATTTCAATTCTTCAATTTCCATTAAGTTCTAATTATCTTTTTGTGTTGTGGTTTGTGGAAAACTTCATTTGCATGATTTTCCTATATTCGTCTTTCATGAAAATCCAAAAATCCCTTTAAATATAAATGTTATAACGTTTATGTTTATAAAAGGAATTAAATTCATTATTCTTGTGAGATTTATACCATTTCTGTTTATTGCAAAATTCTTTTTCAACATTTATTACAAAACAATAAAGTTCATAAATGTTTCTACATCATGCCTAGAATTTACATTAAATGCTTAACATCACTTCATGCCCAAGCCTACCATGGGTTAAGCCAACCTGCAAAAGTTTTATCCACATTTTTCAATGGAACTAATTCCATAGACTCATTTCCCAGCACATTGAATTTGTCATATTTATCCAAGTACGTTAACCTATTCTTCAAATCAATGCACGCTTCCACTGGCATCAATAGTTCTTCCGTCAACTCCGAATACGAGTAGGAAATATATGGCACATTAGGCAAATTATCCTTCCATTCTCCATTTCTCATTTCCTCCCGAGATACTTTAAACGTTATCCTCACTTGCTCAAGTGAAGTCGATGACAGTTCGGTCAATCGATGTAATTCACTGGAAAACCAGCGCATGACATAGTCTTGATACTCAATGTGAAGATGAGTCACTAATTTAGTATTGCCAATAAGATACAAAATTTCCTCTAACATGAGATGCGGTAGAATAGTAGAACAAGGACACTTGCCATTGAATATATTGAGAAGCCCGGCCTCAATATCTTCTTCGGAAATAGAGTCTGGTTGTGGAAGGCCCTTGGCCAAAATGTAACCCAAACTAAACGTGTGGTCACGAGCCCTCGAGTATTGAGACTTCGTGATTGAGTTACTGGCATAGAGTTTTTCAAGTAAAGGCTTTATATTTTTTTTAAGGCTTTTGCCAATTCTTTTAGCCCGTCTTTCACTTTCTTGGCGATCATCACGGTTAATTCTATAGTCACCGTGATGGGATCCAATTTCAAATGAAGTTTCAAGTTTAAAGTACACCCGAATGTGCTTTACAGGGTAGATTCCAAGCATCTGTTCCAAAGCTTTAAGACTTCGGTCGTCAAAGGGAGTGTGTTCATCAATCACAAATTCAAGAAATTTAGGATTGTTGCATTTCAACCTTGAGTCGTGCCTTATCAAAGTAGGCACTATATTTGTCGAATAGCGGAGATACGGAGTAACAACTGTAGACAATCCGTGTAGATTAGTAAATTTAAAGTACCGTAAAAAGTCATAAAAGTAAAATTTCTTAGACTTGTTGACAAAATGAGTCACAATGGGTGACTGCACAAACGTCCTTTCTGAAATCAAATTAACAGAATCTTGGACAGCCCTGAAAAACGTAGCTGGCCTGGGTATCATTAGTGTACACTTGTACAACTTTGGACACATAGAATTGTTCAGTTTATTAAGTGACTCTATAGCCGGTGGAACAAACCGTGATGGCATTGTAGTGTCCACCATTATCCATACAATCTTCAGCTTCTCGAGTGCTGGAAACATTTTGGGGACTAAGTCTGCAAGCGAATAATTGCTGCGTCTGTTCACTACCATTGTCAACCATTTGAGCTTAGGCAAAACATGGATAGTAGTATCTGAAAATACAATATTTGATGCATCAACCAGCAGTGTGGTTTTTACCAAATTATCTTTAAAGTTCAAAAACCAATTATTTTCCCATTTAATGGCCGAATCTCTCACTTGTCGAAGAACTCCGTGATACTCAGTATTGTATATATGAGGCCGTAGAATCTCAAGTTCTGGCCACCCGGGATGTTTGGCCATTAATGAATGTCCCCATTTGCTTAACAGAAAAGACATTGAAGAGCTATAATTTAATTCAATAATAATTTTTGTCAAGTTTGGAAATAATTGTAGTTCAAATGGTTTGTTAGTAATATCATTGTACAAGAGACTACTAAGATCAAAATGCAAGTCATTCGTAGTCTCGTGCAAGTGGAGCGTCTTAATCAAATGAAATGGAATCCAAGAAAACCGATTTTCACTTTGAACCGCTTTAAAGGGAATAAATCGCATATCCTTACGAGTTGTATGGACCCAACACATTTCCGGCATAACCAAAACATGGCTCCAGTGCAAAGAATGGTATTTGCTGCGCAACAGAGTGTTTGTGTGAGATATTACTCGGAGGTCTCTTCTACTAAGATATTGTGAAATGCAAAAATGCATTTCCATAGGTAAATCTTCTAATGTCAACATTTTGATTTGGTTTAATATTGGTGATTTGAACTGATGAAGTTATCTATTTTTTAAAAGGGGGAAAAAAAAAAGTCGTGAAAATGAAAAAATATCACCCCTCTTTTATAAAAAAAAGTTATTTTCTTTAATCATAAAAAATCTAATAAGAAAAAATTCTGTTACTGTTTATTTTTAAATTAAAATTAATTTTTGACAAGCTTTTAAATGCTTGTCAAATTTCTACGTTAGTTAGCATGATATTGGCATTTTTTTTAAACACAAAGTTCGATAAAAAAAAAACAATTTAGAAGTTATTTTTAAAAAGAACTTCATTAAAAAAACAGCAGATTTATTTTCCAAACAAAACCAGTAAAGTTCTTATCCTGCTGATTAAATTAATGAATTGAAAAAGGATCTGAGCTATTATTTTCGATCTTATTTAGTTGAAACACATTACCAAATTTTTATTTTTGGGTTCTGTCTACATATGCTATAGTATCTGAATGTCACTATGGCATACCTATTCATTATATACAAAATTTTGTATATAATGAAAATAATTAGTTTCATTCTTCATAATGGCAAATTGTTTTTCAAGAGTTACAAAAGTGCCTTATTAAATTGATGTTTATGTATTTCATAGACTTATAGACTAATTTCTGCTTGAAAGATAAATGATTTTTTTTTTGAAAACTATATGAAATATTATGGTCTAAATAAAGCATTTGCTAAATCTAATATGAAACTGAAGTGCAAACATCCCATCAAAAAAATCAATTCAGCTAGTCAATCCGGTTAGCAGTTATATATGAAAAATATTAATTGTCTTTAAACCAGAATTGAAAAAAAAATTTATTGTGATTCCATAACAATGACAAAGGTCTAGTAATTAATGACTTTGAAATAAGATCTGTATCACAGCTATTAATCTAGTCAGCGAGTGAAAGTAAGTTGACTTTTTAAGTGCATAAATACCACCGAAAATAATAAATGAGTAATTTTTTTATTCCAGTACCAGCCTTCAGATTAAGCTGATTAACTTTCAAATAAGTTTTTTGAATTTTTTGGATTTCCCAAAAGATGTGCATAATTTTTTTTTCATATGCAAAGTAAGTAAGTGATGCTTAATGAAAATATCAAGAAATTCAGAATATAGTTCCATTTATTCTTAGAATAATTAACTGGCCAACGAAATTAGACAAAATCTATACTGTTAAATTTAATTTTGGATAAACCAGGTGGCAATATCCGGTAAACTTTTAGGAATTCTTTAGTAATGTTAAAAAACGTGACCTCTAAAAACCAAGAGATCAAATTTAATAAAAGTCTTAATTAGGGAAGTTACATCAAATTTACTTTGATGATAGTAGTCATAAGTCAAATAGTCATTAAGAGATATTCAGGGATGTGAATTACGTTTGATTGTTCTAACGGATTATTTCAAAGTTTGAAAATTCAGGAACAACTGCAAAAAAATTGGGGCGACAAATTGATAGAAAAGATTTCTACTTTTGCCTTTGAAAATATTGATGATGCCAAAATCTTTCACAAGTCTTCAAACAGGAATTTTGAAACAAGTAAACCTAGATGAGTTGTATTGTGGGATATTATGCTCGAATTTGTAGCCCGATCTTTTAATTTGTAATCAAATTTTCTTTTCTCTACCGATCAAAATCTAAGACTCAATCGCGGACAGAGTGTGCTTAAATTTTTAATTAAAAATATAAGGTAGAAACATTAATTGAAAAGTGTGTAATTTCATTTATTAATCAATTGTGCCTGCTATCAGTTTAAGAGTTGGCCTATTTTCTTGAAACGATATTAATTACAAATAGTGAAGCAAACAAAGATCACTGTAAAAAATTTCTTTTAAAACAAATTTGTAAAAATGACAATAAAACAAATTCTTTAAAGTAATAGATGTTAAATTCTATTAATTTAAAACAAGCAAGAGCTTGAGGCTGCAGATTATTTACTTTTGACAAAGCCCTGTGTGATTAGGCTAGTTCGTTTAATTTAACAGTACTCTGATATATTATTAAACGAATTGCACACACATTGGAGCTGTCAAAGGTTGTAAAGTATTTGTTCAAGTTGACTCACACTGAGTCATCGTGCTACTATGTGTTATGGGTTGTTGGACAGGAGAATCCTCTAAAACAGGCTCATCTTGCACTGTACTCTTCTGCTCGCCAGGTATTGTACAATGGCATAAAGCTTCAGCTTCTTGATTTAGATTAATCTACATACCATATTGTATGTAGAAGAAAAAGTGGGTTACGTAAATAAATATATTTTTTTATATTTATGGTTAAAGAATGGTTGAATCAGTAAAGTCGCTTCTTTTAATACTAAATGAGACTCAAAGGGTTGTTTACATCTATTAATAAACCCTAGCCCTTGAGGGATCGTTGTAAATTGTACTGTTTTTTAAGAAAATTTTCTGAAACTCCTGAAAAACACCAACAAAAAATCGATTCTAAGTTGTTCGTTTTGAGCCTTTTAAAATCGATTTTAACATAATATTATGTTATAATCTGTTTCTTACACCTAATTAGGTGTTTTTATAAAATCGATTTTAACCTCAAATATTATCACAACTTAAAATCGATTTTGAGTCCAATTTTTTCTACAACATAAAATCGATTTTAAGCCCAATATCATCACAACATATAATTGTTTAAATGACGAAATGATATTAGCTATTTTTAAAATATTTCTTTAATTATTATAATCAACTATTTATATTTTTTTAAATTGTTCATCTTTCATTCTATATTAAGTGAGTCAAAAATTGATTTAAATTTGAATTGCTTCAGGGTGTTCTACAAAATATTGGATATTGGCATCTCTTGCAAAAACATCCCTCGATTCTTCATTCTTGCGCATCCCAATATTCAATGTCTCTTTGCCCTTATTGGTATACAATGGCCAAGCTTCCAGTTTATTCTTTTCTTCATACTTGCCTGTGTTTGCCATATTGGGATCAAAGTGGTTGGCAAATGAAATAAAGTATCGGCGGTACGAAGGAGCAGGATTAAAGTCAAGATAAAACTGCCACAAAAGCTCACTAGAGTGCATTGTCCCAAATACTGGCATCTTGTTACGAAGAAATGTCGACTGATATACATAGCGAGGTGCTCCACCATCAGAAACATCCGCGGTATTTTGCAAGTGAAGACGACGGGGGGCCTGGAACATGACATCATTCACAATTGTTGCAAATCGTTTGTGACTGCTCAACAACTCGCCAATTTTAGATTTGGGTTCCGAATTCTGCTTATGGTCTTCCTTGTACATTTCCACAATTTTCTTAAACTGTTCACTAGTTGCATGCTCAAACATCTTGTGCATCAAGTTGTTAACATCAGGAGTACCATGGAATTCAAAAAGTGAAGCAAGAATTGTACCCTCGTCTTCCTGGTTGCCTGTGATAATGGGAATATCTTTAGGAAACTTTCCTTGAGCCATCAATTCCATTGGATTTCCATGAATCAATTTGCCATCATATCTTGGACTGAATCCAAAAACGGCTTTCCAAGGAGTAAGTCCTTGAGTAAATCCTTGAACTGGTGTAGTGATTTCATTTGTATCAATATCTGAGTCAAAGTTCTGAGCCATCATCAGTTCCTTAATTCCTTTATTGCGCAAACATTCCAAAATCTCCTTTTCGGAATTGGTTTCTTGGATGCTTACCATGGTATCCATGCTTGGCTTTTCAATGCACTTTGCATTGTGTGCAAAAATATAAAATGCATCAGTTGCACGCGATGAAGTTACAGAATCAAAACTCCATGCACCACCACTTTGGAAAATAGCTGCATGAAATAACTTCTTGTCACTATCCTCGTTAATTTTCAAGTCACCGTTGTTGGATACCAAATGATGTGCAATGCTAATGGCACCAGCCGACTCTCCCATTGCAACAACATGGTCAGGGTTACCTCCAAAGCTTGCAATATTGTGTGATACCCATTCTAATGCCAATCGTTGATCATATAACCCAGCATTGGTTGAGCCTTCTTCATTGACAGCCTCACCTCCCAAAAATCCAAACGGACCCATTCTGTAATTGAATGAAACAAAAATCACCTTTTGGTCCATGTCAATGCTATCGCGGATATACTTATTACCCGGATACATACTAGCGGCTCCAAACTGGTAAGCACCGCCATAAATCCACACAATGACGGGTAAGTTATCAGAAGGTTTAGTACCCTTGGGACGCAATACATTAATTGTCAAGCAGTCTTCATCCATTTGCTTGATGTTGAGGTTTTCAAGAAGTGCAGGACGCAACTTGGGAGGAACCATTTCCAAGAACTTTTTAGTAGGATCAGTAAGACCCAAGAAGTGAGAGGCCACACAAGATGGACCATACTCATTGGCTTTAAATTTGTTGAGAGAGCCAGAATAAGGAACAGGGTGACGGAATCGCAAGTCTCCAATAGGAGGATCAGCAAATGGGATCCCCTTAAAAGCTTCGGTAAACTTATCATCAAGGATACCCAAGATTTTATCGTTGTTAGGGAGAACGACTTCAGGAGGGTAAGAGTCTGTGGGTTTTTTTTTCCAGTTGAATAAGTTAGAAACAATTCCAGCTACAGAGACCAGAGAAGAGGAAGAGTCAGTTGAGGTGTGAGATAGGTTGTTTGTAGAGTTGAGGAACCGGGTAGTTCCAGAGGTGGATGGGTTAAAGAGGGGAGCAGCCATAGCTAGGCCAGAGAGCATCATAATAGAGAACTTCATTGTTTAGTTAAGATATTTGAAAAAATTAATAGAAATGTAATAGAATAAGCGAAAAGGAAAACAATTAAAATATTATAAGTTATTGAATTTAAAGTATCGGTCAGAGCAGAATTGATTAGATTGATGAAGAAAAAAAAGTTTGAAAATTGGGGAGATTTCGGGTCTTTTTATACAGCAGTTTTGAGATAGGACATTTGGATGTGACTTCTCTGTTTTTTATTCTTTATACCAAATTAAAACGGTGAATATTGTTTTCGGGTAGTATTCGTTAATTTCAATTTCATGCTTGTTTTTGAACCTTTAGGTGTCTCTCAAATCAAATAGTGATCTTCTCTTTTTATTAGTTCTTGCATTACTTTTCCATTCACATTATTTTAACCTTTTTAAGCCATCTTTACCTTGTTTTTTAATTTTTTTGCGAAAAATTCTTTATAACAATTTACATATTTTTCTTTTTTTTATTATTATTTATTAGATCAACTGACAGAGAGGTTCATGAATACGTAAGTACACATTAAACTGTCATTTTTACTTATAATTTTATTGCTTTAGATATATATATATATCTAAAGCAATAAAACTATATAGTAACTATATCTGATAAAATAGTTGGCATTAAATAATTTTTCTTTGTATTATTCAACTTATAAATACCTAGTATGAAATTGACAATATTATCATACACTTTATATATAAATTCAAAGAACAGCTAAAACTAGTAGTAGTAATTACTTGATTTGGTAATCAATTTAAGTTATTACTAGATAATAGTTTCAGAAAACTTAATCTTATGCTTATAGAAAAAAAATGACTATCTACAAAAGTTTTATTTAGCCTTATTAACATATTTATTCATTGATGCATTTAACAAAATAAGCGCTATAGTTGCCTTAACTTCATGTTGTACAAAATGTTATATTTAATCATAATTATCAAGTATTGTCTAATAAAATTACAAGGAACTAGTTATAACACAACATTGTAATTGTGATATTGCCATTCATGTGAATTTTATGTCAGATAGTAAAACTCTGAAATCTAATCTACCTGTATCAAGCTTGGTGTTTAACACTGAGGTAAAGTTTTACAACATTTCTAAACTATGAACAACATTCATAGTAAAAATATGTTTAACAGTCAAATTTACAACCTTTATATACTCATATCAGAAGATGTGGAAGCAAATTTCATTTACAAATCCTCAAATGTTAATCGATAAACATAAACATAAATATAAATATAAAAATTAATAAAATAAATTAATTATTTAACAATTACTTATTCAATATTACAAACTTTTATTTAATTTTCTTTCCCATCCAAATTTTTTAATTAATTTTGGAATTGATGAATTAATTTCAAATTTACATTTAAATGTAACTTCCTTCTATTTTCCATCATATTAAAATTCCACCATTAGCATTAGAATACTTAAATCCATCCATAGAAACCACGGTTGGCTTGTTTCATTGAATCCATTGCAAATGTGCAATTACCCCGACGTGATAATTTTATAAACTTATCAACATATGTCACCTTACGGTGCAAATCATAACACGCTCCTACTTGACTTCTTCCATTTGGTTTATGATTGCCATAAAAGTATGAAACATATGGAACAATTGGAATCTCATTTTTCCAAAACTCTCTCGTCTTTTCACACTGCAAAATTTCAAAAGTTGTAAAAACTTGCTTGAGATTAGGAGATGGATTCTTAATGATCTTTTTTAACTCAACAGAAGGAGATCGTAATTTGTAATCAATAATATCAATATTCAAATAATTGATACCGTTTGATCCTCCAGCAAGCCCAATAATCTTTTCAAAAACATCCTCACCTTCAGGAAGACGATTTGATTCACAACAATACTTTTTACTGTTTAAGCTCAAATAGTTTTCAATATTCTTTTGAGTGAAGTTTAGTGGGGGTAAAGAAGATGAAAAGACACACATAATATCTTGAGCCAAATTTCGTTGACACTCAATAAATTCAGTAAACTGATACTGAGTGATGATGTTATTTTTGCGAAGTCTCAAAAGTACAGGCATTAATTTTCTGAACCCAGGGTAATCATAATCATTACAAGGATTATCAATTAATGAACTCTTAATAATTTCACTTGATTTTTGTCTAGACCAAAGTGGTAGCTCATATGCTATGCCCGTAAACGGCTTGGAGTAAGTCCAAAATATAGAGCTAAGTTGTAATCTAAGATTCTTCACATGTGTACTTTGAATGAGTTGTCGGTAAAATCTCATTTCTTCAGTATCGAGACGAGAAGAAGGATGAACCACAAGTTCAAGCGTGGAAAATTTCCATTGTTTCTCTTTGTCCCATCCAGAATACATGAAACCAGGTTGATAGTTTCTTTGGTAGTCGGAGACTATCAATGACACATTGTCAAGATTTGGGAATTGAAACGAACGGTAGAATTGCAAAAGATTTAACGATGTTGCTTTATTTACAAAGTGTGTAACAATTGGTGAATTTACAATAACCTCATTAGTTGGTTCACGTGGTTCGTTGCTATATTGATATTTGTTTTGTGGAATCACCAATGTGCATTTGCATAATTTACGGTTAAAGTTATTGTTAACCTTGTTGAGTGACACAATGGCTAAAGGAACATTTTTATTAGGATTTAACAAATCGTTTACTTCCCAAATGATTTCAAGTTCTTCAAGATTAGGGGTATTACTGGGGAGAATTTTAGCAAGTGAAAAGTTACTGCTATTATCAACAATAATGCTCAATGAGCGCAACTTTGAATAGCAAATGATTTTATCATATTTGGAAAACAATAGTTCAGTGGCGTATTGTGTGAGACTAGTTTTGGAAATGAATCTATTGTAAACTTCCAATATGTTTCCTTTATAATTATCAATTAGATCAATTGGGTCTGATATTTGAGCTTGATAATCTAATTGCCAAAGATCGGGGTGTTTGATCTCAACCTCCGGCCACCCTGGCTTCCCTTCCATAAATAATAATGATCGAACCCATTCATTTTTTAAAAATTGGCTACTTGACAAGTAATTAAGATTCACAATAATCTTTTTTAATTTGGGAAACAACTTTTTGTTATATGGAAGAGATGTTTGTTTGGAGATTATTTCAAGAGCTTCAATACCAAAGTTATTGTTAGGATTACCAAACTCAATTGATTCGATCCATCCGTATGGGATATGATCAAGCTTTTGATAAAGAGCCGTAATAGGGATGTTTAGGCGATCTTTAGGATTAATATTTAAAGCTGAGGTCCTTCGATCTACAAGAACATTTTTCCATGCCATGGGCCAATATTTTCTCTGAAGATCAGGACAAGTTTTGGAAACAGAGATAATATCCTTTACAGAAAGATAATTTGCAATTAAATAGTGAAGTTCCAGAGGCAACATAGTGAAAAAGCAGTTGCTACTAGAATTGAGTTGATTGGAAGTCATTTTTTTTGAAGTTATAAGTTATTAGTTTTGATTAGTGAACAAATTACTTATTATTGTTTAACTTTTTTGATGATTTGATGATTTATGATTTGATGATTAGATGATTAGATGATTAGATGATTTGAAAAAAAAAAAAAAAAAAATTGGAAATTGAAGGGATTTTTCTTGCTTTTATAGCAGATTTTTCAGTTATTTTTATGACTAAGATATTATATGTTTTCCTTTTGCATTATTTTAATCTTTTCGTTATATGGTAAAGGGCCAAGGAAGCTCTGTTGTCAGAAGTGTATTTGGTTGAGGCAATGAAAGTTATCTTTAGTTTGATACTATAGAAAGGAATTGCATTACATCGGTATTCCTACTTTTATGCTAATTGCATATATATAGTATAGTCGAATATATTTAAAAGAACTTTTCTGATAGAATAAAAATTTCAAAATTTAGGCTATTTATCTAAAATATCTAAAGTCAATGCTTATGGTCAATTATACTCAATTTTTTTTATTCTGAAGCCAAAATAATATCAAGAATGCAGAAATGATGCAACCACCATTGAAATGGTAAACTTTGAATAAAAATTTTAAACTAATGCATTTTAATATCGGTTTATTGATTTTTAGTTCCTTGTGTACAAAAACTTCGTTTTAATGCAAAAAAAAACTTGGTTAACATGGGAAAAAAATCAATTAATAAATTAATTAATTCATTAATTAATTCATTAATTGATTGATTTTTTCTGGTGTTAACCAATTATAAGGAATAAACAATTACAAATTTATATGTTATAGATTATAGATTATAGATTATAAATTATTAAATATATTTAAACAAAACTAACATTTATTAATAAAATTATAAATTAAAACCATCCATCAAAGTTTACATCCACTTCGTTTAGTGGTTTCCAAAAATTATATGAATTATGTCTATTTAAACTTAAATAGTAAGGATCAATCAACTTCCCTTGTTGAGTCGTATTGATACACACTTGAACTGGGGTATCTCCGTAGCGATCTTGTTTCCCATAGTTATAGTGTAACCATGGTACACCTGGCAAATCAGTTTTCCAATTCTCTTCTTCTATTTCTCTGTGTGTCAAGTTGAATGTAAGTAGAATTTGCTTGGTGGTATATATTGGCATTTTTGATAAAAAATATAATTCAGAAGAATAGACTTTAGTGCGTGGATTTCTGAAATCGATATTGATATATTGAATTGATTTATTTTTGCTTGAAATATGAAGAATCTCTTCATAAAACATTCCATAATGAACAACTCGATCTAAATTTTTTTTGTTGTATATTTCTTTTATTGCAAATTCAATATCCTCTTCTGAAATACTGCTAGGTTCACCAATTCCCATTGCAATAATGTATGTCAAAACGTGAATATTCTCCATGGAATTGAAATACTTAAACCTGTCAATTATGTTTTCGTCATTAAGCTTATCAAGTATCAAAGCAGTAGGTTGAACAAGTTCACGCGCATATTTTGACATTGTCTCTTTACTCACTGGTAAAGCACGAGACTGAAAAGACAAGCTTTCACAAATGTGACGTGTATTTCTTTTGAATCCTACATCAATGGTTAACTTGAGCTGAGTAATTGATAGATCGACAATTATATATTTCAAAAGCTTTAAGGTATTGTCATTGAATGGAGAATTATTATTGATAATAAGTTCAAGTAGTTTTGGGCGATTCCATCCCAATTCTTTGTTTATTGGAAGAGGACAAACAAAATCAGCCTCAGAGTAACGAATATGAGAAGTAACTACCAGTGACATCATGTGTAGATTTGGAAATTTAAAGTAACGGTGAAACTGAGAAATATCAATCATTGGTGAATTAATAATGATATGAGTCACAATTGGAGCTCTAACAACCACACGATCAGGCTCAGGAAGATAATCATTGGAATATGATGAAGTTTTTTTAGGAATTGTAATTGAACATCGGCGTAAATTTGGAAATGACTTTGTGTCAAGTTTGCCAAGAGAAGATATGGCTTGTGGAACTCTTTTGCCTGGATTCATAGAATCATCTATTATCCAAATAAGTTCAAATTTTTCAAGGGCAGGAGCCATATGTGGAAGACTAGTATTAAATGAAAAACTGCTTTCTTCGGTAATGACTGTGGTCAAAAAACGTAAATTTGGGGTTATAAAATCAATTTTGCTTTTAAACAAAATATTGACGCATTTTGCCAAAAGACTTGTGCAGAAAAGATTATTATTATACTTCTCAACCCATTCATGTTCCAAAAGATATTCAAATTCTAAATCTGAGTCGGACTCACGCAGATAATCTGATGCTTCAATAGGGAGCCGTCTAACTTCAAGTTTAGGCCAACCAAGTTTTTGTTCCATAAGAGATTTCCCCCAATTTTCCGAAAAAAATGAGACACTTGCAGAATGGTGTAAATTGACAATAACTCTATCAACATTAGTGATCAACTCTCTAGGAAATGGCTCCTCAATAACGTGCTCATATATTTTCAAATATAAATCGGAAAACTCCAAGTTTGTAGTCTGGTGAAGTTCAAGAGTTTTAATGAGATGGAACGGTATCCATGAATACTTTTTGGTTTTTCTTAAGCAGATAAAAGGGATTGTACGGAAATTTGTAGAAATCCGTTTCAAAGCATGAGGGTGAGGAACCACAAGACAATACCTCCATTTCAAGTATTTATACTGGTCGCGGAGCTTTGAGTTAGTTCTTGACATATTAATACAGTCATCAGAATTAAGATATTCTGAAAGACATATATGAACTTCTGGTGGAAGATCATCTATTTTAGTTGTTATAAGATTGGTTTCGTTCATTTTCAAAGGACATTAAGTTGGTTAAATGTTTTTAGAAATTTATTAAAAGAAAAAAAGTTTTGTTGAAAGAGGGGAAAAAGAGAGAGAGAGAGAGAGAGAGAGAGAAAGCTAAATTTAAATGTAATTTTCTATTCTACCTAACATAATTTTTCTCTGATTTTCAAAGCATTAATCTAAGATTTTGGAAATATTTCACAGCGATCAGGATTCTTGCTTCGCAATTAATTGCTTTCTTTAAACCTCTATTTAATGCTGATTCTTATTTTATTTTTAGATTTTTAAATAGTATACATTTCTTTTGATTTTTTTGGGCTTGCATGTTACAGATACTTCAAAAGATAATGAGATTGATGTAAAATCTAAATTTACATATATTTAAAAATAAATCCCATGTAAGATTATGTGGTACTTTCTTCTAAAAAGTCATGCTCATATAGTAGTTCACTATTCAAAGTTGTAGCCAGCCATTAAAATCTTTTTTCGAAATCTCCCAAGAATCCCATAGTGGATCCGATGATGCTTCCTTATTTACTCTTTCTTTCATTAAGTGGCATTTATGTTCCAAATCAATACATGTTTGAACAATTCTTTCATTATCTCTCTTCTCGCCAAACACAGTATAAGTGTTAGGAGAAAAGGGCAAATCTTTTATCCATTCGTCATTTTTTAGTTCCAATTCAGGAACACGGGAACTTAAAAGAACCTGTTTCAGTTGGTGCAAAGATTCTGATTCAATTATATTGTTTAGTGCAGGTGAAAAGTATCGAGAAAGGGTATTGAGAATGTCAAAGTGTAAATATTCAAGAGACTTGCTTTCATTTGCTAGAGACAAAATAGTCTCCGTAACCAGAGTAGGGTATATTAATCCGCGATAAAGTCCAACCATAAAAACATCCCACAATTCTTGGTCAACATCTTGAAGAGATAAAGGATCCTCAAACCCATTTAGTACCACCTCAGTAATAGATGAAATGTTCTGCAAGCAAGTTCCAAAAACAAAAACGTCCATCACGTCTAAAGCATGTAATTCGTCAATAGCTTCAATGACAAGGGATTTAAGCTTATCATTTGAACTATCTAGTGGTTGATCGGTTTTTGAAATATCGCGCATTAAGTGGGAGATTCCTCGGAACAATACTCCAGATGGTTTCATTTTCTCTGAATCAAGCGTCACCTTAACTCTTTTTAATGATTGGTCAGCAAATAAGTACCTTATAAGATCAATTAGTTTCTTGTCAGTTGTGCTTCGCTCAGTAATTACAAGTTCAAGAGAATGTGGTCGGTTCCATTTAAAAACAGCGTCAGTAGCCATGGGGTCTGGTAATGGTTTGAGGGTATAAAGAACCATTGATGTAAGGACGATCGACATATGGTAAAGATTTGGGAATTTAAAGCAATGTTGGAACTGAGAAATGTTGAGTGCACGAGACTTAATTTCAATGTTAGTAACGATTGGTGCAATGATAAGAACAGGAAGTGATGCTAAGTTAAATTCGCCCGAGAGATCGGCATCAACATTAGGAATCTCTAGCGTGCACTTGAGCAGTTGCGGTAGTGATGCTGGATTTAAGTCGTTTAACGAAACAATTGCAGGTGAAAGGTTGTTGCATGGGTTGAAAGGGTCTGGTATCATCCAATGAATATTAAGGTTAGTCAAGGCTGGAGTCAATGTAGGGAGAGATGCAGCAAGCGAAAATCTACTTTGAGATGTGATTGTGATTGTCAGGTCTCGCAAAAAGCCTAGGACAATGGGTTCAGGGTTTGCAAAAAAAGATCTTGTACTTTCAGCTAATAGATGACTTTTAGAAATATTTTTTTCAAGTCTAAATATCCATTGGTGTTCTTGATCAAGGTCGACGGTGCTTTCACGGTCCTCGTCGTCTTCTAAATCTTCAATCGGCGGTCGTCGAATATCAAGAATAGGTCCGTTTGCTTCAGTAAGTGATCTTGCCCAAACTGATTGAACAAATGCAGGTGTCGAACGGTAGTTCAAGTTTACAATTGTGCGAGTTACTGAAGGAAAGGTGGCGTGGGGGTACGGAGTGCGAAGTGCTTCGACAAAGGACCACATTGCCTTGTCCACTTTTTCATTGTTTGTAGACTCGTCAAATTCAAGGATTTTGATAGCATCAGCTGGAATCCACGAGTACTTTTCAGGAGCTGTGGCGGCTGCAATTGGAATAGCACGAGAATGCTGATAAGTTGGAACCAAAGCACCAGGGGAATGTGGTAACACAAGACAATAACTCCATCGTAAGTCTTTGTACTTTTGCCGGAGAGTAGTACAAGTCTGAGCAAGAGAAGCACAATCTCTTGGAGTAAGAAATTCAGACAGGTATATGTGCGTGTCTATAGGTAAGTCTTTGAAAGTTTGCATAGTTTAGAATTTGAGAACTTGAGAACTTGAGAACTTGAGAACTTGAGTTGCTTAGAAAAAAGATTTAAGATAATCGGTTAAGAAAAAAAATTCTAGAAAATATATATTTATATCACGTGACATTTTCTTAATCACAATAGCCTTGCAATACAACTGATCAGCTGATATATCAGTTGGGTGCTTCTTCATATATATGAAGAAGCACCCATAAGGCAACTCAAAACCAAGATCTAAACTGAAAAAAAAAAAAAAAAAAAAAACTTAATTTAATTTTATATATAGGTTAATACCAACCTGCAAAGTTATCTTCCAGCATTGTATTTCCCCATAGTGAATCAGAACTTTCATTTACCACTTCTTCTCTCCCAAAAACTTTCCGTGGATTTTTCAAATCATAACAAACCTGAACAATTCTATGATCAAAATCTGAGAATTGTTTATATCCAATTATAATATCTCTAATTGTCATTTCTGGAAGATCATTATACCATGGAGAGTTGGGTTGAATAAACTCTTTTTCTGGAACACGCAAAGTTAAGAGAACCTGCTTCACGGACTGATTAATGGGATTTAGATCAGGGTTGTTCTTTAGAAATGGAATTAATTTTTTAAAAATACTCGGGCTTTGTTTGGTTTGTTTAATCACTTGTAAATTTATTAAGTCATTTAGTGCAGGTGAAAAGTATCGAGATGCAAAACTCCAAACATCGAGATGAATGTATTCTAAGCTTTGGCTTTGGTTTGCCACTCGAAAAATACATTCCATTACAAGAGTTGGGATGATAGAATCCAATGAGATTTGGTATTGGGAGAACTGGCGACTATAATCATAAATTTCTGAGAGCATAAATGGATTAGTGAAACTTTTTTCAATGGTATGTGAAAAAAAATCAATTGTTTGTTTTGGAATATTTTGTTTTCTATCGTCACCTAATACTTGCAAAATTGAAGATTGGATTTTACTTTTAAACTTTTTAAAAGATTCCTTTTTTTCTAGGACCTTACGTAATTGATGAGATGCAGGTCGGAAAAAAGAACCAGAATGATGAATAAAGTGGGTATTCATTGTAACTTTAAGCCTTTTTGGCCCTAAACTGACAAGAAGATAGTTTAAAATTCCATATATCTTAGCATGCATTGCACATTTATGTGAAACAACAATTTCAAGAATTGACGGGCTATTCCATTTTGTTGCAGAGTTTGCTGTTAAAGGATCGGGTAATTCTTTCCAACTTGTAAAATCAATATCAGTAAGGCACAGGGACATAAATTTCAAGTTAGGGAACTTAAAACAGGTTTCAAAATCACAAATGTTAAGGAATTCTGAATGCAAGAGTAGATGAGTAACAATTGGTATTGTGACTGGTGTTATAGGATTTCGATCAGGACTGGATTCACTGAAATTTTCTGCTGTAGTTTCAAACACACATTTTTTAAGTGACGGGAAAGACTCGGGCAAAATGTCACATAAAGCAATAACAGTTGGGTAAATATCACGAAATGGATAAAGCACTTTTGGGGCACACCAAGAGAAGTAAATTGTTGATATTTCTCCAGATAATGTGGCATTATAAACAAAACCATTAAACTTATCAATTATAAATAAGGCCTTTTTTGAGACCCACGATAAATTGTTTAAAGAGCTAGAGTTGTTTTTTGATAGTAATCTTTGACTATCTTTTTTATTAAACTCAAGCTCACAATCATATTCAGTGTCCCAAACCTGTGAGAAATCAATAGATTCCGATTCATGATCGTAATACTTGATAATTCTTTGTTGTCTGAAAATCAGCCGTATGTTTTTGATATTACTTGAAAGTTCCATTAAGAAGGTTTCTAAAAACGAATCATTGTCTTTTGGATCCTCTGGTCTGTAATTAATGATTACTGTGGTTACTTGAGAAAAAGCATCTTTTGGAAAGGGAGAATTAGGCATGATACTATGGACTGATTTTTTTTCAACCATAAAAGGGTTGTCGAATTCCAATGTTTTAATAATGTTTGCAGGAATCCATGGAAAATTATGAGGTTTGTAAACCGCTGAAAGTGGAATTGAGCGGAAAACTTTACTTTTTGTCAAAAGTTGTTTATTATAAGTGTCATTTAAAACAAAGCAGTGTTTCCATTTTAAACTTGTGTATACATCACGAAGACTTGAACAAGTCTGAGCCAAAGAGACACAGTCATTGGATGTCAGAAACTTGGCAAGAAAGCTGTGTTCATCGAAAGATAAATCTTTGAAAGATTTCATGAAAGATTTAAAAATAAAAAAATAAAAATAAATAAAGCACAATGAAAATGTAAGAAATGAGTTGTTTTTAAAGAGTCACTCAAAGATGAGTTTTTGATTTATTGAAATTGAAATTGAAAATAAATAATAAAAATAAAAATAAGTCTAGATGCTGAGCCACAAAGTATGGATTCATTTTTGATAAAAAAGCATATTGGGTAGGGTAACTATTGAAATTGTTCCACGTGAAGATAAGCTCGGAATTTTTTTTTTTTTTTCTCATTGTACAGTATATATATACAACATGTTGTAATAATAACGCGGCTGATTGCAATTTTCATTTCAAGACATAGATGAAAAGTTTCAATAAGACTACGAAGCGTTTCAGCAGACCCTTGCTGATCCATAGAAAATAAAAAAAACGAGTTTATAAATATTATATATAAAAAAAAAAGTAAATGAAAATATTTATTGTAAATTTATATGGCGTAAAAAAAAAATTGTTTTTACAATAATTGAAAATCTCTAATTTGTTATAACAAGTTTTGTCTCTTAATTAAAGAAATTTCTTTCTTTAACGCAAAAAAAAAAAAAATTGGATTTCAATTCTTCTAAGAAGAAGGTTTGGAGTTGTAGTATTGATAATATAAAGTAAATTGTGGGATAAAAAAAAAATAGTTAACAAAAATATTAATTTCATTTATTTGATGTATATAATTAACACTCAATGTCAAATCTAAGCAAACTGGGAAGGATAATTTATTTTTATTTATTTATTTTCTAAAAGCAATTGTCTAAAGCTAAGATATAGATTATTCTAAATATAAAAAAAAAAAAAAAAAAAGCAAGAAACTATCATCTGTTTATATATATATATTTCTCTTCTTCTTCTTCTTCATCTCAATTCCTTAAACGTATGTTGCAACACATTTCTAGTTTTAAGAAAATTCATAACCCGCAACCGCTCGTTATTCATATGTGCACCATCAGAGGCCTGGCCACAGGGAAGTTGGGCTGCAGGAGCATCAAATTCTTTTTCCAAAAATCTCACTGCTGGAATAGATCCTCCCTCACGGATATAAATGGGAGGTTGTCCCCACTCACGTTCCAAGGCATTTCCGAGTACCCGGAATGCACGGTTAGATGGGTCGCCGACCCACGGCTCAGCCTCATGGAAAATATTGACTGCCAATTCATTGCAAGATCCAAACTTGGCAAATTCACCCCTTAGGTACGACAATAATGATGCCTTGATAACACTAATATCCTGGTCTGGGACAATGCGGAGTGAGATGGAGGCAGATGCACGTGCAGGAATCAAAGTGGAATTACCAGGCCCGCTGACATTAATGCGATGGATGGTCAGCGAGGGGTATCTCCAACGGGACATGAGTTGTTTAATTGATTCTTCGGCCAATGCCTTTTCGTCAGCTTCGTCTAAGGATTGTTGTTTCTGTGGGCATTCTTCACGCGTGAGGTTATTAATAAGTTCTGGGCGGGCCAAAATGTCAGCATAGAGTTTACGTTCAGCATCATCGAGTGGCCGAACAGAATCGTGGAAGGCAGGGAGTAGAATGCGGCCTTGATCAGTAGAGAGTTTAGATAACAAGTTAACCAAGTCAATGGTGGGCTCACGGAACACACCACCGTGAACACCAGAGTGCAAGTCAGGGAAGGCCGACTTGATTTCCACTGTGGCCTTAATGATGCCTCTGAGACCATAATTAAGACAAGGAGTGGTATCATCAAGCCAGTAAGAGTTGGAAAGAAGGACCCAGTCAATACCAGGAGATGATTCAGCCGTGGTACCTGAAATCAAGTCCTTAGCCCCACGAATTGCTTCTTGGAAACCTCTGCTGCCGCATTCTTCTTCACCCTCAATGACAAAAACAATATCGTTTTCAAGTTCGCTGCGTTGGACAAGCTCGGCAACAGCGAAAATAGCAGCAAGTACGGGACCCTTATTATCAGAAACACCGCGGCCATAAAGGTATCCATCAAGAGCCGTCATGTTAAATGGTTCTGTTTCCCACTGGTCGGTAAGCTTGTCTGCAATGATCACATCGTAGTGACCGTAAAACAAGATGCGTGAAGGTTGTTCTTGTGGAGTTTCAGGAGTAGAAGGTTCCTTTTCAGAAGCAGAAGAAGAACGGAAAGCAGAAACAGTTTCCTTAGACTTATTTATTTTATCTGCGGAATTGTTTCCATGGAAAATTCCCACCACAATTGGGTTCCCGTCTTCAACAGGAATAAGATGAGCATCTGCACCAAAGTGGCGCATAAGACTGCGAAGGAAAATAGCACACCGGCGACAATCATTAGCGTAGATGCCATCGTGACCACTGACAGTTTTGTATGCAACAAAGTCACGGAGGGTGCGCAGCATGTGGTCAGTAGTAAGCGTAGCGACTTGTTTTGTAGCCGTAGAAGCAGATTGAGGCCCAGCGGAGATTTGTTGGGAAGCAAATGCAGAAGTTGAAGAGATTGAAAGCTGGTCGGCAAATTGTTGGTGCAAAACGTTTGCGGTATTGATCTGAGAAGCAAGGGCATGCTGGTCAAGCATGGAGGTGATATCCCACATGGATACAGTATTGTCATTGCCACCAGTTACAAGAACTTTGCGAGCAAGACTAAAATCAGTGATGGCGGTTGCAAGAACAATGCCATGGTGGGCAAGCCATTCAGCACGGACATAGCGTTTAGAGTCCCATTTGCGGATGAGACCACTGGTGGAGAATGTAGAGGAAGAGGTTGATGGAGTTCCAGTAGACTTATCTTCGCGAGCAGATCCACCACGGAAGAGACAGTCTCCGTAGAGTGACATGGTCATGACATCACCTTCATCGGCAACCTTGTCTACGCGGACAACTTGGTTAGTGTCCATGTCATAGAGACCGACCTGACCATCAGTAAGACCGAGATAGAGAAAGTTATCATAGTAGATCATTGAAAAAACACAGGATTCAGTATCGAGGGAATAAATTTGCTGGAAAGTTCCTGGGACTTTTTGGAAAGCCCAAAACTTGACAGTACCATCACCGCCTCCAGAAACGAGGAATTCGTCAGTTTCGTCTGAAACAGAGGACAGTGAGTAGTGGCCAAGTTTCCTGTTGACAACTAAAAGGGTATAAACGTAACCATAGTGAGCGTATTGGATGACATTTTTCGGGGGGATTTCGAGAAGTGCAAAAGTAGAGTCATCATTAGGGTCTTGACTATCGTCAAGTGACATGCGTCTGCGGGCATCGGATTCAGCAACAAGTATTGTTTTAGCGTGTTGCTGGGGGGCCATTTTGCCACCTGGGCCCTTTGAGTCGAAGAACCTGTCGAATCGAAGAGATGGGAGACCCGATGGATCTTGGGTGACTGTGTAAGAGGTTTTATCATAGAGTTGGATCCATTGAATGGATGCATTTTGGGAGCCAAGAGCCAGAACTTCATGTTTGGGGATCCAAGCAACGGAGAAGATATCACCAATGTCGTGAATCGAATAGATTGTGTAGATTTCAGTAAGGGTTTCAAGGTCCCAGACCTTGACGAGAGAGTCAGCACCTCCGGAAAAAAGGAACCGTTCATCGGGAGTCACGGCTAGGGAATAAACGGAAGAGCCGGAGACGTCCTTTTTAGATGAATCTGAGGGGGTATCCTGTTGTTGTTGCTGTGATTGTTGCTGTTGTTGTTGTTGTTGTTGTTGATGATGATCTTGTTGATTTTGTGATTTTTTGGCAGCTGGACGATGGCCTGGGAGCACGGCAACTGTTACAAAATCTTCTTTGGAAAAGATTAAAATGTGGCCGTCTCCACATCCAGCAATGATCCAGTCTTTTGTTGTGATGAGAGAAAGAACAGAGTTAGGACAGCGCCAAGTATGGACGAGACGGGGGGAATCTGCAAAGGAAGCAGTTAGATGGGAAGTTGTTGGCCAGTATTCATCTGGGCCTGGGGATGGTGATGACTGGTAGAAATGAGGGTTTTGATGATGGGCATGGCTACTGTGATAGGACAAGGGTGGAGGAGCGGAATAGGGGTAGTTATAAAATGGAGAAGATGAAGAAGAAGGGGAGAAAGCTGAACCAGCAGATGAAGCAGCAGCTGCTGCAGCTGCTGCTGCTGCTGCCATTGATAAAGTTTGATGTTGTTGTTGATGATGATGCAAGTGGGATTGCAAAGGTTGATGGGCACCAATGATTGCAGGCACTGGTCCTGAAGATCTTGAGCATCCATAATCATTGTATTTTGGTCGGATATGAGAGCCAGAAGAAGATTTATGAAGATTAGATGATACTGCAGTTGAAGATGAAGATGATCCTGCAGAAGAATTGGGAGAATTAGAGGTAGCAGGATGTGAGCTTTGATGATGATTATGATGATCATGGTGAGCAGAAGAAGATTGAGGTTGTGGGGTTGATCCATGGCCCGCGGAGGTTTGATTAAGGTGACCTTGAGACAATGGAGGAGGCGAGGTACTTGCAGACAAGATACCAGATGAGCGACATCCGTCAGCAGCGGTATCGTTGTTCATAATAGAAGATGTATTTTTTTTTTTTTTTTGATGTTTTATTTATTTGGTTGGTTGGTTGGTTGGTTTGTTGATTAAGTTTAAATTTTGAGTTGGAGATTTTCCAGGAGGATTTAATTTTTTTTTTTAAAAAAATAAAAAAAAAAAAAAAAAAAAAAAAAAGCAGCAGCAGCGAGTGGAGGCGTTTTTATATAAAGAAAAAAAAAAAATAAATAAATAAATAAACAATGTATTGATCACGTGATTGTTGTATTTTCTCAGAAGATATACATAAATATTAAAATAGCTTGTTTAGTGTAGACTTCAAGTTTTGTTAAGTTTAATTTATTTAGTTAACAACAACAACAACAACAACAACAACAACAACAGACTTTTAAATTTAAATTTAAATTTATTTATTTATATTAAATATTTATATTAATTTTATATTAATTTTATATTTATATTTATATTTGTATTTATTTTTTCAATACAAAGTTTTTTATAAAATATTTTTTTCAATCAATCATTCATTCATTAATTCATTTATTTGTTTATATGTTAAAACTGGGCAAAACTTCAAAAAAGGCCTCAAATGCAATTTTTTTATTTTTTTATTTTTATTTTTTTTATTTTTATTTCTTAATCAAATAAAACTTTCAACTTTTTTTTTAAAAAAAAAATCGCTTAAAATCAATAAAATTACGCCATTAAACCTTGACAATGACGTGCTTTATTAACTTGAAACTCCTCATTTTTTTTTTTTTTAATTTTTTTTTTTTTTTCAATTCTCTGGTCCCCATTCTAAACACCATCCGTACCAGGATCGACGTTTGCAAACTTGAGGAGGGTCAGAAGGTTTAGGAGATGTGTCATCATCATTGTCTGGAGGTGCCACAGGTGTAGAAGGAGTGACTGAAGCTGTAGGAAATGTAGTACTAGTGAATCGGGTACTCACAGTCTTAGTACTTATGGAAGTTTTGGTACTGCTACTCTTAATGGGCTCTCTAGAATCATCATCATTATCAGATACAAACGTCCAGTCAAAGCAATCAGAACAAATCTTGGGTACTCCACAAGTAGCAGTGTCATTATAAGCCAACAAAACATCATCAATGACTACATGAATGCGATGATTCATTAATGATACATGCCAACCCTTATCAGAAACAACATCATAGGCACATTCCAGCCCAGAATGACATACTGTCTCCATGGCATATCCAGCCACCCAACATGAAGACCCAGCTCCATTACAAGTTCCAACAAAGATAGGGTCAGCCGTATGGCCAAAATGCCAAATATGCTCAGCCCAGCGAGGAACACCAGGCGGCATAGGCAAGTGAAGTCTTCGACTAGGGAGAAGCTCACCAGGTGCCTCATATGTCACTGTGGGGAGACCATAAGTTCTGCCAACCAAACTAGCAAGCGATCCACCAAGAGAGTGGCCAGTAATCCAGATATCAGAGCTAGGATATATGGCCGATACGTTTCTGTAAATGTCCATGGCAGCCTTGTAATATCTATCCCTTTTGTATAACTCGCGTTCTAGACAGTCTTGATTACAAGTGTAGGACTTACCCGTATAGCAGTCACAGACTGTATTCCATAAGTAGCTCACACGTGCACAGCAGCATGAAAATAAAAGATTATCGTTAATCTTATCATTAGGAGCAGTATCACCACCGTCATCAAAAACAGCTGCACTAGTACCTTTAATGGCAATCACCACTGTTCCAGCAGCAGGTAAGCCCATGGCCTCATCAGCTTCAGAGACAAAAACATGACCACGAACGCCTTCGCCGGCCCAGCCGAAATCGGAAGTCTCGTTGCGCCAGGGCCCAGTGACGTTTTGCCAATCGCCTGTGTTTGGAATGTCGACATATGCATCAGAAGACATGACGGCCAGCGCCACGACTGTGTTGCGGTCCTCAATATCTGGGACTGCAATGTTCTCATCGTGCCAGTTGAGGTTTTCGTTTTTGATTTCCGGGAGGCCGCGGTCCATGTATGTGTTAGCATAATGAACTAAGGCCTCGACTGAGTCTGGGTGGCGGTCGGCTAAACGTCGGACATGAAAGTTGTTACGAGGTTTTAAGGCCAGACGGGCTTCCCAAGGTGAGACTTTACGTGGAGATGCAGTGTTACGGCCAAAAGTGACAAGTGGGGTTGTTTCTTTGAGCATGGCGATATTGTTGGGGGTTATATCTAGACGACCATGTGCAGCCAATCCATTTGGTTTGTCAGTATTGTGATGGAAGATATGTTTAATAGAGAAGCGCATATCACCTGGGGTGTATAAGTCTGATAGATCGACAGCATCTACAGGAGGTGGAAGATCTGTTTGTTCAGGAGGAAGGAAAAACAAGGCTTTTAATGATGGGCATTGTTTTGTGTTGAAGATGAACAAAGTGATGAGTAAGACGAATAGAATAGTTATGAGTCTGATAACTGTGACTTTTGAAGATAAGGTATTTGTTTCTGAGGATAAGGTGAGAGTTTCAGGAGACGAAAGGGTTGTGTAAGACTTTCTTCGTTTTTTCTTCTCTGAAGGAGATTCATGAGAGAGCAGAGGTGTTTTTTCTTGTGGCATTTGATGTGGTTAATTATATTTATATTTATGTCTGAATGTTTGGTTGGTTGGTTTGTTGGGCTGGTGGAGGAGTATTTAAAAAAAAAAAAAAAAAAAAAAAAAAAAAAATCGCGATGCTCTCTTTTTTCTTATCTTCTGGCTGTTGCTTTTTAATATAATTATAATAATGAGCAAAATAAAAAAATAAAAAAAAATAATAATAAAAATAAAAATATTATTATTATTATTATTATTATTATTATTATTATTATAATTATATAAATGATGTAAGATTTTACGTAAGATGAGTTAAGAATAGCCGATGTTAGGGTTTAAAACGGCTTGTCACGTGTAGTGTCCATGTGATGGGTCATGTGTGGGGCTAAGTGTTACGTAATGTGTCTGTGAGTCATAATCCTCGGCTAAGTATGTGACAACTAAGTGACAACTATGTTACAACTAAGTTACAACTATGAAACATTTTAATTACATTTTTTATTACAATGTGGCTTTTTTTTTCTTCTCTCTCTCTTTAGATTCCAACGACTTCTAAACAATTGCCATTAGTAATCATTTCCCTTTTCCTTCACCCTAACCCTGATTTAATTTTTTTTTTTTTTTTTTAATTTTTTTTAATTTTTTTTTTTTTTTTTACTGATTAACAAATTAACATCATCACTACCATCACTACCACCACCACCGCCACCAGCTCAGCCTATACAAAATTGCCCTCTACACACACACACACACACACACACATAAAATTTCCACCACCACCACCACCACCAACAATTTTTTTTTTTCTCCCAACATCTCCTGCTTACACACATCGCCAACTTTAATTTCACCACCACCACCACCAACCACTACAACTACAATCCCAACCAATTTAAATTAAAAATCCATATTATACATTATTAATATATATATATTTTTTTTCAAAAAAAAGAAAGAAAGAAAAAGAATTAGAATAAATCACCAGTATAATTTAATTTATTTCTCGTATTTGCTTATAACAACTTTGCTCATACTTTCAAATGATCACCCCTGACAGCTCCATTGCTGGTGGTGCTGCTGCTGCAGCTGCTGATCTCTCAATGGTCTTCCCAGATATGCTCAGTCAGGAAACCAACAACACTTCTAAAAAGCCTTCAAGATTTAGATCACAACATTCACACGCTCCTTCTTCTTCATCTAACTCTTCATCATCATCTTCTTCATCATCATCTTCTTTAATTGATCATCCAGTTCATGATCAGATCAGAAACCTTGAAGCCCCCCTAGGATTCAACTTAGCCGAAGACCCTCTCATCTCAGCAGTTTCATTACTAGATGATCACAATATGGTACAAACTTCTAATAACAATACAAATAATATTCCATTACAATCTTCCATGGATTCATCAGCAGAATCAGTCTCAGCTTCAATGGTCGACTCTTTACTTCAAGGTTTAGACCCACAAGATTTTGCTCTTGCTCAATCAAACCACACCCTGAGAACCTCAAACAATAATAATAATAATAATAATAATAACAACAACAACAACAATAATAATAATAATAATCATCAACAACAACAACACCTCAACCATACAATCATCCCCCAACAACAACAATTTAAGCCTTACTCCGAAGACCCAATCTCTCTACTCAAATCTGACTACTATTTTGATGAATTTGTATCCCCTTCAAACATCTCATTCCCTCTTACTCACGATATGCAGTCTGCTGCTGCTGCTGTTGCCGCTCTAGTCGATTACACAGAACCTGCCCCAACGGTCGGAAATGCTTCCTCAACAACAAACCACCACGTTGTCGATTACTCAACTTCTATCAAATATTCACCATCTTCACCTTCAGTCTCATCCTCTTCATCTCCTCAAACATCCTCAGATAAACACGACGAAATCCCCCCAATCGTTAAACAAGAATCTAACTTGGACCAAGTCCCCCATCCTTCAATCATCACCCCAGCTTCAACTACTTCTCTCTCCTCTGTAGGCTCATCTTCAGAAAAACCCCAGCAAAAACAACAATCTTCCTTAGCCACAAAGGACTACCCGGCTCCTAATTACATGCCAGACTTTAACCCAAATGACTGGGATGATCTCGACAACTCAAATCTCAAGTATCGTATCCACATTAGTGACTCCCCCATCAAGTCCCGTGTCGAAACACAAATCAAAATAGCCCTCCATTTTTACCCTCCACCATCAGAGTCAATCGTTCATCTCCCGGCAGATACAATCTCAAAACCAAAACTTCAACTAAGAGACCCATTTTATCCAATTCCTACTGCCCTGTCTCTTGATACTATCGTCATTTGTGACACAGATCATAACCATTATGTCAATATGTGTCGCTGTTGTCTCAATCGAGAACGCAAACGAGCCTTTCGCAAAAAAGTCCGTCTTCCTGTCGAAGAGGCCCACTGGAGCCTCGACAAGGAAAAACGTGCAATCGTCTTCAACTGTAAAGAAATCGTCGACTTTGGATCTCTTGTTGACATTGACCTCAATGGCCAAACAGTCACTGCAAAGAAACTAGAGCTCCCTATCCGTATGGCTTGCTACTGTCGCCACCATAACGAAAAAGTGGGCTTTCGGTAAGTCCTTTTTTTTTTCTTCTAACCATCTTTGGTCCATATCCCACTGATACTAACTAACTAATTAACTTTTTTTTTAGTGCCCTTTTCGTCGTGCGTGATTACACTGGTAAGGTTGTAGCTCGATGTTCTACCTCCTCCATCATGATCACTGATGATCACAAGGCTGCCTCTAGTAGAGCTGCATCATCTGTAGGTATCAAGCGTCTCAACTCGGAAATCGACGCAGCCGACGATGAAGATGTCATAATGACAGCCTCTTCCACTGCTGCAAATACCCCCCATCCTTCCATTTCTGCAACATCATCACCATCGCCGAAAAATGAATATCAAATTTCCTCAGACTATGGGCCACGCAAGAAAAAACCCTCATCTTCCCTCCCCCCAACCTCGGCTGCTCTGCCCATCACAGCCACACCACAGTCTTTGGTATCCTCATCAAGCAAACGCACCACTAACTCCAGCACTAGCCGCTCAAAACGTCCCTCAACCTCTGCAACTACTGCCGTCTCGGCAGCCAATGTTGCTGCCGCTGCTGCTTCGGCCTCACGCTCATTGCGCTCATATTCTACCTCCTCCTCCGCCGTGGCCTCACCTCCTACAACTTCCTTCTCAAATGTCTCTTCTCCTTCATATCTTCTCAAATCCCCAACCTCTCCTCCACATCCCTCTGCATCCCCATCTGCTTCCTTTGACGGTATTATAAACCCCTTCTATGGAAATAACTCCGCTGCTTCTTCTTCAACAAGACCTACAAGTACTATTGCCTCCCCCGTGGCTTCACCATCAGACCTCACAGCAGTCCTAGCATCTTCTCAGTCAAATGGTTTATCACAAACTATTGCTGTTCCCTCTCCACAACCAGAAGAATCTATTCCTTCTACAATCAATGCTCTCATCCACTCCCAACAATCATCAGTTGTCAATGGGCTTCCAGATATCCAAAAGATTATTCCTCAAACTGGACCCATTCGTGGCGGCATTGATGTTTCACTCTTTGGATTCAACTTTATCGATGGTCTTGTTCCCAAGTTTGGAGAAAACAAGTCGGTTTTGACTACCTGCTGGAGCGACCGCTCTATGGTCACCCAGCTTCCACCATCAAAATCCCCAGGTCCCGTCATTGTTTCCTTTGACGGTCTGGCTGCCATGCCTGGATCACAAATTTTTTCCTACTACGATGACACGGATCGCCAGCTGATTGAACTCGCGCTTCGTGTGGTTGGTGTCAAGATGAATGGCAAGCTTGAAGATGCTCGCGACATTGCTCGCAGAATTGTGGGTCCAGGAACTGGTTTTGACTCAGAAATGCAGAGTTTCCGTGGTGGTAGTACGGGGAATAGCGCCAATGACGCTATGGAACCTCTAGGAATCCCTCCTCATCGCCTCGAAGTTTTGTTGTTAAAACTAGTGGCCCTTATGGACTCATACGAAAATGATGCACGACCCAACTGGCAACTGCGCAACAATGAGGGCCAGACCATGCTGCATTTAAGTTCTATTCTTGGTCTGGAAAGATTTGTCAACATTCTTCTCTCTCGTGGAGCTCATGTTGACATCCAAGACAAGAATGGATATACCCCATTGCACTTTTCTGCTATGCATAATCACCAAGCCATCATTTCCATGCTGCTTGATTATAATGCAGACGAAACTCTATGCACTTACTTTGGTCAAACTTATCATGATCTTGGCGAAGATGACCTTGAACCACATGACACTCCTCGCTTCTTGACTCAAGAAAGATTCCCCAACTCTCAGGGAATGTTTGCCTTTAACGAGGAGTCGTCTGATGAAGAAGAGTACCAAGGTGATATTGAAGATGATGGAGACGGTGATGACGAAGATAGTGACGAGTCTGGTGACTTTTTCTTCCACACAAATGTTAATTATCACAACCACCTCCCACTTTCACAGCACCAGTTTGCATTCCTTGGAGATGATACAGTTGCATCATCTGATGGCGACAGTGACGAATTCCATGAGTCTGATTTCATAGAAGATCAAGAGGAACCAGAGGTTCAAACAGGGAGTGGAACATTGGCCCATAAGCTTGGATGGTATATTCCTTCCTTTTTACGCACTCCGGAGGGAAGGTCTTTGCGTAAGCGAGTTGCATTTTCGGTGCCTTCTCAGCAGAAACAGCAGCAACAGCAGCAACAACAACAACTACCACAACAACTACCACAACAACAACAACAACAACAACAAGAAAATCCAGCGACTTCTCAACATGAACCTCAACAACCGTTCAACGCCATGGCATACCACTATAACAATGCCATCACCACGGGGTCTGCATACCTGCGAGGAATGTTTGGACGTGCGGGTCCTGTTGATGAAGCCCCCGGGAGCTCGCCGCCTAATTATTACGACATTTTCCCTCATGGCTCAGGGTCCAATCCTGACTACTCCAACTCTGCAATTGATGAGGAGAAACCTGCAGAAGCTATTTTTGCTGCATCAGCAACTGAAGGTGGTCCCAGCGGTGCCAGTAGCACAGTTGAAGAAGTAGTTACAACTACTACCACGACTGTGGAGACTCGACAACCGACGGAAGACGAGGTTGTAGAGATTTGGCGCAACAACCGCAAAAAGCTGCAGAATGACCGCATGTTTCTTTTCTTCTGGCTGCCCGTGTTCATCTTCACTCTGGTCTGGGTGTGCTACCGCATGGTAGCATATATGGACTATGTTGATGGCGAGAGCGTTGTTGTCAGCGACACTGTCGAAGGAGTAGTAGCAGCAGCAGGTACATCCCTGGAAACAACAGTTGCTGATAAGACATCAACAGTTACAACATTACGTGCAGGTCTGGATGCTGGTGTGACTCGTACAACAGCTCTCCGGACCTGGATGCATGATTCAGTAGCATCTGTGGCTAAACGCGTGTTAGGGTTTGGCAAGTACCAGCGAAGAGTAGTTTACGATGCAGTTGCAGCGAGTGCATCAGCACTTAATGCGCAAAACCCATGGGCTACGGTAGCACAGCCAGTTGGTGTTGGACATTAAATGTTTTGACAGATGAATAAAAAAAAAACAAAAGAAAGGAGCTGGTCTTTATCTTTTTTGTTTCTTGTTTTTTTTTTTTTTTTTAATATTTTATTTTTTTATTATTTTTATTTTTATTTTTATTTCTGTTTTTATTTTTATTTTTCAGGTGTTTTTATAATGTAATTCTTTTTCCCGTTTTTTTTTTTTGTCTATCTTGTGTACGATATAATACAATCTATTTTTTTTTTTTAATTTTTATTAATTTTTTATTTTTTTTGATATGAAGTCAATTTGATATTTTTGAATAAAAAAAATATATAATGCACTTAAAATTTATGGATTAACTTAACTGTAGTTATACTGAATAAGGTAAACAATAATACTATACTGGTATTTTAAAAATACAAAACTAGATATATATATTGCAGAAGATGAATGAATGAATGAATGAATGAATAAATGAATAAATGAATGGATTAATTAATTAATCAATCAATCAATCAATCAATCAATCAATACTTGTTGATATTAGTTATTAATTCGACTTTTTATTTAACAAAAAAAAATTAAAATTATCTATAAATATCCATCATCAGAATAATGTACATACACTATACTGTAACAAAGTTTGTTTTCTTTTTTCTTTTTTCTTTTTTCTTTTTTTCAAATCCAACCATCAAAGTCATTTTCTAGCCAATAACATTGATCATTTCTATTAATTTTATAAACAGAATCTTCTTTAACAACATCTGGTTCATCTTGGAAATTTTCCAAAGACATTCTTGAATCAGAAGTAATAATTTGATTTTTTGATATCCCATAATTGTAAAGAAAATAAGATTTTGAATTAATCGATAGGTATACTACCCTTGAAATTATCCATGAAATTTGGGGTAAAATCCCAAACCAATAACCTTTAATGTAAAATCGTTTGTTTATAATATCTGGAGAAAAGTAAGGTAGTGCAAAATTAACATGAAGTGATGATGGAGTATCGTGTCTTGAAATAATATATACTTGTTTAAGATTGGGGTTGGTAGAATGTGTTGAAAGAAACAACCATACATAGGGTGAAGCAGTAAGAGGAATATATGTTTTTGAGCAATCAAAATAAAAGTACTCAAGAGAATGAAGATGATGAATAACAGAGAATAAAGAAGATGTTAAACTTTCTTTTAACCAATCATCCATAAGACCAGGAGGGATATTACAAAATGAAGGGAAATTTGAAGTATAAAATTCTCGAGGGAATTTTTTTGCAAGTTTCCCCTTTCTTCTTAAATAATCACCAATTGTTTTTATCCCCTTTTTTCGTAGGAAAAAAACATAACTGGAAAACATTTCTTGACCAAACATCCAGAAAAACTTATAATCTAAATTGTTTGCTTCATCAATTATGATTTTTAGTTTTTTAATGTTTGACATTTCTTTTAAGAATGTATTAAAAATATTAATATTTAAATCAATATTTGCTAATACACATTCAATTTGTTTGAATTTGTCCAAAACCCAATCAGGATAACGAAATTCAAACTTATTGGGAGTTTCAAGAAACCTAGTTATTCTTGATAAACGAGGGAAAATAAAATCTAATTTTATGGGTCCAAAATAAATTATATCCAAAGCAGTTATTTGAGGAACTACTAATGGGCTATAAGTTGTGCGAAAAATATTATTTTGAATGGTGAGTTTGCAAAAAGAAATATTTATAGGTAAAAGTGAAATAACATCTGTAATGATTTGGTTACCATTAATTTCTCTGTCATTAAAATTTTTAAAATATTCAATATTCACAGATTTGAGATTCGACAAGTGTTGAGCGCCTAAAGCTAGAGACTTTAATTGGTAGAAAGTTAAATGGGAAGCATGGATATCTTGTAAATTAATAAATTTAGGCCAAATAGTATCTGGGAAATCCAAGTTATCAAAAATAGATAATTTTGTTAAAAATGAAAAGTCGCTTTTTGTTGAAGGTCGTTTTGTAACATATTTACTCCAGACTAATTCTAAGGAAAGGCTGGAATAAAAATGTCTCCAATAATAGAAGAGAGAATCTTTAAAAAATATATCGTTATCCATTTGACACATGTAACCACGAGAGTCTTCATAAAAAAATTTTATTGAGGTTACATTAGGGAAAGATGAAGGTAAGGGATCCTTTTCTGGGGATGAATTTAAAGACTGTATATAGTTTAACCCCCACAAACATCTAATAATGAAATGTCGAATTGCATTGCAAGGAATACCAGAATAAGTTGGAGCTTTTGAAATAAAAGAGGTTATAGGAATTTCTAAACAACGATATTTGGATGAATAATTGATAGAAAATCTATTTCTTGTATAATTGTAAAGAGTCAAGTCGATATATTCCCAAGCACTTTGAAGGTAAATTTGTCGTAGGTAAGAACTACACTGGCTGAGCTTTTGACAATCTTTTGCCGAAAGAAATTGAATGATTCCCAAGTGTATTTCTACCGGTAGTTGTTCTAACATTGATAAAAAATTTAAAGTAGAAAGGAAAAGAAAAAAAGAAAAAAAAAAAAAAAAAAAAAAAAGGGGGGGACTTTATTTTGTGTCTATATCAAAGTCATTTCATGATATCGTTGTGGCGATAATGATTAAAAGGTAAGTCAATTTATTAAGGGTGGATTAGTTTTATCGATAAACATCGGAAAGTTATGTAATGATTATGGTATTATTATTAATATTTGAATTAATTGAGATCATGATATAAATATATATATATTAATAACCATTAATTTTTGTATTAAAAATACTTCTTTTATATCTATTTTAATATTAAAAAAGTATACTTTTTATTATGGAAACAAACTCAAAAAAAAAAAAAAAAAAAAAAAAAAAAATTTTTGTAAGAGTACACAAGCCTAGTTTTAATAGAAATCTATATAACTAGGTGGTATAATATAGTATAAATGAGTAAATAAATGCTAATTGGTCATTTATTCGTTTAATCTTTCTGATTTTAGAATTAATTCCTTTTCATATATATGTAATCCTAATTGATTGTTTATAAAAATCAGAAATTTTCTTTTTTTTTGTTTTTGTTTTTGTTCAATTGAATTTTGAATTGAAAGATTATTATAAATTCAAATGGTTTTTTTTTTTTTTAAAAAAAATGATATTACAACTATATCTATTATTATTATTTTTGTTCTTCATAATCTCAAATTATAAGATTTTTTTTTTTTTAAAGTTTCCATATATATATATATATATATAAATATATATAATTTTTTATTTTTCAATTAAGACTTTCCTTATTACTCCTCTTATATTTCTTTAAAGACACACCCCCTCACAAAAGGGGTTTCTACTTAAAAGGGTAAATCCCTTTTTTTTTTTTTTTTTTCGTCAACCGTGAAACCAGTGACATTTTTTATATGTATTTTTTCATTATTATTATTATTATTATTATATTTATATTTATATAACGATAATACTTTTAAAAAAAAAAAATTAAAAAAAAAATTATTAAAAGATTACGTAAATAATGTGGGGAACTTCATTAATAATTTTTTTTTTTTTTGTTTTTTGTTTTTTTGTTCAATTGAGTTTTTTATTTTTTATTTTTTATTTTTTTATTTTTTTATTTTTTATTTTTATTTTCTATTCATATGAATATTCTTTAATTCATTCATTCATCTGATCACAAAATACAAATCAGTTTACAAAAAAAAAATAAAATAAAAATAAAACTCCGCACATCGCACAACAGGGAAAAAAAAAAGAGTGAGGAGAAGAAGAAAATAATACTAACTTTAAAAATGAAATTAAATTAAAAATAAAAACAAATACAATCATCATTTCAATTGCGGGGGGGAATGTGATTTCAAAAAAAAAAATAAATAAATAAATAAATAAATAAAATAAAATAAAATAAAAATAAAAAAAAATGTGGGGGGGGTGAGAGACTATTAGAAAATAAAAAAAAAAAATTTAAAAATTTAAAAATAGATTTAATGCTAAATGAAAAATAAAAATTTCCTTAGAAATTGCAACAATTACTATTAAAGTATACAATTATTAGCATTTACTTTTACTTTTTTAACGGATTGGTGTTGTGGCGCAATGGTGAGCGCATTGGATTTCGGCTTTCGATACCTTCCAAAGGTTGCAGGTTCGAGTCCTGTCAACATCGAAAATAATTTTTTTTTCTTTCTTTTTGGTTTTTTTCTCTCTATTCTATTCTATTTTTTAGCATAATTAATATATATATATAAATATATAACTTTTTTATTTTTTTTTTAAACAATCAAATCTCAATTGAGTTTTCTAAGAGACCGTGCAGCAGATGCCAGCAGTGCTGCAGTCTTTTTCTCATATTCTGTGTCAAGATTGGAAGAAGAAGAAGAAGTAGCAGTAGCAGTAGCAGTAGCAGTAGCAGTAGCAGTAGCAGTAGCAGTAGCAGTAGCAGTAGCAGCAGTTGCCTTTAACTTGACTAAATTCGAATCTGATGCAGATGGTGGACGCATCAATTGTTTAATATGGTTAGTACTACTGCCACTACTACTACTACTACTACTACTACTACTACTATTGTTGTTGTTGTTCTCGTTGCTGATTTTACCAGGCGGTGTTTCTGCACGAGGAGATGGTGGTAACGACACGTGGCGGCGCGGTCTATACCTTGTGGTAGTTGTAGTTGTAGTTGTATGAGTTGCTACATCCATATTAACCAAGTTTGGTGATGGAGGGTCTGAAAAAGAAAAAACCACAGTTGCTGGTCCATCAGCAGGAGCATCAGCAGATGAGATTTTAACTGATAAAGATGGTAGTTTTTCAATAGATTTTGTTGATTGTAAATTTAATAATGATGATGATGATGGTATAAGCGTTGTTGTAGGGTTTGAAACGGATTGTAAAGGTTCTGTAGGTGGCCGACGAGGCGGCGAATCCGGAACAGTAAGAGGATCCGAGAATGTGACGGACGGACGTTTTGATGCAGGTTTTTTAGGAGATGCCATTGCACTTGGGACTCGAAGAGCCGGTGTAGGTTGAGTTTGTTTTAATGAAGGGTGTTGTGGTTGTGGTTGTTGCTGTTGCTGTTGCTGTTGCTGTTGTTGCTGCTGTTGTTGTTGTTGCTGTTGTTGCTGCTGTTGTTGTTGTACTTGTTGTTGTTGTTGTTGAAATTTCACAGTAGGAACACTCTTTGTACGCGTTTCAGCGCGTTTGATGGGCAAGACTGGGTATGTTTCATTGCTTGTACCGGTAGAACCACTAGTTGGTGGTAAAAAGAATCGGATAGTAAGAATTGTTCCACCTGCAAGACTACCTAAGAGAGCTCCAAGAATTAGAGCAAAAAAAGATGCAATACATAAAGGTTTGATGTAAAGAGTGATTGATGGGTGTGAAGTGATGTTTGTAATAATTGTAAAGAGGGTATTGATAGCCGCTAAGATTAATAGAAGAACGCGAGCGGTGAGTATTAATGTAAGGGCCGTAGTGATAGCCAAAAGAGATGTCACAATATGGCTTATAGAAACTAATAAACGGATACAGAGACGTGGGATTGTTGTTAGAATGGAGGGGGGAGGAATAATAGTTATGATGAGAGTGCGGAGGTTATTGTGGAGAAGGTGGAGAAGATTAGAAAGATGCGGAGAGACAGTGATAATTAGACGGATGAAGCAAAGGCCGATCTGTGTGGCGGTAGTTTTTATAAAAAGAAGTATATGAAAAACTACAGGAGCAATGGCGATGCGCAGTTGGTTGAGCGCTTCGTAGGTCGCGTCCATTGTAGTTTGAAGTTTTAGTAGTTTGGTGGTGGTGGTGGTGGTGGTGACGATGATGATTTATTGTAAGGAATTTTTTTAAAAAAAAAAAAATTATTCCAAACACACACAACTAAAAAAAAAAAAAAAAAAAAAAATATCAATAAAAATGAAAAAAAAAAAGATCTCACAGAACATTCGGAGATTGCAATTTGAGTTCCCGGAGAGGGGGATTTCTTTTTTGTTTTTTTTTTTTTCTTTTCTTTTAACAAAGAACGGCTAAACGAGGAGAAGTTTTTTTTTGTTTTTTTTTTGTTTTTTTTATGATTTTGAAATTTATTATTATTTTTTTATTATTGTAATTGTTATTGTATATTGAATTGAAATTAAGAAAAAAGAAGGTTTTGAGACGTTTTTTTTTTTTTTTCTAACTAACTAAAAAGAGCCAATTTGTGTATTATTTGTGGGGTTTTTTTTTGATATTTTGTGGGGAAATCAAATTGGACTTTTATTTTTTTTTTATTAAATTCTATAAAAAGCAGCTGGAAAGTCGACTTTTTAAAACAAATCTTTCAATTCATTTCATTTCAATTCTATTCAATTCTATTCAACTTTATTCAACTTTATTCAACTTTATTCAACTTTATAACAAAACTCACTCAGATCTTTTAAATCTACCAAAACTATCTAAATTTAACTTCCATCCCCCCAATTCAATCTTCAAAATGGCTCCTATTCCCAAGACTCAAAAGGCTATCGTCATCAACGAACCCCGTGGAGAACTCCTTTATAAGGAAATCCCTGTACCTACCCCAGAAAATGATGAACTTCTTGTTCATATTCAATACTCAGGTGCCTGTCATTCAGATTTGCACGCTTGGAAAGCCGATTGGCCCTTCCAAACCCCATTCCCTCTCATTGGAGGCCACGAAGGCGCAGGCGTTGTTGTGGCAAAGGGTGATGCTGTTCGTAACTTTAACATTGGTGACCGTGTTGGTATCAAATGGGTTAATAGTACTTGTCTCGATTGCCGTTTCTGTCTTCAAGGTGCTGACGGTAATTGCCCTAAAGCAACTTACTCAGGATTCACCCATGATGGTACTTTCCAACAATACGGAACTGTAAAAGCTGCTCATGCTGCTCGTATTCCTGATGGAGTAGATCTCGCAATGGTAGCCCCCATCTTGTGCGCTGGTATCACTGTCTATAAGGCCCTCAAGCGCTCAGATGCTAAGCCTGGTGATAATGTGGTCATCACTGGTGCCGGTGGTGGTCTTGGATCTTTGGCCGTACAATACGCTAAAGCAATGGGATTCCGTGTGATTGGTATTGACTCTGGTGAAGCCAAAAAGAAACTTGTATTATCAACTGGTGGTGAGGCCTTTATTGACTTTAAAACTGATGATATTGTCAAGGGTGTTTTGGCTGCTACTGATGGCGAAGGTGCCCAAGCTGTTGTCCATGTCGCTGTATCTGAAAAGGCTGTTGAAACCTCACTTGAATACATTCGTCCAACTGGAACCATTGTACTTGTGGGACTTCCTGCTGATGCTGTTGTCCATTCACCTGTTTTCTCACATGTCTTGCGTACCATCACTATCCGTGGTTCACTTGTTGGTAACCGTGAAGATACTGTAGAAGCACTTGACTTTGTTCGTCGTGGTCTTGTCTCAACTCCCATCAAGATTGTTGGTATGTCTGAGATTGCTCATGTATATGATCTTATGGAGAAGGGCCAGATTGCAGGTCGTTATGTCCTTGATACTTCCAAGTAAATTTAGCCATTGCTTCATTGTTACTGCTAATGATGACGAATATGAATTATGTTGATGACTTATAATGAATAATGTAAAAACAAAAAAAAAAAACTTCCATTTTCTATAGTTTTTTTATATAAAATATAAAATCAATCAAACAAATATCCACTTTTAACTGGTGGTTGTTGTTGTTGTTTATATATCTTTTTTTTTTTTTTTTTTTTTTTTTTGGCCCTCCATTTATGTCTGCAAAAGTTGCTGCAAAAAAAAAAAAAAAAAAAATTTAATTCTTTTGCCTATCAATAACAACAATAAAAAAAAAAACACCCTTTCCTCCTTAATATAAAATAAATATCACAAACATCTTAACAACTTAACAACTTAACAACAACCACCACCAAATGCCTGCCACGGAACCTGCCTCTCCACCTTTACGGGCCTCCGTCATCCTCGAAAAACAACCACCCGGTAAAAAACTCTCCGGTTACAGGTCCCGACTCTCCACTTATAATGATGCCTTAGCTACACATGTTCATTATCTCCGCCTACGCTACAAGGCCCTGTCACCTATACGCCGTGCGCTCGTGGCTGCCGCTGGGACCCTAGTAGCCCTATGGCTGCTTGTTGTTTTTTCCTCCAGCGCCATGACTCCACGCGTCCGATCAGCTCCTGGACATAAGTTTCGGTGCTTTGGCCCAAGTAAAGCTCCCTTTGATCTCTCAGCTAACGCATACTCTGAGTGGCACGCAAGATCACCAACTCCAGTCAAATTCTTTCAGCAACAAGACGCTCTTGACAAGTATCAACAAGAACTTCACATGCATTCTCATGAAGATGCTTCATCTACACCTGTTGCTCTTACAAACTCTTCAGAAATCCTTGATAAAACTATATTCAAGTTTAACTTGGATTCAACTGCAACAAAAAATGCAGCTGCTAATAGAGAACGCATTCTCATCTTGACACCGTTGAGAGATGCTGGCCCTTACTTACGCCGTTACTTTCTTCTACTTCGGTCGTTAACATACCCCCATGAGCTCATCGACTTGGCCTTTTTGGTCTCAGATACTACCGACGATACCCTTGCCCTGTTGGCCCTTGAACTCAAGCGTGCCCAGGAATCGAAAAAACCCTTCCGTTCAGCTCAAATCTTTACAAAGGACTTCCTTGTTCGCCAACATAATGAAGGTCAAGTCCAGGATCAGGACTTGTTATTGTCCATGGACAACCTTGATGTTGAACAACGACATGCGTTTGCTGCTCAGGCCCCTAGACGTAAAGCCATGGCCCGTGCTCGTAACTTTCTATTAACATCTGCTCTTCAGTCAGACCATTCTTGGGTTCTTTGGCGTGATGTCGATGTTTATGAGTCCCCTAGAACTCTTCTTGAAGACTTGACTGCACATGCTCAGTCTGCTGATGTTGTGGTTCCAAATGCATGGTTCCACAGATATGTTGTGACTGGTGATGGAGTCGAACACATTGAAGGCCGCTTCGACTACAACTCATGGCAGGATACGGACCAGTCACGAGCTTTACTTAAAACTCTCCCTCGTGATGTTGTCCTGGCAGAGGGATATAAGGAGTATGACACAGGCCGTGAGTATATGGCCCGCATGGGCGACTGGCGCTGGAATAAAGACGAAGAACTGCCGTTAGATGGATGCGGAGGTGTGTCTGTGCTGGTCAAGGCTGATGTGCATCGCTCAGGTGCTAACTTCCCTGCGTATCCATTTGAGAACCAGGCTGAGACTGAGGGATTTGCAAAAATGGCTGCTCGCTCAGGATTTAAAGTTGTCGGGTTGCCCAACTACGTTATTTGGCACATTGACACTGAGGAGAAGGGAAACAAGTAGGTAAGTAGGTAAGTAGGTAAGTAGTGTGTTGAATTAAGTTATTATAAAGTAAGTTGTAAATAACTTGGCCAGTTGAGCTGTTTTTTTATTTATTTATTTATTTATTTATTTATTTATTGAACGGCTTATAATTTGTCCGAACCGTTTTTGTTTGTTATTTTTTTTAGCTATTAAAAGCCACTTTTTTTTTTTTTTTTTTTTTTCCATCTTCATCATCATTTCAACAAACTTTTTCAACTTTTCATCTTTTCATCTTTTTCAAGTACTAAAAAACAAAAAACAAAATGACTTCATTCAAAATATCAACTTATGAAGACATCCCTGTCGAAACTCCTGTTGAAGAAATTCCTTCTTTGGTTGCCCGTGTTAAAGCTGGTTATACTTCCTACAAAACCCTTCCTCTCTCTTTCCGCCGTGAACAACTACGCAATCTTTACTATGCACTCTACGATAACCAAGACTTACTCTATCAAACTTTGATGCAAGATCTCCATAAATGTCCTCATGAGATTAATATGATGGAAACTTTCCAGACTTTTACTGAGATTCTCTGGCTCATTGAAAACCTCGATGACTTGGCTGCTCCAAAACCTATTCCAGGCTCACCTCTAGCTCTGAAACTTGCTTCAATCCGTCTTACTCGTCAGGCTTTTGGAACTGTTCTCATCATATCTCCTTGGAATTACCCCATTGTACTCAGTGTACTGCCAATTGCTTCAGCTCTTGCTGCAGGAAACACAATTGTCTACAAACCTTCAGAGATGTGCGAACACACTTCTCGCGCTCTTGTCAAGATTCTATCTGAAGCTTTGGATCCTAGTGTGTTTGTGAGTATTACTGGTGGAGTCCCACAATCTACTGCAGTTCTCAAGTTGCCCTTTGATAAAATCATGTATACAGGCAATGGTGTTGTGGGTCGCATAGTGGCCCGTGCTGCTGCAGAACACTTGACGCCCACTATTTTGGAGCTTGGAGGAAAATCGCCTGTGGTTGTCACAGCCACTGCCAATTTGAAGATTGCAGCTCGTCGTATTCTCTGGGGGAAGCGCGCTAATGCTGGACAGACCTGTGTTGCACCAGATTATCTTTTAGTTGACAAGAAGGTTCACAAGGACTTTTTAGCTGCTCTTAAAGTTGCTTACCACGAGTTTAATGCGGGGTTGACTGCGGAATCTCATGACGATTACAGTGACATTATCAATGGCCGCCACTTTGCCAGAATTAAAGCTTATCTTGACAACACTAAGGGATCTGTTGTTCTTGGAGGTAATTATGATGAAAAAACGCTATTTTTCCCCACCACAATTGTGGATGGTGTCACTGCTAGTGATTCACTTCTTAAGGAGGAAATTTTTGGTCCACTTCTTGGAATTATCACATATACCGAGCTTTCTGAGGCTGTGAACTTTATTACAAGTGAACACGATACCCCGCTTGCCCTTTACATTTTCTCCACATCTAAAAGAGAACAGAATTTTATTTTGGATCGTGTTCGTTGTGGTGGTGTGTCTATTAATGAAACATTGATGCACCTTACTGCCCCACAAGCCCCCTTTGGTGGTGTTGGAGAGTCTGGTCATGGTGCATACCATGGAATCAATGGTTTCCGTGCCTTTTCCCATGAACGTACAGTTTTATCACAGCCAGCCATTGTTGAGAGTGCTCTCAATGTGCGATACCCACCATATTCCTTATCCAAGTCGAAACAGTACAATTTGATGAGTGGTCCACCAGCCAATCCTTATCCACGAGAGGGCCCTGTGGTAGTTGGTGGAGTGTTTAAACAACTTTTGTCTAAAGGTTTGTGGGTTGTTGTTTTGCTTGTAGGATTGGTATATTCTCGTAAGTTTTGGTGATAAATATTCAAGTTGAATTATGGGGTTAAATATATGTATATGTAAACATTTTTATTATTGTTAAGATAGGTGTTAAAATAAAATAAAATTAAATAAATAAATGGTTAAGGCCATGGTTATATTTTTAAATTTTTAAATTTTTTATTTTTTATATAACCTCTTTTTAGCTACCACATTAAATTTTATTTTTATTTTTTTATTTTTTAAATTTTTTAAATTTTTTAAATTTTTTAAATTTTTTAAATTTTTAATTTTTTTTTAATACTGAAACTTCAATCAATGCCAATATATCATGAAGAACAACGTTTTTGAACATGTGGATTTGTCAGTTGCGCCAATGGCCCGCGCAGATGTCGAAGAACGATTAGACAGTTTACACAAAATAGATGAGGTGAGTAAGTTGATTTGTAGTCTACGAAATCGTTGAAATTGTTTATTTATTTATTTAATTAATTTTTTTTTTTTTTTTTTTACAATTACGCGTATTGTTATTTTTTTTTTAATTTTTTTTTAATAATACTAATAAGCAGAGTTGTATAGCAAATAATTTCATTATTAGATCTTGCATCCACAGCTATTGCTACGTTGCGAGCAGGGAAGATTTCCAAAGGCCCTACGACACAACGTGAGTTTAGTGAAGCAACAGCAGCATATTATACAGAGCTAGAGCGGACTTCGGTTGCACTACGACGTGAGATCCGGTTATTAAATGATGTTTCTGGAGATAAGGTGATGCCAGTCAATGTTGTACCTAAGGCAACAGCAGTTGGAAGACAAAAGGAAGAGGCCATTTGGTTAAGCATTAGTGAGGAGAAAAAGGGTAGTAGTGGGAAAGAAGAGGAAGAACAAGAACAAGAACAAGAACAAGAAAAAGAAAAAAAAGAAGAACAAGAAGACCAAGTAGAAGGAAAAGGAGAAAAGGAAAAGCAGGAAAAGCAGGAAAAGAATGGTGATGATGGAGATGTTGAAATGACAGATAAATCAAGCAAAAATGATGTTGTTGATGTTGTTGATAAAAGTACCGACAAAATTATTAAAGACCTTCGGGACACTAGCGGAGCAACAGCAACAACAACAGCAGAAGATTCAATTGAGGAAGCCGTTGAAGCTGCGACAGGTGTTGTAACTGACGAGCGCAAATTAGGCAAGTTAAGGCTGATTACGAAATAGATCACGTGAAACAGTCACTTTCCTTTTTAGGAAATTGGTTTTAATAATTATGAGAATGTCTGTGTATATTATATACTATCGGAACACTTAATCAAGTACCGGTTATTATATGCTCAGTTGAATAATGTTCCGACCGGGTCTTTTATTTTATTTTATTTTATTTTTTTATTATTACCTACCTACCTACCTACCTCCCCTCCCCTCCCCTCCCCTTCTCTTCTTTAAATTTTACCCTAACCCTCTAATAATTTTTTTTTTAATTTTTTTTTTTTTTTTTTTACCTCTGCAACGGCTGACCATAGAAAGAGAAACAGAAAAAACCCTAAACCCTAAACCCTGTGCCCACTACGAAAATCTTTCATACACACACACACACACACACACACTCAACAAAATTTTCCTCTCTTCTTTTCCCCCTTTTTTTTTTTTTTTTTTTCCCCTCCCACCAGGTCACACTTTTTCCACCACCACCACTAACTTCACCCTTCAAGTGCACCACTTAACCATGTCCAACGAAGTTCTTGTTCTCCGTGGCACCCTCGAGGGCCACAACGGCTGGGTCACGGCCCTTGCGACCTCCGCTTCTAACCCAGACATTTTGTTGTCTGCGTCGCGTGATAAGTCGCTCATCATCTGGAACCTGACTCGCGACGAGGAGGCCTACGGTGTGCCCAAGCGCGCCCTCAAGGGCCACGACCACATTGTGCAGGACGTTGCCATCTCGCTCGACGGTGCGTACGCCATTTCTGCGTCGTGGGACAAGACTCTCCGTCTGTGGGACTTGAACTCGGGCAAGACCCTCCAGCGCTTTGTTGGCCACGAAGGTGACGTTCTTTCCGTCTCTTTCTCTGCTGACAACCGTCAGATTGCCTCTGCTGGCCGTGACCGCACTATCCGCATCTGGAACACCATTGGTGAGTGCAAGTACACTTTCAACGATGCTTCTGCCCACTCCGACTGGGTCTCTTCTGTTAGATTCTCTCCTGTCGAGAAGGAGGATGGTGTTTCTGCTGTCATCTCTGCCGGCTGGGACAAGCTTGTCAAGGTATGTTTTTTACTTATTTTTTTTTTGGAAAGAATTGATGATCCAATGATGTTCATTTGAAATTTGCTACTTCAGAGATTTTTCCATGAGACAAATTAACACCATTTTCTGAGTTTCACATCATCAATTTTTTTTGAAAAATTTTTTTTAAAATTTTTTCTTTTTCACTTATTCTAACTCATTTTAATAGGTCTGGGACATTAAGAACGCTAAGCTCCTTGCTGACAACATTGGCCACACTGGCTACGTTTCCGCCATCACTGTCTCCCCTGATGGATCTCTTTGCGCTTCCGGTGGCAAGGACGGTTCTATCATCCTTTGGGATCTTAACTCGTTCAAGCACCTTTACTCCCTCTTTGGCAATGACGAGATCTACTCTTTGACCTTCTCCCCCAACAGATACTGGCTCTGCGCTGCCACTTCCTCTTCCATCAAGATCTTTGATCTTGAGAAGAGAGCCCTTATTGATGAGCTTAAGCCTGACTTTGCTCTTGCTTCTATCTCTTCTAAGGAGCCCGAGGTCATTTCCCTGGCCTGGTCTGCTGACGGTCAGAACCTCTTTGCCGGTTACACCGACAACTTGATTCGCGTCTGGCAAATCATGCAGTCCAACTAAATTGCGTGGTGTATAATATAAAAGAAAAAAAAAATGAGAAAGTTTGATGATTTTTGGTTACTATTTATTTACAAGTACTCATGTGAAGAATATTCGTAGGAGGTTGGGTGAAGAATCGGATCACCCGCTGCGAGTCATTGCTTATCAATACTGTCAAAACCTCGAGTTAATGAAGCAATGGCCTCGGTATCCCCTGGTGCTAATGTCGGGTCATCCAAAACACTAGCAACCATTTGCCAAGGGTCCTTGCTTCCCCCCCATTGCAACACCTCTCTGCGCCATTTTTCGCCGGCATCACGGGCAGTTGGGTCTTGTTGGAAAACATGAGCCCATACCCGATCGGCAATGGCACGACCCAATAGATAACAGTAGTAAGAAGCACCATAGCCAACAAGATGGCCAAATTGGGTATACCATCTAGACTCACGTTGGGCTGGGAAAAGACCATAATGAGACTCTAAAGCGTAGTAAGCATGATGAAGGCCTTCTGGGGTTGCCAAAAGTGCAGGATCACCTGAATGGAAAAGTTGATCAAGAAGAGCCAAGACAATTTGTGCATGAGTTTCACTATGTTGAAGCAACTGTTGAGCAGTCCGCTCATGTTCTTGCAACAAATTTAATGGAAGCGGAGCACCCGTTGCATGGTGATATGCAAACAGTCCTAAAACTTGAGGAGCAGCTGCAAACTTTTCCATAAGAACTGAAGGTAACTCCACAAAATCAGTAGCACAACGTGTCCCTGAAACATTATGAAGATCAGTACGACCCAGCATGGAGTGCATGGCATGACCCATTTCATGGAACAAAGTCTGTACATTATTAAAGGTTAACAGCGCAGGCCCGCCGGCGGGACCCGGCGCAAAATCACACATGAGCACAATCACAGGTAGTTGATGTGCATCACGGCCCGTAACAACATGCGGGAACCGCTCGTTGGCCAATGGGTCCAGCGCCCGTACGGCATCATTTTCTGCTGCATAGATTCGACGTGAACAACGTACTGTAAAGTGTGCAGGATTAGGCGATTTACCTGGAGCTTGGAACAAATCACAGTACATGACACCTACAAGTCCGTCAGTATCCGAAACAACATTAACCCGACGTACATCGTCACGCCATGTTTCGCCCTCCTTGGGAGGCACTGGTTCAAACCGGATCCCGTAGATACTTGTAAATAATCGTGAAAGACCCTGGATTACAGTTCCCACTGAAAAGTATTCTGGGATACGTGCGACTGCTTCTTGAGATGGTGTATCGTCTCTGTGGTCTCTTAACAAATGCTGCTGATGCAAGAACCTAGCTCCGAAAAAGTCTCTATCCCAGGCTTCCATCCCTGCTGTTTTGTGGGGGACATCTGTAGCTTGGGCCTTGATCCGCGCCAGCGCCGCAATCTCGCCGCGTGCCTTGGGCGCCACTGCTGCTTCAATGGCCTTAAGAAACGAGTCTGCCAAAGCTGGAGTCTTAAGCATTTTGCCATGAAGTTCGTAGGCGGCATATGAAGGAGCACCCATTAGGTTGGCCAGCTCACCACGCGCACGTAAAATCGTTTGCAAACGGTTATCTTGTTCCAAATCGGCAGATGCTAAATGGCCCTTGGTCCAGATTTCCCGGCGTACTTTTTCATCTCGAACAGTTCGTAGAGCAACTGCAGCCTCCCAACCTGTGGTTGGCACAAGTAATGAGCCTGGTTCCTTTTCACCAAATAGTTTGGATAACTTTGACTGCTGGGTTTGTACAAGATACCGGGCAAGCCCGCGGTCCAAACCTTCAAGATCGGAAGAGGTAGCTTTGACAAAAGCCACAGACGGGTCTTTAGGAGGTTCTGCAGCGGCCTCCATAAATTCTTGTCCCATAACAGAAATGACATTCATGAGCTGGACAAATTTGGTTCGTGTTTCAGGATCTAACCGAATGCCGGACTTTTCAAAATCGGCAAGAAGTAACCGCCCTGTAGAATCTTCCTCAGCAGAAAGTTTTGCAACCTTTTCAGGGTCCTCGAAAACTGCAGCAAGTCGGTCATACAGTTCTACTGAGGTGTTTAGCACATTCATGTACTCAAACATGGTTTCATGGGCCTGCTGTGCGGCCGCTTGAAACCCAGGTGCTGGATGTGCAGCACGTACACAGCCCATGAGATCAATGACCTGACATAAAGTATCACTAAGGCGATCAAGTGTTCGAACAAGATCTCCACCATCACGCACAGTTCCCGAAAGGATCCGTTGGGCCAGAGCTTGTGCTTGAGCAAGTGACACTTCTGTAAAGCGGAGCATTCCACGAGGCGATGTCAAGTATGGGTTATCAAACAGACCTGTTTTCTTTCCTGGATTATGCACAGGGCTCATGGATTTCCAGAACCCGGCATCGTCAAACATGAGCCGAAGTGCAGCGTCACCATGACGTGCATCGGCCTCGTCGCGAGGGGTCTGTAGCTTAATGGTCGGTGCCTTGGCGTTTAGATTTTGAGCATTGACAGCGGCTGCAGCTGCCGTCATTCCCGGTTTATCATTGATGGGTGTGAATAGTGAAATTTGTCTGCGTAGAATGCGCGGGACCACCAGCACGGGTGCTCTCCGGGCAGTCGTCGTCAGTCGGAGCATAGTTGAGAAAAAGAGGGTTCTTTTTATATTTTTATTTATATTTATATTTTATGTGAAAACCGGTATACTTTGATAAGTTGAAAGACAAAAAAAAAAAAAAAAAAGCTGTGAAAAATTTGTGTGTGAAGGACATTAAGGCAGACCTAAAAGGTTTTTTTTTTTTTAGTGTTACTGAATAACCTCCACCATCACCACCACCACCAAAAAATAATACAAACAGGCTGATTTGTGGGGTTGGCAACAGACACTACACTACGCCTTTTTTTTTTTTTTTTTCAATTATCAAATATCAAAAAAATTATTTATCTTTATCAATCAGCATGTCATGTGCGGTCGTTTTGTTTTTGCAATTGTAAGTATGATGAATATCTTGGATTAGATTCTCTTTTGGTTGACAATAAACAGCCTTTAAGTGAACTTTCCGGGGTTTTGCGTGCGTCTGGGTTTGAAATAGACTCAATTGATTCGTCGTCTACAAAGTCCCCGACCTCGTATAACTTTGCACCATATCAACGAGTCCCAGTTTATCGTATCATTCTTAAGTTTGGACTTGACCTGAGTATAAACACTGAGCATGAAGTTTCTTACATGACGTGGAGTTTGGACCCTGGGTTTAAATCGAGTGGTAATGCGAATTCTCATCATTTTGCCACTTTTAATGCTCGGATTGAAAAAGTGGAAGATCCCAGAGGGTTTTGGCATCGCTTTTTGGAAAACCCACAAGAGTTAGAGTATCCTAAAAACCGATGTATTGTTTTGGCCCAAGGATACTACGAATGGCAAGCTAAACAATTATTTGAGACCAAGAAAAGTACAGTCAAGATTCCGTATTATATACGACCCAAGGTAGTTGAAGAAAAAAGTGAGTCTGCTGATGCAAAGACTGAAGGAAAAATAAAAACCGAGAAGGTCAAGAAGGAATCTGAGGAAGTTAAGGAGGAACATGAAGAAGTCAAGAAGGAATCTGAAGAAGTCAAGAAGGAATCTGAAGAAGTCAAGAAGGAGTCTGAAGAAATTAAGAAGGAATCTGAAGAGGTCAAGAAACAGCTTGGAGACGTCAAAGAGGCCAAACTTGAAGAACCTGAGCCTGAGAAAAAACATCCTGTTAAACCACTTCTTTTCTTTGCCGGAATCTGTTACCAGAATACAGTCTCCATCATCACCCGACCGGTTTCTTCCCCACTCGAGTGGTTGCACGATCGTGAGCCCGTGATGTTAACTGTGAAAGACGCCAAAGAATGGCTCAAGGGCAATAATGATGTTCTACACAACCCCACGCCTCCATTGGAAGCGTACCGGGTAGGTAGGGCAGTTGGTAAAGTCTCTGAAAGTGGCCAAGATCTGTGTCGGAAACTGACTAAAGAAGAAATTGAACAAAGCGATGAAGAAAACAGGATTAGTGCTATGCCTAAACGGCGACACAAAGAAGAGCATTCACCTGGGGAAAAAAAACCAAAACTGAGCAACTTCATCAAGCCAAAGAGTAAATAATCATATCTTTGTACTTTAATATTTATTTAACTATAATAACCTCTTTGTTTTTATTTATTTATTTATTTATTTATTTTTTCCTTTATAACTTTTCATATCTGGCCTTGCGCTTCTCAAGAGTTGCAGAAATACCCTCATAGAAATCAGTCTGCAATGCAAAGGAATTATAAGCAGCAATCTGCTTCAACCCATCTTCAAGAGTATGCTCGGCAGCATAATTAAGCGACTCCTTTGCTCCTTGAAGACCAACAGGAGAGTATTGTGCTAGCTGAGTTGCTAGCTTAATGGCAGCCTCTTTGGCCGCTGCAGCCGTCGGATACACATATGACACAAGACCTTGCTTAAGTGCCTCGTCAGCACCAAAAAAACGTCCTGTGAAAACAATTTCGCGGACCCACGAGTGCGAACCTACAAGTCGCGGGAGCTGTTGTAGGGTGCCAATATCAGCCGCCATGCCAATTGCAATCTCGCGTACTGAGAACTTAGTATCTGCAGCTGCAAGACGGATATCGACGTTTGTCAAGATATCCATAGCCAGTCCTATGGAAATGCCATGGGCCACTCCAATCACTGGCTTAGGACAATCATATGCTGACTTGATGGCTTCCTGAAACTCGCGAATATGTGCGCGTGACTTGATAGCTTTACGTGAAGGTTCTGTAGCCTGGCCACTAATTTCATTAAATCCTTCAGTGTCTTTTAAGTCTAGTCCGGCACAAAACCCTCGTTCACCTTGGCCTGCAACAACAATAGCATTCACATCAGGATCTGTGGAGGCAATGGCAAAGATGCGGGCATAGTCTCGCCATGTTTTGGCATCGACAGCATTAATCTTGTGGGGTTTGTTGAATTCAACAAGCAGGACTTGCGGGGCAGCGAAGGAGACTGCGAGTTGGGAGATCTGGGCGTATTTGGAAGTTGTCATGATCTTTTTTTTTTATGTGTGTGTTTGTGTGTGTGCGTGTGTATATAGTAATAAATAGATAGTGGGGACGGGTTTTTTTTTTTTTTTCTTTAAGAAACTAAATTGTGGGGGGTTAGAGAAGAAAAGGAACTTCAAGACCTTTTTATACACACAATGTGGGGTCATCCGAGGTTTCCAAAGACAAGTATAAATAACCCCATCATGTCACTTAGTTCAAACGACATATATATATAGATAAATAATCTTATTAAAATAATCTAATAATCTAATAATCTAATAACTATCATCAATTCAAATAACCAAAAACAATGACCTTGCAACAAGATCAACAAACTTTTCTCAACCTTGCAGAGACCTTACAGCTCGAAATCGTCGTCGATTTCCCCCACCCACACGTCGTTAGAGTTCGCCTAAACGCACCAAAACGTCTCAACTGTGTTCCTGCTGCAGACCATGCAAAGTTTGACAAGCTCTGGACTCTTTTTGAAGAACTCCCGAGCTTACGTGTTGTCATCTTGACAGGTACTGGCCGTGTTTTCTGCGCAGGTGCAGACCTTAAAGGCTGGCGCACAGCCATCACTGATACTTCTGTTCCTCCAGACATTTTGTCTGACAATGGATTTCTTGGAATCTCTGACCGAACATCCAAAAAACCCTTCATTGCAGCTTTAAATGGACCGGCCTATGGTGGTGGCACAGAGACTCTCCTCAACTGTGACATGGTTGTCGCTGTGGCCTCTGCCACAATCTCACTTCCTGAACCGCGCCGTTCTGTTGCTGCAATTGCAGGAGCTCTCCCTCGTCTTGGCCGTCTTCTTCCTCTCCAACGAGCCATGGAGATTGCTCTTCTTGCAGAACCTGTCTCTGCTGTTCAAATGCACACCTGGGGGATCGTAACTAGAGTTGAGCCAACTACAGAAGATGTACAAGCCACAGCCTTGGCTCTGGCTAAACGTATTTTGCTAAGTGCACCAGAAGCTTTAGCAGTTACCTTGAGTGGAATTCGCAGAGGTTATGAGACAACGGCTGAGTCGTTAAAGGAAAACTCTAGGCGGGTATATGATTCTCAAGAAGCCGAGGCAATGAATAGTTCTGAAAATATTGGTGAAGGTCTGGCTGCCTTTGCTGAAAAGCGCACCCCTCAGTGGAAGTTGTAAGTTGTTACTACATGAGATTACAAGAAACCTTGTGAGGGGAAGAATGTCAAGCTCAGTTAGGTAGTGAAGTAGTATTCAGTTTGTATTGTGTTTGAATGAGATTAACAATTTGATTTTGAAGAATAAGAATATGAATAAGAATATGAATTGAAAGAAGGAAACAATTAGGAAGTTGATATCAGTTTTGATTTTTTTCAGTTAACATTGTTAAAAAGATACAATTTTAGGAATTATTTGATTGAAATAGAAAACTTTTAGTTTATTTCTATAATTAATTTGAAAAAGAGTTTAAATATAAATATTGAATTGTACATATGAATACTAATTACTCTTCAAAGTACCATCACCATCACCTTAAAAGGTTTGGTTATATTCAATGATAAATTATCAAAAACGTTCTATTGAAATTTATCTTTAACAGTGGCCATTTTAGCAAATTTTGAAGATATAACAGTTAAATTTAACAGATATATTAAAAAAAAATAATGTAAAGGAAGTCATTCACGTGCTAAATTCAAAATAAGATAAAAGTTACCAATTTAAACTTACTTACTATTAATAACCATAACTCATCTTACCAGGTATTTCAATTTTCATACATCAGTCTGTGAGCAGTTTTTCATCTTCCAACCAAAACTGCCACTTAAAAATTTCGGTCTCAAAAATAAAAAATAAAAAACAAAAAAAAACCTCTCTCGTTTATACCATCAACAACAATCAACAATCAACAATCAACAATCAACAATAATCAACAAACTTCTCAATGCTCCGATCAAGTATTTTCAAAATGGCCCGGCGGTTTGCCTCAACAGCAACTCCTCCTCCCTCCTCATCCCAGCAACCTCCTAAAAAGGGCATTAAGGCTCTTATGGCCAAGTACGGTTACTCTGCTCTCGGTGTTTACCTCGGACTTTCTGCCGTCGACCTGCCTCTTTCATTCCTGTTTGTTCACTCAGTTGGCCCAGAGCGCATGGAAGCATGGACAAGCCAGGTCAAAGGTTACTTTGGATATACCACTGAGGAAAAGTCTTTGGAACAAGACGCAGAAACTGGCCATTTGGACCCTGAAAGGGCAAAAGACCCCCAGCCTACCCAGAAATGGTTTGGAATTGACCGTAGACTAATTGCTGAGTTTGGCGTCGCATACGCTCTCCACAAGTCTCTCATCTTTATCCGTATACCCATCACAGCTGCCATCACTCCTGCAGTTGTCCGCCAACTTCAAAAATGGGGATTTAATGTTGGCAAGGCTGTGACCACCACTGGGCTCGGCTCTAAAGCCACCTCGAAACAACGTTTTGGGTCTTGGTTCTTTTAAAAAAAAAAAAAAAAAAAAAGAAACAAAACATTAAAAAAATTAGAATTATTTGTACATAATACACTACTGCTCAACTTTTTCAAACCATTCTTTTGCTCCCTTAATGTTGGCAACTATGGTATTGCCTTGAGTCTCAGACTCACCAGGAGGCATGACTACCATGACAAACGTGTTATTCGTCAAAGTGTCAATATAGGCAGAACAACTCGGTCCATGCAATGTCAGCGTCTGTAGTTGCGCTTGCAGCTTCGAGCAACTCTGCTTATATGTCTTAATAATATTTGAAATCTTTTCAAATCTCTTAGGGTCCAGCTTTCGAAGTGGCTCTCCATCTCCAGTCTGCTCCAGTAGCTTCTCGTAAGACGCTTGTCGCTCAGCCAGCGGCGACACATGCGAAATCACAAGAAATGTAGTTCGCTCAAATAAAACAACCTCCTCAGCCTCGCTAATTTCTGCAAACCTTTGTAAATACCGTTGAAACATGCTCATATTAGGAACCATTGAGCATACAATCTGTGACCACGCCTTGTACAGCGACTCGTCCCAGATCGATGTCATAAACCCAGTTATTTCAAACCCATAGGGCTTACTCTGGTCGCGTAGATAAAGCATAAATGTATCAAAAATTTCGGGTCGTTTTTCAGGCTTGACCAAGTCCATTTTGTGAATAAGAACAAATATACGCGCTTTGGGCGAAAACTTGCGAAGATGTGATAAACATTCAATAAAAGTGCGAATATCTTTCTGGACTTCATTCGACTGTACATCAAATACATGGATATGCACTTCCACTCCTCCAAATATATGATCTCGTTGCGATGAGAAATAATTTTCTACAAAAACATCTTGTCCACCACAATCCCAAAGATTGAGCGTCATGTTGCCGAGAAACCGTAGGTGCGAGTGCTCCACGTCCATTGTGGCACTTAATCTTTGAGTTTCATATGCCGAGTAATTAGAAAAGATAATCGATCGCATAGATGACTTTCCTGAGCCGCTGCGGCCCATAAGCAGCAGTTTTTTTGGCGACGACATGCTGTTGTGTTAGTGCGCTTATATTTGCTTGCTTGCTTATTTGGTGGTGTGGTTGTTGTTGTTGTTGTTGTTGTTGTTGTTGAAAATGTCCAGATTCGCATATAATACAAAACAAAAAGTCCTATGATATCTCCATTCCCAGATCTACCCATCCCGTATTTTTCAGTCTTCTACACCTCCACTCCTCCCCCTTAAAGGCCACCATCACCACTACCAAAAAACTTTCCAAATTTCAATAAATTTCAATAAACAAAAACATAAACAAAAAACAAAATGGGTAAACTAGCCGACCTGTTACTTCACCCGTCAGAACTGCGGGCTGCACTTCAGATAAAATTTTTCCCTTCGGTACTTTATCCTCGTGATACCAAGTCAGAGACACCAGAGCTCCACCGTTGCTATGAGCTTCTCAACCTTACGTCCCGCTCCTTTGCAGCCGTCATCCAGCAACTTCACCCTGAGCTTCGCGACGCCATTGCTCTATTCTACATTATTCTGCGTGCTCTGGACACTGTAGAAGATGACATGACTCTTTCTCTCGATACTAAAATCCCCCTTCTCCGCAAATTCGACACGTATCTCACAACTCCTGGCTGGACATTTAACGACTCTGGGCCAGATGAAAAGGACCGTGTTGTTCTCGTTGAGTTTGACGTTGTTATTGCAGAGTACTCAAACCTTAAGCCAGAATATCGTGAAGTTATTGCCGATATCACACGCAGAATGGGTGCCGGTATGGCCGACTATGCCATTGACTCAGACTTTACACGAGACGGTCTCGAGACTGTTGACGATTACAACCTTTACTGCTATTATGTCGCCGGTCTTGTTGGTGAGGGTCTAACTCGTATGGCCATTATTTCCCAATTCGGTGGCCCTATTCTTGCTGAGGAACCTGATCTACACCTGGCAATGGGTCTCTTTTTGCAAAAAACAAATATTATTCGTGACTTTAAAGAAGATCTTGACGATGGCCGCACCTTCTACCCTAAAGAACTTTGGGCTCGCCACGTTTCTTCGTTAAAAGAACTTAATGACCCAGCTGTTTACACTACAAAGGGTCTCCATGTACTCACTGAAATGACAATCAATGTACTTGAGCTTGTTCCTAAGGTTCTTCAGTACCTTGACAATATCAATGAGCCTACCCTTTTCCGCTTCTGTGCTATCCCTCAAGTCATGGCCATTGCAACTCTTGAGCTCGTCTTTAACAATATCCATGTTTTTGAAACAAACGTCAAGATCCGACGCGGGCTTGCATGCAAACTCATTCTCCTTGCTCGCTCTCGCAAAGGAGTCTATGATGTTTTCCGCGAGTATGTCCAGCGGATCCATGACCGAAACGTCGCAACAGACCCCAATTATCTCAAGCTGGAAATTCTCTGCGGCAAAATTGAGCAGTACATTCAACAACACTATCCCAAAGATGATAACACTACACTCTCACTTTCAAAGGCTCACGATGATTCCCTTGACTCATTGATGATTCTGGCTGCTGCAGGCGGCTTTGCTATTGCCACTTGCGCCATCATGGTCGGAGTGGCTTATGCTTTCGGCGCAAACTTTTCCTTTTCTCTACAAGATGCTTTCCCCTTTTTGGCCGATTCAAAGCTCACTTAATGTAAATATATTTATGAAAAAAAAAAGGCATTTAATTAATAGTGATAATAATAATAACTACAGCTTTGTAAAGTTGGCACCACCAGTTGATGGAATCTGTAGCCAATTCCGGGTATCATAATCTGCAGTACCTTCAATCACATGGAACGCATAAGCATATCGCGATTTGTTTGACAAATTGTGTTCTGACTTGTGTACAACCGAGTTGTGAATCAATACCAAAGATCCTGCTGGACACTCAACCCATTTATACTTTGAAGCATCCTTTTGCAGTTCCAGTTGTTCCTCGCTTATCACTGCACCAGGAACCGGTTCAAATGTAGTTTTAATTTCACCCGATTCACCTGTGCGTACAAGTCGTTTGGCAATAGGGGTATTAAGGTGTGACCCGGGAAGATATTGTAGGGCACCGTTTTCTTTAGTACAGTCCTCAAGAGCATACCAGAATCCAAGACATGAAAGCGGCTTTGTGTACAAAAAAGTAGCATCCTGGTGTGGCGGAACCTCGCCGCCAATAGTTGGCTGCTTGCAAATAACCATGGACTGAAGCACTCGTGCATCATCATATCCAAGAGAATCAACTATTGCGTGGTTTCGTTCATTCACAGTAACCTCTCCAAAAGTTGGCGATACTTCAGGAGATGCATGTAGGTAATGTCCAATCTTGTTAATAGCGCGCTCTTTTGGTTTGACAAGTACTTGTTTCCCAGTTTTGGGATCTGTTTCAAATGCACCCTCCTCAAAAAAGTATCGAACCTTGTCTCCACTTTCCAGGAAATAGTCATCTCCAACATGAGGACGTTCTTCAGTCCCTTCGCCTGTTGTAAACTGAGTCAAAGGGTGGTCTTCTAGCGAGAAGGTATTAAGTAGATTTGCAGTTTCGTCAAGAAGTTTTGTCACCGTTTCTAGCGGAAGCTCATTAGGGATAACGAGGCATCCTTCTTTCTGAAATGTAGCAATCTGCTCTGGGGAAAGTGCTAGTGAATTGGTCATTTCGAATTTTTTTTTTTAGTTTAAAGATTCTTGGTTGAATAATTGGGTGGTTAGTTTAGTTAGTTTGGTTAATGATAAAAAAAAAAAGTGGTGAGACAAAATTTTTGGGCTTATCAAAATATCAAAATAAATAAAGGAAGATAACTTTGTGTCTATGTTTGGGTTTCAGATAAACAAGAAAAAAATACGTCATACCGGGGTCGAACCAAAAAAAATATTCAAGCATTCAAACAAGACAAACTAACAACGTTATGAATTTATAGATTGACAGAATCTTTCATATTTATATTGTAGTTCGAGAGTGTTCAGTATAGTAAGATGCTATATGTAAATCGATAAATGTGCATTTTTATAAAATCCGGGGGGTTAAGTAAAAAAGGAAATCCTAAATCAAAAAAAAAATAAATAAATAAATAGAATAAAATAAAATACTAATAAATAATTGACATAAGGGCTTGACCATATTCTAACTTTCAAAGTACAAGACCTAATAGAATACAACCAGAATACAAAAAAAAAAGGATTATTATTTATCATTTAAACCCTTTAAAAATAAAATAAAAAAAAGATAAATATTTAAATTTAAATGTGTTTTTTATTCAAAGGTTATAGAAGTACACCCGGACATTCCCTTGACAAAATAACAGCATTTAAAGATCAAATCCAATATTTTCTCATTAAAATAAGTTTAATTTAATTCATTAAACCATATTTTTATCTGATTTCGCCAATATTAAAAGAAAAATAGTTAAGAATTAAGTTCACTATATATAGCTTCTCTAGTTTACATTTTTAACAAATTCATTGATGGCTCGATGGTTTAGTGGTATAATTCTCGCTTAGGGTTATTCTAAGCAATTTGCGAGAGGTCCCGGGTTCAATTCCCGGTTGAGCCCTTACTTTTTATTTATTTTTATACCATTTTTTTTAAACGAAGGGAGGATATATTTCGGTTTTTTTTTCTTTAATTAATTTTCAATTGTTTTTTTTTTATTTATCTGTTATGTTTAAAGTTATTATTTATTTACTTGCTAATAAATTTAGTTTTAAGTTTCTATAGTACTCCACTATAAAATTATTATCACTGTTCCTTCTTAGTGTGTTAAGAAATTTCGTTTCAATCCTCTATTTCATATTTCTTTTAAATTCCAAATTTCCAATTTTGTTATAGTCTACCAGTTAATACTCAGAGAAATCATGACTTCTGTTTATTTTTTATTTTTGTTTTTTTCTATTGAATATTTATCTTTTTTAACTAACATATAAAGCGTAGTCAGTTTGGTAGTTAACACTAAAAATATAGTTATTTTAGCTAATATTCTAGATTCAAACAAAAAACAATGTTATTTGTCTGTTTGTTTGTATTTATTCAAGGGTTATAGAGAATTATATAACATCAGCATCTAAGCTATCCTTCTTGTCCATAATATATCTTTTCATTTTCATAATAAACCTTTAATTTTGGCTCCAACATTGCATCTCTAGCAGCCAGAAAATAAGTCCTGATGCCAGCTTACAAGGAACAGGGGGTCAAAAAAAAAACCAAATCTTCCCAACTTATCTCCGCTTGTCTTCATCAACGCTGTAATTGTATTTCTTAATCCCTCCAAGCAGAGATAAAGCTTACAATCTCTTGTTAGCCAATTAAGCTGTTTAAGAGAGTCAACATGTCCATTTCTGAAAATATCCGATTTAATACTTTTCTTTCTTCTTCAAGCAAAGGATATTAAACCAAAATGTGATGAACTGTTTCCAGCTCTCCATATTTGCAGTTGTAACTATCCTTTTCAATTTCAAACTTTTTAAACTATACCAAAAAAAGAAATGATGACAGGTGCGAGGTTCGAACTCGCGCACTCTCTCGAGTAGCAGATCTTAAGTCTGCCGCCTTAAACCACTCGGCCAACCTGCCTATATGTGCATCGCTTTTGTCCTTCATTACATATTTTTAATCCCTTTAGTTTAATGCACGTGATCAGGCTTTATGGCCGAGCGGTTAATAAAATTCAATGGGGAAAAAGGGCTGGATGGTGTAAAGGGTAACACGTTCGCTCGACAGCGGAAGATACTGGGTTCGATTCCCAGAATACCCCCTTTTCCTGAGGATGTGTACGGGAGTATACACCTAGACTGAAAACCATAGGCTACCCTGGTTACAGGAATGCCGACTCTTCCGTACAGTCTAAATAGCCTGCAGGTGATTGCGGGCCGTATCTCTGACGGAAGAGATTAAGAAATACATGGGCGTCCGTGAAGATAAGTGGAAATGGGTTGGGAAGGTTTTGGGACCGACAGACTGGTTCTCCCTGTTCCTCGTAAGCTGGCATCAGGGCCCATCTTCCGGGCTACGGGAGACGCACAGAACAGAAACCACCCGTACTAAAAAGGTACAAATGAAAACCGGCAAGTCACATAGTCAGACAATAAAAGGATAGCGCAGATGCTGATGTTATATAGTTCTATAACCCTTGAATAAAAACAAACAAACAAACAAACAATAAAATTCAATGTTATTAATTTTTTTTTTATTCAAGGTCTATATAATTATATAGCATTTGCATCTGTACTATCCTTCTTGTTCTTACTATATATCTTTTCATTTTCATAATAAATCTTTAATTTGGCTTTAAATTTTTATTTCCAACAAATCTAAAATAGTTTTTGAAGCCAGTTTATTAAGAAAAAGAGTAAAAAAAAATTGTTTTAGCAACAATTGTTTGTTTGTTTGTTATTTTAGCTACAATTTGCTGTCAGTTTCACACTTGGAGTGCATTTTTGTACCCAAAATAACCTTTTAAGCATAAAACTTTAAAAGCGTTAGTGGTTTAGCGGTAAAATTCGTCGTTGCCATCGACGAGCCCCCGGTTCGACTCCGGGCTGACGCAAACACAACTTTAATTTATTTTTTAATTTATTTAACATAGTTGAGGTTTTCTGTGATTTTTAAAAGATTTTTATTTGTGTGATTTTTTTTTACTGAAAATGCCAATAGAATTTTTTTTTTTTTTCAATTTATTCAACTTGAAGTTTGCTCAATTTGGTACTATGTTTAATTATGAATTCAGTTGTAAACTCCATAGTCTTTGATCTTTTTCTTCTTGAGGAAAACTTTTTAAGACAGTCACTTTAACTAATTTTATAATCTCTAAGATTTTAAAGTAATTGCAAAAAGTAAATTTTTATTTAAAAAGGATAATGAAAAAATAAATTCCATATTTATATAAATTAATAGCAAAATTTTGCTTAAAAGTATTTTTAAAAATACTTTTAAAAGTATATTGTAGAAGTTATTTAATTCTCAGTTTATATCAATTAGTTAGATATCAACATTAAAAAAACAGTATGTGAAGTCTTTACATTTGACACTTCTAAATCTCAAAAATTTTTTTTAATTATTTTTAATAATGTCAATTTTTTTTAATAATGTTAATTTTTTTTTTATAAAAATTAATTTCAATTCATTTTCTTTTTCAAATTCCTTTTATTCCAATTCTAAAGCTCGTTCCATTTCTTTCATTTTCACTTTTTTTTAAATCCTCAAGTTGAATATCTTTTTCTTACCATCACCACAACAACCTCCACGTGATTCCACTCTATAAAAAAAAAAAGTAAACAAACACCCTCTTATTCACTTTCTTTTCTCCTTAAAAAAAAAAATCTTCACTTTTCAACATCCATCACCACCCGTCTTCTTTTCTTTTCCTCCTTAAAAAAGACCCTCCAATGCCGGAAGAACCAGTAGCTCCATCGCCTGGGAACTCCTCGCTGTTGTCGGATTCGGCACCGGTCTCAATTGATATTCTCGAGGCCCAAAAGGAAAACATCCAGCCTCTTAAAGAAGGTCGCTCTGCAGCATCTCTCGCCCGCGTTTTTGCCATCCCACCCGCAGGCGGTTCCCCAGAATCCATAGCAGCTCGTGAGCAACTTGTCAAGGAACGTGACGAATTTGAACGCCGGATCAGCAACTCTCACGATTTAGATGACCCGCTTGAACCGTATCTCGACCTCATCCAATGGACCTTGGCAAACTTCCCGCAAGGTAACAGTGCCGAAAGCCGGCTTGCTCTTGTACTTGAGCGATGTGCGCACGAGTTCCAAGATGCCCCATATGTACGTGATGATCCGCGGTATCTCAAAGTTTGGCTAAGATACATGACTTTTTCCGATGACCCTCGAGGAATGTTTCTATTTCTAGCAAGAAGAGAAATCGGCCGTGGGCTAGCCACCTTTTACGAAGAATATGCACGATATCTTGAAACCATGGGACTAAGAGCGCAAGCAAAGCAAGCGTATGAGGTCGGGCTCCAGCGTATGGCTCGGCCTGCTGAACGTTTACGGCGGCATTACCTTGAGTTTTGCCGACGGCTAGAAACCAACCCACCAGACCCCAACGAACAAGTGGACAATGATTTAGAGATTGTGAGACCGGCGCTTGCTCTTAAAGAAGGTGCTGCAACAACTCCAGAGCATGGACAACAAGGAAGCTCGGCAACAAGCTCTCGTGAATCTCGCACGAAAATGGGCGTGTTTTCGGATCCTACCGGTGCGCTGTCTCAACAAGAACTGGCGGCTGGCGGCTGGGTCAATATGGGGACACTGGCACAACGTCGTAAGGAAAATGTGGTGGAGGCGACTCCATGGGTCGGCCAGACACTACAGTCTGCAACGCAGCCTAAAAAGCATACCAAGATGTTTATTTTCAGAGATAAGGTGAGTACCAAAGGATGGAGATACCTCATGGTTTTAACAATGGTTTAGAAGAAAATACAGTTGTTTGAGCAGCCCGATGACGTACCGGGGAAACGACCAGGAGTCATTGATGTGGCGTTGGAGTATCTTCAAGACTCGGATGGAGAGGAGCTAAGTTTGGAGGAAGTCCTGGCGCGGGCTCGAGGTATATTGTCTGGTAAAAGATTGGGGTCGGCAGGATCCGAGAAATCAGACCAGACTCCCTCGTCGCCATTATTTAAGTCTGATCCCCAAGTCCATGAGCAGCCCTTGTTTCAGGAGTCTGTTCCAATCACAGGTGGGTGAATGACAGAAAGATTTTTTTTTTTTTTTTTTTTTTCATCTAACATTTTTTTTCAAAGATTCTCCCTCTAAACGAGCTCCGGCTTCACCAACCATGACGTTGATGACCAAAGCAGCGACTGAAGATGTTTACGAGATGTTCAACCAGCCACTTAAAGATTCCAGTGACGACGACGATGATGAAAGAGATGTTGACGATGACGATAACGGCTTTGAAACTGAAAATACAGGGTTTGGTGATACCGACTTGCCAGACCATGATGATGATGATGATGATGACAACGATGACGATGACGATGACGATTTTACCGGCAAGTCCACGGCGACGTTTGCGGGTCGCTCAGGTATGCCGTCGCGGTCTTCCCCCTCCCTCTCCCCTTCTTCTTCTTCTTCTTCCTTCCGTGCGAACGGCGCTAATCCTACCTTAAATTCTAGAACAGAAGCCGATGATGATGCCGACGCTGACGGCGACGCTGACGGCGAAGACGAGCACGAGCACGAGCACGACGAAATCAGAAGCCAACATCCCGACGTCGCCGAATCAGCAGTAGTGCCTGAAACTTTGTGCGATCCAACATCTGAAGATCATAAACAGCGGATTTTGGAACACATGCAACCGCCACTGACAACATGGACTTCGTTTCACTTTCACCCGGACGTGGTGCTGGGCAAAAAAGATGTATTGAAACGGGCATTTTCAAATAAACAAAAACAAGAAGAAACAGTCAGCGTAGTAGTTGAATACCCTGATGGTCAAACGTACCGACTCAAAAGCTTACTAGGCCAGGGAGGGTTTGGCAGCGTGTACTTGGGGGAAAATCAGGGGAAGAATACCCCCAAAAGGTACAAAATAATACGCCGGGCCATCAAAATTGAAGATACACCGAATGTGTGGGAGTTTTATATTCTAGAACGTGTGCGGCGGGCAGGTGAAACAGTGGGTGATACACGGCTCTTGGAATCAGTTGTGCGTGCACATGAACAGTACTTATTTAAAGATGAGAGTCACCTGGTGATGGATTACGAGGCACATGGGACTGTACTTGATGCAGTGAATCGTGCAAGGCAACGGCGACAACCGGGATCTGGTGCACTGGACGAGCATGTAGCCATGATTGTTATTGTAGAAGTGTTGCGAGTGGTTGAAGGTCTTCATCGTGCAAGGATTGTTCATTGTGACTTAAAGCCTGATAATGTGATGCTACGAGTACCAGATGACGGTGAGCGAGGTTTAGGGTCATACAAAGCTAATGGAGATAATGGATGGACGCAATGTGGAGTTAAGGTAATTGATTTTGGTCGAGGGATTGATGTAAGTGCATACCCTGAGCGATCACAATTTGTTGCAACGTGGCCTGTGGATTCACAAGATTGTGTCGAGATGCGTGCACATGAACCATGGACATATGAACCTGATTATCATGGGGTTGCAGGGCTTGCCCATTTGATGTTATTTGGAAAGTTTCTACGTACAACTACTACTACCAAGGGTGAATTAATAGCAATTGGTGTTCCACTTAAACGATACTGGGCTACAGATTTATGGACAGAATTGTTTGAAATTTTACTTAATCCAAGGAAAAGTATTAAAACAAGAGGTGAATGGCCACTTACAAGTACATTGAGACGATTAAGGTATAAGTTTGAGGAGTATTTGGAGGCTGTGAGTGAGCGGCGCGGAAGTCATTTACGACGAGCCTTTATAGATGCCGTTGTTGGATAAGCTTTTTTTTTTTTTTTTTCACTTAGATACTTTAATATATATAATAAGTACTTGTTGCATTAAAAAAAGAAGAAGAAGAAAAAAAAAAAAAAAAAAGTAAATAGATTTCTAAATAAACTTGGTTGCATTTAAGCTTTTTTTTTTTTAATCATGTTTTGCAGAATATTCCTTATACATGGCAATGTTTTGAGCACCCATAAATTTAACTTGATCATCAAGACGCCATGGATAATTGTTTGGGTGCAAAATGACTTCAATTAGTCTTGGAAGATCCGACTTGTTGATTATACCATTTGTGAAAAATTCTTCTTCTTCTTTTTTAGTCTCAATACGAGTCGACAAGCATGACTTTGCCTCAGAGCCACCAAATGCAGATAGTAATTGAGTCCATTTCCAATCAGGACAAATGTCATTGTAGCCTTGTTGGGGTCCCCAGATTGCACGTTCAATCGAGTATCCTGAATTGTTAAGCAGAAATACAGCAATGTTGAGTTTATTTCTGACCATGGTTCCGAGTTCTTGGATTGTCATTTGTGCAGATCCATCACCTTCAAGTAATACTACACGTGAAGGGTTTGCTGGATTGAGTTCACGTTGAGCAAATGCAGCTCCGACAGCTGCAGGAAGCGAAAACCCAATAGATGAATAAAAGACTTGAGTAATGATACGAGTATCTGCGGGGAATATGAAATCTGGAGATGCAAACTGGACAGTTCCAACTTCTGGAATGACTACATCACCTGGACGCAAAAACTGGGTACTGACATTGTGGATTAAGCTTGCGAGAGAAATGGGTGTTGGAGAGGGTCTGTCATGGCGTAAGGTAACTTGAGGAAGTGGTGAATGTTGTAGTTTGGCAGGATCTAGACGGGCCACAAGTTTCTTGACAATGGGGACAAATGAAATTCCATCACGACGTGGGGTATCTCCAACTTGGACATAAAGAGGGTGAAGAATGATTGCATTTTCAGATTTAATTTTGCGAGTAAATCCGCCTGTATTTGAATCCGAGAGTAAAGGTCCGAGGTTAAGCACGCAATCGGAAGCATGTACGGCTTCAGCAATTCCAGTATGGGAGAGTTCACCATTATAAACGCCGGCAAAGTATGGAGAAGTTTCATCAACAAGACCTTTACCTAGGAGAGTTGAGAAGGATGGGATTTGAGCCTTTTTAACAAGATTAGTAATTTCTTCACGTAAGCGGAATCGTTCAGATAGAGTATCAGCCAAAATCACGGGAGATTTTGCAGCATAAAGTGTGGTAAGAATTTCGTCTACAAGTGAATCTTCTTCTTGCTCTGATTCAAGACCAGATTCAATTGCTAGGTCAAGAGGAGTATCGAGGAGATGTTTAGGGAGAGGTTGGGCAACCATGTCAACAGGCACGTAAATGTAAACAGGGAGTGCTTGTTTGTAAGCTGCAGAGATTGCAGAATCAATTTGAGAAGGGGCAAGTCTTGGGTCAAGGAGGTATTCTTGTGCCACAGAGAATGGTTTTGAAGTTTCAGGGTAGATACGATGATTTGCTGGGAGAGGAGCATGACCTTTTGGTGGAGGGACATGATGGATGAGAAGTCCTGCTTCTTGGATAGGTCTTCCAGTGGTACCAACAATATGAATAACAGGGACATTTTCAGCAAAAGCACCTGCAATACCGTTAAGGGCAGAGAGTTCACCGACTCCATAAGTAGTGATTAATGTCATGGGAGTACCTTTGACACGAGCATATCCATCTGCTGCGTATGCTGCGTTAAGTTCATTACAGAATCCAATCCATGTTAAATCTGGAGAGGCTTCGATATGGTCAAGAAGAGTAAGATTGAAATCACCTGGAACACCAAAGACATGTTTAAGTCCTAGTTGGGCAAGTCTAATAGCGAGGTAAGTTCCGAGGGGGACAGAAGTTGGTGGAGTAGTCGTTACAGTCATTTTTTTTTAGAAAAAAAGTAGTAAGTGTATGTGTGTTGATTGAATGATATTAATATTATTATTATTATAGTTATTAAAAAAAAAAAGGAAATATTTAGTTTGAAGTGTAGAAGAAAGAGATTTTAAATGTAGGAAAATTGGCTGGGTATTTATAGGCTAAAAAATAAAAATTGTATGTGGGTGGGTGGTTTTGTTGGTAGTAAAAAAAAAAAAAAAAATCAAAAACTGCCGATTGATGTGGGGGGTGGGGAGAAAAATAAAAAATAAATTAAAAAAAATAAAAAATAAAAAATAAATAAATAATTTTGACCGCCAACGTCAAGCAATGGCGAATCTTTTAAAGTCCCATTTTATTTATTTATTTATTTAAATTTGATTTTATTACTATTGATGATATCTGTTGGACCTTCTAGTATATATAAAAGTTTTAAATAACTAAAAAAAAAAAAAAAAACAAAAGCGGGTATGTTTTTTTGTTTTTTTTGGCGGTTATCAGCGGTAGTTGAGAGATAGATGAAGAAGATTTCAAATCATTTAACGGCAATTGTCGGCGGGGAAAAGAAGGAGGGGATTTATTTTATATTTAAAATATTTAAAATATTTAAAATATTTAAAATATTTAAAAAAAGAGAATAAAAAAAAAAGAATTTATTTTCAAAGATGTTTTTTTTTTATTTCGTTTTAATTGACTTTTTTTTTTAAAAAAAAAAAAAAAAAAAAAAAAAAAAAAAAAAAAACTTTGATAATGATAATAATTAATGTGAAAAGTCTGTTTTTTTTTTTGTTTGTAAAAAAAAAGTCAATTTTATATAAAACAATAGTTTAAAAATATATAATTTGAAGTTGATCATCATTATTTATTAAAGGCATTAAATAAATATTAATGATAATTGTTGTTGTTGAATTATATATTTATATATTCTTTTAACTGCTTGTTGATATTATTATTTCACAGTAGTGCCTAAAGGACCCTTATAATTATAATTATAATTAACAAAACTATTTTTTTTTTTGAGTTAATCAAATAATTAAGTTAATCAAATAATTCAGTTAATATTAAGGACCCCTTCCATTTTTTTTCTTGTTAAATTTAAAACCTTCATTTGATTAGGTAATTTTTTTTCTCTACTCAAAAAAAAAAATAAAATAAAAAAAATATTCCATCATAACAACAACAATAGTATGCCACCACCCCCTTAAAAAAAAAAAATTTTAGTCTTTTTTACATTCCTTCTATATATTTTTATTTTATTTTTTTTTCTCATACTCCAAAAACACAATCTTTATATATCCCAATCTTTTTTAATATACTTATAATATACTCCACCCTCTTCGTCTTTTAGAAAATGCCACCATCACTACCACAACACCCCCACACAAAACATAAACAATCTCATCCCAACAATAAACATGGTCCACAGCCACACCTACGACCTCACCGAGCATCAACAGCCCTTGAGCAATCAACCTTTTTTTCATTATCACCTTCATTAGATACTACAGACCCTGTGACACTTGCCTTTTTAGTACAATCTGCGATTGCTGGAACTAAAGGTGCACGCGTACTTGCAGATACAGAAGTTCAAGAACTTAAACAGAAATTGACATTGGTTAAAGCGCGACATCATGACTTGGAACGTAAAATGGGGTTGGAAAAAAAACTGAGAGATGCAGCTGTACATTTATCTCAATACCATCAACAAAAACAACAACAACAACAGCAACAACAGCAACAACATCAGCAAGTACAAGTCAGGGTGGATAAGAAAGAAATAGAAAAACAAGAAGAAGAACAAGAACAAGAAGAAATTAAAACAACAACAAAACCAGCAGATAAACGACTTTCAAGATATGCACTGGAAGAAGCGGCAGTAGCTGCCCGGAAAATAGCAACTATGGAGACAGAAATGGCTGCTCTAGAAAATAAAGCTTCTATATTACGTGCCACACTTAACACCCACGCGACTGCCATTCTTGCACTTACACATCCTGGAGCTAATACATCAGCAGCACGTGTGTATGCACAACTGTTACACGAAGAAGAAGAGGAGGAGGGTGAAGAAGAAGAAGAAGAAGATGATGATGATGATGATGATGATGATGATGATGATGATGAGTCTTCTTCTGATGATGATGACAACACAAAGACAAACATAAATACCAATAGAAACGTCAACAATCAATCTTTACAAGATAGGAGGACTTTACGTACAGTCAATATGGCATATATTTCTGGACTTATTGCAAGGATCCGTGCTGCAACTCCTGACCTTGTATCAAAGCCCAATGCCACTGAAATTGAAAATGATGATCCTATTGATACACTTACAAGTCTTATAGACTCATTATTGCAACAACATACAGATTTAGTAGCAACTACAGCATCATCATCTCCTAATACATCTTTTTCTTCATCATCAACAACATCAACAACAACAGCATCATCTACTACACCTTCTTCTTCTTCGTTATCATCATCACCATTGTCTTCATCATCATATTGGCAGAAAAAATATGATATGGTCCAAAGACAACTCTCGAGTCTTGCACGCGAAAATAATGACTCTAAAATCCGTTTGGAAATGCAAGCTTTGGAAATCAAAGACTTGGAAAATCAAAAACAGTATCTTCAGCAGAAAATCATTGACCGATTACAAGATCCCATGAGTATCAAGATTCTACGCCATGAGTTTCAAAAATCTATTTCCAAAGACTCTTTAAAATAGTGCTGTATATATAAATATATATATATACTACTGTTATTACTGTTATTACTGTTATTACTGTTACTACTACCTATTTAATCTGTATTATTTCTAAATATTATTTTTTTTTATTTATTTATATATATATATATATATATATATATAATCCCCTTCTAATTGGAAGATCCACCACGACCACCAACCTTGCCTAAAAGCTCAAGACTGGCCTCACTCACAGTAATCTCAGGAATAGCCTCCTCACCCTTTTCCTTAGGAGGTTGCAAAAATCCAACCTTAATCAAGTATGCCAAATACACGCCTAGTTGCTTAACATCAATCCCCATACCTGCACTGTAATCCTTGCCGACCCACTCAGTATCAGCCTTAAGGGCTGCCGCCGCATTGGTATCGTCAAGCTCAGGTGCCTTTGTGTTTTGTGGCAGATTGTCCAATACAAAGTGGAGCAGAGGGAACAACGCATTGTCTTTAGCCTCGCCAACAACAAACTTTTCAAGAGCAACACGCCATGGCACATACTCCTCGATCTTAACACCATAGCCGTACACGGCCAAAGAGCCCAAGAACTGGTGGAATCGAATGCGTGGGTGTGAAGTCACATGCGCAACGCTAACCTCTGTGCTTGACACTGGGTGGAATGCAGACGCAACAACAACACGCGCAACATGGTCAGCAGGGACCATATTCACCGTATTGTGAATGTTGGGGATCGACCCAAGCTGTACACAGCCCTTCATCATACGGGCCAAAAAGTCATCAGTATTCATGGCACCACTCTTAGAGTCACCAAAAACATAACCAGGACGCACAATGGTACCACGCAGACCAAGCTCCTTGCCTGCATAACGAATGAGTTTCTCAGAAACCCACTTGGACTGGCCATAACCATTTCCAAGACCAGACTTACTGCCCTCGAGGTCGTCACTTTCTGGGATACCCTTGCCACCCTCCGAAATGATGGAATCAGAAAGCTCAACATAGTGGTCAGTGTCGACGGTAGAAGTGGATGACACAAAGGTAAAAGTCTTGGGCTTACCAACGGAACACAGCTCCATAATGTTGATGGTACCAATAACGTTGGGTCCGCGAAGAGTGCTATAAGGGTACACCCAGTGGACAAGCGCACCATTGTGGATAATCAAGTCGACTTCATCGGCAAGACCTGCCCAGGCCTTGTTGTCAAGACCAAACTGTTTCTCTTCAATGTTACCAATAAATGGAGTAATGCGCTCGGCATAGGAGTCTTCCCAAATACCATAAGCAATACCTGAGTTCTTAATACGCTCAAGACCATGCTCAAGGGTCTTTGCACGAACCTGGGCGATAATCTTGATGGGGGTTTCAGTGCGCTGGAGAAGCTCACGGACAATGAAGGAACCAAGGTAACCAGTAGCACCAGTCAAAAAGACAGTGAACGAGCCCTTAGCCAAAGGCAAAGAAGGAGCAATGTACTTGGAAGCAAGAGTAGCCTTGAGTTCATCAGCATCAGCAGCGTAATCACTGACAAGCGACTGGGGCTTTTCAGAAGACCCAGGGCGGTCTAAGTTGTAGTCGTTATTGTCATCGGAAAGCTTTTCAATATTAGCAGCAAAGTCAGATAAGGTAGGGTGGGAATAAATCAAACCAAGGGGAACCTCCATGGTGAGTCTCTTGCGAAGAGCGAAAATCATACTGGTTGCAAGAATGGAGTGACCGCCAATATCGAAAAAGCTATCAGTAGGCTCAATGGCGTGGGGGTGAGGCAGAACATCAAGCCAGACTTCCTTAATGATGGCCTCAATCTTGGTGAAAACAGCATTGCTTTGCTCTTCACCAGCGTGCTTGGCAGCGGCAGTGAGCTGGGCAGTATCAGGGAATGGCAACTTGGGCTTGTCAACCTTACCGTTAGGGTTCAAGGGCATTTTGATCAGGGGGACAATGACTGAGGGGACAGAGTAGGTGGGGAGCTTGGTCTTGAGGTAATCGCGGATATCCTTAGTCAAATGTCTATACTTGACAAGGCCACGGACCATGGGGTCTGGGTGGTCAATTTCCTCGTCAGTGACATTGGAAAAGTACTCCTTAAGCTTTTCAGAAGACTGGGGGACAATGTATGACACAAGAATAGGTTCTTCATCCTTGTTTCTGCGAACAAGAGTGACGTTTTCACGCACAAGAGGATGACGAGATAAGTGGGTATCAATTTCACCAAGCTCGATTCTGAAACCTCTAATTTTGACCTGATCATCGGCACGGCCGCAGCACTCAACGTTTCCATCAGGGAGGTATCTGCCCAAGTCACCTGTGCGGTACATTCTGTCGCGGGATCCGAACCAGTGGTTAGTCCAAGGCTTGCCTTCGACTGAAGCATCCAAAGCGGTCCACTTGGAGTTATCAACTAGCCAGTTGTTGACAAACTTCTGAGCAGTCAAATCAGGGAGCTCAAGATAAGCTTCGGCAAGACCACCAGCGCGGACGTAAATCTCGCCAACTTCACCGACACCGCAGAGCTTATTGCGGTCGTTTCTGTTAACAACAAGAAGCTGGACGTTGAGCATACCCTGGCCAGCAGGCATGATGTCCTTTTGGGACAAGAGGTAGGCGGCGTCGTTTGTAATGGAGGGGATTTCAAAGTACGAAACGGAGCGCTGAGTCTCTGTGGTGCCGTACATGTTGACAATTGCAACGTTTTGGGCGAGTTTTTGCAGACGGACGCAGTCACGCTTGGTCAACACATCACCGACGAAAAAGGCATGGTGGAGAGCAGGGATATCTGCGACAGCCTGGGCGGAAAGCAGCTGGCCCATGGCAGGGGTCAAGTGGGTAACAGTAGCACCGTGCTTGGCCATCCAGTTAGCAAGAGCACCAGGGGTACCAATGTCATCGCTGGTGGGGACAAGGAGACGAGCACCAAGGAAGAGTGGAGTGAACATGTCACGCTGGATAGGGTCATGGGCGATACCGGAAAGCATTGTGAATTTATCGTTTTCAGAAAGGTTAAAACGTTGGCTCATCCAGGGGAAATAGTAAGTAAGAGAAAAGTGACGTCCCTTAACACCCTTGGGGATGCCTTCAGAGCCAGAAGTAAAGGAAAGGGTAGGGTTGCTATCTGGGCCAACAACCACATTTGTTCTTTGACTCTTCTTTTCTTGGAAGGGAGCAAAAATGTCTTGAGGAGCAGGAGAGATCTCACCATTGCCAACGACGGTACCATCATCCAAGAGTCTGAGGGCAGGAGCACGAGCTTTAAGAGAAAGGTTATCAGAAATGTAGTCCTCAACAAGCTTATCCAAAGTGCCAGCCTTTTCCAAAACAATGAGACCCTTTGGTTTGGCTACACTAAGATAAATGTTTTGACGGGCTGGGGGGTAAGCGGGGTCAATTGCAGAGAAGGTAGCACCAGCTTTGAGGGTACCCATGACAGCGACTACAAAGTCGACACCTCTGTATGCGTAGATCATGACGACATCACCATGTTGGATGCCATTGGCAATGAGGTAATGGGCGACAACATTGGAGGCCTCATTGATTTGCTTATAGGTAAAGACACGTTCCTTTGAAGATTCGTTAAAGATATTTGCAGTTTCGACTACACAAGTGCGATCGGGGAATTTGTCTGCATTGTCTGCAAAGATATCGTGGATAGCTCCGCGGAACTCATTCCAATGGAGGTCAGAGGTTGGGTCTGGAAGAACAGCAAGTTCCTTTTCAGAGATGAGGGGTATTGTGCAGCACTTGGTATTGGGTGATTGGACGAGTTCTGCGGCGATTTTGAAAATTTGGGCAGCCATGATTTCGATACGTTCCTTTTTAAAGAGAAGCGAGTTATAGTGAAAGTCAAGTGATTGTCCATTGAAGTAGACGCTGATTGCATTGTTGAGGAAGGATTCATCGACTGAGTGTCTGCTAAAAGATGTTGAGGAGTAGATTGGGGTAGTATCAAGGTTGTCCTTTTGCTTGACGTAAGTAGCAATGGCTTTGGCAGAGGCTGGGTGTGCTTCAGCGAGAGAAAAGAAGTCTTCGATAGAGGCAATCAGGTCTTTAAGGGTAGTTTCTGGTGTGAGGGGGGCACGGACGAGGGCAAAAGTTTTATTGGGTAGGTCTGAAGAGACGAGAAGATCTTCATCTCCAGTAAGTTTGCGAAGGAGAATCAAGTAAGCTGCAAGAGCGACATCAAAGGGATCAACTTTGCGAGAAGATTCGGTAGAAAAGTCATTAGCTAGGGTGGAGATGTTTGAGATGAAAGATGAGGGGACTTGTGTGGAGTAAGTAGCCTCTACGATCTTTGAATCAGCTGGGGAAAAGTCGCTTGGGAGTACCGAGAGGGTTGGGCTGGCGAGCTTTTGAGCCCAGAGATCCAGCGATTCGTTTGGAGACGACATTGTGGTGATTGAAGGGTTGGGATGTTTTGGTTTGTTTTGGATTGGATGGGATGGTAAAGAAGGAAAGGAAAGGAAGAGTTTTGTTTGGAGGGGAAAAAAAAAAAAAAAAATTTTAATATTTGAAAAAAAAAAAAAAAAAAAAAAAAAAGAGTCACGCAGGCAGAAGAAGAGTTTTTTTTTTTTTTTTTTTTTTTCTTAGTGCAGCAGCTGCTCGTTAATTTCCAAATCAACTGGAAAAGGAGGAGGAGGAGGAGGTTTTTTTATTTTTTATTTTTCTTTTATTAAAAAAAAAAAAAAAAAAAAAGTTATCAAGTAAGTTAATAATAAGTTTAAAAATAAGTAAGTTAATAATATATTACAATTACAATTACAACAAAACATGTAACAACCAGCCTTACCTGTCCATCAGTCTGTCCCGTCCATCAGTCTGTCCCGTCCATCCGTCCATCCGTCCATCCGTCCATCCGTCCATCTACCTTTTTGTCTGTCAGTTTGTTCTATTAATATTCGGGTCCCTTTAATTTTTTGTTTTTATTTCTTGTAGGGAAGACCCGGTCAATTACCTCGAGGTGTTGTTGTTGTTGCTGTTTTTTTTCTTTTCTTTTCTTCTTTTCTTTAATGCTAATAATGTGAAAAAAAAAAAAAAAAAAATCTATTCTACACCCCTTTCAATCAGTTTCCTTCTTTTAAACAGAAAGTGTGACTGCAGATTCAACCACACCAGTGGCCGCAAATGCAGCCTTGTCTTTGATTTGCGGAGTTGCTGTGCCGTACCGGTATGCAGTGAATCGGGCCCATACTGTAATTGATAATTAGTATTATTATTTTTTTCCTTTAAGTTAAACTATGGAAAAACTTGAAATAAAAGTAGGTGTTGATAGTAATAGTAAATACTTACAATAATAGGCAAACCTCCGGCCAAGAAACTTGCCAGCAACAGGAACAATAATAAACGTTAAAAGATCTTGAATTTGTTGAAGTGATTCCTCCCATTGTTGTTGAGCATCCGAGTCTTCAAACTTGCGGAGTCGTGATGAATGGTGATGGCCTCGGCCTCGTTTTCTGTGGTTATGATTGTGAGTGGATGAACTATTAGGGTCATCATCATTATTATCATCATTATTATCATCATTATTATCATCATTATCATTATTATCATTATTATTATAATTATGTGCCGATGGAATTTCAAACTCTTCAAAAACTGCAATTTCCTCAAACTGTAAAGGCGATGATGTACCTGAAAAGTTGTTATTATGCCTGGACATTTTTGGAATTCTAATGGTTGATGTTGTTGTTGCTGGCTTTACAAAAAAAACCTGTTGGCTGTTTGGTGGTTTTTTTTTTTTTTTTTCTATAATTAAGCTGGCAATCACATGACATCTCCACCTTTTTTTTTTTTTTTTTTTTTTCATCCATCCAACACAAAAAAAATTCAAAAATTTTAAATTTTAAATTTTAAAAACTCACACACATAAAAAAAAAAAACTGCTCATTCTAAACCACCCAAAAAAAAAAAATAAAAAAATTATTGTTGTTGGAAAAAAAATCCTAATCAACAATCAACAATCAACAAAACCCAGATGAGCTTTTCAATGAGACTCCTCCCAGCATCAAGGCTTTTATGCTATTCGTCCACAGGTATAAGACCACCGTTATCCACCACTGCCCATTTCTGTGTTACTTCAACTCTTCTTCGCCACTACTCTGCTAAAAAAAAAGCAATCACAAATGCAGATATTGCCAATCTAGTACCTCTTAATGGACGTGTGGACTATGTTGATACCCGTGGAACATTTCACAAGAATCAACCAATCGTTGCTGTATTGAACTCTTTAAAGGGATCAGGACATAATTCAGGAGGTGGATTAAATATGTTGCTTGCAGTAAGCATTGTGCCGCGTGGTGAAATGCAAGACCCACAAGTGGTGTGCCGGATTGTTCCAGATAAAGATAAGGTGAGGGAAGCTGCACGTATTAAAAATAAAGAAGAGAAACGGTTAGCTCGAGAAGAAAGAGAAGAACAACAGGAACAACAACAAGAACAAGAACAAGAACAACAGGAAGAAGAGATGGAATTAGAAGAGGATGAGACTAAAGAATCGAAAAAACATGGCAAGCGCGAAAAGAAACAGTCAAAGGAACCTCATAAAGCTAAAGATCGGTCCAAGAACCAATCCAAAGTTAAGACATTATCTCTTAACTGGACCATTGGTCCTAAAGATCTTTTAAATCAGAAAAAGGCAACAATTCAAGGATGGTTAGAAAAGGGTCATCCTGTACATATTTTCCTTGGAAGTGCACGAGTACGTGGTCCTCCTAAAAAATTAACAGAATTAGATTTGGAAAAGAGAGAATTGTTGCGTAAAACTTGTAAGGAAATGTGTGAAGAAACAGGTGCCATTAGACAAAATGCAGCAAATGTCGTTAAAACTGATACCCAAGAAGTATTTGTATACTTTTTGCCAACCCGTCAAGAGTCTTCAGAAACAACTCAGTAGAGTAGATTTGTTTTTTCTTCTTCTTCTTCTTCTTCTTCTTTTTTTTTACCTTGTACATAATAATAATATTCATGTTTATATATATAAATAAAATAAAATAAAAATAAATAAAAAAAAATAAAAAAAAAACAGAATCCTCCATCACGTTAAGTCATCACAAGCTCTAGTGGCTGCGACCCTGGACAACTCTCAGGAACCTGTCCAGCATACACCACGCCATACCCAGAACTATCTGCACATGCAAACAATGTCGTCTGTTTATCCACAAATGTAACATCTGTTCCCTTAAACCCCCATTCTGCCACTACTGCTGCAGAATCTGTTGATTGATTTTCATTATTCTGGTTTTCAATATTTTCATCATATAATGCCAAAGTATCATACTGTACAATTTGAAGTTCTCCATTGGTATTCACAACAACAACTCCACCAGTATTCGGTTCAACAACTTGTGCAGAGTCTCCTCCTTTAGCTTGGTCTAGGGGTAAAGGTACAAGCACACTACTTGCAATAGGTAATTGTCCTACGCTAGCCGTTGCACTCCCATGACCTTCTCCTGACCCTTGATTTTTGCCAGATTTGCTACCTGTTTTACTTTCACTCCCCGTCGTACTAATAGTGCCACTGGTCCCAGGTACAATTAATACACCTCCAGTCGTATCGGGTCCTAAAGTGCCATTGAATGGAAGTGCACCAGCAGGTAGAATCGAGGAAATGTTGGCACCTGTTAGTACAGCAGACCCAGGTAACACGTAGATTATAATTTGGTTAACATTGGTATTAGAATTATTATTGGCATTGGCATTACTATTTTCACTATTGGCACTAAGACCATTGGAGTTTGTTGCATCTCCAATTATTCCATCAGTATTTCCTAACAATTCATTCTCGGGACATGTACCTGTACATGCTCCCTTTTTCATAAACTTGACCTTTTTGTTTATTTTCTTCTTGTTTTTCTTTTTATTTGATTTCCTTTTGATGTTCTTTTTCTTAGTTTTCTTTTTTGGTAAGGCTAAGGCTTCAGGAAATGCCCAAGAATCAGGCCTTGCAAGTGCATTAGCATCAGGTACTGGAAATGCCTAGACAGTAGCCACAAGAAGAGAAAAAGCAGTTAAAGTGAGAATTGAAAGTTTCATGGAGAAATAGGGAAAAAAAATAAATAAATAAATTTAAAAAAAAAAAAAAAAAATTTAAATGAATATTGGATAAAATCTTTAATTAGGATTCTTTTAGTTTCTTATACCTTTTGAATCCTTCATTATTAATACTAACTTATTAGTTTTACTTTTGTCTTTTTTTTGTTTGTTTGTTTTTTTTTTGATTCTTAATTCTTAACAATCTCGTTTGAATCTGCTACTAATCTCACTTGGATCTTACTTTTTTTTTTTCTTAAACCCCCGTCTTCTTATTTCTACTTCTTTCTTTTTCTATTCTTTTTTTTTCTATTCTTTTTTTTTCTATTCTTTTTTTTCTCATTCTCAATCAAAAACCCATTTCAGATCTTCAAACATCCCCACCTTCCACACCCCCTCTTCTATCCATATCTTCTCTTCCAATCTTTTTATTTAATTTCATTTCATTTCTTTTTTTTTATGACAGTTTTTTTTTTAATTTCACTTAATATATATAACATTTGTGCTCTCTTTGTTCTAATGTCTTTCTTATATATATATATTCATTCTCACCGTTTCATCTAATCTGATTCACTTTAATGTATCGGTCTTTCATGTCCTTCTAAATACCGGTTTGAGCCGCACATCAACACACGTTTGTTTGGGAGTAGTCACAATCTGTCACCTAAAAAAAAAAAAAAAAAAACCAACTTGCAAGTATTTATTTATTTCACAATCATGTCCATAACTATATTTATATTTATACTTATATATATTTATATATGATATATATAATATATTTTAATTATTATAAAACTCAATATCCTTTCTATTATTTAATCTACAAACACTTGCCGAATCCAGTGCTCGACTACAACCTTGCCCTCTTCAAACTCTGGAGACGCGTAACGTACAATAATGGCCGCATGTGTATGCGCAGCCCCAGCAATGTGTACGGGGAACTTTTCCCATGCCAGTAAGTTCAAGTTACCAATAATTCGTCGATGTACCGGCCGTAAATTCAACTCACTTACTGGAGTACCTCTGGGTGGGTCCACCTGATTTTCCTGGTCCTGTGAAGTAGATCCTTCACGCGGAGCACACGCAGGTGTAAACTGTTGAAGATACCTTACAAGTGATTGTTCGTTATGAGTCGGTTGTCTGCGTAATGCAACACCAGATGTTTCTCCATGTTCATGCTTAACTGCATCCATAACTGAGTCCAGAGCACTACCTGCTTCCTCGTGTAGTTTTTGGGGGATTGTGAGGTCGTCGGGTAACACGACAGCAAGGTGGCCAAAATGGGCATAGGTGGATGACTTTAGAAACTGACGCTTGCGGGCAGCTGAAACCACAGTTTGGAAAGCGGCATTGGCCACAAAGGCAACAAACCAAACAGGCACCACTACTGTCACCTTGACTAAGGCCACGGTCCAGCGAACCACACGACCACCAAGCCTACGTACAAAGCCTAGGGTATGTGTTGGGTCGTTTACTAGGTCTGTAGAGGGGTTGGTGAGGACTTCCAGAGGGACACCTTTTGCAGTATTGATGACAACTGGTTCATATCCAAGGACGTATGGCCCTGCTATATTTTGAACATTTTTCGCGTAAGGGTCTGTGACAGTCATTGCAGTTGTGTACCACTCAGTTCTATGGTCATTTACAATGTTCCCGTAGGCTACTCTTTTGTTGAACCGTGCAAGACCTTGGAAAAAGGTAAGAGAAGGGTCTGCAAGAGCTTCCAAGAGAGGAACGCCACCGTGGACTGCAGACCTGTCTACAAGACACAGTTGGCGAGAAGTGTAAGACAAAACGTAAGGTGCAATAGCGTTATAAAGAAAGGCAACAGGTCCTCGGCCAAGGGCAAGAACGCCTACATGGGGGGAAGCAAAAGTTGTAAAAGAATGAGGATTAACTGTATCAAAGAGGCGGTAGGAATGTAGGAGGCCTATAGCATATCTAGCAATGAGACCTCCTAGAGAGTAACCGACAACAGATATTGATGTGACTTTATGAGAGGCAGGTTTTTCCAAAAGAGCAATCTGATCAATGACTTCTGAAGCTACGCGGGCTCCACAGACATCGATGCCATCGTAGGTATAGTAAAGGGCAAAACTGTTTGCTACGAGGACAACGACGGTGGAAGATTCAGTAGGAGGGTTATTTGCAAGAATGGCTTTGCGGAGGTACTCCATGTGGTCTGCAGAGCCCCAGAGGCTGACAAGTTAGTAGAGAAAGTGAATAGAATATTGAGAAACATACCCATGGACAAGGACGACAAGATGGTAGTTCATATTAGTTTGTAGTTTGTAGTTTATGATAGTCTATGATAGTCTATAGAATTTGTATAGGGTTTGTAAAGGGGTGGTTTTTATATATATATATATATATATTTGAAAAGATATTAAAAAAAAAAAGAGTTTAGGAAGACTTAAATAAATAAAAAGTTCCGAGTATATTTATTTATTATTACGTCAAAAGAGCTTATCGGTGCACGTGATATATATCTATAATTTATGTGCGCATTAAATATATAACGAGGGGTGGGGGAGTGGAGACTGGGTGGGTCAAGATGTATATAAATATATATAAAAAAAAAAAAATTTAAATAGCGGAAAACGAGAGAAATAAAAAGTCTTCTCGATCGTTAATCTCCAAAAAAGAAAAATGTGTAAAAAAAAAAAAAAAAAAATAGGGAGGGGGGTTGCAAGGGGAGGGGGGGTCATGAATCATTACTTAGCGACGGCCAACTACCCACGACCAAACTCGCGCGGGTCGTGATCGGTGGGGTTTCTTTTCGTCAGGCTTATCAACAGCAGCTGTTGGAGAGCTTCTGGAGCCTTTCTTCTTCTTCTTCTTGAGCATTTTCTTTTTTTTATGGCTCGAAGAAGAAGAAGAAGAAGAAGGCTGGGTAGATACCTGTTGTTCCATAGAAAACTGAGGCATTTCATCTTTTTCTTTTCCATCATTTTCAACTTTAACTTCAACTTGTGCTTGCACTTGTGCGTGTGCATTTGCATGTGCTTGAACTTCTTCTTCTTCTTCTTTTTTTCTCTTTTTCCCTTCATTTTCAATTTCTAGCTCCACTTGCTTCATCTCCACTTCATGCTTCGTTTGGTCCAAGGAAGTCGCCGAGAGCGAAAGAATGGAAAGCGAGTTACAATTGCGTGCAACTCGCGCGCGGTCTCTCGGAGATGGCCCTGAGCCTGCAGAGGCAAGAGAGAGGTTTGAGAGAGAAGCATCAGCATGATGACCCAAATGGGGGGGTTTAAGGTCATCGTTTTCCTCAGCTTCTTCTTCAATAATGACAAAGTCCTCAGAAGAAGAAGAAGCCATTGGAAGGCGTGGTTTGCGGATAGCATTAAATGCAGGAATGGAGGACTCTGGGGCTGACTCAGATCTGCGATGGTGAAGTTTAGGGATATTTTTAGGAGTGCAGAATGGACCAAGAGCAGCGTCAAGGTCAATGAGAGAAGAAGGGTCAAAAGAAGAGAAAGAGTAAGACGAAACCATTGCAGATGAATGAGTGTAAGAGTCTGAAGAAACTCCAGCAGCAACCAGTTGAGACGAGTCAATATATGATGAGGAGTATCTTAGGTTAGAATCATTATAAAATGGAAGTGACTCTGGAGGGCCTGCAAGAATGAGGTCGGTCATTACTTCTTCTTCTTCAGGTTCCGAGAAGGACTCGGCTGGAGAACTTGGTGAGAGTATGGCAGAAGATGTTGTTGTTGCTGGTGTTGCAGGTGTTGCTGGTGTTATTGTTGTTGTGGTAGATGAGATTTGAGTAGGAGTCCTCAAAAAGTTACCATTTTGGGTAGTTGCCATTGTTGCTGTAGGAGGTGAAATAACCAATTTAGGGAGACAAATATCCAAATTGGGCGGAGGTGAGGGAGGCGCGCCCGATGAAGTCACGTGGTGGTAGTTGACTTCAGTTAAGGCATTATTGTTATTATTAATATTAGCAGTAGAACCAAAAGGTTTTGGAAGGTCCTGAGCAAACTGAACTTTAAGCTTTGATGATGAAGAGGATGCAAGAGAGCGCGGAGTAGCGTTTGAGATTTGTTCTGAAGAGAATAAAGATGGAGAAGATGCAGATTGTGGGATGGTTAAAGAATGAGCAGCACTTTGAGGGACCAGCCCTTGGAGTGGATTAGAAGATGATTTAAGATCAAATGAGATTGCAGCAGATCTTCTGTGAGCATGTTTTCTATGTGATGGTGGTTGTGATTGTGGTGACTGAAGAGTTTTAGGGAGTTCTATACCTGTATATTGACGAGAATGAAAGACAGCAGAAGTTCTTGCTGGTGGAGGAGAAGAAGAAGATGATGATGATAATGATGATGATGAAGAAAGAGAAAGGTCTTGAGAAGGTTCTCTTAAGGGAAAGCAAAACTCTGTTGGAATTTTATTGTTTGAGTTGATTGGGATAGCAACTGACATTTTTGAGGGATTTTGGATATAGAAAGAGCGACGATAGTTGGTGAGTGATGGAGAGGAGGAGAGGAAGAAAAAGAAGGGGGGGGATAAGTTTATCTTAGAATTGGTATAAATATATGTATATATATATAAAAATTTAAAGCAAAAAATTGGAAAAGAATCTTTAAGAGTATGGAAATAAATGGTTAAGTTACATGAGACAACAACGATGGCACGCAAAGGGCCTCAATGGAACTTTTCCAGCTTTTAAAGATGGTGGTGGTGGTGGTGATGATGGTTGGTGGTGATGGTGATGGTTGTAGAAAGTTTTTAATTTTTTTAAATATTTAAATAAAAAAAAAAAAAAAAAAAAAAAAAAAAAAAGAAGTAAAAGAAATAAAAAAAAAAAAAATTTTTCTTTTGGGTTGGGCGGGCTGGAAGAGGCTTTTTATATATATTTAATTAATTATTTGCTGTAAGAAGGGTAAAAAAAAAAAAAAAAAATTTTTTTAATTTTTTTAAGTAGTAATGATAGGAGAGATTTATTAATAGATTTAAGGTTTAAGCGAAGGAGGTTGGTTGGTTCTTTGCAAAGGCGCTGATGAATAAAATAAATAATAATAAATAATAATAAAAGATGATTATTATTTTGACGCGTTTTTTTATTATTATTTTTATTTTTATAATAATTATTATTATTAAATAAATTAATTTAAAAATTAATTATTAATTAAAATGATTACAAAGCAACCCAAGATTATTATACTAAATTAGAAATTTAACATCTTCGATCGATTGCGTTTTTTTTTTTTTTATTTTTTTTTTTAGAAAATTGATAATAAAAAAAAAAAAAATTAAATAGTGTCAAAATGTCAAAATGTCAAAAGATTTCAAAAAATTTCAAAAAGATTTCAAAAAGATTTCAAAAAGATTCCAAATGATTTTAATTTTTTTGCTAATAATTTTAATAAATATATATATTTTTTAAATCAAAGTTTATATATATATATATATATATATATATATTTCCTTTTTTTTAAAATAATAATAATAATAATAATAATAATAATAATAATAATTTTTTTTTTATTTTTAAATAATTAATTAAATAATTATATTTTAAATAAAATAATAAAATAAAATAAAAACTTTCTTTAAAACAGCCTCCTCGCTCTTTTAAATAAATAATTTTGTCTGCAGCGCGTCTTTAAAAAATCATCAAAATTAATTAAAAAATAAAAAAAATAAAAAAAATAAAAAAAATAAAAAAAATAAAAACTTTATTTTAATTTTTAAAAAAAAAAAAAAATATATATATATATATATATACATTCTAAATAACAACCATAAATTTACTTTTATCTAAACCACCTTAAATACACAAACATAATCACGTGAACATTGAACACCTCACTCTGAGGCAATTCTTTCAGCCTTTCTTTTTTATATATATTTGAAAATTCCATTACTGACCAAATAGAAAAATAAAAATAAAAATAAAAAAAAATATCTCCACACCACCAAATTTTAATTTTTTTTATTTTTATTTATTTTTTATTATCCCTAAAATATCATCATCATCACCACCACCACCATTATCTCAGAGAAAAAAAAAAAACAAAAAAAAATAAAACCTCCACACATAACCTCAATTAATCAACTTAAATGACTTCCTTCATTATTGACCTTTCCACTCATGGAAAGGAAATTAAATACCTTTACGATTCAATTGTAGCTAATGACCCAGAAATCTCTTGGGCTGTTTTTAACTACGTTGGTGTTTCTTCAACCTTAAAGCCTTATGCTCATGGTGGTATGTAATAATAATAATAATAATATAATAATAATAATAATATTATAAAATATTTCAAAAAAAAAAAAAAAAATCTAAAACATTTCTCTCTCTTTTTTTTTTTTTTCTTTTTCTTCAATAGCTTCTTCTCTCCAAGATTTTGTCGACGAATTCGATGACGGAAAAGTCCAATACGGGTTTGCTAGAGTCATTGACCCAAACACAAACCTCCCAAAGTTCGTCCTCATTGGCTGGGTTGGTGAAGGTATCCCAGAACGCGTCAAGGGTTACTTTAATGCCCATTTCTCAGCAATTGCTAAATACTTTCATGGCTACCATGTCCAAATTACTGCTCGTTCCCAGGATGACCTCTCAGTCCAAAATATTCTTTCCAAAGTTGAAGGTGCTTCAGGCGCAAAGTATTCAGTGTCAAGAGGCGCAGTCCCAACAAAACCAAAATACTCTGTTTCTTCAACAGGTGCCAGCGAGGATGATTGGGGTGACAATGCTCCTCCTATTTCAGATGATGGTAAAGTTACCAAGGTCCCCTCTGCTTATAAACCCATGAAGGTCGATATTGCTTCCATCCGTGCCCAGGCTAAAGAACCAGAATCTTATTCGTCAAAACCTACGCCAAATACCCATTCAGTCGGAACAAACTATACCCCTGTTGGTAAAGTTGATATTGCTGCCATCCGTGCTCAAGCCAAGGATAACCGTTTTAATCCTAAGCCAGAGCCTCTCCAGTCATCTTATAAGCCAGTCGGAAAGGTCGACATTGCCGCTATCCGTGCTCAAGCCAAGGCTAGAGAATCCAACAACGAGCCTAAAGAGAAAGAAGATAAACAAGAACAAGAAGAAGAAGAAGAAGAAGTAAAACCCAAGAATTTCAATAATCGTATCAAGAAATTTGGTAACTCTGTCAGTTACAATGAAGAAAAAGAGGACGAAAAAGAAGAAGAAGAAGAATATAGACCTCTTTCTTTTAAAGAACGTCTCAATGCTTATTCCAGCAATGCTGAACCTGTTAGCTCTTCTTCCAAAACAAAGCACTTGTCTTCTCGTTTTTCAAAGCCTACGGCTGTTGGTGGAACTGCCCCTCCTCTCCCCAAGAGTGAGTTTGGTTCCTCTTCTGCTCCTCGTGTCATTGGAGGTGCCAGCAGAGATTTTGGTTCTCAGGGGAACAAGACTCCTGCACAGATTTGGGCTGAAAAGCATGCTAAAAAGAATGCTGTTCCTGTTGGTGAGTCTGAGTCTGAACGTGAACGTGAACGTGAACGTGAACGTGAAGTTGAGACTGAGCCTGAACATGTCCACGTGTCGGATATCCGCAACAAGTTTGCACGTGAGGCGGAACAGGAAGCTGAGGAAGCTGAGGCCGAAAAGGTCCATGAACCTGTTCATGTTAAGGACATTCGCAGTAGATTTGCAGCTGCTTCAATTGATAATGGTGATGGTGATGATGATGAGGAAGAACCTGAACATGTGTCAGCTCATTCAGCTCAGCCTGCCCATAGCTTTGTTTCAGGTGCAAAGGCCAAGTTTGCTCAGAAGTTTGCTCAGTCCCAAGGTCCTGAAGAAGAAGAAGAGGAGGAAGAAGAAAAACCTAAATTGCCTACCCGCAACTTGCCTCCCCCACCTGTTGCTACTTCTTCAATCCCACCACCTCCTCCTAGACGTATTCCATCGCCTCCTGCTGCTGCTGCTCAAGAGGAAGAGGAAGAAGAAGAAGAAGACATTATTCCTCTTGCGCCTCCTACCTTGCCTTCCAGAGCTGTTCCTCCTCCTCCTGCTCCTGCTCAAGAAGAAGAAGAAGAAGAAGAAGAGGCTGCTGCACCTGCATTGCCCACTCGCAACTTGCCACCTCCTCCTGCTCAAGAAGCTGCTATTCCTAAACGCAACTTGCCTCCTGCCTTTGGTGCTCCAGCTCCAGCTCCAGCTCCAGCTCCAGCTCCAGCTCCAGCTCCAGCAGCTCCATCTCTTCCCTCTCGTGCACCTGAACCTAGTTCTTCTTCTTCAGAAGTAGGACTTTTTTCAGCTCTTGTTTTATATGATTACGTTGAGGATGATGATAATGAGTTAACAGTTAAGGAGAATGAGATTGTTAAGATTCTTGAGTATCCTGATGAAAAATGGTGGCTTGTACGTAACCAATCAGGAGAAGAAGGACTTGTTCCATCTGAGTTTGTTCAACAACTGAAACCTCCCTTTGCAATTGCAGAATATGATTACGAAGCTGCTGAAGTTAATGAATTGACATTCCCTGAAGGCGCAGTTATTTCAGGAATTGAGTTTACAGATGATGAATGGTGGAAGGGTAATTATTTCAACACGGTGGCGCTATTCCCTGCCACGTACGTTGAGCTTAAGGAGAATGTGGAGGATTTGGTACAGCATTAGGTAATTGCTGAGTAGTAGTAGTAACTGTTAAAATATATTATATATATATATATATATATGTATAAAAAGTAAACAAAAATTTTATAAATATACACATAAATAAATAAACAAATAAACAAATATAAATATACAAAAAAAAAGAAAAAAACTTTCACAACTACCATTAATATAAAATTTATTAAACTGTGAATATCATCAAACAACATTGAAATAAAATAAAATAAAAAAAAAAAACCATCACCATCATAATACCATATGAAATAATGTTTCAATTTTTTGATTATTTTTTTTTTTTTACTTGTTCACTTTGGATTTAAAAGGATTCAATTATTAGTTTTTTTTTTTTTTGTTGTTTAACTCTTCTACACATTAATATCCAAAAAAAAAAAAAAAAAAAAAAAAATCAAAATAATAATAATAATAATAAAACTCGATAAAACCAAATAAAATAAAATAAAATAAAAAAATCAGATAATATGTTTTTGATTGTTTTTTTTTTTTTTTTTTTGGTTTAATTCAAAGGTTGGATGGAATTAATATTCCTTCAATTACTCAAATCCCCCCCTTTGCCCCCCCTACCCACAATGTTTTTCTCATTCTCTCTCTCTCTCTCTCTCTATATATATATATATATATATATATATTTGATTCACAAAAAACTTCTTCTTCTTCTTTAATATTAATACCCTATTTTGTCTTTACTGATGATACAAAAAGCTTTTTTTTTTTTTTTTTTTTTTTTTTTTACAACGACAGCTTGTTTTAGTCTTATGTTTTTTTTTTTTTTTTTTTTTTCAATCTTGTTTCTGTTTCTGTTTTATTCTTTCTTTCTTTCTTTCTTTCATTCTTCTCTTAAGGTGACAACTAATTTGATTGACTTTGTTGACTTTGTTGACTTTGCAGAAAAAAAAAAAAAAAAAAAAAGAGGGAGTTTATATTGTTCATCGTGATATTAAAACGCGCTTTTTCTGGACTTTGTTAACTCTAGTTGCTCTTTTTTTTTTTTTTTTTTTTTTTTCTTTTGTCCCATTTTACACTGTACGCCTTTTTTTTTTTTTTTTTCTTTTTCTTTCTTTCTTTCAATCTTTCGTTCTGAAAATGCATAATTGTCGTCATCATTTTTTATTATTTCTACCATTTGTTCCAAAGTTTGGTAACAAGAAGAACAGATGATGGGACATCTTTTGGTTTTTTTTTTTTTTTTTCTTCTTCTTCTTGCTTTAAAATGCCTTTTTTAAGGGAAGATTAAAGAAAATAAATAAAAAATAAAAAAAAAAAAGCTGCTTCTGCTGTTACTGTCTACCTTAGGAGAATATAAAAAAGAAATCCAAGAAATGAAAAAAAAAAATAAAAATAAAAAATAAAACACTTGACTTTCAGGCACTGTGCATGTAAAAAAAAAAGGTCCTTTTGTTTTATTTTTTATTTTAATATTTGAAAATAACAATAAGAAAGAAGAAAGAAGAAGAAGAAGAAGAAGAAGAAGAAAAAAAAGTATTTTATTATCAGTAAAGACAAAAATTTGAAAGAAAGAAAAAAAATATCACCACCCCCTCCTCCTTACTTTTTTTTTTTTTTTTCTCCACAATTTCAAAAAAAAAAACACATCACTTTAATTCTTAAAAAATCCTTTTTTTTTTTTTTTTTTTTTTTTTTTGATTGCTGTTGCTTCATTACTTTACATGCAACTGTCTCTTTTCCATTTCTTTCCTTTTTTTTTTTTTTTTTTTTTTTTTTTTCAAGAATAAAACCTAAAATTTTCTTTGTTATTGAAAAATAAATAAAATTGATATTAAAGTTTAGTAGTGTGGGCATTTATTTATTTATTTATTTATTTTATTTCATTTTATCCCTAAGAAACTACTAAAAACTTCTTTGTTAAAAAAATTTTTTTTTTTCTTAGCATTTACAATTCTTTTCTTTTCTTATTTGAACTAATATATATATAAATTTTAAACTGACGAAGAAAAAAAAAAAAATTTATTTTTTCTTTTTTCTTTTTTCGAGAGTTGAAATTTTCTCTTTTTTTTTTGGAAATCATTTTGGATAAATGTGGAGAGAGAAAAAAAAAAACTAACAAACTAACAAAATATAGCAGTGTCAAATACAACAACAACAACAACAAAAACTAATTATGAATTCCTTTTAATCCATTTACTTAAGAATAAGAAAATATATATATATATATATCAAAGGAATTGTATGATAATTATTATTATTATTATGAATTATGATGTGTTTATATGGTTTTATTTTATTTTATTTTATTTTTTTTTTGATTTACAGTTAAATTAAATGATTTTTTTTTAGGATTTATAAAAAAGAAGAAGACCTTGTTAAAATTTATAAAGAAAAAGAAAGAATGAAAGGAAGAATGAATGAAAAAAAAAAAAAAAAAGCCCTGAGCAAATGGCGCACAGTTGGCAGTACTTTTTTCAAAATTTATTTTTTATTTATTTATTTATTTTTAAAGAGATGGAATAAGAATAATATTTTAAAGAATGAAAATGAGAGAATGAGAAAAGAGAAGTACGTTTTTTTTTTTATTTTTTTATTTTTTTTTTTTTCAATTTCAATTTCAATTTTTATTTATTTATTTTCAAGGTCATTTTTTTATTTATTTTTTTATTTCATTTATTTTTTTAATTTTTGGAAACCACTTTTGCTCTGAAAAAAAATTTTTTTTTTATTTTTTTTTTTCAATCAATATATATATATATGTATATAGAAATTTTAATTTATATAGAAACTAATCAATAATCAAATCAAAAGTGTATTATCAATTTATATTTTGTTAAAAATTGTTAAAAATTGTTAAAATAATTACTTATTTTGGATATATATATTTAAATTTTCCACCTTTCCGATTAAACCCTAACAATTTTTTTTTTTTTTTTGACACATTTCAAACGGTTTTTTTTTTTTTTTTTTTTTTTTTTTTTTTCATACAAACATTTAAACAATAAAACCACCTGTTTTTTTTTTTTATTTTTTATTTTTTATTTTTTTTATTTCTATTCCATCATACGATATCATTTATTTTCATTGTAACATTTTGTAATAACATAATTACCATTATTATAAGTATTAACTACTACTATTACTATTACTATTATTACTACTACTACTACTACTACTACTACTACTACTATTACAATTACTACTACTAATATATTATTCTGGTCTGACTTTTTTTTTTTTTTTTTTTTTTTTTTTTTTTTTTTTTTTTCTTCTTCTTCCTATCTGTCACAATGACATGTTTTACACATCTTTTTTTTTAAAAAAAAAACATACCATTTAAAAAAAATAAAAAAAATCAAATCATCAAAATCATCAAAACCATCAAAACCATCCATCTACTTCACATTAAATTAAATTAAAATATGTCAAAAAATAAAATAAAAAAAAATAAAAATAAGATTATAATCTAATGTGTTTTTTGGGGTTCTATGATGGTTGACATTTCATCCTAGTTTTTATTTTATTTTTTTTTTTACTAGATATAAACACCTCTCTCCCCCCCTCGTACTTTTTAAAAAATATGTAGTTATTACTGTACTTATTTATTAATTTGATCAGATCATAATGATCTTTAATATCTCTTTTTTTCTTTTTTCTAAAGTGAGCACTTTAAATCTTAATAAAACAAAATAGATTTAAAAGTCCAGTCCATTTTTTTTTTTTTTCAATTTTTTTTAATGAAACAAACAAAAAAAAAAAACAAACAAGTATCATCATAATCATCATCATTTTTTTTTTTTTTCCTTTGTGGAAGATTCTTAGTGTTGCGTTTCAGTTACACATTTTTATACTTGAGTGATGATGATGATGATAATGATGATTGAACGCGTGTTCATAACAGTAATATAAAAAAAAAAAAATAATAATAATAATATGGAGAGAAAGAATATTGGCAATGTTTGACATTTGAAATACTGTCTAAATTTGTAATATTAATAGCTATAGTTATTCAATGATATATATATATATATATATATAGATTTTTTTTTTTCATATTTCATTACATGCTTATACTGAAACATAACTTGATGATGGTTCTTTTTTTTTTTTTTTTTTTTTTTAACCCAGCCTCCAATCCAGATATATTTTTATTTATTTTTTACCGTTGCAACAGAATATATATCTACGACGACGACGACAACGACGACAACGACGACAACGACGACAACGACGACAACGACGACAACGACGACGACAACAACAACAACTGGGAAGGGATCTACGACGACGGGTGTCTACAACAACGGATTCTGTGTTTTTGGTAGTGGGAGGTTAAAGTAAGAAGAGATTCAAAAAAAAAAAAAAAAAAAAAAAAAAAAAAAAAAAACAATGGTAGTAGAATACATGTTAAGAAAAGTGGCTAGTGAGTATAAGATATACAAGGGGAAAAAAAGTTTGATTGAGTAATGAAAGGGGAAGGTTTTAAAGGATTAATTAGATCTAAGGAAAGATTTTTACAAATCACATGGGAAGGAATACATAAATATATATATATTTAAGAGATGAGAAGAAAAAAAAAATCTTTTGAGATTTGAGATTTGAGTTTTTTTTTTTTTGTTTCCTATTTTCTTGAACCAAAAAAAAAAAAAAAAAAAACAGTGGAGAAAGGTAAGTAAGTAAGCCGGAGAAAAAGATGATGATGATGATAAAGATTGGGACAATTCAGGGGTAAATGAGATGGTAAAAAAAGAAAATAAATATAAATATATAAATATATAAATATATAAATACAGATGCAGGTTTTTTTAAACTAAAAGTCGAGTGACTTTTAAGATAATAATAATATTATTTTTTTTAATTGTAGTATAAATATATATATATATATACAAAGAAGAAGAAAAAATAGATTTTTTCGTAGCCTGTGCAGGGATATTTTTTTTATTTTATTTTATTTATTTTTGACTTGACTTGACTTGACTTGACTTGTACTTGACTTGTTTCATTTAAAAAAAAAAAAACCGTTAAAGGGAGGGTTAGATGGTAGTTGAAAATTAGCAAAATTGAAAATAAGTAAAGACATTTATCTATATATATATATATATATATATATAAAATACTATTGTGCAATGTAAGGAACTGGAGATGTGAAACTTTGTATAATAATAAAAAAAAAAAAGTTTCAGGGGACTTTTGATATTCATTTCTCTTTATTTCTTTATTTTTTTATTTTTATTTGTTATTTTAATTCAACAAAGTGATTGAGTTTGTTTGTTTAAATTTTAGTTTTTTTTTCGGTGTTTAATAGTTTAGTTTAGTTTAGTTTTGAATATAAAAAAAAAAAAAAATAAAAAAATAAACCAAAATGCAGGAGACATAAATATTTCTTTTTTTATTTTATTTTATTTTCAATGTTTTAAAATAAATAATATAAAATAAATGACGTACAATAAAAAAGAATAATAATAATAATAATAATAATAATAATAATAATAATAATAGTATAATAAAAATAATTTAAATAAATCTTTGGAATGTAAACTAAAAATATAATTAAAAATAAAATATATGAATTTTTAGTAAGACAAAACACGAAAAATACGCGTTTGTTTCAAACACGCTTGTAGACAATAGACAATAGACTTATTTAATTTATTATAATTACATAATTATAATAATAATTATAATAATAATAATAATAATAATAATAATAATAATAATAATAATAATAATATTATTATTATTATTATTATTATTATTATTATTATTATTATTATTATTATTATTTAAGAAACACGTGTATGACGCGTGTTACTTATTTTATTATTTTAATTCCCAAAAGTAGTAATTATCATTTTTTTTTTTATATTTATAAAAAAAAAAAAAAATAATAATCTGCAAAAGATATGAAAGAAATTATTTGACAGTTTTAACATTTAAATTAATAAATAAATATTTGATTTATATAATTAAGTAATTAAGTAAGTCATGTTAATTTAATTTAGTTTAGTTTTTATTGTTATATTTTTTTTTCATGTTTAATTTTTACAAAATGATATTTAAAGAGATTTAAAAGATATATGTATATATAAATATTAATGACCCACTCAGATATATATATATATATATATATATATATATATACGATCGTTTAATCTAATTAGAAAAAAAATTATAAAACTAATAATAGGTAAGATCTTGTTATTTCTTATTCTTCTTTAGTTTTTTAGTTTTTTAGTTCAATATATATATATATATATATATATATGTAAATAAATTGAAAATCCTTTCCAATCTTTTTTTTTTTTTTTTTTTTTTTTTTTTTTCAAATTCCCTTTACCTCATTTTGCACGGCTTACTCTATTTATTTCATAATTATGCTACTTACTTACTTACTACAATATATATATACTTTTTTTTTTTGAGTCCATTTAATTTTTTTTTATGCGCGCATTATATATATATATATATATATATAAATAAAATAAAAAAAAGGGGTATTTCTTATATTTTTTTGATAAACTCTTTTGCATTTAACATAAAAACGAGAGAGTTTAATCGATAAACGAATATAAAAAAAACTTTAAAATAAAAAATAAAAAATAAAAAATAAAAAATAAAAAATAAATATATATATATATAATTTTTTATTTTATTTTTCTTTTTTTTTTATTACTGAGTGGAGAAGGAGGAGGTTGGTTTAACAAAAGTGATAATTGAAAGTAATTATTATTTAACATTTGATTGATAATTAAAAAAAATAAAAAAAAAAGGAAAGAATAATATATATATATATTTTTTTTCTAAAAGAGACAAAAAGACGAAAAGACGAAAAAGCCTTTAATTTTTAAAAGTCTTTTATACGTAAGTAATTAAGCACAATTAGCAACTTAATAAAAAAAAAAAAAAACAACGTTGATTGTCTTTAATATTCAAACATACTTTTTCTTTTTCATTTTTAATGAAAGATAAATAGAAATCCTATTTTCAACTATTTATTATTATTAAAAATCGTGTGTGTGTGTTTTTTTTGCATGTGATAAAAAAAATCACTTTTTATTATTATTATTATTATTATTATTATTATTATTATTATTATTATTATTATTATTATTATTATTATTATTATTATTATTATTATTATTATTATTATTATTATTATTATTATTATTATTATTATTATTATTATTATTATTATTATTATTATTATTATTATTATTATTATTATTATTATTATTATTATTATTATTATTATTATTATTATTATTATTATTATTATTATTATTATTATTATTATTATTATAAAATTTATATTTAAAATATAAAAGCTTTTAAAGGGCGTTTTAAAAAAAAAAAAATTAATTTCTTTAATGAAGTTTTTTTTCTTTTTTTTAATTTTTAATTTTTAATATATAATTTATAATTTATTTTATAATTTATTTTATAATAAAAAAAAATTAAAATATTCTTCTTTCAACTTTTTCCCATATGTTTGGACATTTAAAAATAATTTTAATTTTTCCGTATTTATTTATTTTAATTCCGTTAATTTAATTATTCATCCTCAGTTAATTCAACTCCTTTACAATTATAATTAAAATAATTAAAATAATTAAAATAATTAAAATAATTAAAATAATTAAAATAATTAAAATAATTAAAATAATTATTTTTTATTTTTTATTTTTTTATTCATTTATTTATTTATTTATTTTATATATATTTTATTAAAAATTAAAGAAACAATTCACGAAAAGAAGAAAGATAGAAAAAAAAAAAACTATAGAATAATAATAATAATAAATACTAAAAAACAACAACAAATCAAACAAATTTTAACAAACTTATCCATTAATCCTTTCCAATTGTCTCGTAATAAATTTCATTTCCATCTCATTTAAAAAAAAAAAAAACAAAACAACAAAACAACAAAATTAAAAAAAAATACCTTACCCATCAATGCTTAGAATTGAAAAACCCCTTCTTAAGTGCTCGCTTCAAAGAAAACCGATTAGTCTTCTTTGCAATAGGTTGCTGTTGCTGCTGTTGCTGCTGCTGCTGCTGCTGTTGCTGTGAAGACTGCTGTTGAGACTCAACTGTCTTCTCCTTATCTCCTTCATCAACAGGCTTCGCAACAGGCGCTGTAATAGACGCAGTAGCAGCTGCAATTGAAGCTGCAGCAGCCGCAGATGCCGCAGATGCTGCGGCCAACGCATGCTCAGACCCACTGGCTGCAGATTTCGGTGATGTTGTTGTTGTAAGTAGTGGTCCTCCCGCAGGAGAAACTGGCGATGCAACTCTCTTAACTGATGGCGACTTTGTCAATGTTGGAGCGGTTGATGTTGTTGTAGGTGTTGCTGTCGTAGTGGCAGCTGCAGCCGCAGATGCAGCTGTAGGCGAGGCAGCAGCAGCAGCAGCAGCAACAGACTTTTTCTTTTTATGTAGCGACATAAATCTCATATGTGAGCTCTCCACTGGAGCAGGAGTAGAGGCAGGAGCAGTGGCAGGAGTAGTTGCAGTTGAAGAAGATGAAGATACAGCCGCAGCAGCAGCCGCAGCACTTGAAGCAGTAGTATCCACCTCTGGTGAGCTGGCCGCAGACAAATATGCCGATGTAGGAGTCGATCCAGCTGCTGCTGCTGCTGTTGTTGCTGCAGACTGTGACTCACTTGTGGCTGCAGTCGTAGCTAACGAGTCTGCAGTTGTAGGCACGCTATCTACAAGCACCACTGACTCAGAGGTCACCACCTGACATGTGGGAATTGGCGCAGGAACTGTTGCACCATGCTCAAGCTCATGCGAGATTTCCTTTTGAACCAACACAAGGTCGTCGTCTTCAAGAGTGGTGGCAGTATCTGTAGTAGTTGGTAGTGAGCTAAGTTCTGGGATAGCAGAGACGTTGGTGGGGATGACAAGACCAGGAGCAGCCGAAATGGCAGCAGAAACTTCTGCCACTTCTGCAGAGGGCAGTTCAACTTTGAGTGGTTCCTCATCAACCTTGAGTTGTTTCTCAGGCGCTTCAAGTTCTTTAATAGACTCGGCATTAGGTGGAATGACAATACCAGGATTAGCTAAGATGGCAGCATTAAGTTCGGCTACTTGAGTCTTGGCAGACTTAACTTTAGGAGTCTCGACAGTAGGTTCAACTTTAGGAGTTTCGACAGTAGGTTCAACTTTTAAAGGTTCTTTAGGCACTTCAAATTCCTTGATGGACTCGGCATTTGGTGGAATGACAATTCCGGGGTTAGCAGAGATGGCAGCATTGAGTTCGGCTAGTTGAACAGGTTCCTTGGGAAGTTCCTTGGGAAGTTCCTTGGGCTGTTCAAGTTCTTTAATAGATTCTGCATTTAAAGGAATGACAATGCCTGGGGCTGCAGAGATAGCTGCTGCTAGTTCAGTGGCTTCAGGTGATGGGTCATTTCCCCCTAAAGATACTGGAGGGTTCAATTCTTTAGGCGAGAAAAGATCTGTGAGTTCAAAGTAGTTATTTGTGATGCCGTCAGACCCCGTGAATTGTTTGTTTGTTAGGTCAATGACCCATTGACCATCGACAACGTACTAAACAAAAGTTAGATAAGGAATATTTTTATTTTTTTTTTGAATATAGGATTAATGATTAAAAAAAAAAGAATTAAGAATTAAGAATTAAAAAAAAAAAATAAGAACCAAAACAATAAAATAAAAAAATAATTAAAAGCCTTGCTTGTTGATACAATTGAAGATACCGAAAGGCTAATACTACCCTTTACTACTACCATTACCATTACTATTGATTGATATTATTAAAATAAATACTGATACTGGTATTATAATTGTTGTCATCCAGCAAAAAAAAAAAAAAAAAAGGCATTCCCACCAATATTTAATTTTTAAATTTTAATTCTTAATTCTTAATTTTTTTTTTTTTTAATTTTTAATTCTTCTTAATAAATAAATTTTGGTTGCCAACGACTAACAAATCACCGCCGCGGCTTAAAAAAGAAAAAAAAAATAAACAATAAACAATAAAACAAAAAAAAAAACTCACCTTGAAGTAAACTTTTTCTTCTGAGGAGGGAACAGGGACTGATACTGATTTTGAAAAAGAGCCATCAGTAGGAGATTTTTCGAGAATTACAGACTGAGACCAGTTGTCGAAAGATCCGGTAGCAACGACGGATTCTGGGCCAGCGGGCCTTTGTATTAAGTTAGTAAAAGATATTAATGATGTTTGTTATCTTTTTGTTTATATAAGAACAAAGAAGAATAAGGGGGGAGAGAGAGAGAGAGAGAGAGAGAAGGAACGTACCAAGAGAATTTATAAAAAAGAGACATGTAAAAGGGAAAAAAAAAAAAAAATCTTAATTAAAGAAACTCTTTTAATGAAGGAGAATATATATAAAGAAGAAAAAAGAAAAAGAAAAAGAAAAAGAAAAAGAAAAAGAAAAATATATCGGAAAAGTCAATTTAAGGTGGTTATATATATATATATATAAATAATTGTAAATTGTAAATTGTAAATTGTAAATTGTAAATTGTATATATATATATATATATTTAAAAAAAAATAAATTGGTGGTGGTGAGAAAAAAAATTTTTTTTTTTTATTTTATTTTTAAGGGAGGCAAAAGGAAATAAATAAATAAATAAAGAAATTCATTACTAAAGACTTGCCGTGTGGGTGCAGCAACACCAGCAACTAACAATAGTAAAAGCAGCAGCAGCCTTTCTTATATATATATACACACACACACACACAACCCCCCCTAAATATATAAGACCATTTATTTATTTAGATAATTTAGATAATAATAATCCTTAATTAACAAATCATTATTTCCATACATTATTCCTACAAAAAGTATTTTAAGTATTCCAAATATTCCAAGTATTCTAAGCATTTCTTTTACTCCGCTATTGAAATCAAAAACATCAACCCAATCCCAACAAGCAATGCTCCAAGATTTACCAAACTCCTACGTACTTGAACCCCCCGTGGTAAGTCCTCATCCGCCTCAATTACCTCGGGAATCACACCTACTGTACCAATATAAAGAAACCCACCAGCTGTAAATGGTAATGTAAGATCAGCCAACTGAACATTAGTCCCAAACAATCCTGTTGCCTTCCCTGTAGCTTCCACTACTGCCAATGGATCTACTAGAGAAGTGGCCCTAGCATAATGATTGATGGCAATTCCAATTAAAGTACCAACATATGCTCCTACTGCTGTCACAAACTGAGCACCCATTGCTTGACGTTTGGTAAACCCACCTTGAATCAACAATGCAAAGTCACCAACTTCATGAGGAATCTCATGGAAAAAAACAGCAAGACATGTGGTTGCACCAACACTCTTGGAAATGTAGAAAGATGCAGAGATGGCTAATCCGTCAGTAATGTTATGGGTAAAGTCAGCAATTAAATTCAGATAAGCAGATAACTTAACAGAAGCTCTGGGGGTTTCCTCGGGTTCATCTTGTTCGATGGTATAAGAGTCAGAGACTTCTGCATGTATTTTACGTTTTTTCAATGTATTTTTATCACCAATGTCAGCCCCAGTAGTTTCTGCTTTTTCTTCTTCTTCTTCTTCTTCTTCTTCTTCTTCTTCTTCTTCTTCTTGTTCGTCTTCGTCTTCATCATCTTCATCATCATCATCTTTTTCTTCTTCTTGATCGTTTTCACTAATCTCTATATGAGCCTTATGGGTAATCTTGACCGAATCATGGTCATGGTCATGGTTATGACCAGCTCCCAATATACGCATTGTTTTTTCCAAAATAATAAATGACAGAAATCCAACAAACATAGCTAAGCCTAAAAGGGTATTACGAAACTCATCAACCATAATAAACCTTGCACCTGCCTCATGGGCCTCTCCAACAAATGTCTGAGGTAAGAGATGTAAAAATACATCACCTAGAAGGCCACCAATGGCAAAGGACACAAGGGTATTAAGGCTTGAAGGATCAATATTGGGAGGAATCTGAAAAAAAAAAAAAAAAAAAAAAAAAAATAAATTAGTAAATGAATGAATTAAAGTGAGACAAGTAGAAGAAGGGGGGATGGGATGGGAGGGAATAATATATACATACCAATGCAAGAAGAAAGTTGGGAGGTCCTGAGATGTAAGTTGTTGCAAGAAGAGCATTGAGTGCAGGACCAAATGGGAAGAGACTTGTAAAGAGTTTTTGGACAAAGGATGGTGGAGTTTCAGCTTCGACGTGTTCAATGAACTTGTTTAAGTTTTGGACAACTTCACATTCCTATAATAGAAAGAGTTAGAGTTATGAAAGAGAAAGAGAAAAAGAAAGAAAGAAAGAAAGAAAGAAAGAAAGAAAGAAATAAAAGAAAGAAAGAAATAAATAAAAGAAAGAAAGAAATAAATAAAAGACAATTGAAAACAATTGAAAATAATTCAAGACTTACATGAAGACGAAGGTCAATTGCTTCAAGGTTGTAGATACCATTGTCGTAAAATAGCTCACTAACTGAATCCCAAAGAGGGTCTACAGTTGTGTTTAAGACCTGGTTAGGAGAAGTTTCTACAATTGAAGGTTGTTCTTGTTGTTGCTGAGCATTTACTGAGGAAATAAAAAGTTTAGGCAATAAAAGTATTATTAGTAAAGCCTGTGAATTGAAGGCAATTGCTGATTTCATTATTTGTTGGTTGTCAAGTTTGTTTGTTTGTTTGCTGAAAAAAAAAAATGGTGGTGAAATAAAAAATAAAAAATAAAAATAAATTAAAAAAAAAGTAAGTAATTTAATTAAACTTTGTTAAATTATGTTAAATTTGTTAAACTTTGTTAAATTTTACATTTGACTTTCTGGGTAATTTGCTTATTGAGTAAATGACTAAGAAAGTACGTAATTACTAAATCTTTTATAAAATAAAACTCACACCATTTTATTTATATTATTATAATAATAATAATTTATTTTATTATTAATAAATTAATTTATTTATTTATTATCTCTTTCCTTTTTATTTCTTTCTCCTCTCGCCATTAAATAAAAAAAAATAAAATAAAAAAAAAAAATCCCACCAAAAACTTTTTTTTTATTTTATTTTCTTTTTTTCTTTTCTTTTTTTCTTTTATTTTATTTTTTATTTTATTTTATTTACTTATTTTATTCTATTTTATTTTATTTTATTTTATTTTATCATCTCACCATTTTAAACAATCTTTAAAAAAACAAATCTTCAATCTTCAATCTTCAATCTAATCTCAAATCTTGAAACACAACAACACCTCCAAATCTACAATGAACAATAACGTCCTTAGAAATTTGGCTCCTCTAACTTCAGGTTCTCCTCAATCTTACTCACAACATCAACAAATCCATCCACAACTACAACAACAACAACTACAACATCAACAACAACTACAACAACTACAACAATCTTCTACTTCTTCTCAACCACCTACTTCCTTATCGCAACCTCTAGTCCAACCTGCTTCTCTAATAACTGCTGCCTCTACAATCATGCCAGTTCCTCTATCATCATCTTCAACTATTCCAATCTCATACGACCACCAGGACTCTCGCATGCAGCCGCGCCACCATAACCACCACTACACTACAACTAACAACCATGACGCGTCATCATCATCATCATCATCATCATCTACAATCCGTCCAGGAACAATCTTGCGATACTTCCAACCTGTCAAATCACTAAAACGTAAAGCCTCTTCTCTTGCTGACCCTCCTCACTCTTCTTCCATCTCTTCTATTACAACCCCTTCACATCACCACCCTGCTCATCTACCCTCACAAACATTTCTCCCAGATATCTCTGCTCACCAACACCATCATCACCCAACCGTCTTTGAAGCGATTCAAGGGTTTGGTGAGATGTCTATAGCTGATGCAGCAGCTGCAGCAGCAGCTGCTGTCACCTCAGCATTCTCAGACTTACCAGTACCTGTCACCCCATTATCACACCCTAGCGACGCGTCTTTGGACCCAGTATTGGTAGCTGCTTCGTCTACTGCTATAAGTCATCATTCCGAATTGCAACAACAACAGCAGGAACAGCAGGAACAGCAGGAACAAGAACAAGATCAGGAACAAGACCAAGACAAAGACCAAAACAAGGAAGAACACCGACAACTACCACCACAGACTACACGAAAAAGAACAAGATCAGATACCTATAGCTCATCCACACGGTCCACGCGATCATCCTCTTCACGAACAACAAGAGCATCATCATCTTCTTCTTCTTCCTCCTCATCATCATCATCTTTAATTTCACAACCCTCTTTCCCTTCATCTAATTTAATTTCACAACCCTCTTTCCCCTTATCAACTCTTTCTTTTACAACCCCTCATCTAACTTGGGCTCGTCGTAATAACACTCTACTCATCACAACAACTACTACCCCATCACCTATTCTTCATCCAGATTATACTTCCGGAGCAAAGAAAATCGCCATTGCTGCTTTTGATCTTGATTCAACCATTGTCAAAACCCAATCTCAAACTCCCTTCCCTAAAGATGGTGCAGATTGGATGTGGTTCAATTCATTTGTACGCAACAATATGCAAACTCTTGTCAAGCACCAACTCATTAATAAGTCTCGAAGACATACTGCCTCCTATGACTTGTTATCTCAAGAATCTGTGTCACCAGTGTTTCGTCGGTTTCTTGCAGAAACAAACCCAGAAAATGTGCCTTACTTTGTTGCCATCATCACCAACCAAGGTGGCGTTATTATTAAAGAAGACACTAAACGATATGGTCATTTTAAGGAACGTCTTGATAGAATTGCAGCTGCCATGGATATCCCATTTTGGTGTTACTCTGCAACTCGTGCACCAGCTGTTAAAAAACAACAACAACAACAAACTTCATCAAAATCTTCAAAACAAAAGAAATCATCTCCACAACCTCAGCCACCTCCGTCACGCATGCCAATAAAAGAAAAGGACATTTACCGTAAGCCCGAATGTGGCATGTGGCACGAGCTCATGGCAGATGTGAGCCGTATGGGACTTAAAGTGGATCACTCGAGATCCTTTTATGTGGGCGATGCTGCTGGTCGTAAAAACGACTTTAGCGATTCTGATCGAGAATTTGCAAAGGCCTTACAATTAAAGTTTTTCACTCCAGAAGAATTCTTTATAAATGATAACTTTAGTGTAAACAAGTCAACTAAAATCTAAATAGCTGTTTTCTACAATATGGATAAAAAGTACGAAAAAAAATGAAAAAGAGAAAGAAAAAAAAAACTTGGGAAAACGGGCGAAAATAAAAAACGCCATCAAAAAATATACACAAAAGAGCTCGGTTTCAAGTCGAGCCAAATATCAAAAAAAAACATCATGAGGGAATCATTATACAAAAAACATTTCGAAGTGGGTATTTATGTAAAAATTTAAGCCTCCTGCTCAATGGTGCCCTTCTCAGAAACGTAGATACCGTCAAGGAACTTACGGATATCCTTGTTGCGGACACGGGTAATCTGCTGAATGTCAGCGGCAGACTGGGAGACATTCTCAAGAGAGATACCGGAAAGGATAATCTCGTCCTTCTGGGCAGTGGAGATAGTGGCCTCAACACCGGGGAGGAGGTTAACCTCACGGACACGCTTCTCACCCAAAAAGTTTCTAATCTCAACAGTTCTGTTGCCATTGATAAGGTTGACATTGATGGGGAAATGGGCGTAGACATATCTCATCTTGTACTGGTAGCCCTTGGTGACACCGGTAATCAAGTTGGAAATGAGAGACTTGACAGTTCTGAGAGCAGCAACGTGCTTTCTGTCACCGTGGTGGACGGTAATCTTAATCTCAGAGTCAGAAACCTTAGAGAAAGCAACATCAATGTGACGCAGGCTCTTAGTCAAAGTACCACGGGGGCCAGTGACGGTGATCTGGCGGGCCTTGATGTCGACGGTGACGCCCTCAGGGATAGCAAGAGTCTGATCAGTTTGGATGAACTTCATTGTTAACGATGTTGAGGCTTTGATTGACTATCTAGTGGGGAGTAAAAAAGAAAAAAAAAAAAAGAAGAAGAAAAAAAGGAGAAGAGAAAGAGGTTGGGAAGTTTGATATATTGGTTGAGAATTACAAAAAAATTTTCAATCTACAATAGGGAGAGTGCGGCTCAAATAGATTTTTCATTAGTGCTGAAATATCTTATTCAGACTGAGAGATACCGTTAATTCTTTTTTTGGAATAAAATAGTCACAGTGCAAAGAAGTTAAATAGATTACAATGATTATGTTTACATGTGTCATCATTAGTAATATTTCACGTGATTTAAATCGGTTTTATAATTAATTAATTTATTAAATTTAAATTTAAATTTAATTAAATTAAATTAAATTTATAATTAAATTTTTTTTTAATTTATTTATTAAATTTATATTTTTTTTTATTACAATTACAAATTTATTTTGTAACAAAAATTTTCTGCTGCTTTTTATTTTTTTTTATTTTTTTTTATTATTTTTTTTTTTCTACTCGCATAATGGTCGCGCTCTGATTGGCCTACAAAAAAACCCTCCACCCAAAGACTTTTTCCTGCCACTAATCGCACACCCAAAAAAGGCCCTATAGCCCTACCTAAAATCGCTACTACCACCACCACCACCACCACTGAAAATCAATAACTATTACCAACTACTTCCATCTTACATTCCCACTACCACCAACACCAAAATTCTCACACATACACCCACAATGTTCTCTCTCAGAGCTCTCAGAACCGTGGCCTCTCGTAGCCAGCCTACTACTACTTCCTCTTCCATTCTTCGCTCTGCCGCCCAGTTCAACAAATGCGCTCTTAGATTTGCTTCCACCGCACACTTTAAGGCCTCACCCGGATTTATCAAATTCAGCGAGGACCGTGAACTCGACATTCGAAAGCGTCTCGACGCTCTGCCCGGTGCAGGCAAGATTTTCCAGAACCCGGACGGTACCGCTCGCAGCCCGGAAGATGCTGAGCTCAAAGATCTGGCCAGCCTGACATTTTTGGCTAACGACCGTCGACTGGCCCTTGTCGACCTCCTGAGGCTCTCTTCCGAGCAGATCCAGCTCTACATTGATAACCAGGCTGACCTTAATGACTACCTTTCCAACGGCAAGCGCATTCTGGACAAAATCCCTGTCGAAGACCCTACCACTGGCGAAATCACTTGGTCCGTCATCCGCGCTAACGAAAAGGAAGGCTGGGAACCCATCATCTACTACGGCTTTATCCCGGCTTTGCTTGTCGCCTTTTACTTTGCCCTCTTCCTCGACAAGGAAGACATTAGCGAGTGGGCTCTCGAGGAACTTAGACTCCGTGCTCAGGAAAAGTATGAGGGTGATAGATCAGAGCTTGCCAAGGAGAGCAACATTTCTCCTGAAGAAATCAAAAAGAGAGACGAACTCATTGTTGAGAGAATACTTTCCGGTGATTATGACCGTCTTGCCGGCTTGCAAAAGGCTGGTGCCGAGCTGCCCTCCTCTTTAATCTAAATGCGCATATACCCTTAAAATACCAAACTTTTTCTTTATTTATCCCCTTGCTCCCTTGCTCCATATACACTAATTTGTTCCAATTGGATTATTGTTATTATATTCATTGTTATTATTGTTATTATTATCATTATTGCTAAAAAGAAAAAAAAAAAACCTGTATCCGATATCCTTATTGTTGTATGAATATATATATATGTATTTGTAGATTGTCTTAGGTGTGCGGCTCACACTTGCAAACTAGTACTATTTTTCAACAACCCAATGCCATCCTCTCGGAAACTATCTTCAACAAGCCCAAGCGTCGCCACATTGATTCCAAGCAAGTTCCGGTCATTCTCTGCCTGCCTATACTCTGGCCAATATGGCAGTCCCGTTCCGTTGTTGGGCGTCCCAGAATGTGCAAATGAAATCCAGTACCGTTTGTACACCTTAGACGGACCAAAATCCAACGTATATTGCCATACCAAGTCTACTGCATGGAACGTCCCCAAGTATGGAGTCCCGAACCCAGTCGACGACAAATATGAGTATACGGGCACGTCACTAGGCGTATTTTCAAGCATTAGACGTCGCGGTGATTGGAACAACAAGTCACATAAAAACGCAGAAATTCGCTTGTACTGTGGAGTCTGCGCATTCAACAATGCTGTCCGGAACGGTGACCCGGCAGCTGGGTTCTCTGGATAATATGCCACTAGCGCCGCCACCTCATCAGCAGATGCGTCCGGGAAAAAGCTCTGAAACAATCCAATCACCTGAGCTTCGCTTGTGTAGTTGGAAAACAGAGACGTGAACAACGTCCCCTCGTCTTCTTGGTTGCCCGTAATGTACGGTACTTTGGCAAACTTGCCTTTACGAAATAGTTCAAAAGTATTGCTGGAAATCACGTCACCATCCGGGTGCGGACTAAAGCCCAAAAACGCATCTACCATTGACACTCCGGACGATGCCTTGGTCACCTCCGTCGTGTTTTTCGTCCGCAAACAAGCAATCTTGTCGTCGGCTCCGTCACATCCAACCCCATTAATCACCGTGTCAAACGCTTTCTGAGGCCAGCTTGAACTTACATTGTTAACCGGTAATACTCCGCCGCTTTGCATAATGACGCTAGAAAAAAGCGGGCTCCCCTTGTAGGTATGGTCCCCGTCATTCATCACCATTTGGTGCGCGCAGCTCATGGCTCCAGCACTTTCACCTGCAATCGTAACACGCTGCGGGTCTCCGCCAAACTCACCAATGTGGTCTTGTACCCATTCCAGTGCTAATCGCTGGTCCAGCAATCCGGCATTAGTATTGCCATCTTCTGCAGCTTCCCTGCCGCCCAAAAACCCCCAGGGCCCTAGCCGGTAGTTGATAGACACGTAAATCATGGGCATCTGCATCTGTAAGCTTTCGCCCACATACACTTCGCCCTTGTACGAGCTACTTCCACCAAAGATGAATGCTCCGCCGTAGATCCACACCAGCACGGGCAATTTATCTTTGGCCGTTGTATTTGCTGGTCGAAATACATTCAAGTTTAAGCAGTCGTCGCCCTTGGCTCCACTAATAAGAATTTTCGCCAGCCCTAGTTTGAGTTCTGGCGCAAGATACCCAGAGTACTGCATTACAGCACTGCTGAGCCCAGAATTGCTTGACAAAATGTCGGGTGCAGGACAGTCGTACCCGAAATCTGTAGCGTTGAATCCGGCATATGACCCGTTGAATGCCACTGGCCGTCGGAAACTGAGCTCGCCAATCGGCGGCTGTCCAAACGGAATCCCACGAAACGACTCTACAGTACCATTGGCCAAGTATGCACCTCGAATATCTTGATTGCCGTTGACAGTGACTGTGGGGTAGTTTATATCTGCGATTACACTAGATACAAAGAAAACTAAAAGGATTGATTTTAACAACATGAAAAATGGATTTTAAATAGAAAATAAAACAAAATGAATTAAAAGGAAAAGATATAGTTAAAAATTAAAAAAAAAAAGAGAAGAAGAGGATGATGAAAAAGAAGAAAAGAGAGAAAGAAAAAAAAAAAAAGAGAAAGGACCTTTTTTAAAGTCCATTAGTTCTTCGTGTCTAATTAGGTTCTTTGGAAGCCTCCCCCTCACCAGTGTGGGGATAGAGCCGTTCAAACTTTGCCATTCATGTAGGTCTTTTTTTTTTTTTTTTTCATTCTATAAATCATTTTTCATTCAATGTACAAAAATCGTTTCCTTTTTCTGTAAAAAAAACCCAAATTTATGCAATTTCTTTTTTTTTTTTTTTTTTTACAGAATGTAGACCATTTTTTTTTGTTTGGTGAAGCTCACTTTAAAGAATTTCACTTGCCAAAACAAAGACTTGATGATCATCATCATAATGACTGTTGATAAGCTGAATGTTTGAATACTTTTTATTTGAAATTCTATAAATGAGAGTTTGGAACCGTTTAAAACATACTTCTATTTGCATAAATTTTACCCTCTCTAAAGGTCAACTTACCCACATTCTACTCACTTTCATTAAACATCAATACTTGCCTTCCTTTAAAACACCATCCCATACTAGCGACGGCATATAATATACAAACCTATCAAACATTGCACGCTGTACAGACGTCACAAACACTTTCTTTTTAACTGCAACTAGGCTTCTTCCAACACTGCTCAGTTTTTTATTTTTCCGATAGTACCGTGCCAATGATGTTGCCGGTGCTGTTGACGGGACCTTGAACAACGACAACATAAGCAGCTTCCAGTGGACGTGTTTTGGAATCAATCTGCATAACGAGTTTTGCACCAGCCGTGTGAGTTCCACCGATGTCGCATAAATCCGGGGCTCTGCAAACTCGCTCAGAATCATGCTGTATCCGGCATGATACAGAATCTGGTTGCGGCCGTTCAAGTAGAGCGGTGAAGGAGGTGCAGACTCGTCTTCTCCAAAGGGTAGCCGTTTGATGGAAAATACTACGGCATACAACCGCCGCACACTCGCATCACTCTCCATGATATAACTGTCAATAACAAGCTTTTTAAACACTTGTAAAAAACTCTCGTCCTGACTGCAGAAAGTGGCCTCGTTAATGCTTTGGTTGTAAAACCTCAAGGGCTGCGGGGCAGAAAAGGGTGAGAGGAGAGAAGCTGAAAAGGAAGCCATATGGTTTGCGTCATTCCCTGCCCGTGTCCAGCATCGCCGGTAGTATCCCATGGCCACGCACCAGAGCCAAAAAACATGTAAGAACTTGGGGATAAATTTAATTGGATTGTTGTTCATCATTGATTCAGGATGGATCAGCCTGTAAGTCAAGTATTGCAACTTAGAGCCTGGGCTGGACAATTCACTTAGACTTGTTGTTGGGCTAAACGTTGTACTTCCATCTTCACTGATTTCTTCATTGTTAAAGTAACTTTTGTCGGTAGTCTTGTGATCTTTGGTATAAAGAGTAGCTCGCTGGTATTTGAACATCAACTCTTGAATTGGGATATCTACACGCACAAAAATATACATCAACGCTACACCTGGGGTATCACACACATCTGACTGGTTATTGCATAGACTGGTCAACATGGGTATGATATTCTGGGTAAACACTTTGGACATTTGAGGTTCACGTGCGGGATCAAACTCAGCCATTTTACAGGCCAGGTAACACGTCAGAGAGATTAGAAATGAAGTACGGTATGCGTGAAACATTCTCCTGGCTTCACTTGACCGGCGACGTGATGATTTTTTAGAAGAAGTTGTTGATGAAGATGTTTGCGAGTGTGGGGACGATGAAAACGGGGTATTTTTGGCTTGACTTGAGTCTTCTTTGGGGTCAACTTGAGATTGGCTGATCAATCGGGAGAATGAACGGAGGTAGATTTCAGCCCAGCTCCAACTAGAACTGGCATCGCATACTTCTACCATTTTCCTCAGTAGGTATGAGAAAATCATGTATATACTCTGGTGTGAATCATCGATATACTCAGAGGTTAGCAACAACAAGTTGTCCAAGATTCTTAAGTTTTTGTTTCGAGGTGTACTACTTGAGGGGAAATCCATTATTTGTGGTGTTACTTCACTTTTACTACTATTCTGGTCTAACCCCCCGCTTGTCAAGGCTTCTAGGAATGCAGCCTGGCTTCTTGGGTCTTGTGTCATGTATTCTTTTCCAAAGTATGACGATACTGAATTGGTATTTGGCTGTGCAGCTGCTGAGGTTTTTGTTGAAGGAAGTTTCCCGCTGGATGGGTATGCACGGAACCAGGCTCGAAGTTCTGCAGAGGAGACAGATGCAGGATATGGTACATGGCCTGAGGAGGCAGAGCCAGAGTGCTGGTGGTAGTTTGCCCAATCTGCGATATCCAAGTGAGCTGTTGTTAAAGAGCTGAGTTCGAGGTATTGATCATTTTGGGAGGATTCAAATAAAACTTCAGCGCTCATGTTGTGGAAATAGAAACGTAAAAAAAAAGGTGGGCAATATAAAATAGAAGAGAAACTTGAGAAATCAATCAATCAATCAATCAATCAATCAATTAGCAAATTGAAAACAAAACTATGAATTAATTAAAAAAAATAGAGAATCTATATATATTCTTTAATTAAAAAAAAAGCAAAGTAATTGTTTTTATTGAAGAGAAAGAAAAAAAAGAAAAAAAATAAATAGAAAAAAAAAAGCTTTTTGGAAATTTGGAGGAAAGAAAATTCCAAGTGAGGGAAATGATTGTTGTTGTATGTTGTGTGTTGAGGCTTATAGACTTTAAGCTCAATACACACACTAAATGCAATATTGAAAACATTCCCAGATTGATGCAGTTGTGAAAAAAAAAAAAAAAAAACAAGCATGAAAAAAGAAAAACCTTTGAAATCAAAATCCACATGAATTTGAAATGATTGTGAATATATATATATATATATATATATATATATATATTTAAAAAACAAATATAAAAAGAAGACTGTTTCTCAATTGATCAATTGATTGCCTTTCTATCACAAAAAAAAAAAACTAAACAATGCATGTTAAGTTCCTACTACTCTTCTTATTTTCACTCTTTTTTAGCTTGGTTAAAGCCCTACCAATAGAACCATTGAGCGACACGGAGGTCAACAAGGAGGCTGCAGAGTCTCTAAAAGATTTTTTCTTTCCAGAAGATCTCGAAAGAGTCCTTGAAGTTGCCCAAAAAATCCAAGACCATAAGATTACTGGCAATAAGGAAGAAGACAACAAGTTTTACAGTGACAGTAATGGGTTTGTATACAATATAGAAACCAACAGTCTCAACAATACTTTTGACAGTGCATGCAAAACCATCTCTAACTCGTTTATCCCATATACTGGGTACCGGATGATTACGTCAACTTTGCTTACCTGGAACCGTGTTATCTACAGGCGGTACTCGGTTATGGTGTACTGCTATCAAGGTAAAGTTGCTGCCAAAGCCATGAAAGGAATTCCACCTCAGGAACGTGATATTCTTTGGGGGACTGAATACTGTTTCCCTAAAGAACCTATAAACCCTAATGTTCCTACTCCTAAGGGATGTTTAATTCCTGTTCGTAGTTCTCATTCTTGGGCCATTGAAGCTGGGTTACTATGGACGTGGAATAAACCTGAAAGAGCATATGGAGGAATTTTCCGTTATAATGAGCGACTGGATCATAATAGTGTGGGGAGAGTGTTATTATCGAATGACTTGGCAATTCCTGTTTTACCACTAATTACCGATGAGCCGTACATGGGATCAGTTGGTATTGATATGTTGGGGTACTTATCCATCAATATTCCATTGGCTTATACGCCAGATTATTACAATTATGCGTATCCTCATCAGACAGACATTTGGGCAGCATATTTGGATATGAATGAGATTTATCTTTTACAGATGCCTGACTTGTATCTTCCATTTACCCATCGGATCAAGACTGGGTTTAGTACTTTTATTTCTGGGTTATTTTCCACTTACATGTCTAAATTGTTTAAATCCGAGACCCCTGCAACTTCCCCATTTGTATATGAAGAAGAAAAAGAAGAGAAGGAGAGTGGGGAGACGGAAGTCGGAGGGTTTAAAATTCCAGAATATAATATGCCAGAACTTATCAAAAGGTTTGGTCCAGAGGGAGGGGTTTTGCCTGTAATTATAAAGGATATTTTCCAAAGTTTACGCAAAAAGGATTTCTTACAAGTTCTTAATAGGTGTAAAACTCGGCTAGCGTTGCTAGAAAATAAGCATTTGGCCAAGTATATTTACATGGAGATTTCTCGGTTGTTACCCCGAGTTCAAATGAAGAATTATAAAGGAGAGTATTAATAACATGAAAAAAAAAAAAGGATTAGAAAGATTTAAAAGATTTAAAAGATCTAGCCCTTTTCAAAAAAAAAAAAAAAAAAAAAAGACTTTCTTTAGTTCTTTAATTCTTTAATTCTTTAGTTCTTTAGTTTTCTTTATATATATTTAATTATAAGTTCTTCCACCCACCCCGCAGAAGTGTCTATTCCCCACAATTTTCACGACCTCGGCTTGTAGTATTTTAATATTTTAGTAATTATTCTATATATATATATATATTTAAATTTAAATTTTTATTATAATTATAATTATTATTAAAAAAAAAGAAAACCCTCTTTTTAATATAAAAAACTCAATTAACAAAAAAACAACTTCCGTAGTATTTCCAATTGATTTAATATATATAATAAGTTACACTTTTTGAAAAGACCGTAATCGCCGATTGGCAAGAAAAGCCGGAAGTGCACGGCTACTACAATTATTATTTTATTTTTTAAATTATTTATTTTTTTATATATAACGGAGTTAAAAACTTTGTATGCCGACATGCCAAAAAAAAAAAAAAAATTCGCTCACCCACCAAAACTTATTTTTCTTTTCTTTTCTTTCCCCCCCACCTTTTTAAAATATTTTAATTTATTTTAATTTTACCCCACAGAATTTATTTATCAAAAAAAATCTTTTTTAAACTGTTTAAACTATTTAAACCACTTGAATTTCCTCTTTTTCTCAAAAAAATAAAATAAACAATTTTTTCAAACGGTTCTTTTTCTATTATTCTATAATTTCTTTTTTTTCACATTTCATTTCTTTAACTTTTTAAATTAAATCTACTAATATCCAAAAAAAAAAAAAAAATGAGCAATAAAGTCTACGTTGCAGGTGTCGGTATGACCAAGTTCATCAAACCAAGAGATACCTATGGCTACGAAGAATTAGGCCTAGAAGCCTCTGCTAAAGCCCTCGTCGATGCTGGCATCAACTATGACGAGGTACAACGTGCTGTCGCTGGATACGTCTACGGTGATTCCACCTGTGGCCAACGAGTCATCTACCAACTGGGACTTACAGGTATCCCAGTTTATAATGTCAACAATAACTGCTCAACTGGGTCCACAGCTTTGGCAATGGGCCGTGACTTGATTCGTTCCGGACTAGCTGATGTTATACTCTGTGTTGGATTTGAAAAAATGGAGCGCGGATCACTAGGAGCAAAATTTACAGATAGAGCTGATCCCCTTGGCAGACTGGCAGACAAGATGTTTGAAACTAATGAAGCTAGCAAGGCCTCGGTTGCATGCCAATTCTTTGGAAATGCAGCTGCAGAGTATATTGAGAAAACAAATGGTAACCCTGATGCAATCCCAATGATTGCACAGGTTAACCATGCTCACTCTGTCAATAACCCTTACTCTCAATTCCAAGACGTGTACACCCTCGAGCAAATCAAAAACTCACCCAAGGTCCATAAAATCTCTACTAAACTTACCTGCTGTCCTACCTCTGATGGTGCTGCCGCTGCTGTTTTAATTTCTGAAAAGTACCTCCAGTCACACCCTGATTTGCAGAGCCAGGCAATTGAGATTGCAGCACAATCTCTCCATACTGATGTACACAATGTATTTGATGGTAGCTCTGTATCTCTTATTGGCGATGGCATGACCCGTTTGGCAGTCAACGAAGTTTACAAAACTGCAAACATCACCCCTGATGATGTTCAAGTGGTCGAGCTTCACGACTGCTTTGCAGCAAATGAACTTGTTGTTTTAGATGCCTTGGGATTATCAAAGCCAGGTAAGGCCTGTGAGTTGGTTGAGAAAGGTGACATCACATACGGCGGCAAATATGTGGTCAACCCATCCGGTGGGTTAATCTCCAAGGGCCACCCTCTGGGAGCTACTGGTCTTGCACAGTGTGCTGAGTTGTGCTGGCACTTGCGTGGGTGGACCACTAACCGTGCTGTTCCTCACACACGGTACTGTCTGCAACACAATCTGGGGCTGGGTGGAGCCGTGGTTGTTACTTTATACAAGCGTGCAGACGGTAAGGAAGCTCCTGTGAATCCTGCAGTGAAGAACGATGGTCGTGCCAGACTCGGGTACAATCCAGCAGTGGAGGTTCGGCATTTGACTCGGGAACAGTTTGAAGCAGCTGCGTCCCACAAGGCTTCAGATAAGTTTTCGTATGGCGGTAATAAACTAGTTCCAGCCTATACTTCTTCCAAGCTTTAAGTTATTAAATAAAGTAAATGAGTTTATATATATATATATATATATATATATATATATCTATAGTCAATTGAGGTTTTTGTTGATTTGATATTTATATTTATATAAAAAAGTGTACTGAAGTGGTTGAAGTAAAGGCTCCCGGACATGACATTTAAAAGACCGACTTAAAAAGATTATGTAAATGATGAGTAATATTACATTTCTTCTCAGGCTATTTTGTTGATTTGCAAGTTTCTTATAATAATTAAAAAAATAAAAAAATAAAAAAAAAACAACTCATCTTTTTTGTTTAATTTCTCATGTCATCTCAAAATCCATATTTAAATCTCAGAAATGCCTCCAAGGCAAATTCCACTTTATCACAAACAAGTGCCAGTGATCCCACGGTACAAGACCATCCACCGCGCTGGAACAGACTACAAGCTGCCGGATTCCAAAACTTACTCTACCGATTGGATTTCGAGGAAAACAGTCCTAACGTGTATACACTTTTTGTAACTAACATGGCCCAAGTATGGTTTGAAGAACGAGTTATTGGAACAGTGGTAAGTTATTTAATTCAATATATATTTGCTCCAGGGCGGTTCAAAATGGATCTATTTATTCATGTCCTTTTGATAAAATAAATCTATAATTGTAGAAAGAAAATCTGTTCTTTCCTTGACGCGCGCTTTTGGCGTTTTTTTTTTTTTTTTTTTTTTCGTTTCACTTGACTGAATAACTGACTGACTAACTAACTAACGAACAATTTGTTTTAGAATCAAACTTATCTTGACTCCAATAGAAAACGATTAATTGCCATTATCAAGAAACTCTCACAAGTCCTGGATCCAACATCCCCTAATGTCAACAGATCTCTACGAGTTTCCCCGACATCTAATGACCAAAATGAACATCATAAACAATTCTCAACCCATTTAGGCATGGCCAACCACCAGCTGGAACTGGCAGTGGCCCAAATACCACAAATACCACAACTACCACAACAACCTACAAACATTCAACGCAAGTCCTCATACTCTCAACAATCCCAATCATTATCACAGTCCCAGAATACATCTTCTGTACCTCCAGTAAACCAGTCGTTCGAATGGACTTTCACACTTACACCCATGAGTTCTACTGATCCTAGGCGTCTACTTCTTCTGCAATCCCTGATTCTGGGGCTCATGGGAGTCGTCGATACTTTGTTTCTGCAACAGCGCGAACTGTACGATACTATTCATCGTAAAGATCTTTTGCTTACTGATCTGCTTGAAGCTTACGGTAATAGCAACTACAAACCTAAGCGGCACGCGGCTGATCTTACCCGATTCCAGGCAGACGACTGGGCCCGAGACTGGATCGCACGTACGTACAATGGCAAAGACGAGCTGTGTAATGTGGTGAGACGAGCTGTGGACACTGCGCAACCGTTATGGGGGATGCATGCATTGGGCAAGCACTGGCAAGGATCAGTTTCTATTATTAATACAGAAGAAGGATTTACAACAACAACTACTAATACTACTACTACTACTACTACTACACAACAGCTCCAAGTGCAACGGCCAGTATCTACAAGTGAAGAAAGTTTCTTTGACAGCTGCGACGAATCGTTCCGGTTGCTCATCAGTGCCGACGATAAAAAACAGGAAAGCATGGTAGGGGCCAGTAGAACCGAGTCTTCAGCAACCAATTCACGTAAACGCAAAAGGAAAGAGAAAGAACAAAAACAAAAACAAAAACAAAAACAAAAACAAAAACAAAAACAAGAACAAGAGCAAGAGCAAGAGCAAGAGCAACTTGTAGTGATTGACTGTTCGAGTGGAAGCGAAACAGAAGACTCGTTTGAACAAGCCAAGAAACAAAAACTAGAAGGAGAAGAAGAGGTCTTGCCTCCAAGCGAACCACCAGATTTTGCTCTTCCATTTTCGCAAACAAACTACCAGTACGAATCGCAAGATAGTATGTTCCCCATATTTTCCTCACAAGGATTTTACAGCGAAGATGCTTCCAACAGTAACTACCATTTCTACCCACCAGCTGAACAACAAACCCAACCTCACACTTCTCCTCCACGAGGTCCTGGTAAACCTTTGGGCCTTATAACTCACCGATCAAGCTTACCTGTGGTTCAAACATCCGGAAGCCCGTCGCCAACTAAGATTGGTGGGTTAAGGAAAATGGGGACAGGTATAGTTCGACGGATCTCCCATCCTAGCGAGACGACACATAATCTTCAAGAGAAATTGGCAGCCACTGCAAAAGACCCACAGTCACGCAGTACATCTCCGTTGGAAGAGTATCCGGTTATTAACAAAAGCAAAGGTAAAAACAAAAGCAGGGCGGTTGAAGTTGAAGTTGAACAAGTAGAGAAGCAGCAGCGAGAAAAACTAGAAAAAGAGTTTCGAAACAAACGTGCAAGAGCTAGTCGCAAGTCCAGGTTTTAATTAGATTTCACAAGAAAGCTTTTTTTTTTTCTATTTTTTTTTTTTTTTTTTTTTTCATTGCATCACTTGCTCAAGACCTAAAAGCATCAGCTTCCTGGTCCCTAAAATATAATTCTCCACGTCGTGTAAGAGTCCCTGTTGCATTTCCTGTGATGAATTTGTAGGCTGTCTTTGGAGCTCTGACACTTCGAGACCTCCCCAGAGCTCAGTCCAATGGAAAATAAACATCTTCATATCCTTGATAAATATTTGTTTTCTATGGTCCGATGGCGAACTTGTCAAGTATCCGGGCTCCATGTATTTGTATTTATCAATGTGGTCGTTACTGTTATTTTGATTTTGATTTTGATTTTCGCATGGAATGCGGCCCCTAAAAACTGTAGAATAAAAATCAGAAACCATCACAATCATTGTTTCTATCGACTTAAACTTGTACACCACACTTCTATCATAAACAAACTCATTTTGGGGGTTGTGAAAGGTAGAAACTGACTTCGATGTAAATAGTTTCTCAAGATTCTCTACCCCTGTCATATACTTTAAATCAGACGGATTCGGGAACCGCTCCAAAATAAGCTTGCATATTATGGGTGATACTTCATCAATAATCTTCTGTATGTAAAAGTCACGTAGCCCATCTGCGTCGCGTGCAGCTACAAACTGTTTGATTTTATCATGTAGTAACATCAATTGTTTTCGTACAATGGGATTGTGTGTATCAATATTTGCTGGAAGTGGAGCCAGGTTGGAAGTTTTTTTCAGTGATGATGATGATAATGCTTTTGACGAACTTTGTAAATTCTGATCGTTATATCGTGATTTTAAAAGATCAGATGGTTTGGCCGCAGGTTTTTCCACTGGTTCAGGTCGAACCGGTTCGTCGACATCCATTTCCATATCCTCCTGGACCAAAACCGGCTGCTGCAGGTACTGGTTCTGGTTCTGGTTCTGGTTCTGGTTCTGGTTTTGGTACTTGATTTCTTCATTGTCACTCATATCTTCAAAATATTTCCTCAGCTCCGCATCTTTTTCTGCAAAAAACTCCCTGATTTTTTTCCTTTCAAACTTTTCATGAACACTATTCACTTGTTCCTGCCAGATAACCACCTCCTTGGCCACCGTTTCAGATACCTCTTTAGCAGATAACCCACGTCTGTATGTCACCGTTTTAATATTGTGCATCAACGACTTATTACACAGATTTCGGTCGTTCGATAAAATAACTGTCAAAAGCAAGTATTCTTGTTGGAAAAATAAGCAACAATCTAAAATGCTGTCATCTCCACGTAAAGACGAATCTAGTCGTTGATTGATTCTCTGACCTACCACGCGCGAGTCACAGGCCGCAAGTGCCTTATAAATCCAGTCAGTGGCCTTACGTGCAAGGTATCCTACTGAATGCGAGGTCCCCAGTTCCTTTCGGTTTTGCGACTTTAGCGAATCTAGTTCTTCCACCACAATCCAGGGTATCACGATAATGTGGTTGTAGGTTTCGGCAAGTACGCGCAACTCTTCAATCAAATCAACATGCGAAAGAATAAAGTTTGTGTCGACGACCAATGCAGAGTAGGCAGTTGCTAGTATGGGGGATTCTGGTATTAGGTGTGCGTTTTCCCCAGATTTGATGGAAGGTGAAGATGGAGGAGAGTCATCTTGGGTGAAATGAGAGATGTGGTGGTGATGACTGTAATTTGATGGAGAAAGAGGTTCCGGGACTGTGCCGTTTAATATATCGTCAACCTTATACTTTGGCCGTCGCCTGAAAGACATTATGAAAAGCTGAAGAGCTAGTTTTTTTTTTTTTTTTTTTTTTTTTTTTTTTTTGAGCAAAGTGAAGAAATGTTAATTGGTGGTCAAGTAAAACAGAAAAAAGTGGTGGAAGAAATGGCTGGTTGTAATTTGGAAGTTTTTATGTGAGAAAGCTTTGGCTGTGACAAGTCAGATTTTTATTCTTTTTTTTTTTTTTTTTTTTTCAAGTGTAATAACAATAGACAACTATTTCGATAAATAATTAACAAAAAAAAATGATGATGATTTAGAACGAAGAAATTTATTGGTTTTAAAGACAAAACTTTTCAATGTATAAGTTTCAACTATCATTGATATAAATATATATTATGTACAAAAAAAAAATTTAAATAAGAAAATAAACTGAAAAAAAAATTAATAAATATATATATGAAAAAATTTAAAAAAAAATAATTTTGAACGTCACGAACAGGATTCGAACCTGCGCAGGTAAAACCCAATGCCTTAACTACTAGTGTATAGCAGGGCATCGCCTTAACCACTCGGCCATCGTAACTTAGTACACTACTGGTTTTTTACATATAGAGTTGGCTATTTATTGTAACTTTTAAAGAATTTAAAAATATTTTAAAAAAAATTTTGAATAAGGAAAAGCAGATGCTGATGTTATATAATTCTATAACCCTTGAATAAAAACAAACAAACAAACATTTTGAATAAGGAATAAAGGGAAAAGGCTGAATGGTGTAAAGGATAACACGTTCGCTCGAAAGCGGAAGATACTGGGTTCGATTCCCAGAATACTCCCTTTTCCTGAGGATGTGTACGGGAGTATACACCTAGACTGAAAACCATAGGCTACCCTGGTTACAGGAATGCCGACTCTTCCGTACAGTCTAAATAGCCTGCAGGTGATTGCGGGCCGTATCTCTGGCGGAAGAGATTAAGAAATACATGGGCGTCCGTGAAGATAAGTGGAAATGGGTTGGGAAGGTTTTGGGACCGACAGACTGGTTCTCCCTGTTCCTCGTAAGCTGGCATCAGGGCCCATCTTCCGGGCTACCGGAGACGCACAGAACAGAAACCACCCGTACTAAAAAGGTACAAATGAAAACCGGCAAGTCATATAGTCAGATAATAAAAGGATAACGCAAATGCCGATGTTTATATAATACTATAACCCTTGAATAATAACAAACAAACAAACAAACAAGAGAATTTTGGAACAAGCAAAACATGGCGTTGAGAAGAATTGTTGGTGGTTATGGTACAACTACTATTGCGGTATTCCAGAAGGAGGCTGGTATGATGTCATATATATATATATATATATTTGATGGGGTTGGTATTAGGAATAGCACTACCAATTCTGATACCAATTTCAATAGAGAAATTAATAATAGGATTGATCATAATACAGATGACGGTGATGACAGGAATATTAACGTTCACGATAATGTCGATTGCAACTCAAGCAGGCACAATAATGTGAGAATGGACAGAGAAGTAACTAAGAAATAAAATAAAAATTAAATAAAAAAGGGTTCAAGAGGACAACAGAATTAGAAAATTGGTTAATGAATTCCCTGCAAATTCGAAGAAATATTCAAAAGTAGTAAAATAGGATTTAAGAGGTAAGTTGTAAGCCAACAAACATGATAAAATTAAAGACCAAAGTGCACAATAGGTTGATTTCCACAACACAAAACGATCGACAAAAAGACTGAATCATACTTTCATCAATGGTAAACGTGGTTCCTCTGGTAATCCAAGAGGTGGTCAATATGCAGGGTCAAGGTCGGCACTCCTTGATTATTCTGCGACCAACCATCAAAACATTGAATAACTGAAAGCACAATGGGTCGATGTAGTATATTATTGTGGGTGTGTGGGTGTGTGGGTGTCGGGTAGTTGAAGTGGTAGTTGTAGCTGTAGTTGCAGGTTGTCACAAATTACGTTCACCAGTTCCATTAGTTTATTCAAGATGGTCCCAATGGTGTATACATGATCATTGACGATAGATAGATAAAGTCACTTTGATTGAAGTATCGGTACAGAAACCTCTTGTGGTGAACCATGACTCTATAACTATGAGGTTGGGTGAATCGCATGTATGTCTAAAAGAGAATTAATTCAATGAGCTAAGTATTGGGTATATTGGAATAAGTAGACTTACCAAAAAACGACTGCAACAACAACGAAATTCATGGTGGCAAGGAATGACAGTATAGCCTTGAGGTTGAGTGAATCGCATGATTGTCTAGTAAAGGGTTAGATCAATGAGCTAAGTATTGGGTGCATTCCAATAAGTAGACTTACCAAAAGATTACCGCAGAATGCTGAAAGTGATAATTTTAAAGAAATGTGGATGATAGTGTTTATGAATATCGTATGGTATGGTAAATAATAGATCATATTTGGTAATAGTAATAATAATGAATCATGGTTGGAAATAGTTGTTTATCATTGGTAATAGTAAATTATAGTTGATAGTGGTAAATAGTGACATAGTTGTGAGGGTAAAGGTTAAAAACAAGAAAGAAAATGCTGGAAAGAAGGTATGGTAATTGAAAACAGAAACAAATCAAAAAGGCAGGAGGATTCCCTTTGGATAGCTCCATATTTCTTTATTATTTTAAATTTTTACTTCTTCATATTGGAATTTCTCAACCGAATAACATAATCATGAGGGAATCAATAGAGAAAAGCAAGGGCGACACTCTTCAATTAATCTGCCACCAACCACCAAAACATTGAGTAACTGAAAGCAAAATAGGTCGATTCACCACAACACAACATAATCGATAAACAGGGTGCATCACACTTTCATCACTGGTGAACGTGGTTCCTCTGGTAATCCAAGAGGTGGTCTAAAGGCAGGGTCAAGGTCGGCACTCCTTGATTATTCTGCAACCAACCATCAAAACATTGGGTGATTGAAAACACAATGGGTTGATTCACCACAACACAATATAATCGACAAACAGGCTGACTCACACTTTCATCAATGGTAAACGTGGTTCCTCAGGTAAGCCAATAGGTAGTCAATATGCAGGGTCAAGGTCGGCACTCCTTCATTATTTTGCGACCAACCATCAAAACATTGAATAACAGAAAACATAATAGGTTGATATAATGGTGTTGTAAATGTTTGTGAGTGTATAAATGTGTGAGTGTGTGAGTGTGTGAGTGTGTGAGTGTGTGAGTGTGTGAGTGTGTGAGTGTGTGAGTGTGTGAGTGTGTGAGTGTGTGAGTGTGTGAGTGTGTGAGTGTGTGAGTGTGTGAGTGTGTGAGTGTGTGAGTGTGTGAGTGTGTGAGTGTGTGAGTGTGTGAGTGTGTGAGTGTGTGAGTGTGTGAGTGTGTGAGTGTGTGAGTGTGTGAGTGTGTGTGTGTGTGTGTGTGTGTGTGTGTGAGTGTGTGAGTGTGTGAGTGTGTGAGTGTGTGAGTGTGTGAGTGTGTGAGTGTGTGAGTGTGTGAGTGTGTGAGTGTGTGAGTGTGTGAGTGTGTGAGTGTGTGAGTGTGTGGGCATCGGTTAGTTGAAGTGGTAGTTGAAGTGGTGGTTGAAATGGTAGTTGTAGCGGTAGATGCATGCTGTCAGAAACAATGTTCACCAGTTCCATTAGTTTATTCAAGATTTGTCCACAATGTTGAATACATTATCATTGACGATAGATAGATAAAGTCACTTTGATTGAGGTGTCGGTAATGGAACCTTTTGAGAAGAACCATGACTGTATACCTTTGAGGTTGGGTGAATCGCATGTAAATCTAAAAGAGAGTTAGTTCAATGACCTAAGTATTGGGTATATTGGAATAAGTAGACTTACCAAAAAACGACTGCAACAATAAAGAGATCAATTGTGGTAAAGAATGACAGTATAGCCTTGAGGTTGGGTGAATTGCATGTATGTCTAAAAGAGAGTTAGTTCAATGACCTAAGTATTGAGTGCATTGGAATAAGTAGACTTACCAAAAGACGACTGCAGCATGTTGAAAGTAATAATTTAAAAAAATGTGGACGATAGAGTTTATGAATATCCTATGGGATAATAAATAATAGATCATAATTGATAATAGTGATAATAGTGATAATCATAATTCCTGGTTGCAAATAGAGGTATAGAAAGCACAATAGGTCGATTCACCACAACACAACTTAATCGACAAAGAGGCTGAATCATACTTTCATCAATGGTGGACGTGGTTCCTCTGGTAATCCAAGAGGTGGTCAATATGCAGGGTCAAGGTCGGCACTCCTTGATTATTCTGCGACCAACCATCAAAACATTGAATAACTAAAAGCACAATAGGTCGATATAATTATGTTTTAAATTATGCTGAGGTAGTGGAAGTGAGGTAGTGGAAGTGAGGTAGTGGTAGTGAGGTAGTGGTAGTGAGGTGGTGGTAGTGAGGTAGTAGGTGAAATCGTCGATGTAGTTGAAGTCGTCACGTCCGAATATCATAATAATAAGTCCCTTGAATTTACCTTGGATGAGATGTCACGTTTGGGACATTCAGTGGTATATTCATATTAATTATCTCGTTTACAAAGGAACGTATGTTAACAAACGCTAATCATTTAACATTGACCTCAAGCCCATCGTGTATTTTTTCTAGTAGAGAGTTAGATTAAGAACCTAAATATTCGAGGCGGTGGTATATGAAAACTTACAAAAAGTAGGCTTCAACAATAAAGAAATAAATGATGTCTTGATATGACTATATGCCTCCGAGGTTAAGTCTAGGGGGTGTTTGTCTATTAGAGTGTTAGATCAATAACTTAGGCATAGGGTGCATTGGGTATGTTGACATAAGAAGACTTACCAATAAACGACTGCAACATGTTGAAAGTATAATAGTTAACAAATGTCAAGGAAAGTGTTTATGAATAGTGTGGTATGGCAAATATAGTTATAAATCATAGTTGATAGTAGATGATAGTAGATGATAGTAGATGATAGTAGTTGATAGTAGATATTGTTAGATGGTAATAGATCATAGTTGATGGTAATAGATCATAGTTGATGGTAATAGATCATAGTTGATGGTAATAGATCATAGTTGATAGAAATAGATGCTAGTTCATAGTAGTATATGGTAGTATATGGTACTGATGATATTTCTAGAGGTAAAGAATAAAAAAGAATAAAAAAAATTTGAGAAAAGTGAATGGTAAAAGAAAAGAAATAAAAATCAAAAAGACGGGGGAAATCACTTTTATTTATACCTCCTTACAAGTTTCTTCAGTAAAAATAAATCTTCTTTTTATGGAAATCTTTTTAATAAATTAAAAAAATCAATATATCGTTGATCTTGTTGTGGTTTCTTTTTTTTTTAACTATCCATACTTGTCACATGCTAAAATATATTTCTTAGAAAGCTAGCCTAGTATTATAATTGTTCATACTCTTCATTGAAGTATAAGTCTTAAACTATTTATAAACATTCTAAAATTGAAGATATTGAATATTATTTTAAAAAATTAATAATAATAATAATAATAATAATAATAATAATAAATAGATTTTAGAATGAGAAAATACACAACTACTTACGGTCAAGCTTAAATGCCAATTGTAAAAGGGAATCATGGACAAGTATTTGGTAGGTGGTTAGTCCAGGTTGATGATGAGGATCAAAATTAGGGTTAGAATTAGTATTAGGGTTGTGGTTGTGGTTGTGGTTGTAGCTAAATTTTAATATAACCACTGAAAAGCCTGTTTCCCAAAGTTTTTTTTTTCTTTCGTTAAATCATTATATTTTTTTATTCTGATTCTTTCATATTAATTGATTTTGATCTTTATTTATATATATATATTAAAGTTTTAAATATAATACCATTAACAGTCTGAACACCTTTTTTTCTCGTTCTGCTATAGCTGTCCATTTTCCAAATATTTCTTTCTTTTGGAATCAAAGTTTACATTAACAACTTCCCCAAATATGACTTAATTACACCTCATAATGACTATGAGTTCTACAATCTAAACTCTACACCATTCCATTAATTAATTTTGTAATTCTTTTCAGTAAAATTTACCTTTTAAATTTCCTGAAAGTTACTCTGACTAGTTTTAGAGAGCCGATATATCTATTACAAAAGATTTCCTCCTCAATCTGTTTCCATCATCATCTTCCAGTAAAAGATTCTTAACATGAAAGTGCAAAAATATTTTGTAACTTAAAGTTTCTTTGAATGAGAACCGACAAAGTAATTGTTTTCAACTTGCTCCACTTGCGATTGTAGCTTTCCTTTTCCTTTTCCTTTTCCTTTTCAATTCCTAAATTTTATAACCGTTCACCCAAAATCTTATCAAACTCCTATTCCGATTTGTTGATAATGTAAAAAATTTAAATTTAATTATAAATGTACCTCCAAGTCGATTTTGATTGACTTGTACAAGTTAAGAGAATTTTGGAATTATTTATTTGGAGTTGTTGGAGATGCAATGTTGAAGCCAAAATTAAAAGTTTATTATGAAAATGAAAAGATATATAGTATACTAGTATGAACAAGAAGGATAGCACAGATGCTGATGATTTATAATATTATAACCCTTAAATAAAAAAAACTAACATACAGGTAATTTTGAAATGAATAAGATAAACATAAAAACAAATGATAAATTTTAAAGCCAAATAAAATTAAATTAACACTTATATTTGATACATTTTTATAGCACTTAAATAAAAACAAAGTTACAAATACATTTTTAAGTTAATTTTAATTTTGGATTTATATTTTAAAGATTAATTTATATTATTTTTAGTGTTTAGAAAAAACGTATATAAAATAATAATTTTTTTTCTTATTTTTTCTTATTTTTCTTGCTTATTTTAAACCACTATCATAATCATTTCAAATGGTGCAACTTTTTTTTTTCATTATAATCCCCCTCCTCTTAGTTAAACAGTGCGATTATATTGATTATCATCTGTACTTTATGAATATCCTATTTTGGGAAATTAATTGGGAATTTTTTTTTTTTTGATAGCAATACTACCTCCTCCCCCCTTGTTTATTTTAATTTAAGATGTTTTTTTTAGTGTACATTTGTTTTTTTTGTTTTTTTTGGTGGTGATGGTGGTTTGTTCCAAAAAGTTGGTTAGTTTACTTTTAATTTTTTTATATAAACTGACAGTAAATTGAAAAAAAAAAAAAAAAAAGAAAAGAAAAGAAAAGATTGAATTAATTAATTTTTTTTAATTGCTCTCGAGAACAAAATAACAAAAAAAAAAATAAAACTCTTCTGAACAAGGGGCTGTTATTTTTTTTTTTTTTTTTTTTTTTTTTTCATATTAATATAGATATTCTTGTTTTGAGGTTTCTCCACAAAGAACAAAGGAATTTATTATAACTTGGCTTAATACTAAAATATATACAATCCCAGGTACCTAGTGTACTTACTAAATATATATATACTGTCTTGGCTAATTAAAAAAAAAGAATTATTAAATATAAATAAAAAATCAGTTAATTAGAACAGTCCAAACTATTAATCTGAAATGTTTTTTAATTTAATAATTTACTTTTAAACCAAAAAATTTAAAAAAATTCATTTTTTTAAAGCTGGAATATATCGCCAAAGTCGTTTTTGGCTATATTCTGTTTTAATCAGCAAAAGCCAAATCTTTTAGATTTTAATTGTTTCAACAAGCAAAGCTTTGTTGGCTCAGTTGGTAGAGCGTCAGTCTCATAGTTTACAAAGTTAAACTGTGCAATCTGAAGGTCGAGAGTTCGATCCTCCCACAGAGCATGCTTATTTTTTATTTTTTTATATATTTTGAGTAACATTAGTGTACTTCACTTTGTATCTTTTTTTTTTTATATATATAATTATATATATATAATTATTGACTTTTTCTTAACTATTAAAATAATTAATTTTCAAAATAATAATCTGCTATATTTTTTTTTTTATTTTATTTTAAAAAAAAAACTTACAATAAAGAATATTATAATTATTATTATTCACTAAATAATCTGTATAATAAAACTTGACTCTCTTTCTTGCAAATATTTCTACTCCCCTCAAATTCATCTTCTTGTTGCAAAATACGAGAAACTTTTAGTACATCTTCTTCTTCTTCTTTTTATTTTTATTTTATATATTTTCAAATTAATAGTCAAATAATAATATTATTAGAAATAATTAATCGTATTTCAAAGTTTAGTTATTATTTTATAAAAAATAATAAAATAATAAAATAATAAAATAATAAAATAATAAAATAATAAAATAATAAAATAATAATTAATATACAATGCTTGATTCAAACAAATCCACAAGTCTTTCATACTTCAAAATGCATTTGAATCTTCTTTTTTTTTTTTTTTTTTTTTTTTTTTTTTTTAAACCAAGAAAAAACCTGAATTACCTTTTCCTGCAAACCTGATTTTTCCCTATTTTAATATCCCGCCCCGTCCCGCCCTGATTTTTATTTATTTTTTTTATTTTTTTTTTCTGCACCGTTAAACTTCTTGTCTTCTGTTTTTTTTTTTTTTTGTTCCCGTAGAAGAGTGGATGAGTGGGTGAAGGTAAAAGTAAAAAAAAAAAAAGAAACTTTTTGAATCACTCACGTTGGCGACGGAGCATATATATATATATATATATATATGCAGCAATTAAATGTTATTCTCTGATAACGTTGGCAAAACTTTGATAAAACGCGTCACGAAAAAAAAAAATAAATAAATAAATAAAATAGAAAGTAGATTGGTTGGTAGGTATTATTGAATTGAATTGAATCAGTTAATTGGGGGTTCGGAAATTGCCCAGCCTTTTTTTTCACATTTCTTTTGAAAAAATGCACATCATCATAATGATTGATTTATTATCATTACTTGAATAAAAGAGAAGAAAAAAACAAAAAAAAATTGAATAATGAAATACTTTGAAATAATCTCTTACAATCAATATTATTATAATTATAATGTCTTTTAAATATCATTCTCACTTATTATCTTTAACTCATCAGTATGTATATCTTGATATAAAATAAAAAAAATAATAAAAAAAAATAATAAAAAAAAAAAACCATAAAAATTTAGATATCTTATTTGCACAAAAAAAATTTCAAAATTGTCCAAACAATTCCTACAGGCCACTCATCATTATTTCCATTCAACAAAAGTCTTTTTATTATATTTTTATCTTTTTTTTTTAGTTGACAAAAAATAAAATAAAATAAAATAATATACCCACATTCAATGCACAGAAAGTCTTTTTTTTTTTTAAGGCGGTTTCAACAACTGCCAAAATACAATTATCTCCAAATTTGGAAATAGTTTAAACTTCTTTTGTTCAATCAAAAAAAAACAAAAATAAATTCAACTACTAAAAAAACCTACCGCCTGAAAAATATTCTTTGAATAAACAATTTTAATAAGGCTTAAACTCGGCTTGAGAACCTTTTTTTTTTCTTTCTTTCTTTCTTTCTTTGCCTAGTTTGATAACAAAAAATAGCCTTCATTTAAAATGCAATACAAGAAGGAAAAAAATAAAAAATTCTTTTTTTTGAAACAAATAATATATCAAATCATTGTATTCCGTTATAAGACAAAAAAAAAAGTCCCAGATAATTTAAAACACCTCGGTTGGAAAAATATTTCCTTGCTTAAAAAGAATTAAAAACCAAATTAAATTAATCATTAAACAAAGAAATAAAAGAAGGAATGAAAAAAAAAAAAAAAAAAAAAAAAAAAAAACAAATTGCCTATATATATGGATATTAATAAAAAAAAAACTAACGTCTCTCTTTATAATCAATCATGACCGAGCTAAATCCCACAACTCAGAACACAACTCTAAAAACCGCTGCTTCTTTAGGTGCTCCTCACGCAATCCTTCCTCACTCGTAATATGATGATTCTTGCTCACATTATTCCGGAAATGCCGGTAATCCTCAAATGTCAACCCTCCAGTAGTCGCATTGTCATATGACGAAGTTCCTGTCCCTGCACCTGTCCCTGCACCTGCACCTGTTGCCGCACGCATCATAGCTTCCATTGCAAGCTCCTGAGGACTTGAGGCTGCAAGACTGTTGCCACGTGACTTCACCCCTATAATCTTCTTCTTCTTATTTTTAGAAGCATCAACTTCTGCTGCCGCTGCTGCCGCATCATCTAACCGGCGCTTCTTGTTGGCCTGCGATGCAAGTTCATCATCCTCACCAATGGCCTTTTGTTCCACATCATCCAAATCATCATCCTTTTCATTATCAGATAATGCAGCGTCTTCAGGGTCACGGTCATCATCGTCATCGTCTTCATCATCGTCATTTGCTCGTGGAAAACTGCGAAATGTCTTACCCGTCCAGTTCGCAGCAGAAGCTGTCATAGGGGGTATAGTCGGCCGACCACTAACGTAAACTGGAATCGAGCGCGCATCTCCGTAGGAATGATAGCTGCCGCCATTAATAGTGGCAGGATACCCATATGTTGTCGGTGTCGCAATTGTATGCGTAGAAACAGAAGGATTCACTACGTGATGAGCAGTTTTGGTCGTGGGAGTGGCAAGTGGGTACCGTGGAGTATGAGCTGTTCTGTTTAATCCATTGGGCCAGTAAGCAGAACGAGCAGCCGCTGCGTTATTGGCTGCAAGAGCCGCTGCTTGAGTAGAATACACTGGGCTTTGAACAGCTGTGATACCAGAAGGCACATTAAGATAATATCCACTTCTAGGATGAGCAGTAGATGCTCCTGCAACAGTGGATCCTGTAGCACCAGGTGTCACTGTCTTATAATGAGCTGGGTCCAACCCAGGAACAAATGAAGGTCCAACCGAAGAAGCCGAAGGAAAAAACGAAGGGTATGCATGAACTCCATGATATACCCCGTAATGCTGAGGAATAGTGGTAGGTGTAGCAAGTGGACGAGAGGTCGACGCGGCAGCAGCCGCTGCAGCAGCAGCTGCTGCTGCTTGAGCCTGTGCTTGAGAATCGTGTGCCCCTGAGTTTACATACGCTTGGTAGCCTGGAATCTGAGAAATGGGATAGGGGCTAAATGGTAGTGGTTGTCGATTAAGAGGAGCCGAGCGAATAGATGGGTGGTCGCTGGATAAGCCACTGACTTGAATATTACGTGGAGGAGCAGCACGACGCGAGCTAGTCTTCATCGACATGTCCCTGCGTGTAAAGTTTGGGTTGGAAGGCTGGGTAGGTGTGGGGATTGCTTCAATGATGATGTCTCTGGTAACAATAATATTTGGGTTTTTAGAAGAGGTGGAGATAGAAGAAGAAGAAGAAAGGGGGGCGTTAATTCCAGATTTTGCACTATCAACTGACGAAACAGAAGAAGATGTGCCAGAAAGGGGTATCGGGGTTTTGTTGCTCGACAACTTTGTTTGATTGCCCGGCGTAGAGTTTGCTGCATTAACTCGCGAGCCTTGTTTGGAAGGTGAAGGCGTAGTGGAAATTGAGGACGAAGGTTTGGAAGAGTTTGATGACGCTATCGCAATTGGGTCATTATTATTGTTATTATTATTATTATTTTCAGCGGCATTTTGATGCAGTGTTTCAGAAGATAAAGGTGCGGTAATTGGACGATCCGTTCCTGCAGAAAGTGGTGTTATCAAAGCTGTCGAAGAAGCAGTCAGTTTTTTAGGAGGGGTGGTTTTCGATAGTACAGAAGAAGAAGCTTCTCCTTTTTCTGAGCTGGAAATTACCACGTCTATCTTATCACTATCATCCTCATCATTATATATTTCATCTTCATCCGAAATTTCCACAGAAATTGATTTCCCGGTATCTTCATTTCCAGTTCCTGTGATACTGCCAGAACTATTATGTTTGCTACTATTTTTAATTCGCTGTTGGATAATCTTACGCTGAGCCTTTTGGATCGAATTGCTTTGTTCAATCACGTCTCGCACACTTGAAGGGAACGTGGGTAGTCCAGGGGAAATACATTGCATCGCAATATCCTGGAGAACAATATCCTTGGGTGTCCGTAGTGCAGGGAAGATAGCTGACTGTGGTGTTGTTGATAGTGTAGTAGTTTTTGTAGCAGAGTTACGATTCAGAGAAGTGAGGTTGATGTTTGAAAATGTGGCAGATGGGTTTTGTGGAGGTGACGAGCTTTTGCTTGAGCTTTTTTCCAAGACAAGCATTGGAGGTCTGCGTCGACGTGTAGTGTTAGTTGTTTTAGATGTAGGCTGGGTAGAGTTGTCAAGAGTAACACTTGCTGGAGAACGAGTGGGAGATGTGCTTGTTGTACGGGATGGAGCGGACGAGGGGGTTGCACCTGAAACTGGTCGAGAAGGTGTGGCTGAAACAGAGGAATTGTCCTTTGTCTGAGTGGTGGTGCTAGTTAGTGTTGTTGTCGCAGTGGTAGTAGTAGAAGTAGAAGTAGTAGTCTGTGGGGTTGTTTCTGCAGTAATAGAATTGGTGCTGGTGATTGAACCAACGCTGTCTTTTGAATTAGACGTGATAGCACCTGAGATCGCACAGTCTGATGAAACAGCAGAAGCTGAAGAAGAGCCGGCAGCAGCCGTGGCCGGATTGACTGGAGGAACAGTGGAAGCCATATTTTATAAAGTTGTGATATTGAAGTATATTTGAATGAAGTTCTGGTAGATTAAATGATTTTGAAAAAAAAAAAAAAAAAAAAAAACCTAGCAATGATACTAGGTATATAAAAAATCGTTTTATATATGCTAATCCATAAAAACTCCTAGTGATCAGTTGGAAGTTTTTGATATTTTATAAGAAATTAGAGAAAATGGTTGTTGATGTTGATTTTGTTGTGTATAGGATAGGAAAAGAAAAGAAAAAAAAAATTAAAAAAAAAAAAAAAAGGGCGTGTTGGCCAATTTTTATACCAACAGCAGCAGCATTTTTTTTTTTTTGAGGTTGTGGTGGGCTGGCTAGGGTGGGTGGTTGAAAGGGGTGGATTGTCAAGGTTTTATAATCCTTCTGACTGAAACCTGAAAAGCAGGGTAAGGGTTTCTTTGTCTCATCTACAAAAAAAATTATTACGTCATTGCTTATCTAAATTTCTGTTATCATTAGTTCTGCTCTTAAAGACTTATTTCAAAACTTTGATTTGAGTAAAAAAAAAAAAAATTAATACAATTCACGTTTTTTATATGAAAATTTCAACTATAGATACAAATATAACTTTTCTTTATATGTATAAAATACAGCTACTGTTTCTGCTGTTGTTGCGCTTGTTGCGCTTGTTGCTGGGTTTGTTGTGGACGCATAATTGCGTGATTAGGTGAAAATCCAACAACAGCAGCATGGGGAGTCGTCGGCGTTGATGGCCCGGACCCTACATTCTTCATTTGCTGGTACAAAGCCTGTTGGGTCAATGTCGGTGACAGTGTTGCTGTAACATTTGTTAACCGCGGACTCGACTTCATCTGTTGAGGAACCTGCTGCTGCTTCTGTGAGCCTTGACTTGCCAAAACAACATTTCCTGTTGTTCCGTCAGCAGTAAACGCAATTCCAGTTCCTGTATTTGGATGCCCAACGTATCCATTTGCCTGAGAAGTAGCTGCCCGCATCTGCAAAGCTGCTGAGGCACCAGTTGCAACTACCCGCTGCTGCTGTTGCTGTTGTTGTTGTTGCTGCTGCTGCTGATGTTGCTGATGTTGTTGTTGTTGTTGTTGTTGCTGTTTCTGTGAGAGCAAGTGAAGCTGGGCCTGCAACCCTGGGTTGTTAATTACAGTTGATCCATTAACAGCCATTCCTAGTAACTGTTGCTGCTGCTGCTGCTGCTGCTGCTGCTGCTGTTGTTGTTGTTGTTGAGGAGTAGCTACCCGTCGAATAGCACTAGCCATAGTTGGTGATGCCATCACAGGTGACCCTTGTTGCACTGTAGTCCCACGTACAACCCCATTCCCATTTGCAAGAACAGTGGTAGCCGAGGGCGAAGATGGCACGGTTCCATGAGGAGAAAATTGATTCAGTGTATTGTACGCCAGAGATGGAGACGAGCGCTGAGACCCAACACCAGTATGAACAAGCTGTGGTGAGTGTCGGCTAGCCGCTGCCATTGCTGCTGCCTGTTGATGCTGCTGCTGTTGCTGCTGTTGATACATTTGTGGGCTCTGTGTTTGACTGCGAAAGTTGGCATTAGGGGCTGCCGAGGTTGCAATGGATTGTGCAACATTTCCCTTAACATCAACATTATTCATCATAGGGCTACTTGGCGATTGAGAACGCGATATATATTGCTGTTGTTGTTGCTGTTGGCCAGCAAGTTTTGCCTTCATTTGGATTTGTGGAGAAGGAATGTTCTGTTGCTGCTGCTGTTGTTGAGATTGTTGTTGCAATACAGCAGTGTGATTGATTTGTCTCTGCATATTTGCAGGAATATAAGTAGCTCGTTGCTGTTGCTGTTGCTGTTGCTGTTGCTGTTGCGTCTGTTGGAGCCGCTGCTGGGATGTTTGCTGTTGAACTGCAGCATTATGCATTTGCTGCTTAATTTGTTGCTGTAAAAGCTGCTGAGCCTGTTGCATCGAAGCCGCTTGTTGTTGGGTGAGCTGTGCAGGTACAGGTGCTTGAGCCATTTGTTGTTGTTGCTGCTGTTGCTGTTGCTGTTGCTGTTGCTGTTGCTGTTGCTGTTGCTGTTGCTGTTGCTGTTGCTGTTGCTGTTGCTGTTGATGTTGATGTTGTTGTTGATGTTGTTGTTGATGTTGTTGATGTTGTTGATGTTGTTGATGTTGTTGATGTTGTTGATGTTGTTGTGGTTGTTGTTGCTGCTGCTGCTGTTGTTGATGTTGTTGTGGTTGTTGTTGCTGCTGCTGTTGTTGTTGTTGCTGTTGCTGTTGCTGTTGCTGTTGCTGTTGCTGTTGCTGTTGCTGTTGCTGTTGCTGTTGCTGTTGCTGTTGCTGTTGCTGTTGCTGTTGCTGTTGCTGTTGCTGTTGCTGTTGTTGTTGTTGTTGCTGCTGAGCCAACTGCTGAGCCTGCTGATGCTTTTGAAGTTTCTTGTGCATAGCACCAAGCTGTTGCTGCCGGTTCTTAAACACTTCCCAAAAGTTATCATACGCTTTTGAAATAAGCATAGCACCAAACCGAATAGCTTGAGTACCTTCTGAAATGCCATTGAGTTTACTGGGGTCTCCACCGGAGTACTCGGTATTATCAAAATGTACATCAGAATCGTACTTGTAGCGGTCATCAAGACGTTCTAGTCTAGCCAGTGTTTCAGACCTCTGGCGACTGTCATCAACACTAGATCCGGAAAACGTTCCTAAATTGGACCACTCTTCAAGCTCCTTGGTGATTTTGCCAGAATCATGAGGATCAAGATTATAAATCTCATCAATGGACTTTGGACGTCGTACAATGCCACGGCGGTCCACAATGATGCGGCCACCACGGCCAAATCTGCGACGCAAGGAAATAGCAGTACCACGAGGAATGTTATGGCCTTCATCAGGCCAAGGGCCTTCACGATCATTAATCTTATTGACAATATCCATTCCACCTTTTTCATTAATTGTAGTCTGCAACAAATAAGGGTTGGTTTCTAAGCGCGAGCTATAGCCTTGGCCTAGAGAAGAAGCAAGAGGGAACTTAAGGCACTTATCTGGAGCCGGAGGATATGCAGTAGCAATTGAGGAATATGCAGCATGGTTTGGCTGGATAATAGTGAGAGCATTGCGCGTTGTTTCATCTGGATCAAAATAGTCACAATATGGAACAAATGGATTGTCTGTGTAGTTGAGCCAGGTCTTATCTTCAATGGCTCTGCGACGCAGCTTCTCTTTAATAGACGCCTTCATAGCAGCCTCTTTGCTGTTAAGAATCTTATCCAAAGAAATAAGATCCATATCGGGGATCTTACTGACAGGAAGCCGCGTTTGTTGTGGAACATGGTGAATAGGGTAAGAATGAGGAATTTGCTGTTGGTGATTTTGAACAGCGTGAGCCTGTCCAAGAGCAGCAGCTTGAGCTTGTTGAGCCTGTTTGACTTGTTGAAGTTGGGCTTGCTGTGCTTGGAGCTGTTGTTGCTGAAGCAGTTGCTGTTTTTGAGCCTGTTGGTGAGCAAGAGCTGCGGCAGCTGCAACTGCAGGAGGTGCGCCAGGAGGCAAAACTACAGCTGCAGCAGCGGCGGCTGCAGCTACAGCAGCCACAGAAGAAGAGTTGGAAGACGTATTTGGCGCACCAGGCAAACCAGAAACCATTGCTTTTACCTTTGCTGGAGCTGATGCAGAAGCCTGCTTTGCCAGTTCTGGTGCCGATTCCTGAGACTCGTCTCTGGCAGCGACTTGTCCAGTCTTGCGCTTTTTATGAGTAACAAGATCCTCTTCATCACCAGTAATGTTGAGTGACCGCTTGAGCTCTTTCATCTTGACGCGACTCGTGAAGATTTCAATCTCGAGTTGTAAAGCATCAGAACGCATAGCTTCGCGCTGAACAATCATTTCCATGAGATATTTGGCAGCTTGAAGTTCCATACGTAACTTGCGCAACTTTTCCGAGCTCTGAGTATCGGTACGACGCGTCTTTCTAACCTGACGGACTTCGCGTCGCCGGAAACAAACATAAGGGTCGCTGTCGTCTTTATTATTGTCTTCAGTTTTAAGAGTGGGCGCAATGGATCGACCATGACGCTGAATCTTTCGCTCTTTCCAATGGGGATATATTAACGCGCCAAATTGTTTAAAATGGGCTGATGGTGGTTTCTTGGATCTGCGAGATGTAGTAGTATGTTGGGCGGTCGAAAGTTTTGTGAGCAAAAGCTCAGGATTGTTGAGATCATTTTCCGACTCTTTTAATTGCTCTGTAATGACGGGAGCCAGCTCCTCAAAAGAAAGAACTTCCGAAGGGTCCATGGACAGGTAAGGTTGCTTTTCGTCAATGACAGTTTCAAACCTGTACATAATCATTTCAAAGTCATCTTCGGAGCATTGATTAGATGGTGTCTTTCCCTTATTGAGTTTCTTTAAGAAGACTTCATCTTCCTCATCCATATTGTAAGGACATCCAGAGAGATCCTCGACAGTGGAAGATTGCCGTATGTAGGAGTGAGGGCTAGAAAAGCCCTTCTTGTAATACTTTGAAAACTCTTTCCATATTTTTGACGCGTCAGGGGTAGGGATATACACTTGTTCGACATTATTACCAGAAGTAGCGGCCGCTATCGACGCGTTAATGGCAGCTTGAAGATGGTGTTCCTAAAAAAAAAAATTTGAGTTAGACGCGACGCGTTAATAAAAATTAAAAAAAAAATTTACATACTTCTTCTTCGCCTTTTTCAACACCGGTTTCAACGTGTTGAAGTTCGCGTTGTTGCTCGTCTTCAAGATCCGGAACATCGCTTTGCCAGAAAACCTGGAGGGTTTGCTTGACGCTAATTTTCCTCTGTCTGAAACGAGCAGAGGTGCCCGTTGTAGGGGCCATTGTGTGGGTAGTAGTTGTTTTAAGGTTTGTTGTTTTAGTTTCCGAGATGAAATGATATTAGAAGATGATGAGATAATAGGAAAATAAAAAAAAATTGGTAAAGTAGCGGCCGGCATAGAGCGGCGGCAACGACAGTAGCAGCCTACTGGGCGGGCGAAGCACTTGTTGTTGCTAGAATTCGGCCTGCTGTTTTTGCAAAAAGATGAGGGCCGGTCTTTATGGGCGGGATATCTAAGGGTGCTTCTATTTGTATTGAGGATTAGCGGGTTTTGTGCAGAGTGTAATGTAACAAAGCTTGCGGCTGATAGAGGAGAGGACATAGAAAAAAAGATGTTGTATGACAACTTCTGTTACAAGATATAATGATTAATAATGATTAGTCATTAAATGCATGCGCTAAAGTGAAATCAATCGTAAGGGGGGAGGAGGTGGATGAGTGGTGTAGTGAGGAGGAGAGAACAAAGAACTGGCTGAGTACACACGAGTAAACAACAGAGAGTGTAGCAACAATATAAAAAAAAAAAAAAACAGATTGATATTGAGCTTCGTTTCCAAAGGATGGTTGTGAGAATAGAATTTTGTTGAATAAATGAAGACCTTCTAAAAATAAAAAATGAAATCCGTTATAAAGAAGCCTTCTCTTGGTTGGGTTGAAAGTTTTTTTTTTTTGTTTTTGTTGATGATTTTTGATGATTTTCAGTTATTGAGGGAAAATAAAAAAAAAATAAAAAAAAATTTTTTTTGGAGGTTCTAAGATTTGATTGGTTGGGATTGAAAGTGAGCTGGCACTAAAAGGACAATCAGACGGCTCAAAACAAGTGAGAACAACAACGATAAAAAAAAAACTGGCAATCGTTTTCAACGCGAAAAAAAAGGTGAAAAAATTAAAAAAAAATTAAAAAAAAATAACGATTTGATAAAGAAATCAATGATCAGAATATGATTTCAAAATATTATGGCGAAAAGCCGATGGTTAGATAGGGTGGCGTTGTATCGTGATATAGAGCTAAAAAGTAGAGAGGGGGGCTATCCGACAACAATGTGTGAGCTTTTTTTGAGGCGAGCTGCTCTTTTATTTAATTTTTATTTTTTTTTTTTTAATTTTCTGGTGATTTTTTAGTATTTACTATTTTGACTTGTTATGGCTGCCTTTTTTTTTTTTTTTGAATGTGTGACAAGAAAAGAAGGTTTTATGTACGAGGCAAGTGGTGCAAAGAGATTTTAAAAACAAGTTGTAACAAAAAAACAAAATGGTTATGTTACAATAGTGGCAATTGTTGTAATATAACTGATTGTTGCCATGGTAATTGATAACAGCATAACCCTCATTCGCACACCGATGCTTGTGCACCGGCCTTTGATGGGTAAGGGTTTTGAATATGTCTGTTTCTCAAGCTTTCTCTGTTTGTCAGTAGGTGTTTGTGTGTGTACTTGTTCGAGAGATGTTGGAAATTTGTGCTGGGATTACTGTTAACAGGCATGCCATATAAATTTGTTAAAGGAATTGTACTCTATGTTGGGGTTTATATTGACACACGACTTCAAGCTCAATAGAAGGACTTGCAATTGTTGTATATATAAGTGTAATAATTAAAGAAAAATTGATACTTCGTGTCGGAAATGAACTTCAAAAAAAAATAACGGTATCAAAGAGAAATAATTAAACCTGACATCAGTGTTAGATCATTAATGATGAACAATAAAAGAATATATAGAAATGAAATATGAAAGTTTTTGTCAGAAAAAAAAAACACAAACGTGTAACATACCTCGGTAATGAATGGTCAAATAGTGCAAGTTTGTTAAACAAGTCCAAGTCCAAGTCCAAGTCCAAGTCCAAGTCCATCATTGAACTGTACTCTGATTAGGCTTGGAAAAAAAATTGAATGTATCAATCACAATGAGTTCAAACAATAATACTCAATGAAGAAAAAGAAGAGAATTGTGTTGACCATGATAAACCAAAATTTTGCAAATAAGTAGTAGTAGTAGAGGTGGAAAAAAAAGTTTTTGGTTATTCTTAAGTAAACTTTTAAGGGAAAAGAAAGGAGATTTTAAATTTAAATCATATTAAAGGTTTAAATTGAAAACGGATCTTAAAAGCACATTCTCCAAGTCCTTTCCATCGGACATGGAAGCAATAGCCTCAAGTGAACATATAAGAACATAATAAGGTTATAAGATCAAAGTATAATATGAGGAATGAAAGTGCACATTGAAATCGAGAAAGTTATAAAATTATAATTTAATCTTTTATAATGAATGAAAAAAAAAAGAGAGATTTATTATGACTTTGAGATGGGCATATAGAATGTGTTAAAATTAGAGAGTTTTTGAATGTAAAGAAGAGAAAGAGAGAAATTTAGTTTTTTTTTTTTTTTGAGTAGAAAATTTACAACGGCCGAGAATCCCGGTCACGTTTTTTTATTTTATTTTATTTCTTGTTAAACGGCGTTCAGATAAAAAAAAAAACCTTCAATATGGAATTGAAAAAAAGCTCCCATAAACATAAAATATAAATACTTTTTCAATTAATGGTGTGGCTGTTCATTCAGTATAATAATTACATAATAATATAGTAGATCAGTTAAAACATTCCGTGGACATATTACCGATCTTTGTTTAAGTTTGTGAGTATATATGTATATATATAAACTATATACTATATAAATATTATTTGTAATTCATTTAGTCATTTAAAAATATATATATAAAAACCTTCATTCCCTTCTTAATTTTATACCTTCTTTCCTTTTTTCTTACTAACCCACTGTTCAATCTCCCCATCCCTTTCTCATGTCTCTTGGAACTTTGTACATCAGAGGTGTAAGTTTAAACCCAATTCTTAATTGATTTACCACTAACAAATATATCAGGCTCTTAGAAGAGTTGCCCCGCTTGCCGTTATCAAGGAGCTTAACCTTGACGTTAAGGTTGTCGATATTGCCGATGCTCCTGAAGAATTTGCCAAATACTTCCCTCTCAAGAAGATCCCTGGCTTTGTTTCTTCTAAGGGTCTTGTCATCCACGAGGTTATGGCTATCACTATCTACTGTATGTTGAACTATATATATATATATATATATATATATATATTTATCTATTAACATTCTAACCTCTCTTCAGTGGTCAATCAGGTTCCAGGAACTAAGCTCCTCGGCTCAAATAATGATGAATACGCCTCTGTTCTCCAATGGTTCTCATTTGCCAACACCGACCTTTGGAACTCTCTCCGCGCCATCATCTTCCCTCTCATTGGCCGTCTCCCTTACAATAAGAAGGGCGTCGAGACTGCCACTGAAGATGCAAAAAAGTTTATCGATTACCTTGAGAACTCTCTCTCTACAAGAACTTATTTGGTCGGCGAGCGTTTAACTGTCGCCGATTACCACCTTGCAGCCGTTACGGAACGCGCTTTTTCCAACATTTGGGACAAGCCTTTCATTGCCCAACACCCCAACATTTACCGCTGGTTTAACACTGTGGTCAGCCAGTTCCCTCTGAACACCATCTACACTGTTCCTTATCCTTATCGTGACGAGGCCGTCAAGTACACTCCTCCCAAGAAGGAGGCTAAGCCTAAGGCTGAGCCCAAGCCCAAGCCCAAGGCTGAGCCCAAGCCCAAGGAGGAGCCCATTGACGAGCCTCCTAAGGAAAAGAAGGTTGCACACCCTCTTGCTGCTTTGGGTTTGCCCAAGCTTTCTCTTGACGAATGGAAGCGTACCTATTCTAACGAGGAGACTCGCGAGGTTGCACTTCCTTGGTTCTGGCAGCACCATGATCCTGAGGAGTATTCGCTTTGGAAGGTTGCCTACAAATACAATGACGAATTGACTCTTACATTTATGTCCAACAACCTCGTCGGCGGCTTTTTCAACCGCCTGACTGCTTCAACCAAGTACTTGTTTGGCTGCATGGTTGTCTATGGCGAAAACAACAACAATGGTATTATTGGTGTTTTCCTTGTGCGTGGTCAGGACTACGCTCCTGCCTTTGACGTTGCTCCTGATTGGGACTCTTATGAGTACACCAAGTTGGACCCATCAAAGCCCGAGGACAAGGAGTTTATTGAGGACCTTTGGGCCTGGGACAAGCCTGTCGTGATTGATGGCAAGAAGTATGAAATTGCCGATGGCAAGGTTTTGAAATAAATGGGATGAAACTTTTGTATAATTTCAGTAGGAGTTAATAATAATCATCACTATTGTAATTTAAAAATGGTGTCATTTTGTGTGCGCATTGCGGAAGGTCGGGGGGAGAACCTGTAGTTGTAAAAAACATTTCGGGTCATAAAAAAATAAAAAAAAAAATAAATTTTAAAAAAATTCTCTCTAAGTTTTAAAAATCGATTAGAGTGAATATTAAGAAAAAAAAACTGTAAATATAAATTTATTAATTTATTCTCAATGTACTTTTAAAGAAAATTTGATCATATATATATGACTATACAAGAGGGTTCTAAATTGAATAGAATGCACTGTAAGAAAAAAAAAAAAAAAAAAAAACCAGGAGATAAGCCGCACGAGGGGGTTAAATAGTGTGGAGGAGGGACAAAAACCAACTAGACAAGTTTTCCCTCCCTCCCAAAAGAAAAAAAAAATGAAAGAAGGAAACTATCATCAAACGGTGATACTTGAAAAAAAATTTTTTTTTTCAATTGATACTCAATGGAACCATAAAACAACAAAAAAAAAATTATTTATATGTTTAATCCATATTAAAATTTATAAATACATGTTTTAAACTAATAGATTTGTTTATCAAGATCATGAATAAAAAAAAAGAAATCCATTAAAAAGTGTGTGACAATCTGTCTTTGGGTTCTTCAGAAATAAACACTTAAATATCAGATCCATCTACTTTTTCAGCTTTTCCACCTCTTGTTCTTTTTCAGTACTTAAAATATTTTAAAAAGTCAACAAATAAAAAGCTCTATTTCCATAAAGCTCTTCTCTATCTTTTCTTTCCTGAATTTGTCCTCCCTCCACATAGCCAATCAATCATTTCATCATTATGCTCCACAAAAAGCATCTCAAATACTAAACTTCAGTTCATTTTTTTTCTTTTTCCCTACATATTCTAATTGTAAACTCAAATCAGATTTAATAACAGACTTGTGCTTATAGGCCGGCTTTGGCTTAGTTTGGTGCACGGATTTTATGTTTTGTATATATTGGAAAACATTCTTTTGATTGAAATTGCCAGTATACAATGTCTAGTGTTTAAAAGGTCCCTGGTCTGGAGCAGATTGGGCAATTGTATTTGGTATTTATTAGATGTTGGTTCTGCATTATACTTTAATGCTGACTGCGGTTTAGAATCTTCTTATGAAACTGATTCTGAAACTAATTCTAAAATTATTTGTTAAGCTCGGGATTCGTGGTATTTTGAAGTCACTCTTGCTGTTTCTACTACTTTTAAAATTTTTTCGTATATAGTTTTAACCTGTGAATTGAACTCTGAAGGCTCGACATATATATATATTGAAAATTCAATCCATATGGACAAGGCATTGTAAAAACAAAAAAAAAAAATAAAAAAAAAACCAATCAATACTTAAAACATACTTAAAAAAAGACATCAAAATTTTAAAAAGGAGCTATTCTTTCTCTAGACCAAAAACCGGCCAAAAAATCGAACAAATAGGAAAATAAACATACATGCTCACCATTTGACCATCAACAAATCGGAATAGAACTTTGATGAGATTTTGGGTACCACTGTCCAGTTTTGCATGGGCCATAAACAACTTTGATGAACGGTTATAAAAGTTTTGAATTGAAAAGGAAAAGGAAAAGGAAAGCTACAATCGCAAGTGGATGAAAACAATTATTTTGTCAGCTCTCATTCAAAGAAACTTTAAGTTACAAAATATTTTTGCACTTTCATGTTAAGAATCTTTTACTGGAAGATGATGATGGAAACAGATTGAGGAGGAAATCTTTTGTAATAGATATATCGGCTCTCTAAAACTAGTCAGAGTAACTTTCAGGAAATTTAAAAGGTAAATTTTACTGAAAAGAATTACAAAATTAATTAATGGAATGGTGTAGAGTTTAGATTGTAGAACTCATAGTCATTATGAGGTGTAATTAAGTCATATTTGGGGAAGTTGTTAATGTAAACTTTGATTCCAAAAGAAAGAAATATTTGGAAAATGGACAGTTATAGCAGAACGAGAAAAAAAGGTGTTCAGACTGTTAATGGTATTATATTTAAAACTTTAATATATATATATATATATATATATATATAATGATCAAAATCAATTAATATGAAAGAATCAGAATAAAAAAATATAATGATTTAACGAAAGAAAAAAAAAACTTTGGGAAACAGGCTTTTCAGTGGTTATATTAAAATTTAGCTACAATCCCAACCACAACCCTAATACTAATCCTAATCCTTATTTTGATCCTCATCACCAACCTGGACTAACCACCTACCAAATACTTGTCCATGATTCCCTTTTACAATTGGCATTTAAGCTTGACCGTAAGTAGTTGTGTATTTTCTCATTCTAAAATCTATTTATTATTATTATTATTATTATTATTATTATTAATTTTTTAAAATAATATTCAATATCTTCAATTTTAGAATGTTTATAAATAGTTTAAGACTTATACTTCAATGAAGAGTATGAACAATTATAATACTAGGCTAGCTTTCTAAGAAATATATTTTAGCATGTGACAAGTATGGATAGTTAAAAAAAAACCCCACAACAAGATCAATGATATATTGATTTTTTTAATTTATTAAAAAGATTTCCATAAAAAGAAGATTTATTTTTACTGAAGAAAATTGTAAGGAGGTATAAATAAAAGTGATTTCCCCCGTCTTTTTGATTTTTATTTCTTTTCTTTTACCATTAACTTTTCTCAAATTTTTTATTCTTTTTTATTTTTTACCTCTAGAAATATCATCAGTACCATATACTACCATATACTACCATATACTACTATGAACTAGCATCTATTTCTATCAACTATGATCTATTACCATCTAACAATATCTACTATCAACTACTATCAACTACTATCAACTACTATCAACTACTATCAACTACTATCATCTACTATCATCTACTATCATCTACTATCATCTACTATCAACTATGATTTATAACTATATTTGCCATACCACACTATTCATAAACACTTTCCTTGACATTTGTTAACTATTATACTTTCAACATGTTGCAGTCGTTTATTGGTAAGTCTTCTTATGTCAACATACCCAATGCACCCTATGCCTAAGTTATTGATCTAACACTCTAATAGACAAACACCCCCTAGACTTAACCTCGGAGGCATATAGTCATATCAAGACATCATTTATTTCTTTATTGTTGAAGCCTACTTTTTGTAAGTTTTCATATACCACCGCCTCGAATATTTAGGTTCTTAATCTAACTCTCTACTAGAAAAAATACACGATGGGCTTGAGGTCAATGTTAAATGATTAGCGTTTGTTAACATAGGTTCCTTTGTAAACGAGATAATCAATATGAATATACCATTGAATGTCCCAAATGTGACATCTCATCCAAGGTAAATTCGAGGGACTTATAATTATGATTATTCGGACGTGACAACTTCAACTACTACTTCACCTACCACTACCTCTCTACCGCTACCTCACTACCACTACCTCACTATCACTATTTGACTACCACTTGCAACACTATTATATCGACCTATTGTGCTTTCAGTTATTCAATGTTTTGATGGTTGGTCGCAGAATAATCAAGGAGTGCCGACCTTGACCCTGCATATTGACCACCTCTTGGGTTACCAGAGGAACCACGTCCACCATTGATGAAAGTATGATGCAGCCTCTTTGTTGATTATGTTGTTTTGTAGTGAATCGACCTATTGTGCTTTCAGTTGTTCAATTTTTTGATGGTTGGTGGCAGATTAATTGAAGAGTGTCGTCGTTGCCTTCCCTATTCATTCGCTCATAATTATGTTATTCGGTTGAGAAATTCCAATATGAAGAAGTCAAAATTTAAAATAACAAAGAACGATGGAGCTATAAATAAAAGGTCGTCCTCCTGCCTTTTTTGATTTGTTTCTATTTTCAATTACCATTCATTCTTTCCAGCAGCTTTTTTTTTGTTTTTAACCTTTACCTTTACACCTATATCACCATCTACCACTATCAACTATAATTTACTATTACCAATGATGAACCACTATTTCCAACCATGAATCACTATTTCTAACTATGAATCATTATTATCACTATTATTAATTATGATCTATTATTTACCATACCATACGATATTCATAAACAATATCATCCACATTTCTTTAAAATTATTACTTTCTACATGCTGAAGTCGTGTTTTGGTGAGTCTACTTATTCCATTGTACCAAATACGTTGGTGATTGATCTAACCCTTTACTAGACAAACATACGATTCACTTCACCTCAAGACTATACCGTCATTCTTTGCCACAATTGATTTCGTTATTGTTTCAGTCTATTTTGGTAAATATACTTATTCAAATACACTCAATACTTAGGTCATTTAACTAACTTTCTTTTAGACACACATGCGGTTCGTCTAACCTCAAAGATATACAGTCATGGTTCTCTACAAGATGTTCCATTACCGACACCTCAATCAAAGTGACTTTATCTATCTATCGTCAATGATCATGTATACACCATTGGGACCATCTTGAATCAACTAATGGAACTGGTGAACGTAATTTGTGATAACCTGCAACTACAGTTACAGCTACCACTTCAACTACCCGACACCCACACACCCACACACCCACAATAATATACTACATCGACCCATTGTGCTTTCAGTTATTCAATGTTTTGATGGTTGGTCGCAGAATAATCAAGGAGTGCCGACCTTGACCCTGCATATTGACCACCTCTTGGATTACCAGAGGAACCACGTTTACCATTGATGAAAGTATGATTCAGTCTTTTTGTCGATCGTTTTGTGTTGTGGAAATCAACTTATTTTGCACTTTGGTCTTTAATTTTATCATGTTTGTTGGCTTACAACTTACCCCTAAATCCTATTTTACTACTTTTGAATATTTCTTCGAATTTGCAGGGAATTCATTAACCAATTTTCTAATTCTGCTGTCATCTTGAACCCTTTTTCATTTAATTTTTTTTATTTGTTACTTCTTTGTCAATTCTCACAATATTGAGTCTGCTTGCGTTTTCATAGACATTGTCGCGAGCATTAATATTCCTGTTATCATCGTTATCTGTATTATGGTCAATCATATTATTAATTTCTCTATTAAAATTGATATTAGAACTGGTGACACGTAACTCGTGTACACCAAAAGCTGTGCCATAATCAATAATGTAATTTAACGCGAGGAATAAAACCCTTAGAGTCCTACTTAAGCAACGAACACGCTCTGCTTTTGGCTCGCATTATGTCAAAGATAAAGTGACAGTGACAGTGACATATTGATTGGTGGCAGCGGCAACGGTATTTCCAAAGGTGGTTGTTATCTAAAAGTGACTTAGTGTAAATTCAATTCAATTCAAAGAAAAGCAAGCAATCATACCATGTGCGTAAGGGAGAATGTTTTTATTTATTTATTTTTTTATTGGTTCGAGGTAGCAGCATCAGTAAACATGTCATCTAAAACTCAAAAAGAAATGAATTAGTGCAAATTCGAGTCATCGAAGAAAAAGCAAGAAAGCGTACCATAAGCATAAGTGTCAAAAACCAGAGAATATTTAATGGTTTTTTTTAATTGCAAATACAAGCCATCATGAAGCTATCTTTGTTGTTTTGGCCGTTGCAGTCGTAATAATTCAAATTATGACCCCCACAGTAGTTGTCAAAGCGCGTTTATATTGCCGGAACCAATGTAAATTTAAGGGAATAGTATAGTAGAAGCCCTCATTTTATCATATAAAACATGGCGGAATAAATGTTTTAATCGCAATGGTGATTGCAAGAATATTATAAAAATAATTATTTATTTATGAATCAAATTGTTTAAAATTAATAAAAAAACCGACACCAGCAGGATTTGAACCTGCGCGGGAAATCCCAACTGATAATCCCGAAAAACCATTCGAGTCAGTCGCCTTAACCACTCGGCCATAGTGCCAACGTATCCGTTATAGTGTATCCTTATCAAACCAACTTATTGTTTGTTTGTTTGTTTTTATTCAAGGGTTATAGAATTATATAACATCAGTGGGAAAGGGCTGGATGGTGTAAAGGATAACACGTTCGCTCGAAAGCGGAAGATACTGGGTTCGATTCCCAGAATACCCCCTTTTCCTGAGGATGTGTACGGGAGTATACACCTAGACTGAAAAACCATAGGCTACCCTGGTTACAGGAATGCCGACTCTTCCGTACAGTCTAAATAGCCTGCAGGTGATTGCGGGCCGTATCTCTGACGGAAGAGATTAAGAAATACATGGGCGTCCGTGAAGATAAGTGGAAATGGGTTGGGAAGGTTTTGGGACCGACAGACTGGTTCTCCCTGTTCCTCGTAAGCTGGCATCAGGGCCCATCTTCCGGGCTACCGGAGACGCACAGAACAGAAACCACCCGTACTAAAAAGGTACAAATGAAAACCGGCAAGTCACATAGTCAGACAATAAAAGGATAGCGCAGATGCTGATGTTATATAGTTCTATAACCCTTGAATAAAAACAAACAAACAAACAAACAATATATAACATCAGAGATCTGCGCTAAAAACCATGTCAGACCCCCCCAACAACACCCAAACCACGTTTAGTGGCGGCGACCCTCCTGCCGACAATAATTATACCGACAATAATAATGAACAGACTAATATTAATGATATGCAAAAAATTATTGCTGTTGAACTGAAGGAGAAAGAAAGTTCTCATTCCAGAGGACCTCATTCTCATGAAGCTCATCACATCAAACCCTCGACAAAAATCCAAAAAAATAATGAAAAACCAGACTCCCATAAAAAAATTGAAACTATCCACAAAAAGCTTGAATCGAATGATAAGCATAATGCTTCTTCAAACCACGAAACCCCCGTTGAAACCCCTATTGTGAATGTTGGTCCAACCTTGAACCCTACCTTTGACTCTTCACCAGATGGTGGTGATGTGGAAATTGACGCAACACCATCACGTGACATGGATGTTCTCATGCCGGATGCAAATCCATTTGGTGATAATTCTGAAGCCTGGGAATACATCTTAAAACTTAAGGATGTATTTCTGGTTGAATTGTCTATTGTTAAAGAAGACTTGAGTATTACAATTGAAGATTGGGAAATAAAATTTCAAAATCTTGAACTTAAAAACAATGAGTTAGCTAAACAACTCATTGCTTTGACCGAAAAGCTTAAAGCTTCAGAAGGACAAGTGAATTCTCTTCGCTCAGAACTTGATGTTTTGAGAAACAATCAGGTTCACACAGAAGTTAAACATGTAATGTTTGAAAAACTTAAAAAGGAAGTTAAGGATAATAAGGATCATTGCGATAAAGTGAAACATAAAGCTGATGAAATAGCTAAGATGACTCTTCAAGATTTGTCTCAAGAAAAAGCAAGAAACAAAAGAATTATCGACACTGAAATCAAGGAATTCAAAGAAATGACCAACAATCTTGAGAAAAGAGTTGATAATATGGAATACAAAGTTGGAACTATTTCAACTAAGGCTGATTTAACTACCAAAGAACTTAGCTACGCAAAAAGGAAATCAAGAGTGCGGTAAGAAAAGTCGACACTTTGCCTTTTGCTTTGACCCCTAAAACTCCAAATGGAGCAACTCCAAAGTTGAAAGACATTATGAAGGCTCAAAAACAACACCGTGAAACTAAAGTTGATGAAGACAAACCCACTTTTAGAGTGTGCATAAGAATTCCAGATACCATGAAAAGAGTTAATATCCCTGCGATTGGAAAGAAAATTGATGCGGTTGCACAAAAGCCGGTGGCTCAGGAAATAGGCTATACTGTCAAAGGGCATTTATATGTTCAACTTAATGACAAAGATTTTGCTGATAAAGCTGCAGAATGGATCCCCAAAGTTGACCCTACTTATTCAGTGCTTGACACAGATTCTTGGTACAAGGCTGTACTTCAGGAAATACCTAATACGGCATCGATTGAAGACTTGAAAGAAACTCTCTACAATTTTAATGATTACCATATTGTTTTGAATACCGAACCCAAAATCATTAGCAGAAACCAATTTACCCAAACAGCATTGGTTTCATTCAGAAATGCCCAAGACTATGCAAAGTGTGCTGATAATCTTATTATCCAGTACACAAAAGTTAAAGTTAGACCTTTTATTAGCAGAAAAAAAACTCCTGAAGAACTCCAAGCTATGCGTAATAAGATACGATTATTGAAAAATGAATCAGACAAAAAGGATAATGAGGCCCATCCTGTTTCCACTGACGACTCACAAGATGAACCGATGAAAGAAACAAATATTGAAAAACTAGATGAATCCAATGAGGAAGAAAACGAAAACAATTCTATTACATCCAATGAATTATAAAGTATTCCAACTCAATTGTCATAAATCGAAATCTATTACTGAAACTATCTTAAATAAAAAAGAACCTGATATCTTGTTATTACAAGAACCTTACTTTAACAACTATGGGCCCATTAAACATAAAGATTGGATCCCAATCTTTACAGAAACTGGAAAAGAAAAAAATAAATGCAGAGCAATTACTTACATTAGGTCTAACTCTGACTTACGAGCATTAACTACTAAAATTGAAAAGTTTACAAATCGAGATATGGTTACCATTTTGGTTAAAGACATTACAATTGTCAATGTCTATAATCAACCGAAACCATCCAAGAAATACCCTGAGCCACCGGTTTTTGAGTTTCTCAAACGGGAGATCAAGGAACAATACTCAAAGATTGTCATTGCAGGTGATTATAACTTACATCACAAGGAATGGGAGTCAAGGGCAGGTCCGAATACGGAAGCAGATGAAGTTGTTGAGTGGCTACATGAAAATGATATGATGTTAATTACTCCAAGAAATCAAAAAACATACAACAATAGAACCAATATTGATTTGGTTTATGGCTCAGTGGACTTACTTCATAGAATTTCATTTAGTGGAGTGGATGAAAATACACTAAGTGATCACTCAATTGTGGAGTGGGACATCTATATGTCTCAGAGTAAAAACGGGGATGAAGTTTTACTTCGGTGAAGAGATTGAATATTAAGAATGCAGATTGGGAAAAGTTTGACAAGGAGCTTTCTTCTGCCATTAAAGATTTTAATGTGCATAACAAAACTCTAAAATCAACTGACCAAATTGATGACCAAGCTAAAGTTCTTGAGGAGGTTGTAAAAAGAGCAATGGCAAAGTCGATGAAGGAAGTTAAGGTGATGAAAAAGTCCAAACGCTATTGGAATCAAGAATTAAGGGAGAAGTTAGAAAAAGCGCTAGAAGCTAAAAGGGAAGCCCGTCAAAGACAACCTTCTTTGGCTTTGAAACGACAAAAAATTGAAGAGGCAAAAAAAGCTAGAAAAATTTTTGACCACAGTTTGCGTGAGGCAAGTACTGAGCAATGGAATAAATATTTGTCTAGTTTAGAAGGAAATGACATTTGGAAGATTTTGAAGTATATTAATCCAAAAAGCAATGATACCATTATACCACAAATTAGAAAAGAAGATGGAACTCTCACTACTACTGTTGACGAAAAAAGACATGAAATATGGAAGGCACTTCTACCTGAAATTGATCATGGTCTTGATAGAGAGTTTGAAATTGATAACGATTCTCGATGGCCAAAATTAGAGTTTGATGAAGTTGACTCTGCATTGGCTGATACCCCAAATGATAAAGCTCCAGGAGACGATGGAATTACTGGCAAAGTTTTAAAGATGGCATGGCTAAATAAAGACTTTAAGGAAAGGTTTTCAAGCTTCTCCAAGCTTGTGTAAAGTTTGGATACCACCCAAAAGTCTGGAGACATGGCATTATTGTTGTTATACCTAAACCTAAGAAACCTGACTATTCAAAGCCAAGAGCATACCGACCAATTTCCTTACTTAAGATTCCATCTAAAGTACTGGAAAAAATTATACAAAAAAAGAATGACCAAACTTACAACACACTTACTTCCACCAGAGCAATATGGGGAAGACAAGGTTATTGTGCTACTGATGCTGTTTTGGAACTTGTCCAAAGAATTGAAACTAGTAAAGAAAAATTTCAGCTATGCTCATTGATATTCAAGGAGCTTTTGATAATGTTAACAGAAATATATTGGCACACACAATGGAGGATATGAAACTACCCAAAGCACTTATAAACTGGACGTACCAATTTGTAAGTGAAAGAGAAGCTAGTATGCTCATGGACCGAAGAAAGGATCAGTGCAAAAATTAGTACTGGAATTCCGCAAGGCTCACCTATTTCACCACTACTTTTTTTGATATATTCCACACCAATGTATCATGCCATTAAAGAATGGGGTGGAACTCCTTTTGGCTTTTATTGATGATGTGACTATTACCGTTGAAGGTAAAATTGAAGAAAATACCAAAAGCTTAAGCAACATATTAGAAAAATGTTGTAATTGGGCTAAATCAAGAATGACCAAAATTGATTTGGGTGATAAATTGGGTTTTATTCATTTTACAAAAAATGTGAAACCTAAAGATGAGAAAGTGCAACTTACTTTACCTAATGGGGAACTTCGTGAACCCCAGAAGGAAGTTAAATTGCTTGGAATTACTTTGAACAATCTGCTTGATTTTAAATCTCATATTTTGAATAAAATCAATAAAGCAAGAAAAGCTGTTGGTGCTATTTGGCATCTTGGTGGCGTGCAAAAGGTATGCGAGGGTCTGCAGTCAGATCACTGTATATTGCTTGCGTGAGACCAATTGTCGAATATGGCTTAGAAATTTGGCATCACAAAATTTTGAAAGGAGAAATCCACAAGTTGGAAGTAATGCAGAATATGGCTTTAAGAAGAATTGTTGGTGCTTATCGCACAACTCCTATTGCGGTACTACAAAAGGAAGCTGGTATTATGCCATATAGTATTAGGCTAAAATTTATGGTGGCACGAAAAGCTATTCGTTTACACCTAAATATTAGCAAAACTAATCCTATTAATGGTCATTTGTTAACATTGATTGAGAAATCTCCAATTGCAAAGCTAACCACGCTTTACATGTTGGCGAAAGATGATAGAGACTATATGAATAAAAAGGATGAAAAACGAAAATGCAAGAGGGTTGAACCTCTTACACTGAAACAACAACAAAATCAGACGATTGGAATTTTGAAGAAACAAGCAATGGAAGAATGGCAAGAAATGTATTGGAACAGCAGTAAGGATCTGTGGTATCATAATATCACAGTGGAGTCGAAATGTACTGATAATCTTTCCAAAATGGTTACGGGAGTGATCATGAAGAAAGATAGTCGAAGGATCTTGAGTAATATTACTCAGTTTCGCACAGGCCATGGCAACTTTGGCGCATGGTTTAAAAAGTTTGGAATTGAAAAGGATAGTTACAACTGCAAATGTGGAGAGCTGGAAACAGTTCATCACATTTTAGTTGAGTGTCCTTTGCTTGAAGAGGAAAGAAAAGGACTGAAACGGATATCTCCAGAGATGGACATGTCGACTCTCTTAAACAGTTTAACTGGCTTACAAGAGATTGTAAGCTTTATCTCTGCTTGGAGGGATTAAGAAATACAATTACAGCGTTGATGAAGACAAGTGGAGATAGGTTGGGAAGGTTTGGTTATTTTAACCCCCTGTTCCTCGTAAGCTGGCATCAGGACTTATTTTCGGGCTGTTGGAGATGCAATGTTGAAGCCAAAATTAAAAGTTTATTATCAAAATGAAAAAATATATAGTATGGACAAGAAGGATAGCGCAGATGCTGATGTTATATAATTCTATAACCCTTGAATAAAAACAAACAAACAAACAAACATATAACATCAGAGGGAAAGGGCTGGATGGTGTAAAGGATAACACGTTCGCTCGAAAGCGGAAGATACTGGGTTCGATTCCCAGAATACCCCCTTTTCCTGAGGATGTGTACGGGAGTATACACCTAGACTGAAAAACCATAGGCTACCCTGGTTACAGGAATGCCGACTCTTCCGTACAGTCTAAATAGCCTGCAGGTGATTGCGGGCCGTATCTCTGACGGAAGAGATTAAGAAATACATGGGCGTCCGTGAAGATAAGTGGAAATGGGTTGGGAAGGTTTTGGGACCGACAGACTGGTTCTCCCTGTTCCTCGTAAGCTGGCATCAGGGCCCATCTTCCGGGCTACCGGAGACGCACAGAACAGAAACCACCCGTACTAAAAAGGTACAAATGAAAACCGGCAAGTCACATAGTCAGACAATAAAAGGATAGCGCAGATGCTGATGTTATATAGTTCTATAACCCTTGAATAAAAACAAACAAACAAACAAACGAATAAAAACAAACAAACAAACATTTTTAGACTAAAGTTTGGATACCACCCAAAAGTCTGGAGACATGGCATTATTGTTGTTATACCTAAACCTAAGAAACCTGACTATTCAAAGCCAAGAGCATACCGACCAATTTCCTTACTTAAGATTCCATCTAAAGTACTGGAAAAAATTATACAAAAAAGAATGACCAAGCTTACAACACACTTACTTCCACCAGAGCAATATGGGGGAAGACAAGGTTATTGTGCTACTGATGCTGTTTTGGAACTTGTCCAAAGAATTGAAACTAGTAAAGAAAAAATTTCAGCTATGCTCATTGATATTCAAGGAGCTTTTGATAATGTTAACAGAAATATATTGGCAGACACAATGGAGGATATGAAACTACCCAAAGCACTTATAAACTGGACGTACCAATTTGTAAGTGAAAGAGAAGCTAGTATGCTCATGGACCGAAGAAAAGGATCAGTGCAAAAAATTAGTACTGGAATTCCGCAAGGCTCACCTATTTCACCACTACTTTTTTTGATATATTCCACACCAATGTATCATGCCATTAAAGAATGGGGTGGAACTCCTTTTGGCTTTATTGATGATGTGACTATTACCGTTGAAGGTAAAATTGAAGAAAATACCAAAAGCTTAAGCAACATATTAGAAAAATGTTGTAATTGGGCTAAATCAAGAATGACCAAAATTGATTTGGGTGATAAATTGGGTTTTATTCATTTTACAAAAAATGTGAAACCTAAAGATGAGAAAGTGCAACTTACTTTACCTAATGGAGAACTTCGTGAACCCCAGAAGGAAGTTAAATTGCTTGGAATTACTTTGAACAATCTGCTTGATTTTAAATCTCATATTTTGAATAAAATCAATAAAGCAAGAAAAGCTGTTGGTGCTATTTGGCATCTTGGTGGCGTGCAAAAAGGTATGCGAGGGTCTGCAGTCAGATCACTGTATATTGCTTGCGTGAGACCAATTGTCGAATATGGCTTAGAAATTTGGCATCACAAAATTTTGAAAGGAGAAATCCACAAGTTGGAAGTAATGCAGAATATGGCTTTAAGAAGAATTGTTGGTGCTTATCGCACAACTCCTATTGCGGTACTACAAAAGGAAGCTGGTATTATGCCATATAGTATTAGGCTAAAATTTATGGTGGCACGAAAAGCTATTCGTTTACACCTAAATATTAGCAAAACTAATCCTATTAATGGTCATTTGTTAACATTGATTGAGAAATCTCCAATTGCAAAGCTAACCACGCTTTACATGTTGGCGAAAGATGATAGAGACTATATGATTAAAATAGATGAAAAACGAAAATGCAAGAGGGTTGAACCTCTTACACTGAAACAACAACAAAATCAGACGATTGGAATTTTGAAAAAACAAGCAATGGAAGAATGGCAAGAAATGTATTGGAACAGCAGTAAGGATCTGTGGTATCATAATATCACAGTGGAGTCGAAATGTACTGATAATCTTTCCAAAATGGTTACGGGAGTGATCATGAAGAAAGATAGTCGAAGGATCTTGAGTAATATTACTCAGTTTCACACAGGCCATGGCAACTTTGGCGCATGGTTTAAAAAGTTTGGAATTGAAAAGGATAGTTACAACTGCAAATGTGGAGAGCTGGAAACAGTTCATCACATTTTAGTTGAGTGTCCTTTGCTTGAAGAGGAAAGAAAAGGACTGAAACGGATATCTCCAGAGATGGACATGTCGACTCTCTTAAACAGTTTAACTGGCTTACAAGAGATTGTAAGCTTTATCTCTGCTTGGAGGGATTAAGAAATACAATTACAGCGTTGATGAAGACAAGTGGAGATAGGTTGGGAAGGTTTGGTTATTTTAACCCCCTGTTCCTCGTAAGCTGGCATCAGGACTTATTTTCGGGCTGTTGGAGATGCAATGTTGAAGCCAAAATTAAAAGTTTATTATCAAAATGAAAAAATATATAGTATGGACAAGAAGGATAGCGCAGATGCTGATGTTATATAATTCTATAACCCTTGAATAAAAACAAACAAACAAACAAACATTTTTAGACTAAGGGGAAAGGACTGGATGGTGTAAAGGGTAACACGTTCACTCGAAAGCGGAAGATACTGGGTTCGATTCCCAGAATACCCCCTTTTCCTGAGGATGTGTACGGGAGTATACACCTAGACTGAAAACCATAGGCTACCCTGGTTACAGGAATGCCGACTCTTCCGTACAGTCTAAATAGCCTGCAGGTGATTGCGGGCCGTATCTCTGGCGGAAGAGATTAAGAAATACATGGGCGTCCGTGAAGATAAGTGGAAATGGGTTGGGAAGGTTTTGGGACCGACAGACTGGTTCTCCCTGTTCCTCGTAAGCTGGCATCAGGGCCCATTTTCCGGGCTACCGGAGACGCACAGAACAGAAACCACCTGTACTAAAAAGGTACAAATGAAAACCGGCAAGTCACATAGTCAGACAATAAAAAGGATAGCGCAGATGCTGATGTTATATAATTCTATAACCCTTGAATAAAAACAAACAAACAAACAATTTTAAAACTAGAAAACCCTTGAATAAAAACAAACAAACAAACAATTTTAAGACTAGAAGATGTTATATAATTATAACCCTTGAATAAAAACAAACAAACATGTTATATAATTCTATAACCCTTGAATAAAAACAAAAACTTTAAGACTGGTTCTCCCTGTTCCTCGTAAGCTGGCATTAGGGTCCATATTCCGGTGTACCGAAGACGCACAGAACAGAAACCACCAGTATTAAAAAGGTACAAATGAAAACCGGCAAGTCACATAGTCAGACAATAGAAGGATAGCGCAGATGCTGATGTTAATATAATAATAACCCTTGAATAAAAATAAACAAAAAGACAAAATTTGTAATCCAGGAGATGACGGAATTACTGGCAAAGTTTAATAATAATAATAATAATAATAATAATAATAATAATAATAATAATAATAATAATAATAATAATAATAATAATAATAATAATAATAATAATAATAATAATAATAATAATAATAATAATAATAATAATAATAATAATAATAATAATAATAATAATAATAATAATAATAATAATAATAATAATAATAATAATAATAATAATAATAATAATAATAATAATAATAATAATAATAATAATAATAATAATAATAATAATAATAATAATAATAATAATAATAATAATAATAATAATAATAATAATAATAATAATAATAATAATAATAATAATAATAATAATAATAATAATAATAATAATAATAATAATAATAATAATAATAATAATAATAATAATAATAATAATAATAATAATTAATATTTTGAATGAAAAAAAAATATATTAAAAAGAAAACAAGATCTGAAAATAAAGATTGCATCAAGTAATTAGTCATTGGGCTGTCCTAGAAGATTATGCAAATATTCAAAGTCTTCAGGCTCTAACCAAAATAAAAAATCAAAAGAACATTGTATCTGCTCTATGATACACATAATAATATCAATAATGATATTGGTTAAAATGTCACCATGGTCACCAACAAACAATTTAAGTAGATCTAAATTTCGTTTAATAATATCATCAAACTGACTTTTGCATTTATCAAGCTGATTCATCTGAGGGAAAGATTCAATAAAGGCAGATAAAACTGTTTTGGAGACTTTAGACAATACATTTTGGTCCTCAACGAGGTTCGGTCCAAGCATTTCACAGAAATAAAGAAATGAAGATAACAGCTTAAAAGTTATTCCAATAAACTTTTGCAACGACCAGTTGTTAGAAGGAATTAAAAAATATAACTTCAACTCATCTGCCTCGAATAGATAAGTATAAATATACACATTTACTTCCTGCTCATTTAAATTAGACTTTGAACTTAAATAATCTGTAATATTCTCTGAAATTTCGTCAGAAGTAATATCTGTGATTTCTTCAGAAGGAATAGATTCAGTATCATTAGAATGAGAAGTAGGATGAGCATTAGAGTCAGTTAAACTGTTAGAAGATTCCAAAGATTCAAAATGAGAAGTAGCCAAAGGTTCAGAAGAAGAAGTAGGATGAGCATTAGAGTCAGTTAAATTGTTAGAAGATTCCAAAGATTCAAAATGAGAAGTAGCCAAAGGTTCAGAAGAAGAAGTAGGATTAGTTGTAGAGTGAGTTGAGATATTGGATGCGTTTGATTGGGGATTACCTTCATTGCTATTTATTTGGTCATCTTTTTTTTTTATTTCTTTTATCCATGTCGCAAGAGTTGACTGAGGTAACTTCCTATTATATTCGACTTCAAATAGACTAATAATTTTTTTCTGTTTATATTTTTCATAATAAAAAGGTAGAACAAAACTTTTCATCTCTTCGGTATAAGTCTGCCTTGTAAGAGTAGGTGCCGTATTCATTTTTTTGGTAAAAACTCACAAGATTAATGAAAGCGTGGGTTTGTAGACAATGTGAAATAAGAAATTGTTAATAGATGAGCAAATGTCCAACTTAAAATTAATTTGAAGATCGTGCATTTAAAAAAGGGGAGGATTCTAGAAAAGCCATACAATCATATATATATATATATATATATATATATATCTAAAATTTGTACAGCCTCTTTTTCTGGCTTTCTCTTGTTGGGGGAAGCGTTGTTCAAAATTCTAAAAACAATAATAATATTGTTATTAATATTAATTTTTAACGATAAAATTAAAACAGCACATGCGGCTCACCATTAATTGTTGACTACGCTTAATCCGAAAATAACAATATTTATTGAATCAATGATCTTTTTTTTTTCTTTTATTTCGTCTTAGTAGACAAATATTAAATTTCTTTCATATTTAAATCTTTAATTGTGACATTAAGTATTTAGAACTAATTTTCAAGCGACAATGTAAGATTCAAAGAAATCGTCCTCTTTAAATTAACCTGGAGAGTTGGAAGGTTCATTTAACATCTTACTTTTGGTATCTCACCAAAAAATATAATCAAGAACAGAATCTCGTATTGATTATTAACTGTGCAGTTGATTTAAATTATTAAATTTAATAATAATAAATTTAATAATTTTTATATATATAAAAGATTTTGTTCTTGATAAAATAAGGAAAGTATTACAAATGTACAATTAGAATGAAGTAAGCTATAAACCAAAATATTCAATGAATGGATAATGATTTCAGATGTATATATTTAATAATAAATCTTTTCATGTTTTTGGAAATAAAGGTTCTTATTTATATATTTATAACATCAATTATTTGAACTTCTTCTTCTTCAAAAAAATCATTTTAGGGGGAAAAATTAGCCACTTTATAATTTTAATTTTGTTTTTATTAATTGGATTAGTTGAACAATATAGGAGCCCCCAACTTTCTTGTCATAATGATTTATATAAAATAAATGAATTTCAGTAATTTTTTTTTTTTGAACTGTCAATAAATGATAAGAAGAGAGAGAGGAAACACTAATAAATTTGACATTCCAGCTTTTGATAAAGATAGAGCAAGCCATACTGATACGACATATCTCAACATTAAAAACCTTTTCAAAACTTTATTTCCTAATTTTTTGAAAAACTTTCAAATTCCAATTATTGTAAGTAAGTTTAGTTGAGCTTTGATAATATTGGCGTTGAATAAGCTTTGAGGTTTCTGCAAAATATTGCAGTGACTCTCGAGGAGGAAACTTTTTTACACACAAGTTAAGGTTAATTGCAACAAGCAACAGTTAACCATTTGGTACTCTTTTCCAGTATACTTTTAAATTTCAATTAATTGAAATATTTCAAAATTATTATAAATGAAAATTATATTCAATCAAATTCTTTCTTTTTTTGCTTCTTTATTACTCAACCGTCAATAATGGAAAAAGTCCCTTTCCCTTTTTTGGGTTCTCTCAAACTAATATTTTATTTATTGGTTTAAATGTGAATTGAATAAATTTTAAAAGACTAAATATAAAAGTGATTAAAATTTTATAAAATCAAACCTAAAACATAACAATTGGCAGTGTTTTAGTAAATTTTATTGTAATAATATGAATTAACAATAATGATGGAAAGACGAGTAAAGAAATCTTTACCAATATTGTTAAATATATTTTAGAATATTAGTAAAACACCAGTGTACTCTGATTTTCTTAAATTCAAAAAATAAAATTTAAATTGCAATTTAATATTGAAATACTATAAAAAAAGAAGACGCATTTAATAAAGTAGATCATTTATAAATTATCCCACAGTTTTTCAATACAAACAAAAAAAGATTAACATGGATCTATAAACAGTAAAATAAATAACATAAAGACAAATAGGATTTCTTATTTATTTCAAGTGGGAGTTGGTTGTATCCACGTGGACACAATCAACCTTCATTTAATGACATATCATTCAAAGTTAATAGTACCAAACTCCTTTAATACGTTTTCAGTATTTTTCGTTATTTGAAGATCACGATTGAGATTTTGAAGACTAATTCCTTCTTTTTTCAACCAGTTTGCCAGCGTGCCTTGTGGAACATTCACTCCAATTTTTTTTTGAAGCTCTTTGGTGATTTTTAAAGTATTAGGGTTTTGTCTTGCATAGCTAATTGCATAATCCTTGACTTCTTGAGGGTATTTTTGACGTTTTTGTTTGGAAGGTTGGTTGCTCATAATGTGAATTTTTTTTTTAAAAATAATGCTTATTTAAAACAGAATAAAAGTTGACAAGTTAAATTTGACTTTCAACCTAAAAAAATGAGCGTAAATCCATTAATTTATACTCAATTTTAGTTTATGCTACAAGTTATTGAAAATCGCAAATTGAAAAAAATCGCAAACTGAACATCTTTTAATTTTTTCAGCCTCTTAATATATTTAACAATTTATTGTTAACTCTAACGTTAAAAATTTTTCAGAAATCAGCTACATTCATATATTTAAACATAAATAAATATAAAATTCTTTTTTTTTCCCTTTAAAAAACCAAAGAAAAAAAATTGCTTTTTATGTGTTGTCTAAAGAAAAAATAAGTATATTAGACCTGTTTCTTGGCTCTTTTTCCCCCGACCTTTTCCATATACTAATTTAATGATTACAAAACTTTAATCAGAAATTGATTTTCTTTTGACGATGACAAGAAAAATTTGAGAATTTTCTTTTTTTTTGGTATATCGACTTCAAAATCATTTCATCGCTATTTGCTAAGGTTACAAGCACTCTGGTACTTCAAAACAGCCAGAGATCTAATTTTTGGCTTAACATCAGTCCATAATTTTCTTTAAAAAAAATATGGTCTCTGGCGGGATCGAACCGCCGATCCTCGCGTTTCACAAGGAAGTTGCTTGTTTATTAGCACGATGCCTTAACCAACTGGGCCAAGAGACCTTTTCAATTCTTGTAGTAAACAAGAATTCTCATCCAGTGTACGCTGCCTGAATATAAAATTGCAAATTAACAAAAATTTGGGCAAAAAAATAGGAACTTGTCCAAAGAATTGAAGCTAGTAAAGAAAAAATTTCAGCTATGCTCATTGATATTCAAGGAGCTTTTGATAATGTTAACAGAAATATATTGGCACACACAATGGAGGATATGAAACTACCCAAAGCACTTATAAACTGGACGTACCAATTTGTAAGTGAAAGAGAAGCTAGTATGCTCATGGACCGAAGAAAAGGATCAGTGCAAAAAATTAGTACTGGAATTCCGCAAGGCTCACCTATTTCACCACTACTTTTTTTGATATATTCCACACCAATGTATCATGCCATTAAAGAATGGGGTGGAACTCCTTTTGGCTTTATTGATGATGTGACTATTACCGTTGAAGGTAAAATTGAAGAAAATACCAAAAGCTTAAGCAACATATTAGAAAAATGTTGTAATTGGGCTAAATCAAGAATGACCAAAATTGATTTGGGTGATAAATTGGGTTTTATTCATTTTACAAAAAATGTGAAACCTAAAGATGAGAAAGTGCAACTTACTTTACCTAATGGAGAACTTCGTGAACCCCAGAAGGAAGTTAAATTGCTTGGAATTACTTTGAACAATCTGCTTGATTTTAAATCTCATATTTTGAATAAAATCAATAAAGCAAGAAAAGCTGTTGGTGCTATTTGGCATCTTGGTGGCGTGCAAAAGGTATGCGAGGGTCTGCAGTCAGATCACTGTATATTGCTTGCGTGAGACCAATTGTCGAATATGGCTTAGAAATTTGGCATCACAAAATTTTGAAAGGAGAAATCCACAAGTTGGAAGTAATGCAGAATATGGCTTTAAGAAGAATTGTTGGTGCTTATCGCACAACTCCTATTGCGGTACTACAAAAGGAAGCTGGTATTATGCCATATAGTATTAGGCTAAAATTTATGGTGGCACGAAAAGCTATTCGTTTACACCTAAATATTAGCAAAACTAATCCTATTAATGGTCATTTGTTAACATTGATTGAGAAATCTCCAATTGCAAAGCTAACCACGCTTTACATGTTGGCGAAAGATGATAGAGACTATATGAATAAAAAGGATGAAAACGAAAATGCAAGAGGGTTGAACCTCTTACACTGAAACAACAACAAAATCAGACGATTGGAATTTTGAAGAAACAAGCAATGGAAGAATGGCAAGAAATGTATTGGAACAGCAGTAAGGATCTGTGGTATCATAATATCACAGTGGAGTCGAAATGTACTGATAATCTTTCCAAAATGGTTACGGGAGTGATCATGAAGAAAGATAGTCGAAGGATCTTGAGTAATATTACTCAATTTCGCACAGGCCATGGCAACTTTGGCGCATGGTTTAAAAAGTTTGGAATTGAAAAGGATAGTTACAACTGCAAATGTGGAGAGCTGGAAACAGTTCATCACATTTTAGTTGAGTGTCCTTTGCTTGAAGAGGAAAGAAAAGGACTGAAACGGATATCTCCAGAGATGGACATGTCGACTCTCTTAAACAGTTTAACTGGCTTACAAGAGATTGTAAGCTTTATCTCTGCTTGGAGGGATTAAGAAATACAATTACAGCGTTGATGAAGGCAAGTGGAGATAGGTTGGGAAGGTTTGGTTATTTTTAACCCCCTGTTCCTCGTAAGCTGGCATCAGGACTTATTTTCGGGCTGTTGGAGATGCAATGTTGAAGGCAAAATTAAAAGTTTATTATCAAAATGAAAAGATATATAGTATGGACAAGAAGGATAGCGCAGATGCTGATGTTATATAATTCTATAACCCTTGAATAAAAACAAACAAACAAACAAGGGCAAAAAAATAAACAGAATCAGTTGATTGGAATTTAAAAAAAAAAATATCAAAAATTTGTACTGGAATAGTAATAAGTATGTGAAGTTTTTGAAACCACCCAAAAGTCTGGAGACATAGCATTATTGTATATTTTTCGTGTTTCTTGCAAGCTGAAATCAGAGCCTATTGTCTGGGCTATGTGATGTTCACAGATCATAACATACAGTACGTACGGTTAATATGCTGAAGAGTTAAACCAAATAAACTGAAACCCACTGAAGGAGTGGCAATTAAAGAGTTGGGATTGCCTTATTGAAAACCTTTTAAATGTTAAACTTTTACTTTTTTTTTTCTTATCTATTTTTGACTACACAAATAGATTGACAAAAATAGACTACTGATACATGGTCGTCTAATAACAGATCCAACCTAATTTTGTATAACGTCTTATTATAAAATAGAAAAGTTGAATAATTACTTCACGCTGTTCATGATTATGCAAAAAAATTCAGTTTTCTGAAAAGCATGAAATATTTTTAATGTCATAATTCAAAAAAAAAAACCGAAAATTTTAGTTTGATGCTAAATTATTACAAAGTAAAATATATTTATTTCAAGTAGTGATCTGATAAAATTTATTCAAATCGTTAATCAATAATTTCAATTTCATGTTTACTATTTCGAATTTATGAGAACTTAGAATTGCATAAAGCTGATATTATTGATAGCACCTTTTAAAGTCTAATATATAAATGAACAGAAATGCTTCATGATTGATAAATTTAATGATATCTTTAACATATTATTATATTTTCAATAATTTATAAACAGTAATTATTAAATATTTTTAGGAATATCATTATAAAATGAAGATATTTTTAGTATTTGGTTTTTTATCCTTGGCTTTTTCGGTACCCATTCCATCAAACTCATCAGAGCACGCGGAATTAACTAAATCAGCACCGTTTACTGAAGGATCAGGGGAAGTACAGGCAAAACAGGTGCCATTAGTTTCTTCCATTCTTGGCTCCTTTTCTCGCCGTTTTGCTAAAGGTTTGTCCACAGCTCAATTCATTTACCGTCAATGGGACAATCGCTTTTATCTTACAGATCACGGCTGGGAAAACCTAGAATACATTGGTCTCAAAGGAATTTCTTCTGGACCTTTTAGCAGATTTAAACCAAAAGCTTTCATAAAAAACCAAGGTTGGGTTACTGGTCTTCATTTTACTAACTGGGAGTTACCACTGAGAACAATTCCTAATGTTGTTGACCGAAATGGTTTTTTGAAAAATGGCAAAAGATGTTGGGGTATTGATATGTATCGGGGTATTCCTTATGCTAAGTCTCCAGTTAACAAACTGCGATTTAAAAGACCTGTCAAATATCAGCATAAAAATTACAATATGAAAGCTGAAAAATTTGGAAAAAGTTGTATAAACGCTTCTCCTTTTGCATTTTCTGATATTACTCGTGATGAGTTTGACAAGTTATCTAAAGATAAACAAACAAAAGTGATTGATTATATAATTAAAGGTTGGGCTACTGGAGAAGATTGTTTGACTTTGAATATTTATAAACCTGTTATCCATGATTGTGCAAATATGGATTCTTCTGAACTTTTCCCAGTAGTAGTGGTATTTCAAGGTGGATTTTTTCAAATTGGTAAATCAAAACACTTTCATCTTGACGCTAGCAAATTTATTGAAAGAGGGTTTGCTACTGGAAATCCTGCAATAATTGTCACATTTAATTCCCGTTTGGGTCCATGGGGGTTTCTTGCCGGAGAAGCTATTACTGAAGAAGGTTCAGCAAATGCCGGATTTTATGACCAACGTATGGTGCTTGAATGGGTAGCAGACAATATTAAAAGTTTTGGTGGTGATCCTGCTAAAGTAACCTTATATGGAGAATCTAGCGGAGCAATTAGTGTTGCTCATCACATGGTAGCCAATAACGGAAATTCTACTTACAAAGGAAAGAAGTTGTTCCAAGCAGCTGTACTTGAAGATGGTGGTCCCTGGAGTTTTTCAAGCTCCAAATCCATACGTCCACAAAAACAGTTTGAAGAGTTTTCTAAAGCGGCAGGATGCACTGATTTAAAGACAGCTTTAGATTGTCTTCGCAAAAAACCAGTGATCGATTTACAACTAGTCCAAAACTTTGCTACTAAAAAGCGGGATGCTAGTGAATATATTCGAGATTCGTTTTTTTCTTGGGGGCCAAGATGGGATGGCGACTTACTTACAGACAATGCTTTAAAACTTGTGCGAGAAAACAAAATCACAAAAATACCAACTCTTATTATAAAGGTTGATCAGGGAGAAAATCTGTTCACAATGCTTCTTAATATGAACAGTGGATTTGGAGAGTCGGACTTGTGGAGTTATGGTAAAACTTTGTGGCCTTCCATTACTCTAAGCGATGCAAAAACAATTGCCTTAGATTTGTATCCGGACAAAATCGAGGCAAAATACAAAACAACTTTAAAAGACTATTTATGGAGACTTATCAACGAAATTTTTTTCCCTGGAAATTTAAGATTAGCAACAATACTTGAAGATTCAGTTTATGGTGCTCCCACAGAAGCTTTATTGGAAATTCTTTCGAAAACGACTTCAGTATATTTTATGGAGCATAATGTGGTTGTTCGGCATCGTCCTACAATAAAAACAGTTCGAACTGGTGAGATCTTTAGAAAATTTAACTCAGATACTAGTGGCTGGCACTCCAACAGAGTGAATATTTTGGCATTTGCCTCGCATTTAGATCCTAACAATTATGTGCATGCAACATATCAATTTGTGAATAAGGTGCAAAGCAATAACCCTTTATTGCAAAGCAAAAGATTAAAATTTTTGGCTTCAAGACCAGAGCTTATTGAAATGTGATCAAAAAATGCATCATAAAGATAAATTAAAAAGATTTTTTTTTAATACTTTCACAATCCTTAGTTTATTTTAGTTATCGTAAATATGAATTAAAGGAATTGACGTAAAATGGTAGATTGATACTTTGAATCTTGAAATGCTGTAACCCTGTGTATGCTTACCTAATATTTTGTTGGTGATAAGGGCTGTTATCGCAACAAACCAACCAACACATCACAACCAAAAAAACACCTCCCCACCAAGAAAAATTTAGCCAACAAAGCAATAACAGAACAATGTCCCACAAGATCGCAGCATCACCCGGATCATCATACAGCAATGCAACTGCTGAGGCTATAAAGGAGCTAATGCTTGAGAGCTCTGAACTAACAGAAGAGCTTCAAGAGCTATTAAACACTCAAGCAGCCCAGCTTTTTGGGAAACCAAATGGCACAGGGACTAAGTTCGGCAGAGACAACAAACAGCGGAAACAATTATCTCAAACCAATAAGGGAGGTGTCCAGAAAACACGCAGTCATCTAAAAAGAACCATGAGCAAGTTAGAAGAGGTGACTAGTGCACTGGCCGATACTCTCAAACAGGAGGTGGACATACAAGCATCATTTGTTGCTCGGATGGAGCGAGACTCAGTGCGGATAGGGAAACTTCAAGAACGGGTGCGGTTCATTGCTCAAGATAGTAAAGAGGCACAAGAGTTACAGCTGGTGCTTTTTGAAGAGCAGGATGTAGATGTAAGTTTAATGAAAAAAAAAAAAAAAAAAAAAAGCAGGAAAGTTTTAGGCTAACCACTTATTTAGAACGAGATTGACGATTTAAAGAAACGATTAGCAGAACTTCAAGAACGAAAGAAGCAGTTAAAACTTAATAAAGAACCTCTGCAATCTGTGATTTCTGCACACACTTCATCATACCGTGGTGAACTTGCTCAGATTCAAACAAAGCAGCAAGCTGCACTGGCAGCCCACTTCGCGCGGCAACAACATCCGCCACCACAGGTACGTGTTTTACAAAGCGCAACAGGCCTTGAGGCTCAAACAGCAGTGACGGACGCCTTAGATGCGGTGCTAGCAGAATTGGATGCTGTAACTGAGCAGCACGAACGATCAGTAAGGGAGCGGGATGCGCTTTGCGACGGTGTAGTTGTATGGCAAGATGTTTGCCAGATTGTCGAGGACATGGAAGACTCGGTGGAAAAAGCAGCATCGATTTTCGTTATGAATGGTAGCATTGGCGAAATGCCGTCGGAGACCATGGCTAAGGCACTTCGGCAAGCTCACACAGCTTTGGAGGAGCACTTTGAGCTTGCAAGACGCAACAACTGGATACTGCTGATGGCTGCAATTTCTTGTGAGCTAGAGGCTGTTTCTCAGGCCTTGGAGGTGGTTCAAGAGCACAGTGAGACAGGTGGTTCGAGGTAAAAATAGTCATTCTGAAATAGTGGTGGTGATGCCTAAGTACCCAGTTAAAGCGGGGTCCGAAAGTAAGTCCGATAGAATAAACAAAAATAGTCCTTAAAAGAATTGACATCAATGACCGTCGGTTAAGAATGATTATTAGGGTCCAGTTTTTTTTCTTGTTCATTTACAATGCATTAAGGATCCGGGTCCCGAGTTTGTTTCGGCGGCTGGTAATCCGAGTGGCGGCTCTTTGTGTTGGTCGGTCACGTCATTCATCTTTGGCGCAAAGTATAAAAAGGCCGCGAATTCTCCACAAACTTCTTTTTTTCCTTCTTACCAACAACACTTTTTCTTTATACATTTAAAAAAACAAAAAAACAAATTCGCTTGTAAACTAGTTTACCCCAATTTTTTATAAATAAATCTTTCTAAATTCAAATTCAATTATATCTTTAAAAATGTCTTCAATCCCAACTGTTAAACTTAATACTGGTGCCGAAATTCCTCTCATTGGTCTCGGCACGTGGCAATCTGATAAGGGCAAAGTCCGGGACGCAGTTCTGTATGCTCTTACTGAGACTCCAATTCGTCATATTGATGCCGCCTATGTCTACCTGAATGAGGAGGAAGTCGGTCAGGGCATTGCTGCAGCAATTGCCACTGGCAAAGTCAAGCGATCGGACATCTTTGTGACAACAAAGGTTTTCCCGGCATTCCACAATCGTGTCCAAGAATCACTCGATGCATCGCTCAAGAATCTTGGCCTTGATTATGTTGACCTGCTGTTGATTCATTGGCCCATTGGCTTCAATCCTAAGGGCAATAATCCTCTTTTCCCCAAAACTGCTGAAGGAAAGGCTGATCTCGACCCCACCTTTTCTGTTGCTGCCACATGGAAGCAATTTGAAGCTGTTCAAAAGACCGGCAAGGCCAAGGCAATCGGTGTTTCTAATTTCTCAACACCCGTCTTAAAGGAACTCCTTGACTCAGGTGTCGAAATTGTCCCCGCTGCCAACCAAATCGAGTCTCATCCACTCCTTCCTGGCGAAGAAATCAATGCTTTTAGCAAGGCTCATGGCATTGTTGTAGAGGCTTACTCTCCTCTTGGTTCTACCGGAGCTCCTCTGCTTGAGAACCCAGTTATTGAAGAATTGGCCACTAAATACAAGGTCCCTCCCGCTACCATTCTTATTTCCTGGCACGTTAACAAAGGCCGTGTTGTCCTGCCTAAATCTGTGACTCCTTCTCGCATCAAGACTAACGCTGAGTGGATTAAGCTTGAGGACGAAGATATTGTCACTCTTGACAAACTTTCGGAGAAGTTTGGCACTAAGCGCATTGTCAAGCCTGATTGGGGTGTTGATCTCAAGTTCCCCGACTGGAAGCAGTAATGGACATTATATTTAATCATGAGACATTTAATCAAACAACTATATATATATTTATATATATAAAAAAAAAAGAAACAGAAAGAAAAAAAGAAAAAAAAAGAAACAAATAAACAAAAAAGGAAACTCATATGAAATCATGGCCGTATGGGCCCTGTAACCACGACCGGAGCACTAGCCCGTGGTGTAGCATGCCCAGCAAGCGGAGCCGAAGGTCCACTAGGTGACGAAGTGCCTGAAGTGCTGGACGACGTTCCGGATCCAACAGCACCTACAGTAGACCCACCAGCAGATGTAGCACCAGTCGTTCCACCTGTAATACTGCCTCCAGATGTTGTAGGAGTTGTGTTGCTGTTAAATATTACTTGCCGCGAAAGGACACCACCCCCGTTTGAAATGGATAACGGAGGCGTTAATCCTTTGCTGGGACTTCGACTGGCTGGCCCACTAGTCATTCCACCTCCAGATAAGGATGAAGGTGGCATGCCGCCAGAAAGTGTAGCAGGAGGACCACCGCCAAGGTTCATCACAGGGCCCATGCCTCCTGTCAAAGTTGATGGTCGAGTTGCTGCACTTAAATTAAACCGGGGGAAACGACTTAAAAATCCTGGTTTGTTGGAGGTGGATCCAGCAGCAGAAGCAGAAGCAGAAGTAGCAGAAATACCCGCAGTGGGTCCCCCGGGAATTCCACGTCCCATGGATACGCCGCTGGAACCCAAAAGAGATGTCCCATTCGTAGAAGAATTGCCAGTTGTAGAAGGAAGCGACGAATTTTTTGACGCTCCCGAGCCTGGTGGTAACCTCCCATTGTTAGGCGTAGAAACAGGTGGTGTATATGGCAACGGTTTTGGGATGCTCTTGTCATTAAAGTTGTTGTGCAGAATCTGACACGGCAGCAAGTTTGCTGTAAAAACGGTACGTGGCGGGTATGCGCTGATACCGGAAACAGAACTAGAAATACGAGAAAGCTTGGGGTGCGGGACTGTGGTAAATCCAACTTGCGGCTTAAACGAGAGCGATGCAGGAGGACCTGTATTTGCAGAAAAAGTGACCTGGTCAGAAGATATGGAGCGCTTTCGCTTGTTGGGGGATGGGGTTACCATACCCAATGAGTTGGTTTCTTCTTCATGGTCGGATTCAATTGTAATCGCTGTTTCGGATGTGTTAGACTCCGAAGACTTGGTCAAATCAATTGTCGTCAATACTTGTCTGCTCTGTGCGCTAATTGTATTGTTAAATGCATCAACACTCCGTTTGGCTGAAGCAAGCGCCGCTGATGCAGATGGATCCGTAGAGGTTGCTGGCTTTGCAAATGAAGATGCAGGAGTAACCGTTAGCTTACCGCCAGGTAAGGACTCTGTTGTCATAGTTGTAGTAGAAGTGCTTCCTGGATGAAACACAGATCGGTTAGCCACAACAAGCCCTGCTGGAGTTGGCTTTTGAACCATTGTGTAAGGCACGGAGGCCGTTGATCTATCACGACGTCGGGTTTTGCGTTGGTTAAACTCTTTCTCGATCCATGCAAGTTTCTCAGGAGTATTCTCCGAACCATAAAGCTTAGTTGCTTGCCGAACCACACGAGTACGTAAATCATTGTCACGATTCCGGTCAAGATTGTTGTAACGCCACCGCTTTTTGCGCAAACGGTTTAGCACACGAACACGTTCTTTATCTGTCATGCCAGTCATATCTGGTACCTCAAATGCCTTATCATCTAGAGGTGGCTGCTTAGCTGAAGCTGCAGAAGCAACTGGCTGTGACATAGATACTGGCACTGACGCAAATCTCTCGCCAGCGATTGAAGCAGGCATTTCACCTTGAGCACTCCCCGATCCAGTGGATCCAGGCTCTCCATCTTGCAGACTTCGACCCAGAGCTTGCAAAGCCTCTTGAATCGCCTCCATTGTTTGGTCATCAACGGAGCGATTCTCATCGGTAGTATTTTCCATCTGCACATCTCCATCTTCATCAACTATAGAATTAGAGACTTCACCACTAGTTACATTAGACTGTGCCATCATTTGTTTGGCAAGCAATAAAGCTGTAATCACATTTGCAGCAACTCCACCCTGTGTTGCTCCAGTGCTGCCACCATCTTGGGTAGAACTGGAGCGCCGTGAACCGGTAGCTTGTACCGCAGCAGCAGCAATTGCAGAGGCAGCAGCCGTAGACGCCGGCGTCATACGGCCTGATACAAGGTCGCGTGCCAAATTACGGTGGTTAGCGTTTAGTAATGCTGACATGTTGTTAGCAGAGCCTGTTGCAGATGGCCGTCGCATATTATTCATTGCAGTTGGCTCAGTAGAGAACCGAGGAATTGAACTAAACGCTGGTGCAGGTCTTTCTGATGACTGGCCGGCAGTCTTACCTGGGGGCGTGTAGTAATAAAACTTGGTTTGCGACGCAGCAGCCCTTGGACGCATTGACAAATTACTTAAACTATTTGCCAAAGTATTGCCCAGATTTGAAGATGCTGAGGCTCCTTGTCGAGAATTGACATTTGAAGTGCCAATTGAACTCCCTGATCCAGAGGAAGTAGATGGCCCAGGAGTATACATCTTATACTTAACACCACCAGAACTCTGTGAATTAATCCCAGCGGCCCGCAAAGATGTTTGAAACTTGTCTGTAGAAAGATTTCTATTAGATCCTGCAGAAGCCGGCGAAGATCCAACAGCAGCTGCAGCACGTACACCTGCAATAGCCGATGAAACAAGAGCTTGTGCAGTGCTTAGTACTGAAGAGCCCCCAAGTGTAGATTGACGAGCACGTAAAGCAGCAAGGTTCATTTCGCGCCGTGCAACCATAGGATCAATCTTGTTTTCCGCAGGCTTCAAACTCATGTGGGCTCGTGCAAAGGCTAAAGTCTCAGCAATTGACATCGATCCAACAGCTGATGATTTTTGAGCTGGTTGAGAAGATTGTTGTTGCTGCTGTCCCTGTCCCTGTTCTTGTGGCTGAGGTTGTTGTTGCTGAGGTTGGAAAGGAGGTGAAGGAGAAAGGGTAGGAGAAATTATTTGCTGCGGGGATTGGTTCGAAGATGCAATATCAGGGGGACTGGGACTTATTGTGATAACTGATTGTGGTGGTGGTGTTGTACGAATTGGAGTCTGCTTTTGCTGGACAGATATGGTGGTAGATTTAGGTTGAGTTGGTGGACCATTCGATACCTCTATTGGAGGTTGAACTGATCTTTGAACTGAAACTGGAGCATGAACTTTAGAAGCCTGAACAGTTGGTAAAGCCCCCCCTTGAGTAGAAGATTGAGCTGGTGTTTGTGTCTGAACAATTGCATGATTTTGCAAAAGAGATGATGTTGAAGGTATTTCAGACGGTATATTTTTCAGCACTGGAGCCATCGGTGAAGAAACTGCAGAAGCGGAGGGTACTTTATTTGAAAGCTTACTCTGGGCCTGTGTTGTTCCCATAGGTGCCTGAATCGCTGGTGCAGAAGGCGCTGAGGTACTTAGAAGAGGAATGGAAGTAGGCATAGGTACCGTAGCTGGCTTGGGTTTAGGCATAGTAGAAGGAGGAGCAACCGCAGGTGTTGGCCTTTGTTGGGAAACGGTAATTGGTGCATTGGTGGCGGCGGGTATCGGTCGAGCAGTAGGTTTTTGTTGCGAGACAGGTGGTGCACGCCTCGATTGCTGTACAGAAACTGAAGGCTGCTGAGTTTGTTTTGGTTGAGTTTTAGTATACGGAAGAGGTATGGAAGGAATGACTGCTGGAGGTAAAGGGGGGAGTGGAGGATGATACCCAGAAGTTTTCTGCTGAAGTTGTTGGAGCTGTTGGTGCTGAAACTGAAGTTGCTGGTTTTGCATTTGCAAAACGTCATTCTGATGTTGCTGGTGCAGCCGGTACTGCTGCTCAGCTTCCACATCATTCCGAACTCTTTGTTGAGACGTAGCTGCCGAAGCAGTCGGTGGTGCTCCTGATTCTCGGACTCTGGGAGCGGTCTTAGTTACTGGTTTAGGTACTTGCTTCAAAGTCACATTGGAAACAGGAGGCCGTTCAATAGGAGGTACTTGTTTTCTTTGCTGTTGAGGCATTGATATTTGCAGTTGAGGCGTATGTTGAATAGGTTCTGGCTGCATTTCTTCAGATATTTCACCCGGCTGGCCAAGGGCAGCAATTTGCTCCAAACTAACTAGACCAGAGTTTAAAAGGGTTTCAACAAGCATTGTTGCAGTTTGAAGTGACTCTTCATCTTCATCGAGTAAATGTTGAAGCTGTTGCGGTTGCTGCTGCTGCTGCTGCGGCAAATTTGGCTTTTCAACTGGTTGTTCTTGAGGTTCTTCAGCAGCAGTAGAGCTCAAAAGCGATTGAAGAGCAGCCTCTATATCAGACGCCAAAAACTGTTCTTCTTCTTCCTGTGTGTGTTCCACAGGCTTAAGTTTAGGAGCTGGTTTAAACACATCTTCGTCAATATCCGAAGTTTCAGAATCTAGATCCATATGCTCAGAGGGTTGCTCCTCTGCGGCTTCTTGAATTGCTTGTTGCAGGGCACTTAAAACTGAGCTGTAGTCTAGAGGGCCTTCTTGAGATTCCTCAACAATATTTGGCTGATCTTCTTGTTGATGCATCTGTTCAGTCAACGATTTTCCAATAGCTTCAGCCAAAACCTTTTCCAAATCAATATCACCCTCGTCTTCCTCTTCCGGTTCCTCAGTAATAGGTTCAGATTCAGGAAGAGGCTTATTAGGTGTTTCAGGCTCCGTAAATAAATGAGAATGTTGCTCAAGTTGGCGAAAAATAGACTGGGCCATTTCTTGCTCTATTGCTGAAAGATCAGGAGAATTCGGTTGTGAAAGAGAGTCTATCTCTTCAGATTCATCAATAGCTTCATCATCCCCCATAAGAAAGTCGGAGTCCTGGCCAAGCAAAGATGCCAGTTGTGCCATAATAGCCTGCTGCTGAGACTCTGAGACAGGAACATTTTCATCATCGTCATCGTCGTCATCAATAGCGAAGCGATTTCCATCAAAGCTAAAGTGGCGCTTTTTTGCCAGAGCTGCAGCAACGGCTTTGAAACTGTTGGCACGCGACCGTCGACGAGCTGCAGAAGAGATAGATGGACGACGAAGAGCTTGCTGTGAGCTAGAAGTTGTAGAGGGGCGACGCTGGACTGATGGACGCCGGACAGAGCTTGAACTCTGAGAAGATGTTGACAATGGCTGATTTAAAGTTGGTTGACGGATCGGAGGTGTAGTCACAGATTGGGGCGCCTGTGGAAGTTGTTGCTGTGATGGGCGTGTTGGTACAGGCCGATAAGAAGATGCAGGCTTTTGAGGAACCTGCTGCTGACGTATTGGAATCGGAGTCGATTCATTATGTACTGAAAGAGGTTGTGAATGAGATGATTTATGAATTTGGGGAGCCTTTTGAAATGACTGCTGTACATGAGGTGTTATTGTAGATGGAGTTTGTTGATTACGCACAGGAGCAGGTTGTGAACGAGAAGGGGCCGATGGCTGTACTATTTTTTGAAGTGGACGCGCAGGAGGATTAGTTGAGGAAGGTGTAGAGACTCTTGTTTGAGGAGGAGGCACTTGAGTTGTTTCACGTGGTTGAGTAGGTCCTATGCGAGTAGAGGAAGGTGCGGGCTTTGATACTGGTTTAAGGGCTGGTTTAGTAACCGGAACAGAGATCTTGGGAGCTGGAGAATAGACAGAAGCTGGCGAGCCAACAGGCTGAAAAGGAGTACGAGGAATCGGTGATGCAAATGAATTTTTAGGAGGAGCCTGAATCGGAGTTTTCGTAGTTGAAACAAAATTTGGAGTAACGCTGGTAGTTGTTTTTGTTGTTGCATCTAACATATTTACGTCTTCTTGTTCTGTATCAGCTTTTTCAGCCTGCATGAGAATACCTGAAAGAAACTTAAGGCTTTGGGCCACATCATCTTCATTTTCATCTATTGTCTCGTTTAAAGTTGAATCCAGTATATTGGCAGGGGTAGTATTTTTCAGGTCATTGTTATCATCAATCATTAAGTGGTCATTATTATTATTATTATTATTTTTATTATCGTTAGAGTGGTCATTAGAGGGTAGAGAAGAAAGAGCAGAAAATGCCTGAGAAAGTGGCTCTAGTTGGTCAGATGTTGATTCATTTGTTGAATCAAGGGCCATTTTAAGAGCGTTAAGAATAATTTCATTAAAGTTGTCAGTTGAAGCATCTGTTGAGTCATCAGGGTCGATATGCATTCCGTTATTTGTCGTTACAGCGTTGACAAGAGCTTCTGCTGCAGCTCCAGCGGCAGAATCAATAGTTGCAGCCATGGCAGAATCAGCACCATAAAATTCCGAAAGATCTATGGGAGAGGTGGAGTTGTTAATGGTGTTTGTGTCTTCAACTTTTTCAGGGACTGCCAGAGCAGCGTTACGCGATAAAGCATCGCTAATCTGAGAAAGAAGTGCATCATCTGAAAATGAATTAGTTGAGTTATTCTCTATAGTTATAGACTGATCTGAGCTAGAAAGTTGCGGAGAAGCTTCTGTTGTATCTATGGTTGCAAGTTGGTTCTGAAGAAAGTTAAGGCTACTTGTAATGTCATGATTATGAGAAATATCAGGTTGAGTCGGTTCTTGGGTTAAGTCATCTTCTAGATTTTGAGTTAGGGCAGAGACTGAAGCCAAAAGTTGTTGAACATCAATATCTGAGACCTCTGCGAGATCAGTAGCAAGGTTGTTGTCATCTTGGGTATTATCAGTTCTCGGGGGTGGCGACGGCGGGGGTAGCGTTTCCGGAACATTTTGAGATGGATCCTGGCGAACTGGATCTTGAAGATGTGCAGATGATGACTGAGAAAGATGAGGATCTGCTGAAAAGTCATCATTTTCATCATTTGACGCGTTGTCAGTAGCATCAGCGAGAGATGAGTTTAATGCGCGTAAAATTTGCTCGCTGAGGGCAGCAGCAACCGAATCAATCTCGGCAGAAGTATTATTATCTTCGTCAGTGTTTGCTTGCGAACCTGTTTCACCAGACTGCTCCTCTTGAATCTGCTGGAAAAGAGCTGCAAAATTTGTAGCATCGTCGGAGTCCTGAGTTGAGTCATCGATAAAAGATGTATTTGACGCGTTTAGAAAAGAAGAGGTTGGGTTACCCTGGTCGGACTGTGGCGGTGATGTTGGTTGAAGGTGCTGGGTCGATGTAAGGTTATTTGGGGACCCCGATCCAGTAGCACCATTGTCATGGTAAGGTCCCGACATGAGAAAGAAGAGAGAAAAAAACGGAGACTATATATCGAAGACTATTAGGTTATGAGTCAGTGAGTCCAAGGTGGCACTGGTTCAGATAGTACTTGAATACATACTGGCAAGACACTTTAAAAAAAAAAATAAATAAATAAATAAATAAAAAAAGATGTATAAAAATATATAGCGACGCAGATTAATAGATTAAGAAGGAAAGATCTATAGTTAGTTCTATAGAAGAATATTTATGGAGGTTGTTGGTATAGTGGTTGAAATGATATATGTTAACAAAAAAACGCGGATTTTTGGTAGTTACTGGAAATGGTTTTGGTGGTGGTGGTGATGGTGATGGAGGGTCCGCGGTTTTTTTTTTTTTTTTTAAGTGTAAAAAAAAAAAAAAAAAAAAAAAATTTAACATCACGTGAAGGTCACATTGTAAAATCATGTGACTTATGACAATTTTGTTACAACACGTGAAAATTTAAATTTATGATTTGTTGTTGCAACTGGAATTGTAACAAAAAGACCCCTCGTGGCACACACATCTCCGCAATTTTTTTTTTTTTTTTTTTTTTTGTTTCTCCCGTAAACGACCGAACGGTTTTTGTTAATTTTTAAAAAAAATATATATATATAAAGCCTTTAAATCCCTCCCCTCTTACAAAACCTTTTTTTCTTTTTTTCTAATATCCACTTTTAATTTTTAACTCTGTACTTCTAATAACTATCAAAAATGTCTTCTTCACTCGATCAATTGAAAGCATCTGGTACTGTCGTCGTCGCCGATACCGGTGATTTTGAGTGTAAGTAATTGATTTCTCCACATTTTGTTTCATTTTCAATTAACAATTCCTTATAGCCATTGCCAAATACAAGCCTCAGGACGCCACTACAAACCCTTCACTCATTCTGGCTGCTGCCAAAAAAGCTGAGTACGCAAAGCTTATTGATGATGCTGTTGCTGCTGCTTCCAAGTCCTCTGGATCCCCCTCCCAAAAGGCTGAGAAGGCCCTTGACTACCTGCTCGTTGAGTTTGGTTCCAAGATTCTCGAAATCGTCCCTGGCCGTGTTTCGACTGAGGTTGATGCCCGTCTTTCTTTCGACAAGGAAGGTACCATTAAAAAGGCTCTCGAAATTATCGATCTTTATAAGCAAAAGGGGATTTCTAAGGAACGTGTCCTTATTAAGATTGCTTCTACCTATGAAGGTATTCAGGCTGCTCGTGAGCTTGAAGCCAAGCACGGAATCCACGTTAACCTGACTCTTCTCTTTTCTTTCGTTCAGGCTGTTGCCGCTGCTGAAGCCAGTGCCACTCTTATTTCTCCCTTTGTTGGTCGCATCTTGGATTGGTACAAGGCTTCTACTGGAAAGTCTTCTTACGAGGCTTCTGAGGATCCTGGTGTCCACTCTGTTAAGCGCATCTTCAACTACTACAAGAAGTTTGGCTATAAGACAATTGTCATGGGCGCATCTTTCCGTAATTCTGGTGAAATCAAGGAGCTTGCCGGTGTCGACTTTTTGACCATTTCTCCCGGTCTTCTCGAAGAGCTTTACTCTTCTACTGATGCTGTTCCTAAGAAGCTTGATGCTGATGCTGCCCAGGCCCTTGATATTGAGAAGGCTGCTTACCTTGACAATGAGCCTGCTTTCCGCTTTGATTTTAACGAAGATCAAATGGCCACTGACAAACTGTCTGAGGGTATCCGCAAGTTCGCTGCCGACACTGTCACTCTTCTTAAGGTTCTTGAGAGCAAGTTTTAAAGTTACGCAGTTTTTAATTGATTAATTAGTGATTTGTATTGATTAATGGAGTTTTTTAAATTTTTTTTAATTTTTTTATTAATTTTTTTAATTTTTTTTTTTTTAATTAGATCACCACGGAGAAGTGTATCCGAAATATAAATCTAGATTTTCAACGAAAATTACATGACTAATGCCCACCAGTTGTGGGAAGCCCCACAGCCAATTTAAATGAGTCGTACAGCAACCATTGCATGCCCGTCAGAGTACCAATCATGACGATACGTACTGGCAAGCCGTTCCACAGACCCATAAAGCCAATCTTGGAGTAGATGCGGCTCAGAGAGTGAACCATGGACTCACCTGCCTCACGTTCAACATTCACCTTAGATACCATCACATCGGCAGGATGCGATACAGCTGCACAAAAGATACCGGCAATATAACCACCAAGGAACGACACACCAGTTTGTGCCAGTTTAGAATATTCTTCCTTCTTCTTAGGAAGCTTGTTGTAAATGGCTTCGACCACGCGCTCAAATGATGCAAACTTTACCATTGTATAGGGGATTTGGCGGGCCCAGAGGGGTGTAAGACCCTTGTATAGACCGGCAATTCCCTCAGCTGCAACTTCTTTGCGCCAGCCTTCAAAAACAGATTTGGCGTAAGGAGGAATTGACGTTTGCTGCTTCACCTTGATAGCCTCCCAAGGACATAAGAAGATGTCAGCAATGAACTCGGCAGTAGCTGAAGAGGCCAAGTACAAAGAAGTACGGTAATTGAATGCAGTTTCAGGGCCCAAAAGCAAATCACCATATAGATATTTAAACAGTTCATATAAGCCATACTTTCCTGCACCTTGAAATGAGTACCCAATAAAGGTTGCACCAACACCAGTAAACACAGCAGGGAGTCCACCTTCTGTTTTAATAATGCTTTTCCAGCCTTCAATATTGCTCTTGTAGAGTGCTGGGTTCACCTGACGCCGTGTCTTGACAAGATCAAGTGGTGTGACGGCCGAGTGTGTGGGTCCACATGCTAAAATCCCACCGAGGGTGCAAAAACCAAAATACTCAGGAGAGTTGACCACGATCTTGTGTGGTGTAGCAACTACTGCTTGAGATGTGCTAGCAGCTGCAGCCTTTGCCTGGTCTGTAATTGAGTTGGCAATGTAAAAGTTTGATGGAGAATAAAGAGGAGAAGACTTGATCGACATTGGATGGATTAGAATAGTAAAAGGATATATGAAAATGGAAGAAAGAAAAAAAAAAAGGGGATGATGAATTGAGATGAGGTATATTGTTAAAAGAAAAAAAAAATTGAGAAATAGAGAATATATAGAGCTTTTATATATAAAAGTTTATTTTGAGCCTTTTTATATCTCAGTATTTTCTAATCTTTATTGAGTTCTTTGAATGTGAATGGCCTGACGGTACCACTGAGGTATTTTGTTTTGATAAGAAAGTTGAGGGAAAAAAAAAAAAAAAAGTTGAGGGAAATTCCTAAGGATTTTTAAATATTATTATTTTTATTATAATAATATTGTATTTTCTTGAAAAAAAAAAAAAAAAATTTGACCAATTTGAGGTTTTATCATTTACTATTGTATTAATTGACACGATTTTTATGGCCAACAACAACTCTTATTATTATTATTATTCTTATTCTTATTATTATTCTTATCCATCACGTCAATCATCCTTGCATCATCCCCATCGAGTCTTCTAAGCTCTAAGCATATGCCAAATCCCCGCAAAACCCCACCCGCAGTAGTCAACCACCACGGATGTCTGTATATTTAAAGTTTATCACGTGGGTGAGTGGTTTTCTATGGCGCCTACACTTGCCGAATGACAACTCTTTTTTTTTTTTTTTTTTTTGTAACAAACACAAAAAATTGATAATTTCTTTTCACTACCGCCTTAAAATAAAAACAATATCAGTAAAACATTCAAAATTGAAATAGTCTTAAAGAATTGTACAGTTTACTGATTCCATTTGAATAAAATAAAAACTATTTTTTTAAGTTTAGATACCCAGTTTTCATATTAATCAGTTTCTCTTATTGATTGTTTGATCGAAATAGAAGTATCCTAGTTATTATTTTACACAACTAGTTTTTGGATTCCTACTCGTTTTGTCATAATTGTTATCAGCTCAATTTTAATTACCAATTTTTTTTTTTTTTTAATTCTTAATTGAAAATAAAATAATTTTATTTTATTTTATTTGAATAAATGTGATCATATTGTTTTATATCTTTTACTGAAATTTAATAAATAATTTAAATTAATAAATACTAAACATTCCCTTTTTTTTTAATTTACAAAATTGTTTTATTTTTACCCACTTTATTTATTTTAACATCCTTTAAAAATTTAAAGGATTGTACCCCGTTTCCATAAACTTTTCAGCCTTTTTGACTATAGTCATAATCTTTGGAATATCTTTCATATGATCAATCGTCACTATTCCATTGATTTTTTCTGATACTTGTATTACCAATTCAAATGGGTCAAAATCAACTGTAGGTGACAATTTGAACTTTGAAAATTGTTTTACGAAAAAGTGGCACCCGTACTCAAGCTCCAGACGAAGCAAGTTTTGACCCATGGTATGCTCTCCATTCTTGCTATAATTTGAAATGAGCAAGGTGAGCTCCTTAATTTTTTTATTTGCTATTTCCGATTTTCTGTTCAAGTCATTGATATGGTTGGTTTCTTTGATATTCTTGGAAATCAATTCCTCAACGTCCTTTTTTATTTGCTTTTCTTTTTTCAAGTCCCTTTTTAGAAGCTTAAATGTTTGCTTAGTGTAATAGGCCATATCATTGGTAAACTCGTTCATCAGCAAAGCGGCAAACAATTTAGCATCAATGCTAAGCTCCAAAATATTCTTTAAAATATTTTTACGCTTTTCTCGGGTTAGTTGTATTATTGTTGATGAAGATTCAAAGCAATTATAATACATGAATACTTTCATGTAAAACTCATTGACTTTCTGGTCATCATCAGAAGATCCGTCAAAGATTGGGACTCGATTAAAACTTTGCATCTGAGTACCTTCCACTCTTGTGTCATTTTCATTTCTTGGCAAGACTTTGTCATAAACGGTGGAAGCATTTTCCCATGTTTGACTTGATATTATTGTAGATGTGTCATCATTTGATTTGGGCTCATCGTTGCGTGCTTCAATAACTTCAATGTCATTGTCCTCATCCCTATCCCCATCCCCATCCCTATCCTCATCCCCGTCCTCATCTACATCCATTGCATCTTCATCCTTTTTATTCTCATATTCTTTCATAACCATGTCCCCATCACTATCCACTTCCATATTATCGTCATACTCATTTTCTTTTGAAGAATCTTCCAAAACAATGTCTTCATTATTATCAACCCAAGTGTGAGGAGCAGTCCCATTTTGAAGACTGGTATTTTCAAATTCCTTTATGTTACCAGCAGAATATTTTTTAAGAGAAAAATTACGGGGTGCATTGTATTTAGAGATATGATTTTCAAAAGTGTTTAATTTTTTAATGTCGAGCCATTTAACATTTGAAATTTTTGTTTCTTCGACAGTATTGCTCAATGAAATATCCATATTAGAAAACTTTTTAACAATTTCAATGGTATCTGATTTACTTTTGGATAAAGTAGAATTAACTTCTTCAGACTCAAAGTTTTTCATATTAGGAATTGATTTATCAGTCATTGTTGAGATTAGTATGGAAATATGTTTTTGAAGTTCTTATAATCTTTAGTGTGATTGATGAAAAAAAACAATAAAAACGAAAAACAAAAAACAAAAACAAAATTTTCAGGCATTTTTTCTTCATTTTATACCCATTTTGAAATTGAAATTGATATCCAAAATAGATCAATTGAAAATAAAAGCATTAAATTGCAATTCTTTCAATAATAAGAATACCAATTTAATGTCAACAACTGTTGAAAAACAGTCAATCTGTGCTATTGTATATTAATTGATAATGATGTGGCGAAGCAACAAATCAATTTCATGTTTCTATTTTCCATACTTTTCTGTTTTTGATACCACATTAAGTCTTGTCATACAGATTTATCCACATAAATTTGCATGAAAAAATCTGTGAATTTTTTTCAAAAGATTTAATTTTGACTGTTAAAGCTCACTAAGCCTATTTTTCTTCATTAAATTAAAACTTTTAGTTAAAGTCGCATTTATTTTGTAATATCATTTTAATGGCTTTTTTTTTTGTGTGTGTGTTTTCTTCTAAGTTGGATAATACGTCCCAGTTGAAACTGCATTAATTCGGTAAGCTCAGTTTAATGTTGTTTTTAACAATAGAATAACTATCACCGTTTATGAAAGGTGATTAATCGATTACAAATATTTAATTAAAATATATTAAATTTAACATTTATAAATGTTAAAATGATAAGATTTAATTTAATTTGATTTAATGCTGTTATTTTGTACAAAAACCATTAAAATAAGTCTAATTGAAATTTATAGTCTTAACTTTAGAGACCAAGTTAGATATATTTTATTTTTATTATTAATGAAAAAATAATACATATAAATATTACATAATGATAAACATATGTGCTTGTACAAGGAATAATATATTCACAGTTTCATTTTGAAATGTAAAAAAAAAAAAGATGCTCCATAAAAATGTTTCAGTTTAGAATGCACCAATAAAATTAAAGCCAAATCTTCCTCGGCATTCCATGGGAAGTTCATTATATTCTTTAAGTGTAATTGAATATAAACCATTTTTATATTCAAAACGATTCATTATGGCTTGGTATTCTGGTCTCAATGGCTTTTTAAAATCAGGTTTTTGCTCCAAGGTTTTCAAATGTTCAAAATGAAATCTACTTAAATCTGGATTACTAGAAAATAATGTTGCATAACTAGAAGTTTTGTCCCTTTGGAAAACTGGTTTACTAGATGGAGGATTCTGTTTTAAATAATATTCAAAAATTTGAGGATCTGATGTCAAAGATGGTAGAGAGTTAGGGTGGAAATTGTTCCAAGATTGATTCATCAAAGATTTTTGGTCAAGATAGTCGCCATCAAAAAATTTGGTTTTTTCCTTGGATGTTTCTTTATTTGTTATAATAAGATCTTTCTTTTCAGTAGTCATTTTTTTTTTAAAAAATATTTAAATATTTAAATATTAATTCAAATTGATAGTTATCGGCAAAATAAATTGTAGAAAGCAATTAAATTTATATATATATATATATATATATATATTTAAAAAAAAATGGAAAAAGAATAATTGAAAACAAAAAATTAAAAGAATATTTTTCAATTTATTCAACATATAAATATTAGTTTTCCAATTTTGAAATATCAATATTAAGACGAATTTCTGTGCATTAAAGTGGGTTTTTGTTTTTTATTTTGTAATCTATAACTATACATTTAACATAAATTTTTTATCTTATTTTATTTGAATTTAATATCCCAAAACTTATGCATTTGTAAACCCAGAAAAATATTGTAAGTAAATAAATTTTTAAAATAATATTTGAATGAAAAAAAAAAGCATAATACTAATTATACCTTTATTCATGATTAATAATTCTATATATATATATATATATATATATATATAGTTTTTAGATATCCTTTTATTTTGTCATTTTAATGCAAAAAAAATAAAAAATAAAATATTTATTTAAAAAATGATTCGACCCAGGATCGAACTGGGGACGTTCTGCGTGTTAAGCAGATGCCATGACCGACTAGACCATCGAACCTTAAAAATATATACTATTTTTGCTATTTAAAGCTCGGTTTAAAAAAAATTAAAAAAAATAAAAAAATGGGCCCAGCATATAACCCTTGAATAAAAACAAACAAAACAAGGCCTAGCATTTTTATATAGACATTTCTTTTTTTTTTTTTTAACTAACATTAAAAATTATTATTTTTATTCTGTAGGAAAATGCTATATTTTTTAAATCCAATGGGAATTTTTATTGTGAAAATTAAAATATATATAGTACAAATAAAAAGGATGGTGCAGATGATGACGTTATTTAATTTTATATAATTATATAACTGTTGAATAAAAAAAAATAAAAATAAAAATAAAAATAAAAATAAAAATAAAAATAAAACATAAACGGCTGATTTAACGGTCAGGCTAACTTTTTAAATCCGGGGGGGTTTTTTAAGTTTTTTTTTTTTTTTTTTATGGTAGAAAAAATTATGAGATACAGAGAGGGGTCTTAGATAATAAGTGGAGGTGGTGGGTCTAGTAAGTTTGAGACCAACAATCCCATTCCCCATAATTTCTATACTCCTCATATTCCTCATATTCCTCATACTCCTCATAAACTAGATTCAGGTCCCATTGTCCTGATCATTGGAAATACAAAAATGAAACCCCATTAAAACTTTTTTTTTTTTGTTAACAAGGTACCAAGATATACTGCATGTCTTTATTATTTTGCAGTTATGAGGATTTAGTTAAAATCCATGCTATATTAATTTCATAACTACCCTTAAATAATATTAATTTTTTTATTAACAAGAGTTAACAAGAACGTTGTGAATTTAATATTTTGTTACACACCATGTTATTTTCATTATTAGTACTAATATATTTTGTGCCTAATTGTTTTTTTTTTAAAAAAAAAAATTTATATATTTGATATTTAATTTATAACGATATTTAATAATCTTTAAAAAAAAAAAACTTTAAACCAAATTGATAGAATCTATTGGACAGATAACGAAATCAAGTAAATAGAATTAATGCTTTGAAACACCATTTCCCCCTCCCGAAGTCCTAAATCATGTTTTTTTTTTTTTTTATTTGTTTATGAATTATTAATTTTTCTAATCACAAGATACTTTTTTTTTAAAAAAAAAAAATACTTGCATCAGCTTCCGCGGAGTTTCCGGTGAGCGTTTTTTTTTATAATTTTTTTTTTATTTTTATTTTTTTTATTTTGAGTTATCAATTTAAACTCAATTAAATTTAATGTCATTAGATCAACAAAAAAAAAAAAAAAAAAAAAAAAAAAAAAAAAAAAAAATTTAATGGCAGATCATAAAATAAACGTTTAATATTTAATAAATTGTAAACTTAATAAATTCTTAAGGAAAAACATATCACTTTACAATTTGTATGTCATCATCAATCAAGAAATATTTTGTTTTTTTTATCGGTTATTAACGCATTTAAAACACTCTTTTATGACCGAAACTACCGAGAAACGTAAAAAGAAATAGGTAACTCTTATCGACTATCATAAGCTTCACACAGAATTCCATTTAAAGCCCATGTAAATTTTAATAGTTTGATATCTAAATAAATTGCTACGATATTGTTTATCGTAAAAGAAATTTATCTAATTTTTTTTTTTTTTACTCTAAAAAAACTATGAAAATGTATATCCAAAACAGATTATAAAATCAAATATATTTTTAACGACAGTTAAAAATCGAACCATTTAAAAATATGCTATAAGATATGAATTCAAAGAAAAAAAAAAAAAAAAACTCTATGACAACTTGAATTTAAAAAGGGAAAATTTGAAACTACTTTAGGTATATTTAACTACGGCTTTTTTTATTTTGGGGATATTTTGGTAAAATCTGTAAGTTGGAAGTTGGGGGGGTTAAGTGATGATCATCATTCGTAGCATGTGTCTCAATAATGTTTGACCGTTTTTTTTTTTTTTTTTGGGGGGGAGGAGGGGGGAGAAAAAGATCCGAGTAACGGTAAACCTTAAGCTGTACTGGTATTCAAGCTATGATTACATTTAGTTGGATATTTTGCCTCTATTTTAATTTTTTTTTTTTTTTTCAATTTTAGTATCAGAAAAAAAGATAGAAGAATAGTTAATTTAATATCAAACTAATTATATATACATAACATGACAAAGATTCTATTACATTGTTTTGTATTACCTTCGAGCATTAAGTCCCAATAATCTGTTAGAACTGATCATTATTATCTTTATGTTTGTAAATAGTATGATGTTGAAATCTTTGAGCATAAATTTCAACAGGTGAAAGGTTTTCCCATTGAACATTTTGAGAAGATCGAACTGTCTCGAAAACAGGGCTATCTTGGTTTATATTGTTGTTAATATGAGTTTCTGAATGTTCGATTTCTATCTGATTGATTTGAGAAGCGTTTTGAGCTGAAAAGTTGTTTTCTGACGTAAGATCAGACCCTTGTATATGACTCATTAAAAACTTCAGTTTCAATTATAACTTCTTTTTCATCAAGTTGGCTTAAAGAGATTTGATTGATAATTCAAGTTTGCTTTAGAAATAAATGAAAAGTATGTTTGTGTTTGACGTTACAGTTAAATATATGTGGTATTTTATAAAAAAAAAATTAAACTCTTGACTTTCAAAAAATTAATTTCAGAGAATTCAAATTCAAATTAAATATATATATATATATATATATATATTGAAAAAAAAAGCACTTACATTTTTTTGTCTGTTGTAAAAAAAAATGCTTTGGAATTGGAACAAAATTGTGGCAAACAAGAAGGTGGGAGGATTTCTTTTAAATGTTAACTTATGATGTGCAGGTAAAAGTGTTGATATAAGTCTAGTGGTGAGTCAATTGTTATTACTTAGTATCTTAATATAAAGTATACTTTACTTACCTAGGTAATGTGAAAGAAGGTAACCTACTTTTACGATAATTTGTATAAACACGGACCCGGAAAACCATAGTATAATAA